GGCATAACGTAAGCCCACGAGACGAAACAGCGTAACGTAAGCACGCAAGATTTAACAGCGTAACGTTACCACGCGGGAGCAGACTGCGTAATGTAACCACACAAGAATCTACGTATCTACTACGGTAAGCTACGTATTTTTATTGCAGAGGGTAACCAGCGTAACGTTACCGCGTGATTGTTTAGCGGCGTAACATTACTACGCGAGAGGTAACGGCGTAACGTAATACTGCGAGAGTTCACGGCTATGCTAACCGTTAGGTACATGAAACCGTCTGCGTTAAATATTTTGCGTAAAAGCTAAACGCACTATACAGTAGATTTAGTTTTTCAGTTGAAAAGAATAACGTGATCCATTTAAGCACGTCCGCTAAGTTTTGAAATGCAACGCTTTTAATAAATTAAAACTGCAAATTTAACCCACCTTCGTTGGATCCGCGGCGCGTAGCGCCGCGGTCGTTGCTAGTCTTATATATTAAAGCAGAACCGTTATTCCGGAACGCTCCTGCCTCCAAAACGTTCTGATTGGCCAGAACCAGCCTAACCTTTCTGATTTGCCGGAACCCGCCTAGCGGGTTTTAAGCTTTTCCAGCCCCTTAAACCTGTGCTTTTGCGCGTTTGTCCTTACCAAGTTTCCGAAACTTAGTACCTTCACCTGTGAAAACCTTCGACTGATAAACCGGATCCCAGCTTCAGCATTGCTCCTTATTAAGCTTCCAAACATTAGTTCTTTAAGAAACCTGATAACTTTAATCTACTTACCGTTACCGTCTTTTAAGCCTTTTATTACCTTGCGGTACCACCTTTTAAGCCTTTAGTAACCGAAAGTCCCGCGTACGGTACCTGCATTTTTAAGCCTTTGGTCACCGAAGGCGACGCGTGCGGTACCCGCCTTTTTGAGCCCTTGATCACCGAAGACCACGCGCGTGGTACCCGCCATTTTGAGCCTTTGGTCTCCGAAGGCCACGCGTGCGGTACCCGGCCATTTGAGCTTTTGGTCACGAAAGGCTACTCCTGTAGTACCCGCCTTTTTGAGCTTTTGGTCACGAAAGGCTACGCGTGTAATACCCGCCTTTTTGAGCTTTTGGTCACGAAAGGCTACGCGTGTAATACCCGCCTTTTTGAGCTTTTTGTCACGAAAGCCTACGCCTGTAGTACCCGCCTTTTTGAGCCTTTGGTCACCGAAGGCCACGCGCGTGGTACCCGCCTTTTTGAGCTTTTGGTCACCGAGGGCCCCACGTGCGGTAACCGCTTTTTTTAGCTTTTGGTCACGGAAAGCCAGCCGTGCGGTACTCGCCTTTGAGCCCTTTGACCGGCCGCGTGTGGTACGTTACCGGCCTTTTGCTTATGGTCACCGAACGCCTTTTAAGTTTATGGTCACAAACGGTTTTTCTAAGCTCTACCCAATGAAGGTCTTTAGTTTCTTGGTCACCAAAGCCGCGCGTGCGGTACCCGCCTTTTTGAGCTTTTGGTCACCGAAGGCTACGCGTGCGGCACCCGCCTTTCTGAGCTTTTGGTCACCGAAGGCCCCGCGTGCGGTTTCCCCTCGTGCCCCCCTTTTTTGAGCTTTTGGTCACCGAGAGCCAGGCGTATGGCACCCGCCTTTTTTAGCTTTTGGTCACCGAAAGCCAGGCGTGTAGTACCCGCCTTTTTAGCCTGATCACCGAAAGCCACGCGCCTGGTACCCGCTTTTTTGAGCCTTTGGTCACCGAAGGCCACGCGTGTGGTACGTTGGCCACCGAAGGCCTTTTAAGCCTTTGGTCACCGACGGTTTTCTAAGCCTTTGCCCATTGAAGGCGTGTTAGGCTTTTGGTCACCGAAGACCTTTTAAGCCTTTGGTCACTGAAGGCCTTTTAAGCAATTGGTCACTGATGGCCTTTAGACCCACACTTTTAAGCCGTTTGTAACCGTGGGCTGCGTCAGCGCGGCGCGTAAGCGCCGCGCGTCCTGCTTGTAATTATAATATAGTCGAAAAATTCGGTACGAGAGCATAATATCATTCTATGCTAAAACAATAAAAACATACAGAACCAGATGACAGTTTGTGGACTTTTGCGAACCGTGACTGCCGGTACCGTTTCGTACAGTTCATGGATGTGCGGTAGGTGTAACTGTTACTATAGATTACTTATTAGTCTACTTAACAGCCTTTTACGAAACATATTTACAAAAAATTATTCAAGAATGAAAAATCCAGTTCTTAGGCTGCGAGAATGTTATCCGATAAATGACTATTAAGTGCTGACCATAGAGGAAGTGTTTTTGCTTTGACTTCGTTCTGGTATTTTTGTTTTGGTGCTTACGGCTAGTTTCAGAGGTTGCCCATCTCCATTTTTATATGGGAATGGATCCCATTTTTTTCCCATTTACCATTTTTCCATACTAAAATGGTATGGATGGAAAAAATGTCTTAGTTTGCACTTCCGTGATACTTATTAAAGGTTTAATCCATATAGTATTAACCGTAATAAAGACTACGATATCGAGAATGGTTTCCAAAACTTTTCTGAACAAGGAGAACGAAAATTAATAGTGAACGTGTAAAATGAAAGCAAACAGAATGTCGAACTGTTGCTAACTAATTTCCGCAACTTCGCTGCAGCCTGTGAGTGCGCTGAACTTCGGTCGCTGAAAGCCTCTTGCCGGTCCGGCGGTCCTGTTCTAACACTTGAACAAATTTCATATTTTGGCAGCCGAAATACTTACTTTAATACATACAATCAACAACAGCAGTCAGTAGTCAGTACACACTGTCACACGACCGCAAAAGAAGAACAAGTACCAACAACAGGAAATTTTTGTGTTTTTCCAAAGAACCAAAGAATATGTCAATACCACTGGATGCCATCATACCACTACTTGTACGCTTATGCTAGGTCCATACTTCAGTTGTAAGAAAAAGTTGTACAACAAATCGTAGTCGTAAATTAATGGGAACTACGATTTCAACAATCGTAGTCGTAGTTTCCAGGATGTTGTAATAATATTGTAAAATTTTTGTAAACTGCAACACTTCCCGGCCATACTTTGACCACAACTGAAATTTGAGCCAGTCCAGCAGAGACGCGATTGGCGGAAATATCCCGCTTATTCTTATTATTATTAAGCGAAAGCAGCAGGATTTTATTTTGTTATTTGTTTCATCACACGACGTTTACAAATCAGTAAATCAATCATGGTCGCATGCTGTACTGAAGTATCGACAAAAAAGCTATCATAACATAACTGGAGTAATACGTGCATAGCCAGCTATGTAAATCAAAACTTTAACACGGTTTGAACAGTGGAGTAAGGCAGCATAGTTTGATGTGACTAAACAACGCAAAAAGCTAAATACAATATACTTCTATAGATATATGTAGGTAAATACAAAAGGTACACACATATAAATATATAGTGGTGATTCTGGCAAAACTGCCCATTGGCTACTTTGCTACGATTGTTGTAGGAAGGAAGAAAAGCCCCTTTTTTTACAATTTTTTACAACTGTCGCGTCCATACTTTTAAGAATTACAACAAAAAATGCTACAACAAAGCTGACTTTCGTGTATACTTTTTCTACGATTGTTGTAAGATTTCTATTGTACTCCGAATTACAACTGACCATGAAGTATGGACCTAGCATAACTACTGTCAAATTACTCATTATTCTCAAGTTAAATCTGTTTTAACTGGTTAACGGACAACCACAAGAATGTCACGAATACATAAACAAAAATTCTTGTCAACGATGCACGACTGCATCAAGAATATCATTACATTTGGATACAAAACAAATTATCACCACAAGAAGGATTCGAAGTCGAACCCAGACCGTAGTACATAATACTGAGAAAGAAAATCGGTTCAATGAGAACTTGAGGCTAACCGGTAAGTCGGCATGTAGTATACTAGTATGTATAGTAATAGTACCGTTTTATAAAATTCTAAGCCCCCTCCGAAATGCAAGCTTTTCGCGCATACTAACAATAAGTAATCTTGCAGTAAAGTCGCACTTTAAATTCAAATTCCTATACAAAACAAGAGCCACTATCTGATAGGCACTGGACAATGGACATTTCAAACTCTTACGGAGTGGTGTCGCTTGTTCCCTGGATGGGCAGTCTGGGCCCAGCCTTCAAAGTTCAAACGTATTGCTAACTCCTCTATCACCTATGTATTTTGATTGGGACGCGCTTGAGAATCTCGTCATCACCCGTGGCCGGTGGTCAAGCAGCCCCACACAGGCGATTTCTGTGCAAATTGGGTTGGGGTTCGTGCCCAGTTCGTGCTCAGTGTGGTTATAGGAATATTAGCTATGAAGTATAGATAATCTAACATATATCTGCCTGCTGTATGTTATCGTTAGATACTGCATCGATGCGAATTTGTCAATTTGCGCACCGGTGACCTTGACCCATCCGATCCCAAAATTTCCAAAAGTACCAGATGATCTGATAAGAATTAACGCCTAACTTTTTCATTTCCTACGTCATCTGATTTCACTTCGAAAGCAAAAGGAAGGAAAGAGTAACGCAGTATGGTCCAGAACTTTTGTAAATGTAGATTAAATAAGTTTTTTTATTTCGTGAGATCAGTACTGCTGATTTAAAGGTCTTACTAGGGTAAAGTGTTAAACCATATTGAAGAATAACGGAGTGACTGCATTATTCTTCGGTATGGTAAACTATAAAAAAATATAGACATACATGTAACTATGAATTTTGATTTAAGTATATCTCAAAGAAATTGAAAGCGAGGATGGTCTCTATGCTGAACCTTAAAGGAAAAGTGATCGGTCTGCTAAGGGAGTCGAAGTATCCCACGTCCACGATCATCCTCGCTCAAATAAAGTAAGCAGGATTAGGTATGTACCTACGGTCTTTCTTCCAAGTAGACATAGAATTCTATTAGATCGCGTGCGCACTAAAAATACTGATCGCAAAACTGTTTTGATTGCAAAAACGGAATGAACAGTCTGCTGCTTTCGCGGTCGCAATTAAGGTTAAGAGGGTGGTGGGTTTTCGTCAATTTAATTCACTTCGGCATACCAGAAAACTTTGCTATCATGCGAGCTCCGTCATTTCATTTGAAGCAATCAGAATAGACCTCTCATCAGCTCACAATCAGTTTAAAGTTCACACCAAAAACCAATACATCGCAAACATAAAACACAGTGTAAAAATCGCTCCTCCATAAAAAATATATTTATCCTGCGTCCCCCTCCGCTCAATCATTTTCATCACTGTTGTCGACAATCCCAGCTTAGTGCCAATATCTAAAACGCGACTTTTAATGCTTTTAAGGTTTATGCGCTGCTCTCGAAGATTTCCCAAAATTTGCTGGCCGTGAGAGATCATATCCTCCATGTTTCTGTTTACATTCCTTAACGAAGTATGATGCCTTAAATCAGCATCGATGTGAATACTCGTGTGTCCATTTCCGGTCCTACTGAAATCTGTCGCCAACAATTCTTCTCGCTGGCGAGCTTCTTTTATCTTGTCAACTCTTCGTCTCTGCAGGGATCGGAAAGCAGACTGAATGTGCTGGAAGTCATATTTGATCTGGTCAACACGAAGTTTAAAGTGCTGGCGTCGAGAAGTGGGCTCTTTGTCCAGTAAAATATCCAACCTTTCGAAGTTTGCCGTAATCTGTCGAATAAGTTCCTGAATTTCTGCTTCCACGTTGGCTGCGAAGTCATCTCCGGCCTGATCATACTGTCCTAATCGAGTTTCGATTTGTCGAAGAAGATCTGAGGATTCGTGGCATAAACGTTCCAAATTCGACATAACTGAATAATTCAATCTGAATTTACTAGTGGAAAGAAACTGCACGGGAATAAAATAAATAAGTATAGTTAACGGTATGTGGAAAATAATAATCAGATTTGCGACGATTAAAAGTTGAAGTCATTATGATTAGACCGTTCAGATTTTTAGTTTAGACCACACTACTGAAACGCTACCGCCTATACAACAATGATGATAATCTATCATTTATTATCATTGTGTAGAAAACAAGAGACTGAAAACGAAAAAATTAAAATCGTTTTACTTTAACCTTGCTTGAAGACTGGTTAGTTTATACTTTATACTTTAACTTGATTCATTTTTTTGTGAATCTGTTAACACTTTCAGTTAGACGCTTTCGTCACCATGTTTTTAATAGGTCGCCTGGAAGGTTGCCCCACCTTACAAAAGCAGCCAACCAATTATAATATTGCATTCCGCCCCTGTTGCATTCCGGTTGTGTTCCGTATGGAGTTTGTTTTACGAAAACCCTGATCATACGAACCACGAAGGAAATCAGCTACCTACGTAACCGAAATTTTTTAACTGTTCATGGTGTTCTGGACGTGAGTGGTCTGACTGGTCTTTTTTCCATTTTCGGGTCGCCTGGCATATCCTTAGTTCGTTGGGTACCACCTGGAGGGAGTACGATCTGGAACGTTAAGCCATTGTGGGTCTTCCTAATGGTATAGGCTTAGGAGACTGGTAAAGCCTAAAAGAGACTTTTTTAAACAGAGTTTTATTCATTGGTCACTTTACTTTGCTGCTGTTATACGGGTGTTTTGGCACACCGTCCTTCCCTGTCTGTGCTCGAATGGCTGGTAACGAGATTCCGGAGTCGTGGGACGATGGTGCGGATGAGGTCGTGGCGCCCGTAACCTCAGCGTTCTCAAAATTTAATGTTCATGCCGCAGAATTCGTCCCGAATTTTTCATCGGCGCCACAGCAAGCACCAGTGCCTGCAGCAGTTGATATTCCACTGGAAAGTAAGTTTATAGCCAGGGAATGCGATAAATCACCCAGAAATATACTATCTGGATTCTTCCTGGATTCCTAAACCCGATGGATCGGTAGAACCTAGAACATATTTTCTTGCTGGTTTCATAGTTTGCACGAATATGGAATGCTGTTTTTTCAGCGCCGGCTGCTGTACCAGCACAAAAAAAGATTCCGGAGAAATCTGGAGGAGCAGAAGCTAAGAAGACAGCGGAAATGAGAAAGGAAAACTCTCAACCTCAACCACTAATTTCGCAGTCAGTCAAAAAAGATATTGATGTCAGCGAGCCGTATGGTGCGTGAGCAGTATCCTGGCTGAATTAACTGCGCAGGTTGTTTGATAATTGATTTGTATCCCAGCAGCGGACTACGAAGACATGGAAATTGATGAGCCCGTTTCTGAATCACGAGCCCGTCCCGTTGACGAAGGACCTAAAAAGGAACATTTGAACATAGTTTTTATTGGGCATGTGGGTAAGAAACGGTAGTGATGCATTATGGAAAATTAGAAATGATAAAAGTGAATTTAAAGTATTAAAATGAGATTTGTTAACGCTTGTTTTAGAACGCCTAGCATGATCTTTTAATTTTTCATAACGACGGCAAGTTTTTAAATGAGAGTTTTTAATACTGCAGTAGTTTTAATTTGATTTTTGATTTATCAGGTGATAGCATTACACTTTACAGGTATGCAGTTATGACGACACTATTACATCATTAACATTTTACACATTAAATTTGACAAATAATCTTAGATACAGATAAAGAATTACGGTAAGGTACAGTACTACTCGTACAGAGACAGGATGACCTTGTAACTCTTTGTTAGATGCCGGAAAGTCTACAATTGGAGGCCATGTTCTCTTGGAAACTGGAACCGTTGATAAAAGAACTTTGGAAAAGTACGAACGGGAAGCGAAGGAAGCTGGACGTGAGTCATGGTGAGCGGTTAAGAATCACGTTAGATTGTTTGCGTTTCGCAGATTACTTTTTTGAACTATTGAGTCATGAATTCATATTAACCCTAAACACGGTATATGATTGCGTAGTGTTTTACTTGTAGGATAATTATTTGGGACCATGATTATAGTATTCGCCTGCTTTTCGTTGGTAGGCACTTGTCTCACAATCCGCGCTACTCGATTTCAAAATAGTGACAAGACAGCGCATTGTGTAACTGGTGCATTCAATTTTGTTTGTATTTGTCGGCTTGGTTTATAGCAACTTATTTACAGGTTCTATGCTTATGTCTTGGACACTAACCCAGAAGAACGCGATAAAGGAAAAACAGTGGAAGTCGGCCGAGCAGTATTTGAAACAGAAAAGAAGCTTTTCACAATCTTGGATGCACCTGGGCATAAAAGCTTCGTAGCGAACATGTTGGAAGGAGCGTCCCAGGCGGATATTGCTATACTGGTTATTTCGGCCCGTAAAGGTGAATTCGAAACCGGATTTGAAAAGGGTGGACAGTCCAGAGAACACGCATTGTTGGCCAAGACTTCGGGAGTGAAACATTTGGTGGTTCTTATTAATAAAATGGACGACACAACCGTTAACTGGAGCGAAGAACGGTATAACGAATGCCGGGATAAATTATCCCCTTACCTGAAACAGGTTGGATTCAACCTCAAGACGGATGTGTTCTTTATGCCGGTATCCGGTTTCACGGGGGCTAATTTGAAAGAACCAGTAGGAAAAACTGTTTGTCCATGGTACAGCGGCCCTTCTTTTTTGGACTATTTGGATAATTTACCACCTTTTCCCCGTAATATCGAAGGCCCGCTCCGGATACCGATTATTGGCCGCTTCCGAGAAATGGGAACAGTAGTAACTGGGAAGATTGAGAGTGGCTCGGTCAAAAAAGGCGATCAGCTGCTATTGATGCCGAATCGAATTTCTGTGGAAGTTTTACAAGTTTGGGCGGACGAAACTGAAGTCACTGTTGCTGCCTGTGGTGATAACGTGCGTGTCAAGCTCAGGGGTGTCGAAGAGGACGATGTACAAGCCGGGTTTATTTTGTGCGATTCAGCGAACCCTTGTAAAACAGGGTCCGAGTTCGACGCTCAGGTGGCAATTTATGAACACAAAAACATCATTTGTGCTGGGTATAAAGCTATAATGCATCTGCATGCACTCCAAGAAGCCGTAACAGTGAAGAAGTTAATTGCCTTAGTGGACAAGAGAACCGGAAAGCCCGACAAGGAAAACCTGGAGCACCAGTTTCCGCGGCTTCGGTGTGTCAAAGCAGGGCAATTGGCCATTATTCGTTTTGAATGTGCAGATGGTATTGTTTGTATGGAGAACTGGAAGGATTTTCCACAGTTAAGCAGGTTTACTTTACGTGACGAAGGAAAGACTATTGGATTTGGAAAGATAGTGAAGATCGGTGATAAAAATTAAGTAATTTGAAAGTGCATGTGTTGCGATTTCGTTCCCTGCTAAGACTTATCTCGGCCATTTCTACTTGCGTTATCCGTAGTTGTATCTTTTTTAATATTAGGAAGGTTTTTCGGGTTTTGTACTTCTGTGGACAGTTGGTCATTCGTGAATATAAATGCTTAAGCATACTGACATAAAAATGATGAAAATACCCGAGACTATCGACATATCCTGCTTTCAATATACAGTAGTTAGTAGTTACTTACTTATACGGAGATCTCCGTGAAAGAATTCTAGAGTAACGATTTAAAGAGATGGCTTCAGCCTTCCGCTAATGTGAGTACCACATGACATTCAACCAGTGTTGTCCCGCCTGCATAATGGGACCGTCCCGTACAGTCCCGACCGACACTAGCTTTTCCCGACCCGACCCGTTCCCGACACTTAGAAAAAGTCCCGTCCCCGTCCCGACAAATTTGAAAAACATTTTCTAAAGTATTTTTTATGACCAGTTTTTGCACCAAAAATTATAAACTTTTATTGCCAGTTAGTTGTAGTGCCTCGTATCTAATCAAGAATCAAGTTGAATTTTAAAGTTTAAAAAAATTAGTTGTCATTTTCGCGCGGAGCGCGAAAATTTTTCATGTTTTATGCTCTTTTTTCTATTGAAATTCGGTGCCATCTCGCCCAACGACGAGAATTGGAATCGGGATTTTCCCGACATCTGCAAAGGTCCCGTTCCCGACATTTCCCGCCCGACAGCGAGTTTTCCCGACCCGTCCACGACGACTTGTCGTGATCGGGATTTTGTCGGGACCTGTTCCGCCCCGTCACTTTCTCGGGACAACACTGCATTCAACTCATAATTGTCAGGTTCCGAAATTCGAACCAACTATGTAAACGAGAAAGAATGGTCATGCTGAACTTCCTTGCATTTTACATTTCAGGTTTAACTTGTTAGTTCAATCATACTCATGGATTCCATAAGTCGTAAGTCACACATTATTATTTATTCAGCAACGCATTCACCGATTGGCAACAAATCTACGAACTCCCTAACAATTTGTAAACCACCGTATATATATAGGCTCTCGCAGAATTTTATTAGCACCTTAGTCCTTAACAGTGTATTTCAACTGGCACTGCGTATCTCGAAATAAGGGAAATTTTTAGAAATACGAAACTCTCTGGCAGCAATAACCCCAAAAACTGCAGTAACAGGAAAGAAACCAGAAAAAAGGACTGCCTAAGCTCTAAACAAATTGTACAAGCGAAAACCGGATTGAACGAAATCACGACCTCTCGGCAGCTACCAAACATGTCAGAACCGTAAATATGTTTATTTGCTGGCGGACTGGGATCGCTTTCCTTTCACCTGCAAAACCGATGGCTCGGCTGCTGCACCTACCCAGTCCGAATTGTTTTCTTCGTCGGATTTGTCAGAGTCGACCACACGTGGATTAACCCGTTTTGCAGCAGCAGCAGCAGTGTTTGCAACCTTCCGTCCCTTACTCAGTTTGACCATCCCCGACTTCCCATCTGGTAAAGTACGAACACCCGCTGGCTTTCGGACGGCAGGCTTACGCTTGACGAACCCGGAAGTACGCTCCTGTTGCAGAGTCCACATAATAATGCTATCAGTGTTCAACACGCCAATCACTTTATAACGATACTTCTCCAGTATGTCCAACGTCATGCGTGGTGTCAACTTGGTGATGTAAGCCTCCTTGTACAGATCGTCATCCGTCCAGTTTTTACGACTTTTGTTCGGATAGGCATCGAGTGCTTTAATTAGCTCCGCATCCAAGTCGCTATCTCCGATATTGGTGGGACCCTCAAGTTCAGCGCCCTCTGACAAATCTGCTGTAAGGATGAGGTACGGCATTTTTCACATCAGATTATAATTAATCTTATTCGAAAATTTCAGGATTTAAGCTAGCAGCGGTAACTATAATTGCTTTCATAGTTTCATGCGTTCGATTAAAGGTTAAGTCTTCAGGAAGTAACGGAATGAGCACACGGCGTTAATTTTGACAATAAAATTTTGCACTTTTAAATTCGCAGAAAAGTTAACCCAGGGAAGGTAAGTACAGTAACCCAAAAAATAGTCCGTACGTAAGTAAGTACTGTACTGTACTTATGGTTAGTGTCGTCATTCTGAGCGTATTAAACCGTACATCCTCCGTTGGTATGGACAATGGTCGACCGTCGATGACATCATGCATGAATCACGAATATGTAAGTACTGTACAGTGTACACTATCTGTACAAGGTTCCGGCAGTCCCACAATTCCGGCGATGCAATGACAGCAATAGTTTCAATTTTTACATTTTTCTGTATGCTCTAATACATATAACTAATTTTGAATAATCCATATTATAAGAAGAACTTGAGTACAGTACAGTACTCCGCATATTAATTAACTAGCGGTGGTTGCGAACCACATTATTGCACGAGCGCGAGCGCCAATACCACTGGGAAATATGGTATTGGGCTTGTGGAATTGGAAAAGCGTGACGTACGCTCTTCGTTGTACGATGACGTCACGGTAGAATGATAACCTGCACCATGCGTCGGAGTAAGCAACCCCTGCGGGTTTGGTACTTTTCAAAACTCTCAAATTCATACAACTTGTTCGTACTATGGCTCAAAAAATGGAGGAAAAAGTTTTAAGTTTGTCAACGCGAAAGCTGGCGAGTAGAAAGTATCAAGAAAGCGAAAACTTTACGATTATGTAATTCTCTTTAGCATTGAGGTCTACGAGGCAGCTTGCCATAGACATCAATGCTAAGAAAAAACTACTTCAGTTGATCAAAAATCTAACTGTTTGGTTGTTTTGGATGTTTTGTTTGACTGATTAGAGTTCTGGATGTTTTGTTTTGATTTAGTGATTACATTTTAATTGTCTTGATTTTATCACAATGAAAAAAATCAATATTTTTGTTTACCGTAGAGGTCTATGGCAAACAGCCTCATAGACCTCAGTGCTAAACCTGAATTACATAAATCGCAAATTTTTCGTTTCCCTGATAACTTTTTACTAGCCAACTTTCGCTTCACAAACTTGAAATTTTTTCCTCCATTTTTTTAGCCATAGTATGAACAAGTTGTATGAATTTGGGAGTTTCAAAAAGTACCAAACCCGCAGGGGTTGCCCACTCCGACGCACAGTGCAGGTGCGCTGCCGTGACGTCATGTTAGTCGATTGGATACATGTGTGTTTAGTAATATTATGCGAAGACTTATTGCAGCAATTATAGCCTTACTAGCGGTGGTTGCGAACCACATTATTTCACGAGCGCGAGCGCCAATACCACTGGGAAATGGTACTGGAGTTGTGGAATTGGAAAAGCGTGACTCTTCGTTGGCGTCAGACAAATTTTATGCTCTTGACCGGAAGATTTATTGCAGCACCTCGCGCTTCGCGCTCGGTGCAAATTATCACTGAATATTTGAGAATGACCATCTACTGTAGCAATCTGGCTGTTACGTACTTATATAAATACTAAGTACAAATACAAACCAACAAAAGTTTTTTCAGAAAGTTATAATAAGACTGCATGTGCGGCGCCAATTATGAAAACAATGAACATCGGCAAGACTCACAGAAGACAGGAAAATAAAAAAATACAAAAGCTTGTGGTTTAATGTTTTATAATTAATGTAAATTACTGTAGCCAAAAAACGATATGGACTGCCATGAATTTAATTCAATGAATGAATATAATATGGTCACATATTAGTGATATTACTGTACCTAGAGGAAACATAATATTTGATATTGAATACTGTATCTAGAGTATAATTTAATAATATCACAGATAGTAAGTACTAGTGCTTAACTGCTTACCGCCTTACCGTTATACTGATGAAAAGACGTTCAAATTCGGATCGGTTCTTTACTGTAATCGGTTTTAAAGCTTTTCTTAGCGCGCATTCTGGTGTGAGGAAGGCACACATGTTGGGTGTTGGTGTTCGGTAACTTCGGTTGACGGTTCGTATAAACTTCGTACCTACTGGTTCTGCTATGGCTGTACTGCTTACAATTAAATTCCAATTAAACTGTTTAATTTAAACAGTGCGAACACAATATCTAAAAAGTAAAATCTAAATATTACAAATTTGTACGAAATTGTTGAAGCCATTTGAAATTTTATAAAGTTTATTACTACTATATTAATTTTAATACTCGCGGTACGATAGTTGAAATACGGACCACTGGACTTCTTTGTGCGATACAAAGCCAACAGGAACGATGAAGGTTTAAAATGCGAGGCAGATATTTTCGCTCGTCAATGAACTGGGTGCGCATATTCCGTTCTCTTCGGTTTGCTGCACCGGGAGGATCTCCATTTCGCAGGCATGCTTCAACAGTATCTAGTTCCCTTATGGACGATGCGAAAAGTTTCGATGAAATGGCTTGCAAGCCACCTGAGAAATATCCGGAAATACCCCGGAATCCAATAATAGCTGTTATCCAGTTTACCGCTACTAATGATAAAATGCGAAATTTTGACGTCTGCAGCGAACTTATAAGGAAAGCTAAGGAACGTGGAGCGCAGGTAACCTGAACGAACAGTTTAAGATACCGTTGTAAATTGGCTGGAACATTATCATATCAGACGTTTTATACGTTTATGCGCGCTTTTTGTGATTGTTTGCCTCGTGGACGTGCCTCTGATGTCGCTCTTGAACGTTTCAGATGGTCTTCCTTCCGGAGGGATTTGATTATTTAACAGAAACTTCCGAGGAAAGTTTCACTTTGTCCGAAAATCTGTCAGGGAAGGTTATTTCCGGATACCGAAAGCTGTCGCAGGAATTGAATTTGTGGATGTCTCTTGGAGGTTAAAAGTTGTATGTTCAGTAGCAGTGACGGGAAAAGTTTAATTCTGACTGCTTTCATTTAAGAACTGTTGAAAACTGAAAAGCATTTATTTTAGTTGTCATTTTTTTAAAATGTGATTGTGAGTGCTAAGATGAGTTAGAATTATTTAAGTGTTTAACTGTTTATTTATAATTTTTACGCAATTTATAAAAGCCATCATTTTTCTGGATTTCTGCCGGGAACTCGTGTTTGTTTCTTTTCTGACTGTGGCTTTACGAAGTTTCATTGCAGGATATCACTTGAAGAGCGATAAGGAGCACAGGGCTCATAATTCGCACATTGTTTTGGATAGCAACGGTGAAATCGCTGAAATCTACCGGAAAGCACATTTATTTGTAATTGACATACCTGGCAGGATAACACTGGATGAGACTTCGTTTTGCATACCTGGTAGTAGAATACAGCCCCCGGTTCCCACGCCTGTAGGGAAAATTGGCTTGATGTGCGTAAGTGATTTTAAAAGGTTTTTTAGTCGAGTTGAAAAGGTGGCTATATCTAATTCTTTTTCGACAGTGCTATGATCTGAGATTTCCGGAATTAGCGGGATTATTGACTAGGCAAGGCGCGGAAATTCTGGCATATCCAGCGGCGTTCACATACACGACTGGTGTTGCGCATTGGGAGGTTCGTTAAGTTAGTGCTAATCTTTAATTTAGTGCAAAACCAGTAAGATGCGAGCTTTTCTTTTATAGCCACTGCTAAGAGCTCGAGCCATCGAAAACCAGTGCTATGTCGTTGCAGGTTAGTCGAACTTCTGCTCTAGCACGCGTGCTTGGTAGTTTCTACATTAATTTAAATGAAAAAACCAGGATCTGATTCGATCTGAAAACAAGATCTGATCTGATTTGATTTGTATCTGTTTCACTTGTATCTGTATGTTCGCCGTGCGCTTGGCCTCTTATAATGTTTGTTAGTTCTTTTTCTTAAATATTTCAGTGTTATTTCTTTATCGTAGCTGCACAGTATGGATCACATAGTGCCAAACGGATGTCTTTTGGACACGCTATGGTGTGCATCTGCAAAGGATATTCCTGTACTTATATTATCTCACTTTGAAAGTGCTCAGGGTTAATACTTACAGATCGTTGATCCTTGGGGAACCGTTATAGCTCAGTGTCCGGATGGACCTGGAATAGCTCTGGCTGAAATTGATTTGTCGGGTTTACATGAAGTGCGCATGTGTATGCCGGTGCAATCTCATCGTCGTCATGATTTGTATAAGCTCACTATGAGTCCAGTGCAGTTACCTGATTTTTCCACTGAATTTCATAACTTTGGAGGTCATCAGATTAGCAGGTATTAAAACTACAATACCACATTTGTTAATGTCCCGACAAATTATAACTCTTTTCATTGGAGGCTTTACGGCAAAATCCATTGTAGAGCATAAAGCACTTTGTGTTGCAGGAACGAAATATTTTACGAAACGATGTTGTCATTGGCCCTTGTGAATTTGAAGCCAATTGTACCTGGCCGTAAGTGATTATTCTGCCTGCAAACGCCTTCGCGAACGTTCTTATAAACTCCCGCGAATTGTACACTTTTTGAGCTTTCGAACGTAATATTTTTATCACTGTTTTGTGCATTAGCTGATGTTTGCATCCGTTTCAGACTGCTTGGTCATACCTAAACGAGTTGTGGAGAAATTCTCTGATTTAACCTACGAAGAACTTGGCGGTAAGAACCAATTACTTAAAAATGGTTTTATCATGCCTCTTGTCAGGTCAGTTGGCAGACGGAATGACGGAGATGAATTTCAGATATGTTTTCCGTCGTGCAAGTGGTGGAAAAAATGTTAGAAACGCGCTATGATGTTCATTCTTCCACAATTGCTTGTCAGGTATGTGTATACTATAGTTTCGTCAAAATTGGTTAGTTACGTTTTTTTGTTCTGCGGCTTCCATTGGGTGGCTTCTATCGTGGCTCTAATACGGAAAAGTAAACCGTAGATTTTTTTCTTGTTGGGTGTAGGATGGATATGATGCAGGCCAAACTGTCCGACATGTTCACGTACATTTGCTGCCGCGTAAAACAAAGGACTTCGAGCGTGATGAAGTGTATCAGGAGCTCGCCAAACACGATAAAGGATCTTATCGGCGACCGCGTACCCAAGCGGAGATGAGCGCCGAAGCACGGGAATACCGTAAAATACTCTATGGTGACACTTTGTCTTGGGAACAAGTGTTTTGCCAAGAGGTATAAGGCCCTATATCTATATACCTTGGTTTTGCTATCCAGGAGACACTCTTTATAATAGCTGTTATGAAACAAATTTCACTATATGCTCACGTGGGACCGAAATTGATGGATAGAGAATTTATTATAGATTGTTATCATAGCCGGTGATGGTATTTGGTATCTTCATTATCGCGCATTTTACTGTGCTGCTAAATTTTGATATTACAGTTCTTTACTTACTTTAACATGCGATATTCTAGTCTTCGGGTTATGGGCCCCTTAATGAAGAAGTCAGAATCTGATATGCGACATTAAAGGAAGCCAGGAAGGCTTACATATTAACATTTCATTTCGCTTACATTATTTCGGATCGGTCGGTTTGCTTTGTGTAGTAAACTGTGGGTTACTCTGTTTTTTTTTTGTTTCTATCAAATTCTGTTTAAATGTTTGCTTTGTTAGTCCTGTTATAACGCAAACGGAAAATGTGACACTGGAAATGCGGCTCTGCAGCCAAAATAGGATCTAACTATGTACAAATAGGTGAGTATGCAGATATGTGGTCGGATTTTGGTGGTGTTATGCCCGAGCGATCTGGTGTTTGTTTGGTATCAAAACTTTAAAATTTTTTCCTCATTCGTTTGAGATATCGATTGATGATTTCCGTTGGGACATGCGCAAGGTGCAAGTTTATGTCAGCAGGCCGATGGCCAGTCCCAAATTTGGCTGTTTGAGTACAGAAAAGTGCCTGGTTGTGCGTTTTGTGAATTGTGATTACAGAAGTGTAACAAAATTTTGACGTCCACACTCCACACGTCGTCTTTGCTCTCTCAGTCCGATAGTGTGTTTCTAATAACGCATAGCGCAAAGAAGAATCTGGAAAAACTGCCGATGTCGGAAAAGGGGAAAAAACTCCCGTGAACGGGATGTCGTCTCCTGAGCTGTACTGTCGCCAAGGCTCTGTGCGCCTTCGGGACCGCCTATACATATCTCGAACCCAACGTCCCAACCGGTACAAAACCCACCCTTCATGGGGCAGTCAGGCGTGATTTCTTCGACGGTTTGGCTTTTCTGTTGGCGTTTGACCTATGGTTGTATTGAGTATTCCCTGCCATTCCTTATCTTTCAATTTAATATGGTAAGCCAATAGGAAATGGCCACTGAAAAGTTTAATAACATCGCAGACAGTCTGAGGCAGTGGACAGATAAACATCATACAAATAGGTAGAAGTTGTGCGCGCAATGCGATCAGCTGGTAGCGTTCATAATTTATTGTACATAGTCGGTAGTCTTGTACAAATTACAAAATGTACTGTTCCCTATGATTAGAATTATTCATTAGAAGTTTAAAACGCCGCTGTCTGTTCATGCTGGGTATTAATAACGTAGTACATAAGAAGTGGCTGGTTTTTTTCTGTTTCTTTTGTTCCGTATACGAAATGGCGGAGTTCAACGTAGAACCCTTCTTGCTTCTTATTAGTGTATAACGTATTGGCCAATGTAATCCATGCATCAATCTATCTGGACAAATATAGTATATTAATAATAACAGCTCTGCTCAGTGGGTGCTTTCGGGGGTGAGATCTCTCTCCAAAGCAGGTCGTCGTTCCTCCAGATTTGAGTGCAGATTTTTGTGATTAGTTGTAGTCTGCATATTATGAAATAAAATGAAGAGCATCTGCGTACTTCGAAGTGTACATCGACGGAATATCAGCTGCAAGATTCGGGATTCCGGAAGAAGTAAATAAGTGACGAGCAATACACGCATGGCAGCATTAATTAAACTGGTGTTGTTTTCAGTACGTACGGAATGCGGAGGTCGGAGACAATTTTCCAGCGGGAACGTTCTCAGTCAAACTGTTGCTTCAGTGGCTCTAGAGAGCACTGTTATCACTCACGGCATGCCGTTTCCAGAAAACCTGCGGTATTAATTCCTTACGCCTGCTGCAGCAGCCCTATGGAGCAAATATTTTCGGAATTTGAAATTGTTTCGTACTTTATTCCAGAACCGCGAAATCCTTAGAGAATATCGTGCGCCAAGAAGGTGCACAACCAGCGACAATTGCGATCTTGGATGGAAGCATAAAAATTGGTAAGGCGAACCACGAATCAGCTTAATCCTAGCGGTAAAATGTTTTTTTCTCGACCTTACGTCTCACTCTCGACCTTACGAGTTAAATGATTTATAGTCAAGCACATATAGATATAATTCACAATCAATATCAGCTCAAAACCCATTATCCTCCAGGCTACAGTCATATCAGATCATTGTAAGCAGGGAACACAGGCTGAGACAGCCCAGTTGCAGATAATAAGTCTGTATAATAATTAGACCATGTGCGTTGGTTACTTGTATGGCCGACAAGTAAGGATCCATCTATACAAGTTACGTCATGACCGAACCCACACCGCGGCGATTCGCTGCCGCGCAAATTAGATGTATGCGTGTGTGAAGGCGGTGCCAAAAATCCATCCACGTAAGGCCCTTACGTGTATGCCTGTAACTCCACCTCTTTGCATGCATACATACAAGTAGCCGATCCAGCTGCCAGTCAACCTCGAAATTTCAAACGCTCGTTTTTCGTTTGCTTCTCAACGGATCTTCCCAGTCGACATATCAGAAGATGGAAAATTCAATTTAAAACTTTTTTGGTATTTTGCAAGTGGATATTTATGGCGAATCAAGAAAGTTATGACTGTTTTGGTTTCTCGTAGACTTAACATAGGATGCAAGCCACCGCCTCCTTTCACGGGCCTATGCTAAGTCTACGAGAAACCAAAACGGCCATAACTTTCTTGATTCGCCATAAATATCTACTTGCTAGATACCAAAAAGTTTTAAATTTAATTCTTCATCTTCTGATATGTCGATTGGGAAGATCCGTTGAGAGATGTACGAAAGAGAAGTTTTCAAAATTTTGGAGATCAACGGGCAGTCAGATTGGCCACTTGTATATGTACATGCGAGGCAGCTGGCACCTACACGCGTGCCGCACACCAGCTCGCTCAAACACGTTACGACCCATACATACAAGCCAGTTTTCAGGCGGTTCTAACGTTAGTTGTATGTATGCATGCGTAACTTGTACACATACAAGTTGCAGCGCTAATGCACTATTATAGTATTTATATCAATAGATTCATATATCCTTACGTCCTTATTTTTTGGAAATTATCTCCTAAACCAAGATTGATTTGCTCAATAAGTTGATAATTTTATAAAACAGAGCATCGCAAAAACGTTCCTACCTTTATCTTTAAAAAAATCTTAAGTTTAGGAGAAGGTCTGAAAAAAATTTTTAAAGCTTTAGTACTTAAAGGTTTTCAGTACTTAAGGGTTGTTAGTTTTGGAAAATATCTCCTAATTCGTGATTCCGTTTGTGAGGCTTTTGATAGTTTTAAAAAATCCAGCATCTTCCAAAGCTTCCTACCTGCAGCTTGGAAAAAAAATTTTGGTTTCCGGAACGTTTTCAAAAAACCTTTCAAACTTCCAGTACTTAGCGTTTAAAGTTCATAGAAATTTCCAGTAAATTCTGGAAACGTCTCGAATGAGCAAATATACAAGTTTCGCAACTTAGCAACCTAAATTATAGTTGTTTAAAATTGTCAATTCCATCAAACATAATTTGTTAAAAAAATTCTTGAAACCTTTAAGATGTTTCTAAATCTGTTCGAATACCTCAAAATAACTATAAATTTTTCCAAAGTCGGCTCCAAAGCTTTAACATTTCCAGAATTTCTAAATATTTCTAAATATTTCGACTCGAGTAACATGCGCGGGCCGTTACTCTAATTTTGAGCCTCCAGAGTTTCGAAATTTTAAAATATCTAGAAATCTGAGTACCTCAATATCTAGCTCACGGTCTAAATTGTCTAATTTATATGTAATTTCTAAATATCTAAAAGCCGGCCCGTGGCCCGTTTACCGTATTCCCTCCGGTAGCGGCTCTGTGATACGAGCTGGTGGTAGCTTGGGTACTTACTAACGTACGTTGCTCTATAATACTGGCGGTAGCTTGGGTATTCACTAACCTTGAAATCTAACAAAATTAATATGTACAGTATTTATTTTATTTTGATTAATGCTGAATAGCTCGACTGAACGGCTGAAAATCTTACAATTATTAGTAAGTAGCTAACGATGCAGCCTGCGAGGTCACCTTGGGCAACCGCAACTGTTAATTGTTTCCCACAACTTTCCATTAATTCTGCGCTGACATATCGGCTGAATGGTTTTTTATGGGCGTCGTGTAAAAGATCCCTCCATTTCATTACCGTTTAAACATTATCTGTCGTACCAAAAAATTCAAGTTTTCAGTTCTTTAGTTCGGCAACATAAAGTTACATTAAAAACGTGAAGAAGAACCGTGAAAAAGCAAACAAAAAGAAAAATTACGGAAGCTTTCACAGTTTTTATGAAACTGGTCGCGTGTAACCGGAAAGCTTGAAAACTGTCCGCATTTCCACATGTTTAAAATAATTTCGTAGCTGGCCTCGCTGGGGTTTTATACTTGGAATATTTTTCAAAATTTTTTTATTGCTGTACGATGTCACTACCAAGTACATTTTGTATTTCTTTCATTCTTCCATCCCTCGAACACAACTGGTCGCGCGCTAGCGCGACCGATACTTGTAATAAATATACTCGTATATCGTTTTCTAATTTATATACACGTATACTACCAGGACCAACAGTAGATCCTGATACGTACTACATAAAATTTATATGTAACGTACACGACTTAATAATAATTAGTAAATCTGGTTTTCATACGCTAAAGTTTGTAACCATTATGCTATATAATCGGCATTTAAATTGATTAGACCCGTATGTTTACTTAATTTATTTTGGCCTCTCTGTATCTTGTCAACTGAATACAACCATACGCACAGTAATCGTTATCTTGAATGATTATTATTAATTTTGTGAATTTTATTCAGCTTAATTACTTAAGCTTTATTGTAGCCAATTTTTTAACTTGCTTTCCAGTCTCAGCAGCTGCTGTTGGGTGGACGCTCGTAATAATATGATAGTAATTATGCGAGTGCCGGACGACAGACACTTCTTTGCAGGATTGGATGCCATTGATCTAGAGCGGTTGGCGCAAGTAAAAGATGCTAAGAAAGTTTCCAGGAGAGATCTGTCATTCATTGTGGCGAATGTAAGATTTTATTCTACTAACTGACCTGGGTGACATATACGTATATACTGCACGCTTCGTGGTCAGCCAATATTGTATACGAGTACAGTCTTATTACAGAACTGTAGTTGTGATTTATGAAAAAGTATGCTATTTAACTTACATCTATATAGGTGTATATATCATATAAATCTTTGTTCTGTAAATTAGAAATTGCACGGAGGCACAACGGTTTCTGCTACAATGTTATTGGCACACCAAGCCGGCATTCCCATATTCGCAACAGGTGGCATTGGAGGAGTTCATCGTGGCGGCCAGAACAGTAGGTACAGGCAGGAGGTTTACTTCGACTTATCGGTGAAAGTATATCCCGAAAGTTATAATTTCAGATTACGGCTGTACGGTCTTTTTCGTTCTTTTGCAACAATTCCTTTTCGAAACGGGAGATGTTATGATTGTAACAGAAAAGTAACAGAAAACTAGCTAGTGTCGCATTTGTTTATTTAATGTGGCACCTGAAATGTTTTCCTCCTTGTCTGTTTTACGTTTTTGGCCAGTCTCACCATCGCATGTTGTGGATTTTCGATGCAGGCATGGACGTTAGCGCAGATTTAACGGAATTAGGACGTACACCAGTGGCCGTCGTTTGTGCTGGTGTTAAGTCGATATTGGACGTTGGACGAACATTGGAATATTTGGTACATACTTGATATCTGATTCGGGACAGCGAGGAATCGAACAATAAATCAAACCTCTTTAGGAAACCCAGGGCGTTTGCGTGGCGACAATTGGTCCAAGTAGCGATTTTCCCTCTTTCTTTTCACGAAAAAGTGGATACTTTTCTCCTTGCCACGTGAGGACTGAAATGGAAGCCGCGGAATTAATCCGTAATTAATCTGAATCCGGAATTCAGTTTTGGTTTTGATCTTTTATAGTTTGCAAGTAAAATGCTGCGGGCGAGGTCAAGTTTTAATGTTTATTCGGACATTTGTTAGTTCTGATGTAAAACAACTGGATATTGATAAACTGAGTCGCCGATTTCTTACTTTCTGATTCGTAATCAGGTTTTTCGTTTAGGTTCTCACCAGAAACTTAGTTTGCATAGCGGCATCCTTTTGGCAGTTCCAGTCCCAGAAGAAAATGAAATACCTTTGGAGAAAGTGGAAGAATGGATTTATCTAGCGTTGCTTGAGTGTTCGTGAGTAAAGAATGGAAATATACGTACATGGGAATATTGTTGTGATGCATTCTACCTTAACTGCTGAAAACTGCAGGTCCCAAAAAGTCATAGGAAAGGATATTACCCCATTTCTTCTCAAGTACCTTCTAAAAATATCCGAAGGAAAAACGCTCAGTACAAGTGCGTATTGTACAGTGATTATATTGTTAACAAGAGCCTGACATGTGCATTACTAAATTGTTAGGGTTAGTTTGGCATTGAGAGCACTGTCTATTAGAACAAAGTGCTAAAGGCCCGTGATTGCAGATATTGCGCTCCTTGAAAATAACGCTCGGGTAGCCGCTAGAATTGCTGTTTGCTTGAAACGCTTAAAGGAAAAGAAATCTGATTCGTTTGCTGGTTACTCTGTCCATGGGTCGATCAAAGAAACACCAAAGGCTGGTCAGTTTCTGCCAGCTAAAGATAATTCGCGCATTATATTCTCGGAGAAGTCAGTTCCTACGAAAGCAAAAGGGCGGCCGGTAATAACACTGAAGCCGGATAAGGAAAAGACATTTGGATAATATCTGTACTTATTGTTGTATTTCCACCTGCACTTTCAGTTAATCGCTGCATATATCGGATGCATGGATGTGTTATACGATTATGCCGGAGCCCTACAGCAGATAAACGAAATTTTTGTTTACAGGTGGTAATCGGAGGCTCGGTTCTGGATATTATTGCTAAAGGCTCATCCGAACTGAAGGTGAGTGAATAAGATTTAATATTTATTAATGGTTTCGTATTAACAGAAATGTACAGTATCTGTGTTTTTACTTCTTGCAATCAATACTTGTAGAAGTATAAATGACATCCCTTGTTAGTAGAGAATTACCATTTCTAGCCATTTAAAATTTTGTACGTACTAAATTGACGAATTACGACTGCGTTTGTGAATAGAAACTGGCTGTGGTGGGTTTTCTGAGAATTGTTTTTGCTTACTAGTGGGCTTGATAAATAGTACAGAACACTGACTGGAGTGCAGAGTACTCAGTATCCTGTAACATGGAGTTAAGAATAATTTAAGATATTTTTAAAAATTTTCCTCGGACTTTCCATTATTTTTATGCTATCACTGTTGTTTCATTCTTAATATTATTGCGTTAAACGTTGTACTTATAGGACCAACTTATAATTAAATCCGTTGTGGTCGCAACTTCTTAGTTGACTAATTAATTATGTGGCATAATCTTGCTTCTTTCTACTGTAGGTGTGTACTAATCGTATGTACTAACTTCTTCGCGTTTTTTCGCGTTATTTAATTCGGCTTTACGAAAAATAGCGGTTATTTAAAATAGCTTTCTTGAAAGTAAAAGGGTCGGTAACTGAATAATCTTCATACATATTAAAAAGCAAAATCCCCTGTTTTTGGAAATCCATTCGTTCTGTCATGTGCAGTTATCACGGGATGGGTGTAATGGTATTGTCGATTCTCCTTATTATGCATGACGACCGTTCTGTTATTTATACACATCATATCCTCAGTGAATTGAGATCGTTCACGCAGATTGGCCGGAACTGAGACGAAGGAACAGTTCGCATATACAAACGAGCTGCAAGAAAACGGCTGTACATCATTTCTTTTGAGGCGTGAATACTGGCCGTGGGCCCGTAGCGCATTTGGTGTGCAAGAGAGGATCTGTCAGAGCATTGTAGCTGTCTCTTCGTTGATCGATTTGAGCTTGATTGTTGAGTTTGAGCGTGAAGCCGGATGCTGGGGAGTTAACGACGTTGTCTGGACTGGGCGCTTCCTTCGTATGCGATTGCGCAAGGCGCGCCAACGCCGCGCAAAGCTCCATCGTGGGCGTTCGGCATTAGCATCTAAGGCACCAGTACCGGTGGATAATAAATCAAGACAAGGCTTTTTGGTACTTCCGGCAGGGCCTGTTAGTACACCGGAATTGTGATGAAAATTAGCCAAATCAGGCTCTGCGGAAAGGCTGCTGTGGGGCATTTCGTTTGTGGCATTCCCAGCTCGGCGCATCTGGATTTTGCGCACAAAGTGTTTGATTTCGTTATATAGACAGAACACCATGGCCACACGCACAAAAGCCATTATGGAGAAACCCAGTACGAAAAGGATGTCACCCATCCTGTGCATCCAGGTGTGCAGGGCCAGGTAGCAGCCCTGTTTGTGCAGTACGGCATCACTTAGCGCTGTGATAGTGCAGTTGGTCGCTGGGTGGGAATCGGCGGGAAAAAACGTTGAACAGCAGGATGCGGGCAGCATGGTTATTATATTTGTATTGATTGCATCCAAATGGACGGGAACGTGATCACTTTTTCTGCGCTGTAGTGAAATGGCACTGAGGCCGGCACTAATCAGATTTTTATACCAAATGCTTTTTGAAAAATCCGAAGCTTGCTCAATTCCGCAGCATTGTTCCGCGATCTGTACACGATTCCATAGATTCGTGATAGCAGGATCGATGCCATAATATTGTGTGACTAGCGTATAAAGATGTTGTTGCAGCTGCTTGTTCACTTGTATCGATTTCATAATCCACACCGTGCCTGTTATTGCGTCTCCAATACTCAGTATCACTGCAAAGTCAACAGTTGAAAATTTGGTCGTAATCAAAATACTATAGTTCAAAATCGTAATCAAAATTGCAATATTCGTTGCCGATGAACCAGTAATTTATGTAGTCTAACAAATTCGGTACACGATGCACAACGTTCAGCTTTCAATTCAAGAATTCAGCTTTAATACAGATGAAACGGCGCGGGCAACTCGGAACTTGTTCTTTTGAGAAATGGATAGATACGCCTAATATTTCAAATTTATTATTTACCAAACGTGATTATTCAGAAATCGGCAGTCACCTTTAATAAGTATCACTCGTAAGTACTAACTAAGTACTCAAAACAACACAAATTCATAAGAAAAACACTTCCTCAATGCTATCCTGATCGGGGATTGTACCCATCACACATATAGCATTTCCTCGTTGAATTTGAACAGATAGCCGCTGCTTAAAATTCAGAAATTAGTGAAAACAACCGTACATAAAAGTTAACGATTCTGGTTGGTTTGGAATTTACATGGGTGCAAGTTGCATCCACTCCACTATATCTATATTGCCTTGGCACAGTACTTGGAGCTTCTGTGATTAATTAAGTACAGAGTACTACCCGTAGTACACAAATACAGTACTCGTATTGATATAATGTTATCGAAGACAGTTAAAAATATCGCGGTGAGACGGGTGAGTTACGGCGTTGATGCAATACCGTTCTCTCCTTTGCATTTTTGAGAATATATGCTTAAACTTCCGACCATATAATATGAACATATACTGTTACATATGCATTACTGTTACATATGCATTACAAATTACGAGTGTTTTGTATGCTCTGGAGTAGTTCATTCAGACCAATTTCAGGGTAACTGAAATGATGTGAGCATTTCTATCAGGTATTGTGGTTGCTTAAATTCGTCAAATAAAAATTTCTTTGGCGGAAGCATGCAGCGACTACAGCTCGTTAAATAAGACAATAGTTTATGATACAAACAACCAACAACCGTAGCGTAATTGTGAGCGTTACAGTTTACTGTCTTTAGATTGGGATGATTGTATTCCAGTTCCTTGTGGTTTATAAAAATTATAAGGGATATCAATAAATGGACAGTTTTTAACCTTTTAAATAAAGACAGTTCTGCAATTAACATAATGCGAGCCAAGTTATTGTTTTGAAGTTAATAACTTTACGATTCCACATCTTTACAGTATTTTTGTCTTGCGTATCGTTGTCATTCCGCTCTCGGGCAGCGCACGTAAGCGGATGTTGGCGGTGTAAGTTCTTGCATTGACTATTGTGCTCCTTTTATTATTGGCCGCAGTATTTTTACAATATGAAGTATTTAGAAAAAAAGGGTGAATGTTAAATTATATAACGGCCCAATGTTTTGCATTTCTTATCAATGGTAGTATATAGCGAATTCTTTGGAAACATTTGCTCGGCTGATCAGATCTTTTTAATAATGAATAAAGATCACGTATATACTCGTATATATGCAAAATAATTATACGGACGTTAGCTGCATTTGACACGGTTATATGGCACGGCAATTTGCCAGTTGTACGCGGGTTTTCGGTTGGGGTACGACTATTTATTTTGTAGAGTTTCATTAATACTTGAATTGTGACGACATTATGAGCTGTCCTCTAAAACGCTGATCATAATTAAAAAATAACAATGCATTAGTGAATTTGTCCATCGGTTTTTTGAACACTTGTTCTGTTATTGTTGTTGTTGTACGAATATATTGCACGAATATAGTTCTGTTATTGTCGTTACGAAATTCGTGAATTTTACTGATGCTTTCCTGTTTTTTTAAGCATTTACGACTATTCACTGTAGTACTCTTAGACCTTAGTCACGTGTTGTGTATGCAGAACACATCTGGTAATGGCTATCTCTGCCGTCAAAAGGGGTCGAAAGCGTTAAATACGTATGTACGAGTATTAGCTTCCCAAGAGTCACTACGCAGTACGCAGTGCATTAACAAAAATCAGGTAGTTTTAAAGTTTTTACTTACTGCATTTGGGATGAAGTAATGACTTTCGCATGAAAGTGATTACCGAAACTGTTAAATGACAGTACGATACATTAAAATTAGATATAGAGAAAACTAAAACTGGACTTGACCATGAATTAAAAAAATTTGTACGCCCGTGCACGCAGCCAGCGCGCGTGTTTACCCGCGTGTGTTTACCCATCCGTCCCGGGTAGTCACAATATGTAACTTTTACAAAATAGCGGATACCAAATCACACAGGTAGTAGGTAGGCGAAAGCAGTATATTGTATTTTTTCTTTAGGTTGAAGTTGTTGAAAAAATTAATGGTTTTAGCTTGCATTGTTACATACATGCATTATTATTATAATAATCTTCACTGAAAATGCTATGGTATCTACTGCAGCTCTATAGATATCGGAAATTAGCTTACAAATTGTTAGTTCAGGCTGACAAGTGCACTCACCCAAAGATCCCCAGTATGCCCATAACAATCGCGCATTCAGTTTTGTCGCACCCAAACAACCCAATGTGGGAGCAAAAAAGATTTGAAAAGTGACGGTGATATATAGATAAAGAAATGTCCAGTCGTAAGGTTCGAACGGTAAAAGTGCAAAGTAATCCTCATTGAAAATCCAGGCTATTGCCACTCCGAACACGACGGCTGTTGGAGTAATAAGAACAACGAGTAATTGCTATAGTTCCACCGCAAACGTTCTACTTGTGTGTTTGTGTTGTAACTTATAAGTAAGCATATCTTATCCTTAGTATTCCTGTTATTTCTTATGCATCCTCTAGTTGAAAAGATTCCAACTGATTTTGCAGGCTGAGTATATCGTATTAGCATGAATACGCAGATTAATGTATATATAGATATATATATATATATATATATAGTACGAGTAGTATAGTATAGACTACACTGTACTTTCCTCATGGTCAGTTACTTTTGATATTCTTCAAAAATTAACGCATGTACGGTGCGTGACCAAAGTTTTGTAACGATTAATGCGCATATTCTCAAGTAATTATTGACTCCGAGTAGAATTGATCATAATATGAAAGAAGCTATGGCAGTTGTGTGTATCACATACAGATACACTCTATACGTAGTAAACAACAAATTTATGTTGACTAATGATACCTCATTACGGTGTAATAATCCTGTGTCATGTATGCTTACCTGGAATTACCGTTACTGTCACGCTGATGTAAATCCAGACACGGTAATAACGCATAGCTTGTCCCATAGAGTGATCGTGATGCTGGACAACTGCTACATCCTTCCATCTAGGGAATACCAAATCAATGAGATTCGATAAACGGAATCCGCGCGGATTATCGGTGTCGTTTTCATTAAGCATCGTGTATTATTAATATGTTGAAGGAAATATTTAACGGCTTAGTATTGTTGTTAGGCTTTGTAAACAGCACTAAAATTTTCGATTAAGCCGTGGCGTGCTGCGATATCTGGATATTTGTACGGTTTCATGGAAACAATGGATAAAAACACTGGATACTTCTTCGATGTGTATATGGTCCATTAACAAAATTGTTTTGAGTCATGCTAGCTAATGCCAGTGCGTTGGCTGCATAAAGAAAATTTAAGCTATTGATCTCAGCATGGGAGATGGGAACGTATAAATCAAAGGATGCAACAAAAGGCGACAGTGGGCATCAGTGATGGAAGATGCAATATTCAGCCGTCGTCCTCATTGAAAAATATTGATGAAATGTGAAATGATTTGTTACGCCCGAGTTTGTTCCACACGAAAAACGCTTCCTCATAAATTGTGCCGGCTAAACGATACGTCGTGTGTGGGACGTCTTTCGTTAAAGCTCTCTCACACAGTGTGTTGTTCGAGGCTAATACAATAGTAACGCAGTGGCTGCAGCTTTGCAGTTTGCGTCTTCATGTACAGATACAAACTACTCTAGGACAGACTACTATTAAAACCACATTCGGTGCGAAAAAGCGGTTTTCTTTTATGGTTTTTGTTTTCTGAAGTTGGAGAGAATAAAGTATTGTCCAGACTCCAAAGGCACGTCTACCAAGCACTTTTATAATAAAAAGTTTAGAGTGACCGTTTTAAGGTAGTGCATAATATTACTAAACTAAAAGGTATTCCATCGACTTACGTGACGTCACGATAGGCAACACGCACAGAGAGACGCAATGGGCAACCCCTGCGGGTTTTGTGTTTATCAATCCGTTCGTGCTATGGCTCAAAAAATGCAGAAAAAAATTCTAAGTTTGTAAACTAAAACTGACAAGTGAAACGTTCTCAAGGAAACGAAAACTTTACGATTCTCGTTAGCATAGAGGTCTATGAGGTGGTTTGCCAGTCCAGAGATCTCCATGCTAAACGAAAATCCTTGGTTCTTGATCTGTGGTGAAACGAAGTGACCAGAACCTGATCAGTCAATCAAAAGGAAACAATTAAAATTTAATCAATCAATGAAAACCATCAAACAATTCAGATTTGATCAAAACAAGTCATTTTTGTTTAGCGAAGAGGGCTAAGGCACACTGCCTCATAGACCTCTATGGTAAACAAGAATTACGTAAATCGTAAACTTTTCGTTTATATGACAACTTTTTACTTACCAACTTTCACTTTCCAAACTTCAAATTTTTTCCGCATTTTTTGAGTCATAGTACGAACGGATTGTACGAATATGAAAGTTTTGATAAACACAGAACCCGCAGGGGTTGCCCACTGCGTCTCACTGTGCGTGTTCTCTACCATGACGTCATCGTACAAGGTGCATGCTCGATTGAATACCTGTTAGTTTAGTAATAATAAAGATAGTTTAGTAATAGTAATACCCATAATATTATTATGGGTACTGTCAACTGTTATAAAATTTTATTTTGGAGTATTTCCGACCAGATAAACCCGGTAGCACTCGCTGGCCTGGTCTGTTTGTTATAGTTGCTATGAACTCTTTTATAAATAAATAAATTCCTTCTTTATAAATAATCAGCGTTTTCGTTTGAAAAATGAATTTCGTTGTAGTACTACCTGGTGCCCATAGTTGCAAACTGTGATAGTACGAGATCGAGTTGCGCTCCATACTATATAAATATTATGTCCTACAGTATAATTAGTATGTACTTGTAGATATAACTCATAATATAAGGTAACAGGCAGCATGCAGTCTTGGTCGTTAGTACTCTGTACTGTCTCTTAAGTGCATACTACACAGTTACATAATATTATTGTGTAATACAGTACTTATACCGCAAGTCTGCACATACCGTACCTGTTCTGTACACCTGAGTCGAAAAAATGAGATTATAATTATGTGGTTCACAATCTACAGTTCTCGTGCGAACCCAACGGCCAAAAGTTCTCATTTCACTGGGTGTTGTCATATACAGTGGCAAGGTGGATAGGGTAGACCTATCCACCTTGACAGTGGTTTTAAAAAACGCTACCGAAAAAAAGCCAACGTGTAATACTAAAAAAATGGAAACGGTTTGGGGGTACGAAAGTATTCGTGAATACAACAGTTTTGCAGCAGACTTTGATAGTAGATCTAAATGACAGTATATATATAGATATTATATTTATATATATATATCGTTTAAGTAGCTAGTGGATTGTGTCATTGAGATAATAATAATTATTTACAGTTCTATTATTGTATTTATATGTACTGTACTTGTACGTATGCCGTACAGTAGCAGTGCACGTATCGTGGTTTTTCTGGTATCTGAATAATAAAATATTGCTATCTGGCTGAAGTTACTTCAATCGTTTAATTGGCTGTAAAAAAGGGTAAATTCGTTCGTAATTACAGTGATTGTGCGGTATATATACGCCATATACGCATCTCCTCAGCTCAGTACTTACTAATAATTACTAATTGGGATCCTGTAAGTTATTCGGGAAACAGGGATTTAAATAAGTTAATGTACTTGTAAGCTAGGATGACTTTTTAATACTGGAAACTGAAAAGTTGACTGGCTGCTGCAAAGTGCAAATTAAGCAGTACGATAATTTTTCACTGACGCAGACGTACGTATTTTATTATTTTATTTATTTTAAATATGCACTTTACGGAAGCAGAAATTAATAAAATATTGATCACGCGCTCGCTGGACGCTCTGAATCTTTTTGAAGGATACAGTACAGGTACAAGCATATGCACTGGTTTAAGTGAAAATTCGTATTGTATGACAGTATTGGTTAACGCACAACGGCAGTTTAGAATTAAGTGTGCAATGTGCGTTAGACGATAAAAACGATAATGTTTTTTCCTTACTGTTACAAAAATGTTTCTGTTGCGCGTATTTGATATTTTTTTATCATGCGCTCATGCCAGTTAGTTAGTGGTCTAATCACTCTAATGAGTGGTTTAACACTGATCAACAGCAGCAAAAAATATAGTTAATAAATGCACGCTGCATTGCTACTCTTGGCTTTCACCTTTTACTTGCACATAAGTACGAAAGTTCAAAATTATCTTGTTCAAGAAAATTTGAAGGCCGATAGTGTAATTAACATGAACTTTTAAAACTGGTTCAATACGTCGGTACAAGTGCTGCATGCAGGTACCGCATACTCACTAAGTACACTCAGCAATTTCGAACAAGATTTATATTCATACGTTTTACTGTTATGTGCTCTGTGCTGCGTAAATCAACATCATCACATGTTGTTCTGTTGCATCTATGGCTAGTATTGGCTACTGTAAACAGATCTGTAATAAAAAAGGCGAAGTATGGAATGTACAGCCTAATTCTAGAGTTTTAAAGACCCCTGGACACCCGCGTTGCGAACTTGTAAAGGTACTTACAAAATTCTTCCTTGGACTTCCGCCTACACACACGAAAATTTTGCTTGCTGTTTAGTTTTAAGACGTATTTGCTCGATTAAAATACTTACGTGATGGCTTTTTTGAAGTCGAACGTGTACAAGGCAGGTCATTGGAGATCGTTTCCGTAATTAATTAGCATCTTTTCCATGTGATAGCAGCGTATGTGCCGGCAAAGCTCATACGTACCAAAATCATAAAAGTTCAAATGAGCTGTTGTAACATTTTCTCTTTAGCATAAACGCAGCATTATGTTGAAAGACAGCAGTTTTCTCCTTGGGTTTTACTCAGCATCCACAACATGTTCATGGCGTTAACGTAGTCGATTGGAATATCCACGAGAACGCTTGCTTGGAGGCGGTAATCCCATCCGCGTGTGCATAGCAGAATATAATAGGCTGATAAGCGTAAGGGAAACAGGAGCATATAGGTAGGGTTTTTGTAGAAGACGCAGTAGCTGGGATGGGAAGATTATGTTGACTTAATCCAAGAGCTTATTCCCAGTATTAAATCGTACAGTATACAACAGGTGCTATTATATGCTCCTTTTTCTGTGACCCGCAGCCATTCATGATCACGAACTGCAAATGCGAATAACGCCGCGTACCGGCTGTTGATTCGAGTTATGGGAATATTGTATTGTGGTTCAACCGCATATATAGCAGTGGAGATACGCTGGTGTCAAATTATTGAGACATTTTTGGCTGTTTGGTGGTAAAATAGTCAAAAAGCTTAAGCGCTGAAGCATAATATTCTCAGAGGGAGCTCTTAATCAAAATAGTGCCTGAAACCGTAAGTGCATTGTTGAATATGGGACGTGAAAAACTGGAAAAAAGAAGTATGCGTTGATCATATATTTTCATACGTATAAGGCATATGTGAGTGGCTCTGGACGAAATAGTGAAGTTTTGCTACGTTCGTCGGGATTCATGAGTATAATTAAAGGCTTGCCGAATGCAATTACGACGGACCGATTGGCTTGCAACCGGGGAGGGTGGTACGAAAACATGACAGTTGGCAGCATGCAGGGCCGTATGGAGTACGTTTTCTGTTGTTCTAAGACCCAGCTTCCGCTCCGGTCTCTCTGGTCCCGGTTTTGACAGACATTTCCTGAACACCCGCGCAATTTGCACAATATAGCAGTTTGTAGAAGGATGAATGGGTTCAGCAAGGGAATTTATCAATATGCTCATGGCTTTGATAACTTCTGAAGCAGAAAATTTAGTCGGCATGCCGTGGCGTACTCCGAAGATAAAAAAGGCTGTTTCAGCCGACAGCATATGCCTATAAAATAGCACATTTTTCTTTGGCTTGTTATGTTTTCTCCAGTTTTGTGTCGCAAAACAAACAGATTTCATATTATGAAATCTGAGAATAGTCAGAATACTTTACTTTATCGAAGCGTGTTTTCGAAATGCATTTGAAAAACATTTTATGCAATAGTTCGGCGCTGGGGTGGCCAATGAGCGTTTTTTTAAAAGCAGTTTTGTTATAAATACTGTTTGCTGCCATTAATTTTGTGAAATCGGCTCGTGCAGAGTAAAGGTGCATCCGGTCATTGCTTGATATCTCACATAAACGTGCAGTAAATTAAAGTACTACAATTTTTTTAAGCACTACTTGTTTTTGACTTCGATCTGAAGATCAGATCGAAGTTCTCATCATTCTTTTGTTATGCAGTTTACTGTCAGTATGAATTAGATAGCATTTTGAATCTATTGCACTTCAGCATTTACCGTTATTAATTATAAAATAATACTTTTGCAATATGAGTTGATAGTTTATAAGCAGCAAAAAACGCGTATCATTTCGTGTGAGATGCGTTTCTGAAGGTGAAGCGGATACCGGTGTTCTATAGGTCGGTCTACGTGCGAAATCACGCAATGCTACCTCTGTTTTTATGCAGCATGAATACTTAATATGCGTTTTTATGCAGCGTTTGTGAATTATTGTATCGCTTTATGACAGATGAATGGGAGCACGCATGGTGGTGACATCAACTTCTCAAGTGGAGGTGTTGGTACGGGATGACAGTTATTATGGGTTTATCATCGCTCTGCTCTTCTGACGTCAACGAACGCTATTTTACGGTAGTTAGCTATGTGGAACGTTTGTTGTTTTTCAGGCAGGAACGTTGCGGATTGTTTAGGTCGCCTGGGAGTAAGCGCGGTTTTCCTCAGCGCTGTTGGAGATGATTACAATGGACAGTTTATAAAGCAGTCGTGTTCGCATATGGTAAATACCGTACATCATGTAACACATCGAAATACTTAAATACAATATTTTGCTCGAATCACAAAGATAACCTATACTACTGAGCAAAAACGATCTTGTTTTAGTCGTAAATCGGTAAATTTTCTGTTTACACTACTACTGTAGTCCCACAAGCTTAGAAAGCGGAAGATGTCGAATGGTTGAGATAGTATTGAATCGATTTGTTTAAGATACGAGAAACATAATACACATATTTCACACTATGCAAATATATTCGTATTTCACATTTAGAATAAGGAACTCCGTATAAGAATCCATACTTGAATATTGTTTGGGCGCTTGTGACCTCTTACAAAGGCAGATAATGTTGATTGTTTGTAGGGATATTCTTACGGTGTGCAGAGCCGTATGTTGACCCGCTTAATTTCATTTATTAATTGCTACGCTGTATGATATTGCATCTACATAAGTACTGATAGACAATTTGTTCATCATGCGGTACACGGCTGAAATAAAGATCTTATAGCAAAGTGCAGGTTTCTAAAAGCACAGCTTTTGTAAGTTAGTGTTTGCAGTATGTCGGTATAACGCTTCTGAAAGGCTGAAGCATTGCATGTACTTTTAAAGTATGACCTGGACTCTTTTACAATTTTAAAAAGCAGTTTACTCCATAGGATTTGTCCCATCTGATGGAATGTCCGGGAAACCCCACTTCCTGTTATATTGGTATTTTGGCACCATCTGGCCAGCTGCTTGGCGGACTCATGAATATGTCCATACATCAGATGATTTCTCCTGATTATGTCAGCTGAAAAATTCATGATTTACGCAGAGCGCACTCACATCCAGGTGGTGCCGGTGGTAAAAAAAGCTCCTTTTTGCAGATCCATCAGCACGAAGAATGCGTACAAGAGTCGCCAATGTTAATACTGGATGGAAACTTGTCACTTGAAGCCCTCGACTGTGCTTTGGAGATGGCTGCCAAATATAGAGTGCCAGGTATGGTAGGCCTTCCTGTTTAACGATGTTTTTATCTTGTGGGTAAAAGTAAAACCCAAATGTTTTAATATAATTTGGCTGTCGTTGTCAACACCCGTCAGTCACCTATCAACAAAACATTCCGCGAAACATTTTCGTAATTTTTAATAATTATAGTAAAATTTGCTGCCGCCACGCAGTGCAGCAAAACTGAAACAAATGTTAACCAAAATGACCAGGAGATATAGTTGTACAACTGATGTGGCATCCAGCTTTGGTCGTTGGCCTTAGCTCCAAAAAGAGCCAACGAAAAGAATAGGAAAGCAGCTGAAATTATTGTAAACTGAAATCATGAGTAAATTTGTAATTCTCAGTTACTGTACATTATTTTTTCAGTAATGTGGGATAGGTGCATCTGCAACGGCTTATAATATTGTACTACCCGTAGTACGTAATATGACGTACGGAGCTGTGGCTTTGCAAGCCTGGAAGCATAATTGTATTGGGTGCAATACTTAACAAACCTGTCATAATGCAGCTGCAAATAGTGAGTTTGAACCTTGTGATGTTGTTTCCGGTTCGGGAGTGCAAGAATGTTACGGAAGCGAGAGCAGTAGCGGCTAGGCTAAAAGCTAAACCGATGGTCATGAATCCCTGAACTGCTAGTAGCCATGCTAAAAATGATTGGCTGGTCAACTTTATTTTGACGCAAAAGTTTCTGATCTTACGGGGTTGAATAAACTCGTATATGGGCCGGTATTCCCTGCCATGAACCCAGTGGCATCCTGAGAAGGCATGATGAATCTGGAAAGAGTGATGGAAATAGTTATTGAAACAGATTTCCCACAATCCAAGCTTGACGAATTCGCTGTAGGCCTGACGATGAGATTGAAGCCTAAAAAGAAGAAGTAGCATTTGTATCGGTGTCATTTCGCATCGTTATTCAAAGTAGGGCCAGCGGTGCCCTTATGCGGATTTAGGGTTTACCAATGGGGAGTAAAATATGATATAATCAATGAGAGTGTTCCCAAGGCAGATAGCACCAGTCCATGAATCATTCTGGCATTTTTTAATAAACATCTGCCGGACATTGGTACTGTGTTCTGGTTCATGTTGTCCTAACTTCAGTTTAGATAATGCTGCAGTTTCGCAGTTTGCAAGATAGGACGTCACAGGATTACTTGTAAAAATATATTAGATTTTGAAGAGTGTTGTTTGCGCTTTATCTATACACAAACTAGACTTATGACTTTACGAGTAGCTGGTATATAAAGATCAAGGTTTGCACAAGTGGACCGCTAAAAATTTTAACAAACATTCTGTACTGTGCACAGTGCATGTACTGAATATGAAAGTAAAATGAACACTTTATGTAAACAGACTTTTAAATACGTCTGTTACAATTATTATGTGGTTTTTGTGCAGCTTTAAAGCGTATATGCGGAATTAAAATGGAGCTTTCGAAAAAATATGTTTTCTTTGTAGAACCATGTCGCATTATTCGCATGATAAGTATGAATTACGTGTGTTTGTTGATTATGACATGTTGGAAAAAAATATGAATCCAAACGATTAATTCGGTATGCTTTTTGAGTAGCCATTGGTGAATAAAAGTCGTTTATGACGGAAATGTGGAAAAATCATCGATAACAGCCAAATTTTCCATACAGTGTTGAGTAATGCATAGTTGCATACTGCATAAAAGCATGTACGAGTACAACTGCGAATCCACTGGCATGCAGTAAATTTTTGGAAATACAGATTTTCAATTAAACTCGTGTGGATTATCGAAGCGGTTGTTAAACCCGTTCTTTCTGCGGAAGCATTGCATATGTTCTAGCGCAATTGGCACTTTGCGTTGCATTGTTCAGCTGATTTACACGAAAGATTTGAATTTTAACATCTTTTAGCTCCATTTTATCCTGCTTTAAAAGAACATGTCCAGTATTTCTTCTTTGATGATGAGCATGGCAGTACAACAAAGCAGCGGTAAAGTACTGTAGAATTCCCGCAACGACAGCGAACGCGTAAGCCCATGAAATATAGTTCCTTCTCCAATCAGGCATCCAGTCTCTTCCGTCACCGCGGACAGCAAAAAGTGTGACGGCTAATGTTGTGAAGACACCTGCAAGATCCTTTGAATAAAAATATTTCCAAGCCTAATCTGTAACCTTTGTTTTCTATCAACATAGTAAGCAGATTTACGATTTTATCATATTGATAGGAATATATCACATAAGTATTATATTATCTTGTTTGTAGTTTTAGTAATTTTTGGATAAGTTTTTAGATAAACACCGGATAAGTTTTAGTAATTTTTAAACTTTATGTAAATTCTAAGGCGTTCTTGACGGTGCGTCAGTGTACGTATTCGCAGTAACGCACCTGATATAAAATGGAACAATGCCAAAGTAAAGGATAAAACGCTATTGTTTTGTTGGGATTTCGTCAGAAGCAGTATGGCTAAGCCAGCTGTTGAAATTACGAAGGCGGTGGTAAAAGTGATCTGTACGGTTAAGAAGAAATCTGCAAAGAATCATTAGTCAACTTAAAGTCTTAAACGTAAAAGATAATATTTATGTATTAGATGTACATAAAAGTGATAAAACTATTTAAATATCGGCGACAATCGGATCGGCTTTCTACCTGGCATGAAAACTTCCCTAAAATGCCACCAGCGTTCATTGAACACATGAGAACAGCCGGTGACCACTGTTGGGAACCGAAAGGTCGGATCGGCGAATGCTTGAAAGCAAAATACCCACAACCCGGCTCGTTTGAAATGTTTGTTGCCAACCCGTGTTTCCAACCATGCAGGACTGCACAGGGCAATGAAGCCAGATAAGAAAGCGAAAACCGAACTAACAATAAATATCCTGGAAAATTTGAATTTCATGACGTTGCTTTTAAAGTTTCTTGTTGCAAGCAATGCGTAATTGTCGAGACAGCACTGCTAGCCGTGGTACTAGCCGTGTTATGCACAAAATTATTGCTTTTTGGAGTGAGTACAGGTTGTACTGACAATTAATTTGCATATTAATATGCGCAGCATAAAGCACATACAGCACCTGTATCTGTACGTGCACCGTTGAGGCACTATAGTCGTGGTTTTGGCGCGCGGATGTTGTATCTACTAAACTAGAGTAGTCAGCAAAGTTTTTGATAATTAATGCACGTCGTACTGTAAAGTTTAAACGAATGATATTAATAGCAAATGGTGATCATCGGTTTAAGATTTTTACGCGATTCATGGGAAAATTAAAGAATAATTTGCTTTCACTGCTAGAGTAAATGCCCGATTTACGTAATTTTAATAAAGGTACTAAATATACTTACTAATTAAGCAGATTAGCCCATGCACGATATTATTGTCCATGTACGATCCACCGTATCCTACAACCTACAGATACACGTGTGTCTGTATGCGTGTATATAATTTAGTATTTGAAACTACTATTTCTGGATCTAGTCTTTAGCATATCTTTAGTCGGCTAAATGTTTGAGAAGTCCCGATTTTTCTATAGATCAAAATGCACAAATAAACCGTTTTTACAAGAAAAACCGGATAACTAAAATATGCAAATTTTTGAGCTCTGTTAATTACCTATTTTACGGGATGTTTGCATGGCCACTGACCTTTATAAATTACGATGTAATTAAAGATCGATTTCTGCCTCTTCAGACGTGTTGGAACTATCCAAGTAAACTGGAAATCGATTTAATTGTATCTTCTCTTGCCAAGGATGAAAGGTGGACATTTCTTGAAAATTTTTGTGGATTTTTTGAAAGGTTAACATTTCTTGAAGATTTGTGTTAATCGTTGTTTGCCTATAAATAACATTTGGGTTCTTTTTATAAAAAATCAGATTGATGGCCGTTTGTTAAAAAGGTTGTTGTGAATAAAATCTAAACAGAGGTTGTTTCCATATTTTTTCCACTTTGATCAGTTGAGCTCTTTTGTTAAATAAGCGTAACAGTTGCACATGGGTTTGATTTGGGTGTGGCACATATTGGTGTATGGAGACTAGTACATTATTTGACAAATCCATGTTTGTGGCGTAGTGATTGCTTAAATGTACTTGTGCCGCCGCCGTCGCTTTGTGGATGTTGCACACATCTATGAATCTCGGGATTCACACCTATTATGACGATACATGTCTAACCTACTTCCCTCTACTGACTCACTGCGGTTTACTCTGCTTTCGCAAAAAGGCAAATTTTTATATGGGTGCAGGCTATGCAGCGATACCGTAACAGTCAGTTTGGGTCGTTGTCCACCACACCGTACTTGACTTGTGTCATTTCCATTGTTGATCGATAACGAGCAGAATCTGTTCAACAGCGAAACTGAGGGGAACGGCAAATCTGAAAGAGGCGGTAGCATACTGCTGTATTCTCCTTAAGACTCGGGAAGAGTTAATCCCTTTGAGCCAAGAAAAAACTGACGCAAGCTATCACATTGCTATGAAATACTGTATTTTTTTGCCGTAACAAAAAAATAAATTACATTTTACAAACCTAGCGAAAACGTACAGGTTTAAGTTCTATAACCGAATTTTACGAGGCAGATTTCCGCTCTGTTGTAAAATTAGAACCTACAACTATCAACCCGTAATAAAAGAATTTTAATGTGCCTGCACGAATTGAATGTGTCTGTGTTTTTTGCGAAGCTGTGCATTGTTAAGTCTTTTGGAATATTCTTGGGCAGGTTTCTGCAAAACTACACCGATTGTGAACTATTTCAATAAGTTACCGTGCATAATGTGACGCATGATCGAAGCGTGAAGTGCAATATAGAACACGCGTATTTTCATAATACGATTAGTAAATGTTTTAATGCTTTTGACGACTGAATAGGCTGGACTACCTGAGTCCAACTTAATTTCAGATTGGTAGTGCCACAGTGAACGAATATGCGTTATTTAACAAAGTGCTAATAATAATCCAAACAAGTACATTAACAACACAAAATGAGGATTACATAACAAGTAAAGTCCTTATGAAATTAATACAGAACGCAGACAGTAAGCGGTGATGATAATATTTTTATCGTGAGCACACTGAAATTACGCTAGTTAAAAGATATTTGGGTCAATGGTGTTTTGATGTGTCTGCCGGAAAAGAGCAGCAAGCTGCAACTCGACGGAAGAAGGCCAGGGTACGTGCGCGCAGGTATCGAGCTACCGTCGTAAAGCATTTTCTGTGCAGGTATGAAAAGCCAACTGACAGTCCATTCATCACGAAGTCGAGAGCAGAGGTGATAAGGTTTCAGCGTTGTACAATTCACATAAAAAATACTGTTGCCGATTGGACATGCACTGGCAGGTTATTGCTGCATACCAGACTGTTTAACATTTATAACCGGAAATGGTCCATCCTTGATCCAATGCCATCTTATAATATAAGCCCATGTGGTCTTGCAGGCACCACTGTAAATCACTACAGGGCAATGGAAAAACGTAAAAAAGCGAAAGCCAATATTTTCAGCTCTTGAACAACGTACGTAAACCAGCAACTTTGGCCGACAGATAGTTTTGGAAAACAAAAATAAATGCAAGAGGACAAAAACAGGCTGTATAGAGAGATTCCATAAGGAAACGAGAAAAAACCATTCACCCATGCATTCGTCAAATAATCCTAAAATGGCAATCACAAACACAATACTATCCAGCGGTTTTCAGACAATAGAAAAAAATAACAACTGAATATGGTTTGAGCTCCCCGGCTATTTTACAGATCGCTGTCCTTAACGGCATACTGGTATTCCCTGCGATATTCATAGGAATAGGTATCACCATTCGTGCTACCGGGTTTTGGCGGTAATATTGGAGCTTTGACGGATATGTTCTTGTACTCACGGTCACCATTCGTTAATTTGAAGTCCGTTTGAGACTGAAAATGAGGCAGAAAATGTCTCACCATAGTTGAGCAAATTGTAAAGGAAACGATTGCCACGATACTGCCGCTGCGCATGTGCGATTGACTTTTTGATACTGTTTAATATAAGATATTAGAACTTTACAGAAGTTAATGCAGTTCAGAAACCACCTAGCACTTACGGCTGCAAGGAAATCTAATTCTCTTATTTTGTGGGACACAATAGAACTGGCCTAGTAAGGCTAGGATTAATATCAGGGATATCAAAATCGTAGAGCTTTGGTAGAAAGTTATCAAATAATTTCCATACAACATAAACGCATATATTTGAGCAACGAAGACCAGCAGGGTAATGGTTCCGTTACTATACTCGTATATTTAAATACTGATACTTATTAATTTTAATAAGTACGGTTATTATAAATAAATAAACAAATAAATATTGCACGAGAACGGTTATTGTAAATATTGGTTATGGTAAATATTGCACGAGAACGCCGGTACAATACATGTTAGTTTTATGTGTTAGTTTATTAATGAAGTCACAATTATGCGCAGCTGAGCATTGTGGCCAGAAAGTTAGTGTGAATGTTAGTAGAATCTTACAGCAGTGGTGTGTTCAGGATTGGTCTTACGTAGAGGTTCTTGAACCACGAAAGCCTGATCACGTTTAGCTGTGGGTTCGGTTACAACCGGTGGGCGATGTACAACAGTAACTTGACCAGGGCCACGCTCATCGTAATAAGCCTGACGACGTCCTTCGATCAGGAAGAGTGCGGCACAGACCCATAATAAGATCCCACCGGCAACGGCCAGCGCAAATGACCATGATAAGTAATTGTTCTGCCATCCGAATATCCATTCTCGATCGAATACTCGCGCCGCAAACACAATGAAGGATATGCAGATCAGTATGGCTATTAAAAACCGCAATCATGTTATTTGGCTTTGAAATCTAAGTCATGGCTTATGAATTTTTGTTCAAAATACATACCATCTTCGGAAACCGGTTACGACCATAATGTTACTTTAATGGGCATAATTCTGTTGTGTGCACTCACCTGCTATCATGAATACTGCACCAAGTCCAAACAGCAAACGAGCTTCAGGTCCACGTACGAGCACCAAAATAAGAATGATCAATCCTACTATGCTTACGATGAAGCCCACTGTATAGATGACTTGTGTCGCGATGAAAAAGGCTGTTTAAAAAATCACCCAGTTAGTCAAACGTTAATTCAGAATCTGACATGGACTCAACTAAAAAAATTTGAGCTTTTAAAAGCTCAGATTCCCAAATTTGGGAATAGTGTGTTTTCTTACTGGGTGCTCTTGGGCGTTGTTACGAATCTTACGATGTTGTTTATGCTACGTAGCGATGAAGCCATAGTTTTCATAAAAATCGACGACACCGCACTATACCGTATATAACGCATATGCCGTGTATAGATATGTGCATATTCCCTATTTTTCCCCTTGGTTAAAGTGAGATATAACAAACTTGCAGGTTTCTGAAAAAGTGTAAACCCAGAGAAACGGGAAAATTGTTCAAATTGCTATGCTTTTTGATCTTGTCTTTTTGCCAGCGTCACAAAGTAGCTGTGTATAATTAACAGATTTGATCGGCTTCAAATATGTATTGGTATATTGTCATTGCCTTTCTTTCGACAAATGCAAATATTTTGCTTATATTTTTCGAAACATTCTCTGCTGTTAAATCTTTCGTATTGTTGATATTGTTACTAAAAGTAGTAGCGTGAATAATTGCCGATAGGTCAATTTTCTTTTCGTATTTAATTTTCTAGTTTCTTTTCGCTTTTTTGGATGTCTACCGTATCCACAATCTTCATTATGCGCTAAGTATTGTACAGTGCTCGGCAATCTTGAAACCGGCATATAAATGAAAAATTACAATGGGCTAGGTAAGGCACGATCGTATATGGGTCATCGATTGAGTGCGGCCTGGGACAGATGAAATTTGCCGCATTATAGATTTACGTATTGCTATTTTCTACCGATGCCTAACCTAAAACATTATTTGTTTAAAGCTTGGGAAAATCATGCGGTGGCGCACTAGCTGCTCTAATTACCCAAGTACATATACTGGCTGTAAACGCCTTGACTAAGCGAAGCCGTACGGTAATAAGAAAGATTTCAAACAATATGCATGTCTGAATTCGGCGGTTAATGCTATTTTTTCCAGTCTCAAAAGCTCTATGTGATCGCCGTGTGTACACCACGACGAAAAATATAATTACATAACAGATAGTAGAACTATCGCAGTAAGTTTTGGTGCATTGTAAAATGTGAACAGAAAGAAATGCTTTGTATGCAGAATACCTACGCGCACTTACACGGTGCCAAAAACTCCATCATTGGTGGCCAGCCCGAACTGAAGTACCATCGGCATATAACCGAATAGCGTAGAAAAGGGTCGCCTATTTGATAAAGTCGGAAGCAGAACTGCCATAGTCCCAGCTTGTCGAAGGGAATATTGAAGGGCGGCACCGGGTTAGCCACCATATTCCGATCGGCCTCCAGCCAGACCGGTGTGGCAAAGGCGATCAGTATGAGAATAATGGCCACAATAGACGATACCGATGCTAATGCTAACCATCCGCCTATGGTCCTGGAAATGGGTGTAACGGTAGCCGTACGCGTGCCGAATCTTCCAGCCATATTGATTTTGGGTTATCAGTTATTAGGTTGTAGTGGGTATAAAAACGTCAGATTTATGAAGAAGCTGTATAATCCAAATAATCCCCGATATAGATAACGATGCAATACAAATCAGTACGTATTCCACGTTACTCCGTCATTCCGTTGGCTGGCTCTTATCGCCAAATCATTGAGGAAATTTTACGGTGACTATACATCCATTAGCGGCGTACTGATACAGATTATAGAACATATACACCGGTCAGTGTACGTGGATAATTGCTTTCGAGGATGCAGATAAAATGTATCTTAGCGTGGTGTCTGGTGGCTTAGCTTTGCGAGCGAGCTGCAAGAAATATTAATGGACGGTAAAACCAGAAATTTTTAACTTGAACTCTCCGTACTTAGAGTTCACCTTCTCACATCAACATGTTTGTGACGCTTTACGTTTAGCAGATTTTAGTATAGTCGACTAAATATGCTACAAGAGCATTGACTGCATTTATAGATAATATGGTCTATCCGAAATGGCGGTGTGCGTACTCATGGACATGGCGCACACATATAATGCTCCGTACGAACGGTGAATCATTCCGACCAAACCATGGGCGCGTTTATTTGGTAATATTGTTATGTACGTGTTCAAGATGGACATGCTATGGACAATATTGATTTTTACCTGTGTGCTTTTAAAACGTTTCGGACAAACCTATAATATAAGCGAGCGTTCCAATCGAACGATGTTTGCCGTTTGTACTACCCGGCATGGTCTGCTTCACCCTCTACCCAATCGTCAAAATCTGACTTACACGTTGATGGAAAGCATAACAACCTGCGGTTACCTGTACCTGCATAGTGCAACGTTAACATTATTATAGTCTTGTTGGTCGTCTCAGGATTAAACAGAAACTAGGTAGACGTAGAAGCATTAAAATATATTGCAACCGGAAACCGGTTTTCAGTTGTGACCATATGTTGCAAACTAACCTTTCACACTGAATCACACATACAGTAATTACAGAAAAATTGAATGGCCCTGCCTTGGTGCAGTTTGGAAGCCTTAAACAACTGCCGGTCTTCATACGTTATGGCTTATGATAGGGTTTCCTATTGTTTTGTTGAAATCAAATCAAAACATTCTTTCCGGAATTAGTTAAACTGATAAATTAAAAAATTGAACTGACATGTTCTTCTCATACGCGAGCAACAAGAATCCAACCTTTCTTGCGAATGCGCATACATCTGTGTAATACTTCCCCGCTTTATACTGAATTTTGAGAACCAGGACTGTTCGTGATCTCTTCTTAATAGATTTTTGAATCCCAGCAAACCATAATTAAGCTTGCTTGAAACCCAAACATCTACTTTGGTGTGGCGAATCCTGTTACTGTTCCTGTTCGAATCCTGTTATTTTTACCGTGCATGCTCTGTAATATCTATATTATTCATTGATGTATTAATTTACTTCACAGTTAACAAATTAATATGTTTAGATTTTAAGTTTACGGAAGCATTGTATTGATTTTATGGACTTATATTCCGATAGAATGTCAGTATGCAGATGCCATACTTTCCCTTCAGAATGTTATGTATCCTTGAGATACCTGCAAGATTCGCTGACAGTACAATATAATTACAGTCTGTACTCAACGCCAGCTAGCACCGCACCTTGAAAGCGAAATCTAAATATGCATGATTCACGGTGATGATTTCGATGAGGCAGTAGTGCTTACTAATATGGCATTAATTCTACAATACCCCAAAGCTTCCCAATAAAACTATTTGATTTTGTGAATCTACACTGCATTTGTGTAAGTACTTACTGCTGTTATTAGTCTTTACATTTACGCCTAGCGTCCGGCGATACGTTGTAATCTAACGGCACATTTATTGCATATTATGCGTACGGCTCTGTCATTCCTTGATGCCGTGCTTGTATACTGCGGTGTTTTGCGATTTAATAATTCTTTAAGAAAGCTATCGGATATTAGCCGGTATACACTTTGTATTACTATTTTCCGTTAATTTTATGAAAACTCGCAGCGTACTTCTATTTACTATCCCTAATTATGATAATTTTAACTGGCCAGTGGCCATGGATACACGTGATTAATCTACAGACACGTATCGTTGCACCGCTTGCACGTACCGTTAGTGTTCGGCTTTCTCTCACAATTCCCAGACATGGCCATGGTGAAAACGAGGCACAACAAACCTTTCAAATTCTCGCAATTCTGTAAAATTTCAAAGGTCTTTTTCACGGTATCGAGAATTACTAAGTCTTATGCGCAAGTCACTCGAAAACATAACCTTTGTTCAAGCTCCCAACATAATTTTTAGCTTAAAAAATGCTTGCGTGTGTAACTTTGGTTTGTCATGGCAGGTTTCTTACTAGATCACGTCTCGTAACAATATACGTCTTGAACAGCGATTTGCATAATGCTGGTGCCGATTCTAAAAGAACTCTGAGAGTATTCTGACCAAATAGCATTTATAAAAATAACGTACACCGCACTATTTGAGTTAAGTAATGCCACATTACGGCTAACCTTAGAAATGTGAGAAAATAATGTGTGATTTTATCCGGTTGATTTTACATTTGATGGCCTTCAATCTTCCGCATTTTTCTTTTATATAAAAACGAAATTAACTGCATAATTGGTAGAAGCTAGCAGCATCGTGGCTGTAATGTCTGAAAAGCGCAGGACTTCGTAGTTTATATTCTGCTTCGGTTCGTTTATAGTTAGCCGAGGTTTCAGATTTGACAGAAAATTAACTGGAAAAATCGTAGACGTTCTCCTGTCCTATACGGGAGAACAAGAGTATTATTTTTAACATCCAGGATAACTGCAATTAGTTTTACATTGTATTTGTAGAGGATTCCTTTAAGGGTATTCTACAAATCACATGTTGCGAAGTGCGAAATATTATCAATAGCTACCATGAACATTGAACTTTGTTTTAAGTTTCCGCTGCCAGTTGCATACTCAGGTATGTATTGTTCGGCAGACCTTGCCCAGGTAGTTTGCATTCCTAATTTCTAGGGTATATGTTTTCTGCATGTGACACAGACTTTATTGATGAATAATGTGGGTGCAGTGCGCAACCATGGATTGAGCAAGTGTTTAAGTTATTGTGTGTTTGCGATCGGTTGCCCAAATACATAAGCAGTTTTTTCCTTTTATTTCGGACATTCGCAGTTTTAATAAATGTGCCGCTAGATTACATTCGTTTTAAAATATATTTAAAGGAAAAAATGTTGAAATCTTAGTTGAAGATATTCTATTCATGCTGTACCGTACTATTTTTGAGAGTCTAACGAATCGTGCATAATACTCGTAATTATAAAAATTTGATATGAACTGTTCAGACATCGCTCTCGAGAAGAATATTTTGCTGATCCGAACAAAGTTCTAATTCTTCGGATAAGGGAGTGTGGTTATGCGATATGCCACCACTGGTCCCGTTTGCCCGCTTTCGCTTTTCTGTGCGTTTCTGCACATTCACACCATCCCAGAAAAACAAGGCGCTGCTGGTAAACATCTGCAGGCCGCTGACCACACATATTCCAAATGACCACGAAAGGTAATTGTTCTGCCATCCCGGTAGCCACTGAGGGACGTATGCATTAGCAGCAAAAATAGTGTAGGCTACGAATATCCAGAAACCTGTAAAACATCATAGGTTTTCAGGAAAACAGAACCAAAGTAGAGCAATTTTGTATTGCAGCACTGGATTGTATACAGCTTTATCATTTGTACAATATATGTATGCGCTGTAGATCATTTTTTGCTGATATTGAGTAGCCTGTCATTCTCACAAATTTTAAATTAATAAAAATATTATACTCAGCCAGCCGTATTTAAGTAACTTGAGTTTACTTGATGCAAGATGTGTAAATGCCGTAATGTAGCGCAGCTCCGCTTGTCTTTGTGGCGCGTAGTTATTGATCCACAAGATTGAGAGAAAGGCCATGGAAACCACACCCAATCCAAAACCAATGCAGAATGTCGCTTGCACTGCCTTGAAAAAATCTGTAAAAATTTTATGACTCCAGACTCCAGTGACTCGTACGCCCAGATAGAAGGTGAGAACCCGGTGCAAGCGAAGATGTACCCGTTTAGCTGTTACACAGAATGAAATGGGACAGTTATTTCTATGTACTTGTTGTCTTAATTTTAGCACTTACGTGGAGCTAAGATATCGTACATAAACTTCCACTCATAGTCAAAAAACCAACGACAAGATGCAAAATACTGTGGGTAACGGCGTTTCGGATCTGTGAAAGATCGGAAGCAAAATACCCACAACCCTAGCTTGTCAAAATGGTTGTTGTACAGCCGCTTGTCGGCTTCGATCCAATTGGGAGTACAAAGAGAAACCATAAGGCCAACGAAAGATAATAAACTGCTGCCTGTGGCACAGTAAAAGGTTTTCGATCGAGGTAAAAACGTAGAAACAATCTCCATACACTCATCTGGTTTAACGTGGTTTAAGTAGCTGCTCATTTTTAAGTAGCCACAGTATTCCAGGTTAAGATACGAAGAACCGGAGTTCAGTTTCTGAAAAGTGCCTAAGCTCGTACCTGTTGCAACGAAGCAGTGCAAACGCGGTTGTCGGTTGCTGCACAAAAATTCGAAATAACTCCTTACATTCAAATTTGAATCTACTTCAGTTCCATGTCTTTAGCGAAACTACCGGTACATCGAAAATTTACATTTTCTCAAGAGTCGCTTTGATTTTTCATGGTTTGATATTGTGCATAATTATAATAGTATTGTTAACGACCGTGACACAGCTCTGACCTTATCGTTCACGTGCACCATGTACTGTACAGAGTATTCTACTACACTATCTAAATATGCATGCATTTATTAATCTTTATACTGTTTTATATATTGCTTAATACGTGTAGAGTGTGCAGTATAAATAAAAATATTTTTTTGTAGTGTTTTACGAGCCAACGGATATCAACAAAGCTACAAAGGCATTTTTAACTTCTCACTGGAAAGAAATTGCTTTTCTATCTCCAAATATCAAGGAACTGCAAAAGATAATGGCACATTTCGATATAGACCGGGGCCTCCATCCCACTGCAGCCGGTACATTTCAAATTTTTAGACTGTGAACATCTTATGATATAATAATGAGTTTTTAGGGCCGCATTCTTTGTCGATCGCGGAAGAATCTTTTCAAAGGCTATTCGACCAGCTTCCCCAACTTCGAGTGCTCCTTGTTAAATTTGGCAAACAAGGGTCGTGGGTAGTTTCGCGAAGTCCTCCGGATCAACCGGTTAATTGCGATTCGCCAAATGTTACGCGTGCTTTACATTTTCGCCACTACACCGCACCTCCCGTGACGAGTTCCCAACTTGTCAGTGTTTCCGGCGGCGGAGATTGGTACGCTTATGATGCGTAACTTGCTCGTTTTATCATAAAGGTTACTTAAATCAGAAACAGAAAACGACTTCTGTTTTTTTTATGATACTGTCGGAATTAATTTAGCCAGATTTCTTTCAGGTTTTTCTAATTTCTACCTATTGATTTGGTTTAAAAACAATTAAGCCAACAAAATTGCTTTCTTTTGTAGCATGGTTTCCGGGCTTATATCCGGAATTTTGAGTGGATACAACTTGGACCAAGCAGTTATCATCGGCACAGCGGCTGCTGCTTTGTCTCTGAAGTCCGACGTCAGTGTTCCCAGATCGATCAGCTCGGACATTCTCTTCAGTGCGCACAGCACACCCGATTATTCCCATTAAATTGTTATCTTTTATTTTACTAGTATTGTTCAAATTCCTGAGGACAGTAGATTTTATGAAATTCTCATGCTCAGTATTTGTTAGTGCTCACTGCTCATCAATTTTTAATTGACATTCTTATGTCTGATTTGTTATCTCTCCATGTTTTTGAGTGGTTTGCTAGCAGCGAATAATGTTTTCCGCTGATTAACCCCGTTCTGCTCCATTTTTATAGCGAACTGCAACACATTAGATAACAGAAATATGATCTACTGTTATAATATATCATCTACAAAGTCTGACTACATTCTCGTTAAATACAGTACGTCATACAATATTCAATACACCAGGTTTTTATTTGTTGCGAACATACTGATGGGTAGTAACCAGAAAAACAGTGCTGTGGAGTGTGGACGTCAATTACGTGGCCTCCCCTTTGCACGAATTGTGTATGGCAAAGGTCATTCACGATTCCCAGGCGATTTGCAGTGACAAGAGGAGTACGGGTAGTTCTGTTAAACTCTTCGAATTGATTAACCGGAACTTTATTCTAGGCAACCAATAACATAAATTTTCATGAGGATCTTGTTGATCCCTTAGACCGGGGTAGCCACTAGCCACCCTAGTATCCTTAGTTTGTGCACGTTTAGTAATAATTATTCGTAGTAAAATTATTATATCTGTGTTAATGGTACGAGCTGAATTCGTGCTTCAAAAAGCACGAAGTAGTACTTCTATTCTTGAAAACCTTATAATCCAAAAAAGGTTCGTCATGTCAATGGTGGCCAGGGCCGTAGCGAGGTCCGACGGATGGGGGGTGCGCAAATTAGCTGCGCCCCTTTTGAAGTTCGGCCAGCGCCCACTGCGCCCTTGGATTTGAAAGCCTGCGCCCGTTGCGCACCCCTATTCCTCGGGCTTCGTTTCAACCCTGCTCCCTTTGGACAGCAGTTCAAAGTCTACTGTGTGCCTAATTCCCAAATTTACAAAAATTTTATTCAAATTTAACACGGCATTGCGCATGCGCCACGGGCGCACTGGTACCGGCGCCCGTTGCGCCCTTAAAAAATCTCTTGAATTTTGCGCCCTTGCGCCCATACGCCAGTTTCGGGCGCAAAATAAATTCACAAGTTAGTCGAGGAGGGGGGTGCGTGCGCCCGTGCGCACCCCCCCTCGCTACGGCCCTGATGGTGGCACGGATGCTTGGAGGACGACGAATTTCATGCATAAGTTATAAAAAGATGCCAACCCACTGCATTGCACACCATAACTCAGTCACCACTTTTTAATTGTATCTTTTATTTCGAAAACCGATACACTACCGCCAGCAGATAAGAATGACAAAAGAGAACCGAAAGTACAGAAAATATCTTAACGCTTTCTGGGTAAGGAGAGCTTTTGATGGCGCTTCCAGGCAGCACGACGCGATCCGCCGATGGTTTGGTGGTACTTGTGTCCCTTGCCCAATCCACGGGACTTGCGTCCAGCGGAGGTGAGGCCGCGCATCTCGCGGTGCTTAGCCACTGGCTGGCACAGCCACTGCGTCTCCGGATTGCGACGGATGGCGTTATGCGCTGGATCCACCAGGACTACTTCGTAGAACTTGAACGTAGAGTCCTGTCCCACCCAATACGAGTTGACCACTCGCAACGCTGGGCACCGCCGACCAACGCGCTCCTGCAACACACGTCGGATTCACGGAAAACCAGGACAAAAATTTTACAGTGCCTTACATCTGCAGATTCCGTAATTTGGGCTAAACTGTTGCATCACGATTTTACAAAAAAGAAATACTACAACGTCGCACTGAAAGATTATGGAAACAAAACCCCCAACCCAACACTTACGTTCTTGGCGTAATTAGCAAACTGTTACGCCAAGAACGCAAAGGGGGTAAACCACAATTACTATCACATTTCGACTTGTTGGCAGAACTACATCGGTCGATCTGTTCATCGACACTTACGCTACCGCCGATTATTGTTAATGAGTCGCATAAAATATAGATTGCGCGATTCAGTATTGTTACCTCAGCTTTGGACTGAAGGTTGCGCTGCCATTTCAGCTGGTTGATTCCCTGATTGGAGGGCTTTCCGTACACCTGTCCCTTGGAATTTTGTCGCTTGCGGGTTCCACGGCGCACTCGCACACGGTAGATTACGTACCCTGCAAGAGACCCAATCTCTGCTGCATTATCCCGGATTCAGTACGCAGGTGGTTATGCGGATACCTTGTTTAGCCTTGTAGCCTACACGGCGCGCCTTTTCCGGGCGAGTTGGTCGGCTAACACGGTGTACACTGTTCAGCTGACGATACTGCCAACAACGGATGCGCTTCAGGAAGCGCATCACTTCGCTCTGCTTCCTTCGGTGGATTTCTTGTATATATTTGTAAGCACCCATTTTCTGCAAGGTGAAAACCATCATCAATCGATTTATCTAAACCAAGAGTATGAAGGAAAACGAGAGAGACTGAGAATCATTCATTTTCGGATCTATGTATGGGTCGCGGAAAGAAAGTCATTCATAACACGATGGACAAGGCACAGACTTTCCAGAATTACTTCGCCTTCTCAAGATATCAGCCGGGAAGTTCTTCCAACGTTTCACGGAGAACACAAATAACTTAACATCAATATACCAGTGTAATTTTAAAAAAAAGAAGAGAGACGCTTTCAAGCACCTTCACAGTTCCTAGCAAGCAGCAGACTAGCAGTACAGGATGTTCAACACCAGTTTCTTCATCATTCTCGAAAGCATGCAAGACAGACCATGAATCTTTTAAGATCAACTTACCTTTCTGGGAAACTACAGGGAAAAACAAACTATCCCACAAGTCAAACAAAAATGACCAAGTTCTCACTTGGGTCTCCAAAAGAGTTTCCGACCGGGAACACATACGCTGATCATGCCGCTTGGTACACCATGCCGCTTGGTACGGTGCTGGCTTACGTGCGCGTTAAACGTAGCACGTATGTATGTAGCACGCAGACGAGATACGACACGTAGCGTATGCTTAATATGGAAGTAACTGCCGCATTGGCGGCAACGTACACTTCTTCAATTTACACTTTTTCAATTTTAGTTTTTTTCCTTTTCTTCGACTTGGGATTGTTTTGCTACGTGCTAACTCCTTTGATTAACTAATTTTTTTCATGTTTCAATGATTTTGAATTATTGATGGTACTATACTCCCTCCATTAACATTTTACCGCGCTTTTATTACTCCAGTTATTTCTTTACTGGATTTGCTTTGCAGTTCAGCGATGGTGAGTTTTGTGGGCTTGTGGTTTATTAACTTATGATTTTGGAAACTCGTATTTTCGGATTAGGATTTTTTATATATAGTTGTGTATTATCTCAGATGCACTTGTACTGTACCTGTAGATATGAAGATACTGCATATGAACTGATGAATGGATACTGTATAGATAGTCTTCACTCTGCACGACCTTATCTGTTATCATGAGAAATTTGCATGCACAATGCACAATGTAGATGTACAGTTCATTTACAAACAAGCTTGCATTAGCACTTCAGCAGACCACGGTCAATTCTGAACATACCAGCAGTGCTATAAAATTTTCAAGCGTTTTTTTGCTGCACCATCAAAAGATTTCAAAACCAATTATTACAAAAGTTTAAAACTAAGAATAGCCAGCCAACTGTATAACGATAACAATCAACTACAATTTATACTGACCCTCTAATATTGCACGAGAATAACAAAATCGACGAGTGTGTAAAAATCACAAAGCTAATCAATTTGCAGTATAGCTCGAGATAACAACCTACACGGCAGCAAAACTGGGATACACTGGTTCCGTATCTGAGCTTTCACAAATACTGTCGGATGGTGTGGCTTCAGCCAGGACTAGTTTGGGGAAAATAAGTTTGAAGCGCTTAAATTCTTTTGTGTACGACGAAAAAAACAGCACTTCCATCGTAGCAACTACCCATTCCGACACCGAACTGGCAGTGTGCCATTCCCATCCGCCATCCTCCTGCAACACAAAACAAAGCGAATTACAGATAAATTTATGTAACTATCCAGTTATCATGAAAGCAGAAAAATATATTAGCAATCCCAGTTGTTCAGAACCGCAGATAAACTTGGACAGCGAAATACAGGCCACACACCTAAAAGCAATTCAGAGAAACAAAATTCGAAAGGAACCAAGTCATTTTATTCTTTCTGTGTCCGTTAATTCTGCGTACTCGTACTCTACACCTCACGTTTCATGTGAAAACAATCTTTCGTGAAGCAAAGTAAGCACTTTCTTTTCCACCAAACAGTAGGTTCATACGTGATACGCTTAACAATTAATAATACAGTAATGCAAAATAATTACGACTTCACCGTAAATTAACTCCACAAAATGCCGTGAAAATATTGCTAGTTCCCTACCATTGCCAACTTTGTTAAGCCAGCTTAAAAATCAAGCATTATCAAATCTATCAGAGCGCTTCAATTTTTACGTACCGGTAGCCAGTAAACCGGTTGTCGATTGTCCAAAGGCTTGTAATAATGGAAAGCGACAGCAATGGTAACCATCATGTTGACAAACGCCAACAATCCAACAACTGCACAAATCAACCGGAAATGGCACATCCACTTGGACTCTCGTCCAGGGTGAATTTTGTAGGTAATGTAGGTTTCCACCCACATGTAGATGGCTCCCAGGCCGAAAACCATATTAGCACCGACGATGTGCAGTTCAATTTGATTAACCTGTTGATATCCACAAGAAAATAGTTAACAAACTCAAACACAATCCCAGAAATACCTTCTTACGGAATCTTACCTCCTGAAAATTGGCAACAAGACTAACTCCGAATGAACTGATCAAGCCCAGTGTTACGGACAGTCTGCTTAAACATCCGAAACGAGGAAAATTATCGACATGCACGAAATCGCGAAGTTCAATGTAACGTAAATAAACCGTCAACGCAACCAGCACAGCGCCAATGTTTAACAGCTGACCAAAAAAGCAGGATTCCGGGGCGAATGTTCCTGTGTCGCTAATGTACGGGAAGATAGGGGGAACATGATCATTCAGCACTGCCCACACATAAGAGATCAATATGGCGACGGCAAAAACGACTCCAGCAGCCAAAGGGATATGGTGAATAAAAAGAGATACTCGAACAGGAAACGTCAGTCGAAACCTCGGCATTTTGAAAATAAAAAAAATTAAAAGTCACCGACAACTTCCAACAGTGTTAAATCTAATTAAACATTACAGTGATTACAGCGTACACTGTCAGGCATGCTGTGAAAAAGTGAAGCAAGGACAAGGTTGGTAACACAATGCTAACCCGTTACTGTAAATAAAACTAACAATAAGAAAAAAGCACTCCTAAAGAAAGCATAAAGTCGATGTGTCTAGACTCTAAACTAACTCTAATTCAGACCTCAGGTGACACAGTCCTACGAACTAAAGGATACTCTACGCGAGTAAGTACAAAATTGTGATACTAAATTTACTATCATTATAGTACAGACTATACTGTAATTATAATAATGGTATTGTACAACTACCGTATAGCACGTTATTTTCCGTCACTTTTGTTTGCTTCGATGGTTTAGCCGAAAATAACTTCAGAACCAATTAACATAAAATAAGTTACTGTATTATGTCATTAATATACTTGTACTTCCCCTCTCATCACATTTCCGACAAAAATCCAGATCGGATTCGACTCTCGACTCCTAGTGGTCGGTGTGAAAGTGTGTACTATAACCAGGCGTGGCTGTTGGCGAGAAGTGAATGAATGGGCCGAATATGGGTCTTTGATTTCCCTCGATGGATTCATATGCAACAGTCCATTCAAAAACACAGTCGAAGCGCCGATTGAGTCCAAACTGTTGCATGCCGCGTTGCAAATAAACTTTTCTGAAATCGTTACGTACGACTTATTAGACAGAATCTTTACAACAGATGTTAATATTTATTATTACTGCATTATGCGAGTCGGGACTATAGGATGTCGATACATATAGCCTGATACAGGCACATTTTGATTTATGAAACGGCTGCGATTTGCTGCACTCATTTGCAATAAAAGTTTCAATTGTTTCGATGTGTTGTTATGCCGCTGGCACTGTTATTCCAATTAGCAGTAAGCAGTAAACACCAGTCTCATGTTTGAATAGCAGCTGTGTACAGAATTTTTCTCATAATATTTCCGCTTTTCTAAACCGTGCTGGTTTTAAAACCACTTTATGCTCATTGGTCATTAATTATCGCTCATATTGTTATACAGCCACTGCTAGTGTTGTACTATTCTTGTAGACCGGGCGGACTATTAGCCATAATTTCTGCCGAATACTGGAGTCGCAGGAGTTGGCAGCCATTGGCCATGGCTCTGTCGATAAAGGATGGATCGTCATGTAATGCTTTTTTCTGGATTCTGAATGGATTTCTGGGATTCGCTTTGGTAAATAATATCGTTAAGCGCATTCAGCCGGAAAGTGTCCGAGCCTCGGAAAAGACCTCATGGCGATGGTGCAACACGGCAACATCGCTGGTACATGGAACGGTTTCCGGGATTTGGTGTTTGACGTGGTACGCAGTTTCATGTTGACTGTTGTGTACATGACAAAATGTACAGTATATGTATGCAGCACGGCAGCATCCTTGGCTTTTTTTTGTATTATTCACTTTCAGTGCATTCTCATTAATTTTTAGGTGTGAATTTAGCCTAACTTTTAATCGCTAAGTAGCGTTACCGAATTTTCAGTGAAAATTACCTCGCATGATAAGTAATGTCACATGCGTTAATTTAACGTTTAACATCTTGCGCAATCGGCGGCTCGAGTAAATAATTTGTAAACGTTTGCTTCTGTATTGTTTGCCGTATTTTCAGTGCATGGCTGACACCGGAAATAATAGCCGATCTGGTTCAACCGTACTCAAGTTTTTCGCAGGCAGCAGTTGCGGTCTCCGTTGGTAAGTCGCTTTTTCAAGTACTGCCGGTGCACCTGTTGCTCAATTTACAAATTGAGCTCAGCTTACACAGTTAACAGTAGATTTCAGTGTTGACTTTAGGAGTGGTTGCACATATGATACATCATCAAATATCTATCCGTGCGTACAAGAAAACGGACTGCAGTAGTTTATGATTAAAATTCAAATTAACCAACATTACGAATTTTAGCACGGTATTAAAATGCAGCTTAATGTCGTCAAACTTGTTTGGTTGTAGTCATGTAGATGCAGAATAATCCTCATTGTCGACTGTTTTCAGGGTATTTTGTGTACGATTTCGTCGATATAGCCACACATAAGCCAAACCGGAAATCACTGGAAATGATGTTGCACCACGTTGTGGTATGTTCAATGTTGTGGATTCAGCAACTGGCTGAGAAAAAAATTTGACGTTAACACCTTTTTTAATTTTTTATACACTGTCATTGTTTAGAAAGAAGAAGAAAATTAGTTGTATTTAAGGTAATAAGTATTTCAACGATTGGTATTCCAGTCAGTGTTATAGTAAACTGTTACATCGTTATTTTTTAACACGCTGAAAATTTTTCGCTTTAAATTTTCTCCCAACAGTTCAACCGCATAACCTTATAACTTTTCTGTTCATTGTAAAGGAAGAACTGTGTAATTATTTGTTCACTTCACTGCTCATAAAACGCATTATTCTGCGCAGTCGTGATAGTATTTTAAAACTGAAGTTGAACTGGGGACGGTGAAATTGCGGTGTGCCTATCTTGTAATTTTCTTCTTCGTCTTGCGGTACAAGTGCTGTTTTGTGCTTCAGACGCTCCTGGATAAGAGGTAAACGAAATAATGGATACAGAAATCACACCAAAGAACTGATCTTTTAACTTATTATTTAAGCGGTGTTGTATTGCTCAGGTGACCACTTGCTTGGGAATAGCCGCTATCCAGCACCACTACATAGGATTTGCCATCATCTCTTTAATGGTGGAAGTGAACAGCATGTTTCTTCATTGGAGGCAGTTGTTCCTTCTCACGGGAGTGCCGAAAATGTCCACCCAGTATTCGGTTGTAAAATATTTGAACATTGGTAATGAAAACTGTGTAGTCACACTTCAGTAGAGGTGATTTTCTTTATTTGTTTCTGGCATGTAGGCAGTTTCATCATGTTCCGGATATCGACGTTCGTCTACATGCTGCTCTGGCATTACATTAATTTCCATAAAGTGACCAGTCTCTTCTGCTCTACGGTGGCGTGTACTGGAATTGTTCTGGTTTTTATCATGAATTTTGTGCTATTATACCGGATCATCCAGGCGGATATCTTTTACCGTCGTAAGTGTTTTTGAGTCGTTGACAAAGTATCAAGCCGGGAAAACCGAACCTGTGACGTTTTTTTCCAGCTGTTCAACCTGCACCGATTTGTGTAGCCGGAACGCAATAACAGATGCCATCGGTACGTTAAGAACTTCTGACCGAATGACGTGTTCCTTGCATATTCAGATCGACCAAATTTTGCCAGACAATGGACAAGTCAATGGACAAACCCGTCGTTTACTGTTGGTGTTTACAATTTTACAGCATGAAGAGCATTTAGTTTGACGGTGGTTTGTGCTTGTCGGTATTATTGTTGTATAAGATTTTCTAGTTTTTATCTGTACAGGATTCTGGAAGTGAAAGTATTATTCTCTACGCATCTTATTTTTGTAAACAGATAAGCGCTTTGAGCAGATTCAAGTGCAAATGAATATAATAAAAGTGTATTAATAATATAAAAGTATATGAATGTGACTGTTACATGTCTGTAGGGTAGATATTCTTGGGATCATATCTGTATGATCCCAAGATTGACTGATCAATCACCTCACCAACTAATAATAAATCCTAAATGAATATTTTTAAGAGTAAAATAACAAGCTGCGGTATAGTAAAAGTAAATATAGATAGAATACAAATCTATGTCAGCAGTCATCCCATTTTAAATCCTGTACTAATTTTAAGGACGTAAAATGTGGCTCGTATAAATTTGTACTCGCGCACACTTCTAAAGAATTTCACTAAATGCCATTAACGCAAATTTGTCACGTAAAGCTCATTAGTAATCAATCAAGTTCTATGCTTTTTTAGCCGGTTTAATATGTTTGTAATGTACATTTTACCATAATGTACATAATGTACATTTTTTTGTATCGTGCACATAAGGGCATACCGTCTTATAAATATCAATATTTCGCAACAATTTTTGGTTAAAAGCCTTCCGGACTCGTAGTACAAACAGTTGTATTCTATCATCGCGTTTGCTTGCTTCAGACAGATTCACATCGTGTTTGAATCGCGTCAGCAGCTGATAAACAGCATAGCGCAACTTCTGTGTCAGCTAACTGCAGTTTCCACTTTCCAGCTGTTAGCAGTAAGCAGCGGCGTAACAAGCGCAAAGGTTTGGGGTGGGCCACAAGTACTGGCTTTGGGGTAGGCCGTTCCCATAGACTCTATGCTATAACTTTTCGTTTGGGGTGGGCCGTGGCCCCCAAATTATTAGGCTCGTTACGCCACTGGCAGTAAGTAATAGGTACTGCTGTATTAGTGATTCTCATAATTAGGTCAATACACGTTCCAATTTTTTAGAAATTGTGCGTTATTTTCATTTTTCGATCTGGAGTATTATCGATTGCTGTATTTACTGTTGGCTTTAATAATTTTTAGAAGAGTTGTAAGGACGTCCGTACAATGAGATAGATGCTTTGCTGCTGGAGAGCCACTTGCCAAAGGAGACTTTGAACGAACAAGATAACCAGATTCAGAATCTTCGGCTAGTTCCCATTGGATTTGATTTTCGTGTCTTATCTCGCAGTATCTGCACAGTACGCAGAGGACAATTTCGGGTGCTGGTAGCCTGGTAAGCTAATGTTTGTGGAGTTGTGTGCGGGCTTGACTGATTGACAGAATTTGAGGCATCCATTGCTGTTACCTTTAAGATTTTGGTAACACTGACTTACCATTTTTTGTCTACTGTTCAAATATAATACATTCATGAAAATAAATTTCCGAAATCAGGGTTCTGGGTTACTTGGTTTTCCGATTTTATTCTTGGATTCCTTCCGTTTTTTGCCTTAAAGGTTTTTGAAAGTACGGTATTGAAGCAGTTGATCTTATACGGCGTGACCATATGTTTACTTTGGTTGGTAAAGTTAAAAGCAGAAAAGGAAAATTCGCTCTCGCATTGGTGAGCTGGTGGTATGCTAATAGAAAACCGGTTTGCTTTTTACAGGAACAGCACTTTATATGGCGCAGCTTGGCGCTGCAAATATCTTCAAATAATGTAGTTCAGTGGAATCCGCATGTGTTGAGTCTCCTTGTGTGAGGCGGTTTATCGGATGAATTTCCACCATTTTCGCAAAGGAATATCTTTTGCGATAACGTTGAATTCTGCCATCATCGACTGGCAGCCCGTCTGCTGCCTGGCTTCGCTTCGGAAAAATGAATTTCGAATTGGTCGATCTCAACCAGCCCTCAGCGGAAGTGGACATTTCCGTGAGTTGCAGTGCATTTGTAGAGAAGTTATTGATTATTACTTGGAACATTTTTGCGAAATACCTCAGTTAACGTAATACATTCATCGAAAATTTAAACAGGTATGATATCAGAGTTTACTTACCAAGTTACCATTAGTTACTTGTTAGGTGAAATTAAAATGCCTAATTATGGGCTTTTGCAGCGAAGAATGTCGGTGTTATTCTTGTAATGCATCTGAAATAATTTATCAAACAATAAAAAGTGCTTGCTGTTCATTCAGATTACGGGAATGACATGCGCTTCCTGTGTGAACTCCATCGAGAGTGGAATGCGCAAGGTGGAAGGCATCAAATCCGCTTCCGTCGCTCTGACCACGGGCAAAGGCCGATTTCAGTACAATCCGAAACTGATAACGCCCGAACGCATAGCGGAAGAAATATCGGTATGCTGCTTGCGTTATTTGACATGCATGTTGTGCTTTTGTCACTCTTTGATAACGATGCATTGTTGCGTTTTTGTCAGGACATGGGATTCGATGCCACTGTGATAGGAGAACATAAAACTTACGACATCGACCGCACCGAGGAAACCGTTGATCTTATAGTAATCGCGTTCTTTTCGGTGCCATGATTGTTGTCTCTATAAACAAAAATTGTACTTACTTGATGACGAAAAATTGTGCTCTGTAGATTTCTGGAATGACATGTTCGTCATGTGTCCACACGATAGAATCGGGACTGGCGGACCTGCCGGGCGTTTTATCAGCGTCTGTAGCGCTGTCCCTCAGTAAGGGTCATTTCCGGTTTGACCCGACGAAAACCAACGCTCGAAAGATTATGGAAGCCATAGATGTACGTTGGTTTTACCGTAAAATGCTGATTTATCGTACCCTTTCTTGTTATTTTTGGTTGTTGCCGTAGCCCAGAAGTGCGTACCTTGCTGCCTTCTGTTCGCTTGGCATTATGTTTTGCTCCGTTTGCGAAGTTGATATATTTTTATCGATTTTTGTGATATATATGAGGTCATGTAAGTGCGTGTAAGCCATATTATATGTACTACGTATGGCGCAAAGATATTATTTCGTTTTGGATTGTGAATTGTAGGATATGGGTTTTTCCGCTTCGTTGCCGTCCAAAAAGGTGTTTGATCCTCAAAAAGAACACCGAGAAAGTATTCGCAAATGGTTCCACTCCTTTTTGTGGTCATTAATATTCGGTCTCCCCTGCATGATTATCATGCTGATTTTCATGACGCGCCATTCACAAGGATTCCACAGCGAGGATCTGGTGCCTGGTCTTTCGTTGGAAAACCTTCTGCTTTTCTTAACCAGCACACCCGTTTTGGTAAAAGTTACCTGTTGCCTGCTGCTTTGCTTGAAGTAATGATGGAGGGCGCTGTTGTTGTTTCAGATATTCGGTGGACGATTATTTTTTGTCCAGGCCTTTAAAGCAATTAAACATCAATCGGCCAACATGGATGTACTGATCATGCTTGCCACAACCATATCATATGTTTACTCCTTGGTTATGGTTATCGTAGCAATGGCGCTGCGATTGCAAAGCCCGATGGTCTTTTTCGATACGCCTCCGATGCTGCTGATGTTCATTTCTCTTGGGCGCTGGCTGGAGCATAAAGCTAAGGTTTGTGGTTGCATTTGTTTATTCTCTGATGTAGCTTTATTAAACGTTGTATTTTGTTGAAAACTCACCGGAGATTGAGAAAAACTGTACTGTACCAATAATGCACAAAATTCTTTAAATGCGGTTTTGTTTACAGAGTAAAACGTCGGAAGCTCTTGCCCGACTTCGCTCACTTCAGGCTACGGAAGCAATACTATGCGAAATAGATGGACAGAATAATATCTTATCCGAAAGATCCATAGATATCGAATTGGTGCAGCGAGGAGATGTATTGAAGGTTGTTCCTGCAACCAAAATCCCGGTTGATGGTGTTGTGATCGATGGCAGCAGCAGTGTTGACGAATCATTAATTACCGGCGAAGCCATGCCGGCGCCGAAGCGCCCAGGTCAGTGCAGGCCGAATTCCATGTGGAGAACATAATTCTGTTTTGTGTTTCTTCAAATACAGAATGAAGATGAAGTTTTTCAAAATTGTAGTTTGTATGCTTTCTGCCGTTTTATTTTGTTATTGTTTTGTGTGTGCACATTATTTGGTGGAAGGTCTCATAATTTTGCTCTGTGTGGTAGATGATGTGGTAATCGGTGGGTCCGTCAATCAGAACGGTGTTCTGATTATTCGAGCCACACATGTTGGATCGGATACCGCCTTGGCTCAGATCGCGCGATTAGTGGAAGAAGCTCAAACAAACAAAGCGCCAATTCAGAAATATGCCGATAAAATTGCCGGCTACTTTGTGCCGATGATCATCAGTGTGTCCATGATCACTGTCGTGGCTTGGATCATTGTTGGCTATGTGGATCCCGAGGCCATTCCAGACTCCATGGCTGGTGATAGGCACACTTTCGTTACTGGAGGCAACGGGAATGACCATAGTACCACGCAGCACCACATGTCGTCAGCAACTTCGAGCGCCATGACAAATAGCACGGTATTTATCAAAAAATGCTGATCAGAGGATAGTCGGAATTCAAAATATTTCTGGCCGTAAAGCGAATTAAATCAATGTCATCTGAAATTATTATTATAATTATCTTCAGATATCTGTACAGTACCTGCGCTCTGCATACGGTTGTTATTCGTATTTTCAAGAAACCCCGATTTTTCTGTAGTGGCATTGTTGGCGTTATAACGTTTTCACGATAGTTATGTTCTTATGCTGTCGGTATGTTCACAACTTCACACTACCAACCTCGTAATGTTTCGTTGATTGGTAAAAAAAACCGAATTGATTTCACGGTGTTTTTGTTTGTTTGCAGCCGGGTATCCACCATGTGGACACCTCGTACCACCCCACTGACGAGCAGATTTTCGAGTTTGCCTTCCGCTGCGCCCTTAGCGTTCTTGCCATTGCTTGTCCATGTGCATTAGGTCTTGCCACTCCGACGGCTGTGATGGTTGGTACGGGAGTTGGGGCTTTGAACGGCATTTTAATCAAAGGCGGCGAGCCACTGGAAACCGTACACAAGGTCAGGTGCTTCGGACTGGTATTACGAGTCAGCGCATAGTTAGTCATGCTAATTGTTTTGCAGATAAAGTGTATTGTGTTCGATAAAACCGGTACTTTAACATACGGAATGCCACAGCTGACCAAATTATGTCTTTTTGTTGACCATGCTGTTTGCTCCATTGGAAAATTCCTTGCCATCGTCGGAACGGCGGAAGTCAACAGTGAGCATCCTATAGCCGTTGCTATTACCAAATTCGTGAAGGAGGTAAGGAATGTTGATCAGTAGTTTGGTACTGGACTGTTTTTGCTTCACTGCTTCTTCCGTTTAGATTCTCCAGGTGGAGAGTTTTGCTAAGTGCAGCGATTTCTACGCCGCCCCGGGGTATGGCCTGAGTTGTAGAGTGGGCAATTTCGAATCATTGGTATCGTTATACGAGCAAAAGGATCGGTTAGAAATTTCCATGCATTCGAAAGATGTGAAGTTGTCCGGAGTGACCGTGGAGTCACTGCCTCTACTGAGTAGTCGTAACGCTACGCCGCAGACGGAGAACCGAACCTCGCTTGTACAGCAGAATGGCGCCACGCACCAAATACTCATCGGAACCCGTGAGTGGATGCGACAGAATGATGTCGCCGTATCGGATGAAGTCGATGAGATGATGGTTCGACAAGAAAGCCGTGGTGAAACCGCTGTCCTGGTGGCCATTGACGGTAATTATATTGTCTTTCCGTGCAATTCGTATAAGTATTCAGATAGTACGGGTAGCTTGTGACATTCTTAACTCGTATATTTTTCAGAATAGCGATTGTTAGCCGAACCCTTTATTGTGTTTGTCATAGATTTTCGCGCTTGTTCCTAGTGTTTTTTTGTCGGAATTCAGACTAACTTCGCAGTTTCGCACTGGCTTCGCACACATCTGAAATGTATATCAGAGCAGTTAAGTATATTTAAATATTAATTATTATGTGTTCAGGATTGTTAATCGGCATGATGGCGGTGGCCGACAAAGTAAAGCCCGAAGCTCGTCTGGCGGTATACACTTTGCAGAAGATGGGTCTGGATGTGGTTTTATTGACCGGCGACAACAAACGGACCGCGAGAGCTATCGCTGCTGAGGTACACTGTTATAACTAGCTTACCTATTTTGCAAGAATTCTGATTTGGCAAGTTCTGATTTGACGAGCACGTTTTCTGTGCTTTACAGGTAGGGATTCGCCGGCGAAAAGTATACGCCGAAGTTCTTCCTTCACAAAAGGCGGAGAAGGTGCGTCAGCTGCAGCAGAATGGAGTGCGGGTAGCGATGGTGGGTGATGGGATTAATGATTCGCCGGCGCTGGCGCAGGCGGATGTGGGAATAGCCATTGGGTCGGGAACTGATGTGGCCGTGGAGGCAGCGCAGATAGTCCTGATACGAGTAAGAAAGATACAATTTTGCTATTCCGTTGAGAACAAGGTGACAGTTACCGGTTTCTGTTGCAGAATGATCTCATTGATGTTGTAGCAGCTGTTCTCTTATCCCGAAAAACGGTGAAACGCATACGGATTAATTTTATTTTCGCTATTGTGTACAATATTATCGGCATTCCAATCGCTGCAGGTTAGTGTCTTTGGAGAAATTTCTGAATTTTTGATCGTTTTTTGGCAGCATTGCGCCGTATAGCTTTTTTCCGTTCGCTTGATAGCGTAGACTGGATACGCAGATTTATTAATGGTTTTTCATTTCTCCGCTGTGCACAGGGGCGCTTCGGCCACTGCGGATTGTGATCGATCCGTGGATGGGCGCGGCGGCCATGGCGTTGTCCTCCGTGTCCGTCGTAACGTCCTCGCTTTTATTGAAAAACTTCCGTAAGCCCACGAGGGAACAACTGGAAACCCCTGAATTCCTCAACGGCGTTAGTCCCAGTAATCAAATTGAGTTTTATCCTGATCGCGCGTCCGATACGCCGACGGGCAGCGCCAGCGGCAGCGACGTGGAGACCGACTCCATTGTTTTTGACATGAATGACTCGTTGACGCGACGGTTGAAGAAGGTGATGCACGGTGGCAAGAATATCAGAAGGAACAGCGATCAAGGCTATCGTTCTGTCTCGATGGCGTGATAACCTCGACATGCGTGGAAGGCGTTCTAAAGTGTCTGGAAAATGTATTTATTCGTTGATTCTAGTTGATTTTTCTGTGAGACACGGTTTTAATGGAAACTAGTCCACTGATTTCTGCGTTAAGTTGCATTTTTACTTTTTATTACTGATGATGTGCAGTGTGCTCTCGCTGCACATGGCAAATTATATGGTGATAACTGTAAATGTCCAGAAACAGCTGTGAATATGAAAACATAAATCGATTTAGTTTAGCGATTTCTTCGAGTGCATTTAATGAAAAACTGAGAGCAGTGAGAGGCAAACGACAAAAGCTCAAATTAAAAGCAACATGGAAAACTGGGAATTCTTTAATTTCCCCTCAATATTTAAAAAATTAAGTGCAATGAACAAACTTAATGAAATATCAACAACAACGAAAAATCATTAGGAAATGACGGGGGAAGAGACCGAGGCCAGAACGCGAAGCGCTCAACATAAAAAATTATCCCGCATTGGTTGGTGCGGAAGCTGAATGGCGAGCAAAGGGAGTTACTCCTTCATTTCGCCGTCTTCCTCTTCTTCGTCCACTCCACGAAGGTAAAGCACATTGTTGCAGCGAATCAGCACCTCGCCCAGGTTTCCCGTTAGGGCGCCTTCCACGTACTCTTCGGTATTGGCCAACTGGAGATTCATATAGCCGTCCACGGACACCAAGAACCCCCGATATTCCAGGCCCCATTTCAGCTTCACAATCACTGATTTGCCAGTGAGGGCGTTCAAAAAAGGCTTGGGATTCAAGGGAGTACCAGAAGACATTCTACAATACCGTCAACCGGTAACAATCTGTATCCAAATTCCGTTGATAACGGATCAAACCAAGTCGGTTCTTGAGATGTGAAGAGAATTCAATCGACTGATTGCTGTGCAAACTGCAGTGGATTCGCGAAGCTACGGTGGTGCAGAGCAAACTAGGCTACTAGCAGACCTATAACTGTGAAAAGAAGGGACATCAACAAAACCAAACCGTCAAAAAAAGCTCTGAACCACTTTGTTGATAAGCGAAATGCAAGTACTTAATACGCTGGTGTGACCGTAAATTTTGTAATGTTAAATTTTGTAATGGTACCGTAAATTTTTCAAATCAGTTGAAGTCCGAGCGTCGTTGAGAAAACGCGTGTACCAAGCGAGCCGCCATTCGAGGCGGTTGTCGATTAGTTGTATTCGTTTGATCGTTTCTCGGCATCTGAATTATTGTGTTCGTTTCGATTTTCGATTAACAATTTTATTGATCTCCTCAGACAAATTGCGAAAGTTCTAGCAATCTTTACACCGAAATACCAGCAACACTAACACAGTCGTTAACATAAGATTCTAAAAAAACCGCTACCGAAAGAACAATCATACCAAATGTATCTGTCCTTACAGCGTCAATTCGTTACTGGGAAAACCAAAAACTTACACAACGATATAAAGTCCACACGTCTTGCCTGGAGGGTCAAATCCCGTTGCATCAAACCACGGGTACGAATACGAACACTGCGCAATAACAGCTACCATTCGCGCCAGCAACGCAGAAAACTGCAAAAGCACAACAAAATCTACGGAATCATTCAGCGCGGAGTGGCATCGCCTGGATTCCGGTTGCGCGCCGCGGCCATCCACGCCGACACCGCCGCCGTTGTCGGTGTGGCCCCCTCTTCAGCAGCATTGCCCGCGGGGGCCGCCGTGTTAGACTTGTTAACCCAGGCAGCGGCTGCCGCACTCCAGTTGGTCGATGAGGCTGGCGTGGCACCCACAGACTGCGGGGTTGCCGGAGTGGCCCCCGATGGCTGACCCGTCATAGCCTGCTGCCACATCTTCGCCGCCGAGCTCCAGGCTGTCGTTCCCGCCACGCTCGATCCCGAGGGAGTGACGCCGGCCGGTGTCTGATGGACAGCCGCCGCATTAGCATTGCCGCTCGGAGTCCGGGGAGTGGCGAACGTCATCGGAGTAGCAGACATGGCAGTCGTCTGTAGAGGTATCAAATTCAGTTACTTCCAGAGTGAGTTTAATAGTTAAACTGCAACCATATTTCCCAATTTACAGATATAAGGCTGCACTTCTACTCATAATTCGCAGGATTCCAACTTTAACATCATACGTAATGTTTTTCCTTTTATACCATACACAGAGTTAACTTCAGTCAACAAACTCACGAACAAAGTAATGCATCCAGCACTCCATTCAGTATTTTCACGATAAAACTATGAAAATATCTTATCGCTCACCCCAGCGACTTTAAGCTTATCCCAGACGTGCTGCGGCATATTTTGTACGACGCTTGTTAAATGGGCGATGTTTGGAACTCCCATGTGAGACGGAGTAGGTGTTATCAACATCGATCCAGTGCCCGGTGTAACAGAAGTACCGTGCGGAGTATTCAAGGAAGCTAACAGCAGATTGCGCTTGAAAAGTGAAGAACGCGTGTAAAGAGGCTTTTAATGCACAAAACCATACCTGGTGGTGGTTCCTGGAAATGATTTTTGAAGTACGCAAGCAACTTCAGCATACTGGAGAGCGGTTGGCGACGGTAAATGTATCCTGCCGGCGTCACGGTTACGAACTCCTCACGAACGTTCTGTCGAGGCAAGTGGCACAAGAAGAATCTTCTGGGTAAACTGGCAAAAGCACTAAAACAAAAAGGAATGCGGGCCGGATTGCGGGACTTTTCTTCCCGGAGCCATGCATCGATAACGGTCCGCTGCGCAGCGTGAGTTGTCGGTTGGCCGAAGTGCGAATCGACGTAGTATTTGTGGTCCATGATTTCCTAAACAGATTCAGTTCGCAGTAAGTTTCTACACAATCTGTAAACTTCGGATTTAACTAAAATCTGAAAACCTCATGTACCTTAACAAATACAGCCATTGGCTGCACATATCGTGCTAGAATTTCATCCAGATCGTCAAAAGTCTGCAACGAAAATGCTGCAGAGATAATCATAAAATATGGCAAATCCTCAGCTCTAACCTCATCACCGATGACCAGCTTCTGGCCAAGGCTAAAAACGTTTTCCTTCTCTTGTTCAACAATCTCCACGTGATCATGAATGCCTTCCGCGACTTTCCATGACAAAGTCAGTTTGTTATTGCCTTTGCTGCTAGGACGTATTACACATTCACCCAGCGGTTGCGTCTTAAGATAGCTTTCTGCTTCCATATAATCAAAGTTTTTGAAAGACGGATGGGCAATAACACGCTTCAGATAATTTCTATAAAACAGTGCTTTGAAATGAATGAACTATTTTCGAATGAATCCACAGTGCCACAAGCAATGAAATGTGCCGTACAAAACTTACATTTTCGGTGCTCGTCTCTGTTGTTTCTTAATTTCTTTATCCACGGCTGTTTTCTCTGCTGCCGGATCATAGAACGCATCTCGAACCGACTTGTCTTTAGCCAAATCCGAACCTTTACATGTAAACTCGCCGTAGAACTTCTCAGCTGAAAAGTCGCCTACTAAGCGGGCATGGATAACCATTCCAACCTAAACAGAATATCGTTTACTACAATTCGCAAACATGCCCTAAGAAACTAGTGCCTTACTTTAACCCGATCCTGAGGAAAGAATTCTTCTTCGCTGTTGTATTTATCGCTAATATTCTGCAACTTAATCACTCCTGTCACTCCATTATCCAGAGCTACTTTGACTCCAGCAATTTTCCCGGGACATTGGCTGGGCTCATCCAGAATATGACCGATCACCTCCAATTTTGAGGCGAAATCTCGCTGTCGACAACGCGCGCAGTACCATGTTTCATTCTTTCGTTTCCTAACGTACTTCGCATCGTCACGCCAGCTGTCTGACCTTAGGTCGTCTTCACTCTTATCGGAACGATGATAGAAAAATCCCGTAACCTGCAGATAATTTTCAATCGCTTTACTTATCATTTGTTTGGCGAATGTCAGTATCAAAAACTGATTAACATCTGGCGTAACAGTTATTACTAACAGTTATTACTACGCGCATACCGTAACTGTAAACAACCGCTCAGGAACGTAGGCCTTCGAATTTTCCCCTGTTATGAGCTGGAACATCAGCGATGCATTCTGTATTGCGCTTTCATAAAGCGGTCGGTAATCAGCAAAAGATTTAGTCAAAACATGGCGAATATCCAAAAGCGTAATCCTCTTATTCCCGAAATTCTAAAATATATAGAGCAACTCCCCTTATAATTTAGCCAGTGATTATGATTCAGCCGCGATAAAACAAACCTGACGCTCTAGTTCCTCGCTAAAAGCGTTCAAATCAAGTTCCCATAATTTCTTATTGGCGGCATCATTGTCAAGAATCTCTTGCAAAGCCTCGCTTGGATTGGCACCTTCGTTGGATTCATCGTATTCCAGAGCATCGACAGCCATTTTACGAGCCCAGTCGTAAGTTTCCGGATGAACTCGAGTAGCATCGAGTGGCTATATATCCAGAACAACAACGACCACTTTCAGATTAGAAGGTCATTTATCGTATAACAGTTGTCAGAGAGAACTTAAGCTAACCTCAACGTACTGCTCTCCAGTAACAGTATCACTTAGATCGTTCACATTAATCTTGAAAAATCCAGCGCAATTAATGAAGACCTGCAGGCAGTTGGACCAAAAATTACACTTGAGAAAATATCATACGATAATAACATTTGAAAAAAATTTGCATAAAACGTACCCTAGGTCCCAAACGGCACACCATCACCAGTTGATTCCTGCTGACGATGACACCAGTTTGCTTAACCAAACTAAGCAGACGCTGAGCCTTCCGCGGTCCCAAACCACAAACAAACTGTACGACGTTTCCATGAGTTGCTGGATGGTTCACACATTCGTTAAGATCAACTCCAACTTCATTAACCCGCCTGACAAATTCAACTTCCAGAGTGCGACGGAATTCGTCCTTTGACAACATGTTCTGTAAAGTTCAGAAATTATTGTTTCATACTCGGAATTATATATCAGCATCTCGCAATGACTTGTTTAGGTAAAGTTAAAATTGCTAATCCGATTTTGGCTCCAGTAGTTTATAATTTAAAAAACTGACTTCAGTAATGTTTTCGTTATAGTGCTGAAAACATTCGAGAAATATGGTAATTGAGGTAAATCGTACGTTTAAACCTCCTACAAAAATATAACTTCGCTAAAAACGCGGCCCTGTACCAAAGCGTAGGTATGTTAAAATATACAGTACTTCTGTAAAATATTATTCGAAAAAAGTCGGAATGTTGTCACCTGAAGTGGATGGATGTTTAAGTTCAGCAGGTCATCATCCAGATTGAACAACTGAGCAAAAGCCAGCAGAGGATCCAACAAGCGACGTGCGATGGAAACAGCCTGTCGCTGAATTGGGTGATAATTTGGAAATTCCGCCCGTCCAGTTTCAGAATTCTGATACAACAAGCTGAGTCGATTATCCACAACTTCAACTTGAATATCCGGAAGCTTTTCTTCATGACGAAGCCGATCAATTGCATCTAGTCAACAAAAATTTCCGTACATAATACTGCACTGACAAGGAGCATAATTCAGTATAACTGCTAGCAGGAGTAGACTCAGAGGTGTCAAACACAAACATAATTATTTACAGTACCACGAAACAGACTTACTGTGAATCGCAATTCGAACGTCTATAGCTCTCCTTGATTCGGAAGCAACAGCAATAACGTGGGGCCTTCGCTCCAAAATGAAATCCATAAGCTTCGCTATATCATCGGAATTGACACGTTCGCCGACTTTTTTCCTAACGTTCAGTAGAGTCGGAAGCTTGATGCTTTCGATCACATCGCCGTATGCATCTGTAGCTACAGCAAATCCTGGTTGATCCCTAAAATGCAAATATTCACCCCTGAAACACGCTTTGTTAAGCAGATTTTTAAACATAAACATACCAATTATTTTCAAAAGCCACTCCGACAACTCTGATGCCGTTGGAGAGATCCCACAAATTATCCCACTGATCTTTCTCCCCACTTGTCTCGACATTTCTGGTGTATGGCGCAATATTGATCCATTCGAAAAGGTTTCTTCGGATGTTTAATTTAACAAAAACTTTCGCTTCCGCCATCAACTTTTCGTGGACTTCTTTGGCAAATACCGGGTATAAAAACCCCTTCAATGCTTTCTCCACTGCTTTCGACCGGTAGACGTTCCATGACTGAATGTCCTTGCCAAATTCATCCTGAACAATTAAATTTTAAAAAAAGGTTCACTACGGAAAGTATCCTGGAAAGCATGTACGTACGGTAACGTACCACTGTGAAAAACGCAACAATGCTGGCAAACAGAGGATCGTTGCCGCTTTCGTTTGGGCCCACGCCGATTTCAACTTCCAAAAGGCCTTCTTGCTTAGACTGTTAAAACATTAAACACTACATCAGTACATGAACAGCAAAGACACACCAAAGGTCGATCAGACACACCTGTAACAACTTGATGTACTGATCATCCTGGAGCGATTTTATCGGCTTATTCTTCAAAAACTTCATCGGAAAACAGGGATGATTCTCATCAATTTCCTACAAAAAGAGTTCTGAAATTCAAAATACACTGACACAATTGCCAAACCTATGCCATCGTACCTTGATTCCTCTGTTCGTAGCCCGGACATTGACGACGGCATATTCAAAATACTTTTTTCTGACAATTGCGCGAAATTTTGCACTGCGAGCAATCGAGGAAGCCAGCATAAAAACACTGCCGTTTAAAACGTCGTTCGCTGTTGGAAAGCGCCTATAACAAAACCGAAAGGATAAAACCTGTACATGAGAAAGGATGCAAAACCATAGCCTACTGAGAGACAAATCCTTCGGCCAGTATTTCCGGATCAGGTTGATCTCGATCTGGCTCCGTCACCGTGTAATCGCTGTCCACATTGGCAATGAACTCTTCGACAGTCAGACCGAACTTGTTTACAAATTTATCTAAGACAAAAGAGCAAAGTATGTGGATAATGAACGTTCAGTTTACCAAGACCTCACCAGACATGACATAGCATAACACTTTATTCGTTGTAGCAAAAAACACTTCGTGGCATTTCCTCGCGGAAATAGTTCCGTCGGTCGTGGTATATATCGAGAATACATGAGACGTTCTATAGTCTATAATTATACGGCTTGTTTCTGAACAGTGTACGGGAGTCAGTAACCAAATTGTGACACGCACCTGTTCTGCAACAATTTTGGAGGGTAGCTAAGTACTATACAATGTACGACGAGAGCATACTATTTACAAAGCAGTCCATTCTTATTTCTTAAATTTATTGTTGATTTTGTTTGCCATACTGCTGGGCCGCTGGCAAAATTTTGCCAGCTGTCTAGCAGCAACGTAGCTGAAGTACGCGTGCGGCGGCCCATGGAGCACGCTGCTGGAATAAAAATCTTCAAAAATTCGTAATTTTATAAATTTTAGTGTTAAATTCTTTTGTATAAGCTTAAAAAAAACAAAATAACGCATACCGTTAGGCAAAAAAACTGATTCTCAGTTGTTTTCGGGTTATTCACTGTGAGCCTTTGCTGCTAACATAAGTACCTGTCTATGGAAGACTCATTCGAGATTTCTCATAGGCGGCTATGCTAAGCACGTATGCTCTGAGTGCCAAACCTTGAGATCAAACCAGAAAATCAGTTATTCTTCCTAATAGTATATATTATTTTAAATTTCTTAAGCGCATATAGAAAAATTCAGCACGGAAAATAACAAAGTTACGAAATTTCGAAGATTTTCATTCCAGCAGCGTGCTGCTGGAACGAGAATGTGCTCATTTTAGCACCCATTTCCTGCCTGAAATATTGAAATTAGCCCCTTTGGTGTGGATTGAACCAAAATCAAAAATTTGATATTTTGAAAAAACCCGCTAACAGGTGCACTGTAACTGACGCAATCGCAAACAGGCGACGGTTTAATGCAGTTTCTCACGGCTGGTTGTTTTTCTCGTACTTGCAAGATGACTCCAACTCTTGTGGCTCGATCAGTCATTGTTTAAAACAATCCAACTTCAAAAATTTAGAACATGCTGCTTTCTGTGACAACTTTTGTCGCTGCCAGGAAATTTCAAAACATGCGGAATCACGCTTATGAAACGTTTAAGTTCATTTTGAGTAAGTGATTAGAATGCAAAATCGATTTTGTACGTTTTACTCCACAGCCACCGCCTTCAGTTTTTATGGTGCTCGGGAACCGGCAATCAGAATTTTCCCTTGATCGGTTTTAAATGAAAAGGCAAGTTCTAAATTAGAAAATTTAAAATTAGAAATTCAGCATGTTCTAAAAACACTCAGCTGTTTTTCTAATTTAGAATTTGTTTTTGCTAAGTGTTTTTGGCTTTTTCGTTGAATGTAACTGCTAATATCCTTACAAAGTCCATGCTTGGGTGATTCAGCAAAATTGAATGAGTCGATAACACACAAAGCTAGCGTTTCATTCGATGGAGTGTGGAACGCAACCAGCGGTCAGCGGCTTACTTAAGTAACTAAACCAACTGTGGATGGTTGCACAGTTACACTGCCAGCAATGCTAAATTACCCTCTTAAAAAGTATTAACCATTCAAAAACAAGCCGTATATACTTAGTCTTTGTATGCATAACGTGTACAGTATCTTTATGTATGGATGACTCACTGCGCTCTGCAGGATTTTGCCCTCTGGAAAATACTAAACCACTCCCCTAAAATGGGCGAATCAAAGGCGCGTAACATTTTGGTTACAAATCTCCATAGACAAAGCAAAAACAAGACGTTAACACTATTCCTATGCGAAGACTAGTCTTCTTCTTTTCATACATAGTGTTAAGTCTGCATCTGTGTGCAGACCGACGTAAAAAGCACATATACTTATTATGTTATCATACTGATATTTAGGACTCACCTAATCCAGCTTCCTTGCAGATGAAATATGGATCCGTCCTTCTGGCTCTTTTTAACCGCGCCACTTCTGCAGCATCTTCACCTATGGCCTCAGCGGTAGCGTCACCTTCCTCGGCAACTGGTGCGTCACCGTTTCCCAAGGCAGCATCCAATTCGCCATTTGCAGATGCAACTGCCCCACTTTTTTTCTTTGGCTCCATTTTCAAAAGATTGGGAAAATGTTGTCCGTAAGTCAATTTCAGTTCAATAAACCGATCCTGCAGTTCCGTAATGGAAGTGGCATTGCGGATGAAGTCCACTGTTTCGTCGGAAATCTCATCCGAATCTTCGAAAATTTTGTTCAAATTAAAACAGCCGTAACAACATCAGAATGATTCTATACAATAAAAAGCGAAGTTACGAATCACGTGGAAGTTACCTTGAAAAAGTTCCGGCTGATTCATTCGTTTGGCATTTAAATAACTCTGCATCTTCGTTACAAGCTTCAACAAGTTTGATCGCCGTTTTTGCAGCTGCATCCAATTTAAATCTCTTTCGTAGATCTCTCGGATATCTTCAGCATTAAAACCATAAGGATCGTCTTTCATGCGCTTGCTCGGGTCTTTCTGGCCTTGGTTTACGGCCATGTAGTTGACAGCGCTCATGTGATACTCTTTACGGTACGTCGCAATGAAATGGTCCTGAAAATATGAATATAACTGTAGCATTTCACTCAAAAGTACAATGCGAATAAGAATACCTCGAGAAACTGGTTTCGAATGAAATCAAGGATATCCTTAATACGATTAATTTTCTGTTCTTCCGAAGGAATTTCTAGATTCTGGTAACTTTCCTCCTTGTAATCTGGATTAGCCATCTGCTTTTTCAGCTTTTCGGCCTCTTTCTGCAATAGACAAAAAAAGAGATCCGTTAGATTAAACGAAACTGGCTGCAAGTCCTATAAGAGACGCAACAAAGGGGTAGATTTTACAAATCAACAGTTAAAATGACTGAACTGAGTCTGCCAATTTTAACCACTCCGATGTGTAGCGAGATTTAAAAAGGCAAAATAATGCGAAATGCACTCAAAACGCATTAGATAACCTGATTGCTTGTATTCTCATCCACAAACATCTGGCAATAAATCCACCTAGCTTCGTCTTGCAGCTCAGCAGCCGCTCGGTCCTCTGGCGGGGATTCAACGGGAATGCTACGCAACTGAAATCTGCAGGAAATGGTTACAAATGTCACATACCTATTTGTGTATGGTCATCATGCTGATCGAAAATGATTTCTTGAGATCCGTATAAATACCTTTCTGGAATATCAGCCATCCGAATTTCGTTGTCCAACCGAGTTCGCAAACCGTGCTCCAGATCACTCGGCTCGTAGACGTCCATGACACTCTTCTTCGTTTTCCGACTGCGCTGTGGTCTGACAATCTCTCCGTCTTCGTCTTCTTCCTCATACTAGCATAAAAATTGTATGTTTTTGGCAACTGATAATACCAAAATGCAAGAATTAACTAACACGTTATTTAATGAGTTCTAATATCAACATTCAATTCAGACTTAAGACCACTAACTTCTTTAGACATCCCAAGTTTAATGGCCTATTAAAAAAATTATATTATCAGCCAGTTATACTTCGCCATCTTCATCGTATTCCTCATCTCCTTGATCCAGGAAATCTGCATAATCAATATCCAAGCCAAAAATTTCCTGGGCTTCTTGCAAAGCAGCATCTTCGTAGCGGTCGGCTTTGGCACGACGATGTTTAATAGGTTCGCCGTCGTCCCCGACAATGAAGGAGTCGCTGTCGGATTCTCCTTCTTCGTCAATCTCTTCATCCGCCACTGTTGTACGCGGCTTATCTTCCTGGGTTCGAACCGGCGCCGTTCCCGCTTCATCACCCTCCTCAAACAGTTCGTTAGCGATGGCATCACGGTCTTTTCTCTCCTTCTCGTCGTCGCTGTCGTCTTCCACAGCACGTACTCTGCGTCGTTTTCGTCTGTTGATCTATCAGCGAAACAGCAGCATCAGCATAAGTTGGCTGGTGCAAAAAATTACCTACACCATATAATTAATGAAACATGAGCTATAAATTTTGGCTCTAGTTCTAATTCTAAAACTAATTTAATCTTGAAAATTACAAAGGATTGGGGTCCGACGACCAGATTTGCCACGTGCTAGAACGCGGCACCTTAAAGCAACGGTAATTCTGTAAATTTTAAGATGATGTCATTGGAAGCATAAAAGCTGTTGCATCGAACATCGTTTAATTTTGAACAAATTGCAGAAGTACACCAGGTTCAAGGGCAAGAACGTAAAACAAACTTTGAGAAAAGGAGAACAGCTGGAACTGATCGAGGCACGTACTTGAATGCCCAAATTTTCTTCGATCAAATCGTAATCTTCTTCCTCGAGATCTTCCATTTCAAACTCATCGTCCTCATGTTTCCGCTTTTCCCCATCGTCTCCCACGCCTGCATCCTCTTCTGGCTCGTCAACTTCGTCCTGAATAAAATTCGCCAATTCGGCCGCTGCCGTTGGGTCCATCTCTTCGTCCTCGTCCTCATCTTCCGAATCGTCAATAACCTTCTTTTTCTTCTTCGGTTTGTCCTTCTTCCTTCGGATTCCTTCGTCATCTTCCAATTCTTCGTCAGAAGACGCCTCTTCGGCTTCATGATCCAAAAACTGAGCCATGTCGATCACCAGTTACAGCACTAAAGAGCGAAGACCAAAAATTCCATCAGCCCAAAGCGTTAAGGCTTTTCAACTTTCGGAACTATTTGTTTAAATTTAAAAGGACTCGTTCCTATTTTGTGAAGCCCAGGAAAGTTGGAAGAGTCAATAAAATTACTTGTCAAAGGAGTAAACTAGCCAAATTACACTGAAGCCACAAAAGATGACTCAAGGACAATGCCAGCTGTGTGCAAAAGCCAAATTCCAGCCCTTCGCTATACTTGACGAACGGACACGCTAATGCCACATTCGCTGCATTACCGTTCAAAATAAGTTAATAAAAAAACTGCTGAAAGTAAGTAATCAGAAATTATGAGAAACTGTCAGACGGCAAATGACAAGATGGCTGCCTTGTCTTCACTCGCTCCAAAGCTCCAGCAAGTGCGACAGTGGTGCTTCTATAATTTTGTCAGGCACCAACTTCTAACCCTGACATTGCCACATCAAGCAAGCGCTCGTTTCTTACCTCAGCCACTCCCTTATTGGATTGTAAACAGATTTCTACCAATTTCACCAGATGATGCTTCGATATGGATATGTCCGGGAAAAGCTGCTGATACCTAATAAGACTAATAATAATAATAAGTGTCCTAACTGAAGAACCTTTTTCTGTTTTTCGGAAATGGCCAAATGGGGGCCAGTCAGTACATTACGTCCTTTATTCGACTGCCTCCCGTTAAAAGTCAAGCTACCTTGGGCGTACGTTGTGCGGGTGGCAGGTACACTTGTGTCAACTCACCTATTAAAATTTTAAATCTAAAAATTCGTTTGAGAACAGCTGTTTCACCGTTTCTTTAATTTTTTTGTCAGGAAGTTTGAGGTTTAGTTTTATAATTCGCACTAGGTAGAATAACTATGTGAATTGTTTTAGGGCATATTCATAACTTGTTATTATAGAATGGTATCATTTTGAACTCAGGAATAGCTCCGAAGTTCTGAACAATACATATAATCGAGTAGATAGGAGCACAGTAAGTAATACGTCCCGATAGAACACGCGTTACGCAACCTATCTGTGGCACCAGCAACAGGCATATCTATATATCTACATAGACATAAATAATACACATGCTGTCACATTGCACATGTTGTCACATTGCTGTGCTGTAAATTTTGGACACTGATTCGTTCCGCAATTTCAGGAACAACATTCCAAGTACGGGTGCCTCATCATGGAGCCTGGAAAGACCACGTCCACTAGCCTGGATGAAATGGTAGGCCTATTGAAGACCCATCAAACAAACGCTCCACTGATGTCTATCGCTCTACGGAGCCTCGCTGAAGCAACATGCGTACCGGCGAATCTGGAAAACGTCGCAGCTCATTCTGATTTGGTGTCACAGCTTATCGGCATGATTGATTTCCAAAAGGATGCACCGTTAGAAATACGACAGCAAAGCTACCTCCTGGAAATTTTGGTGAACATATCGTCTCACGACGGCGACAGGAGTTTGGAGACGTTTATTGCATTACGCAAATGCATATGCGCAGCCCTATTATCTTTCAATGAGAACCCTGCGTTAAAGGATTTTTCTTTGTTGAATAAGACATTCGCCATTTTGAACAATCTTACGCAGCGGATGATACCGGCACAGGAGGTATTTAGCAGTATTAGCCACGAACAGTGGAGATTTCTGCTTGGCCATTTTGATGCCGCTAATCGCGATCCCAGCTCTGTGCAGTTGGTATTTTTTCCCTCGTTGCTGGTCAATTTGAGCAGGCTGACGGAATTCCGAAGATTTTTACTGGACCATCAGCGCTTGGTGTTTCAGCGTTTGTTACCTTTTATGGATCAAAAATTCCCTGTCGTCATTCGTGCGGCCGTGATGCGGCTAGTGCGCAATTGTTCGTTTGATCCGGGTGCGTTTGAATTTTTTATAGCGTCTGTCATCCTTACACTCTCCCGGTTTATAGTTTTCTGCACAGAACCCTTTCCTGAATGATCATGCGCACTTTTTGAATAGTGACTAGTGATAAGTTAATCATCTCCCTTTTTCTTCGGGCCCCTCACTGTAGTGGATATTTAGTGTACTACTTACTTGTAGTTGTGCAAAATTTGGCTGACAGTTTTTTTCCCATACTTGTTTGGATGTTCGTAATTTGTTTAAAAAATAACTTACTTATCACTGTAGCGTGCTTATAAGTAATTGCTCCTGGATACCGATCCGTGAGCGGTACATATTGATTATTGCGATTCGTTGTAGATGTGCATCCGTGGCTGTTAAGCGAAGAAGTTGGGCTTCTTCCTTGTCTGTTGTTGCCGCTTGCTGGTCCAGAAGAGCTGGATGAAGATGAAATGGAGAAATTACCAATTGATTTGCAGTATTTACCGGAACACAAGGCGAGGGAACCCGAGAGCGCCTTGCGCGTTGTATTGCTTGAAACTCTACTTCAGGTTCGAATCAAACGTCTTTCGACTCAAGAAAATTGTTCTAACTGATAAATAAATCCTTGTATTCTAGTTATGTTGTACGGTTGCGGGACGGAAGACCCTAAAAGATAACGGCGTGTATTACATCTTGCGCGAATTGCATAAGGTTGAAAAGGACGCCGCCGTGATATTGGCCTGCGAAAACGTTGTGGATCCTTTAATTAGTGATGAACCTCCGGAAAATATGCAAAATTTACGACAGATTGATATTCCGGAAAAATTAGTTGCTCAGTTTGACGAAATGAACAATCAGCTAGCTAATGCAAACCCGTAACTATTGCCTTCCGGCTTCCGCTGGACTTGAGATGACCTTGTGCGAAGAACTAAGCAGTCGTTGATTTTGATGGATAATGTAGGCAGTAGAGCTTAACTCATAAAATGTTTGACTTTCTGATACTGTACTATAAAGTATTAAAGGAGACCGCAGATATACCAGATGACCGTTGCCTGGAATTCACGGTACTCGTATGTGTAAAGCCTGTAATTTGTTAATTATTAATGTTTGTGACTTTGTAATGTTTTCAAAACCGTCCCAACGCCAACATTACCTCTTGTGGACGATGAAAAAGCATACCGCTGGCTTATTCACAGTGCACTCCACAAAAGGATCCAGTTTTGATGTTGACGGAAATATGCATTTTGATTTTTTTTTCCAAAAAAGATTAGCCGACAGGAAATAATTACGCGACAGCTTGAAGTATAAAAATTGAAGTACGAGGTACTGTAAGCAGTTTTCAAATCGGAGCGCAAATTGATCGTGTCTCGCAGTCTTAACTCAAGCAAAATAGTAAGGCTACGATGCTTTTATTTTGCAGTACAAAATTACAAACTACTAGAACGCACATGGCTGTGATATGTTAGTACTGTTACAACTGGCAAGTTTTTAACCAGTTAACCTTTTCCCTCATAAAATAATCAGAAATCATATTACAGTATTCTAGTTAATTTTTAAGTAAGTACTTATTAATTTGGGACTCCGCGCTTTGGTGCATGTTGCATTATTACATCACTGTTCAGTAGTGCAAGGCTGCAACTTGCGAGCCTAGCGTGCAATGCTGTACGGCACTTACCATTCGGACCTCACAGCATATGCAGCCCTATAGTCAGTGTACGGCTACAGTTATAAAGCGCACAATTTTCCTAGATTTTCCAGATCGATTCCAAAAACTGACAAGGAGCAAAGAATTTCAACAATTTTCCAAAAATTTCCTTCCTTGAAAGACGGTAAGTGAATGTACCACTTCCACTTTCTGCAGATTTTGCTCGGAGAGGATACGTTATCCATACTGTCTTATTTTATTACATGTGCTGGGAAAAATAAGTAAGAGTAAGGTTATTAAATGGAATTTAATTTGACGGTGCAGGTCTGTTTAAGGAAAATTCCAGAAACTCCAGTTCGAAACGTTAAACGCATCAAAGTCGTTGTGAATAATTTAGTATTATTCAGACCGCTGATTGATTGCAAGTAAACTCTGTCTTTTCTAAAGATAGAGTTATGATTGCTGTTAATTTTTATCCACATCAAACGTCGGGGTACTACCGAATTCTGCAGCTGTCGGAACGTTATTCTGTAGGGTGATCGATTCTCGGTCTTTCGTGATAATTCCCCGGGGCACAAGGGGATGGTTTACTGATATGTAGTTTGTACTTTAACTGTATTTTAATTGCTTTTTCAAGATGCACTGTGGGATTGTGTACAAAATTGTACCTTGGGTTGTGTACAAAATATAAAAATTAAAATATAGTTACAGTATTATTTTTTTTTATCCTGTGTTTGTAATACCGGCTTTAAACAGTCTTGGGGGTATGTTCTTTCGTGAACTAATTTCAGTGGTCAGCTGATAAAGTAAAGATGCATTCGCTTCGTTTAGTTTACTTTTTTCCTTTGTACGACGTCTGTGATTCTGTAGTCTGTTTTTGTGCGGTTCGACCGTTTGCTAAAAGTGTTTATCAACCCGTTGGTGATATGTTTATCCCTGGTCGGTGGTCGAGTTTTAATTGTAGACTGTAGTAGAATTTAATTGTAGGATATGTATGTGTGTGAGTTTTATAAAAAAGCGGGGATTTGTTTACAGTTTTTGCTGGCGACAAAATGCCTAGACCGAAGTCGAAGGATGTGGACAAACCACGCGGAAAAATGACCGCCTACGCTTTTTTCCTTCAGATCTGCCGCGAGGATCACAAGAAAAAACATCCCAATGACCAAGTTAATTTCGCTGAGTTTTCCAAAAAGTGTGCAGAGAAATGGAAGGTATTTACATTGTAATAGTTGTTATTCTACCTTTATGCTGTTATGACTCATGCGTGCCGGTAGCACCTATTATTAAACGCTGAAATACTCAAATATTATGTTATATTGAGTTCGAATAAAGGAATAAATCGCGAAACGATGATAGGAAATGGGTGACAAAGAGAAGAAGAGATTCTTGGATTTGGCCGCTCAGGACAAAGTGCGCTACGAAAACGAAATGCGGCACTATGTGCCTCCGGAGGGATCGCCTCGCAAACGAAAACGCGGGAAAAAAGACCCCAATGCGCCTAAGCGGGCATTGTAAGTTTGCAAAAGATTTTACTGCTTGGTTTTTATTTTTTGAGTTGTTTTTGTTGCGGTTGAGTTGCTTCGTCCGCATATCACTAGCCTATAATATATATATCCTGAGGTTATTATTTCAGGTCTGCATTTTTCTGGTACTGCAATGATGAGCGCCCCAAAGTTAAGGCTTTACTTGGCTCTGCAAATGTTGGAGAAATCGCCAAAGAATTAGGCAAACGGTGGGCAACTACTACTGCGGCCGATAAGGCCAAGTACGAAGCGTTGGCTGGCAAAGATAAAGAACGCTACGAGAGAGTACGTGCAACACTTCCGGTGGACATCTGTGCATCATTTTATTTAGAACATGGTTTTATGTTATGAATTTTGTGAATCTGTAATGCAGGAGAATAAAGCGTTCAAGGCTGGAGGCGGCGGAAATCGTGGCGGCGCTGCTCCTGCAGCAAAGGTCGCTGTCAGCCATGCTCCTGTTCCGGAATCTGACGACGAAGATGACGATGATGACGACGACGAGGAAGACGACGACTGAAATAGGAAAGGCCGTCGCAAGTCCGTATTGTTGTCCTTGTTTTTTATATTTTGTTGTGCTCTTCAATTATCTGAGAGAGAAAAGCTAGTTTTTTACGTTTCCAAAGAGATGTGCTGTACTAAAAAACTAATCATGTTATGAATTATGTCGGAGGTGTTACCATATTATTTTCGGAAATTGAAATGTGTACGCTGAAACATTGTTCATGCCTTTGTTGGGAATGGGACGATGTTTTTGCAAGCTGATTCCTGCAATTGTAGTATTGTGAACAAGCGAGCTCTGTATAACTCGATGATACAGTTCGTACTTCAGTGTTGGTCTTACAAGTTTGGGGAACAATGAGAGTCTTATAAAATAAACAAGTTTGGTTCGGTGTTTATTACGATTCTCTTAAAGTTCTTCGAATTTGATGCAGGTCGAATCTGTTGTTTCGAGATGCTGTTTATGCCTTCGGATTAGGATTTGTGTATGTTGGTAGTGGTACATCACCCGATATTATTAACAAGAATATATATTATATACGAGGACTGAATGCTCGTAAAACCAAAGGACGGTCGGTCCCGGTCCAGATAGGTAAGCACATAATAAGACCTTAATTATAGAATTTATAGCACAGTAACTACAAATGTTAATACTGTTATTCATGGGAATTTCGCGTGATAAATGATGCTCATGGCCTCATGCAGTACAGTATTACTAGTCCACACTCCACATTGCCAGTATTATTAAGGCGCCATGCAGTGACATAAAAACTGGAACAGATGATAAGTTAAGTAAAAATTAATGTAAAATATAACTGTACCGTACTTCCTATATTGCCATAAGACATTTGGTTTTATTCGTTAAGAATTCAAAATTTACAACATCCCAGAACAAAGATCATAAAAACATACAACATGGAACAAATCAAAGCATGCCTCGACCACTGAAACTTGCAGGAACGTTAAAATTTGTAAACAAACAAAGATCATAGGTCAAACGCGGGACTAAAGACTGCTTACCATAACAATAAAACGGATTTCGCACAAGATTGCTTTAAAACTTCGATAAAATAAATAAAAAAATAAAACGTAAACGGGGATATACACTAATTCTAGAAAAATAACTAATTTGTACTAAATTCTATCACCGGTACAAGTCAAAGTCACAGTTGGTTAATCTATACCGGTTTCAGAAAAGGCATGCAATCATCCGCAGATCCACCAATAGTCCCACCCGGGATAACTCACAAGACTCTTATTGTTAGTGGTGATGTGCTGCTCCATCGGCGGCTATGGCAGAAAAACTTCCACGTTTTAGTTTTAACAAGTCACTAGTCGTTCGAATGACGACTTTGCCTCTGATCATCCTCGTAAGTTTCTTAGCGCTGCCACTGGTAATAGCACAATCCTGCAACTGCACCACTTTCACACTCGAAGGTAAATAGCTCAGTGCTTCCTGTGATATTTTCCCATTAATAAACGTAATTTCTTCCAGCAATGGGCATCTCCAGAACGACTTCATGGTGCTCGGGCTCACCAATTCATGCAAGGCGGCTTTCGTCGTGCAGGACAGAGTTAACCGCTTCGTTTCCGCATTGGTCGCGATTTTGACGTAGTGATGTGTACAGCGGTGTCCTCGAGTTGCTGCGTTACATATGGTAACATCCCGAAAAAAATCCGAAATACTCAAGACAGCCTTCCATCGCTGGCACACACTAAAATAAATTGTTTACAGTGATGCACGCATGAGAACCACGTACGCACTACTCGTATACATATTTTGAAGATAAATTAGCATAAGTAAGTTATAAGTACGTAATAGGAAAGTTGACAAAACCACTATCGCTAGCTTACCATCGGGCAAGTGCCTGATGATCAACAGGGAGGAATTTAAAAATTCGAACCAGAAGTTCAACTGGAAGATCAACAATTCCAGCTGTGACACCACTATTAACCAAAAAACCAAAATTCGGCGAAATTGTCATAGTGCCGTTGGCGTATTCCTGATCCAGATCCCTGGCATACATGGGGCTCTTTTCCATCTCGGAAGCTTCGGTCTCTGCCCGGTGTGATGCAGGTGTGATTTCGCCAATCTTTCTCTTCTTCGATACTTGCGCCATATTAGTTTAATCATAAGGGCCAAAAGCAAAAAGGAGAGATACACCTGTTTGTGAGCACACCGTATAACATTAACAGCACAAAAGTAATATATGTATAAATACAAGTTAACAAGTAATATATGACAAAAGTCACAAAATCGCAAAACAACGAACAAGTCTGGACACGTTTTGGGGAATGTGGGGACACCCGCCTGCGCAGTGCAGCGTATGTAAAAGGCGATCCGTGTTTGTTCTCATTCTATTAATTTATGCAAATGTTTATTACGATCCGCCTCCGTACGGCAGTTTCTTGAGCATCATATCATTGAGCCTTCTATACTCGTATGTACCGTTGTTATTGCACTAGAACTTCTAGAAGTTATGTGCGAGTAGTCCATAATAATCATAATAATAATAATAATAATTCATAGATCGCCAGGTCTCCTTGAACTTTTTTCGGGATTTCTTCTGCATCTACTACTGCAGGTAGAGTCAAGACCACTGGCATTTGCCCTTCCAGCCGCAAGCCGACGTAGTCTTACTACGGAATACGGATACGCCGTAGGTAAGTGTGCATCCCCCTTTCGCCATCATCTGCTTTGTTGCGAAAGGGAAATAAAGTTGATAAAAATCCACACGTCTACCTACACCTTTGGTTCCAGAGAACGCCAAGGTGGTACAATGTTTGACGAGCCTGATATTCCCGACCGGACTGCGAAGCCGCTGTCAGAATCCGTAGAAACACCTATGATGAAATACACGGACGCGGTGGTCGAAACAGCTGATTCGGCGGGAGAGTTTTCGCAGCGAGTTGCCAGTGGAAAGGTTCCTTTGGATGAAGCCCTAATTTACCACGCAAGAATCGGCAATACAACTGCCATCCGCGAAATGTTAGCGAACAAAACAGCGGGATTGGCGAACCTTAACATTAACCATCTAGGTAAAATGAAATTAATCTGGTAAAACAGGCTACACAAGTTCAGATTATATAATATATACACTACTACATTCAAATACTTCTGACATTCAGCTCATAAACTGTTTAATTACATATACCTGAAAATTTGTACTTATGAGCGTATCATCTAATACTTATATGTTTATGTTTATGAAATGTTTTAAAATGTTTATGTTTTTTTATATGTTTAATTTTAAAAATTTATGGCTGCCTGCCTACGCTACACAAGCTGTCAGCCTGTACTGCGCATTTTTTGTCTGTTTTTCTTCAGAAGTTTTCATTAATTCTCGGAGATAACATTTTTGCTTCCCGACTTAATGGCGAAAGGAAGAATAAATGACAATTACGATTTAAAGATTGCAGTAAGTTTTCTGTTCCGAAGGTTCCACACTTTTCTGTTTTTTGGCAGTATTATTTCATGTTCAGCGATTTAAGGACTCTGAAGCATAATACTACATTATTTTAGCGTACGATTACCGTACGTGCCGCTTGCATCGCAAGCTAGGCCTTGCCTGTGATTTGTATTAAATGAATGTTTTGCGTAGGTACACTGAAATGGAACCGTGACTGTTCAGCACTGCACGTGGCGGCGTATTTTGGGCATTTGGACGTGATTAAATTGTTGATCTCCGAACCGGATATCGATCTCAACTTGCAAAACAACCATTCCGAAACCGCACTGCATAAGGCTGCGTTGACCGGAAGGAGCGAAATTGTGCGTCTCCTATTAGCCAACGAAGCCAACTCGTTGATCCCTGATGATACGGGCAAAAGACCATCGGATACGGCTCTAAATAGCGAAATCCGAAGTATGATCAAAGGTATGAACTCTTCCGGTGTTTGTTTACCGGCGTTTGCGCGCGGGCGCTATGCGGTTAACATTTTAGCGTTTGGTAGTTTCACTAGGATGAAGACGGGTAAAAATAGTCATAAAAAAGTTTTATTCACGAACTTCTTTGCAGACGCAGAACAAGCCCAGAAATGCCGCCAGCGAGAATCTTTATTTCACTGTTGTCGAACGGGAAATGTGCAGCTGCTTAGGACGTTGTTGGATAGCCACCACGCACCAAACGTGGCCGATATGGATACAGACGGAAACACAGCTCTGCATCACGCTGTGCGCCACGATCAACGGGAAGTTGCATCGTTGTTAATGCGACATGGGTCCAATCCGAATACGAAAAATTTCTTCGGTGAGAGCATTGTTGTACGTTTTCGCTAAAGAAGCTTCGGCTTCATTCCGTGGTGAACTGTGTGTTTTATAGGGAAGTCTTCTTTCGATCTGGTTGTTAGCGAACCTATGCAAAAGATTCTCGAAATTAGATCACCATCCATTTCCGTTCCGACCTGTGAGCCATTTGAAGGAGTTTTGTCGAAGGTATGGCTTTGTACACCCTCATTCTACTTTGATTTTATGCCTCACTTTAGCATGTTGTGCGATTGATTTCTGCCAGTAATTTTATTTTCTTTCGTTTGTAGTGCAACAGAATATGGAATATTTGGCGGAGATACTGGGTGCATTTGCATAACGGAACCATATCATTTTACCGAGCACGGTAATTCATTTGCTTTACGTTTTCCAAAGTTTGTGTCCTCGTTTCTGTTTCTGCTCTTCTTACTAAATTTGTTATACATAAAAATTAAAAATTTTATTTGTTTCTAGAAGAGATGTGGGAAATGAACACATGCGGAAAATTTACCGCCATCTGGATGGCAGTGTTTTACATGTAAGCCGATATGCGTAGCGCCAAAGATTGACAATATAGCTGCTATGTTTTTGAAATTTTGCAGAAACGACAGAGGGATCTTGATTTTGCTATTCGGTTTTCTGACGGAACTACATTTTTTCTACGGATACCGAGAGATACCGAAGCACACGCTCGCGAGGTTCGCAAATTGACAAATCCCAGTTGGACGACCGTTATTAATTGGATTTTCATTTCGGTTTCGTTGTTTTGTACACAGAGCTGGATGCAACATATTGAACAACACATTGTATACAGCAATCATTATGTTGGTTTATCAGACCTTAAGCGGCATGTTCCGGAGCAGACTTTGCATAGCATCGAAAAGTCTTTTGTAGAAGCGAAAATAAGATTAGCGGATCTGCAGAAATGTCTTACTGCCTTACGGAGTGGTCATCTCTGGGAGCATCAAAACACCCACAACTTATCTCTACTGGATATATATAATGCCGCTGAGCGATCCCATTTGGCATTGCAGTTGTGTTTTGATATGATGCGGGAACAAGAAAGAGTACGTAAATCAACGTTGTTATTAGGTGTGTAGTTTGTGTTTTTGGAGAGTTACACTACTGGTCGTATTATGCAGTTGCAAATTGTTAGAACAAGAACTACTCTAGCTGTTTGTTAATAGCGAGAAGGACATTTAATAACATTTGTCTCAATTTGGTGTTAGCTTAAAAACGTTGAGATTATTTATAAGATATTGAACTAGATACGGGAAAAGCAACTGGCAGAAGAGCGCGAACGTTGTCGAGTGTTGGAGAATGCCCTGCAGGTTCTGGCTACTGAGCACGACGCTGTGCTGAATTCTATGGAGCATATTTCATCGCTAGGAAATGTATCCAGTGCTGGATCGGTCTATTTTTCACCACCAGAATCTCTTGCTGATGTGGACGATGAGGCTTATTTGGATGATAACCAATCTGTGATATCAGCGGATGACGAATTCCGCGATGCCGAAAGTTTGGAAAACATGAGTAAGTGGCAATACTTCATAAACTTTTGTTTCGTTGGAAAAGAATATTCTGATTATGAGCAGTGTGGTGTTTGTTTGATACTTTGCATTTGCCTGATGCAGTATAGTGTGTCCAGATTTATTGATAAGCTAGTGGAAACTGTTCATATTTAGTAGTCGGTGCATACTGCGAAAACTGATGCTTTTCCTTGCCAAGTTTATGTGTTTCATTCGGTAGTCCAGTAGACCTTATTTAATACATGGACTGTGAAGTAAGTAATACAGTATCGTTTTTTCGTGTTATTTTAAATTTTAATTCATCCCGATTAATTTTTAGTCCGTTTGATTAATTTGAATTGTTCCCTTCAGATGTTAAAAAGAAGTTAAACTGTATTACCAAGTCGTTTGGTGATCATCATTTTCCCTTTAATTAATGAATTGGTTATATTAATCGTGGATTCTTGATGCCCGCGGTCAAAAACTTAAGGTTTTGAAAATTGTACAAAATCTTCGCGCGCTTGATTTTAAAATGCAGTTTCAAATTTAAGCGTGTCATAAGTTAAGAAGAGTATTTTCGAGACAGTAACAATTCTTTTACTAACTGTAAGCTAGAAATACTTGCATCTTTAGTTTGCGTTTAGCGTGAGCAATTAAAACTATACACGCAGGCGGCAGGCTTGTGCTACTTTGGCAAAATATTTGACTCACTTTTTATTTGTTTACTCAGTAATTTTGGTTAAGCTTCGTCAGATGAAAGGTCGCATCAAAGTTCATGCATAAAAGCACATGTGTTCATATTCGCTTCTGTTGGTTTACACCCTTAGTTATTATTGCCGCTCCGTTCTATCACTGGCGCAGTGACTTTTGACAAAAAATATCGCGCCGTACAACACCGATAAAGCTATGCGATAGCGTACCACCGAAATTCCAAAGTTTGATGGGCCATGCCGGTAGCGATATTTTATGCTGAACATTCCGACGCTGAATCAGCTGTTTGCTTCGCTTCGATATGTACTGTACATTTATGTGATGCCACACCGTTCTTGCGCAAAACTGTCAGACACTTTTCGTGGCTCTGCCGCGCTCGATTTTTTGCTTGGTGTCTGATCTGACTATAGTGCCGCCTGAGGGACCTTTGTTTGTTCATAATTTTAACAGACTGCTGGCGCACGGAGCTGCTAATTTTGTGTGTTAAGTTTTTGAATGTTTATCCTGATCGTTATTGTGGTGGATTAAATCATGCTCGGAAATATGTGGAATTACTTAAAATCTCCTGCGAGTAGTTACGGTCAGTTTTCAGGATCCAGTGAGCGATGAAAACTTATAAAACATTGTAGTTTTTTTTCAACATTTGGTCATTTTTGGTCAGATCGAAAGTTTGGTCATTTGGTCTTTTGGTCATTTGGTCTGTTAACTGGGAGAAGTTTTCCCTTGAAGAGGGCGATAGGGATGAAGGATAGATTAACTCCCTTCGTAACTTAGCTTGTTCTTTTTTGTTTCTTTAGGATATTGTACATTTTATTTACGTTGACTTTTGCAATACTACCAATGAAGCGCTAATGTTCTGTAATAAAATATCCATAATTTTATATTATAAACAGGTTCTGTTCGGTACCTTGCACGCATGCATTCTATGCTTTTGCATCTTAAATCACCACGAACTGTACGGAAATAGTAATAAGTTCAGTTATCAGTTACGATGCAGTTCAGTAGCTTGTCTTAATAATTTTATTAAATTTTGTTTGTTTAGGTAGGTAAATACCTGAGTACCTCTACAGTACCACTGCATTATTCATTAATACAAGTACATCTGGGAACGACGTTAAATAAACACGTAATGTTTAGCTAAAAATTCATTAGTAAGTACCTGCGCCAACCTTGTACTTTGCTACTGGTGGAGAACTTTTTGTTCTGATCGTTACTATACTCGCACTGTTTTGTCAGATGCGGACTGTTTATACGAAGCTTGCGATTGTAGGCGTTGGACCAGTTCAGACCAAGCCGGAACATGGTGATAATGGGACTTTTTCAACGGATGTTCACGCACAGCCCACTCCGAATGGAGCGTTCGGAGACGAACAAAACATGCCTGCTCGGTCAAAGTTTGGTGGAAGGTAGGCTTATATCACGATAGCGTACAATGTTTGGTGCAACAAGCATGCCGAAATTCTGCATCTTGTTGTTTCCCATCTTCTAATGCATGTCTGTAAGTTGGGATGAGTGTGGATTTCACAATCAGTATCGCCATAGTTTTTTTATGTTATGCGCTTACTACAGTATCGTAAGCCTTCAGTTCGTTATTGCGCATAACTGGATAACTCATTTGAGTACTTAATTAAATTAAGCACATTAGATATTATCTAACCTGAATAGTTTATCGCCGTTCCAAAGCGTTTTCTACGTCGTTGCTGGGGAAGTCTATTTGCATTGTTGTTTTTATTTTTTAATGCTGCCACGCAATTTTATCCTCTTAAAGTAGTACATACAGTTTTGTGGTTTTTTAAAGCTTACGTACTGCGATATATGCCAAAGGCGGCAGTCTACTTACTAATATTTGTTAAACGGAAATGAATGGCGTACGAGGTACCTGAAAAGTAGCATTGTTCGTGATATAAGTATGTACGTACTGTACTGGCGTATATCTATATCACCTTTTTGACTATAGGAACTCTTGTGTATGAGAGCGGCAGCGCCATGCGCGAGCGACACCGCCTCCACTGATTGTGTAACCGAACTGAAATGCAGCCTTAAGATTTTATTAATAAGGAACATTTCCGGCAATTTCTTGTTGAAAGAAGAAGTCAGCTTATTTTTGTACCGAAACTGTTGCAAACAAAAGTTTGATTAATCATTTTTTTACACAGATTAAAAAAGCGAAAGAAGCGCAACGGCCGCACGGCGCACAGTAGACTTCGGCTACTGTTTATGTTTATTGCATGTCATTCGTAAACTCTCACAAAAGCTCCAGCACAATACGCTTAATTAGTACGTATAATGGTTGCAAAATAGACATATGATCCTGCATCCCGAGGGGAAAATGTAAGCACTCACTCGATGTGATACAGTATTACCGCTCAGCATATGCGCAACTTTTGGATACCGTACCATCTGCTTCGTCGTATTTCAAGTACGAATACATACCAAATACATACGCTAAATGATTTTGACTTATGAAATTTTCGCAACGTGGCTTTCCGTCCTTGCATCCGAGAAAAGATATGCTACATGTGCATAGGAATGCTCTGGGTACGAGAAGGGACGACTATGCAACGATTTCATATGGTGGGATACGGATGTAACATACAATGTAGCCATGAACTCGGATTTGACGACATTCTTATGTTCTTGACCGGCAAAAGGAAATTATCGATCCGGTGGAATTAATCTGCTTTTGCTTAAAAGCATGTCACTGCCGAGTCGCCGACATTATGCTACTGCAGCGCAAGCCGTGCATGCATTTTTGGTCAGTATCACAGCAGAATCTGTGCTGACCCGTTTGCAGTTAGGATTTTCAGGAGGCTTAATATTTACTCCAGCTTGCATCTGTACGATCAGAATATCACAAAGATCTACAGCACCTTTATCACAGCCTGAATGAAATCTATCTTTTTGGCACGCTTGGAATTGTCGTGTCCGCGTGCCGCGGAGATAGATAACGCTGATTTGCATTCCAAGATTCTGCAGAATTTGACTGATAATGACTGATTCTGATTGTTTAACCGTGTCTTCCCACAGGTGCGAGGTTGCATGCATGTTGTTGGTGCGATTTGTTTTTTGACCTTATAAGTAACCTGACGTTTGCGGGGCTTTACGAAAAGCATATTCCAAGGCTCTGTTGTCCAGTCTTTTCATTAATTAGGTTTTTTCCTTTGCATTTGTAACCGCGATCCTAACTGCTGATAACTGATAAGGTAGTATGCGAATGAGATTATAACTAGGACTGAGAAATCAAAAGAATTTTGGTATGGAAAATGTTATGGAATCAGTTACAACACAGCCAGTACATACAGGTCTGCCTTTAAGATTATTTATGTCTGCCTTTAAGATTACGTAGACGAATATGTCGGAAACATTATTAAATTTATTGTAATTTCCAGGTATGATGAAAAATTGTAAGCTGATCTCGTGTTATTAATTCGTTTCCCGTTTTTGGGATGTGCGAGTTTGTCTAGATTACAAATAGGCTGACAAAAAATATGGTCGGAATTGCCCGCGCTGCAGTTCCATACATTACGGCACGAATACTAGTGCTATGAATTAAAAGATCGTTATAGTGTTGCGCTATGTAACGTGAAATTCAAGCCAGAGACTGTAAACATTAATCCCGACCGAAGGGAATGGGATCATTATGTTATGATAGTGAGGTTAATGTTCCACAGTTGGCTCATACCCGGTAATTGAATTGGCTCATTGATTTTCGTGACCGAATCGAGGATTAAATGACCGCATGGCGTTTTTTCGTAGGACATCCCTTCCTGTACCGCAGTTTTCCAGGAATGATTTCAGCATTTGGAGCGTTCTGAAGCAATGTATTGGCAAGGTGAGGCCTTTCGTTTCAGTAATAGTGGAAACGAGCATGCTGATTATTGTTTTTCGCTGTGAAAAATATGTTTGCACAATTACAAGCTTAATTTGGCACGCATTGATAAGCATAATTTAGAGTGTTTGCTGAATTCTGCTTATATTTTTCAGGATCTTTCCAAAATTACTATGCCTGTTGTATTTAACGAGCCTCTTAGCTTCTTACAACGCATGAGCGAGTACATGGAATACGCCCATCTTCTTGATCAGGTACGTGTATTTCTTTAGTGAATTTCGATTCTGATTTTGCCTGTTTTATCAATACTATAATGGCACTCTGCTTTATGCTATACTCTAGAATATTATATCTGTTCATTATAAATCTTTTGTTATATGGTATCAGGCCGCGACGTGTGATGATCCCGTCGACCGAATTCTGTATGTGACAGCCTTTGCCATCTCATCTTGCGCGTCAAATGCCGATCGTATTGGGAAGCCATTTAATCCTCTTTTGGGAGAAACCTTTGAACTGTCTAGGTATAACAGAATGTTTGATTGGTATGGCAAACTGGCAACATACGCATTGTTGCACCATGCCATGGGAGAAAACGCAGTAGTTTACGTGTAATATTTTTACAGACCTGAACTGGGATATCGAATGATTTGTGAACAGGTAAAAAGAACACCCTAATGCTGGATATTAATGAACGATTTGAAATGGTGATGAATCGAAATAACCACTGCGTAACCGTTCGCAAAAGTGCTAACTTTTTTGTGTCACAGTGTGCTGCTTTCTTGCGCTTGAGTTTCTGATTTTCCCACTTCATCGTTGTAACATATCACTAACTTCCGTTCAGTGAGGTATGATTTTCTGCTGTATGCTTATGGAAAGAGATCTTCGAGTACTTTTAATAAGTGTTTCCCGTCTTCTGTCACTGCCTTGTACCGTGAACTGCGATTGATCAGTGGCAGATATTATTGTTAGGTTTGTCATCATCTAGGTTTGTCATCATCCACCAGTCAGCGCCTTCGACGCCTCGGCGGAAACGTGGCGTTTTTATGGTTCAATACTACCGAAACTAAAGTTCTGGGGCAAGTCGGTGGAGATTCAGCCAAAAGGAACCGTTACAGTGGAATTGAAAAAGCAAGCCAAAAACGTGCTCCGTCGACCTTTCAGTCAGTATCATTGGTTTTGGGTGTTCGTTCTTCTTAGGTACAAGGAAGTTTATTCCTGGTCCAATGTAAATCTGCAGGTCAATAACATTATTGTGGGGAAGCTTTGGATAGAACAGGTACATTGTGCTTGCCGGACTGATTGCACTGTATTATGTAACTTAAGAAAAAAACATCTTGTGCCTTTGATACGGTGAATTCTTTGTTTTACCTGTAAGGTACAAAAAAAATCATTGTTTTTTCTTATATGGCTGTCAGTTTGCTTCTGACAATCATAATATTATTTTGGTCACGAATACGATAGTGTTATTGGTTTTTGTTTATAATATGTACGCTGCGTACGGTGTATAAAGTATCTATATTTGGAATCGATATTATTTTTTAGTACGGTACAATGGAAATTATCAATCACACTACGGGGCTTTCCTGCATAATGACGTTTCATCCTGCTGGGTGGTCGAATAAAGATCTTCATCGTGTCAATGGATACGTAGTTGACAAAAGTGGGAAACAATGTCACACAACTTTCCTTCATTTCGCGAGAGTACGTGTAATATTCGCGAAACTAACAGCCTTTATGTATGATTGCAGCAAGCGCCAGGTGCGGGCAGTTTTTGGCAAATGGACGGAATATCTGTTATCATGTGATGTGGATGCATTTGAACGTTTTTCCCGCAATCTTCCCCCGCGCAAGCGCTCGTCTTTTAGTGGAAACCTTGGGCGGCGGTTATCTTCCAGTAAAGATGTGAGTTTCTGTTTTTGGTAGTCTGTTATCCTTCATTCGCTCTGATACTAACTAGAGTGCCACAGGATTGATTGCAAGCATGAAGTTCAGTAGCGCCTGTTCTAAAACAAATACAGAAGTATTTAAGCAAGGTTTAGATGAGTTGTAACTATATTCTGTAGTAAGAGAATTATCTGTTATAATGCTGTATTTAGAGTGATGCACGCGACCAACGCGATGAACATGGCGGTAGCCCATCACAGGATGCAAGCCCAGTCGGCCATGATCCAATGTTTGACATCCCCGGTGCAAAAATTCTGTGGCAACTGGATCCACGGCCTCTGTATTGCTCAAAGGTACTGTAATTATTCCATCTGCATACGAATTTTCCTTTATTATTTCCCTCTATTCACTTCCAGTTGCTTTTATCATTACAGTACTATGGATTTTCCTTGTTTGCTATGGGTTTGAATGAGCTTGATCCGGAAATGAGAGGCAGGCTGGCGCCCACTGATTGTCGATATCGGCCAGATATGCGGGCGCTAGAGAACGGCGATCTTGGTAAGGGCACAAAATCAATAGTGAACTTGACTTATTGTCCGATTTTTAATGTGCTCCGTTTCGATGGGAAACTAAGTAAGTAATTAAACTAAGTTACGAAAACTGTGCATTTTTCTTTATATCTTACTTACTTACTGCAAACCAAGTAATTATTGGAAATGCGCATTAAAATTAAAATTGTAAGTGCGTTGAATTTATGTTTGCTGGCGGTATTTTGAGGTGATTGGTTATTCATAAAGTACCAAAAATATTGTGGTGCAGCCCAAGTACCAGCATTTTCTCGCTTGCTAATGGCTGCTTGAAGATTGTTTTGTTAGACGGTTTAATGATTATTTGTAATATTTTTTCTGTCCCATTTGTTATTATTTTATTTTTTTGTCAGATGGCGCATCCGAACAGAAAAATCGGTTGGAAGAAAAACAGCGCGCTGTTCGTAAAGCGGGGCACTCTCACAAGCGCGGCCACAGTTCTAAAGATAAAGAAGACTTCACTCCGATGTGGTTTTCCATGCGGAAAAATCCCCATCATGGCATAGAAGATTGGATGTCGAATGATAAATACTGGGATCGTGACTACTCCACATGCCCGGATATTTACTGAGTTTGATTGTTACTGGATCTCTCTTTTCTGGGCACTAATGGATTGCTGCGAGATGCTTTTGATCGCGATGGTCCCAGATGGAAGCGCTCTTTAAGTAATAAGGAAGGTGCTACACTATTATGCTCACTGATGGAACAGCTGCTGCTCTGTCTCTGTGAGACGCTGCGGCTGTTAACGGGAAGATTATTTTCAGTGTTGTTTCCGTTTGACAATCGATTTTAATCGCTGTTGTTGATCCTTTATTGCTTAATTGACCGTGGTTGCCCTGTTCGGGATAGAATTGCGCTGCTGTCAGTCAGCTCGGTGATAGAAAGTTTTATTCATGTGTTTTGTTAAAAATCGATGCGGGTATGGAAGTCTCTGCGTTCTTCCAAAATTGTTGTATTACGGAATAAATGTTTTTCCAATATATAAACGTCTTTGACGCTGTCTGTTGAATTAACCATTTATACGCGAGATGAAAGATTCTTTAATATACATACCGGTAACTACAATTACGCACACGGCATAAGAATGAATTCGATACCACCGGTTTATGGTGTCAGCAGACACCTGTTGTGGTTTTGCAACTAGTGTTATAAACTTCGTTCGCTGCCAATAATTTTCGAATTTGCCTTGAAAATATGTGGAATATCCCAAATGTAAAAAACATTCACCTACTTATCATCAGGAAAAAAGTGTGCAAACTCATCAGTTCCATCGAAATCTATAGGTCGTTAATTCCTTGCGCCAAGACTCTAGACTAGACTCTGCCGGCAACATTGGTGTCACAGGTTTGACCACCAGGCTGATAACAGAATTTACGCTGTTGCAAATAACATGAATTCGTGTTTTGTATCTGTAGTGACATAGGCAAAACATTTTTTAACAGATTTATATGGCTGAATCTGGACTATAAGTTTTATCACAATGGATGAGATGATGAATGACATAATCATACGCTATGTGAGAAGTGGAGATGCGCCGTTGTGTCCAGCTGAACACAAAAGTCATTGTCCAGTTGTGCCAGTTTCACGCACATGCGGCGCCCCCGTGACCCCGTTCACTTTCCATCTCAAGTTATTTTCACTTTCCCGCGTGTTCGCAAAATGCAGGTTAGGTTTTTTTCCCGTTTTCTGTCTTCTTTAGAGTGAATGGTGAAGGCTGGAGTGGTACTCATAATACTGTTAATCAGTCAACAAACTTGTCCCGTTGACCACTCTACAGATACGACGATGCCGGGGAAATGGCTGCTCATTCAAACATTCTTTGCGAATAAACCTCGACAACCTTCGATATATAAGTGGCTTCTCCTTCATATTTGACCATTTTCCCCAATACTTCAAAACTTTTACCAGAACATACTGCGAATCGGTACTATATTCATAACTGCATGCCTCGAGTATTCCTGAGCAAGAGTTTTTCGGCTCATTTTCCGTACGGTAAATTACAGGTTCAGTATCGTCACGCCGCCGCATCAACAATGTCAACGCCGTTTTTAGACATCACCTGTAAGTGCTATAACATTTTTGATTCCATCTCATTATAAAACATAAAACATTACAATAGTACATATTATTTTGGGTGAGACTATAGGCACCCCTTTCACCCCCGTTGGCTATAGGCACCCCTTTTCTATTACATAAATCTCGCACCCCTTTTTTTCCGTGGACTATAGGCACCTGTTTCCTGTTTGCAGTCTTTTTTCCCAGCAGCCTGACAAAGATTTTCTAACAGTTTTTTCGGTTTACATGTACAAAGATTTTTTTGACGATCTGACATGCCTAGGTCATTCACATAAAAATGCGTTCGTACTAGGCACTCCTTCCGACAATGTGCCGGTTTGACTGACTTTATAATGATTTGGTTGCTTTGATAAGTTTTCTTGCATTTCTGAGGTCCTGATTGAAATGTTTGGGGCCTTTTGGGGTATCGGACACCACCATATAAATAAACGCCCCGGCATCTTTCTTACGGATTTCGTTTAGTACATGATTGACCATTCCCTCTTTTGTTCTTTCACCTCGTTTCACTTCATCGTGCTTGGTCGTTTGTTGTTTTCGTGTGCGACGGGGGGCAGGATTTAGTTAATCAAAAAGGGGTGCCCTATAGTCTAAGTGGGTGCGAAAAGGGGTGCCTATAGATAACGGGGGTGAAAGGGGGTGCCTATAGCCATTTCCTATTATTTTACATATTGTAATATATTATTATTGCGACCAAACTTTAGTATTTCATAATTCCTTTATGTGATACGCGCTACATAAATATTAATTAAGTTGCTTGATCTGTTATTTTTAACGGTGATATATGTTCTCCTGTTTCAGGTACCTTCTTCGCGTTTGTAATGTTAATACTGCCGTTAACGCTGTGCGCATCGGTAAAGCCGGAAATACGAATTCAGCGCAGTACGGGCCGGAAGCCACCATTGGGATCTTTTCAGGCTTCCATCGTTCAGCAATACGCCAAGGCCGGAATGTAAGAAACTCTTATGCGTGGTTCCTGTCAAAAAATTTAACACAGAAAGTACTTAATGCATACAGTCACTTTAGGTGCATTTCGCTTAAAAAAATTTATAATTATTTTTACGCTTACAAATTGCGCGGCGTTCTGTCCTTTAAAATAGCGTTTACTGTTAGAATTTTCTCTGTTGTTCTTTTTTCTGTCTGACACATTTTGATGCGCCAGTGCTGATTTGGTTTTGCTATATAGTGATTATCCCGTTTTGACTGATAAGCCAGTGACCTCGTTCACCTGTAACCAGCCCTTTATCGCTCCCGAAAGCCTTGTGGCCGATGTCGAAACTGGATGCCAGATGTTTCACAAATGCGACGCGAACAAGCAGCTCGTCGACTCGGTAAATTTTTAGAATACGAAGCACCGAAAAATATTTAACCGCAACCGCATAATAATGTTGAGTGACCTTTCTATTTGCAGTTTCTTTGTCCAAACAAAACCATATTTAATGACCGAAGTGAGTACTGTGCGTCTTTTCATTGTTTTGTAAACTCCGCATATAGATGATTTGCTTGAACTGGATTTAACTAATAAATAATATCTTTTCGTTGCAGCGCAAGTGTGTGAGTGGTAAGTGGCACGGAAACGCAAATTAATTGACCTTTATTATCACTACTTACTCGTTAGTTCTCTATATACGTCGACTACTGTTTTGTTTACAATAACAAGAACAAAATTATGGACAAGATGATTTATCCTGATTAATTATTACAGTTGTATGGTGTATTGATAGCACAATAAGCGTACATAAAAAACGGACGTTTTCATCATGTTAAACTGAAATCAGCACGAGAGGAATCGGAAGCATGTCTGTTCAATAATTCTAATTTGCAATACGGATAGAAGTATCATTATCAAAAACCCCAGTATACGTCCAAAATTGATCGGTTGCGCTCGTAGGTTCCACGATGTCGATTGCTATCTGCAACATCCCATTAACGTCGCTGTTCCCATCCCTCCCCCATCGCTAAGCAATCCCTCCAGGCCACCGGTCAAAATTCCATTCAGCAGCTTCAACAAGGTCATCAGTCCTCTTCCGATCGCCGTGTCTTCTAATGCCGTCAATGCCGAAGTCATCGGCAAGGTTGTTCCCGTCAAACAAGGAAATCAACCCGTCAACGCCATTTCCAGCCTAGCGGACAAGATCAAAGCCGACAATTTCTACCAGAACTACCGTCCACCAGTGGCCACCTACGCCTCACGACCACAGGATGTCATCAAACGTCTCAATTCCACAACGGACAACACTGACCATATCGGTACCGAAATCGATGCCACACCCGTCATTGCCACCGATACCAAACCAACCAGTCCCAACTTGAATCAGAACTTTTCCCTCTCTACACCATTCAACGCAGTCAAACCCGTGGCGGTCATTGCGCCCGCTGTGGAGCTGCCCATCAAGCCCGTCACGATAGCCGATGAAGCCGTCCATTCAGTGCAGCCGGTTATATCCACGCCAACGAAGGCCCAAGTGGCAGCCGGATTTATTTCTTCCTCCCTCAAACAGCCATCTGTCGCCGGTGTGTCAGCAACAACCGCCCACGCTATGGCGCCTGCCGCAATTACCACAAATTCGTTTGCCACCGGACGATCAGGTTCAGGCTGGGGAGCGAAAACCATTACAGGGAGCGGCTTCTACGGAGCGTCGATGCCCCGAGTGACCACCGGTCAGTTCGGAATTCTCCATCCGTCGCAGCAGATACAGATTTATTCCACAGGACTGGTTAGTCCATTTAATGTTGATCCATTTTTTACACCGCTAAAAATGTATGCGCCCGGCATGATGGGATGGTTGACGCCTGTTATGGGAATGTTGCCGGGACGATAAGTACTGAATTGTACAAACGGTACCTTATCAGGTATCATTTTGTTTGCGATGAATCTGTGCATGCATATTTATAATTAAGTTTTGCTAGATAAAACGTAGTCAAAAGCTACGTATATGCAATGTATTGTAAGCAGTCTAGTTTTCCTTTGCATTTATACAGATGAGTTTCATGCCGTGCAGATTTTTAGGTTTCGTAATTGGTTTATGTATAAAGAACGTTTTCGGTGGTTGCTTGAAGTCACATTTACGAATGAACAAGTGAAATACGTCCTAAACGCTGCCATTCTATAACAAAACATTCGCTTTTGCTTTATTGAATTTCCTTTTGTGAATTACGAGTAGGACTATCTGTGATACAAAAAAAGTCAAAATTTGTACTTACGGAGTACTCATTTTTAAGGTATTGCCTCCTCCTCTAACAAATTGGCAGTTCAGCCGATGTTGTTACACAAGAAGCCATTAGACAACGTCAAAGTAGCGCTGCGCTGGGCTACGCTAATGAGTACTAGTTATGAATTCAAAAATTATTAATAATAAGTACATATCTACAGATATATTTCAGAAAAAGTGCGATTTCCGCCGCTAGATGCCTTCTTCATCCGGGCGTTCGTTACCTACAGAGTATAGTCGGCAAACCAGCTGTTCATTCGCACTTTTGCTTGCATTCGTACGTACCATCTCAACGATTTAGAGATGGAACTTCGAATTAAAAATTTAAACTGCATTGGAAATAATAATATTTTCTAGTTTTGTTTTTAATCAGTGACAAAGTTCATTTCTTTTCACATTATACCGGAGAATGACATCATACCTATGACCAAGCTTTGTCGTTAACTTTTATTTTTCATCTTCCCGCGGACAGCTGCTGCACGTACATGTCGACGGCGGTGACGAAATCTCGTGTTCTGTTTCAAAGTGTTGCTGCCATCTCTGGAGCGCATGCTGTGTCGATCCATTCCCAAGCGCGGATATTATCTTCTGAGCAGAACCGACTGCATCAGCTCCTTCAAACCATGCCCAAAGAAACTAATCTTCGTCATATCAAAAAGCGAGAAGCCATCCCCAATCCCATCGTATCGGAGGCTTTTTTTCAAGTCGTTGGCGATGGGACGGTAGGTTCGCCTCGTGTTGCGTTGCTGGTCACGTCGTTCTCGCGGTATCTTTTCAACTGCGGTGAGGGCACACAGCGGATCATACACGAACACAAGCTCAAGTTGGCACGGGTGGAAAATGTATTTTTCACAACCAAAAGCTGGTCAAATATTGGCGGTCTGCCTGGACTGACTTTGACGGTGCGAGACATCGGGGTTCCTCGTTTGGCGCTGCACGGACCCAAAGGGGTGGAGGATCTGTACGAGAATGCCAAGCATTTTCTGATGGTACAGGATATGGATATTACCTATCGTCCGCTGCAGTGTGAAAGTTTCGCCGATTATGCAGTGACAATTAAATATGTTCCTCTATTTCCGGATGCCGATCAGTTCCCCTCTAATACCCTGACTGCAGTAAGTCTATCTAAATCCACTACTATTTACCAGTTTTTGTATGAATCTAATTAGCCAAGCGTATTAAAAAGAAATGTGAATGATAAGTAGTTTATCATGTATACTTGTATCTCTGTTTAATATATACACTACGAAAAATTAAATTCAGACAAAATTTGGTCTTTCAAACAAATTCCTCATTCGGACTTGGGCTGCTTGATTTTAGCTTGTCTAGCTGATATTATTTTATTTATTTTTAACGAATGTTTTGACGATGCTTTACAGTGAAGTTAATCGTTACGCCAAAACATTTAGCAAAAAAATCGCTTACTTTTTATTTGAGACGCTTGCTGACGATCATATTGATATGGCGTAAGGTGTAGTTTTTAAGTTACCGTTTATTTGTGTTTCTTAACCCGGCCCCTTTTAATGATTTTTAACACTAAATCGCCGGTCGGCATTTTTTTAGGATCACACCTCACCGGAAAGGTCTCCCAAAAAACGTCGTGCAAGTGCTTCTGCCGGTGCTCCTACCCCGGACGCCGTCGCGTACATAGGAAAATTAGCTGAGAAACCTGGCCAGCTGATTATATCCAAATGCATTGAAATAGGAGTGCCACCGGGTCCTCTCTTGGCCCAGCTGAAGGATGGCCATGAAGTGACTTTACCAAACGGTCGAATAGTTAAACCATCGGAAGTGTGTTTGCCGAGTGAGCCTGGGCCGGTGTTTGTAGTCGTGGAATGTCCAACGGAAGCGCATCTGTCATCATTAATCCACAATCCGGCATTCGTTCCACACCAGGGAAATACTGCCATCGACTCGGAGCAAGCGGTTTTAGTGATACATTTCACTCCATCTCGTGTAGTTCAGCGGCCGGAATATCAGCAGTGGACCGATGCATTCGGTGCTGGTACCCAACATTTTTTCATCAACGACGCTAATCATAATCCAAGTAGTATGGCTGTGTACCGCTTACAGTCCATGCTGAATTTGGTGGACGATGACATCTTTCCTTTGTTGCCGTTGCAACGGACACTGAAAGTTGGATCTGGGGAATCATTCAGGCAAGCGTCGCAAGTCGTGGCATCGAAAGACAATGCCCGTGCTTCTGAAGACTGCAACAGTCCGCAGTCACTTCCGTGGGCGTGCGCTCAGGCGACGGCTCTTGATAAGTTCTTTCTCCGACCTCTCGGAAATTGTGCGGACAAAACAAACTGCTTTTCGTTGGATAATAATGCGTACAGAGAAGAAGCATTAGCCATGGAAGGTGTCAGAGAAGCGCTCGAAGAATATAAGAACTGCATCGCTTCCGAAAACCGTAAGATTCAGTGGCAGGAATCTGATGTTATATTTTTGGGAACTGGCTCAGCGATCCCGGGTAAGGTCAGGAATACCAGCGGTATTCTTTTACGGTGTGACAAAGAGCGCTCAGTTATCTTGGATTGTGGAGAAGGTTCTGTGGTCAGATTTACCGATTTTTCGATAAAGAAGTGGCAGATGAGGAACTGCGAAAAATTAAAGCAATTTTTATCTCTCATACACATGCCGATCATCATATTGGCTTGAAAGGAATACTGGATGGACGGCGGGAGAGTTTTGAGCGGGCGGGTTTGCCATGTGAACCCGTATGGCTGCTTGTACCCGAGCCGTTGATCCTGTTCTTGCGGACCTTGGGTTATGGGAAGGACAGAGCGCAGAACGAGGTTAAAGTGGTAGAGTGTGGAAGAATTAGACATCGGTTCATCGATTTAACCCACACCGAAAGAGAATTTCTCCATTCTCTGAATATGAGCGAACTGCGGCTCGCTGATGTCATACACTGCTCCCAGTCGTATGGTATCAGTTTAACTTCAAAGCTGGGATGGAAAATTTGCTATTCTGGTAAGGAAAATTTGACGCGAAAGATATTTTTTTAAGGTTACGGTGTGGTGAACACTCGTTTACTGAATATATGTGCTAGGGTGCCGTAACTACTTGAAGTTTTCCGTTCTTTATCCATTTGGATATGCAAGTGTGAATGCGATAATCGTATTTGAAATTTGTTCTCAGTACTACTTCATAATTAATTTTGGTTGTTTTTTGCTTGTAGGGGATACTGTTCCGTGCGATGCTCTGGCTGAGATCGGTATGGGGTGTGATTTATTGATCCACGAAGCCACTATGGAAGATCTGTTGGCCGTGGATGCTGCCAAAAAGCGCCACAGTACCACGAGCCAAGCTATTGATATGGGACGTAAAATGAAGGCCAAATTCACCCTCTTAACGCATTTTAGCCAGCGGTACGCTAAGATCCCACTTCTTCCCAAAGGGCTTCCTATCGATGTGGGCATCGCGTTTGATAATATGCAGCTACGTTTTTCGCATCTCCATCGAATACCGCGAATGCTTCCGGCACTAAATGCCATCTTTACCGAACACATTGAAGTAATGCAGACGCGTACGGAAAAAAAGGAAAGAAGGCGGGACTGGGAAATGAAAGCTGCCCTGGAGAAAACTGATGTTGGTGAGACGACCAAAGAAGAAGGGAACTCTGCGACTGCTGTGATTTGAAGCAAAAGTGAATCTTTGTTAAATGGTTGCCGATCGGGTTGTGCTTGCTTGGTTTCCTGTATCATCGAAGAAAAGTATGTGCATGGCTAAGTTCGGATTTTTATTACGCGCGTTGTAACTTTTGTTTGAACCTGTTTTTACGGAAAACATTAAATTTCAAACTACTGAGTGAAATTTTAACGTGGTCCGAAACGTATTGTCGTGTTTTGATCTAATTTTTTTTCATATTTTACTATTTTATTTGCTTAAGGTAACCGTAAGTACTGTAATACCGCGATTACTGACACTGCAGTATTTTATATGTTTCCCGGCATGTAACGCCATGCTGTACTGTACAGATGCGATTACCTTTTTCGCTGGCCTTACAGTACAAAATATTGTAGAAATGTTCAACGTAAGTATAAAACTCATAAAGCTTGTGGTCAGAATTGATTTCAGTTCTGATTACTATAATAATGACACCATTTTGAAGTCCAGGACTTCAGGAACAATCGACGCGATCGTCGAAGACATGCCGGTCGCTTATCGTGAACTACTTGTATGAAATTATAAATATGCAAAACGCCAAAAGTGTAAATCTTTGAAAAGCATTTTGGATATGTTGAATTTTTCTCTGTACAGGTAAGTACTGTAAGTGTATCTTAACATTATTTTTGCAGCAGAAGGTCAAAAAGTTCACACAAAATTGATAAGGAATTACTCGTACATCATTTACTCTACATGTATTGCACATAATTAGACTAATTACAACCTTTTACATTGTTGGAGTTCAGTACTTATCGTGAATCCTACTACAGTCATTAGCGCAGTCAGCGCAGCTTTGATGTTGCCGGAAAACTTGTAAACTGACCGAAAAGTTTGCTTATGGTCTAATCATGCACTTACGGAGCTTTGTATGTAGGTAATTATTATTTTAATATTTGGTGTACCATTATTACAATCAGACTGTTCGCTGGCGCTATACTTATTTATACTTCCTGCTCGTTTAAATCGAAGCAAAATAAAATCTGCAGCAAAAGGTTATACTGATTATAGTACTTTTGTATTAAACTGCTTCTGATTAACTGTCTATGTACAATATGTAAGTACATTTATATGGACTCTGACTTATAGTATAGATGAATGAATAACCGCAGAAATGACAGAACCACCGGTCGACGTAGGTACGGTACTCGTTCGTATCTTTAATCTAAACAGCGTGGTGAAATGCAACGTCTGCAGTGTGCACATCAGTTTATCCTTCCGAGTTCCGAGTTGCGAAACCGAGGTGTGACCCCGTTCTGATTCAAAATTATTTGAAACCTCTTATGTATTAACACAGTGGTATTAAAATAATGATAATCATTTAAATTATAAAATTAATTTGAATTTAACGGATAATTATTAAGCTTTCTGTGGCCGCGAACTGTGAGCTGATAAAAGGTAAGTTAAACAAATGGAAAACAATTAAGTTAATAACTGGCAAGCCGTGTCGTAATCTGTCTGGGTGTTTGTGTCGAGTATGTTATTACAGTACTGTTTACCGCTATAATACCACAGCAGTCCGTCTTGCGAAATTCTTGCGTACCAAGTAACCAATGGGCTTAATTGATTGGCGCGCTCGTTGTTAATGATGTATTCTTCTCTGCTTTCAAGCTCCGCTTTTGTGGTTTGCGGTGCGATCACTGGATTTCCCGTATAATAACAACTGATCTGACGAGATTTGTCAGAGTGGGGACCTCAACGTTTTTTGTGCCCGAAGATATCCAGCATGTCATCCGCGGGCCTGTGCAAACCGGACTTTCAGTTCTCCAACAATACCTGCCATTATTCAATCCCTCCTGAATCCCAGCACACATGCAATATCACACATCTAATCAGTTGCAGTCTGATCGCGGCCCCCTCCGAGAAAGACGAACGTCCGACGCAATGGCAAGTATGGGGCTACGGATTGCTCTTCGTTCTCCTCGTCTCCCTCTCATCGGCGGTCGGAGTGTTCTTCCTGCCGCTGATGAAACGTGACTACTACAAGAAGGTCCTCATGGGCATGGTGGGGCTGGCGGTGGGATGTCTGTGCGGGAGCGCGGTCCTCCACTTGATTCCGCAGGCCTACGGACTGGATCCGAAGACGGAGCACGCATTTCTCTATCCGGCGCTGGTGGTGATCGGGGCCATCTATGCCTTCTTCTTGACGGAGAGATTGTTGAAATTATCGGTTGATCATCGTAAGCGGATGAAAAAGCGCAATAAACGCCAGCTAATGGCCATCAACGGGGCCAATGAGCAAAGTTCGCCGGGCAATGTCGAAGGCGAGACACGGGAGTTTGTAGTGAACAGCGGGAATTCCTGCGGTCATCATCATCACGGCCATCATCAGGGACATCCGCAGAAGAAGCCCCAACCGGCTTCACCGCAGCACACGGACAATCAGTTGTCGGATGATTCGTTCGATGAGAGCCATAGTGCGCATTGTGGCGGGCATTTGCATGTGAAAGCCCCGCCACCGGAAGTGCGCACCCATCAGCACGACCACGATGTCGATGCGCGGGATGTTAAAGAACATCCTATCAAGACCGTGGCGTGGATGGTCATCACCGGTGATGGAATGTAAGTTCGGGGAAAATTTCGCGAAAGTCTTTGTGATTTGCGTTGTTTATTTGGCTGGCGTGCTCAGTTTGCATGGTAGCGATTGCGAAATTATACAGATGGATTTTTGATTTTATTTTTTTACGTTTTGAAGGCGTTCGATTTTTACGAATTTTTTGTGTGATTTATATATGCTCTTCGTCTTCGATTTATATATGCTCTTTGTGTGATTTATATATGCTCTTCGTCTTTATATATGCTCTTCGTCTTGTTTTTTCTTTCAGCCTAACAAACTGAAAGAGTAATTTTTTACTGCTATGTAGCATAACTGTTCCGATTATTAATCAAACTGAAGCACGAAATAACGTGATAAGATTCAGGAATACTGCTATTACGGTGCTGCGATAATCTGCTTAACCCATGCGTTTTTTCTTTGCAGACACAATTTGTAAGTACCGTGTACGTCTCCGGCATTGGGAAACTAGTAGGTGTGGTCTGGTGTTTACCTTGAAGATCCAGCTAAACTAGCACCGTTCTTCCGTTGCGACTGTTGCGAATGGAAAATCGATAAGAGTCATGATCTGAATTTATTTTTAGTTTGCATACCGGTAAAGCGCGTAAACAGGCGGCATAAGGTCCGGCTGTGTAACCGTTATCGACGATAATCGCCGGTGTCGAATTCAAATACTTGAGTGTGCAAACGTGGCACCACCGATGTAAAGCAAATCTTATAGAGTTTCGCTATTCAAACTTTCGCTATCAGACATCTGGTTGAACTTCGGATTGTTGCAAGCGAAGTGGTTAGTTAAAATTTATTTTCTGTAAAAATCAGATAACTTTTTCTTGTGGGAAATATTTTTCTCTGGAAGTAGTTGAAATTGTTTAACATGCACTCAAAAAGAAAGAGACTACATAGCCAAAAAAATGAGATTTTTGTAGTATTTCATCTCGGAGCAATGGGTATGCATTTCATTCATATTTTACTTACTTAATTTTGACATTGTGGTTAATTTTTTTAAAAGCGTTGAAAAGAAAATGTAGAATGTTGTTGAGCACAAGTTGAGCTTGTCGATTTTACAGCAAACATTCCCTGCCCTTGAAGTTGCGTTTTTTTCTTAATGGTAATGTTGTATGCCAAATGATTTGGGCACTTTTAATTGGAAATTAAGGCTACAGCTGGAATCTGGAAGCTGCTGGATATAAGATTGCATCAGTGTGCAATGCGCAGCACATACTATATACATAATCAAATGTTAAATGCACGTACTACGAGTATAATTTTACGCGCGTTTTGTTTTGTAGTGTTGATGGTTTGAGCATGGGTGCGGCCTTTTCAAAGAGTGTTTTAGAAGGAATTGCTGTCTCTGTGGCCGTCTTATGCGAAGAACTACCTCATGAACTGGGTGATTTGGCAATACTCCTCAATTCGGGGATGAGTCTGAAGAAGGCCTTGCTATACAATTTCATATCGGCGTGCACGTGCTTCGCAGGCCTTTTTGTGGGTATCCAGCTGGGTAATTTGGATCAGGCCACCACCTGGATATTCGCCATTGCCGGCGGAATGTTCTTGTACATTTCATTAGTCGACATGTTACCGGAAATGACGCATACAGCAGAGGAAGCTAGTTCTGTGAGTATCCGTGAGGGATTGATCATGTTGTTAATACAGAACATCGGCATGATCTGTGGATTCGGCATAATGTTCCTAATGGCGCGGTATGGCGGGGAACTGGAGCAACGCGTCAATACTCAAGTCAGTTAGGAGCCCTGGTTCTGTATTTGGTACAGTTGCGGGTGGGGAGTGAGTTTGTTGTGGAGTAGGTCTTGGAATCTAGGTGAAAATACCCCGGAAGTGCATTTTTTAATTGTTTTAATTTATGCTGGGTGTTGAATGTACTTTTTGTGGCTGCCTGGGTGTTATGTTTGTTTTAACGAATCGAATGCAGACTCGCAACAGAGTCTTGGAGGGCTTTACCCATTGTCCCTCTCAACTGTTTTGTAATAGATTTAACAATCAAAATGTTACACCAAGATTTTGGGAACATGTTTGCGGTAACGCTGTTCGGGATCCATTGCAAATACTTTGCTCGACCGATCGGTGATCCAGTCTGAAACATCTTTTTCGGCGTGAGGGGAAAACGTTGTTTCGCGCAGCGTCATGGCTCGTTTGTCCATTTCCAGGCATTTTGTTTTCCGTTCTAGATCGAGCTCCACTCGGTGAAGCTGTTCTGTGAGGTCATTCCAGCGCGATCTGTACAATTCAGTGGATGAAACAGAGTACAGACTCTTACGAGTAGATGCTGTGACATGTCGAGTCAAATCTCTAAGCGCGGTTTTTCTCAATTTTTTTGCCTTGTAAACTAATTTTAAACTTAAGGTGCATAAGCTAAGGATAACTCGTAGTCAAATGTCAAAAATAATTTAATAAAATATTAATGTGATTTTAGAAGCGTTAGCTTATCTTGGCGGCATAATACTATTTTCCGTGCACAAGTTTAATATTAAAATGGTTAGTAATGTAGCGTTTCGGCATGGAACATTTGCGCTGGTACGAGTACTTGTAACTAAGTTGAAAGTACTTACCTCAATTCTTTTAATTTGTTGAAAAGTGCTTCTCGCGAATGCGCTAAATTGGTCGCTTCGAGTACTAAGCCCTCATGCGGAGGGTCAAGTGCCAACTCGTAATTGGGCCTTTGATTGCGATTCTCAATTCTTGTATGGGCTAATTGCATATGAGGAATCATGTTCTGCCAGGCTGTTTCAGTTGCCTCAATGTCGTTCTCGTTGGCTTTAATTTCGTCTGCCAGCTGCAAGTACAAAGATTCATGAAATTAATAAGGTACCTTCAGCTAATGCCTTATTGTAACGCACATTTTGCCGGTTATGTTCCAGTCTGCGGGCTGCCAAAAGTGTGTCGTTATACCGCTTCCGGTAAGCATAATCAGTCGCGTAGATCTTAGCGGCGAATTCATTCTCCACTTTGGACCACAGCGCCAGAATGTCGTTCCGTAGCTGATGGGCTTTATCTAAGATTTTCGCTGACAGTCGCAAGTTCTCCACGCTATTCTCCAACCAGACGCGCATTGTTACCATCCTGCAGCGAAACGCCATAAGTCATTACCAGTATTTTGGTGATGACATCGCGGAAGCGGAAAACAGTCTTGGATTTTAGGATTTACGCTGGCGGCACACGTAATATGTCCGGTTTGAGTGACAAACCGCTGGAGGCAGTTGTTAATCCCAGCTGTGCTTGATCGATATCCATGGCCTGCTTCTTATCGCTAACATCCTTTTCCAGCTGATTTTTCATGTGCATAAATTCTTCCAATAATTTAGAACATTCAAGACTCTTTTTGTTTAGTTCTCGCCGAATCTGTGCGGCTAACTCGGCTTCCTGCAACCGCCGATAACGAGCACACGTATACTTACGCTTTTTTTTACGTGTCACGACCAATGTACGTAAATGTTCAGGTTGCAGAACAGCAAAAATTTAAGCGTAACTGACTACATAGTGAACTCACCAGTCAACTGATAATTATTCGTAATTAGAGAACCGCATGCATCCTTAACAAGGAACAATATCATGATTAGAATGCTCCTCAACTATTTTGCGACAGCAAAAACTGTTGCACAATTGCAGTACAGCACCACCACGAGTACAAAGATTTATCCACCCAAAAGTGGAACGCCTTGCAGTGCTACTGAAGTATAGTGCCCACTGCCCACTGGCCAGTTGGTGTCACGCGTGCATTTTGGTTGTAGTTTGTCATGTTACTTCTCGTGTAACTTCTCGTTTAAGTTTAAAAATTAATAAAACTTACGAACCATCCGCAACTGATCTTCCACATCGTCGTGAACGTTGTTAATCCCTTGGCGAGCATCGCACAGCTTCCGGCACTCGCCATTGACATTCATAATCAGATCGTAACGCCCCGTCAAACCTTTGTCCAGACCATTCTTAGCTTCGGTCACTAGCTGCCCATCCTTTTCAATCAGATCGCGCGCCTCCAGCAGGCGTGCTCGCACCGCTTCCACGTGGTCAACGCGATCCCGCAGCCGCATCCGCGTGTCATGTTCGTCCCATTTACTCCGCAAACCCACTTCCTGGCGCAGCCAACCAGCGGAGAAGCGGTCGTGGAGGGATTTCGAGCGCAGATCATCGCTGGCGAAGTCGATATTGCGATCGAACTGTTCCCGCTCAGCTGGATAATATCCTCGACTTTCTAGCATTCTACTTTAATTTACAATTACTTTTGCTAAAACTATCTCAGGTGTGCCATCCTGCGTCCCCGCCCACAAATACCATAATTATACTGCAAAACGAAAAAATCTTTACGTCTGTCAATGCTATACTGTGCTGGACTGCCTGTGCAGCTGTTTTACAGGGCTTTCCTGACGGAGAGGCGATGCTAGGGAACAAACTTCCGCGTAGTACTTGCTAAAAAATTATTTCTTACTTAACCACTAACAGCAAAAAAACTCGCAATACAGGGAAACAGTCACATAACAAAAATGAGGTTGAACCCGTTACCACCGGTCCACCAATGTTTGTTCGAAACATTTACTGAAGCATGCAAAAGTCGCAGTGACTCGCAAAGCTTTGGATGTGGTTTTGTTGATTGCTTCTGCGTCCGGCAAACCCGCGATGTATCTTATTTTTGCCTTACAGTATGTACTTATGCAGCCTCTGTAACCCAACTGTTTAAAAGTTGTTTCCGGTTCAGTTAACCGCAATATTAAATTTTAATATATTAAACAAGCAAGATCGCGGACTGCGGTCAGACTTTACAACTACAGTAAGCTGCTAAAAAAACAGACAATTGTAAAACCGAATGGTAACACGGAAAACAACTTCGCACTGGTTGCATTACAGAAAGCTACAAAAATAGTACACACTACACTCTTTAGAGCTGGGAATGAACGAAACGAAAACAAGTATCAAAAACGAAAGATCCACTGAGATCTGCGTTCGTTAGTTAACAGGTGACCTGACATTTCGCATACGACTGCAAAAAAAACGCGATGCTAATGTAGATAAATAAAACTAAGCTAATTTTACGACCAAATCCCGCAGTTTGGCCATACGATATTCTTCGGGGTCGATACCGGAATTGGCGAACGGAACCGTGATATCATCCATGTTGGGAATCGTAAAGATCTGGTGAAACTGTTTCGTCATGGTCTTCTCCAGGAAATCCGTCACCATAGTGAAATCAATCTTCTTGTCACCAAACAGCGGTGTCGCCACCAAATCGAATTCCGGAGCCGGAATGAACCCGTACCATAAACGGTCACTGGGCGGATGAGGCAGATTCATCGCCATGCGTCCCTTGATCAGCTTTATTTCAATATTCACCGTCAAAGTAGTGTCGCTAACCTCTTCCAAGGATTTCTTGATGAAACCAATTTCGCTGAAATACTTGAAAGCCTTCGATTCCGCAATGTATTCCATTAAACGCATAGCTTTCGGCTTGGCTTTTTCAGGCATTTCCGTTTCCTCTTCAAATTCGTCGTCGTCCACGTAACCGCCATACAACGATGACAGCGTTCCATATGCCATGCGAGCTCGATCATCCGAACCGCTGTTCTCTTTTCCCTACAAAACACGATCCCGTTGTAAGTAATTCAGTAAGCAGTAGGATTTCTTGCTGATGCAGGAATTCTTCCTGTACTGATCAGCAGCTCAAAATTATCAACAAACCGCACCCCTTTAAAACATTAAAAGCGTTTACCGGGAGTGACAGCACTGAAATCAAGACTTCTAAATTAATGAGCAATCGAAACGTTGTTATCAGGGCAGGTTCCCAAAAAATAATAAGCAGGTACTCACTTTTTCCTCTGGATGGGTCATTTTAAGGACATTCATGCTAGTCTCCAGAGTGATCGTAATCGGTCCGCGCATCTCGAAATCCACTTCAAACCACAACCCCAATCGATCAACACGAATATCCCGCGACACCTCTCCAAACGTTGGCAGACTGCGTCCCAAATTCAAATCCGTCAATTTCAGCTCTTCCAAATAATACGGCCGCTTGATCTGTCCCAGTTTCTGTCCGAATTTTTCAAAAAGAATCTTTCGCCATAGTGGATCGACCAGAATATCCGCTCCCACGCGATGCACGAAGGCGGTCAGCACAGTCATATCCGGCGAGATGTTCACTGACGGCATGGCGAAACGGTACGGCGTTTTCCCACTGGCCGTGATGAAGCGCCAGAACAGCTCCTCTTTCTCCCGATCACACCGAGCGAACAGTATCAGCGTGGATGCATCTTTCTTAAGAAACTTGGTGTCCTTGTCCTGCGCTTCCACCACCAATTCGCCAGCCGCTTGCCCGAGTTCCTTCAATTTGATTCCAATTGGGAAACGACACAGCCAACGGATTTTGACCGGGACGTCAAACGGCAGCAGGAATACGTCGGCGTTTCGCAGGTCGTATTCTCGTTCTTCGGTCCACGTGACGTCCTCCAGTTTCTGTTTCTCATGCTCGTTAAAGAAGGCCATTCGAGGGACAACGCGATGGTTGGGACGACGGATACGAAGTGTAGACTGCTCGAAGTTGACCAATATAGGCTTAGTCCGTTCCAGGAAGTACTTTTTCTCATCGAAATCCTCACTGGAAAATAAAATTTAGTTTCTCCAAAAATCTTTAACAGGTGGCTATAAATTTAGATGCCCCTACTCCAGTTTTTTTGTACCGATTCTGCTTTACCACATTTACTGATTTACATGTAACCTTAAATTTACCATTCGCACTGGTTTCAATGTAAAGTGTTAAGGGCTGCTTCATGCCAAAATTACATATGCACAGTATTTTCATCTTCTAACCAACGCTACGAACGAAGAACGCCCACCCTGCTCAAAACGGTTGACCTTTCCGCTTACTCTCCCAGGACGTGGGAAAGTACGGATAACAGTAACACACATAGGTAGATTACCTAAAGCGGTCATACATACTTGTCGTCTTAATATCCAGACTTTTCGCACTTATTCTGGGGCTGTTTCAAAATGGCATACACTATACAAGTAACAAGTGCAAATATTTTCGCTCACGTTAATTCGTTCATCCAAATTCCTACAGTCGAATCAGGCGTCTTCAGGCGAGCGTCCGGTCCTGCATGACTGGGACTGCGGGCTGTCTGCGCGGATGGGCCAGATGGCAATCTTCCAAAAACTCCGTCTACGCCCGATCGAATGAACACGTCCGCATCTTCCTTGGACAAACCCATATCGTGCATCAAAATTGCTTCCACACGGGCAATATGGTCGACATGCTTATTAAATTCCACCAAACGATCCAAAAGCTGCTCGGGAGTTCGGGATGTGGCATCGTGTACGACAGGCACGTTTGTCACTGTTGTGGTTTTGATAACCGTATGGGACGCCTGCGGAGCTGCCATTCTACCAGTCTGCTGCCGATGTCAGGGTAAGAACTATTTGTGTAAATCGTAAATCAAGGTAAAGCTCGGATTACCAAAATTCATACAGACTCATCAGTCGTCACTCATTATATTAGTTTTTTGACAAAACGAATTCTTCTAAGTCTAAACTGCAGCATACGGTTTGTCTGACTTGTTGTTATGAGTGACCCACGCCAGACGGCATCGGAAATCGGAAATTACCCGTAGGAATCCCCATGGCCGCAAAATGGAAAAACAACCACGTGATATATTATATATAATTACCTTGCGTCATGTCCCGTGGTATGTTCCTATTATGAGAAGGATATCAAACCACAACACGCGTGCGGATGGTATGCGACACCAACCAAAACAAAAAATGAACACGCGTAGTTCCTTACATATCGTACCTCATTTTTACCTTGCAGGGCACCACACTGTTTATTTTATAATGCGAAATTTCCTCTTGTTCTTGAGCAAGAATTCTTCCCCTCGTTGCATCTCTTAACAAAAGAACGAAAGACTGAATACGATAACGTAGTTATGCAAAATGTATCGTAACTCATATCGCTTTGTCGGAGATATATTATTGGGACTGCTCCTATTCCTTATTGGGACGATCTTTTTGTGGGCAATTATTGTGGTACGTTAGTCGTTACAGTTCAACATGATATCAATGTGTGGTGTTTCCGATAGCCTGCTGAAAGTTGCTTTTGTATTACAGCCAATTCTAGACCAAGAAACCCCTTTGAAAAATATGATTCCCTCACCGGAAAATGTCCTCGTTCCCGCTGTTGGATTTTTTGCTACCGTTGCTGCGCTGCTGTTTTTCCTATGGATTTTGCTCCGCTTGGAAATTTGGGGAAGAGAAGCGTTATTGCTCAAGGACCGCGAGATGATGAAAACGGGACATACAACTAATTTTAAGTAATAACGAATAAATCATCCGCGTTAAAGATTTCCATGCCGTCCGCTGTAGAATCCAACATGATCAAGCCCTGATGGTGCGTATATAGTAGTATACCGTGTGCGATACTTTTAACCGAAGAAAAGTTCTTTTCACAGGCACATATCGTATTGGTCTTACGGTATGCATGAAATTGCACGCATAGTTTTCTAAATAAATGCAGAATCTTTCGTAGATTTCTGTAGATATCGTGAGAATGCTTGGTAAATTTTGATTTTCCGAACATACTAGTACTGTTTTGACAAATTTTTATTCATTTTTATGTACAGTAGTGTCGTTGATATTTCTACGGATGAAAGGGGTAATGCATTATTCTTTTGAAAATCGGTGCCCCATACAAAATTTAAAAATTGTAATTCTCTCGTGTACATAAGTAGGTAATTACAGTTTGGATATTAAGCCAGCAAATTGTATGGTATGCTGTAGGTCATCTGGTTGGAAACGAGATATTCAAAACGGCAGATTTTTGGCGCATTATCTTGATGGGGAAATACCTGTCTGCTGTCTCGACGACCGTCACGGGCATTTCATCGGAAGCTCATCGTAATGGACAACCGGCATCGCCGACATCCTATCTTGCTGCAACAGAAGAGGATGTGACCATCACATGTCCCCCCGCCTTGGCCCCTTCGAACTTGTTCGTTAGCTGACCTTCGTGGGTGTCAGATGGTTTTTTTTTAAAAGACTAAATTTAAGTGCGGACCTGTGCGGTGACTGAGGACTGTTTTATATTGAATCTGTTCGTTGTGAACTGTTGATGATTATTTATTTCTCGAAGATGTTTAAGCCACTTTATCAGTATCTATGATCTACTGACCATGAGATTCTCCTCTGTCGAAGTAACCGATGAACTCTCCCCACGGGCACTTAATTTGTGAATGTTTTGCCAGTTGTGTTTTTTCATGTTATCACTTGAGATGACTTTCGTTGCTTTAAAGTTAAAGGTGCAGTTATTGTTTGTTCTTAAAATTTTCCAGCTTATTTCGAGGGTTTTGCAACATTATTTTTACTCCCTGTAGTATTGCATTCCAGAATCTGGACCAATGAGTTGTCTCATACTCGAGAATAGACAGTGTAGCACGGAACGGTACTCGTACCGTCGTACGGTAATGTTTTACATATTTTGTGCTGCATATAGTCTGCTAACGGTGAATCTTGATCCACAAGAACCGTACAATTATCATCAATAAGAGCACTTCTAGTGATATTATAATTATTATTTATTTTTAATATCTATATTTCCGTTCTATTACCTATATACAATACATCCCAGTGATCCCACAGCACATTTTACACAGCCTATATAACGGGCGGTATACTGGTAGAATTGCATTATAAACGAAATTTCAAAATGAGCAATCACTACAACGCCCAAACCCAACTATGTGGCAAAACGGACAATCGAATAATTCCGCAGGTGGCTGGAACTCACCCCATGTCACTGGCAACTATACCAAATTCAGGTAGGTACGTAAATTAATAATGTTTCTCCAATTAATGCTATCTATGCATGATTAACGAAGCCCAGATAAATTCCAAAATGTACAATTACGATGTTTCACAGCTTCAGAGAATTCAAGAAGAAAACACGAATTATTCACTAATGACTGTGACTAGTAGTAGTCGTAGGAAACTCATAAAATTTCATAGGTGGCAGGGTAGCTGGATCTCCTCCTCTAGTCACCCAGTGATCGTGATAAGGATAATGTTTCGGCATCTGCGGCATAAAGGTGAAGTATGGCCTGGTTACATACCAGAAGAGAAACATGCCTCCCATAAAGCCCAGAAAACAAGCCAACATGTAAGGCTTTGAATGCAGCTCGCGCTCTGTGGAGCATCGCTCGCCTGTGTACAGATCGAAGTCAATGTGCAGAGGCTCACCGAAATTCCGACGTACTTCTGGCATATCCCACGGTTCGTAAGGATCACGCTCGGAGAAGGATATAGGCCGGAGGTTGGGATAGTCACCGTGTTGATTCTTGTCATCCTCGCTAAAGGTTTTGTAATCGGAGGGGTGCAGATTGTATTTCTTGGCCGCGGCGATCTTCTCCAGCTGTGTCTTGGGAATCCTGGGATCAGCTCGCCAATCAGGATTCCAGTAGCCTTTCATGCCTCCAGCATGTCGAACACCAAGTATCGAGGATCCGACGGTCTTTTGCGGATAGCGCAGGAAGAGGGGAACTCGCGTCAAAGTTTGCGACATCCTCACAGCTGTTAAAGGGCTGATAAGTAGTTAGCAGTAACAGTCAGCATCCAACCAAGCAAAAACCGTTTGGACCGTACTGAAGAGGAGCAGGAAGGTACAGCAAAACGTATAATATATGAATTCCTAGTTCCAGGAGCAACAATATAAATTAAGTATCATAAAAATATTAATGATAAAGATTAAAGAAACGGAAGATTCGTTCCCGTGATACGCGTTCCAAGTTTCCAGCTACCCCGTATTCACCTGCAAACGTACATACTCGTACTACTGACTTTAAGCCACACCGATCACTTCTGATATTTCCCCAGCCTATACTACTTACTCGTTACCTATTGAAAATTGCTTCCTATTGGGCGATGATTCATCCAAATTCCAAAATACACGTAAAACGGTAAACACATCCGACGACTGATGTTGGCCGTTTGGTTAAAAAATTCTGTTTTTAGTTTTTTTGAAATTTACTAGCAACAGGAAGAACTGGTTGTTGATAAAAAGCAGATTGTCGGAGCGCAAAAGCTTTAACAGCGCAGGGATCGAACTGATTGCTGTCTTGTTATATGGCGTATAGTTTTCGAAAAGGTAAGAATTATTTATGACGTTGCGTAGTTGACGATTGAATCAGTTTCATTATTATTACAGTATGTGAGCTCGTAAGCAACAAACAACGTTACAGCAGTAAAGCAAGTCCTTGGGAAGGAAGATACTTCGTAGTGTTTATAAAATTAACAAGTCGGTACATAAAATTAATACTTAAAAGAAAACCTCCTGAGTATTTTTTTGGCTGTGGCTGTGTCGCTGTGATTTTTTAAGTGGCTGTACCGATCCTGTATGTACTGCAAACAGCAAAATGAAATGAACCATTTGACACCGTGAGCTGCTTGATCAAGGATTTGCGGATTGCTTTACTACGGTAGCTTACGAGTAGTTTTCGGATTCTGTAAAGGGTAACCTGTTGAGCACTGAGCTCCTGATCGTTTGGAAAGAAGTTATCATGTTTTTACTATCTCTACGATAGGTGTCTAACCATTTGGATTTCGGAAGCACAGAGCAAGAGAAATCATGAGCAACTCCGGTCCTCCGTCACAGCCTCGTTTGCCTTCAGATAATGGTAAGCTCACTAAATTGACTTCTGAGTAAAAGTTGTAAAACCACCAAAGTTTGTGGACAAAACTTTTCTGAAGTTTGGTGGTTGTGTTGGTACCGTAATTAACTTGGACTACTTGATTAACTCTCAAGTCTCACAGTCAGGCTGTTTTTTAATTATTTGGAATTTGTTGTTATGACTATTAAGTTAGCCTTTAAAAAAAAGAACAATAAGGCTAACTGCTAACAGTGAGTATTACTGTACGAGTAATAAGATAACGCATTTGAAAGAAATCTATGCCCTCTAGTTTGCAGATATTTATTCAGGAAAATTCAAACCACCTTATATTAGATGGAATTATAGGATCCTCCATAGTTCTGTACCACTAGGTTTATAAATAATTTTGTGTTCTGGATCTGTCTTTACTAATTTTATCTGATTGATCACGGCATTACTCGTACTTTGTATGTGGTTAGCGGCGATTGAACTGAAAATTCGGTAGATGTGCGACGTGCCTTTTATTTTTTGATTTCAAGTTTTCAAAGGCTCTTTGTATGCATACCTTACCATAGGCTTAATCGATGTGAAAAAATTCAGTGCTGACTGTGCTGTAAGTTAATAGCAGCACTATGCCCCTGTATATTGTGCTCGTAACCGTTGATTCACTTGATTGTACAATGTTTTTTTATGACGTTAGTTATTAATGTTGTTGAACTGGGGATAGCGTTGTAATTTAGTGAATAATAACTTATTACCTGTTGCAGTTTGGAGGATATTAGATTAAGATGTTCGCCTTACTTTTTAGACATCAGTTGCTTTTATGATGCTTTCTTTTATTTCTGGCGTTTTTGGAAAATGCCTGAAGGGGTGTGCTTTCAGTTTGTATGGCCTCATGGTCGTTTGAAGAGTTTCCATAGTTGATGTAGCGAAGATACACCATCATTGCAGGAGCTACAATACTTTATGATTGTATGGACATGTAATATACAGTAGCAGTGACTGTACTTTGCGCAGATTAATTTTATGCACTCCACGTTTACGGTCTGATCTGCATGTTATGTTAGATTTTCCAAACCATCTATTGCTACCGCATTTTAGTTCATATTTTTTTTATTCAAAGAAATCCGAAAAATAAGGAAAATATTCTTTCACCATCCATTGTTATGAAGTGTACTCTTTTATAAACAGAAGACCGATGATCGGAAGGTCGAATTAACAATATTGTTTAGCTAGCACGTGCATATACGCGGTTAATTTTTTATACTCCCTGTCGCCAATTATTTTGGCAGTAAACTAATTTGTTTTTCTTATTATGGTGTTTCCCCCTTTGTTGCGGTAAATATCGGTAAATATCTATATTTGCATTTGCAACTTGGATTGACATTTTACTGTATTCTGCCATGTGGCAGTTTTCTCAAGGCATGGGTCCACCAGGTTTAGGATCAATTCCTCGAGGTACAGTTGAAATTTGCTGCATAATTTTTACTGCATCATTCACAGACTAGAGTAATGTTCGCCGCTCTTTTATGCAATTGCGTTATAATGATTATTGATCACTGATTAGAGTTAAACACCGTATGGCGGTTAAAACGAATGTCATCAAGATAGCTAAATTGTATATCCTACAGAGAAATTAAATAAATATTGATATGTGCAAAGATGCGCTTGTTGCTTGTTTTTGGATGGAAAGCTATTTTTACCGGCGCAACTATCCGTGGAATTTGGAAAGCACGGATAATTGCGCCGGTACCGATAGTACAAATTTGCTTGATGGTACTATTGTTTAGTTTCCGCCCTTGAAAAATTTACGTTTGTCCGTTATGGTTCAGACTATACGAATGATTTTTGCAGAATCGAGACCTGTGATATTTTTACATTAGAAATTCATATTCTCATTCATAATTTTGAGGCTTGGAGATTTAGGCATTAAGGGTTACGCGTATCAAACCAGGTCGCGCATGAGCTTGCAATTATAGGGAGCCCATCAATGGATTATGGATAACCTGAAAACGTTTGAGTGGTGGCCTTGTGCATACTTCTACCTTTATGGGAGGCAAGAATACTATCCCATGTGACCGGTTGCGTTTTCATCCCGTTCGTGCGGGTGGTTTGCTGACTGCAATTGCAAATGCACTGATGGATTTTTTATAGAATTACATATGGGGTTGGTTCCGATTTAATTAAGTTCGATATATAATACATCTGGTCCTGACAAGCTCGACGCCCACTTGTAACCATGAGATGTAAATCTGTCCGAGTGGGAGAGATTGGTTTGTTATCATACGAAGCTTTATGTGGATATCCACGGTAGGGGAGTCCCATTAACCAGATTCCGCCGGGCGGCGGTAAAATTGCTGTTTGCGCTCTTGATTCATTTTCCTCTTCTGACTTCGGCTGTGTTGGTAATTTACTGTGTCGGCACATTTGCGAGCCGTCGGTTTAAGTGTTGTCAATGGGATACGGTAAAACGGCATAGCGTTTATCCGTATTCCTGGATTGAAGTGGGATGGTTCTTTTGGCACGACACCGAATGGGAGTCGTCCTACGCATCATGCAACTGTGGTGCAAATTGCTTCATGTTTATCGGCCTTGAAAATCTCCTTGCTGTTTAGAATCGGTCTTGCACTGCGCTGTTGGCACAACATTGCTGATTAGAATCATTAAATCTCTTACTTGATTTTGCAGAATGTTTTGCGCAGACTTGTCTATCCTTTTTCATTCGAATTTCTGGCCTGTTAATAATTTGTTGTCACTACGAAAATTTCAGTATTGATAACTGTAGCAGCATTTTCAAGGAATGTTGTCGCCTGTAGAAACTTTCTACGATCCCCTGGAAGACGGTCACGGTGATCGAGAAAACAAGGATCTGACGCCGGAAGAACGTGTTCGCTTGGAGCAAGAATGGAAAGAAGAACTCACAAAGGTATGGCGTGACGCGTGAGTGCACGGTGCCCCTAGTTTGTTTATTTAAATTCAGTGCGTACAAGCCCATACAGTCGCTTTCTGTTACTTCAGCGTAATACTTACTGTACTTCATACATCTATCTATTCGCACTGTCGTATATATTGCTGCATGTGTGATGATTGTTTTTACTCTGTTTTAAAACTCCGCGGGATAGTAGTAATATTAGACTGATGGTCTCCATGAAAAGTTTTTCAATTAAGGGTGATAATTACTGTTCGGTTTAGACAGAAGAAGAGATCGATACCCTGCGACGTGTGCTCAGCTCCAAGCTGCGCCATGCACAGGATTTGAAGAGAAAACTGGGGATTACCGTTTGGCAGGAAGTGCAGTCCGATCTCGCCGAAGGCTTCAAAACCGTGAAGGAGTCACAGGCGTAAGTTCTCCTATTACTCGAGGATAATCATCGACATGATAGCATTGGAAATGTCAAAGGAAATCCATAATCCCAAATATCATTTGCTTTGACTTATAATTTACCATGAGACTGAAACATCTTCAGTCTGCAGACTTTAATGCAGAAATAATACTTATTATTACTTATTATTACTTACTAAATATTTGACTAACACGGGATTACTTTTATCCGTAGTTACTGGTAAACAACAAACACATAGTTTGCTGTTATTGTGGTGTAAATGTTTCATTGTATCTTCGGATCCTGGCTAATACTCGTATGTTTACATTATTAGGGTTAAAAAGCTTAACGAAGCGGTCGTGACAGTGGAGGACAAAGTAGCGGCTTCGCCTGTGTGAGTATTTTTTTAACATAATTGCATTGCACTTTAAGTCCCAGCCACGCTAGCGTGGAGTTTTTGGCCAGGATCTGGTCAAAACCAGTGCATACGAATGATACGTTGACCATATTTTAGATATCAAAAAACTTCGGAATCTTTAAAGACTATTGGCGACAAAACGGGGGCAATGTTTCAGTCATTCAGTGGAGAAACCAGGAAAAAACTTGGTGAACTCAGGTTTGTGCGAAACACTGAGCAGTCTACTAGATACCAGAGAGGTTATCTATGTATTGACATTTCAGGAAGTGAAATTACAGTTATGCTGGTTTGTGCGTTGCTGAAATCTGATTGTTTTCGTTTTGGGCAGGAATACGAATGCTTTCAAGTCGGTGGAAGGTGCTGTTACAGCAGCGGCAACTGCGGTGCAGAAAAAAGTACAGGAAGTGGCAACTCCCAGTGCGGACCGAGAAAGAACTACTCTGGAAGGTGAACTGCGTGGCGGTGCTGTGTCGGGAGCTACTACACCGACATCGACGACAACTACGACCACTATAACTACAGAAAAGAAGGCTTAATTACCTCTCAGTAGCTGTTGCTCTTTCTTACTAATTGCCATTTTAGATTTCGGTCTGTCCGTTATTTATTAAAGGCCATAGTTTGGACATTCTTTATGAGCTTATTTTGCATTCTTTTGTGTGACAAATTTTTGAATGTGTTTTTTACGCTGGCTGCTTTCGGTCTGTTATCGCAGTTGTTTTGGTTCAAAACGCGTAGCGTCGCCTTTTCTTACACTTTTTACCGTCTTTGTAATTAATTAAAAAATCAGTTAGCTGGGTGCTGCTGGCCTTTGTGATGATTTTTTCTGCAGTCGGCGTCCTGACTTGAAGTACTCGTTTTGCCTTTACCGTAAAGAAAGGTATCTGTACTTTCAGCTGTGCTGAGTTAGCTTACTTCTGCAGTCTTAAAACTACTTGATCAACGAATAAACAGTTCCCGAACAAATGCCATAGAAACAAACAGCATAGCATAGTGAGTATTAGTAGTATCGTCGATCGGCATGATCGGATTGCGAGCTCAGGAATGCGACCGACCGAACTTTTGTTTTGTGTGTAACAAATTAACAATTGACCAACTGAACCGACGCATCTGTTTAGACCGCAATTCAAACACGCAGCGATTTTCAAATATTTTTTATTTTAGCCGTCTACAAATCAGAAACGGTAAGCAACCACAAACAGGGTATGTTGTTAGTGCTAATATAATAATAATTTATACATGTCAGTACAAAAAGAAAAATGCAAAACTAAACAGAAAGGCCAATAAATTCTGCATAACGAATTAAATTTGAGATAATGGCAATGCACAATCGCTGCTTCAGCGTAACGAGTGCCAGAAGAACATCAGGAAGTGCCGAAGTGGCAAAAACACAAAACACATTTGTCATATCAATTAATCAACTTCCTCAATAGTAGGACCACCTTGTCCGCCTTGCTGTCGCCCACGACCGCGGTTATCTCCCCCCGGAGCGCCCCCAGCGCTGGCTCCTCCTCCATGTAATTTGGCCATGATGGGCGAGCAGGCTTTCTGGATCTCCTGCATCTTGAACTGGATTTCTTCCTTATCGGCCAAATTATTCCGGTCCAACCAGCTAATGGCTTCCTTGCATTTGTCCAGTACCTGATCTTTTTCCGCACTGGACAACTTATCACCGTGTTCTTCGGCAGCCTGCTTGACTCCAAAGACATATCCTTCAAATTCATTTCTGGCGGAAATCCGTTCGCGCTGTTTGGCATCTTCGTCAGCATAGGTTTCCGCCTCTTTGACCATGCGTTCGATTTCGTCCTTCGACAGGCGGCCCTTTTCATTTGTAATGCGGATCTTCTCAGATTTACCCGTGCTCTTGTCTTCGGCAGAAACGTTAAGGATACCGTTGGCGTCGATGTCGAACGTCACTTCGATCTTGGGCACACCACGCGGCGCCGGAGGAATCCCCGTCAGATCAAAACGTCCCAGCAAATGGTTGTCTTTGTCATGGCACGCTCGCCTTCGTACACCTGGATAGTGACGGCTGGCTGGTTGTCGGAATATGTTGTGAAGACCTGGGAGGTTTTGGTTGGGATGCGCGTGTTCCGCTCCACCAGCTTGGTCATCACACCGCCAGCAGTCTCCAGACCCAGCGACAAGGGAGCCACGTCCACCAACAGCACATCCTTGATTTCCTGGCTCTTGTCGCCTGTCAGGATGGCAGCTTGCACAGCAGCACCATAGGCAACAGCTTCGTCAGGATTAATGGACCCGTTCAGTTCTTTTCCGTTGAAAAACTCCTTCAGTAACTTCTGCACCTTAGGGATACGAGTGCTACCGCCAACCAGCACAATTTCTTGGATATCTCCTTTGCCCAGCTTGGCATCGGTCAGGGCGCGCTCAACAGGTTGCAATGTGCTCCTGCAATAAATTATAAAATATGTTATCAGTACTTATCACTATCACAAATGATTTATAAGCGTTAAGTATTGTAAAAATTTTCTTTTTAAAACCGATATTTATGTTTTCTCAGATAAATCCTGTACGAAATTATTACAAAACAGTTATCGTCATCAAAAACAGCATAAAATCAACACATGTGTTCTAAAAAGTCCTCTTAACAAACCGAGTCAAATCAGATTTTTCCTTATTAAACAAATCCTACGCAAATTTCTTGGAGAATAACCAATACGACATCATGAAACTGATTCCCTTACCTGAATAAATCAGAGCACAACTCCTCGAAGCGGGCACGGGATATTTTGCTGTAGAAGTCGACACCCTCGTGCAACGAATCAATTTCCACATTGGCTTCCGCGGAACTGGACAGCGTCCGTTTGGCACGTTCGCAAGCAGTGCGCAGACGGCGAATGGCGCGGGCATTGGCCTTCAGATCCTTCTTGTGTTTCCGCTGGAATTCCTCCACAAAGTAGTTCACCATGCGATTGTCGAAGTCCTCCCCACCCAAGTGCGTGTCGCCAGCCGTCGAGCGCACTTCGAACATGGATCCCTCGGAGACCGTCAGAATGGACACGTCGAAGGTGCCACCGCCCAGATCGAAAATCAGAATGTTCTGCTCACCCTTCATCTTCTTATCCAGACCGTATGCCAGGGCGGCGGCGGTGGGCTCATTGATAATGCGCAGCACATTCAGTCCGGCAATCCGTCCAGCATCCTTCGTCGCTTGACGCTGGCTGTCGTTGAAATAAGCAGGAACGGTAACAACTGCATCGGTGACCTTGCCGCCCAAATATGCTTCAGCTGTCTCCTTCATCTTACCCAACACCATGGCACTGATCTCCTCCGGATTGAAGGTCTTGGTTTCTCCCTTGTACTCCACTTCGATCTTGGGCTTGCCACCCGCGCTGATCACTTTGAAGGGCCAGTGCTTCATGTCAGCCTGCACTGTCTGCTCGTCGAATTTGCGCCCGATGAGACGTTTGGCATCGAAGACGGTATTCTGGGGATTCATGGCCACCTGGTTCTTGGCAGCGTCTCCCACCAAACGCTCCGTATCCGTGAAGGCAACATAGCTCGGGGTGGTGCGATTGCCCTGGTCGTTGGCGATGATTTCCACTTTTCCATGCTGGAACACACCGACACAGCTGTAGGTGGTACCCAGATCAATTCCAACAGCGGGGATTTTTGGCATGTTGATGGCGTATTAGCTAATTCGAGATGCAAAACAATTCTGTCGATTTTAATTGTCACAACAAATCGAAAAGCAAATGCAAAACGTATTATACTGCACTCTTTGAAATCGTGGATTGAAAATGAATTGAAAACGGTAGCTACCACTCCTGTTTATATAGCAACGCCGCAACGGTATTGCTGTGACGAGACGCGTCGAGCATAGTGTGGTAGATTCCAGTTTTTACTACAAACTGCCGTCACTGTGCAGCTGTCGGGAATGTTCGCGAATGATCGCTTGCTGCCGATTTGTCTTTGAATGAGTGAGTCATGCAGTCTGACAGACTCTGACTGTCTGCTTGAACCGAGCGATGGAGCCAACAATACTGTACGAGATAATCGAGATTACATCCAGACACACCCCAACAGGCTGAACTTGCTGGCGGGTGGGACATGCACAGAAATGATTCGTGCTTCCGAGTCATAAATAAACTGAAAATATATGCGTAAAAGATTCTCGCAAACCGTGTCTCAAATAAAAAACCGCTGCGTATCGCCGGGATCTATGTTTTAAAATAACAAAATACCGCGAAGTTAAAAATGCAATAAACTGTTGCGTATGCTATGCCGCATTTATCTTGAAGATCTAATCGTAAATACAAATTTCCAAATTGTGCTTAACGGGATATTTTACATAAATCATGAATGTTAATAACAAAAGAAATTCTCGTTCTCTCGTGACTCGTACCGTTGCTTTTATCATACAGATACAACATTCAATGCTTGCTTCTTTACTTGCATTTAAAATTGTTTTTTGTTCGACCACACTTGAAGTCCCTTTGGGGTTGTCTGCTCTTGTGCCGTAATAATACTAATAATAATGATAATTAATAATAATAATAATCATGAGTATGCAAACCGAAGGCACTAAAACAAGTGAGTCGCTGTACTATAATTTATTTATATTCCGGATCCGAGTAAAACAGTTTGTAAAAAATACGTTAGCAAAACGTTAGTTAAAGGCCAGAATTCGAACATGTTCGAAACTGCGAATTTTGGCCTTTAACTAACGTTTTGCTAACGTATATTTTACAAACTGCTTTACTCGGGGGATGGTGAGATTGGTGACTCACATGCGTAGTTAGTTCTCTCGCTATATTAGTGGATTTTTTAGTTTAGAATGCGCTGATATTATCAAAAATTGTCCTCAACAATTAAAATTACGTACTGGGAAAAGTCCAAAAAGGAAGATATCTATATTTGAATGGTATTTTCCGGCAGGCGGTGGGGTTGCCACTGCGACAGAGGGTGTTTAGCACCTGGCTCTGTTGTGTAGAATTTGTAAGGGTAGTCTTTTTTGTAGAAGCAGTAGTTTAGCCATATGTGTCCTGTCAAGGACGATTTTCGGGTTGGGTGTTTCGATATAAATGAGGCCGCTTTTGAAGTTCTCTGACGAAGTGATTTTGGATTGGAAGTTATCGGATGGGGAAGGTTGGTATTTCCTGGTGATTGGTGGTTTTGTGAAGCATAGTGTGCTGTGGGTATATAAAAGGAAATCGGAGTGCGGTGGAAATTTAGTTGGTTAAGGGAAGTTGTGAGAAGTTTGTTGTGTGGATTGTGTTGTAAGATCTTATTTTATAGTTTGAATTAAGGTTGTTGTAGTAAGGTGGAGAGTGATTTGGAGTGCCTGGGAAAGGTGTTTGAAGGGATTTTGGCAGATTTGTGACAAGTAAGGAATATTTGTTTATAGTGAAATTTATTTTAGGTATTGTTAATTTTTTAATGTATTTGGTTTCTTAAGTTAAATAGATTAGGAGATATTAAGGAATAAATAGAGTATTGGTTGGCTTTTGACTTTATGGCAGTGTGGTTAAAAAGGAGAGTTTTAAGTAGGCTAGTATTGAGGAGGTTAGTTTTAAGGGGGTTAGTTAATTTTTTTTGTAATTTCATACAGTATATCTGTATATTCGGATGTTTGGTGTGTAGATGCTGTTGAGAGTACGTTTATAAAGTAGGAAAGTTAGGTGTGCATTGGCAGACCGGAGTGCAGCAGCTTTTCGCTTGTGGGAAAGATAAATAATTTTTAACGTGCTACCATTAGCACTTTTAGTATTTAACATTATCAATAATTTAACCTAACAATATAACGAGCCAGGAATATTTTCGTATTGACCTTTGGTAACAATCTTTCGTAACGGACAGAGATACATTTTTGCATTGGCGCTGAACTTAGAGGACTTTCGCTACGATTTAAGAAAGGAAAGATTGCGAAAGATTAGCTTCTACGAAAGATTTGATTCTACGAAAGATTTGCTTTAACTGTTGTATCATTATTGAGTTTTAGAATGTGAAAACATGTTGGAAATGAGTGATTTGGATAGGCGGAAGTTAAAATGAAAATTATCTTAAGGTATAATGAGTTGACTAATAGGGTGATAGAAATAATATTTATGTTAATAAATGATGAAAGATATTATGTAAGAAAAGGAAAACATGGAATATATGAAGGAAAATAGAAAATATATTACGGAAAATATGGAAAAGGATATTGTGGTAAAATATAGAAAGATTAAGTGACATTATAGGAAATTTATTTGCCATTATGCAGTTATGTTGTGTAGACATTGTATTTGATAAAATCAAATTGAAGAAACAGGTGGATGTAGTGTTCCGTATGGTTTATAGTATAGTATATGGTGCGTATAATGTACTGTAAAGTTGACTGGTTTTATGGTATGAATCTGGGTATATTATGGAGTAAATATGGTTATGGATGAATGAATATGTTGAGATTATGTGTGTGGGAAAAAGATATTTTGAAGAAACAGGTGGGTGTAACGATCCGCATGATGTGAAATCTGTTGTATTTAGAGGTTTTTATTTTACTAAAGCTGGCAAATTTTTTGAAGAAACAGGTGGGTGCAATGTTCCGTATCATTCAGTATTTTAGGGTATTTTGATTCGTTTTGAGATTGGCAAGTGAAGTTGGAGTTATGAGAGACAAGTGGGTGCAATGTTCCGTTTAGAAGTTTACAAATGTTTTTTATTGTAGATTAAATTTGGAAAAATTTGGAGAACATGATTTTCTTTCCGATTTTTGTTCCGAATGTTTGGTTGTATGTTGGAGTTGTTTTTGTATACATGCCATTTCAGGTGTATGGTTATTATTGGTAAGTGTTCTAATTTAATTTGAATGTGCAAAAATTTTTATTTGCTGGTTTTTTAAGGTATTGAAAGGAAAGTGGGGGACAAGAATTTGGTAAAGTTATACAAAGATGGAAAAAAGAGGTGTTAAGCGAAAGTGTGAAAAGAGTTAAAAATATACAAATGTGTGCAATTGTGTATTAAAAAAAAGAAAAGAGTAAAAAATTGTGTATTATTATCTATGGGATGTCATTATGTTGAATTTACTCGTTTAATATTTATAAAGTTTGTATCTTAGTATTTTTCTTGTGTTGTACTACACTATTATTTTGTTATTTTATATTGGTTTTGTAGTGAAAACCTTTTAAAAATACCAATAAATAAAGGACGAAATAAATAAGGCAATTTCTTTGCTTTCAAGTTTGAGAAGATCATAATGCTTTATAAATATGCGACCTACTGAGTCCAAGTAACAAGTTACTGGCAGCTGGGAACCTTTAATAGGTATCATGGTACGAGTACAAAATATGCATTAGAACAAAACGGCCTTAACGAAAAAAGCAGTTGTTTTATGCTATCCTGATCGGGAATTATACCGATTACACAAACGGAAAGTCAGCTGATATGTGGTAACAATACAGTAAGTGAAAGTTGTATTTTAAAATATGCTCCCAACTACGCCCAACCAACAGTTACTGCCAGCTCGTAGGAGGTGGCATTTAGAGTCAGGTGTGTGTTATAAATATGCGCCCAACTGCGCCCAACCAACAGTTACTGCCAGCTCGTAGGAGGTGGCATTTAGAGTCAGGTGTGTGTTATAAATATGCGCCCAACTGCGCCCAACCAACAGTTACTGCCAGCTCGTAGGAGGTGGCATTTAGAATCAGGTGTGTGTTATAAATATGCGCCCAACTAACACTTACTGCCAGCTCGTAGGAGGTGGGATTTAGAGTCAGGTGTATATTATAAATATGCGCCCATACAGCTTGCTCGTAGGCGGTAGTATTTAGAATTGAACATTTGCAGAGATCCCGCCTGCCAGTTGGCCGCCTCCCGCGAGGTGGCCGCCCGTTAGGTGTTTTACTACCCGGCCCGTGGCACTGATACGTACATACTGTATTGTATATAATATACCGGTGCCTTATAAGGTGCCGGCACTTGTGTCCTTCTAATATCCTGCTTGTACTTTTTGGAATAACATTAACGGTAAGATGAGATTGTAAAAGCAACTCGATCGTTGCCGATGGCAGGGCTACACTGGTACCGGTACAACAAGTATCGGGTTTGTTATGAGAGTGGATGGATGCGAAAAAAAGTGCCTCGCTGCATACGAATTAACAAACATTTGGTGGATTTGAACTACAGTTTACCCTATTCTCAAAAAAAAGAATCTGCAAGCTAGAGTGAGCGATCTGGAGAATACTTCATGTCTTTTTAAGTGAATTACAGTTGTTAACTTGTTAATAACTCAACCGAAATAAAGTTCTCCAATGTGTGCTAAAAGTTAAAATTCAAATCACGCCTCATTCTTCACAAGTTTTGCGAAATTCCTTACCGCAATTCAATCGAAATTCTTACATTTTTTAAGGATGACTGAGCTTTCTGACCTCAGTAAAATAGAATTTTATATTACAGAAGGCAACAAAATAGCGCACCAAGCCGTATCAATCAGTTCAACAATGTAAAAGGCGAGAATTATGCTATAAGAGTACAGAAAAAAGGGAAGCATTTCACTGACAGTAGAAGTGTACATACTTAAGTGCAAACGTGTACATCATCCAGTTCCAGTCAAGTTTTTACACTTGCACAGTAGAACTGTATAGCATACATCACTACTCGTAGGTAGGGTAATAGTCTTACTGGGCAGCGCAGGCGTCGCCATCAAATTATCACAAGCGCAAATCAACCATCAAAACCGTAAGAAAGAAAAATCTAGTCTGTCACATGGAGAGCACGGAGCAGGCTCAGCAGAGATCATAATTCCGACAATACCGAAGCAGTGAGGTATCAAATCTGCGAGGCAAACCGCTTCAAATCAATCCGCTCCAGTTTAACAATGCTGCAAATCGTAGTTAAAATTAAGATTACCTAAATGCGAAGTACTGCTTATCAACGATCAACACAAATCATCAGCATCGTCCGCAAAGTTTGGTATGTACATAGTATATAGATATATATACGCATCTAGAAGGCGCGGATTAAATAATCAAAAGGTAGCGATAAACCACTTACGGAAGCAGAAGATCGGCAAACTGAACAACTTCGTTGGCGGACGGTTCATTCGCCTAAATCAACAGGTACACGTACAAATATCGCATTAATTTAGATTTATCTATAATGAAACTACAATTCATTCCAGCTTATTCGCAAAAAATTAAACATCTCGAGCACATCACCGGTTTCAGCCTTACGGTTACGGGTTACCATAAAAGATTAAATACTCTTTAACGCTTTCGAGCTCTCGGTGTAAACGTATTGCCGCTTGACGGATGCCGGGGCAAGTAGTCTACTGCGCCGCGCGATGTCCGTACGGTGCACTGACGACGAAAGGCACTCGCAGGGCCTCGCAGGTCACATCTAACCCCTCTCCGATTTATGCGCCTCGTTCTCGAGACTTACGTTAACGACATTTAATGCTTTCAGCATTAAATGGCTTATATCAAACTGAACTTCCTTGCAGATTTTTGGTGACATGGGTGATGGCAAGGATAATATTTATATAAATTACCAAAACCCCTTACTAGCAATACGTTGTTTATAAAATCTTCCTCTACTGTATTATTTCGTGATCAGTACACTTTCGGAAGTCATCACTAAAGCAATCTTTCATATTACCCTAATCGTTCGCTGGAGTTGAAAAGTAACTTCAGCGAACTAATCCAACTCGACGTCTGCATTTCAAAATCAGAAGAAAGACTTCTTACCGCGCCACCAAAAGCAACTGCAGACACTTCCACCAAAAACGATTTTGTAATAGCCTCTCCTTTTTCCACGCCTCCAGTAGCATCTCTTGCCGGCTGAAAACGGATTAATAGTTCAAAGGACCAAACAAACAAATTTAGTATAAGCTCACGACAACAACATCCACTAATGGTAAGGAACTTACTGAAAGTACTCATGCAAATACACTACCATATTTCGTACTTGTAGCAGTGTAATCCAAATAAAAAACAGTTGCCAGCAAAAGTTAATTTTTCGTACTATTTTTAGATGCGACTGCCACAAGCATAAAGTATTCCACATACTGTACGTGCGCTATGACAAAGCTGGTAATAATGAACTTAACAGGGCGCACCACGTCAAAACCCAACACTCCCAGCAATTTAAAATCTTTACAAGTACCAACTGCTGGCAGCTGTTATAATATTTCTGACTATGAGTTCAGCATATGGCCAAAATTCATTTCCAATTCTAATGTCTGTTGTCGGTACCATTAACGTGCATCGCAGAAGTATCAAATTAGAAGTTCTCCAGGATTTGGCCAAAATAGTATATGTAATATTTTACGGCGAATATCTGGCGGGCGATATCAGTGGTAGTTTGGTATACGTAATTTATTTTTAATAAGTTAAAACATACGATATTCTAGACGGAGTTAAAAGCGACAGTCTTCAGTTTCGTAAATCGTAACAACTGCGGGACAGGTAAGCAAAAACAGCAACGCTGTTCTAATCCATTAAAAATCAAAGAAAATTCTACAGTTAGTACAGTACATGTAGTTTACCTTCATAACACGTCCAACCAAAATTTTGACGCGTCCTTTGGCGAAGGCTGTACCTTTGAAAAAGTATTCGTAATCCACCCTGAAACATGTTGTGCAAGAACACATAAAAATTCACGAGCCATTAAAAACGAGAAATTCACAATTTCACATACGTAAAACCGAGACCATCTTCCAGGAACTTTGGAAGACGCACAGAGCAGCAAGCATCAATTATCTGGCGCTGCGTCAGCGAACGACCAGCTTCCAAAGTACCAGGGTCCCCATAGTATAAGAATCTCCTATAAAACCACAAAAGCATATTTATTTTATTTCTAAAATTGTACTTGTGTACTTTCCTTTCGAGGGCTTTTGGTATAATCTTTCTTCATTAAATCAGTCTAAATGTTCTCCAAATGTTAAATTCCCCAGTACACGGCAAAGACCTAACAATGTGCAGTCCGCGACAATCACAGCAACAATTCCAACTCACCAAGGAACGGAGGGAAGAAGAATCGGGCGCACTGCGCGCACGCAAATTGGCGGAGAAATGTGCTCTGAAAACCACCGAACTGTGAATACGTAACAAAATCGTACAACCAACGATGCGCTCACTGAAACTGTAGATAACACAATGATCCTCGAACGGCTCGCCATTGCCAGGCATCGTTCCGCAAAGTCCGCGCAGCCTATGCAGGAGAGTTTCCATTTCACTCTCCAACACACTCCCATAAAGTGCATACTCCTGATTTGGAATGCTGTTGTGCGTAGCAATTTTCAGGTCTGGATCCATGGCGGACCAGAGTACCACCGGAACGAAGAGGCGAAGACTACTTGAAACTTCAAAAGGTTTATAATTTACCCTTTTGCATGCAGCTAGTGGCAGCTCAAACAATAAAATTAAGCTCAATCACTGCCACAAAAGCACCGAAGAGCCAGCTAGCCATAAGGTTCTCGACCATGAAATCAACGAAAATTAGAATGTCACAAAATCTGAAAATTAATAAAATTATAAAAGGCAGAAAAACAAAACATTAAAAAATAATTAATGACACTTGCGCTCACGCCCAAGGGTGGCCGACACATTCTCACTAACGAGCGGCCTTTTTTGTAAATGGCAAGACAACCTTCTATAAACTAACATAATTTACCGATGTTTTTAGCGTAATAAAAGGCAGCCTACGAGAAAGCAGTAGAGTTACCTGATGGTGTGACATTTTGAAGAAACCAGCAAAAGCTGTTATTTTTGCAAATTTATTACAAGTCAATCAATTTGGTGACAAGACAGTGGCAACAGGAATGGCCAGACCTAACCATAAGCCGCTCGCATAACAGGTTTATTTTACGATTGGTACAATGAAATTCTTGGCTTTGTGTTCGCAACATAGATACTTACGTTTGGAAATTAAAATTAATTAGTTTTGCAGTTTCACTGGACTGCAAGATTGTAAATTACGTACTGATATTCATAAGTTCATAACTGATAACAATGCCCATCGTTAATAAAAATACTAGATTTGTTACTACGTAATCGGAAGTAATATTAATTTCGGTACATAACAGCACATGGATGCGTGTATAGATATAGATATGTAGGTTCCTGTAGAACACGACATATGGGGAGCACTACCGGGATTTTCCGATGCTTTTTTAATATTTCAAATGGGAACGGATGTGAGTCAAACTTTGAAATGTCAAGGTCGGGGCTGTGGCTTTCCATATTATAACACGACAGCAATATGGCGCGCTATAAATAATTACACAAGGACGCTCATCAAAATTGGAACTTTGAAGACTGAGTACTTACTACTTACCGCTGCACCGTTACCGTTTACCGTGCGCCACGACGATAGGTGGTTATCCCTAATTAGCGTGGGACCGTATACTTTACCATGGTGAGTACATAATTATAATTATTATATGGATAATGGATATAAATACGGTACGGTGCCCGTTGATGAACCAAGCGCCGTTTAATTGCATTATTACCGTCATATCAATACTAATATTAACTAATAACTGTTATTGTATGAGTAATAATAATCTTGCTATCGAATAAGATGTGTATACGTAAGAATAGCATACGAGGAGGTAGTATGTAAGTTCATGTATCGCAGATTCACAGTAAGAATAATAGTGTTTCATCAGCATGCTATAAAATATCGACTGGGTATTGATTGAATTTTATGCTGCAGCCTGCAGCGACTAACTGATCAAAAGCATCAACGATGGGGATATTCCGAAAATTAAAAACTTTGTGTGGTTCACCAATATAGATACAATATCTACAAGTACTCTAGGGCAAAAAATGTATTACATGCTAACAACAAGCAGCGATTTTGAGATAGAAGATCACTTACGTTACAGGTTGTAATTATAATTATAGTACAGTATACGGCTAACAACTCAACATATTATTATCATGAAAGCGCGCGCACTGCAACATCCTTGGAATCCCGTGAAAGAATTCTTTCGTTTTATTTATTAAGCGTCGTTTCAAAAGTCAGCGAGCATGCAGCACGCGTGCCTACACATACAATAATTTCGACATGCTGTGTTTCTAATATAAATATATGGAAGCACAACTGCGTTGTGCATTGTTAAAACTGCTCATTAAACATTTAAACAGTACTGTATATTAAATAACGTTGACAGAATATCCATGATGCCGTATCGCCAACTGAATAGCTATGACTAACTATGCCTTAAAAATAAACTATTGAAAGTCGAGATGCATCGAAGCAGCACATCGCAGGGAATTCAAAAATGGGATTCGGAGGCGGCTGTCCTTCTCCACGTACACTGTTCATCTTTCCATTTTTTCCGTCAGCTTTTCGAGGAGGGGACGCTGTGAGAATGATCCGCGCCGCGGTGCAGCGTCGTTGTGGTGTGCCACGAATTCTAAAGATGGTACCGAATCCGCTTCGTTCTCTTCGATAGCCTCTCGCTCATTTGGTCCAACAGCCACTTCCGGCCGTCCCAGATCGAGATAATGTAAATAATCCCAGTTAGCAGCGTCCATATTGTGCTTAGGAAAAGGGCTATGTTACGAATATACAACTGTATCTAAAGGTCAGGTCAGTACTAACAACAATCAAAGCAGTCACACGGTATGCATAAAGGAATTGGAAAACAGCAGAAGAAACAGCCAGGTGACTTCCTCACGGCACGATGCTCGACGTAAACAGGTTGAGGGGGCGGGAAGTAGTGCGGTGGTGGCGGAACGTATGTACGACCGGGATATCCAGGAGGCGGATGTAATCCGTGCAAGTTGGGATGGCCAATATCGAGCGTACTACCACGGTAGTTGTGTCGATCACGATGTCCAAAAAGACTGGACCACATTTATGCAGTTTTATGGTTCAACACGCTGTGTGCTTTAGGAAACGTACGAGTCGTGCCCGCGGGAAATTTGCGCTGTGCTGCTGTCCACCAATCAGTGCGCTCTGTAAATGTTTTGTTGTTATCGATTTACCGGCTGTACCACACGGGTTCCAAGAAAACGATCAAGTTCCGCAAAATTTCAGCTGATCGAGTACGTAAACATGTACCACTTACGTTTTCCGTTGGTAAAATACAGTCAGCGCTTACGATGATATCAAGAGCTCTTCAGTTCAGTTCGTAAAGCATTCATGAGCCAGCCCTCTTCTGCCACAATTATGAACACTCGATAAAACCAAATTATTACTATGTTCGCGCTCGAAGTAGATACAACCAGTTTCCGGCAAAACGTGATAAATCCGTCAATATATCCGCGACGATTAACTGTAAGAGTTTGTTTATTTTAAAACAATACAACAATCAATAAGTTTCCAGTGGAAGTTAGGGCAAGATTCGTATTTCCGAAACGAAACTATTTTCACTACAGTATACCAGTATACACGTTTAATGTTTCCAATCCGCAGTTAAGTATACTTCTATGTGAAAATGTGCGTAACGACTAACTATATTGGCTGGAAAGGACAGCGCGTAAAATTTGGCTCCGTTAAAGCAAAACTCAATGATAAAAACTTCCGGGAACGAATTTAATACGTGCAGGAATAAATGCACTTACGGAAAATTAAAGCTGACTTGCAGAAAGTTTTTTACCGCCGTGTATATAAGTAGCGGGTGAATCATCAGTATTTCACCATATATATGACACTAGTGTTGCATTACCGATTGTCGCATCAACAACGTCCCGCCAAGAGAAGATCAAAAAAGGCTGGAGTAACAGAACGAGTCAAACCGGAAATGATTCACTGCCGGCTTGCAAGTGTTCCGCAACAGGTAAGTCCACGAATTCGTAACGTACACTGTTCAGCAAATCCCACAGCCAAGTAAAAGCGTTCATGAAGTAGCAAACCGATCTCAACTCTCAAGTGATCGTTTGTGCGTGCCCGGAACGAAATATATGTGTACTCCTGTGTTTAACAATACAATGAAATCTCGGCTGGATAGAAGATCATAATAAATGCATAGTGCATGCGCAGTCTGGATTCTGGATAGATGTATGGGATATAAATTGAGAATCAATATTAATATGACCGCTGCACGCGCTATGCAAAACGTCTATTCCAACAAAGCTAAACGTGCTGCTGTATGCGCTGTGCGCTTCCGCTTAAATGCCGTTTAGCGATGCTGGGAAAAAATGCGGCACCGGAATTCCTTTTGTCCAATGCAAATGAATGTGAACGATCCAGACAACTGCTGACAGGCGCCAATCTGCTGATGTCGTTCCTTACGGGCTAATAAAGATGGAACGGTTTCCGCTGGAAGCTCGGCCTAGACCAACCGGAATCGTACACTGAACAAATGGATGCTTAAAGAGAAAGAAGAGAAGGGGCCATTCGATGCCGCGCGCTCTCCGCGGGAAATGGCTTAATTCTGGCTTTCTCTTCAAAATGCGCCTTACATGCCTATGAGTATGACAGCTGCTAGTGAGCTTTTTCGGATTCGTAATGAGGTTGTAAATTAGGATTTAAAAACGGCACCATCGGCAAAATGAGCGCCCAGTATGTAGCGTACTTTGCTGACCTCGCATGTTTGAACTGGACTCACTGATGCATAATCATGTCATTACGACATCGCTGTCATACAGCTATTCAAAAATTTTTATGAGGCTCATGCCAGTGAATAACAGTGATGAGCATTTTATCACAAACTGGATTCGTAAAGGTACCGATAGAATCTGATGGAAAGAAGTACCGTACTGTACCACAGACTGTATAAGTGGAAGAGGATCCCAACTTGGGTTTAAAAACATTGTGGATTATAAATACAAAATACTGTATCTTTGCAGTTCTATGCATCCCAGTTAAGTGACCTGCTAAATGTTAGCTGTTGATTATGTGAGAATGTGCCTTGCATCATCTTTTTCATTGGTTTACAAGTTTTTATCACAGAAATGTCTACATAATCTTTATTAATTGTTTGCTTGAGTTTGTACAAATTGCGTGCAAAATAGTAAGAATACTCTAAGCGAATTGATATATTATTTGGAACACATTTTAACAGGCATGCAGCTATATTGTTTATTAATAATTTAGTTGAACCACATTGTCATCAACAAAACGCTTTGCTCTGATCGACAGGTTTAATTAAGGTACCGATATACAGCAAACAACAAAGTCAAATTCAGAAATCAAATTCCCAGTCAACAATGGAAAGGAGAGAGTGTACAAAATCTGAGAGGAAGCCGGCCAGATGAATACATCAATTCTTGCGTCACACCGATACTCAAAAACTTCATCGCTTTACACGGCTTGTCTTCTCCACACTCTTGCAGCCACAAAGGAAAGGAACATTCGCGTCCAGGAAAAGGATTTCTAAACTTCATAATCATTGATAACTTGCAAATTTATTCGAAAGCATACTATTCCAACTTTCCAACTATTCAACTGCTGGAAACTCTAATTAAGCCCGAAGTGGTCATCAGATTTACCACAAGACAGTATCAATTGTTACTGACAATGACAAGAAAACGAGCGATGATTACGATACAGGCTGCCCGCTGCCGCACGTGAAAGTACTTAAATTATAATAAGTCTGATCATGATATAAAAATGAAAATCGTGGTTAAATAAGCAATTGTCAGGAAGTAAGTAGTCGGAACTTGACATATTTAGGAGACATTAAATAAAGTAAACAAAGAAATGGAACTTTGAAAATAAGGACACATAAAGGAAGGCGAACATTATCAAACCAACAAGAATACCGAGCTCCGTGTGTTAAGATTATGATCTTCCACCTGGTGTACAACGGAACTTCTATACTAAGGTCAAGCTAAAATGATTTAGGTCCAATCCAGGAAAATCCGATTTCTATTTTGAAAGATGACTTTACCGGTTCCATCCGCAGCTAGCCGTCGAGATACTGTTCGTGATGGACAGTAGGACAGCACAGCTGCGGATGGACTTCTAAATGAAAGCGCGCAAATTTTCTGGTTACATGCTAGCTTCAAAATTATCAACAGACTGAAAGACGTAAGGCAAGCAACATCATTACAGAATTCTCAGTTTGCCAGATTTGATGAAAAATGTTGCTGCGCTGGAAAATAGCCCTCGAGCTACAGCTGGCAGAAATGTGCGTAATGCATCTTGTTTTGCGTTATACCGTATACACATGTTATAATAATCTAGTACTACAGAGTCACAGACACGACAGACGTACGCAATTTGCACCGCGAACAGTTTGGACCGTTCGAGTGTTTTGAGACAGGTATTCCGGCAACACCGACAAAATTAAAATGAACCGATTTTGCCGAAGAACCTAATCAATATAACATAGGATTTACAGTAAAATCCTGGCGAACAATAAATCATAATTTGAATCAACATAAACGTTGTACTCGTCGGTTTGCATTGTTAAATGCATATACGCCATAATTATGCCGCGCAACAAGCCTAAAAATACGTTTTCTGTAATCCTCATACCTCATAATAATATGTACACGTTATGCATTACAGTACATAAAAGTACAGAATTTAATGTATATAGAATTATGCAAAATTAAATCTGTTGGTGCAGAACAATTAGACAATTAAACACTCTCTAGTCTCTAATATTGTTTAAGCCGGTCTGCAACGCCGTCGAAAATTACCGTACCACTGTTAACTTACTATAGTTCCAAAATTACATACACTCTTGTAAAATCTAAGGTGAGTGCAATTGAAGGTTTTTTTCGGTCATCGATTCATCGGACTATGGTACTCGTAATAATATAGGAGTCCCATATCATAGTCCGATGAATCGGGCTATCATGCAAATCAAGCTGGCAACTGCATCGCATTCTTCAATATAAGCCAATTTCTCAGAGGCGGACAAAAAAATATATGTATTAAAATACCTAGGCTTATATCTTCTTTTATAATTTTAAAAACTGGCGTAGTACTAGCTGCAATTGCAAATTGTTCACAAAGTGACGCAAGGAATTGTAAAACAGTTCCGCAAATTAATGTTAGTCTTTAAATAGACATCAGAAGATATTCTGGCATCGACTAATACTGCAAGTAATTGACGGATACACTGGCGCACAATCCCGAAATATTTTTGCTGTCCCAAAACATACTACTGTAGGGTCAAAGAAAGGTCAGGTTTTCGTTGTTATATATTAGCCGTGGCAAGCAACTTATGTAACTTCGAGCCAGATTACTTACTTAAGTCATCCTGTTGCGAATCTAAATCCTAGAAAACCGATCGCAAATCCACTACTGTAGCAGCTGTACCATGTATTGTACAATACACAAAGTCGCGCGCGTTAAGCGTTATCGTTTCACGAGCAGTTACCGTTCCCGCTATAATATTTGCAATTTGGGTTGGTAGATCTTTTCCTGTGCAGATAAGTGCCTGAAGCAGTTATTTAACCAAGAACAAACGTCACGAAATCTCAGAAATAATGGTTACATATATGCGTTTTCGACCCTGCTAGGTCATTTGCGTTCACACCTGCAAAAGTACTGCAAACAGTACCGGAAATGCGAAAACGGCGTTATCCCGCCAAGGATGAAGTCTGCTCACTTGATCCGTTTCGGGATCCAGTTAAAGTGCAATTAGTAATAACAAGCTTCAGCAGCACAATCTTTAATGGGGAAAAGAAAAATCAAGATATCTGTTATGGTACACGCAGTATAATTACTCCAAGCGTTGTATGCGCCGGATTTTTAATAGGAAATGTTAAGTTGTAGATTATCAGAAATATAATTACAACTTTTCTGAAAAACAAATAAGGCATTAAATCGAGGCGGAACAGGTGAGTTGTATTGTACTATTTTTATTGTTTTTTATGTATAGAACTACATTTACGGCATATATATAAAAGGCATTTGCGTATGCCGTATAACCATATATATATAAAGGAAGATCTTATTTTTTGCCATCGATAATTTCGTTATCCGTGGACTGTTAAAACTCTGTGTACAAACGCAAATTTTTATTAAGTAATTTTGTTTACTTCAGCCAATCGTTCATACAATTGCGTTTTTTCAGTGTGTTGTGCTGTTCTGTGCAGCTTACCAGTAAGAATACCGTTAAAAAGCTCACAATGTCAGCAATGCTTAAAGTATAGCTATAAGTTCTAGTACACTATTTTGCGGCATTGTTGCGATCATGTACCTGAGTCGATCGAGCTGTGATATGTCAAAACCTGCATTATTCTGCAATTCATGCTCACCTAGAAATACTTATGAACTACGAGATACTCGTACCTGTTGACTGCGAGAATAAAAAGCAACTTTATGTCGATATGTAACTATATAGATATTCGTCGTGCGTTTGTCAGGCTTCTGTTGTATGACATCGGCAAGCTGAAACCTGAAACTAAGGTTCGTGCTGCTGCTTTTCCCAACTGTTGCATTTATGATACGAACGGAAATCACTGCGATCCAAACCGCAAGCATTATTTCAATGCGCTTGTAATGTATACACTTTCGAATTTCATTGCCACGCAAATCTGTATATACCGGAAAAATACTTCAAAATTTACGGTACAATGCGCCAGTTGCTATAACGGTTTTATGGTCAATCAGTTTTCGAAATATTGAATTCTCAGCCAAATTAGTTTGGTGTTTGAGCTTCGCGTGACTGAGTGCGTATTGAAGGGATGGGACCGACAACGCAGTTCTGTGATGCCCCACTATTATATTCTCGCATAAAGCCTTTCCGCGCATTATGGAATGAAATCTGCGCCCAATAATGATGCATACCCTTTGCATTTGTGCTCGATTGTGCAGGATTACATCTGTGCTCTGGTGAACGAGACACAACTGGCGACCGGAAACATATCTAGCTCCGAACCCGGAAGCTTAAGCGCTGCGCGTCCTTCGCACATCGAAATCTGGTGCTACGGCCTGCTGGCGGTATGTACTGTTTGCAGTTGTGCAGCCTTCGGGATCTGCCTGTACCCGATCATGAAAAAGACATCTTTCAGCATATTCTGACATGGATGATTGGTCTGGCGGTGGGCTGCCTTAGCGGCGTGGCCATACTGCATCTCATTCCGCAGGCGTATGAACTGGACGCCGAACATTATCTGCATAAATCTCTGGGCATTATGGCGGCAATATATTTCTTCTTCCTGTCGGAGCGCATTCTCCGGTTTTCTGTTCAGTATCGTAAGGAAAACAAAGAAAAGGTGAAACTGATTTCTATTCGTGAACGGACATCGTTACCTCTTCTTAACTGTAACCATCATCCGGCGCACGAGGATCTGGCTTCGACAACTGTCACTGACCAAAATCATACTGGGCATGCACTGAATGTGCCGACAGTCTGTCTGGATCGGACGTCTGTTTGTAGAAGCCGGAGACCTAGTGGCGCTATCCACGTGCACGATATATTTCAGCCGACGGAAGCTCAGCTTCGTGAGCAGAATGGGTTTGACAAAACGGCCCAGGCATCTGCGGATTCTGTGCATCCTGATCATGCACGCACCAGCACTTCTGCCCATGCCGAAAATCCTCATGTCCATCTGCACGGTCAGTGCGATTCAGGACAATCACTTAAGACTGTCGCATGGATGATCCTAACAGGCGATGGAGTGTAAGCAAACTTAGGAGTAGAAGTTTATGAGAGCTAAGCTCACAATATCTTCAGAAAATTTGCGTGACTGCACCTTGCAGTCGAGATATACAGTAACAATAATAATTTCAACACTTTTGGTAATATACGTCATAGATATAATTATGGCTATCACATACGTATTTCGTTAATATCTGCTGTGTTATCTGTGAGTAAGTTTACTCAAAATGTCGATAAGCACGTAATACTACGTACGCTGAAGCCGAATATTACTTCCTTGCAACCTTTTGCGTTTTTTAGGCACAAATTGTAAGTGATCACACGTCGTCAGGATCTTTTGTATAAGTGGATTTGCACCCACAATACCTTTCCGGAATACACGAACTGACACGTACATCAATGAGAGATTATGATAATTAAGCAAACGAAGTCTTCGTATAAGATGTAATCATGGTATATCATCATTCATCGACCTATTTTACTATATGTGATATATTTTGTAATTAAGTAACAAAACTGACATTAGCGATTTCCAATGTGGATTGGAAGACAATGTAAAGCTTGACGTTTTTTTCCAGTGTAGACGGTTTAAGTATAGGAGCGGCATTCTCAATGTCTATTCTTCGTGGGATCTCGATTAGCTTGGTAAGTATGTAAGTATTAAGCAGACACTGAATAGGTCATTAACGTTTTTTAAATATTGTACTCGTACACAGAACATGATTACGGTATGTATTTCGGTTTTATTGGAAAATTTAAGTACTTCGATAACATTTTTACTGGTTTTTAACAGTGATCGGTTTGGTTCACTGTTGTCCACACTCTACAGGCGGTTATGTGCGAGGAATTACCTCACGAGCTGGGCGACTTTGCCATTTTGCTGAACACCGGCCTCAGTCTCAAACGAGCTATCCTCTATAACTGCTTGTCCGGACTACCTTGTTTTTTGGGATTTGCTGTTGGAGTGTTTTTGGGTGAATTACCTACGGCCAGCAGTTGGATTTTTGCATTGGCGGCAGGGATGTTTATCTACATTTCCTATGTCAACATGTTACCGGAAATGACCATCGCAGTAGAAACTGCCAGTCAACATAGTGTAAAGGATGGGATGAAAGTATTTTTGATTCAAAATTTTGGATTGCTCTTCGGAATACTGCTCACATATCTGTTAGCTCAATTCGCCGATAAAATATCACTCGAATAAAGTTATTTCCAAATGATGATATCGATCGTTACTTCCGCATCTGATGTTAATCTTTTGAAACGACTATTAACGAAACAAATCCAATGCTTGCGATTTGCTAATAAAAGAACTTTTCATTAGGTTAGCATGCCTTTTATAAAAACATTATTTAACGAAACTCGTGAGTTACCAAACAGGAAATCCAAACAGGCACGATATATTAAACATGTTAACTAGGAAGACAAAGACAAACACTCGGCGAAAATAGGATTGCACAAATTAGAAGATGATTATAACAAAAACGTATTTCAACAACAAACAGAAATACTGGCTGACATTCAGAAACCGGCACTGGTAACTTTGTCGAGGTAGATCATTTAGGCACATGGCTGTATCGTTCCTTGAATAAGGGTTTCCAACAGCCATTCCGTATCACACAGTGGCACATTGCAGTTGCGCGCGGCATCCACCAACTCCGTTGGACACTGTTCTTCATGCATGATAACATGCAGTTGCAATTTTCCCAAACCAGTATCATCCAACAATGTACCTGGAATTTGGAAATACAAAGGCATTCACCTAATTACAACTATGACATTCGGCAACTACAAAGCGATTCACCATACAACCACAAAGTACACCACTTGATAGGCTGATACCCGAAAAAATACAACACTTTCAGTAAGTATAAGTACCAACTATAACATACTGTTTTTAATTAATACGGTTGCAAGCCTTACCCGAAAGAAAATTATGGAATTCTAAAACAACACATTCCGCTCCGGCAGCTCGAACGATCGGTCTCCACACACTTTCTATGGAATTAACAGAAAAAAATCCCAACCGCCTACCCTTCAGTAAACCATGAGATCTCGGCTTCCTGAAACCACCGTACCAACAGTTACATACTGCATTCGCGGCAGATGGATATTTTCTTTTCGTGCCAGTTCTCACCATTCGACGACTGCTCCTGCACCACTTGTAGAACGTCCCGCAGGTAACCGGAAGCTCTGGAACAAACTAAATTTGTTTTCAGCCATCAGTTCATCAATCCAGCGATGAGAAATGCACGGTATATTGGCTGCTAAACATTGAAAATATTTCGCCGTCCGACTGTAGGTAGGTGCCAGTAACATTTTGTTGCCAGCTGACTAGAAAAGTCCAAAAATGCATTCAAATTATCATCATAACAGGTGTCATCCGGAAAAGCTGCTGCTTACTTTTGATAACTCAGAAAATGTTGACCACACTTTCCCGCCAACTGATTCAATCTCCGCAGTCAGTTTAGAGCGAGAAAATGATCCATCCTTAGCCGACCCTTCGGAAAATATGAAATTCCATCCAGAGAGAAACCCAGCTAAGAAATTCAGAAATGAGTTACCTCTTCGGTCTCAGCTCTCGTACTGAATATGAATAAAACTAACAATAAGTAAGTTAGTATATGAATTCAAAAAATTCCAAGCAGTTCACCATAATGCTACAAAAAATTTTGTTGCAAATACTACTTTTGGCTTCACTGGCCGTTCCATGGAGAGATGTTCGCGGCGAAGAGGTGCTGCTTCCAGAACCATTTGCTAACTTCTCTGTGTCGACGCTCTTGGCCGATTCAGGCCGTGAAGCGGCTAAACAGCGGCAATGTTCCATTTTCAAAGCGACAGATGCAAGTATTTTTTCATCGGAAACGACCACGCTGTACCTTTGAGCAATTTTTTCGGTCTGGCAGCCGACGGCTTATTGCCATCTGCGGTTCCAGCCACCGCTTGGTCCGTTTCACTCACTGGCATGCGGCGCTTTTGGTCTTTAAAATTGCGAAACTCCTCTAAATCAGGAACCTTTACCATAATACTTTCGATCGGAGGATGATTTCTGCGAAGAAAAATCACGATTTACACAAACTGAGAACATCGTACTCGCGATTTTCATCCAATTTTATTACTTTATTTTATGCTTACAGCGTTGAAGTGAGAAATCTAAAACTGTAAAAGAGTTTCGTGGGCACAAATATTGCTGGCAGTTTAACGCTAAGCAAGCAATTATTGTCAGTTCATTCTAAATTTAAGGCAACATCCATATTAACGTCAAAATACTAAATATAAGACAAAATAACTCATTCAACTTAAAATAAACGCCTTTAGCAGCCTAGTTCTTTAAAATTAAATAAAGGGCCTACTTCACGACTGTTCCGCGTCTGTTTTTGAACACATGCTTCCCATCTTCCCGGAACTCGGTCACAGTAACCACATCATACAGCGTTTTTCCCTGCCGCAAAATGTTCACATCCAGACCGGGCTGGATCATATCCTTCTGTTTCATCACATAGTTCGGAGGTAGAATTTCGGCTTTTTTGTCTTCAAACCATTCCACTTCAAAATTCCTATGCATATCGAAACAACGCGATAATTCTACTGATTTCTGAAAACAAAACATAGTCGCAAAGTAGGATGCGGAAGGACATACTTTTTGTCTGCGTCGACGCCCAGCACTCGCGCTAAATACCAGCGGTCTTCGAGGAATTTGGAGTCTTTAAACAAGCCAAAGACAAGTTCCCCTTTCTGATATTCGCTGTCGCCAATGCGCAATGCATTGTCATCGGCATGTTGTGCGGCTTGTGCCGTTTCTGGCATGGGCTCCTCCATTCTCGCTTTTGTCCAAACAATAGGATTACAACTTAAGCAGGTATGCAATCGTTGCGTCAACACCGCCGCAACGTAACCGATAGAGTTCCGACAAAATACCTGATATTATTGTTGCTTCGCGATTCTTTTAGTCCTTGTACTCACTCAAGCAGGGCGCTGCTGCAAAAGTTTTCGAATCCGGTTACCATTTCCTCATTCTAGCACAAAATTATCAGAATTATAGCAAGATTACTATTGTTGTAATCATATAATTGTAAGTTTTTGTATTTGTTGTTAATGGTGCAACCATTCGCACCGCAAAAAGACAAAACGCGCGGTGTAAGTTTCATGTACGGATTAAAATCAAAAATTAATGTACACATTTTTGTACTTCAAGGACAGCTGACAGCGGCGCGCTACATACAAACGAAAGATGCAAGCTTGAAACTGGAATATTCCCAAATAATCGTAATAATATTTTTTATCGCAGTTAGTAATATTTATGATGATTTAACAAACACAAGTTAATATTCAGTAATTTTTGACAAAATTCTAACAATTGTAAACTTCGTTTTAGAGAAGGAAGGATTGCTCAGCAGGCTGCCAGGCACAAACCGCACAGCAAACAGCGCTCGCAAGTTCGTAATGGACGGGCATTTAAATTCTATACTTACTCTATAGCCTGCGGCTATAACAGCCACCAACGGAATACGGCTACCACTATGAATCCGCCATCCAGGTAGCAGGTATGAAGTATGAACCAGGAATGTACTACAAGTAATTTTTATTAATAGCAGTTAAATTAAATTTTTTTTTTAATTTTATGATTTACTGTAGGTGAACGCATTTGTATAAGCTATCATAGATACTATTAATTTTTTATCATCTGATTATTGATGCCTTGTTTATGTGTTGTTATTACAGTAGAAGTATTAATTTTGCAGCTTCGAACACATGAAGAAGAAAGTGCAGGTGTTTTTTATTTCTTGTTATATTTTGCTGCTTTTAGAGACACTACAAATTACAATGACAAGTGAGAAAAAAATAATTCCCATTGGTAATAAGCGATCCAAATTTGGTATAAGCTCGTAATAAATACTACAGTAACTTCTCCGATATAAAGTAATTATAGTCTCACTACGGAAGCTGCTGACCTCAAATAGCGCAGAAGACTAAAGAAGTATTTTATTCTCGAAATTTAAGTTCTTATACGAGTACGCTAAGTCCAGACTCCAAATACAGAAAAAAGCGACAAATCTGACAGAAGCTGAGAAGCCGCACAGCGACGAGTCATCAAATGGCCATCAATGCAAATCTATAAGTTTGATTACTGCGGCAGCGTAACTGAACTTATTTCTATTCAACGCTGAAATGGACAAGCTGTTCTACTTGACCATTTTATTCTACAAAAATGTCCAAGTTTCCAACATCGAGAACTATTTCGTCCAACTGACTTTCGGGATATCGTAGTGTTCTGATAAAGCATCAAGGTGCTTGTTGAATTCTTCCACTCGTTGTTTATGAGTCTTCTCCGCTTTCTTCATAATCCTCTCCACCTGACGCTTTTCCTGCATCTCTTGGAATTTTAATTCCGCTGGTGTCTTTGAGGATGCTTTGGAAGGTTTATCGGACAACGTCTTTTTCATCTGAATGTCTTCATGCGAATTTGGAGCATTTGAAGATTCATCATTCGATGGGATCGTCTTCTTTTTCTTCTTCCGGATTCCAGCCTCTCCCGCTCCACTCGTTTTCAGTTTCAGCGAGCTTTTCACTACCATGGAATATTGATCAGACATGGCTCGGCTAGAAGGAGTGAATGAGGATTGAGGACTCAATAAGTGACACTAACAGTCAACAGAGTCAGGCCAGACTCACAATCAGAGCCGATGTTCCTCGAATTTACAATCAGTGATCGAATCCAACGCACAGTGCAACTTCTGAAATTAAGTACAGCTAAACTTACACCAGCTTCACGCAAATCTTCTCGGCAGAACCCAAAATTCGCTTCGCTCAAAACAAAGGCACAAATGACAAATTTAACAGAAAAGAAAACATTTTAAGCACTGGCAATCATAACTATTGTACCGTAGTGCATATGGTGCATACATTGATCATGGGGCTGCCACCCATTTCGCCTACGGGACATTTCGCCTAAAGGACATTTCGCCTAAAGGACATTTCGCCTAAAGGACATTTCGCCTAACATTTGTTTCGAAATTCGAATCATAAATAACACACCTAAGAAACCAAAGAAAACCTAAGAAACCTAAAAAAAACCTAAGAAATCTGAGAAACCTAAGAAAACCTAAGAAACGTAAGGAAACCCAAGAAACCTAAGAAAACCTAAGCAACATAAGAAAACCTAAGAAAACAAGAAATATAAGAAAAAAATGAGAAACCATAAGAAAACGCTTTTGGTAGGCCTAATCAATCCTATACTTATCTTTTCGAGTACGATATCGCGCAATAAAATGTGAATTCTGTATGCGTCACCGAAGGATGACACATAGCAAAAAACGAGAATGCGTTGGGCCAGTAATAAGCTGTGGATCACCAGATAAAGCGCAAGCACTGACTGCTAAATGAATCGTGCTTTAAGCCTGCATACACAAAAATGAATTGTACTGCAGGGTCACAGGCTCACATTAATCCGAATGCTTGAGGGTGATTGTTAATTTATCACTTAACTGATCAATGTAATGCCGTTTACTCAATGTAACTTCACTAATTTAATTAGCGTAATTAATTAATGTATTAAGAATTAGGCAGTAACGCAATCTAAACTACATCATAAATTACTAATAGCAATAGCTTATAGTAATTACTAAATTAGCAATTAGTCAGTCACTAATAGTCAGTTACTAATAGCAGCATTTAGTAATGCAGATAAATACTCAATAAATTAGTAATGCAGATTAATACTCAATCACATTTATTAGTAAATTAGCTAATAAACTTAAAACTCTTCAACATGTTACGGGTGGCCACTGTGTAAAGCTCCGTTGGCTATACTGAACCACGGAGGTGAATGTGTATGTGAAATAGAAAACGCAGCTTCGAAGCTGCGTTTTGTAATTCATCTGTGGATCACGTAGCGGACCAATAAGCGCAGCCGTTAGCATTCGGCTTGAGAATGTTGTGGTGACTAACTCGCGTTATCTTTCACGGGCGCGCAACGGAGCGTTGTGCCCCACTTCAGGCAAAACATCAGTGAAATAATTCTCATAGGATTGATTACCCTTAGTATCAGCGTTATTTAGGATTCGAATCGAATTTACAGGCGAAATGTCCCGTAGGCGAAATGTCCCATAGGCGAAATTGGCTGATACCGACCGATCATGGCACTGCATGCATATTACTTTTGCGAAGAAAATAGCGCTGCATATTTTCTGAAGTTATATTATATTATGTAATAATAATAATATAGCTTCAAGCTATGGATCCATGTCGTGTGATATTGTAACTTGTAAGGTTGTAACTGAAGAAAGACAGAAATTAACTGAGAGTAGAGAGAAATCTAACTTTTGTAAACTCAGGAGAGACAGACATGTAAACTTTTGTAACTCAGGAGAGATAGAATTGCTGTAACTGAGGACAGACAGGGTGCAGATGCATGGGAGGAGCAGGTTATGTGAACGGTGAAAGAATGCACTGAATTCCATGGCCAGTTGATCCAGAGTTTCAAGCGCTATTTTTGCGTTTACCCTTCCATAAAACTTGTTAACCTACATCTCAGAAGAAAGAGAAAAAATTTATAAGCTTTTTGATCTCTGATTAGTAATTATTTATGGCGAACCAAGAAAGTTATGCTTGTTTTGGTTTCTCGTAGACAATGCATAGGGTGCAAGCAACGCCCCCATCGCACGGACCCATGCTGTGTCTATGAGAAACCGAAGCGAACATAACTTCCTTGGTTCCCTATAAAAACCTACTCTCGAGATATCAAAAAAATTCTGAAATTTTATTCTCTGTTCTGAAGCATTGACTGGAATGTTTCATTAGGGAGACATAGAAAAACGGAGGCTGCAAGTTTTGGAGATCAAGTGGCAGTCGCGACTTGGATCTGCTAGCCAGACTAATACATGTAAGCGCGTACGCGAGGTGGCTGCCGCAGACCAGCTCGCTAAAACGGGCCGACAGCGATGCACTCAAGGAAACTTCCCAGTAAACAAATTCCACAACAACGTTTTTTTTCGATTTTAATTATGTAATCAAACCGTCCATTTTCTTCGCAATGCGGCTACGAGCCGCGCCACGCGAGTGTTTGTAACAGGCATTAGGCACTAAATCTTTCAGTGCAACTGCACAACGCGCATACGCGGCCAGTACAGCCAGTGCAGCTCAAAATCGAAAATTTTTTCGCCAGAAATGGTTTGTAATTTTGTGTGTGCAGTTTTGTCGCACTGGAACTGTCTGGATAGATGGAATATTTTCCGAAGGACGTAGCGCTGCAAACGTCCACGGGTATATATATATATATATATATATGTATATATATACCTGTAGGTATGGATCCATGTCGAGTCATATTGTAACTTGTAAGTTTGTAACACAGGACAGACAGAACGTTAACTGACAACAGAGAGAAATTTACTGTAAACTCAAAGAGAGACAGAAATGCTGTAACTCAGGATGGGCAGAGATGCAGAGGTAGAGGTGGAGCATGTATGTGAACAGTGAAAGAACGCACTGAATGTCATCAGTTGATCCCAAAGTTTGAAGCACTAGTTTTTTTGTTTACCTTTCCATAAAAGTTCCTAACCAACATCTCAGAAAATAGAAAGAAAAATTTGACGCTTTTTGATCTCTGATAAGTGTTTTTTTGTGGGGAACCAAGAAAGTTATGCTTGTTTTGGTTTCTCGTAGACATAGCATAGGGTGCAAGCAACGCCTCCATCGGACGGACCTATGCTAAGTCTACGAGAAACCAAAACAAAACTAACCTTCTTGGTTCTCCATAAAAACCTACTTTCAAAATATCAAAAAATTCTAAAATTTTATTCTCTATTCTGAAACATTAACTGGGAAGGTTTGTTAAAGTGACAACGAAAAACTGATGCTGCAAGTTTTGGAGATAGTGGCAGTCGGAATCAGGTACTCGTACCCAAAGTCGAGACTAATACACGTATGCGCGTACGCGAGGTGGTTGCACTTGCCGCAGACTATTTCGCTGAAATAGCCGTCCAGCTTGCACTCAGGCAATCTTCCCAGTAAACAACTCCACAACAGAAGTTTTTTGCAGTTATTAACTTATTATGTAATAAAACCCGTCCTTCGGAACAGTCCCCACGGGGGGACGCCCCGCTAGAGTTTTCTTACAGAGCGTGAGAATGAGCTTCTTTTCAGTGCGTTATTAGAACTAAGAATCTGACAACTTGTAAACTTCCGCCGAAGTGTTCATTGCCATAGAATCTGACAGCTCAGATAATATGGCGTACCAAATACCTCACCCCCGTAAACTTAAAACTCCGAACACTAACACGTAAAACACTAAAACGTAAAACGTATGTAAAACACTAAAACACTAAAACGTAAAACACAAACGTAAAACATAAAACACTAAAACGTAAAACACTAAAACACTAAAACGTAAAACACTAATACTAAAACGTAAAACACTATAACGTAAAACGTAAAACACTAAAACGTAAAACCGTAAAACGTAAAACACAATACCGTAAAACTCAGAACTCAGAATCGTAAACCTCAGAACTCAGAATCATAGAACTTGAAACTGTAAACCATGAAACATGAAGTCGTGGTTTTCGTGGACTGGAAAAATTTTTCACTTTTCAGATTTCCAATTCCACAAGAAAAGCAAAAATAAACGGTAGTTCCACCAACGCCAATCCAATCCAAAATCACCGCCTAACTCCAATAATTAAGTAGAATTCCATTAATATTATTGGAATTGGCATTGTGGAATTGGAACTCTGAAAAGTGAAGAAATGTCTGTCCACGAAAACCACGATTTCATGTTTCATGGTTTACAGTTTCAAGTTCTACGATTCTGAGTTCTGAGGTTTACGATTCTGAGTTTTACGGTATTGTGTTTTACGTTTTACGGTTTTACGTTTTAGTGTTTCACGTTTTAGTGTTTTAGTGTTTTACATACGTTTTACGTTTTAGTGTTTTACGTGTTAGTGTTCTGAGTTTTAAGTTTTAAGGTTTACGGGGGTGAGGTATTTGGTACGCCATAAGATAAGGCCATAGCCGTGTGAAAAAAGGTAGGTGCTGGAATGCAAAAACCAAGAACGATGATAAACGGGCAATGGTTTTCCGTTTTCAGCTTCGACTGCTTCGTCGTAACTTTTGCTTGTTTTTCGTGATTTATGAGCGTTTTTTAAGTGAGGACACTGGTGGGCTGTAAAAATTGTAGGCCAGATTTTGATGCGGTTTCGCAAAACAGCGTCTCAAGTCTTAGCAAAATTTGACCAGCTACTACGCTTACGTACAGTACCTTTTCTGAGTTTTCTCACCTTTTCAGCTCTTTGACAGGTTCAGTGCATGGTAATTCTGCATTGTTTGTTTTCCTAGAGCACTTGGAATGGCTGTCCAGCCTTCGCCACCGCAAGGCTGCTACTATGTGGCCACAGCTTACCAGAGCAACGTTGTGAAGTACGCCGCCAGTGGTCATTTCACAACGAAGGACCATTTAGAGTTGCTGACGGTTCGGACAAATTATCTGGAATTATCGCGAGTAGATGGCGATGATCTGCAGGATGTCAGACAGCTCAATTTCTCCGCCGCTGTCAGTGGGCTGTGGGCATTTCGCCCTGAAGCCGACAGCCATCATGCTGTCTTGATTCTCACTCGGCGGCATCATCTGATTATGTTGCAGTTTGAAAACTCTTCTTCGGGAATCAAAATCGTTGAACGGGGCGCGGGCAAATTTCCCAGCAATGCTGATCTGATTCTACTGGAAAGCGGTCCTCTCGCTGCCTTTCATTATCATCCTCGCACCACAATCTGTCTTGCATTGTTCAGGCAGCGACTGGAAATTATCCAGTTCACATCGGCTCTTAAATTTGAGACATTTCCCATCCGTGTGGATACGCACGATATCGGTGGCATCGTCGGACTGGGATTTCTACAGCCTAATGAAAATAATTATTCTCTGGCCATCCTACAGACCACCATCAGAATGCACGAGGGTCTACCCTTGCAGGGGCCGCTGTTAACGTTTTCCTCCCTTAATATGAAAACCAGGGAAAAGGAGAAGGTTGAATCGTCATTTACAAAGTTAGACTTCGAAGCGGATTTGATGCTGGTTGTGGATCTCCCGACGGAAGCACCAGGTGTGCTGGTTGTTGGCAACGGTGCAGTGCAGTATTTCAACACAAAGGAGTACGCGAGCGCCGTTTCCCCGTTTTTAACACGTGCAGGAGTTATATCTTCGTGCGAGCTGTACAGGGATACTGTTCGGATGGTCGTGACGTACTTGTTGGGATACAGTGACGGGCGACTTGTGTTGGTAATTTATCGCCATTGTCCACACAACATGGAGGAGCGTATTCGCTTAAAACTTCCCCCTTGTAAATTGAATGTGGAACTCTTGGGTGTTGCCGCAGTTGCACAAACGGTACAAATGATTGTCGATGTCTGAATATAAGCCGTGCAGTTGCTTTTACTTTTTCCTTAGTTTTCCAACAACTGACAGTTCTGTTTTGGAAGTGCGTTTATAACTATCAGGCGATTTAATTTATTTTTTCTGGTTTTAGCTGTCTGTTATTGGCGATGGTCTAGTGTTTCTGGGCTCATGTGCAGGCCCTGGATCTCTTATCCTCCGTATTCGCGAAAACATTAACACGGAAACGAAAAACTATTTCGATGTGATTTCTACATTTCCTGCATTGGGATCGGTTTTGGAGTTGGAGGTTATGAAGCACTCACAGAAACAAGGTTTGGACGAGTGCTCGTTGTTAGCTTGCACGGCCGATACCTTTGGCAACAGTCTGACTATAATACGCAGTGGCATAAAACTGGAAGACCCCATGGAAATTCCATTGTGCGGCATGGTTAACGTATGGTGCGTTAAATTTCCCGCATTGAATTCAGAGGATGTTTTCGTGTTCTCAACACTGACTGATACGCGTTGTGCCATACTGCAGTCTGAGGATTTGTGCGAACTGGACGTTCCTGTCGATGGCGCTTTTACAACAAACAGTCGGACTCTCCTGTGTGATGCGTTGATCGACTACAACGAGCCTTCAATCCTGCAGGTTACACCGATTAGCGTTGTGCTAATAAAACGAGAAATTAATACTGTGATTAGTGAACTGAAATTCCATGAAGAAGTGATATCGAAGGCAAAGTTATGCGACCAAGTGCTTGTGATCTGCCGCGGTCGGAAAATAGAAGTTATAAGTTTCGCTGATAAAGCCCATCCACAGTGCACAAAAATCTATGAATGTGGAAATGAAATATGTGGCCTTGAAGTTTTTCCCGGCCCAACGGGATCGTTATTCTGTGCTGTCGGCGAATGGCAGAGCTTTAATGTGTCTGTGTTGAAAGTTGCCGATGGGGAAGTGATCGAATCGAATTTGGTTCCGGATGCGCGCTCACTACCTCGGAGCCTGACTTTCTGCAATTTTGGTCCGGCGTCTTTTCTGTTCTGCGGATTTGGTGATGGGAGTGTTACGTATTTCCGATTTGATACAGCGACGTTGCGAATGTTCGACCCCAAGCGTGTTGCAATGGGCACTCGGCCGTTCGCTTTTGTCAGATTTCCTGTCCACGACAGTCAGAATGTTTTCGTATGCTCCGATCGACCATGTGTTATCTCGTTTCGTAATGGACGACTGAGTTTTGCCAACGTGAACATTCCTAATGTTGTTGATATTTGTTCATTGGAAGGACTGGACAATGCCGCATTAGATCCAGAGAGTCTTATGATTGTTACCAATGAATCACTGCTTGTTGGCCAGCTGGAGGATATCCAAAAGCTTCACTTGATTCCGTTGCCTTTGGGCTTTCAGGCTTTTCAGTTTGCTTATCAGGCTGATTCGCACATGTTTGGTGTCATTGGTGACCGGAAGGATTGTCGTGTAAATCGGTTTTCCAGTGCTAAACCCACATACGAGGAGGAGGAAGAGCGTGTGCTGTATATTCTCGATCGAAATTCTTTTGAAGTGGTCACTTCCTATCGAAACGACGACCGAGAGGAATATATCTGTTGCATTTGCAGCTGGAATCCGGAAGAAACATCTTATTTTATCATGGGGACGGAGAAAAAAGTGGAAGCCGCGAATGATGTGGGTTTTGTGTTGCGTGGTTCGGTTTTTGTGCTGCAGCTCATTAACAGTCGTTTGCAAGTGATATTAAGTTACAGCTGCAACCAACCAGTTCATTTTGTATCGCCATACGGAAAATACCTTTTAGCTGCTGGCGAAACGGAGTTATATTTGTATGAATGGTTGGGGCATCAAATTGACCTTTGCCATAGATTCGAAACGGGAGGCGCGATGATTTCCAGTCTGGATGTACTCGGGAATACTATCCTAATAGGCGACATGCACAAATCGGTGATCTTGCTTCAGTATAATAAGGATCAAGGCTTAAGTGTTACTGGACGAGAACAGTCCAGCTACTTTTTGCAGAATGCCGCTTTAATTGACGAGACTACTGCGATAGTATCGGATGACTGGGGAAATTTGGCTGCCATGAAATTCACTGGAAAAAAGCTCAAAAGTGCGCTCCTGGAAGAGGATAATTGTCAGATTATGGACATGATCGCTGGTATCAACATGTGTGATCTGGTGACTACAATTCAAAGAGGCATGCTTATACCAGAAGATTCTGTGGGGGAATGTTCCATTAAAATTCGGAACAGTTTAGTTTTTGGAACTAGCAAGGGACAACTTGGTGTGGTTTTCGAATTAGACAGTGAATTGTAAGTATACGTGAATTCTTGGCATAAACTTAATTATTTGTCATATCGTATTCTCAACGGACTTGCTATCTACTTTAGTATCTAGTACTACAATACATGCTAAAAATCAGATCTAATAAACCGTAGTTTTTGACTGACGCATATCAATTTTAGGTTCTCCTTGCTGGCATATATCGAGAGTCAGATGATGAAGCAGAAGCGTGACCGAGCGCTAAATGCCGCTGATGCTGCTGAAGCTATGAAATTCTACAATGGACTGATGGAAGCGGATCATTTTGGGTTTGTCAATGGAGATCTTGTAGAGACATTCTTGCATTTGCGACCGGATGAGATGTCTAAGATATTGAAAGGATTCAAAGGACCTGTTAAGGATGGAAAGGTCCAGCGCTATAGCGTTGCGGATGTGACGAAGTTTTTGGATGATTTGGTGCGGCTGCACTGAACACTGTATTTCTAGATGCTTCAGGAAAAAATAGTGATGCTTACTTGATTACCAGTATTTACATCTTTTCTGGTTGTTAATCTACCAGCTTTGTACAAGCTCGTGCTTTTGAATTTTGATATCGTATGAGTTATCTCAGTTCTCATTCACACCGATTGTTAACTGATGTTTTTGTTCTTGTTACTTAATTGTTTTGTATTGCAACTTGTATTTTATGTTCTTAGTTTTGAGTACATACAGTGATAATTTGTTGCTTGCTCTTGGGTTGAAATGGGATAAAAGCATGAAACTATTTCTGAAAGATCCAGTGGGATGCAGTGGTGCCGTTTTGTTGTAAAGCTACTTTGTTAATTTTTGATTTTTTAAAATTTAGTAAAGCGATCCAACACTACAGCCATTAGAGAACAAATAAAACTATAGATATTATCTTTCAGCTCGTAGTGAGTGCAGTAAATGTAGCATATGAGGTGCATATTAGAACCAAAACTCGAAAATATGAGCAAATGGATATTGCCATACATTAAGTCCTAAATAAGGAGAGTATATTAAAAAAGCGGGCTTGATTCACTCGTCTGCATCCGAATCCCGAGTACCCCAGTTTTATTACACTGATACGTACTCGGAAGACAATGCAGCACGTATCATCGTGCAGCACGTTTCATTCTAATAAACAGGTACTGAAGTATCGTTATAATTTATAACCGATTAAATAATAATTATTCGAGTTTTCGAGGTGTAAAGTGTAAACAGTAAAACACTACGGCAAGCAATAATATTACAGAGCTTACTTATTATTGCTCTGTATGTACATACGGTATGATTGCTTACCGAAGTGTTTTACTATTTACTGCTCGAATACATTAATTATAATTAGCCACAGAGACCTAATAATGAAAGTTTTATTATGACACAATTAAAATATTATTGTATTTCCATACTTGCTTGGTACGGCGAATCTTTTTACACGAAAGCCGTCGAAAAGTTGTGACTGCTATAAATCTTCGGCTCATAATCTTGCTATTTCACAAGCATTATAAAACACAACAGTTTAGCATTTGTATATTTTGTTTTCTTTTAGAAATCGCACCTTGTCATATTTGGCGAAGTTGAATACATTGCTGACCTCACCGGCACTCGTATTGCAAACTCCGGTCAATTATAATAATGGCTGTTTTGTTGTTGCTTTGAAGTTTGAGCACGACTGCAGCTGCTTAGTTATTTCGTATTAATTTATTTAGTGAAAAAATCTTGTGGAAGTTTCATTCTAAATAAACAGTTTCTTCCGATAAGTACTGAAAAACGGTTTTAGTTTTTCTCACAAGGAAGAAAAAAGTTTCGTGCGACGTGCAGCGGAGTAAAAGTAGTAAAAAACGCAAGTATAGGCACAGCACTACGTACTGTGTTGTACTTGCACTCCAAGCGACACATCATAATTATTGTACATGCAATCCATAATATGAAATATCCATCTTTAATTTGCTGTGTGCAGTCCCATGTACCGCAACAGCCCAATACCGCTTTATGCGCCAGTTGTAATACGCTCACTGTGCTGTCGTCATTCGTCATTTATCACAACAAAACAGCGTTCTGATGCGGGATCCTTCAAACGACAGCCTACTATCGATTTCTTGCCTGATTCGATCATCGACTACGTAAGTTCCTGCAAGAAAGGGGCTTTGCTGAAAAATGTACGGTCCATGCAGGAAAAAGTTTCTGGTAAATGATACATTTTGGTTTTCGTTAGATAACTACTGACTTTCTCTGTGTTGCACTGAGTGGGAATGAGCAATAATAGCAGCTATCCAGCCGTCTCAGCAGTAATGCGCTTTAAGCACTCGTAGAGCTGCTCCGATTATGTTTACTAATCACACAAATGCTGATGTGTTTTATCTGGTTACACTGCCATGAGGCCCATGACTACTCTACCGAAATCGGAGTTTTAACTGATAATTCCTTGACGAAGTGGACCAGAACTTGACCGTGCACACCGTTGGCGTAGCGGAATTATTGACTCTTTCAGGACGTTGCGCCAGAGCAGAATCGGAAGCTTCTGGAATCGTACAAAGTGTGGTAAATGCGGCTTGGATATTTGTATAGAAAAGCGGCTCCATGTCGGAAAGTCGTGGAAGCAAAAGATTTGCCTCTTCTGCGAGGTCGGAGGTGTCAGGTATGCTTGTGCAGTTGTGCGCAATCAAATTTTTTTTAGAGGATTGGCTTGGGGAAATGTTCATTAGCTTTTGTCTCTATATCAGCATACCGAAACTTAAATAAGCGTACTTAAATATAAGCGTACTTAAAATCAAGTAACTTAATTTTGTTTTTTGCATAATGGGCTTTTCCAGATTGTCATTTGTGATAATTTTTGTTGATTGTAGAACTGCTAATAACTTAAATTGATTGTATTCATTAAAATTAAATTGCGTTGTTAAAGGTAAGAAATTTAAGAATATCATCGATCGTGATGGTATAATTAAGTCCTTGAGCGTGCAGCGAAGTGACATCGTGAAATCTCATGAGCGAAGGCCATTGGCCAGAAGGGTTTTAATTAAGTATGAAAATATCTATACTGAAGTGTTTGATATTTGTATATTTGCCGATTTGCGGTCTGTTTTGCAGCCTGGTTTATATATACAAGTATATGTATTCGCGCATGATTATGTGTTTATTATGTGTAGGGTGCGAAATTTTACAATGGGCACTGCGTATTGTAGCGGAATGGTAAAATTATTTTGCGCCTCATTTGCGATACTAAGAGATTTTTCTCGTATTTTCACATGATGTACCTTTTCAAAAACATTCGTACATATAGATGAAAATTATGTACTAAAAATGGCACCGACGGCGTACTCAATACTCTGTACTTGTGCTCCATTACGAATCTGTAGATTGCGGTTTCTGTCGCGCGGTGCATACATACTATAGTTGACTTAAAATTTTTTAGACTCCGATTCACCATACCTTGTGGCCTTGCGCAACGAGAATGACCTATCCTACAGTGAATTTTAATAAGCACAATAAGGTTGTTAACTCTGGCAAGTCAACAAGCGCATATTCCTCTGTTAACGTGCGTGATTAGCATTCAAATTTTGAAGTGAAGTGTGTGATGAATCGAAGTGTTGTGATTTTTCACCTTGGATCCGTTCTTAATTGGCGGATGGTTGTCTTGTTTAATATGCGAAGCACAGAAAATCCACACCGATCTGTGCACAAACATAATCCAAAAAATTCGATTGTTTGGGAGTAGATTATTAATGCGAAATCTATGGGCAAGCTGTGTGAATTCATCTGTTTGGCGCATTTTTTAGTTTTGAGTTTCATTTGAAGTACCGCGAAGAAAAGCCATTAACAAGTCTTCGTTGCGCTGTGATGGACAGGGGAGTAAACTTGTTAGGAAATCTTCGTGAACTGGGATATTTTTATCGCTTTCGCGGTGTACCATACAGAGCAGATTAAGCGAAATTCGCCCCTTCTTAAGAGTAACACGATCTTTGTGCGACTTTCACTTAACCACATTATTAATTATTTGACGATCGATGGTTTTCTTCTGTGCTTAAGATGTTACTTATTTGTAAGTACACGTACCTATCGCTGGCTATCATGCAGCAGGCTATTATTACGTTACCTATCGTAGATAAACTTACTTAGAGTACGATATTATAATATTGTACGTCATTAGAATTAAACAACATCGTTATTAAATTAATTGGATTGATTTGACGGCAGTTTCAGGAGCTTCTTTCTGACAAATTTTAATTTTCTACTCGTAGATGATGGAGGAAAAGATGAATCGGAATATCTTTCTGTGCCTTCTGGTGCACTCCATGTACATTCGCCAGCAATGACCCTGAAAGAAAAAAAGATCGGACACCGGCGTGTTGACCAAGCTGGTAACATTACGTATAAGAAAGTACGCGCCGTATATCTGTTGAAATAAACTGGTTCATTCAACTGTAAAACCATTTGCTGTCTTCCAGTTTCGATCCAATGAACTGATCAAGTGCATTCAGACCGGCATTCGGCATTCCGTCAGTAAGCTGGCATCCAAACCGGAGCGTGATCTGCTTATGAAGGATTTCATTGTGGTCGAGAAAGTCTTTCATAAAAAGTAAGAACAGACCTTAATTTATGCGTACATTTATGGTTTTATTGCGCTGTAATCAGACCCACTACCATATACTGTAGAGCGAGTGACGGTGATAATCATAAGTGCAGCCACAGAACAGTCGGAAGTTGGTACATGTTCGGCGTCCTTATCAAATGCAGAGCTCATTTTATGATCTCGTAATCTGGGAAATGAACGGGTTGTTAAGTTTTAGTGTTTGCTGTTTTTTTGTCTGGTACTTGTGGTTGCGGTATTCTGGAATAATGCAACAGCTGGAATAACTAGAAAACTTTTGAACAATTGTAAAATAATTCAGCTTATCAGTTGGCAAGCTTTTTGTTCTCGTATATTTACTTTTGCTAAAGCTAAACAGATGTGCATACCATGAATGCTTTTTGTTTGTATATTTCGAATGGTGCCAATATTCATCGACTTGAGCGCTTTTTAAAATATAATTTTCGGCTAGATTAAAATTTTATCATTGTCATCATGCGGTAGTAAGTTGTCAAGGGCCATGAAGTGGAAGTATGATAAAATATCCCTTACATTTGACGTTACTGTGATTTACTATGTTATTCTGTTGTGATATGTATCTGCGTAGGTTAATATAGCCATAAATGAAAATCCGAAACAGTAATGTTTGAAAGCGATCGATTGAATTCAGGCACACGCTCTGTGCAATTGTTGATAAAGATAACAAAGCTTATTTGTTTTTCCGTTCTCTTTTCACGCAGAGAAGGCACAATTTCCACTCCGGCGCACGGCTTGAATGATTTTACATTCAAAACCTACGCACCAATAGCATTCCGTTACTTCAGAGAACTATTCGGAATTGCGCCGGACGACTACATGGTAGGCCGCGGCGGGAAGAGTACTGGGCAAATATTGATTTAATCATATAGGATTCACTTGACGCTATGGTGAGAAAAATGGAGTTTGTTCTGTAGTTGTCGCTGTGTGATCGGGCCATGATTGAGATTTCCAATCCCGGTGCAAGTGGGAGTATCTTCTATTTGACGGAGGACGATGAGTTCATTCTCAAGACGGTTCAGTTTCGGGAGGCCGAGTTCCTGCTCAAACTCTTACCTGGTTACTATATGAATCTCAATCAGAATCCCCGAACTTTATTGCCAAAGTTTTTTGGGCAGTATTGTTACCAAGTAAGTGCACATACAAGAAAATTGAATTACAAGTGTAGTGAACTAATTAAACTGTCAAGCTTCTCCTATCGACCAGCATGACGTCAGTCACTTGCGTTCTAATTGAGTACGTGCTTCAGTCCAATTGGGTTTGGTGTATTTTTGTGTATTAATTTGTAGTCGCGGTTGCACGTGAGTGTATTTGTACCAGAGGTTGCCTCATTTCCTGTTTCCTGCATAAACTTACTGCATGACGTAATATCTGGGATTGACATTATTAGTTTTTAAAAATTTTGAAATGGCACCCATTCGATAGAGGCGCAGTGAAAAAATAAAGGAAGTTTGATTAATTAATTAAGTATGGATTTTGCAGGTTGCTGTAAGAGTCGCCGCGAAGTTTGAAACGATGTGTTTTTGCTTCATTATCTTTGTTTTGTTTAAGTGTTCGCAATTTAGTTCTGGTAAACTGAATCGTGTACAAGCATCTGAATTCGCAAAATGAATTATTTGAGGTGCCTAACTGCCTATTTTGTTGTTATAGTCTCTCGGGAAGAATGTTCGAGTGATCAGCATGAATAATCTCTTACCGCGCAAGGTGAAGTATCATCAGAAATTCGACCTGAAAGGTTCAACTTACAAACGGCAAGCATCGGAGCGCGAGCGCCAAAAACAAGTGCCCACGCTGAAAGATCTGGACTTCATGCAGCTGTATCCCGAGGGTATATTTCTGGAGGCGGAAACCTATGACCTCTTGGTGCGGACCATCCGCCGGGACTGTACAGTACTGGAGAGCTTCAAGATCATGGATTACAGTCTGCTAATTGGGATTCATAACATCGATGTAGCCCATAAGGAAGAAGAGAATATCCGCCGGGAAAGCTTGAAGAACGCTGAAGTATTGTCGGGCGCCCTGTTGAGCGAACCGCCGCCGCCGACTGCGAGAACCGTGTCCCCGTCGCAACCCAGTTTATCCCCACGGGGATCCATCTTCCGCAGCAGTAAAAGTGTTGTTGTGCAGGATAACATCAATAAACACCGACCTGATCGACGTAAGTGCGTGCCGGCTGTCAGTGTGGATTATGGCCTAATAGACAGAATGAAATGAGTATGAAGCTGTTTTGTGTGACCGCCTTGAAGCACTGGTTATCGATTATTAAACTGGATAATGTAGGAAAGCCGTCAGTTGCAGAGAATAGGGTTGTCCGCTATCGTTATAAATTACAATACATCCATGACGCGATTGCGTAAATGGTGTTAGGAAAGTCGGAGCGTGAATGCTGAATCCCAACAGACATCAATCGAATGAATTTCCGAGAGTGAATGTAATGAGAAAAAATCCGCTGTTTATGGGAGAACTAAAATTGAAGTACGACAGAGTAGTAGTAAATGATAAATCGACGTGATTAACGGTCCCGATCTTCATAGCTACTTAAATTTGGAGCACCGGGCATGGGTTAGAAGCATTCATTATCATAATAACTAGCATAAGATAAACAACCTACAATCAAATATCCCTATAAAAATTTGGAACTGTTTGATTAACATTTTTTGGTTTTATAGCTCCATTATTACGGACAAAGACCAACCGCGAGCGGTTCGCAGCCATTGTGCAAGATCCAACGCCAGCACGCACCCAACTTTATTCAAGAATCCAAGAAGCAAATCTCGACAGTAGTCAGATCATTTTGTACGTGCCCAAAAATAAGGGAACAATAACCGAGCACAAATTTGGCTTAAAGAACAGTGTCATGGGGTAGCGCAGTACTGCAATTTTTGTTTGCTGCCACTGCTTCGTCATATTTCATTAGTAATGGCTGAATTAGAATCCAAAATGTCCTTGGTGACTCTAAAGATAACTTTAGTAATCAAACGTTTTAAGTGTTTTATGAATGCGGTATTCTGTTTTTGTTAGCTTTTTATATTATAATATTTTTTTCGAATTTTGCTTTAATAGGCCTGATGGTGTCCTGGCATGGAACAGCAAAGGCGAGCGAATGCTGCTTTTTATGGGAATCATTGACATTTTGCAGTGCTATAAATTGCGAAAAAAATTGGAACACACGATGAAGTCAGCAGTATTAGATGGGCAGACGATATCCGTTTGCCACCCGGCCTTTTATTCGAAACGATTTCAAGATTTCATGGCGGAAAAAGTATTCCGCGTTGTGCCGGAAGGAATGTTTCCCGCGCACGCCACATCGAGCAGCTCGTTAAACCGCGAAGACAAAGGGACCAATCCGCTATCGACGGACTCCTCACCCGAAGATACGGCAATAAAACGGACAGTGGAGCCGAGAAAGTCCGCCAGATTCGCTAAGGGCAAACCAAGCATTATCAACATGGCATCGACATCCATGGAAATGATGGACAGTGATGAAGGTGTGAGTTCGACCAATAAGATGACCCGAATAACCGGCCCGGTGGTTGAGAAGACTGCTTCGCTGAATCTAAAATCAAATTTATCTTCCAAGGCGCCTGATCTCATTTTGGACGCTGCCAATGCTGCCTCCAATATGTCATTAAGTTCCCCTAAAGTTTCTGTGAATGCTGTTGTGACACAATGAAAAAATTTGTTTTCTTTCCTGTCTGCCGCATTTTGACGCTATAATACATACGTTCATCTCAGTTGTCTGTCTTTTGGACAGTTAAGTGTCGTGATAATAATTGATATTTGAAGGTTGAGTTTTAAACAGTTTCTGCAATAAATATTGGTCATAAATAACTAAAATAAGTACAGTACTACTAAGTTTTTACTTTAGAAGGTCACAGCTACGAGTCAATTGAGCAAGCAGTGCCAGTAACAGAGCGATTTCATCGAAGGTATCGTATCGGCTTTAATTTTTTAATGTTTTTGCTTTTGATAAATCCTTTATGCAATTTTTGAAATCATCAGTCTTTCCTCACATCAACATGAGTATGAATAACAACGAATTGAACAAAAAATGTTACGAATACCTCGAGGCACTTTGGTTTACGAAAAACGGGTCTCGTATGGTTGTATACACTATACAGCCCGCAGTGAACGACTCTGCGCTGCGCTGCACCCCGAAAAGGGCACCCATTGTGCATGCGGGCGGTGGTTGCCTGATTAACTGCAGATAATTCCAGCGGATGTTTCCGCTTTCGGTTCACGACAAATCTCGAAACAGCTGCTGGATTTTGCAATAAGTGTTCCTTGCTCTTTTAAATTTTTAATCAACAGAAATATACATTGAGTTGTGCGCGTATTTATGATAAAATAATGTTATCTTAACTGGCTCCTACCCTTCCTAATCTAATATTCATTTTGTTTTTGAACTTGAGAATCTTGGTTTTTTCGGTTGTATCCTGTACGCAAGGCCGCAGAGATCGTAGACGCTGGCTGCAGCGATACTTCCATGGGATTATTGAGGATGCCCGCATAAGGTATGAGTACGTGAGTACTTTCGGGATTCCCTGACAGATGGAACTTCATCTAAGTAGTCTTAGTAGTGGCTGTCTGTTACGTTGCAGACACTTGCTTCATTTGCTAATTTGATTTATTTGCAGGATGGCATCTCATGGCCGCTCGTAAACATCGCTTTCAGATAAGATCACCACAATGGCTGGCCGATTTGTTAAGCGTTTCTGATTTCTGAGGTGCTACAGCTGCTGATTTTAAACGCTCCGTACTGTATGGGATTCTCTAAAATTTACGCACTGTTAAATGCATCGATTTCCCCATGAGATTAACGCATATTGGTGAGAAATCTATCTACACACCGCTCTACTTGGACTTTGCTTTTTTGGCTGCTGAATGAAGTTGCTGCTGCTGTTTAGTGTTTACCGCTTGTTTTCGCTTATCAGAACAGCGCGCGCCCAGCATTAATGGACAACTGCTTCTGTGTGTGTGTGTTGGAAAATTGAATCGTTTGCAGTTGTGAGGCTGTGCGCTGTTGTGTGTTTTTTCTTAGCAACGCGGAATGGCATCGCGCCTGCATTACTGTAATCAGTCTGCTGCTGATCGTACTGATCCCTCCACGACTGCATCGGCAGCTAATCCTAATGATAGGAATTCTGTAGTATTTTTTCTTCCAGCCTATCAGCGGACGTCTGAACATTCAGCGCGTCGGACGTACTTCGCACCATGCAGGTTGGTTGGTAAATTTTTGATATGTCAGTTTTAGAGTCACTTGTTAATCTCCGAACTTTGTAACTATTAACCCAAGATGTTATTAACATTTTTGCAACATGTCTCGAAAAGTCGATAGTGTACTTTTTCCAATATTAAACTAATACTATTATTATTACTACAGAAAACTGATAATTTACAAAAAATCTGGCACTTTTGCTCGAAAAGGACAAATAAGCTAATAATCAGTACGATTCAGTAGGAAATTTTTTCAATTGTAAACTGTTCGTTTTGCGATTAACACTTGGGAACGGATTTCCGCAGTAGTTTATACGTAGACGCTCTTTAATACAATACATTATGCTGTTGTTTATTGTGACAGGCAACGGCGATGGAAGATAATGGGATTACTTGCAGTAATGCTCGTTGTAATGGTTTTCTTGTCGTTTTCCACCATAACCGCTTCGGTAGGGACAGCGCGGCCCGCTAAGGACCAGCCGAGCATGGAAGGCCGTGGAGCGGGGCCCGACGGCGTTGTTGTGCAGCGGGACCAGGCCGGGCAGGCCCAGCCCGTGGATTTCGATGACCTGGCCAGTCGTGCCGCTCAAGGCTGGCCCGTAGAATCGACGGTGCGAATTTATCGCCAGCAAGCCGTTGCCGCCGATGTTCCGGTCTGTTCGGCCGTAGGCAAGTGAGTATGATCTTTATTATTTTCGTTGTTCTCCAGTTTTATCGTACTTGATTGCTGTTGTCCTTAAAGCTCAACTACGATAGTGATTACTTATTCTTTTCGCTTCTATACAGCCAGATTCTGCAGTCGGGCGGCACGGCAGCAGATGCGGTGGTTGCAGCGGCGATTTGCGCTGGCGTTGTCCATCCGTACAGTAGTGGATTGGGCGGAGGGGCTCTGATCATGTACTACAACGGCACAGACAAAACTGGCCACACGATCGATGCTAGGGAAGTTGCTCCGATTCGTGCCACGGAAGACATGTTTGTCAACGAGGAAAACAGTACTGTTTCACCAGTTTACGGGTGGCATTCTATCGCAGGTAATTGCTTCCGGGTTTAAAACAACACGAACACTGCCTGGGAATTTGGTGTGCTTTTTCTGAACACGGTGATAGCAGTACTGTTTTTGCTTGGCCTGATTCAATTTCTGTATGACCGAAAACACTTCGCGTACGTTTCAAGTTTTATGGCCGTTGGAAAGTTGAAGATCTGACTTAATTTTAGTCAATACTAAAATATTGTTGTTATTATGTTATTATTATTATATTATGTTATTATTATTATATTATGTTATTATTATTAAAAACTGCTGTTATTATTATTTTAGCCAGTATTGTAATGTAAACTGTATTTTTTTATTGTACTCGGTGCCGATTATATCGTTTATCGCTAGTAGTTAAAGTAGCAGCTAAATTTTGCAGTTCTAGATTCTACCCCAGCTTTCGCAGGAGCAGTAGTTCTACGCACTGTGCAAGCTCGTATACGACGATTGGTTTCTTTTGGGTTACTCTTTTAGTGCCGGGAGAACTGGCCGGTATGTGGCAACTGCATCAGCGCTACGGAAAACTGCCTTGGAAAGATTTGTTCCAGCCAGCTATTAAACTAGCGCGGGAGGGCGTTACTGTTACCGGTTTCTTTGCCCGAGTCTTGGCGTACAATCAGAAATATCTGGTGGAGTCTTTTGCGGATTCTGATATGAGGCGGTTATTTATGAATGAAACGACTGGACAGACGTACGTCGAAGGTGATGTTGTGGCTTCGCCTGTTCTTGCTGATACACTGGAAATTATTGCCAACGATCCAAAGGGCATCCATGAATTCTACAATGGCTCCATCGCTCAGAAACTTGCTGGTGATATTCAAAAAGGAGGTAGGACTTTGTTATGTTTTTGTGTGGGTTCTCCTACCTTTATTCTTCTGTCCCTTGAATTCCGGCTCCGAATTTCTAGCTTTCTATTCGATCGAACAGTGTTGGCGTCCACTGCTCCGATTAAGTTTTGCGTGTCTTAACGTATTTGTATATGTTTTGTGCTTTAATGCTATCTAATCGATTTTTAATTTTTGTTATAGGAGGCATCATTCAACTCGCGGATTTTGCACAATATCGTGTGCAGGAGCGCGAGCCGTTGTCCACGAAAATCTCCGACAATATGACGCTGATGGGCGTGGGTCTGCCTTCGGGAAACGTTGTACTCCATAATATCTTTGGAACATTGAAGGGTATACCTTTCTTAAGTATTTTGTTGATTCGGTTACGAAGACTTTGTATTTTTACAGGATACAATTACAGTAAAGCTTGGGTGTCTATGACGGATGACGAAAAGGCACTTTTCTATCACCGTTTCGTGGAAGCCTTAAAGTTTGGCTACGCTCGCCGATCTCATTTGAGTGATGATCTGTTTGTTCCCGGTTTAGACAGGGTAAAGAACAGCATTCTGAACTGCGACGAAGAGACCAGGCTTTATTTTATGCTGCTGTTACAGTTTGTCCAAGAATTGCTTTCGGCAGAGTATTTGGATAATACAAGGCGAAAGATTAGTGATGAGAAAACGTTCGAGGATCCTCGTCATTATGGCGCACAAGAATCAGGAACTGTAAACCAAGGTGGAACTGCACATATCTCCGTTATTGATAAAGACGGGAATGCAGTGGCCTATAGCACGAGCATAAATACAATGTATGAGACTGCTTGTTCTAGATCCTGTTTTCGTTTACAGTGGCATTGAATTTTTTGTTATACGCGGTAATGGATGGAAAAAGCCTTTGCAGATTTGGCTCTTATCGAATTTCTCGATCAACGGGAATTATTTTTAACAACCATATGGATGACTTCAAGACCAGTAACAAGCCAAATTATTTTGGCATACCACCGTCCGAGGCAAACAAAATCGAACCCGGAAAGCGACCACAGTCCAGTACTTGTCCTTTGATCCTGATAGATGCAGCTGGCAATGTCAAGCTGGTAGCCGGTGCTTCGGGTGGTACACGCATTATTTCCGGTTTATTAAACGTATGGTTTCAGGCGTGATCACTTCTGTATTCTTAAGTTTCTTTTTCGTCAATGATAACAATTGTTTCTTTAGGTTCTGACTCGGATTTTATTTTTTGGCCAAGATCTCAAGTCCGCATTGGATGCCCCTCGGTTGCACCATCAACTTATTCCAATGCATGTTGAGTACGAAAAACAATTTGATAAGGCAAGTGTGCTTCGAGTTGGTGCAATGGGTTACTGAAAAATTTTTGCATTGCCACCGTCCGCGTTAATCAGTTACAAACTAAGTTTGTTAGATATTTTTTGCTTCTATTAGACTCATTTGGAATCTCTGAAACGGAAAGGACACAAAGTTGAAGAAAGCAAAGCACCGTACAGATATGTTTACAGCGCCGTGGAGGTTATATACGTCCAACAAAAAGGGGAAATCCATGCGGTTGCTGATGGGCGAAAAGGCGGATTACCTGACGGAGTGTAAATTCCGCTGTTTTTCTGTGCAGATTTCAAAATTTTTAAGCGGTTATTCGTTCATTCCTTGGAGAGTGGATATGGATTTTTTTGTTTTTACAAAGTTGTTTGTTGGAAGTTTTAGGAGCGATTGCAGTATGCGGTACTGGAGCATCTGAAAATACTTGATAAGTGTTTAGCTGTGCGGATTACTGAGCCGCCGTCGCAGTCTCATCGTACAGTAATCAGAAATTTTGTTTTTGCACGGCTTTTGACCTCTACCGGTGCTAGAGAAGTTAAATCTGAAAATAAGGTAACTTTTTTTATTTTCAGATCTAAGTGTTCAGCATCTATGCAGTTAAAATAAACAAAACAACAGAAACAACCAACAAAACAATCATTACCAAAGTTTGCCAAAAAACGACACCCATGTCATAACGTACACAAACCAGCTACGTATAAACAACAAAATTTGGGGTAAAACTACATTGACAAGATAAGAATTCACAAGTTCACTCTTAAAAGCGAAAATCTTAAAAGCGAGCACAAAACAACCGGCACTGCACCAAGAGAATAAAGATATCTGCGCCTGCTTATGCGCGGCGAAGACGTGCATCGTGTTGTAGAACACAAATCATATACACTTAGCTACAAGCGAGGTATAGCAATGCCCAAACAAGAAAAACGCAGTCATGAAAACAACATTCAATAGAAGCATCTCCTACAACATTAAGGCAAGCTGCGCAAGTAAATGCCTTTCCACTGTTGAGTGCGTACGAAATGCCTTGTTTCAAAATCGCGAAAAACGGAAGAAATAATCATGGTTACGAAATGCTGGAGCAAGGAACTCTGGGTGATCCCCTGCAAAAATACAGCAAAGGGTAATTCTATTACCTGGATCATCTACCTGTACGGCAGTACCAAACGAACTTGTGTCTTAATATATGTACGCGAATAAACATTGTTTTGTTAATGCAACAGACGCACATCTGTGTAAGAACTTTGTCCAACCACTGCAGGGGTCCATTGAGGTAGATCTCAATCCAACATGGTGTAGATGTGACCGTCTGACGCCGGTAATCCGTTCCCCATCCTTTAACGAAGCTCATTCGGATCGTACACATCTTTGTCAGCTGGTACACCGCTTCGAAGCCCTGAGTGACCGATTGAGCTAGCATAGCCGCGAATTCCTGATTGTTGAAGATTTTCAAATTGCACCCTGCACGAAAGAGTTCAGTCCAGTGATTGCAGCAAGTTAACAAACCCGCAAATACATAAGAATCCAGAACGGTAAATGAATCTCTTTCAAGAATATGTCTTCGACACAAAAAGGTTAACAATTTTTATTCTTTATTTATGTTTACATTGCGACATGACAGTCAGTCATTCCACTACGGCCACCACTGCCATCAACTAACAATTATAACCACGGTGATAAGTATTAAATTTATTGATATTTATCGTCGGTTCTTTACCTGGAGGAATTTTACATACTGTAGCTGGCTGCCATCCATAACGCTGATTGCAGTTCGGACTCTGCACAAATGCCGCGCTAGCGCTAAGACATTCCGCATACACATCTCCTCCAATGTAATACAGCCGTAATCCTTTGCCAATATGCCGTCGAGTATTTTCCACTACGGGATTCCGATTGATGTTGGACAACAAACCCAGACAAAACCGCTCCGAATTCGACGGGTCAGTAAAGCCATCAATGGTCAACGAAGGTTGGGATGCATGAAAGGTCTCTCCCACTCGCGAGCTTAACTCGTAATAACTTACAGAGCACCAAAACGCCGGTTCAGCATAACTGACCGGTTCCACGTCCGCAAGATCTATGTTGGGAGTCATAGTGGTATGGCCATTGGTATCCCCGTTACTCACAGGAGAAGCCACGCTGTTAATATCGTCTGAGAATGATGACTCAACGTCCACTAAAAAAAGAGGCAAAGGTAAATAAGTGCCAACAAGAAATTTAAATAAAATTATTAAAAGAATTAAAAAATGTGAAAATGTTAGGAGTGAGCTCAGCAATAACTTTCTTCGCATATATTTAAATTCTGTTACGTTAAGAAACAAAAAAAACATTAATCAGCAATGTCCCTCTGATAATTTTGATACCAAATTTGATACTAAATTATTAGCACCTCCAAAAGAAATCAAAAGTAAAACAATCCTTTTAAGCACATCAGTGCTACACACAAACAATTACCAGTCAATTCGTCAGACGTGTCCAACATTTCATTATCGTCCGAAAACGTAGGAGAGCCCACTTCGGAAAAAGAGAAAAGCTCGTTTAAATCCATGGGAAGATCGGCATTAGCTGGAACACCACTGGCCGATAAGTCATCCGGTAGTGGTACATCAGAGTGAGGAGGAAGAGTTTCTCCGTGGTTTCTTGGCACCAGTACTGGCGGCACATCAGCTAAACAAGGAACATACAGTAAAGGACATCGAAGATATCGAAAGAAAATATGAAGCGGAAAACAGCCGTACCTGGCGCTATAATGCGATCGTAATGATATGGATTAACACAAATAACATCTTTCTTAGCATTAAAGCCGTTTGAACAAGTGTCGGCAGACCTCAGTTGATGGTGATTAGTAAGATCTGGCCAACGCCAAATTCCTGCAAATTAGAATGGTGTTTGAAACTTACATGAAAGCCAAAGATGTAAGAGGCGATAAACACTAATCTAATCGGCTAAAGATAATTGTTACCACAAGTACCCAGTTAACAATTCACAGCGCATGCAGCTTTCCAGGGGTAGTATATTAATTTGATTATTTACTATAATACCGTATTAGTCACGGAACAAATTCGAAATCAACATAAAAAAGCAGACAATTAACGCTGCACGAGGTGCAAAGACACTACCGGAACTGTTGATAAAATGAAGCACGCACATAAAAACTGCGTCAAGCCTACATGTGTATGATGCCCTGCCTCGTGACGTTTCCGAAATTAATTAACCATGGTAAGTGCTATATATCTTTCCCGGGCCCAAGTCCAGTTTGGTTTGCAAACACATGTTCGGGAGACATTTTTCATTACACTATTTCTTGAATCATAATCGTATCAGACCAATATTTGCACGATCGCGATGCAAAATATTAAACATCTTATCGCCATGTTTTAACCATAAGTAAACTTTGATAAAATACGAGTATCAAGTTCAAAGTCTAAGAGCGAGTAGCGTTTATTACTTCCTAATTTCAAAAATCATGCAGTTGACAAATTGCCGTCACCAGAAATAAGAATAAACAGCTAAAATAAAATAATTAACCAATTCAAAAAAATGCAGCGATAAAAAATCACAGAGCGCTACACCTGCCAAAGCCAGAGGCCAAACTATCCGAGCAAATACTCATCGTACAAATAACTTGCGCTAATATTACAGTAAATATTTTAAAACACTTAAAGAGATCTCATTAGTAAACCGGTGTACACTAATTTCTGCCGCTTGTCAGTATTTAAAGGGAAACCGTAAAAAGCAGCATTATTGATTATTTATTGCAACTTACGACAATAAATAACATGAGGCAGTCCTTTGCGCTGGCTAACTTGCAATCTCCCATCCAAATTGCTGCAATCATAAGCCGTGATTACGAGAACGATTGATAACAAAGCACATAAGATTACGAAACGTGCCGCACCGAGGGATAATGACGCATGGACTGTGCTTATCTTGCGACGCAAGAGCTTTTTCCAAGTCTTCCAGGCTCGAGGAGCCTTTGCCTTTGAGCTTCTTCGTCAGACCCTTCACAGCTTTTTCCGTCCACTTCTCCTCCGCTTCTGAAGCTGTCGGGCTAGTCTTTTTAAATGTAATCAATTTTTTAACTACGGGGTTGGAAAAAAAGGAAGTCATTCTTGATGCTTAGCAGTCCACAGAAACGAGGATAACAATCATAACATCGGAATCAAGATCAACAACAAGGTTCAAGCCAGTGAACCACTGTTTGTATAGATAGCCCGTCAGATCATTGATAAATCACCATTAAGTTAACGATACCGAATATTTTCAAGTAACATTCAAAAAATTTACTCCAGCCAAGGAACATTACATTGTCATTATACAACAAGAAAACATGCAAGAAGGAAACTTTGATCACTTCATAGTTCGAACGACAGATGTGCAATATACTGAAACACCCTAACAATTAACACTGAAAAAACACCCAAAATCTCCGTGTCTTCCCGCGGATTAAGAGGTGAAGATTTCGCATTGAAAAAAGAAGTGCTGGAAATGATAGGTAAGTCACAAGTTGATGTCTCAGCAAATCTGCAGCTGCAGTTTTGAGAATGACATCCACACTGGTTGGAAGATTCTGCGGCACTGACGCATATACCAGATGTATCTTCCAGCTCAGAAATCAAAACTATGAAAAATCTCGACAAAAACGCAGATAATGGGTGATCGCTGCACACTATAAACGAAGCAAACAGTATGGATCTCAGACTTCGGAGAATGCGGATTATCGAACTCAAAGTCAATTACATTCAGCCTTCGGTGCTCCTCGCGCAACCAGAGCTAGAACTAGCCCATTGCCCAGACATTTGGGCGTACAAAAAATACATACAATACTATAGCGTCTATACTCACTATAGGGCAATATCAATATGATTTCTTAGGCTACTGTACTTCAATACCTAGTCGGCTAGTCCTTACCTTAGTACTGTACATTAGTACTCATACTTTATTTTGCTTTTAACAAAAATCGAAGAAAATCACTATTTAGTATTATTTTAATAGCGGTTACTGGTTAATAATAAAATTCACCGATGCCGATAAATTTTATATGTATAGATATAAACCGCCGCGCCGTCTGGGCTGGGCGAATGGGCACACTCGCCTGCAGTGTTTTGCGCTGTTACGCTGTTACACGTCCTCAAACCTCGCAGCTGGGTAAAAAAGTTTTCACGGCATTTCACCGTATGGGAATATTTTCAAGAGTTATCTGGGATTGGTGAAATTCCTTGGTGGACAGAGAACAAGGAATATTCAAAGATTAAACTTGTAACTTATTTGTTGAGAGCGACAGGAATCTATTGTTTGGATAAAGTGTTTCGCTCCTCCAGCGAAAAGCGAACATCGCACGGCTGGCGCAGGTACGCACTATGCAGTAAGAGCTCCCAGATTTGCCGTAATTCTCAGTCGCGTCATGTCAAGAGCAACTGCATGTTTAAAAAAATTGTATAATTAAGCGCCAAGGACATGGACAAGTGGCTCGTAAAGGTTTCGTTGTCGTCGGCCTCCCGTGAACAAGTAGTTGAACCTTGATGTTGAACTGGTTGGCAGACGTAGATCCCATTAGGTTGTTGCTATGCTCAGAAATGCTCATTCGACAATCGAGAAACGAAATTACTGCGGTCTTATTGATTTGTCATATTAATTTTACTAATCAGCATTGGCTAATTATGCTATTTCTAAAGTCGTTTAGAATGTCGAAGTACTGCAGCACTGCTTGCAGCTTTATCCTGGGTGTTAATTTTGTGTTAGAGAACGACTGGATTTTCATTTTTAGTTGGAATTTACGGTTTATTTAGCTTGTTATTAAATTGTGCAAACCAATGTGTTGGGCTTTTGATATGCTGACAGCAGTAAATATTAATGTCAGTTTTTCTGACCAGGTTTCCTCGATGATTTCAAAGTATGAGCGAGTCTGCGCCCAATGCCCCAGCTCAAACACCAAACGATGAGGAAATACTCGGCATATTTGGACGACTCAAGAATAATATACACGAAATTAAAGCAGCCAATTCTTCCCTGAGGAATAGTGCCGAGCGCAGTATGCATTCGTCTCGTGAGGCACTGTCCGCGCGCGGACCACATCCCCCGCGCAACGGGGAAGCTGGACTTCCTCCCGGAGCCGTCCAGTTCGCGGGGCAAAACCTCGCGGCAGAATTCCGTCCGCAGCGAACGACCGAAGGAACTGAAGCTGGATTCCAATGGCGAGCACCGAGTGGACGGCAATCGATCCCGCGTGAGCAGTTATAGTTCCCGCGCAAACGACGAGCAGCGCTTGGCGAAGAGCAGCCGACCCAAGGATAGCGAATCGTTTCGACATGAGAAACCTCGGCCGAGTGAATCGGAGCGAAGCGGCTATGATCATTCCTACGGAAGCCTGAAGCGAGACCGACGACGTCCATCCAACGGCAGGGATTCGCGGGCTTCAGAAAAGAGCTTCCGGTCGGAAGGCCTGACGGACGAATATCTCAGGCAGTATTATCAGGACTGGCTGAGGCACTCCAACATGCAGCATCAACACCAGCCGATGAACATGTATGGTTATGGTGGCATGTCCCAACTTTACTCGCCCATGGCGACGACGGGCATGTGGCCACAACCGGTTATGTCCAAGCCTGCTAGTTCGGCCGATCTGGTGGGGATGGCGGCGACGACGGCGGCTGGTACGCCGAGTGTGCCACTAACCCCAGGTGCATTTATAAAGACTCATGGAGAACAGCTACCTGCCGTGGCCACGCCATTTGGTATCAGGCCATCGTTTCCGGGACCGTCCCTTAATTCTGCGTTTAAGCCGATTAGTACCCGAAGTGATGCGGTCCCCGTGAGGAGAACTTCCGTGGTAGCGAAACCGTTACGGCCTCGATTCTGGAGGGGATGCCTGCTGTCATCGGTTAGAACTGCCGAAATTGTTCGAACTGGTCGATCGTCGGCCGTCGTGATAAAGGTAATTTTTTCATCATTTACATAGAAATATGTATATTCTGTTTTTAGGTGTCATACACGCTTTATTTCATCTCGTTTCTTCTCATTCCTTTCATTTTAGTTCAGTTCCACGCATTCCGGGCACACTTGTTTTTTTACGATGAGACTTTTTTACTTCTTTATAGGCGAATTTGGAAAGAGATTTCGAGAAACATCGAAGTGAAATGGAAATATTTCCGGGTATGATGCTATGGGATGAAGGAGACCTTCGTGAGCGAGTGGTGGATTTTTGTCGGCATATGAGTAGTTTGGCACGGGACGCTGATGATACGTTTGTTTCCGAAATGGAGTCTGTCTTCTGGGATTTGGTTGTTCATCTTTTAACGTGTGGTGAAAATTCCCGTCCCTATGAAGTAGCACAGATATTGTCGCGTTTGCTGCAAGATCCGGGGCGTTCGTCGGTGGCATCCCTGCGCAGTGAACTAAATGGTCGAACTGGTCGTGAGCGTTACTCCGAAAGCCAAATGATTTTGGTCCGTCGGTGTATGTTAGCCGGTGATATCGAGAGTGCGGTTATTCATGCAGAGAATGGCGAATGCTGGGAGCTCGCGATGTGTTTGCAGACCATTCATTCTGACATTGAATGCAAAAATCATCAGGCAGTAGACCTGATGATGCGAACTTTGGACCAGAAACTTCAGCGTGGTGATCCAGTGCATACGGTATGTTCATTAGCTTGCGGAAAAATGCCGAGTGTGGAATCCTGTTTTAAAGATTGGGTATCGAATTTGGCTGCGGTATTAGCGTGTTCGGGATTCATCAGACAGGCTACACTGCGCTCAAAATTCATCGATTCATTGGCAGAACTGCTGCATTTGACGGGATTACCAATGGGTCGGGATATATGCGCGATTTTTGGCAGTCCCGAACGCCGTTTCGAGATGCAGCCGTTCACGCTTATTGGAGGCAATGATCAAGAGTTTCAGCTATCTCACTTCTTCATGACGGAGGTTTTCGTTTATTTGGCACAGATTCTGCAGGGTATTAACTTACACGCTAATGCGGACTTGATCCGCATGGAACTAATTTATGTGCAGTCCTTGCTTGACAATGATTTAAATGTCGCTGCCATGGAGTATTGTCGAAGTATTGTCATTGTGCTGAAGGACTATGGTGTGCAAATGGCCTTTGAAAAGTATGCTCAATTGTTTCAGATGGTACGTATCACTTTCGTGACTTGCACTGCATTATCTGTTGGTAAAATCTCATTAAAGGTTTTTTTCAGGTAATTTCCAACACCCTTGCAGCCAAATCTGTTATGCACGAGGAGTGGTTTCGGTGGATATGGAATATTTTTAATTCGTACTGTAACAAACAGACATCGACTGCACCCATTGTAGAACGGAACGACGTTATGTCACTTTCCAGTGCCACTGAATTTGCTGCTCCGCAAGAGATACAACCGGGAAATGTTATTTTTTATGAACCCGTGAGCGAGTCTAACAGCTCCAGAAGAGAATCGTTCTCAATGGAAACCGATGCGCCTTCTCTAACTCCGATGGAGACGGAGAATGAGGCTGTTCGGAGAGATTCACAATTCTCTGGGAGTAATGTGTTTGAAACAGTGGAGTTTCGACGAGGTTCTTCCGTGGAAAGAGCTCGTAGTGATTCACTATCGGTTAGCCGACCGATAACTGCTGCTCAGGAAACAGGACAGGAGAGCACTGCTCCTGTGATTCCATTTTTCCCCGTAGCCGCCGCGTCGAATGCGCCGCCTCACAGTATGTTTATGCCTACTTTTAAAACTCAGGAATTACCGTCCCCCGATTCATCGACCTTCAATACGGGCAATGCGGAACACTTCGCCAGCATTACTGCCACGGATGAATTACCTACTGAATCCGAGGATGACAAAGAAAATGTGCCGGCGCAAATCTATGATCCAACAAGGATGTACGATGATTTGGACCAAATGGGGAAACCACCTGTTAAACAGACTGGTAACGAAAGTGCTCCAACCCAACCATCCTCGCGGTGGTTCCCTAATATTTTCGGGAAGAACACCTTAGTCAAAAACGTTGGGAAGAGTATTTTCAGTAAATTCGGGAGGTCAAAGCAGATCCACTTACCGGATGATTCGAAAAAGACGTTGATATACGATGAGAAAAAGAAGCGCTGGATCGACACCAGTAAACCGGATAGCGAACAGGAAGCAGCAGTACCTCCGCCACCGAAACTGGATTTCCCACAGCCCAACTTTAGTCAGCCTAAGTTCCCGGGTGCGTTTCCCCCCGGTGCACCTGTCATGCCGTCCATTCCCAATGGCAACATGTTTCGTCTGGGTGCGGGACCGAGTAATGCTGGATACAATCCGTACGCGACCATAATGTCGTCGCTGCAGGCTGCCCCATTGAAGCCCATCGATTTAGCGAACCACTTCATACCGGCTCCAACCATTCCAGAAGAATGAAAGCTGCTATCGTGAAGAAATTTTGTGAAAAATGGTACCGTACTTGGTACTTTTATAATAGTCTTTCTGCGGCTTTTGCTTTGTACCAGACATGCGTCTTTTTTCCCTTTTTTTTGCCCGGGATAGTACACGTGGAATGTTTTGACTTGTGAATGATAGGCTGTTTTGACAACGTGCATCACTTTTCCGATGAAATATTTTTATTTTCCGTGTGAAACTTATTTATTTTCTCTTGTTTAATATAGTGGAGTATCTTTTAATTAAAGTAAGCCACGCTGCCAAATGTGCTCTCGCTAATCGCCACACTGAAATTATAGAAGATGTGGTCGTAAATTGGAAAAGATGTGGTCGTTCACCGTTTCTCTGTAAATTGTGTCGAACAAACTGGAATATTCTGAATACTTCTAGATCTATAAACAATAAATTATGGACACTCATATCACCTACTACTCTAGGGCTTCCAGATTTCGGCAATCATTTACTTCAACTCGACTATAGTGACCCGATATTCCGCAGTACCTGAACGTCAGTCAGAACAAATTAAAAATACTAAATCTGCACCAATAGCTAAATCCAACAGGTTGAACATTCTCAAGGTTATATAAATCATGCAATGTATTCAAGATTCAAGCATACTGCTATTTCTGTACAGTGAAAAAGTAAAATCGTGAAAATGTAATCACGTCATATTGGCTAGTTTAGAGGAATCCTACAGGATGACCACATAAATTGCAGCCATAAGTCCAATCGTACCGCACATTCCAATCAAAGCAGCCTTAATAAATTGCCACAAACGCCCCCAGAAGCAAGACTGTTTCTTTGACTGCGGAGCAATATCGCTAGAGTTGCAACCAAAGCCCGGCAAGTCCTTTGCATTCCGATTAACCACTTTATCAGTCAAAACAGAATCCTCCACAACATTCTCGCAAATTACAGGAAGCCGTAATCTAATGCTGCATCCTTTTGTTTGTTTCCCCGCATTTTCCTGCGACACTGCAGCGGTTTCTGAAAAATACCAAAATGAAAAAGTTTTTAGTGTCTTCGAAATTGGTAATACGACAGAAAACGAAAATAAGAGGTTAATAATTATCAACAATAAATAAAGGCGGAAACGTCAAACAAGACTAGAGCAAGACCACATTAACGGTACAAACATCTAAGCACTTCTTGCGCTATTAATTGACCTTCCAATAAGAATGCGCTTTAACAATTCCAAATTCTAAATCCCTGGATGGTTGGCTTTTTATTCGCAGTTAACCAGTTACCCATCGCATCCACTGCGAAATTCTTCATTCCCGCATGCGAGACTGCCGCCGGAGCAGAGCGACGACGTCCGCGAACGTTGTCGAGTTTACCATTAGAAGCATCCGGGACGTCCAGAAGCGATTTCATTGAGTGCATTGGTGGCGGATTTTGGAAAGACGAGTGACTTGCGCTGAGTTGTAACGGCAGCCGGTCGGGTGTGGACCGTTTCCCGGAAGCAAACATTTCGCTGATGGTAACAATTCCAAAAATCAAAGCGGTGGTCGTCATTCTCACTATATACCCACATGCAAATTATGAAGAAAACACCTGATGAACGATAAGGCAGAAACCATTTTTCAATTTACCATTATCGTTGCCACCAAAAATTATCATTATCCCCCAAACGCAAGTGACCGTAGTCCACACAGAAAGGGATCTGAAAAGGCGCACGGATCAAACTAGAAACAAATTAAATATACAGATTTATAAGGATGAATTCTGCCCAGAAAACCGTAAATACGCTTAAGGAACAGCTCATCTAATTACTGCGCAGCTACATGCTGGACGACCACCTTCCAAATTGTCAAAAAACATTCGAGGAAGTCCAGGACTTGAATCAAGATCCCTGCCGTACCGGCGAAAACATGGAGGTTGGCGAAGGTATCGGCACTGCATGACAGTACTATCAAAATTTTCCTAATCTGGGCCCATGCAGCCGCGGTGAAGTCCTGGATGTATTCGTGCACCACTGGCACATTCACACTGACCATCGTCACTGCAGTGTGCAGAAAGAGAAGACCGGCGAGCCATTTAGATCTGGGCGAGGGAAACTGGAAGGCCATTAGGCAATCTTCCGCGAAGCCCTTACTGGTTGATCAAAATTGCTCAGCTGCGTCCGGGAACGGATCACAAAATAAAAAACTCAAGCCCGTTTGAATATCTGAACGATAGGAGGTACATTAACTCTGCGCAGTGCTCGCTGGTCCACTTACAATGTTCCCACTTCCCACTTCCCACTTAGAAAAGTCTCATATCACAAAGCCGAAACCGGACTCGTCAGCATTCGTTACCAGTGGGACAGGACTAATACAAGGATGTTAGCCGATTTTCGAATAACAATTTAAACAAATCACGTACGGTTTGTCACACAATGAGAGAAAAAAGACAAAAAACCATGAAACTGCATGGTTTTTTGTCTTTTGTTGACTGTAATACATGCTGCCGCCTCCAGTCGATCTTTGTATGGGTTTTGCTGGTGACATGGACATTAATTAATTTTATGTAAGCCGTGTAAATGAGGCAAGGTCAAAAATGAATGAAATTCGGATAAAATTGTAAATGTTGTACAATAATATGACAAAATGTGAAATCCTGTAATGTGCTTTGGTTTTGTTCTTTGTAATATTAGTAATTAATGAATTGTGTTTGTTGTGCAGTACTGTTATCTACAGATTCCGCACCCTGTATTGCTTTCGTTGTTTGAGCTTGGGACTTAACTGGCGGTGTTCGCACAGTTGATAGAGCTAGACGCAAGTGTGCGCGTCTCAAAGCACTAATAATTTCAGTACTCTTCAGCTGTTCGTAAGTCAACAAGTGCGATGATCTTATGTGGAGAGCACTCGTGGAGATTCCCGTGACGCTCCGTGAATTACGTGCATGAAGCCCAATCTGCGGGCCTCACAACATTTTACTGGCCGCTTGTCTTTGGACTTCTGGCGCACTGTGGGCCATGATCGAAATTTCTGCGCGTTTAACGCGTGGCGCTATCTATTTTGCTGGAGAAGTCCTGAGAATGCTGGATCACTCTTCGCAACTCGAGCGCTGAACCTGGCGAGAAAGACGCATCTGCAAAAGCGTCGACAACTGCAAAGTATGTTTTTGTAATCGCATGTTGCTGCTTTTCTTGCTGGTCGGAAATGACAGAACTGATGGTAACGACAGTAACGTGAGAATTTTATAGTGGAGTTGGCCCAGGCGAGACGGCATCCGTTGCTTTCGTTAGTGGACAGATACACTGTCAATGCAGTGTGGAGGAATCCAAAGTCGTTCTCCCTGCAGATTTCTCGCAGGCTGATCTAGGCAAGCGAAGGGATTCTTCGACGAATTTGTCGGATCAGAACACGTTTTGTTTGGTATCCACTGTACCCAAACTTCTCGTTGGCAGCTTATCTCTTGCTCCGGGCGAAGAATTTAATGGTTTGTGCTTCTTGTACAGCGCTTACCATTAGATGCGTTTCTGAATCTGACTTTTTGAGCATAGCGAAATTTACAAAAATTGCATACATTGACGTTTAAAGTGTATAATAATAACCGAACGAATAACTTGTTTTTCTGTTTTGTAGTGCTTTATTCGGAAACCATCCCCAAATCGGATGTTCCGTCGTTCCGGGGGGGGGATTTTAGTGCGGTATGCATGGAAATTAGCATTCGGCTGCCAAGTGCTCGGACGCGATACAACCGTAATTCATATTCCGCTGTACATTCTTGTTATCAAAGGTAAAAGGTCGTTTTGTTTTTATGTATTTTTGTAATGTGCTTTGGTATATATGCGTCTTTTGCGTTTTGGATTGGTGTCAGGGTTTTTATTGTTGTGAGTGCTCAAAAATGCTGAATTTAATTGCTTGGTCTTGGATAGATCATATACTTAATAAGTTAATACATACAAGTACTCATTACACTTGATCTTCTGGCGTACACTACTGTACTACATTTAAAACGCCTCCGCTAGGACCGCGTTACATTCTGTTATGAATTGTTCTGAACCCTTTCTAATACCGAACTTTGGTCAACTATGTGTAGTTCGGCATTTACTCTTGTAGATTTGGAAAACTTGTTAAACTTGAACGATGACCTGAGAATGCTCGCAATTACGGAGGACCTGGCTGAGAATGCCTCAGCACCAAAAACAAATGGATCAAATGGTGCGACAAAAGAAAACGGAATTCATGCTTCCTATCCTGCTGTTACCATCGAAGCGGCCATGGAAATTTTGGACAATTTAACAAGCCGGAAATCATTGAGTACAAAATAAGCGTACTGATACGGTGTAGTGATTCGAAATATAAATACCAATGTTTCCGTTTTAATTGCAGAAACGTACAATATCGAGTCCAGTAGCGGAAAAATAGGCAAACTGAGTCTTTCTAAGACTAAGTTTCGCCTTGGCGAGGACATCTTGGGACGGTTCGACTTTAAAGATCGCAGTATTACTTGTGTTCAGGTAAGCCCTTGCTAGTTCGGTTTATGGAATTTTTGAGATAACTGAGCACGGAACGGTTTGAACGCCGCAATCGGGTAGTAAGTGTTAATCTTGCTTGCTGATATTCATGGTCATACTGTTGCTCAAAATGTCACTCCGGATTCCTGAACGCTACTGGTATACTGCATACAGTAATTTTGTATCTGTAGATGAGTTGGCGTCAAGTTTACTAGGTGTACTACCCAATCGACAGTTTGATTATACGGCAATATTAAATGTGTTTTCAGTACCTTGTCAGTTTGATCAGTGAGGAAAGCATCAAGGAAGAACACCGCAAATCAAAGAACATTGCTCCAACGGAAACTATCGCCGGCAAAGTACACGATTTCTGTTTATGCTTGGAGCAAACCAACTTCATCCTACCGGTGCCTCTCCATATAACTCCCAGTTTCTCTTCTGATATAAGTGAGTTAGTTCGGGTATTTTGATGTGCAAAAGGTGCAATAATCAATTTACAACGTTCAGCAGGCTCACGGTGTATTGCATTATGAAGTAATTGCATAACAAGTGCTACTTTGTAGTGGAATTAAAATGGAAGCTCCGGTTGGAATTTGCCTTATCAGGCGAGATTTTGCAGCTGGACGTACCGGCTGTGGGCCAGGCCGAACAGAGCGTATTGTGGCGGCCTCCGCTGCGCGTCCCGGTGGAAACATTAGTATGGGATGTTCCGGTCGAAATATTCCCCACCGACCCAATTCAGGTGCAGAGTGCTCATTTGCGCGACAGTCTCGGTTCGGATGTGAGAGTTAGACTGTAGTATCATGTATGCACGTCCTTTTCACTCTATGTGACCGAAATTATTAATCTGGATCTGTTTTGATTTGTCATTTGGAAGTTTTGATTGATTTTATCGCCAGATCGTTTATTTATTTTTCCACTCTTTTAGTGCTGTTGTGGTGCTGCTCGTTCCAGGAAACTTGTTGGTTTATTTTTATGCCAAGAAACGTGAATTCGATAGTTTTTTTTATTACTTGAACCTATTAAAAAGTAATTTACCATCTCATGTGGAGCACGATTAAATTCGAAATCACCAACTACAGCCTCTCTTCCAGCACACCGGCAATTTTTAAAGCAAATTCCGTACAAAAAAAAACAATCAAACAGGAGTAGTCAAATTAAACGAATAAAACTGAAATAAAATTCGAAACTGAACCTCCAATCCTCCATGCATCCTAAAGCTCCACTCTGACTTCATTGGAATGCATTTTCACACCGGTCAGACGTGCAGAGGCCTCCTTGTCCAGCAGCCACAGCAGCTTTCCGGAAGTGGGCTGCACCAAACCCGCTGGCAGTTTGTTGGGATTACCGCCTTCGAGAATTTCCTTCAGCGTATCAGCCTTACTGCTGCCGGTAGTAACGAATGCTACGACACGAGCATGGTTCAGGACACCCAGAGTCAGTGTGATACGGGATGGAGGTGGCTTGGGAGAATCGTTAATGGGAGCCACCCAAGCACGACCAGTTTCCTGAGAACAACAGAGAATTCACAAAAATTAATCCAAATTACAGAGACACACAACACATTAGTTTATGTCCGTCAGTCGAGGCATGGAAAATACTACGCTGAAGTAATTAGAACCTCGAAGCTGTCTTTGCATACAGGGTGGCTGAACAAAATGGCCGTCTCCTGTTTTTGTTTGTTATTCGCAGACCCTTTTTCGCACCGTAAACTGTTTAGGCTCATTCGATAGAGAATTTTATTAGCCACAAAACCTAAAACAAAGTTTTTGAAAAGATTAAGCCGTCTTCGTTTGCAATGATGCCAAATGAAACTGTCTGCAAATTTTTCGTGTCCCAGCTCGCAAAACTTAAAATCTTGCGCCATTTCTTTCCCTTACGGACTTTTTGAATATTTTTAACTGTTTTGTTTAGCCAAATACGTTTTCATTCAATACAAAAAAAAGTTGAGGTCGTGCTGCATACGCTGAACGAGTTATGCAGTCAAGACATATTGTGACTTTTTCGAAAAATGCCGGTTTTTTATTTGGTATTTTCGAGTATTTTCGGTTACAATTTTTGACTGCATGACAGGTTGCACCAAAAATGGCAGATTTAACTTTAAAATGTAGCTGACACATTGTCCTTTTTGAAACAAAATTCAATCGGGTAAGCTTTTAAAACGTTGGTTAGAAATTTGCTTTCAAAAACTTTGTTTGCCGGTTTCACGAGAATTACTCGTGCAAAGTCTGTGTTCTTCAGCGCACTGGCCAAGCATGGTTGCTAGAATACTGAAGTTCCTTACAGTAAAAAACCGAGAAACAACCTCTCTACCAGAAATAGTAAAATAAGCTACATTAATGTTGTTAGTTGAATAGCAAGAATTTTTAATTTAGAAACGGGTAATTTCAGATTTTCGCTTCCAGGACATCATCCAAACCCAGCCAGTTTTACAAAACAATTCATAAAAAATTTCAGCCTTATGGAAATTTTTGACTTAACTTAACTTTTTTATGTTAAAAGCATTGCTCTATCGAATGAAACTAGGATAACGTCAATAAAGTGTTGGACGGATCCAGCGCACCATGACAAAACAGACGGCCATTTTGTTCAGCCACCCGGTAGAAGTATCTTACAGTCAGCAGCGGATGATTCGGGAAAAGAGAGCAAGTGTGACCATCCGGACCCATGCCCAGCAACAGCAGATCGAAAGTGGGCCAAATAGCATTGCCGAAATGCTTCACCAGGTGATTGTGGTAGATCAGAGCGTTCTTCTCGGCTGTTAAAATAAAAATCCGAAATTTCTACTGTCTGAATTTTGAGCAGTAGCGGGTTAGTTGATTGCTTTTTCGTAAATCGTGCTAACCGTTCTGGGATGGATCGATAACTTCAAATTGCGACTCCAACTGCGGAACCTTAGTCAGAAGATCTTTTTTGTACGCTCCAAAAGTACTTTCTTGATCGTCGAAGCCCAGCACGCGTTCATCGCAGAGGAAAATGTGCCATTTATTCCATTCGGGATTCCCCTTTTCTGAATAAACAGCTGGAATGGCGGCAGATAGCTGCTTAACCATGCTGGCACCTAGCATCGCAATTAAGCCTTTCAAGTCATTCCAAAGTTCAAAGACCCAAATGGTTATTCTAAGTGATCCAATAATTAAAAAATTCAAAATCCACGTGCACTACCCACCTGAAACGCCCAGCATAAATTTTCCGCGATCTTTTATAGCTTTTTCGGAGATCTGTTTCAACAGGTCTGTCAAACCTTTCTCGAGCTGCGAGGAGGACTCAAAAACCGATATGTTTTTACCGTCTGCCATAATTTTTTTCCACAAAATCAGGAAGAAAATACTAAAAAGCAACGCTTTGTCCGTCTTATGACCTTGTGTTGAAAAATCCGATTTACAAGAACTTCGGTTCGTATCGTACATAGTACAATTTTAGTTAAAATTTTTAGCACTGTAATATTATATTTACGACCCTGAAGTTAGTGAAGTAGGAGAAAATTCTAACCACCTGGATAAACATGAGTCAGCTGTTTGTTTACTGTCGCAGATTTCGATTGGGCCGTTCATGCAGAACCACACCTCTACTGCAGTATAAACCAAAACAAAGCAAACTAGTAATTGAAATTGTAACCTGGATAAGATAACGTACGCGTATTTAGAGAGTTAGATAGGCGTTTGAAAAGTTTGTGGAATTAATTTTCAGAAGGTTTTTTCGAAATAAATTATGAATTCAGCAATATGTTTGTAAAAATTTGAAAATGTATAAGCAAAGTTTGAAAGAAACGTTTGATTTGCGATTTAAGAGAATTTCGTTCAGCATGGAGGTCTACGAGGCGGTTTGCCATAGACCGCTATGCTGAACGAAATTCTCTTAAATCGCAAATCAAACGTTTCTTTCAAAACTTTTTGCTTATAGACTTTTCGTTTTCAAACTTAACTTTTTTTTCTGCATTTTTTAAGCTATGGTACGCACGGATTGTATGAATTTGAACAAATCGAAAAAACACCAAACCTGCAGGGGTTGCCCAATGCGCAGCTGGTTTGGTAATTCCACAAACTGCTTTTCAAAAGCGCCTCCTGGCATACAGTAAGTGGCGTACATTAAACCTGGATTTCAGTTTGGGCGATTTCCAGAATGCGTTTTACTTCATAATGAATTAGAATTTTGTAGCATGGTTATCGATTGCGATTACGTGCGCAATGGGATTGCAAACTACTGAGCGCACTCTAGAGCCAGTTCAAACTTTCATCGGAAGCGAAGGTCCTGTTACGAGTTTATGCTCCGTTTCTAGTGGTTCACTGGCTGGACATATTATTTCGGGTTCCTCGTTTGCTGCAGTTTATGTTTGGGATGTTGAAAAACGCAAACGTCTGACCTGCAAATTTCGCTGCGATAATCGTGCTCCGAAGAACACTACTGTGTTTTGGACTCATCCCGATGAACGCGACACCGCCGAGTTATTCGTCCACCTGCGCGATGGAGTGTGTGGAGTGTGGAAGATAATCCCCTCTGGAGCCCAGGCACTGCGTAACTGTAAACTGAATGATCAGTTTGGATTTTGTCCCGGCAGTGCTTTCGATGCACAGCGAACTGTTTGTGTTCCGGCGGGACAGATAGGAAATAATAACAGTGGTTTCGTGCTGCTGTCACAAGATACTCTGGAGCCTGTCGGAGCCTTTATCCCTAGTGTAGATCATTCCGTGCCGGTACGCACGTGCCGTTATCGCGACCATGAACTTTTTGTCGTCTATGAAGATGCAACTGTTGCATTGTGGGATGTTCGCTCGCAGAATACACCTGTGTTTGAATCTGACGTATTTCGAAAGCATCCGACAATGAGCTCGGAAGGTACAGTAACGATCAGTTTTTGATTAGCCTATTAAGGCTTAATGTGTAGCGTAAGATATTAATAAAAAGATATTGAATTGTTTTCCTTAAGTAGATTTGGGCGTTCCTATGGCTTTGGACGTAGACGCGACCAGCGGCATTGGTTTGTTGGGAACTTCTTCTTCCCTACTGCAGCGTTTCGATATCTTACCGGCGGAGTTAACGCTGAAAGACTCTATCCGCATGCCTGAAGAGGGTGTTAGTGATGTGCGTATCCGATCCGATGGGAAAATATGTACGGTAGCCAGCTGGGATTACACCGCCAGAGTGTATTCGTGGAAGTCTCTGAAACCGCTCGTGACACTCGATATGCACAGAGATACCATCCAGCGGGTTGATTACGGAATATTCGATGGAAAGAACTGTCTGGTTTTAGGAGGAAAAGATGAATTGTTAACGGTGTGGCCGTTATATTGATTCTTTCGCATTGATATTGATTATATCCGCAGAATTATTGGGCTTCTGCGTTTGATGACTTCAGCCGCCTTACAAAAGTTACAATAAAGAGATGCGAGGATTATTAACGTTTTAGCCAAAAACATGTAGCTATTTTAGTTTCCTCGTCGACCTGCTGTATGTACTCACTGGTCGGTATTTGTACATGCACGCACGATGCGTGAAACCTTGACCCGACAGTGTCATGGCTATGAGGAAACTAAATAATAATCTTTTCGTTCTCGCCATATGAAAAATTACTTGTGTGGAACCAAAAAGATTCCAAATTTTTTCCCTGTCTTTTGAGATAAGTAACACTTGAATGATTCTGTTTAGAAACGGACCAAACGGTTGAAATGCATGCATTTGAATTTACTTAACATAGCAGTCTATGGAGGTAACCGACCAGCGTTAGTCCCTCATGTAACTCGCCACATGCGGCGGGTGCGGTAATCGATAACTAAAAATGTACGAGTACAGCATAAATCATGATAAATGGTTCGTTATTGAAAACGGGAAAAGTCGAAGTGGTTCTGATTTTTAACATCTTTGATCTTATTGAACTTTACGTAAAACATGTAAAACGCTCTTGTTTTGTAGTTTCTGAAATCTTGCTAGATCTTGTGGTCACTGATACTTTGGTGCAGTTATTGCCTTATTGGTCTGCTATAAGAAAGTTTATCATGAAAACTGAAAACTGTTGAAATCCGCACTGATCTGGGGTTTAGCAGCACAGGACGGTGGATCAAACGTCTGAATAACGGGTTTGCTTGTTGTCGATTGTCTCGAAATCAGATTTCTTTTATTTTTAAAATTTCTTCGTCGGGCGTCCATTATTGGTCGTTCGGAGCTAACAGGTTTCTAAAATCTAGATACATAATTACTGTTTTGGTACGAGGTACGCTTTTCTCAGTTTTCTTACTATTTCAAGTTCCGGAACCTCAGTTCGGTTTTTTATGGTAATTCGTAATTGCGGTGAAAATGAAAAAGGCATACATCGAATTTATGCGCATGGCTACGTACATGGCTTTCCCTGTTGGATTGTTTTATTTCTTTCATCAACCTGAGCTGTATGAAGCATCCACAGTAGAACTTCGGAGGAAAATGTATCCCCCACAAAACCTGGAACAGATTAGGGAATTTGAGGAGTTCGTGGCCGAAGTAGACCGCGAATACGATAGAAAGCAAGCCCTGAAAGCCATGGAAGCGCGCCAACGGCAGGCCTGAACGGAAGTTCTTGAACTGTATTCACCAGCAAGATTCAAGACTCGAATTAATCAAGTCAGAATCTGTAATTCAAGTTGCTACACTAATTGTTGTTATCTGAAACAGTGAAGACTGTAGTGGTTGAAGTATTTGTATCTGTACATACGGTAAGCCGTAAGCGTTTCCAGTTTTAGCCTATTAATTTCATGGTCAGCTGTGTTTTACAGGCGTGTTTGCTGTGAAAATCAAGCCCAAGCGCTTTTTTATCTTAACCAATAAAGCAATGCACGAAGATTTTTACTGTAATAATTATGTACTTATCGTTAATGTTATATTGTGATAAGGAAGGCGATTAGGCCAAATTTAGTCCGGTCCAAGGGAGAGCAGCATTTACCCAAATTTGTTTTTAGCTAATTTAATGTTACATTTTGTTTGAGAAAGCTTCAGTAAATTAAAGAAACACAGCCTTTATTGTGTCTTCTTTTCCTATTACATTTAACGCGCATACACGGGCGCGTTATACCGGAAAACGAAATAAGTAACATAAATAAATGTTGATAAAATTAATCACAGCATTGAAGTGATTAAACAAAGAATAGTTATCGTTAAATACTGTAAAGTTCATTACTAATAGTCTAATTATAATACGATTAACAATTTTTGATTAGTAATAGCAGCTTTAGATCCGCCGAATTGCACTTACAGCTGATTTCGTTTTAGCGTAAATGTTTCGTTTTCGTTATGTGCCTCGTTAGATAACATGTTATTTGGTTCACGAGATGTGATGTGCTGGCACGATTATTGTGCTCGTATGGGTGCTCGTGTGAGTTATTCGTAAATCGCAATCAGCGGTATGCCCATCCGACCAGTTTCGCATGATCAGCGATCTGCCAAAGGCGTGTTAAATTTCGAATTTCCAATAACATCTCGCAAATCATCATTTTGAAATTCAAGTAGGGCAAAGTCAAGCAAGGTTTTTTACTTCATATTACCGTATTACGTGTCCACAACTATATAAATTCCGCTCAAGTACCGTTCTGTTCTTCTTTAGCCAAAACAAGCTCCACTCATACTAATAACTTTACAACACTAACTGACTAACAGCACCACAATTCCACATATAAACTTCCACAAATAAGGATGGCACACTGACCAAGGACAACGGGGGGAACTTGTTCAGATACACTGATTCAGTTTCTAAAATCATTTTCAGTGCTTGCACTGGTGACTACTTATCACTTATGATATTTTATGAATGCTTCGTCTTCTGGATTGCTGAGGTTCACCACGGGATGGTTCCTGGTTGCGTCGTCGGACCAAACATCTGGCTTTTCCCTCGGAACTTGGTCTGTTGTTGTCGGAATCCACGGTTCTCCCAGTAATTGCAAAAGCAAACTGCTGCGATGAGAAGCGGGAAATAGCGGAATTCATAATACGAAAACACCATCAGCTTTCGAAATTTGCCGTATTTCTTTCCAACAGCAACGATATGTGGAGTGTCACTAGCAATATACATTTTCCAGTAGATCTAAGGTAATGCAACAGCAATAATCAAACAGCGACACTGCGACAGTATCAGCTACTTTTTAGAATTTTGAATTTTTGCGCACTGGACCGCAAAAAACTTCTATTCCACAATGAAAAGAATGTCCATATCCTTGGTGCTCCACTTTTGCTCCTTGCTACCTAGCGTGTAGCGGCAGTACAGAATCGATCCCGGTGGGGCCTATAAGTTCACTTGTAGTGCTCAACACATGATAAAAAGAGCGCAACTGGCAAGGTACTGTCGTCTATTAAATCCATGTAATGTTTCGAATATGACCCGCAGCCCTGGGAGAAAGCCCTTTCCACTGTCGCATCCGGCAGGTGCCGTGCATCAGCGACTTAAACCATTTTAATCAGTTTTTAAGTTTTTAACGTGAAGACTGCAGATTTCAAAATGTTAGGTTTCTTATCGTTAAAAATTTGTTTGTTTTTTGAATGTTGATGAAATTTTATTGGAATCCAAAGTGGCGCACATTTTTCAGTTTTGAAGTCTGGCTGTTTGGCAGTGTTTGCAACTTCGTAATTAGTTCGACGTTTGACATTCGTGGTATGAGTAGACTCAAAGGGTGGACCTGGACCGTTCAGTGCGTTGTGGAGCGTCGGGAATGTTTACATTTTTTCATGGGTGTTGACGCTACTGTTAACTCACAAGCCAGTTGTCGTTTAACTTGATGACAGATATTGACTCACTCATTTCGAGTTTTGTTCATTTTGAAGTTTTGGAGGATGGGGCATTGTTACAGCAGCTCGAAAACAGCCTAAAAGTTTTCTTATAACGTTACTGAATCCGCTGTTAAGAATCTTATCATCGTCAATTAATCGCATATTATATACAAGTTCTTGAATTTTAATGCAGTTGTCCTGGGACGTGCTGATATGGACTTGATATCGTTATCATACCTGTGAAGTATTGTTACCCACTACGCTGCTGTGAGGAAAAGTGTGAAAGGTGCAGCACAACTCCTTCGGTGTTCTCTTTTGTTGCTCAACATCATGTAGATTGGTGGATTTGTCCAACCGGTAATGGCTAACATGCATAATAAACTAAACGCGTCACAAACGAAACGTCGCGTTCAGGTGAGAAACAAATACAGTGATCCATCTGGCTGTACTGATTCAGCTCAGTTGCCTTCTGTAATTAGTAATGCCTGTAATAGTTACGAGGAATGCCTTTTCCTATCAGGTCTCCTTTGTTATTCGGGATGAAGAAGAACGACGACATCGTGCTGGCGTTAATGCGCTACAGTACGATCCCATTTACCATCGCCTGTATTCGGCAGGCAGAGATTCTTTCATTAGAATATGGAGTATCCGCAACAACAGAGTAAGTGCGGGATTGCTCATTCGTTGACGAGTCCGTTCAGCGTTGATTAAGTAAACCGAACAGTATACTTAATTGAATCACAATGGAAAGGGAATATGGAGATCAACTTTTTTGTGTGCTAACAGCAAGCCCACTGGATCCAGACGATGGAACACCATACGGATTGGGTGAACGATATTGTGCTGTGTTGTGGCGGCAGAAATTGTGAGTTGAGCCATTGTTGTATGTTTTATTGAGTTTTTTACAACAATCATTTTTTGCAGTGATTTCGGCATCAAGTGATACCACTGTGAAAGTATGGAACGCACAGAAAGGCTTTTGTATGTCCACCCTGAGAACTCACAAGGTATCGAATCTACTTACTTTCTTGCACTAATAATTTTCAGGTGCGGAAGTATTTTGTTTTCGGGGGCTGCACACTACATGTTGTACCTTAATATGTTCTCACATAAGAATCTATTAGAATTTTATTTTACACAGGACTATGTGAAAGCCTTAGCATATGCCAAAGAAAAAGAGCATGTGGCGTCGGCCGGGTTTGATCGTGCGGTGTTTTTGTGGGATGTTAACACTCTCACGGCACTTACGGCGTCTAACAACACCGTAACCAGTAAGATTATCCTTTTTGTAAGGCTGCGGTGCATAAACATGTTTCATTTTTAGCATCCTCTTTGACGGGCAACAAAGATTCAATCTACAGTGTCGCTATGAACCCAGCTGGCACTGTAATCGTTTCTGGTAAGCTGAAAACGTTGATGAATATTTTATGCCAATGGGCCTCTTCCAGTTCAGTTTTTATGGTTAGTTCCAGGCTATTAGTTGGTCGATAACATACTATTTTGCTTCTGCACCAGGGACGCTCATAACCGAAATTTTTAAAATTACAGGATCGACTGAGAATGTCTTAAGGGTTTGGGATCCACGCACATGTCAAAAGCTGATGAAACTAAAAGGACACACAGAAAATATCCGTTCGATTGTTCTTAATCGTGATGGCACGCAAGTCAGTTGGAGTGTATTGAAGTTTTGGAGTTAATTAGACTTTTTACTGTGGGTTGTTTGGTTGTAGTGTCTTTCAGCAAGCAGCGATGGTACTATTCGGCTGTGGTCGTTAGGTCAACAACAGTGTGTTCAAACTATTCGGCACCACACGGAAGGAGTTTGGACAATACAGGTCAGCGGTGTATATAAAACTGAAAAATATTGTTCTGCAAATTGTGCGTGCTTTATTAGGCTAACGAGAGTTTTACGAACGTTTACTCTGCCGGTCGCGATCGCAAGGTTCTTCGGACAAGTTTAAAGGATACGGAAACTACCATTTTAATCTGTGAGGAAGGTGCTCCGGTCCTGCGTCTCGAACTCGTTCCCGATGAGTCAAGCATCTGGGTTGCGACTACAAATTCTGATATAAAATGTTGGGTAATAAAATGCTGTCCTGCCGCAGTTAGCAGAATATTGTTAGTTGCAATATTACCACTCGAAAAATTTTATATTTTAAATTGACAGCCTCTGCGGGGCATCGATACCCGACGTCCAGTGGATGCAAATGATGTGATGCTACCGTTGGTACAGAATCCCGATCTTAGTATCCCCGGTGCACCGAGCATTCGGCAGTATCGTGTGTTAAATGACAAAAGGTTCATCGTAACCAAAGACACCGAGGGAAATGGAGCCTTGTGGGATGTTTTGACGGTGAGTTGATATAGTTAGCAACTTATTGTTAGCAAGTATTTGTCGAGCTTGGTATTCAGTGGTTGGCATCTCTTAATTAGAGAACGTTTGGAAATTGTTTTTTTCTACAGTAGACGATACTCACAGATTTTTTTTCTTCCAGGCGAGGAAGTTGGATAACCTTGGTGCAGTTGATCTCGATGCGGAAGTGAAGAAACGAAACAAGCTCATGTATGTGCCAAATTGGTTTACGGTGGATGTTACAACGGCCATGCTGTCCATCCATTTGGATGAACACGATGCCCTGTCCGCTTGGATTAGCGGAAGAGATATGGACGCTATCGAAGGAGGAAATTCCCGTTGGAGTAAGAGATGCAGTATGCAGTGTGCTTCATCTTGTAACTTGAGCTAATAATCTTATCTCTCATAGCGACCGTAAATTACGGGAAGATGATGTTGGAATCCCTGCTTGAGTTTTGGCCGTGCAGCTACTTCAATCGGCCTGGCAGTTATGAAGCTGAGAACGGTATGATGGCCAACGGTGCTGCGGGCGATGGCAACCATGTGGCCAGTCGGCGTCCGTTTTTCCATGTGCCTGAGCACACTCCTGTGATATTAAGCGAAGTTAACGGCAGAACCCTTTTCCGCATGCATGTCCGTGATGCCTGTGGGGAAATTGAAAATATTTTGCTTAAGGAGAATGTTCCACCTTGGGTTCACGATATTATAGTTGAGGTAAACGCCTTGTATTTGAAGGAATAACCGAACTTGAAATATCGATATTTTTTACCCTCTATTCTTGTAATAATACGACGAAATTTTCCTGTTTTAGGGTAAAGAAGCCCCTTTCAACAAAATGACTTTTTGCCTTGTGCAGTACGGGCAGGCACAGTCTCGAGAAGCCAGAAGGTTAGTGACAACGGTACAGTAATTGATTGCGTTATCACAATATTATTGATGATTGACACTGGGCTTGGAAAATTTAGGGAGCGATTATCTGCAAGTGAGCTTATTCAGATTCGCAAGGTAATTGAACACGTGTACGATCGAATCATTCGGCCAGCCATGACCGCCTCCTCCATGGACAATCCCAGACTGAATGGAGGGAATCCCGGATCGTCACAGGCCGATAAGCGCTCTCCTACTCCACAAAATCCGGATTATCAACCTACCATAGAGGAACTGGAGGACATGATTGATATGTATTGTGGCGAACAGGTATCTTGCATTGATTTAGAAATAGTTCTGAATGCATTCTGATAAATCTGGAAGTGTATTCTGAACTGGAATGTTGCTTTGATTTTAGCGAATTGATCCAAACCTAGATCTCAGGACGGTTAAGCATTTTCATTGGCGCAACCAGAACACGGATTTAATCTTACAGTACAAAATGAAGCGGCATTGAACGCTGGTCGGGATGTGGAATGGCATAATTTATGTTCTTCGATGTTCGTATGACTTGTGAGCGAACAGTATGAACGCCTCATATAGGGTAATTACTGTACATTCGAGGGTTATGCAGCTATTTATTTTGTAAATACTGACCTGAGTATTTATTGTGATAAGTATTGCGACACCGGTGAACCTTTGAAACATTTTATAAGAATTTTGCGATACTACTTCTTAATAATAAATCGGGTTGACGACTTGAACTGCGCTTAGTGGACCCGATCTTGTATTCGTATACAGCATGCATCCAGCTAGGAGAATAGCAAGAGCGACTATAAAGTTACATGGGTCCGCTCTAATGCTTGTAAGTAGGATTATAAACATCCAAAAATGTTTGTTAACTTTGTAAAGCGAAACTTTCATTGGCTGGTTACCTAAAACTAAAAGCGGAAACTCCTGCTGGGAAATCTTCGAACCATTACTTCTTCACGACAGCTATTCATGACATATACTATTTATTTGTAGTTTAATCGTTGTCCGTTGAGTGCATTTCGCTGCTATGCTGCCTGTTCAGTCTGTACTTCATAACATTGTGCAAAGGAATGCAGAACTTCCGACAATACATGTGTGAACAACATTGTTAATTCGTACCTAGGGTAGGTTATAATGTTTGATCCACTAGTACTGTAAAACTTAGCGACTTTTACCTTTTACAGGTATCACTAAGGTGGATGTTGATTACGATGTTCGGTTTAGTTCGATACCTGTACTAGCTTGATTCTGAAGTATGCGATCGTACTAATTAATAATATTGAAATTAATTAATATATGAAATTAATATTATTATCAATTTTGAAAAACCTCATGCGGAATAACTGAAATTAGACTGCTCGCTCGGGGTTGCATTATAAAAACTGCTTTTGATAAGTGATATCGCGAGAATTATAACGGATATCAGTGTAACGACAAATTAACGAAAGCGCTACGTTCCAGGAAATTTCCTGCCGCATAGAAATAAATCAAATAACCTAAACCACATCGTGCCACCATGCAGCTCTAGCGTAGTTCGCATGTTTCTTTCTTTAAAGTTTAAACGTTCTCTGCTTATCGACGTTGCAAATATGACTCTGAAAAGTATTCGGACGCACACGGATTTTGATTAAAACTTAATAAAATCTAGCAACGGTAAAACAGTATTGTACAAGTAATAGGGATCCGATCATCCGATTTTGCAGCTCCCAGGGTCTGCATTAAAAATGATTACAAACTCTCCCAAATTCTATAAACATTATTGGTCTTGCTTATCAGTTGTGGCTGCTTGACCTCCCAAGCGAAACCGTTGGAGCTGCATGTGTGATGGTAGCGAAGGACAGTTATATATCGTCATTTTTCATATGGTGCCGGCGAAGTGTGCGATAAGAAAGAGATTTATTCAGCACCCCATTAGCCCCCGGGTGTCGCTCGCACGCATCATGCTGAACTTCCATTAACACCCGTTTACATTTTTGAATAATCTAGGTCCTTGCGGTATTACGGATTTGGTAAAATTTTATATGTAATTAGCCTCCCTGCTCATGCTACATGTTTCGGCACAAATTTCTAATTTTCAGCAAACGTAGCGGTTGAAAATATATAATCACTGACCACGCGCGGTAGATTTTAAAGGGCTCGATATGAACTTAATAATATAAACGAAGGCAGTTTAACATAGTATCTGTATGTTGTAGCCTATATATAACTATGTGGTATATTCAGATATTAAGCTTTATTAATTATACAACTAGGGTAGTACAATATTTCGTTACTCGTGCAGTACTTACAAACCTTATGGTTAATCCTTATTATATACCTGTAATGGAATACTTTTGACTGCTAGACCGCGGATAATCCGTAAGTCTAAAGTATACGTACTATACCCTATTGAATTCTTGTGCATTAATGCGATGATGTCCATCTGATTTGGGTGACCTTTGCCATACATGTTGCAGACACAATTCTGTAACGCGCCTGGTTAGATTTGGTAGTTAAACAAGATAGCGGAATTTACGAAGAAAAACTCTTACTCATCGCCTCCGAGTAGTAATTTTGTGAAAAATAAAATGTAGAACGAATAGCGAGCCGGAAAGGATCAAATGTACTCGGAGCATGAGAATACAGTCGTACACAGCTGGTGGATATCACTGACGAATTTGAGATGGAGAATGATAGTCCACACTGGTCACATAATTTTCACACAAATTGTATATCTTGTCAAAAGCGCGTAAGATTAAGTACTCTGAGCGGCAATGAGCCGTAAAAGTGGATCCTTGGGAGACAAGCTGCAGCGTAGCCAAAAGATGTACATTTTTAAGGATCTGATGAAAAGAAAAGAATGAACCGTAACCGATATCTTAATACGAATAAAAGCTGTGCCAAGCTGTCATCCATCTAGCACGATCTCGATCTAAAGTTAAAATATTGTTTTGCGCTACTTTCCGCTGTGTAGCTAATCTGAAATGAAGTCGACTATATATGCAACCTACAAACGTCTTCTTGGCTGGATTGAACGTCACTAACTTTACACACTTGTCGAGATGCTAGAAAATTATTTATGCTTGTATGTAAATACCTTACATAAAAATATAGTTGATTTCGCAGTTCACCTGTACTGTAAGAGTATTTGAATAATTTGCAAAATTCAGAACGAGCCACGTGATCGTGCAAGCTGTAAAATGTCCCTTACGTATACGTGAGTGTGTGACCGTTGAATTTGTCTAACTTACTAACAATAAGAAGTGACAGTTTGTGCGCAGAAAAGGATATCAATTAATTATACAGCAATGTATGTAAGGATGCAAGATATGATGCTTATTGTTAGATATTACTTGTAAGAATGCTTGTTGTTATTGCATGCTGAAATGCTTTTACTGTGCTCGAAGTACTTGTTGCTGGATATGACGCGCGGAACCGTTAAGAAATGTGCAGCCACAAAATGGAGATGTTAGCCGGGTGGTAAATGAAAATATCCCACGCTGACATAACTAAACTTGTTATTCATTTGGGATTTGGTGTCGTGGAAATGTAGATGAAGATTGTTATTTTTTGCTAGTTGTCACAACACATCTTTCGTCGTCGACTTTCGGCTTTAACTAGCGCGGTAGCCAATAATGTGCTGAGAGCAGCTATGAAATTGTCATTTGAGCTCTCATAGACGTAGTGTTGTCCTAAAGTGATCTTTTGCAGCTATAAATATATTGCTACTTACTGGTTTGCTTTTTTAGGAGACAGATGTTTCGAAATAGGGATCATTTATGAACTTCGCTAATATCATTCTACCCTGCATGTTTCAGAATATAGTGGCTATGCTGAAAATTATTAACAAGCAAAAGAGTGTGGGTTCAAAGACTAACGGTATAAAACAGCTATATATATACCTGCGTTACTGAAAGATTTTCGATCACAGAATTATGTACAGATCGGTGCAAATCGGATAAGTTCGTTATCGCTGCCACTATTTGCATATAATTATTATTTATGTTATTAAGGCAGCCATTAACTGTTTATGCAACAAGCTTGTTAGAAATGATACACAAATCTTATAATGCTTGTTATCCAGTTCACATGTCAGCGGCACCACAGCGGCGCTAAACTGGCGATTTTTTCAGACGAGGGGTTGTTCCAAATGTTTCTCAAGGCTGTGAGTATGCTTCATTGTTACAAAAGAATTAAGGATTAAATGTTCAGGTATCTTTTAGCAACGAACAAAAAAAGGTGTGCTACAGGAAACGAAACCAAAATAGCGCAGATTCAATTATTATCAATTTATTTACTGTACAGTGTACAAGTTGAATTACAAATTGCACTTACAACTAGTACAGACATTTGCATGAGACAGCTTATGTATCTGTACAGTGTGCTAACATAAACAAGCACAGGCTACTGCTTTTGCGGAAATATAACACCTTGATCTTTGGTAAAGATATCAGTTTGTCATATCGTTCTCGCTTCTCACTCGGATGTGTGACATATCTGTTAACCCCACCCCGGCAATCATGTAAAATTATGCTGACAAGAATGTCTTAGCAGATGAGCTGAATATTCGCGTTCCAAGCGCAAAAGGGGTTTGTATGTAAAACGAGCAAGCCAACAGCCAGCTTCCATATTACGCGCCCAGCTGTGAAATGGCAAAAATTTAACCTTAACTTTCATTTGCTTGTAGAAATATTGCCTGGTAGCCCGTATAGCTTACTTACATCTGTAACACAGTAATAAGCTCGAAGCAGTGGACACAGAATGTTTTACAATCATTAATCGTCTTGAAACGTCAGTGCTTACAATTTTAACAATTATTGAATTTTTTGTTATAAAGTTTCCTCTTCTCCATTTGCATGAGTTTAATTATTAGTATGCAAGCGCTACGGTATGCACGCTTCGAGAAATTTACAGATGCTTGACCTTTGTTGATTTAAACTTCCTTACCCACATTCGACGTGCTCTTGATTACGCAAGACGAAAAAAGATGGCCTTTGTGTGTGATAATACTCCTGAAATGGATTCGGATGATTCTGAGAGCAACCCTGGCGGTAGCAAGCCCTCTAAAAGAAGCTTGCGCACACCGAAATGCGCTCGATGCCGAAATCACGGCGTCGTGTCTTGTTTGAAAGGTCACAAACGTTTTTGTCGCTGGAGAGACTGCCAGTGTGCAAGGTTAGAACGCAATAACCTTATTCGAGATTTTGTTTTAAACCGTTAATATTACGCTTTTCGCTTTTATTTCTATGCAGTTGGATAACCTGCTTAGTGAAATAATTGTCCGTGCTTATTATTATTGTCATCTTATGACTTACTAGCACCGTGCTTATAACTTAAAAGCTGTGTTTCAAAAGCGGCAGTTTAAAAAATGCAAGTACAGCTGACTCAAATTTCCTACTCGTCAATTGTGTTATATATAACGTTAAAGTAGCCAAAATATTTTGGAACGTAAAAGAAAACGACAACAAAGTGAGCATGTTTTGCAGTTGTTTGCTTGTCGTGGAACGGCAACGCGTGATGGCTGCTCAGGTTGCTCTTCGAAGGTACGGTAGTATGCAGGACACAAGTAGGTGACAGCCTTTGACACTTGGGTTGCAGCATGCTATATTCCTATCAATCCTATGTACGGTATTCATCTGTAGTTAGTTCACAATGAATGACCTTTATGTCTAAAATTTAATTTACAATTGTTAGTAACCATTATCGATCAATACATACTAACATTAAACCCACCACCATAAAATGATTTTAAAGTCGCTAAGGAATGTTTTGTGGTTAAAGACAACAAGGATCCGGTTCAAGTCCCGGGGAAAAGCTTTCCGATGAAGCACGCCTTGTGCGCATTAAGACGGCCGAAGAAGTGCTCCAGCAGCGACGCACACTGCATCGCGTGCTGAAACAACATGCTCAGTCCATGCAGATTCCGAGATCAAATGTTGCAAGTACGCAGATGACAAATGCACTAATTTTTTTACAGTTGCAGTGGCGCTGATGCCGTTGTTGCTCCCGTACAGAATTTTAAAAGTAAACGGTCACGTATAATAAAATAAATTTAATTTTTTTCTGCCAGTTTGTCATCACGGATTCGTGATATGTGTACTTACTTGATCAACGGTTACATAGTTTATATTCCTTCCTCACTTGTACTCATTTATATAAAGATAGAGAAATATCTTCTACTGGAGTATTTATTTTGTAATCGCCATGAAAAGCAATTGTTGTCATCGCACATCGTGTAATTCTACAGGTATAACAAATTTCTGTATTTTCTGTATTATAACTTCTTGTTTTTCCAGACTTTCGCTTTCGAAACAGGATACAATCCTTGCCTCCGCCATACTATTTCAGCATCAACCAATATCTTAGCGAGCGACTGCGTAAGCGTCGCTGTTCCATCGACAAGGGAGTGGATGGCGGAAACCCTTCAACCGAAAACCTGTTGCTACAGGCACAAGCGGCATCTCCTTCAGCTAGCGCTATTATTAATGGACAATATTGTAGTTTCTTCGGATTTTCTTCTCCTTTGATTTTTCGTCCACCAATCCAAATCCCAACATACCATGTTGGAACTTCACCGAAATTTCCTGATCCAGATCCAGAAAAATTGGAAGACCCTATTGAAAAACATACGGTGTTCAACGGAAATAATGTCCCGAAAACGAAATATTTCTCCGAATTGCCCGTCGGCATCCATAACGGCATTTCTCCCCACGTTAATTATGTTTCACAAATGGAAATGGAAATAAAGTTTCATCAACAATTACGCGTGGACGAGCTAACACGTACTGACGGCACTAATTACAAAACAATCGGCAAATCTGCATTTTCACCGGTGGGCTCCGCGAAACTGACAGGAGAGGCGGTTAATGCAGGCGATAAAATCGCCAAGAAATGCGGATTTTCCATCGATGCTTTGCTCTCATGAGCTGCACGCAAAAATAATACGATAAGCATTGTTTGATGATTGATTTTATTGAATTGTAATTTGTATCCGTAATTTCCTTCCATCTGATGCACTGTTCAACCGTCAGTTTTAGCGTGTACAGAAATAAAATTAATTTTATGACAGTATGTATGAACCAGAACTGTAACCAGATCTGTGAATAAAGTCAATATAAAATACAGTACAATTATGTACGGATACAATCCTTATGTAATAATCCTTATGTAATAATCCTTGCAATAAAATTACTAAAATTAATATACTAAAATCATTAACAACAACGACACTACTCACAAGTCGGAGGTTATTTATATCGCCAGCCAAAGGAGCCTAGGATATTATTATTATTATTGTGGAATATTTCAGTGCTGCGGTTAATTGTTGACCAAAAACTTACTGGTACAATCTCTCTTCGTTCGCATGACAGCACTACAAAAACCCCTGGTGAGTACGTAATGATTTTTTTCAACTGCAAAAAAGGCAAAAATTAAAAATGTAATTGTTACTTGTCATTGTTGTCGATGCTGGTTTTGCTTACCATTAGCTAGCTCTTTGATTAGGTTCCATGTCGTAGAGTTTTCGCTTTTCGGAATCTCGGAAAAAAATTTTTCAGAAAGTACTGTAGTAAACGTTTAAGTACTGTACTTGTACAATCGCCCTTCGTCCTACATGGGCTTTTACAGTACTGTATTGAGCCGTGACCCGTGATCACATAAAAAAACGGTCTGGCTTTGCGACCGCTTCTTGATAGATAGATTATTTATTTATTCTAATAAATGGATTACGAGTATAGATTAGGGTGACACTATAGCCACCCCGAACACCCTTGTTTTTTACGCCACCCATTTTCCGCACCCGGTTTATTTTAGACACCCATTTTTAATTCATTTGTTTTAAGACACCCTGGTGTTTAGACTAGAAACCCTTCTTGCAGTTATCACTGTCACGACACTGTGTGTAACATGAAATGGATATGTGCAGTTGGGCATATGTTTCTCTGTTTTCTACACCACAAAATTAATATCTCACAATCAACCTTTATTGAGTTCCGTTTGCTGTTATGCGGCAAAAAAAACCTCTATTAAAATTAGGGGAAATGGACGTATTACACTTTTAATTATGACTTTTATCCATATGCAGTACTTATAACTAACAAGTTGGATGATTCTTTGATAAGCACTTGCTAGTTATTTGCAAGCACTCCTTCGATGCTTCGAATGATTTGTTTTGAATCAGCAGGAAATATTCAAGTAAGTTCACCAAATTCCCATAAATCCCTTAATTACAGTACAAAGTACAAGTACTGTACTCATACTACATAATTATGGTTAACAGTAGTAATAAGCAATGTCATTTCTCAATTCTCATGCTCGATTATGTAATCGCGTATTGATGTTCTCATTGCTCTGTCAAGTTTCAACTAAGTTTGTAATTTCATTTCCTTTCACGTTCTTCACTTCTTTAACCTTACTTCTTACATACGTACAGTACTAATCGAAACTCGTGTCAGTCACTTGCATTTCCGGTTGAAACTGTTTCAGTCTGTTCGTTTGCTTTTCGCAGTTAAAAATAAGCTTTTTTATTCACAATCAGCTTGATTGACTGTTGAACCAGTACGACTGTACTGAAGTATATTAATATAATTAACATCAGTACGGTATAATTGCATTCGGCAGAGAAAAACTGTGGGAAGATGTCTGGCCACCGTCACTCCGGTGGCAGTGCGAAAGATCCTCGCAAAGTGCGGATTTCCAAGTCTCTGAGCTGGTTACTTCGTCATGGCGCTGCGGAATCAAACCTATCCCTATCCAAAGAAGGCTACGCTCGAGTCGACGATATTCTAAAGCTAGACAGCTTCCGAAACACCACGCTGGATGACATTGCGGAGATCGTGGCGAGCTGTCCCAAACAACGATTCACACTACGCCAGGATTCTGACGGATCATATCGTATTTGTGCCAATCAGGGCCACAGTATCGCGGTGGAGAGCTTAGAACTGTTACCGATCACATCGCCGGAGCAGTGTCCACAAGCAATCCATGGCACTTTTTCCCGTCATTTAGGAAGCATCCAACAGAAAGGCTTGTTGCCGATGAGCAGGAATCACATACATTTCAGTCGGGAAGTTCCTTCGGATGATCGCGCTGTCAGCGGAATCCGGCCCAGCTGTGATGTACTGATTTATCTGGATGTGCCAAAAATACTTGCTGCTGGAATTCGCCTCTTTGAGTCGGCCAATAAAGTGATACTTAGTCCCGGAAACACAGACCGATGTATACCTCCGGAATTCTTTGCTAAAATTGTGCATCGAGACGGGAAGACGCGTCCGAAAATAGGAAGGAGCCACTAGTCAGTGACTTTTTATACTTTTTGTACTTTTATGAATTAGTATTTCTTGTAATAATGTTATAATGGAAATGGTTGTCGATAAACACAAATCGCTGCTTACGGTTGAAAATTGTACTTCATTAAACATAATGTGATTATGATGAAATTTCCCCCGAGTAGAACTTTTATAAATCTTGTTACAAAAAGTGAAAAAACTACAGTACTTCATTGTGAATATAAATGTGTGCTGCAACACAGTGTCTTCGGCAGATTTTCAACACATACTGGGTATTTTTCGCTTAAGGACTACAGGTTATCATTTAAAAGTTGTAATAACGTTTGGAATATTCTAACAACTCACGTGGCATGCAAAAAGAATGCGCAGATTTCCTCACAGTACGGTGGCTGTCTGCCCTGATCTGGAGCATTGATATTGTTTAATAGATTTAATATGTGTCATGACTCATGACTGTCATCTGGTTTTTTAAAATTGTTTTATAGCTGACATTTGCACGTGTTTTTTATTATTCGGTATTCTGACATAATATCATCATGATGATAGCAAGAACATAAGCATTCAAACGTCCGGATCATCGCGAAACGGGAGGCAGCTGCGCCTTCTTTCCAAACATGATGTTCCCTTTGGCTTGCATCATCTGCAATGCCGGCCTGTCTATGCGGAAACAATCCGACAACGGGTATTCGGTTTTACCATTAAGGACCAACTGCGCGAAAATCTTCCCGATTACTGAGGCATACCTGCAAAAGAAACGATTTTGCTCTTTTATCTCAGTGGAAGATTATGTCCAATTTTCTCACTTAAATCCATGCCCACATCCCATGAAAACATGGACATTAGGAAGTCCTTTACACGACAGATTGTCTAGAATAAAATGCCGGTCTGGCGTCAGCTCGTACAGGCACGTTTTGGTGTACAGCATTGGACCGTATCCCTGGAACGCAAAAAATGAGTGCAAAATCGTAACTTTGCCCCACCCGAAATTATCGGTGCAAGTGCAAAGCAAAACTCGCGAAACCGGTATCTCGTACCGCACACATTTTTGGGTTAATTACTGTACAGTAATATCGATATCACGACGATATGTGTGTACCCTCGGTATATATTCTTGCATAAACTTTACGGTCGCCTCGAGACGTTCTGGATTCAATTCAAAATTTCTCGTATGAGCGGTGCAAACATTGCCGGATGCGTCGGCGCCAATCTTGACACCGGTACTGCAGCCTGGGTTTATGGGAATTCCATAATAATCGTGGTGTGTGCTGTGGCAAATCCATACGGGAAATCTAACAGAATAATACCTCTGTGGTGAGTGTTGTTTATCAGCAAAAATTAAGGAAGAAATTTTTATACGGTAGGATGTGAACCGATGCGAGATTTGTCGCACTAAAGTATTATTAACGATATGTGTATGATTAATTAAGTACTGTACACATAGTGAATTTCATGCAGATTACGGCAGTATTAATTCTCAACTATTTTAATTTGCGGTACCGCAGTTGTTTAACCTTATATTTTTTCTTTAGACATGTAAGGACTTTGGAATTGTAAGAACTTCGGGATTGTATTCTGTAGACATGTAAGAACTTGTACCTGTCAGGCAAGAATTCCCGGATATTCGGTGTTCCAAAATACGAGACTTGCTCTTGGGTGACGGTAATGGACACTTGCATGCCGAAATGTTGCAAAATATCGTTATTCCATGCACCACAAGCGACGATCAAGTTTTCCGCTGCATAATCCCCGTTGCTTGTGCTAACTCGCAGGTAATCGCCTTCTTTGGCGACCTTTGTCACTTTTGTGTTTTCTAAAATTTCGGCGCCGTGTTTACGCGCGAGCTGCGTATGCACTGCATTTCCCAGACCGGCATTAACAAAACCGGAATCCTTCTGATAAAGTCCAACAACATCCTTATTCTTGACATTAAATTGCGGGTACTTCTTGTGTATAGCGGCGCCGTCCCATCGTTCAAAGCTGTACAAAAATAATTAAATAAATGAGCTGTTTAGGTAAACTCGGAACGTATATTATGCAGAACTGCTGACAGAAGTTACAACAAATTCAAAACCCGTCTTAAACTTACGGAACATGTTCAGCTGTCATTGCATTCGCATATTCATCAACCACATCCACATGACCCCCATCTTTCGGCGTGAAAAACAATCCGCCTGTTCTGGTGACGACTTTAATTCCCGATTCGTTTTCTAGCTCGTCCCATCTGTCAACAATATCAAAAGGTATATGTATATAACAGTAGAGGAACTCAGATAGATTGAGCAAACAGTAGGTAGTCACAATTTAATTCCATGCACCACAAGCAACGATAAATTTGTTTGTGCCGCACAAACAATATAAGTACAGTATATTTACAAGTTAGCGAAGAAAAAAAATGCGATGCGATGAAAAATGCTACTTACGTTTCGTATGATCCAGGGGCGAGCTTTATATACGGCGTATCGTGGTACATGTATCGTCTGTCACAATGAAAAAGCCGGTTATTATTGAATGTTTAACATTAATATGAGATCTTTTCTTTCGCTTTTTGTCTATGCGCATGCAGATTCATATGGAACGTAAAGCAATACACGGATTACGTACAGTCTTCATGTCAGTTTATGTCCTCAAATGTCAAAATTTTTTCATTATGCTGCCGTATATACCAACATGATGCGCGAAATGTCCTGAGAGCTTCCATTATCATGACCCAGCCGAAACTGCTCAATGCCAAGAATCTCTGCAAAAATTACGTTCGTGAATTTATTTCTGGACATTTGATTTAGAGATAGGAAACTATGCACGGTGTTTTAAGTTTCATCTGGTAGCGTCAAACTGAAGGTGGGTTATACGTATATCGATGCAGTGCACTGCGCAGTATTTTCAAAAACTAACATCTTCCAAATATCAAAAACTCTCTCAAATAAGACATGTACCTCCACTTTTCGGAATCCGCTGCGACAATTTTGACAGCCAGTATAAAGACCCCGATCCAATGCCTCCAACACCAACGACGATACACTTATATAGTTTTTTGCTTGCCATGGCTTCCTTATTATAGACAATGTTAGCAATTTGCAACTAACGTACGTGTGCCGGGATGCTACATCAAACAAATGCGTATAACATTCGAAAGCGCGATAATGATATCACTGTTTTACTGATATTAATTGTACGTGAAGTCGGTGAAGATACTTTGCCATGCGGAGTTTTATAATCAATTAAATCGATGCCAGAAGCGAAACTGGAAATACTAGTACTACCAGCTGAAGAACTGTTATCTAAAGCTGTAAAGGAATGTATACAGTATAAGTACTCCATAATCAGTGCAAATTATTTCGACGACTAAATGGTGAAACAGATAGTCAGCAGCTGCTTAAAGTTTCAGATTTAGCCAGTGATTCTGAGCTTTTTGAAGATGATCCAAGTGCATACGCCGGCCCTACTCCGGCTCGTGATGCCGCAGTGCGACACATTAATAATTGCAAAAAGAGCACGTCGTTTTTGTGAAGAACATGACACTGTTGTACCAGCTTCAAGTAAATGCAATGCAATACAGCTGGGACATAAAAAGACACGTTCTACATCGTTTTCGCTCCGACGGCAAAATGAGTACTAAAATCTTCGGATGTGCGGTATTACTTCATATTATAATAGTTAATAACTTAATACTGCCCATATCGACCGACCTGTGTGCGATAACGCCGATAAGCATGCAGTATGAAAATAACAATTATATTTCCTACCAAAAACGATTATCCGTCAGTCAGAAAATCGATACGTCGTCGATATCCATGCCGTATACTTCGTGGATATCGAGGTTTGTATGTTCGAAACATATTTCGAAGTATGTATTTTTGAAAATACTTCGTAGTATGTTTTCAAAAATATAATATCGAAATTTGCTACTGCGTCGATAGCCTAAGTTTTGCCCGAGAAACTGCAGATCTACAGTCGTGCACCGTTAAAATTTTAATTTATGGTTAGTAGGATAATAATTTTATTTGAGCAAGATCATCAGCAATCTTGGAAGCTTGCAAATGAATGTGGGAAACGGAAAACCATGTGCAGTTGTCTGTGCAAGCTGAACTCCAAAATCAACCCGGCAATGTCAATGTATCAAGGAATTTTTGCCTAAGTTGAAAGTCATAGCATAGAATAAAATAATACATTAAACGTTTGTAATTTGCACAAAACGTCGTAGCGCATAGATTTAGTCGAATCAAGTTGGCTTTGGTAGCTGTTGGTCAGAGTTAGTTTATGCGCATTAATCCAACATGAACATATTCAAGGTTAAATGTATAATAAAAACATTAAAGTTGATCGCCGGCCAACATGAACTTTAGAGGGTCACGATCGAGGGGCTGCGTCAGCTCACATTATTATAGATTTATGCAGAAAATATTTCACTAGAGTATTAATATTGCTGCAAATGACAAACGTCACTGACAGAATGGCAAAATAGGGAAACTTGCTTTCGGAATGCCCTTTGTACTGTATACAATGTCATTATGTCGTAGTTGTACTGGTACCAAAGTCTTTTCTGCATTAGAAACCTGGATCGGAGAAACCGAGCTGTTGAATTTTGGCGGGACAAAGAGAGAAAATGCAAGATCATAGTACCGTGGAAGGTCTATCATATCTGCATGGACTGTACAACTATACAGATGCATAATTAAAGTGTGCTTATGTGTTAATATACATACTTCTATACAATATAATTATCTGTTATCTACAGATCTACTCTAGTTACAGTCAAGTATTTAACAATTGCGCTTCATAGGTGCTGTCACGGCTATGGCAAGTCGCGGATTTCGGTGCACCATTCAAACACAATGCCAAAGTCATGTGCCAGGGTGGCATCCGTTTTCGGAAACCTTGACCATGTACGGGTTGTCATAATCCCATCATGAACGCCTAACTAGTTATCGTTGGCTAATTCCCAAAAGTCCACCAGTCCTTGGACGCTGGAGATAGTATTTATTTTACTGAAACCTTTATCGGTGATAATGGAACCAGCGAACACAAGAAAAATCTTCTCCGGCACGACTACATTGGGAAATAATAATCTTTCTTTTCCGGTTCGCATCGCGCTTGACGATGCCATACATGATGGGATCATAGACAACCTGATCAAGGAACAGCAAAATGGCGGGATAGATGATTCGTTTTATGTGCTCGAGCTAGATGCCATACTGCGGCTATGTTGCCTCTGGCGTGAAACCCTACCAAGAGTAGAACCGTTCTACGGTAATGTTTTTGGAAAACCGTTGCTTATTAAATTTTGTGTAATGCATGTATATACACTATTTCACCATATAAACTATTATAACCATACTCGTACGTAGCGCATCGTATTCTTTATATAATTATAGCAGAGCCTTGTTTGGTATTGCTGCACACGCGGCCGGAAGATAGGATTTTTATTGAAAAATATTGGACTGAACCAAATGTAATTCAGCATTTCATGATAATCGATTCCGCTGATTACCAAGGTTTCATTCTACTGGGTATTTTGTTTAGCCGTAAAGGTCAACCATGACCCAGCAATTTTATACACTTTGGCATCTCTTGGAGTGGGATTTGATTGTGCCAGTAAAGACGAAATTCAGCGCGTTCTAGAAATTGGAGACGTTAATCCAAACCGGATTATTTATGCACATCCCTGCAAACAGATAACGCACCTGCAGTACGCAGTGCAGAATGGGATTTCACTGGCCACGTTCGACAACGAAGACGAATTACACAAAATCAGACAAGCCGATCCCACCATGCAGTTACTGCTGAGAATTCAAGCCGACGATCCCCTTGCTGATTGGAAAATGGGAATTAAATTTGGTGCAACTCTGGAAGAGGGAAAGAGATTGTTGTCTGTCGCTGCGAAAATGGAACTAAACGTTCTTGGAATTAGTTTCCATGTCGGGAGCGGATGCCGGACAACAGAAGCTTTCAGCGATGCAATAGCCGACGCAAAGACTCTCTTTGATTATACACGGATCACCTTTGGCTACTGTATGAAAATTTTGGATATTGGCGGTGGATTTCCGGGAAGTTCTGAACTGCAGAAAACTTTCAAAAAGGTAACTTAGGATTTATGGCATTTTATGCACAAATCACTTATATATGTACATGCTGCCATAATGCACGCAGACACTAGCGAAAAATGATTTGCAGTTCGGGAATATTGTGAATAACTCACTGGAAGAATATTTTCCCACTTCTTCGGGCGTCCGCATAATTGCTGAACCTGGGCGTTTTTTTGCAATGGCGCCATACACACTTTGCTGCAGTATTATTGCTAGAAGAGTCCTTCCTGACAAGGTAACTACACACACGCACACACGTTATTTTGTTTAATACCAAGGTTGATGCTAGTAAAGAAAAATTCTTTTTTGAGCAAAATTCTGCACTGCTGTGGGAGTATATTACCGATTTACAGAAGTTCTACGCCCATATGCAGGATATAACTGGTAGGATATAACTGTAAATCAGCTTACCAAACCTTAACCCATTTTGGTTGTTTGCTTAAATTTTGACTGTCGTGTAATGTGCCCACGCTTGCAACTACAGTACGTTATGTCATGAATGAGTCGAATCATATAAGTTCCAGTGCATACTGTTTAGACATCCCGGCCCATGTATTATATCAGCGATGGGAAATACGGATCTCTGATGTATTATCCTCTGGAAGGAAAGGGCAGCTTCAGATTAGTTCGTAGATCCAGAACCATATTATTATCGGAGAGCGATGCGAGCTCGGCCTCTGCTTCCTTGTGGGGTCCCACTTGCTGTGGTACTGACTGCATCATGCCCGAAATACCTTTGCCGGAAATGGCTATTGGAGACTGGATTGTCTTCTACGAAATGGGAGCGTATTCCTACACCAACGCAACAACTTTTAATGGATTTCCTAAGCCGCGTACCGTTTATGTGGCACGATCACGATATCTGTCAGAAGCACATGTAAAACGACCCTCAAGTTATACTTAATTTAAGGTCATGATCATAATAAATTATACAAGAAACAGCTGCGGCTTCGCCTCTGCGTTTCTTGTGATCCAACGTGGGGAGGCCGCGCGTAATATTGATCTTTTTCTTAATAATATTAGAGACTCTATTAAGGCTCTTTAACTTTTCATGACATGCTATATAGCACGACTTACAATTATTCTATTGTATTCAGCAACTAACTACCAAGTGCTTTCTTCACGCTACTGCCATCAGCGCTTTATTCATTTTATTGTGCAAATAGAAATAAAGTGAATTCCGGAAACTAAAACATCGAAAACCTAGAACGAAAAAACAAGCGACGAAAACAGCTCAACGGAACAGAGGGTGTCAATCTGCACAAATAACAAAGTGAAGTCAAACAAAAGATTCAACAACGGAGACACACAAGCGTAACTTACAATAGTTGATTTTGGCTGTCAAGTGCTGATAAAAACAGAGCAAGCATAAGTATTTCTACACAGGGATCAGGTTTACTCCATATCGGGCCTATTTTTCTACCAAGAATGCAATAGACAGAGTCAAATAAAAACAATGTATCATTCCCAGTTTTGTAATGATCACGATAGTATCGAATCGGAGAACATGTATCCCTGCGGGAGTATTCTTCCGGCAACACCATACAGAAACTTAGCAAAAGGATGCACACCATCTTTCTCTCTAACTGCAGACGAAGGTTTTGGCAATCCAAAGGCATTTACCCACCATCGCAGCGGAGCAAAAGCAGCATGTGCCAGTCCAGCATCCTGGATGGATGCGTAACACGACGCTGCCAATCCATTAACCACAATTGTCCCTTCCACCGTTAAGGGAGCAACGCTTCCGGTCAGAATTTTTTCCGTAATTGAGGTAATCCTCTGCTCACCCAGATCCGACATGTTAGCAAGCGTACTGTTTTGATCCAATTCAGTGCTGAGCAATATATCGCCCACGGAAAGATCATCGGCATAATGGGAAGAAATGTCTCCCGTTTGCGGATTTTTTGACATAATTAGATGAGAAGGGGTCACCAGGATGGTTTGACCGTTGGCCACGGTCACACGGTAGAAAAGATTTCGGGAAGAGAAATCCCGATCCAGCCAGGCAATTACTTGACTATAAACCAACTCGCCATCCCCGTCAGTGGATAAAACGTAATCTCCAATGCGAAGATTACGAATAGCAATCGTTTCGGGATTCGGCTGATTAAATGTTTTCTTCCGTACCACTTTACTTGAATTCGCGTGGAAACAACCTTTTAATTTGGTCATGAGTTCGTAGGCGTGGTATTCTGCAAGAGAAACCGGCATCGTAAACCATGCATTCCCAAGCCGGTTTAGTTTATTCGAATATGACAAGCGGGTTATAAACAGATTCGCGAGTTGTTAACTAGGCTATTTTACGATCTCTGTCGAATGGCATACCTGAGCGGCAAGAGCAATGAACGTGCGCTAGAGATTCGTAATGCACCCAATTGAATCCAGATTGCACCGCTAATCGCGCCAGCATTCCATATTTTGTCCTATCTCTATCACTGGTCCGGATGTCCACCGCTCGGCCTTCGTAGTGCAAAGTGTCCTTAGATGTTACTGGATGCCATGCTTCAACAGCGCTCTGTCGTCGATTATTAAGGGAGTGGAAAGCCACGCCCGCCTTTTTCGGCGGTCCTTTACGGTTTTTTAAATGACGCTTGTAGCGGGCGGCATTCATCGAGGTCCAGTCAACATATTCCATGTGTCCAGCCGTGACCATTAGTTTAACGCCCGGCCACCGATTCTGCACCATGATGGATAGGATTTCCAGTTTTTCTTTGCAAGTCTGTAAGGAAAATAAACAGAATAACGATAAGAATGTGATACTTACTAGATAACATTCCAAATAAAGATAGCGACATGCATCTCATTTCAAGCGAGCGCAGGCGACCTCAAGAGAACCGAGAATTAATGCTTTGACACGTTCGGAACGGCGCAAAGAACTGGTGTTAATTGCACAGGCATTTATGAGTCAATCGGGATACGGTCGTTAAAAGCGACCTGCGTGCACTAGCCTGATTGTAAAAGCTTAACTAATAAGGCTGAAGCTTCGGCTTGGTCGGGCAGACAGCTTCACGCCTGTCTGCTTTCCGAATAACAGGATGAGGAGAAGCGCGAAAGCAGTCGGGGTGAAATCGATCTTATTCCATATTTACACAACTTATTTCTCATCAAGCGAACATAAAGATCTAATTGATCTACGAATTCCGCCGCTGACTCGACGGACTTCTCCGATAGTTTTCGTCTACGTACACGTGCACTGTTGTACTGCAGTTATCAAGCAGAAATCAAGCTGAGAACGGTACATGAAACGCACTTTATAAAATGAAACGCACATGAAACGGTACATGAAACGCACTTTTTTACGCACACGGCGCGTGTGAACCAAAGAAATTTCATAAAGGTCACTCCTTTTGACCGCAATTTTCGTTCAACAGCGGAACAACAGAACAAAATTTTTATATTTACTTGTTTCTGTTACTGTTTAAATTTCTGTTTTTTTAGATAAGTAATTCATAAACACGGAAATATGTTATTTAATAACATATTTCCGTGTTTATGAATTACTTATCTAAAAAGTCACTCGGATGAAAATTTACAGACGTTGTATGTATAATATGATAAACTCTTCGAACCAAAAGATTTGACAATAGCTAATAATAAATATGTGTATTTGCAATCGTCGGTGAGCATTTAAACAGTAACAGAAACAAGTAAATATAAAAATTTTGTTCTGTTGTTCCGCTGTTGAACGAAAATTGCGGTCAAAAGGAGTGACCTTTATGAAATTTCTTTGGTTCACACGCGCCGTGTAAATTCTATGATACATGTAGTACTCTCTACGGCAGTAGCCTGTAACTTCTTTAACACACTAATTACATAAAAATTTTGATTAATCGGAGTCTATTCTGTAAATGTATAAAAGGTATTCAAGCATCTCCATCGTGAAATCTAGCCGCAGTGTGAATACAAATGGAGCATAGCAGCTGCGGTTGGTCATTGCAAGAGAGATGATACCACCCGACTGGACTGTTTACTCGATTTCGGCATGTTTGTTTTGTCGCTCTATACGAGATTATCTCAGACTTTTGTCCAGGCGATAAATACTATTCCAACAATTGTTCGCTTTTACATCCATAAGAAAACAGATGTCCTTCTATTCAGTCCACTGCTCCCTGGCTTGTGCGAAAAAGCCCCGCTCAGTTTTGTTTCCGCAACAAGAGGCTGATTTACCCATCCTTGTCCGCGCAACGAAACACAGAACAAAACATCGCGAAAAGGGATTACTACAGCAGCCACACTCGAAGTGAAATCTTTGGAAAAAAACAAACACACGAGGATTAACCTGGTTTCTCATTGCACAAGCAAACATCCTTGTACTGGTACAGCGTTCAGATCACATCAAATTCAGCAAACATCATCCAGGACTTTCTTCTGTTAATTAAAAGATATTCTGACACGCATTTTGCCCGTATAGCTCTCTTAGTATATCACGAAAGTTTATGCGGCGTCACTGTGTCACTAACAATCATTTACTGTTGGTAAATGCCTACTAAATGGTAACAAACCAACATAAACAAACAGCGGTCATTTGTTTACAGCATAGTTAATTAATCCCAAAATTTAAAAAAGCCGCTGATTTTGTAACATCTTTCAAAACAAGTAAATCAAATTTTCGAATTATTTGAGCACCAAAGGCCCGAATACATATTGTATGCAACAATGTTTGTTAGATAATTCACACAACACTTGTATTGTACAGAATCTGTACATCATCCATTCAGAAAAAAGCTGTGCCTAGTTATCCAAGCTTTTTCATTCCTTGTTACGTGCCGAACTGAAAGTTACGACTCAAGTTCAGCGAATTTCTACATTTTAGATTATATACTTACACGGTTTCGAAAGTCAAGAACGATAAATCGGTCTCATATAGAAGCGTACACAAGGTGATTAGGGTTACCCTATTCACCTTGGCATACAAAACATAAATTAAAGAAAAATGACAGATTCTCAAGCCTGGCTTTTCCACAGATTAATTGGAAGGAAGAAGCCGTAATAGGCATACTTCACATCATAAACAGTGTTCAAAATTTTTAGATAAATTTTTTTTAATTTTTTAAAATGGACTTACCCTTGTCATAAAACGATCGGTCGAACTGCTGAACCGATCTCTACGGAATAGTATATCCGGATGAGTAACGCGAACGAGCTCTTCTCTGAAGTGTTGAGACTTCCTTGCTATTCTTCCGCGCGCGGGTCCGCTGGCCTTCCATGCTGTTTCCGCGAAGGGCGGCTCGTACTGTCCTTTGACAAACGGTGGCCAGTGCTGAGAATGCTGGAACTTTTTCGGTACTCTTCGGCGTTTCAGTTCCGTTTTTCCTGGGCCACAGCTTTCACTACACATGACTAACAGCAACGTTAAGACAAAATAATATAGGATTCTGATCATTCTTGTCCGACGGAACTCTCGAAAAGGCCATAACAGCGTGACTAGATGAAGGAATCTCTGGGAATGGGTTATCATTTCACACAGCCTGGCTGACCACTACGCCATACTGCCAACGATTAACGGTGATTTCGCGATGAGGCTATTGCAGTTGCGTTTACAATGAAGCTTCGTTCCAAAAAAAATTAAGTAATTCATGCAAATTACGAAACCATAGTCCGTAATACATCAGGAAATAAACCCAACAGTAGCAGTTACTTATTGATTCAAAGTGTGTTTGGATCTGCGGTAGTCGTAGTTAACGAGGAAATGTTCACACTTCGGAAAGACCGATTTATTGTCAGATTGAGAAACAGCCGTCACACACGCTCTGGCCTGTGCACCCTACTGTAGAAGTTAGTCAAACCCGCCATGGATTGGGTGATGGCGAAAACAGCCGACGGAGTAGCCAATGACCGTTCACAGATTCAGTCCTGTGCTGCAAAGATATGGACGAGTTCCCGTTCTCCTGTTTATGTACTTACTTATCGTTAGAATATTATGTAAGGCTGTTGCCTTCTTACTTTAACTTCTTACAGTAAGTACATACACATACCGGTACTTGTAGTTTTTTTTAAAGAATTTAGGCTCGGTATATTCTTATGTGAAAACACAATTACATTAATTACATGTAGATTTTTTTATGCTTGGTTTATGCTTATAATTGGTAGTTCTACCACGGTATAAAAGAGATAAATCTCTGGTAGCGAATGATGCTGAACTTAGCATGTACAAAAATTCAGTACTTTTCGGCATGTTTTCGTCAAAGGCATCAAGTTGTAATTAAGGGCGTAAACGTGTGGCACGGCCTACAGCCTCAACCGTTTGGAATTTTTTAAAACGGATTGCACATTCTCTTGTTAGTTTTTTATGCTCTCCATGCTCGTTATCGGTTTGATACAAAATTATGATTTTTGCATAACTCGAATTATGAATATGAGTGAGCCTTATATAAATCGTAGCAGCAGTCGGAGTGAGTGCGGTTGTTGGGCGCAGACAGACTGTCGCTAGCGCTCTGCCTGCCTGGCCTCTACGTATACATGCCCGATTCAAACCACATTTCTACTACTTTACTCGACTCAGATGTTTTTTGGAATTTCAAAAAACAAATTGCAGATTCAGAATCAGCGTAAAATTTTGCTATGGCTTTCTGTCTGTAAAAAGTTTGTAGCCCTTATGGATCGTCAGAAAATCACTGCCACACGTTTTCAACTTGATGGCCGTTTCGCCCATTGTATTTCTTTTGTCTTTCAAGAAATGTTAATGAGGTGTGACGGCAAAAAAAGTACTGAATTTTCCTACAATGTCTTTCGCTACCAGAGATTTATCTCTTTTATACCGTGGTTCTACTATGCCATGGTTGTACTGTCAATATGGTTTGTGTACAGTGTACCTGCACATAACGTAAGCTTGAATATACGCTCATATTACGGTTTTATGCGTTTGATCGAATGGAAGAAAGGAAAAATGGAAGGAATTTTGATCTTTACACTATTTAACAATTAGCGTAATGCTTGCTCATTGCATTTAGCAAAAATCTAATTTTAAAATCTGCACCACCGATATTAGACACCCGATTTCGCGCTACAATTTCAACCGTGTCAAAGATCGGCAGATAGTGCAGCATCAAGCGCGTGTCCACCACCCACATATAAACGATGAGGCGCGCTCGAGGGGTGGGTAATTTGTTCGAACTCCTGTTGAGCCGAGCTTAAATTTTGACAGTAGACTCTGTTCTTAGCCGACAATAAAAATTTATTAATCTCATTTGATGATACGTTTGTATTGCGCCAAAAGATTTTTCATTTCGATATTAGCTATTTGGTTGAGAGACAAGCCGGCTTTTGGTCAGTTATTCTGTCATAGACAACTCTCTATCAGCAGCTGCAGCCTACTTGAAAAGTCCTCAATAATAATAATTCGGCATTCTTGACGACATGCGTATGAGCCATTGAGCTCTTATGTAAAGAGAGTTTTGTCCAAATCCATCTGCCTGGCCCATAACTGCTATTATTACGATGAGGTATGGATTTAATAAGGTTACTTACGGCGGGAGTTTTCATTTATTAACCGTCAAATTTATGGTAATGCCGTCTGAGCGGATCCGTCCACTGCACAAGCGTGAAGGAAATACAATAAAGGACAGGAAAGGTCTGCACGATAACAATGCTTTCAAAGAGGAGAAATTAGCTGTGATATTCTATTTTAATCAACCAAATTCCCTAGTATAGAAGAAGACAATCACGTTATAATGCAATCTATTTTACCTTCTTGCCTAATTACATCCCAGGGAGGCTGCAGGAGTGCAGATCGCACGGTAACTGCGAAATTCACAGAAGTGTTCGAGAGATAACCCATTAGCACAATCCATCTCGACGCTGGTAGCGCAAGGGCTTATGTACTCGTATAATCGTATTGTAGAACAAGTACAGTAATATACGAGTAATCCACATCTGCAAAGAAACTACTCGTCGTAGTAATTGTTTCTGTGACATTAGTGCTAACTGCTCGACATTACAGTACTATTGGTGCGACATTTTCATCACTTTCCTGCAAGCATCCATGCTGTCGTTTGCGAAAATTATTAATTAAAAGCTTAATGAATAAGGGTCTTAAATGCAGGAAATGCAGAATATTATTGACTTCTACTTTACTTATAATTTATTTTGAACTTGCATTGCACGTACAACCTTTATTTATAGTGCAGCTGGACTTGACCGCTTATGGTACTAGAAAACACTGCCCTTTCGCATTGTTTGGACAATCGGAGAGTTTTAATAATTAAAATTAAAACTTTTAATTGCCCGAACGAAGTTATGTTAATATACAGCTTTATTGATTACAAAAAAGACAGTGCAAAGTTTTTATGTGCCCATAAGTCAGTTGTTTGTTGAGCTGCAACATTAAACGTACTAGAATCGATTCAGAACGGTGTCGAAATAGCTCTACGCGTGTGTTCATTTCACATTTGAACTTGAATTGTTGGTGTACAAACAAGCTAGATTAGGCTTTTTTTGCTAACTGCATCCTATAATAATACTATTATTTACGCGAAAGGTTACCGCACAAGATAAAGATCTGCTACGCAGCATGAAATTTTCAAGGATCGGATTACCAAGCATAGCTGGTGGGCAAAATTTGCAGCATGCCATGAAAAGAGAATATCGCCATTTACGAGTACGTATATAGCCGAATTTAAGTGGATGCTGCACTGACCACAAGATTCGATCTACTCTAAGCTTGAAAATTTTTGTTGTCTCTGTGAAGCAGTAAATTGTAAGTTCATGTTTCGTGTTTCTAGTATATAATTGATTTTCATCTAATTAAAATACGCTTCTTCTAATCCTTGCGCTTATTTATAATAGTGTCTGAATTATTTGCTTCCTGTATTTCACGATTTGCAATATTTCCATTAACGTGTGTTTTAGTGGCGATGTATATATTCGGCTTGAACGGCTTCTGAAGATGTCCTGGAGTCGGTGTCGGCCGGCTTTGAACAATCGAATGACTGGATGTCTAAACACAACAGTATTTGAAATAGCTTGTTACTATCCTTTTAATGAGGTAATTTATCTGGACAGCCCCAAGGTCAGCATAAACAGGTACGAAACTGCATGGCATTGAAATATGATACACTGCATAATTTACGGTCACGACGAATTCCGATTTCCAACTGAACCGGCCGCAGTCTACTATACACAACCCACAGGATCATTGTTAGAAGGTAACATTGTACGGTAGAAATGTTATAATATTTATATGATCAGAATATACAGTATTTACCGCTGTAATTAATTAATTGCTGATTATTCCAAATTCAAATGCTATTATAATTTACAAACCTGACTACTTGATGGAAGTAATACATAACAAAATAATATGCACGAAATCGCTACATTCAGTACGAATTTACCCAACAGAGGCCCGGCGCTACCTTTTTTTGCAAATTAAACGTACCTCTACTTGTACAAGTAGAACCCCAGCGTCAACTTTAATAATTCATTAACTGTTAATAAGGAATGAAAGGGATTTAGCAGCGAATGGGATTCAGCGCTAAGAAACCGCTTACTAATTAGCTAATTACTAATTTTAAATTTATCCTGAAATCTCACTCAACCATCAATCAGTCCAGCAGCCGCCTATAACTTTAACGATGGGAGTACATAATACTAAATGTAGCAAAAATATATAGATATGTAGCAAAAATGTAAAGTTTGAGTGCAAAGTACAGTACTAGTACCCTTTTTTGGCCAGGGGCTTCAACCGCCTGCGATGGCTGTTACAGTGCCAGGCTAGCCGTAGCGAACTGGCAACTGCGAATCAAGTTCAGTCGTAAATTTTTGAATACCCATTTGTCAAATTCACACTCGTAGCACGGGTTCCGTAGGCATGCAGCACTTTTTAACAGTTACAATAGCTGTTTCGGAATAAAAACACTTCCTGAAAATAGTTTTTGTCTGGATGGAATAATATTTTACGCGGGCTTTAAAGATGTTCACACCTACCAAGTCTGTTACCCGCTCGTTCCGTGCGGAAACACGGAGTCGTGCCAAAGATGATCTGAAAAAAATTCGCATGGCCATTGACCGTGTGCGAAAATGGTGCGTGATTTCGCTTCTCGAGGGTTTTTGTTATCAACGTTGTTTAGAAATGCAGTGACGTTTTCAGGGAGAAGAAATGGGTGACAATAAAGGATACAACGCTGCGCGTTTACAAATGGGTTCCCATAGTTGGTACGGCTTACAAGTTACGATTGATGTTTTCATGGTTTTGTTGTTTTACGGAGGCTTGTACTTATAACTTATTATCTTCTACTTTCTAGTAATGATAATAATCGCTTAATAGTAATATATTTAACTTATAACCTTGTTCCTTATTAATCATTAGTGCAAAATGATTCGCGCCCTACAGATCTACGTGCATGGTTGGTGACTTGGCGTTAAATGTGCGCTGGTAAAATATGAATTATGTTTTTAGATCAGCCTAGTGCAGCAAAGGATAACCATACTTTGCGGAATGACGCTGGATCGGTATCATTTGCTACAGACGGTCAGCCTGTGAGTAATGGCGAAGAGCCAGGAGCGAGCGAAGCTTCTCAAACTCTTAAGGATCTCCCAGGTTCTATCGGCGTTGCAAGTGAACTCACATCCGAAGGTAAAGCCATGAATTAAAAAAAACTATACTAGTTCATTGTGAGTAAAAGAAATGGTTTCGAATTGACTATAAATTGACTACTTTTTCGCTTAGAAGCATAGATGGCTCTTATAAGCAGTTAGGTCCGAGTTGATTGTAAAAGTGCTTTACTGCCTTTTAAATTTAAGCTTTTTTGTATTTATATCACTTACATGCCTTGCCGTAGTTGTTGTAAGTTGCATACAGAGTAAGTAAATTATTCTTAATTATTATTGCAATAATTACTTAATTTTTTGCACCGTTCTCCTTGCTGCTGTTATATATACTTCTAGTCCTCCTAACGTGAAATTTGTACGTGCTGTCATAACAGATTATGCAGTAAAAATTAATATGCTAAATACTGTAAATTCGTTGCTCATTGCAAGGAGCATTGGTTTACGTTTTGTTAAGCATTGGTTTACGTTTTGTGAGCACTCGTATTTGCAGTTTGCATTATCGCTAGTTAGCGTTTTAAGACGAAAACGTTTTCAGTTTTCAAAAACTTCAGTTTAGTGCGTAGTAGACCTTGTAATTCAGATTGAATGAGTTTGATTTTTTTATATTTAGCCGAAGCCAATGGCATTGCCCAGCCTGTACAGACAGAATCGCTTGACATTTTTCCAGTAATGTCTTCTGATGCGGACGCGCCGGAAATTCAGTCCCTAACATCCCACGGTAAGAAAACTAACAGAACCGTCGATGCAGAAGATAGTGCTAATGTGTAAGAGAATTTAAAAATAACTTACAAGTTAGCGGTGGTCAGTTCATGAGCTGGCTGGCGGTTCGGGATTCGTACTGACCATTGCAAATTGGTTATGTGATTTATTTCGGAATGGGATTTTCGCTATCTTATATTGATTTGATTTGATTTATTTTCGAGCAGAAACCCTTAAACGGGCTCTCTTACATATCCTTATCCGTTGAAGAGCTTCGAATATGCTAGGCTAGTCAAGTCATCACAATTCGTTAAACACCAGTAATACGTGCTGGAGACATTAAAACTGAGTGCCGGCTCGTGTCAGATGACAGACTGTTGCTTTAGGATCCAGTGGATGGAATCAAAGGCGAACTTCCGGCGAGATTGATGAAATGCCTGCTAAAAGAGCAAAACTTGACATGGGAAACGAGAGCGATAAAGGTCCGGTGTGAGCTGTGCTGTACCTCCAAGTCTGTTACGATCCGTCTTGGTTCTCTATTGGGACGAAATGCTGTATGCCAGATCTCCGAAGTCATAACCGTACCGCTGTTTTTGTATCGGCATACATCAGCCGTTTGGTGACGGGTTGTATGCCGTTTACTTTGTGGTAAAGTGTTTAATCTTCGAATTTTCGTTTTTTACCTCTTTACATTGCTTTTTGATATGTGGTTTTACTTTTTACACACTACTGTAGAATTGAGCTTGCGATTTTAATCTTCGTGCTTTGCATTCGTAGAATTTTGTATGTGCACGTTCTTTTTCCTTTGCAGTTGCACTTTAAAATTTTTCAACTGCTTGCTGTAAAAAATCCAGTCTGCGGTTTGCAGGATTATGTTACGGTCAGTACTCTGTTCTGCTTTGCAGGCTACGCGTACAGTAATGCAGTTATATGGCTTATATGTAGTTACTAGAGGCTTTGAGCAGAAAACACCATAACCATACCTTAACCATACCTTATCGTGTAGTTGGACGACCGCCATCGAGGTAGCAGTGTACAAAGTACTCAGCGAAGGCGCATAGTTGACTCTGGGTCCCTTCAGATTTAATTTGTTTTCTCGCACTGCGTGAAACGAACTCTTTCCAAAAAATTACATTTACATTCAAAAATGTTTTCTCTATTCAAAAAGTGTATATCTGGGGAAGTTAAATTGGGCAGGTGTTAAGGAGAGCCTTTGAAAGTCCATCACCATACGACGCGTTTGTATGGTATTCACACTTACCATACGCTCGCACTTAACCATATAGTATGGTTAAATGTATGGCTATGGTTAAGTGGAGCAGTTGCTCAAAGTAACTGTAATAGTAATACAGTTATGTGGCGTACAGTTATGCGGCTTATAAGTACTTGTAAGCCGCATAACGATGTCATCTTAAAATATACTTATTATTATAACTTGCGCCCAGCTTGTCCTTTCATTCTCACTCTAAACTAAACGATTTAGATAGAAACGTATGCGGTTGTTGATACGTCGTTGAGGTCATTCTTCAGTTCATCAGATTGCTAGGCAGGTTCTGCGCTTTTGGTGTCACCGGAAGCGCTAATTAAACATTAAGGAACTAGCCTTGTGAGTTCCATACGAAAAAGTTGCAGTATCCAGTTAGTACAACACATACCAACTATGCCTGTGCACAATTGTGTAACGATGGGAACTGTCCGGCAACTCTTGTACGAAGCTGAAGTGCTAAAAGACATAGCACCTCTATCTAAGAAAAGGTAAACTTGCACAAAGTAAGCGCGGTGTTTGATCTGAAATAAACATTCTATAGAAGATATGATTGGTTGGAATATCATTAAATCTAAAACGCTCAGGATTTCGATTTTTATGCGTAAACATCAATAAGTATTCACCCAATCTTTATACTGTAGCTAATATTTTTGTAGGTGACCTTCTCGCTCAAAATTAACAGAAGTAACCGAATCCATGCCTGCGATGAACACCACACTCAGTGTTTCTCCCCACCAATCAACGATACAAAATCTTCGAGATCTGAATTATTTTGGCTCTGATTCTTTCAAACACTGGAAATCTGGATATAAAAAGGATTTCCGTTTATACCAGGAAAATGAATTAGAATCAACGGGACTAAACGGGCTGCGGAAGGCAGCCGAGGTTATAATCAGAGAGCCGAACGGCCCAGCCAGCACTACAGAAAGTCGAACAGCCTTTGTAGATCAAGCGCCTTCCGTCCGTGACAGAAACACTGTCTCGCATTCCAAGAGCGTAGAATCGAACCCAAAAGTCTTCCACGAAGACACTCGCCTTGTAGATTTTGAAACAACATCCACCCAGGCTTTTCCGGCATTGGAAATTCATCCGCGAAAGCCGGTAGATAAAATCGCCATGCTCGAACAAATAAAAAGCTTTTCTCTCGCTGACAGACCAGTGGAAAAGCTAACAGCGAAAAACGTCATGGAATTTCCTAATTATACTCATGTCAGTGCAGGAAAGACCCGATTTATAAATCTTCCGCGATGTAATTCCGCGATTTAATTACTTACTGTACTAGGTAGTTACTTGTAGTAGTTACTAATTATTAGAAGCTTTGGGTAGACTCTCCGCCTAACTATAAACATACGCTTAACGGTCTTAACCATATTGTTAACTGCTTTATGGTCGTTGTGTAATAAGTTTAATTGTACGGTGCATTTTACTCTGGTTCATTTAAACTTTGTTATTACTGTTTGATGTTTTGTTTTATGTGGTGCCTAGAATTTTAATCATAGTTATTGCAGGCGGCATTGAAAATGTCTTCAAAGAGCAACCGAAATCAAAATTCAATGCTACGACCACGGTTACCGATACGTACCCCGTTTATAGTGCCCAAGATTATTCAGATGCTAAAGGAGCTGCGGCAGTACCAAACTTCACAGTACGTACTGAATTACACAGATGGAACAGTTTTGTCTGAATTACTGTACATCGCTGTCCAACTTCTGTGTACAAGGAGAACGGATTTTTGCAGCCGAAGTCCGCTTTGCTTCCACTAACTAACGAGTCTACCGGAAATACTCGGTCCCGAGCTGACCATCGTCCATTTTCCCTTAGTCAAATGCTGTTGGCCAAAAGCGATCCAGTGAAGCAGCAGCATCGTGATTTGGCCGAGCTGTATCACATGGACGAGCGTCTGACAGATCACACTGTAACCAGCCATGCGGAACACGTTTGTTATCCTGGAAATGTGCAAATGATGGATAAAAACGGCAAAATGGACTATAAACATAAATATGGCGATATTGTTGGACAGGATTTGAAGATTGAAGAAAAATTCTTGCCGAAACATTTGCACCAACAGTCAATGACCATCGACAGTTTTCCCAGGGTAAAATAATTATTGCAGTTGCTGTTGCAAACATACATATGTTCATACTCACACTGAAATCACAACTGAAATCACAATCTTAATTTCAAATTACCCTGGGAATTAAACAGCTGATAGTGATGTGCGATTTTGCAGTGGAGTCATGAACACTATCGGCGACCAAAACGAAATTTTGGTTCATTCGTTAGCGCGCTTCCTCCAGGGCTGGAAAATGACCCAGCCGTGGTCACTACGGAGCACCGCGAATCCATGGTCCCGCACAGCGTGGACCGCACACAGGCGATTCGCCCTCCTCCAAGCCGTATTGTAGACGCGATTCCTTTCGGAGGTAACTAATAAGCATTCCTCCCTTACCATTGTTAATTCGGAAAATGGATCAATATAGTTGGAGCCGGCCAGAACAACTAATTGATTATTCGTTAAAAATTATCAGCATAATTCGTTGATTTACGTAAGTATCTAATTGTAGCTCCTATGATGACAAACGAAACAGTTTTCCAGCAGTCCTACAAGCAGTTGCCGCTGCCGGATCAAAGCAGAATTCACAAGGTCTTTTTTATACTCGTACGAATTTTGGTTACACGGAAGCAGCAGACCGCCGCTTTAGTTTGCAAAGTGTTTTGCGATAACGCCTCAATGAACGAGCGCTTATTACTGTAGAACATGCAGGCAACCAGCATTGTCGAAGCCAAACACGGTCTGGATTACCGAACTACAGCTGGGACATCTTTTGTGCCATTTTCCGCCGACCCACCTCATCCATTCGTTCCAGAAAAGGACAGGAATCCTATTCTGAATGATGGGAGCTCGTGGAGAAAATTATCGCCTTTCTATCCCGAATTACAAGACAACGTGTAATATGTACATAAAATTACGAAGATTGATGTCGACATGACGTGGCTGATTGCCTCATGTTCCCGGTCTTCCCATGACATCTGTATAGCGGCAGCGACATTTCGCACGTGTTTCAGGTTTCAGAAATTGATAATTCAGGTTAACACGGTTTACGAACACCATAATTATCGTGTCAGGGGCGCCAGTTTTATGGTCGGTCACTCACGACTTCTTTGTTATAGTTTTTCCAACATTCTCGTGTGGAAGTACAAAATTACTCGTACGTGTGCAGAGAATGCACTGCACAGTGCACACAAAGCGACGGTATACAATTTCACAAAAATACGCTCTTGGCCTCTTACAAAACGCAGGAAAGTGGCAATTGTTTAACAAAATTTGTAAACTATGGGTAGATAGTTTTCGTGGCCTAATTGTATTTAACACAGACAACAACATTGTTATACTAACAATTAACAGCCGACAATAGTGATAGTGACCGGCGCGGTTCCTCGGTTACCGAAAGGATCGGTAGCGGTGGCCGCAAGAGAAAACGTTCCACCGCCTCGAACTGCAGTAATGGTACGGATTTCTCCCGAACTGGAATCAATATAAAACTGGTTGCTCGTACTTAATCCGTAGTCCATCGAATCCTGTCGTGAATTTGTCGCCTAAAAGTGAGTAAAATTATATTTGTGCACGGTCTGCAGCAGTGATGCAATTAACTCTTTCTAGCGCTCCAAGTTGACGTACCCGGACAACGCAAACGCGGGCCGAATCCGTCGAACAGGAGGCGGAACACTGATAACTAGACTGATTGAACACTGGTCCTCCACCAATGGCCACCGCGTTATTGAGGGGATTAGCGTTGACGGTATTTGTTCCGATCACTCCCGTGTTCGAAATTGTATTAACACCGGGGCTGGAAATTGTATTGACGCCGGTATTCGACGTCAATATGGGCGCACCCGAACAACTGGCGGTGACCGTGGCGGTGGTCGTCGCGGTCTGGCCACTGGTGCTCAGTGCGTTAATTGTCAAGGGATACGTTCCCGTGGGCGGTACGGAAATTAGGCCAACTTGGCCGGTCCCAGGATTGATGCCAAAGTACTGCGAGCCGGTCAGAGTATAGGAAACTTGGCCACCGCCCGGCACATTTGCTGCGACTGAACCGATAACAGACCCAGCAGTGCACGTGGAAAGTGGGAAACTGTACGATGATTGAGAAAATGTTGGTGCACCACCTGTTAACAATTGTCATTTATGATTTATCTCATTCAAAATTAAAATTGTCTCCTTTAAGGCATTTAGTTTTGTAGTTTAACTACGTAATGTTTTATCAGTTTATCAGCATTGTTCGCTATAGTTATTAGTTATTACCTTGTAATTTCTGGGGTCGTAATAATCAACAGAAAATGCAAAAGCAAAATATATCTGCACAAGCAAAAAATTTTGTAAATTTGTAAATTTTTTGTAAATTTTTTGTACGAGTACATCTGCCCTTAATTCAATCCGCGATGGTATACGGCCGTATACGGCAAACAGCTACTCTAGGCAGGTAAGGTAATTGATGATTTGAATCTAACGATACTACAATGACGTGACTTATTTTTCCAATACGTACGCTCATCACGTAGCTATTACCTGAGCCAGTAATCACCAATTGCTGACCATTGCACGTCGGACTGATAATAACATTAGCAGTTCCGGACTGACCGGATGTTGATATAGCGGATACAGTCAATGTCGATGGCACACCAGGCGACAATTGAGTCGCAGCATTTATAATACCGGAAGAAGGATTGATGATGTATTGTCCGTTATTGCCGCTGTTGATTGTATACGTTACAGTTGTGCCAGCCGGAACATTGGCTGTCACCTGACCAACTTGTGCACCGGGTGTGCATGCGCCGGCGCTGAAGCTGTAGGACGACTGCGAAAACAACCCGCTCGTGCTTCCGGTAATGCCGATAGTTCCGGTACTGGTGCCTGAACAAGTGATGGCAATGTTGACCGGGACAGATGCTGTATAGCCACTGGCCTGCGCGCGGACCGTCAGTTGTTGGGAATATCCCGAAGGCGGTGTGCCGATAAGCGAAATGCTTCCGCTCTGTGGACTTATGGCGAAGTATGGATTGGTCCCGCCATTGGCAGCATCAATGGAGTACACCGGGATACCGTATGGCGACTGGGCCGTAACTGATCCAACCGCCGTGCCCGATGTACACGAGGTGACGGTAAATGAATAAAAGGGCTGGACGAAAGTCGGCACGGTGCCACCGATCCCCAGACCGATGCCCGGGAATATACCGGTGCCGATGCCGGTTCCGGTGCACAGCGTGTTGATGGTAACCAGTGTGCTGGCACTCTGACCGCTGCTGGACACGGCAGTTACCTGTATAGTCTGCACACCGGAAGGGGGAGTGGTTATGGCCGTAATTTGCCCAGTTGTGGGATTCACGCTGAAGTATGGGCTTGTTCCGGTGTACGTAACCAGTCCGGTGGCGGAAGTGGCGACGACTTGACCGATTGGGTACCTAGTATTATTTTGTCAACTTAAAGATTAAGAAACGATTTTTTTGGAAATAAGAAATTAAATTTACCCCGCTGTGCATACTGTGGCGGTGAAAGAATATACAGCCTGCTGGAAGACCGGAGCAGTTCCACTGATGATGCCCGTACTAGTGCAACCGGTGATAGATATTGTTGCGGTAGCTGGGATGCCGCTGGTTGAAATTGCTTGCACCTGGAAAGAAAGTTTTAATTTCGATAAAAAATGACAGCATGCAGCATGTCACAAGGATCCACACCGTGAGTGTTTGGGCGATTCCCGCAGGTGGCACCGCGATGATTGTAATCACTCCGGTAGTGGGATTGACGGAATAATAGGGGTTTGTGGGAAATACTAGATATGTTACCGGAAACGAAGATATGGCTTGAATTTGCCCCACTGTACCACCGACAGTACAAGTAGCCGCTGTAAACGAATAGAACGGTTGCGTAAAAACTGGTGCTCCCGTTCCGATGCCGGTTCCACTGCAGACTGACGAGATCAGCACCATAGCCGTGGCGGTCTGACCGGTGCTGGAGATGGCTTGTACGGTCAGCGTTTGTGTTCCTAGACTGGTCGTGGACAGCGATGTGATCTGTCCTGTGGTTGGATTGATAGTAAACAGACCGTTACCGGTTGGTAGCGTATAGGTCACCGTGCCGCCCGTTGTCGAAAAGGCGCTGACGGCTCCGATTATGGAACCCGGTATGCATGTTGTCTGCGTAAAGGTGTACGACGGTTGGGAGAAGGTCAGCCCGGTGGTTCCCGTCCCGGAGCAGGTGGTGGACACCGTTACGGGGACTGTACCGGTGGTACCAGTGGAGCCGGTTGCTGTGACGGAGAAGGTCTGCGTCCCCGTGGGAGGAATGGCAATAAGCGTGATTAATCCGCTAGTTGGATTGACCGAAAAATAACTGTTTCCACTTGGTATGGTGTACGTGTACGTCACACCGGTCGTTGTCGTGGCCGGCGTTATTGTTCCCACAGTGGCGCCCACGGCACACGTTGATGCCGTAAAGGTATACGAAGTTTGGGAAAATATGCCGGATGCGGACGTTCCGGGCCCGGTCACCGGGAGGATGTTTAAGCGCACGGCAGCCTCGCAGTACTATACATTAGTATACAATTTTGAAAACACTCACCTGATGATTTCACATTTTGTAGTAATGACAAAATTAATGATATTTTTCAGAAAGAATTTAACACTCGTAGCATCGCTTACATTTGCCGGTGTGCCCGTTTCTGAAGCCCGAATTCGGAACTCTAGTGCTGATCGGGTAAATCTCCGGGACAGCTGCAACGCTGTAGTGATGTCACCAGTGGTAGGATTGATCTGAAACGATCTTAATGAGGTATCCGGTATCGACCATGTTAAAGGTATTCCAGCTGTGTCTGTGGCCGATGCCCTTAGTATGAATGTTCCAGGTTGCGCGGTTTCCACAACGGCACCAGTGTAAAGGGGTTGCCCACAAACAACCGGCTGCGATTGCCGCTTTCGAATCTAAAATTTTAATGAAATCGCTTTTAATACAGTACATGTAATATTTTATCATAGCAAGCAACATGTACAAGCATATGAGCCTTTTAAAAATTATACACTATTCAGTGCGTTACATATAAATAAATTCCGTAAACGTCAGGATCATCTAATTGTAACAAAAACTGTAAAGATTGCTGCAATCAGCGATCAGTATTACACATATAGATCAGTATTTCACATATACATGTACAGTGTACCTCATGTGCGCCAGTGGATGAGATACAAAAAGCAATTAATGCCCAAATAAATCTGTATAATCCAAATGTCAATCTGGTTGTAAGATCCATTATTTTGTGTAACAGTTAAAATGACCACAAAATGTTATCGACGACACTGACTATCGTGTCATATAATACTACGGCAATATCGCTACTGGCAGCTAGTATTTATTAATTTCAACATACTTCTTCCAGCAGCGCACTGCGAAATTCATCATAGCTTATATACGAAATTTCTCGTCTCAGCCGTTTAATTCATTTGAAACCTTAAGATAAGTTTCATAATTCACCGGATATGATAAATAAACGTTAACGGATAATTTTGCAGACTCTGAACTTTTCAATTTTTCGGGCAGTTTTTAGTTTATTCGGTTTGATCATACGTCTCTGCAGTTTATTTAACAGATGCTTACCAGTTAGCTTAGCCACCCAGTAACTGTGTAAATACAATATACGCTGACAATGGTCCAGATCTACTCTGCATTTTGCAGTCAACCAGTAAGCTAAATAAATAAGTAAACAATAGGAAACTTGTAGCATTCATTGTGCGGATGTACAATAAGCGTTTCTGTTGTAGCTCGTAAATTACGATAATAGAAGAAATTCGGTAATTCTACGAATATAACTATGCATTTGAACGTGATTCCATGATTTTCAGCAACCTGTTAATAGATATTCGCTTTTCAAAAATACTGTAATATTACTGCAAATACTGTTAGCATTACTGCAAACAGACTTCGAAACACTAAAATACGTATTCCGGTATCCCCTGACTGATTGTGAGATAATTCCCACGCCCTGAACCGCGAAGCCGAGGCCTGCGTATGCGATGTCAGTTAGCTTAAAGATCAATAAAATTATAGTTTATTACTGTGTTTTAACTAATACGAAGAACATATTATGTGATTTTCTTCATCAGAAATTGCCTATATGCGTTCAAGTGAATTGTGTCATATTATCGCTTAATCCGAACAACGTGACCGGACAATTAACCAAAATCGTTATTGACACGCTCTGCACGCATTTCCATGGCACGCACAGCGCTCCCGTGTAGTCGTTTGATGCCGGTTTATATCATTCTACCTTCCGCAACTCCACGATCTTACTGTCGCGAACATAGTGCATATCTTTCCATTTCGATCCTTTTTTGAATGTCCACACAAAATGGACAATTTAACCGCGAAGCCGCTGTCCCCCTTTGCACAGAACAGTTCCACCAGCTCTTACTCACTGTACGGATACGCTCTTACCATTGTCTTTGTGCCTATTTGCTGTATCGGCGTGGCTAGTAGTATCACGATCATCCTGATTTCCTCCCATGTCTCTACGCAGCATCGTCCCAGCAACGCGATGCTGATTAACCTAGCCGTGGTGACATTGTTTGTCTGCGGCATTGTCTTGCCGCTGCTGATCTACATGAGTTTTCTGGACAGGGTTAGCAATCCCGATTGTATATTGTGTCAAAGCGTGGCGTTCCTCTCGTACGCGTCATGGTGCGTGTCGGCCTACGCACACGCCGTGTTGTCGGTGGATCGGGCCTTCTCCGTGGGTCATCTGGGCCGGAGCAAGACCTATCAGCAGAATATCTGGCTGAACATCACCCTCATCTGGCTCACATGGTGGATATCGTTTTCTTTGTTCGTCTTCCCGTTATTCCGCATCGGTGGGCAGTATGGCTATTCGTTTCTCATGCGCCGCTGCAGTCTCGTTCAGGTGACCTCGCTAGCGTACCAGATGAGCTTCCTGGTGTTTGCCGTTATTGTCCCGTTCGCGGTGGTGTGCGGATGTTATGGCTACGTGGTGTGGCGCATTAAAAGGTCACAGCAGAAAATTAGCGGGCAGAGAATGGTGCGGCTGAGCACCACCACCTCGACGGAGCCGTTTGGAAAGGACATGGTGCGGTACGCGCGACAGAAGGCACAGAAAATGCGATCGGAGTTACGCATAACGAAGTACTGTATTCGCAAGATTGCCTACCTACAGCCGCCTACACTATAATTTTTAGAATACATATCTTGTTACATACATGTCATAAATTGTGGTTTTATAGAATTTAATTCGTGACATAGCATTTCTGGACTGATAACTAATTCTTGGCTCCCTTAATTCAGGGCTACGGCTACCACATCCGCTGTCTTCTTTGTCTGTTTTCTTCCTGGATCGTCCTTTGGTTTTGGAGCACCGCTTCTTCAGAGCCTCCCTCGCGGTATTTTTCCAGGAGCCTTGCTTGCCATGGCTTTTGCAGGTACTTTTTACGTTAGCTCAAATAATTTAGTAGCAACAAACGAGGCATTTGTTTTTTATTTAAACATAACGATTACAGCGAATACTTGTCATTTAAATTCGAACTGCTGTTCGCATTTTATTGTTTTACGTACGTATTTTAAATTCAAGTTTCCAGCATAAACGCGGCGTTTGCCGATATCGACTTATGCACATTACATGGCTAAATACTTATTCAGGTCTGTCTAAAAATTTATAATGTATTACGAGGTACTCGCTTCAGTAGAAATGTGGTGCATAGCACTAGTGCTGCAGTACTAGATAAATTGGCAATAGATAGTACCTTATAATTATTACCTTATTATTATTATATTACTATTACCTTATTAGAGAAATAATTTGAAATTACGTATTATTTCACTCTTAAACGGAACCGTTTTGAGTTTATTTTCCTTGAATAGGTTGTGGGCTGTGCCCTTTGGTGTATGTAAGCGCAAATCCCGATACTAGAAGAGATGTTGCTCGACTCGTTGGCAAAATTTTTTACGGTCGTCATGTTTCAAGCGTCGCCACTGTCAGCGAAGCGGATAAGCACCTGAATGTCAATCTACCGATACAATCTTACAGTTATGACCTTTCTCAGGCCAGTTCCAGAATGTCCGGAAATTGTTTCCAGGAACTGGCGGTTCCACGCTCACAAGTTCGAGCACAGACGATATGATTTGCTTTGATCCATTTCCGTCCCGACATGACATAGTCTTTTGCAGCAGTATATCTGTGAGCTACGAGTACCTAAAGTTCTACAATAACTGTATTGCGGTGACTCTCAGATCGCTACATCGCAGCCTCGCAGAACGGTCCAAAAGCCATAAAAATGGCAAGCGGTCTGAATCAGACCCATTCTTCCCTGCAAACCATCTTCTGTGACGATCCTGCAGCACGGTCCAAATCGCCTTTTTCAACCGGTAGGTATTTGTGTCCTGCAGCTCCCTGCTCCCTTTCAAAAAAGACACAGGGAAGGGCAGGTGTCCTGCAGCTCCCTGCTCCCTTTCAAAAAAGTCACAGAGAATGGCAGGCCAGTTACCCTTTGCTCTACACGCGCTTTTAGCGGTTATTGTACATCAGATCTGGTGGTGCTGATGTGCTAAACGCCTGCTATGTACTTTGCATATTCGCAAGCTTCTTTCAAAACGCAGCCTTTTCGGATCAGCCGGCGGAGAGCTGAGATGTAGCGGTATGCTGAGATGTAGCGATCTGAGAGTCACCGCAATACAGTTAATATTTTATATTCCGTTATCACTAAAGTGGTACAAGTGCTGTAGACTACGGCGGTGCTGGTGCTGTAGAGACTACAGAGTTGCAGAGATGCGTGATGGTGATGTTGTCGGTAAAAACTAACTTACGGACTTAAAACAATCGTGTCATTTCAGAATTCAGACCGATATTTCGTTTCTTCATTTCATTTTGAACGCTGTCCTCCTGACTTTGCCATTTTAACGAACTTTTATAAAAAAAATACTATAGATACACGAGTATTATTATTCATGCATATAATACGATACATATGCATACCCGTATAGTAGGTATACTTCATAGAACCTAACTAGGCTTCGCATGTACGAATTATATTCTTTTTTCTCATGTCAAGTTAAATCTACTCATTTTGCATCACAAGCTCTTCTTGAGATTCAAAAATTATTAAGATCTGTTTGTTTACACGTTTGGAAGAAGGTTATTCGATGATATTAAGGAGGAAACACCTTTGCCCAGGTCGACCTTGAAGGAAGCGTGAAAAGAAAAAGATCCAGGATCAGTGACCTATAAAATGCAAAGAACAATTTTTATAAATCAATAAAGTACTCATTACACCTGTACATTTAAAGCTGCTGTGCTTTGGTAATACAGTAATACTAATACTGTGAATGCGGCAACTGTAAAGTGTACACGTGGCAAGTCAGTTTGTTACAATAAGCAGTATATTGCTGTAGAGCTACTGCGTTGCTAAAAATTGTTTATCAAAACAAGCGCAGGGCATTCACGGTATACGTACTAATTAAATGACTGACTGCGCCCTGTAATTATTTAATGGATACTAGGTTGATTCAAATTACCACATCACTAGCACTACCCTACCGTTTCTGGTGTCTGTATTGCAAACTGTATACGAGTACCAAGTACGAATGAACAGTAAACAAAGGCAAGCTAATGCGAATAAAGCACGCACCATGACATCCGGCACTTCCTCCTGTATCCAGCTAACGAACGCTTTGACTTTGGTATAATACTGAAAATTCCATTTCGCCAATCCGCATTCCTCCATTCCGTCGGGGAAGATGGCGAAACTTGTCACACCCCCCTGATAATACGTGCTCTGCTCGCTGTTGTAACACACCACCGGGCCACCGCTGTCCCCGAAACAGGGCGCATGGCTGAGATTGGATGCGGAGCAGGTCAGCATTTTCGCTGGGAAGTCAGTATTGAAGAAGGACGAACAGACGTCATCCCCGGCATGATGACATTCAGCTTCATAAGGTCACGCACTTTCTGATCCTGACACGGTGACGACGGCTTAGTCGGCACCTGGCAGCCGAAACCGCTAACGGTGCACTTCTCACCGGGTGCCGGTTCGGAATTCTGCAGACAGATCCGGCACACGCATGGGTTGCGGAAATCGATGCTGCGATCCAGTTCGAGAATGGCGATATCGCTGGACACCCATTCGCTAGTGTCGTTGCCCAGGAAGTAGTCCGGATGAACGATAACCCGCCGAACAGAGCGCAGTTCTTGACAGTCTTTCAGTGGGAACTGCACAGGAGACTGAGTAGCCTGTTGAAAAATCGGCACGTAATTATGCAATATTTTTTGCGGAGCAAATAGTTCACGGAAGCAAACAAAAATAATACTACTAACTAAATGGTCGGCAGTGTCTCACACATATATCTGTACAGTTCCATGAATTTTTAGTTTGCAACATTGTCAGTAATCATGATGCTTACCCCAAGGACAACACGCACACTACGAGGATCTTTAGCTTTCGTCGTTCCCGCTCTAAAATGTGCAGATGTTTTCTAAGCATAATAGATTCTATTAGTTTGATCTCCGATAAAATCGCACCATATTAGCAGTCTGACAATAGCGTAGTCTCCCTCCAGCAATTTTTATTCGATAACATTCACAGTATAATTACTCAGATATTTGTACTTACCGAGACCTAGGTAATTCTTATAATTTGTTAGCCTTTTGCAATTTCTTCGTTATTCGCAAATTAAGCGAAAATAACTAGTGAGAAATTTTGATGTATGATTGTTGCAGTTGATTGCTATATTGCACTTTAATCTAAATGTTTATTAGTATCATATATCTAACATAAGTAAATATTTCGTGTATTTTATCTGTTGTATGTAAAACTGATGCAGATTGGCGTGAAAAGTGGTGATAAACAATATACCTAACCTCTACTCTACTGATTGTGTGCGTTGCCCCGTGTACGTACATTGTCACGCAGTGTGCCGCTGTCAAAATATGCTGATCCGAAATGATGCTCCCTCCACAGCCTGTGGAAACCAGGACCTGCCAGCAGATCTGATTAAGTGGCACGGTTGCACCACCGACGATGGTTTCCGCCGGAAACAGTTTGGATATGGAGGAGAGATTACCGCCGGGCAGCATGATGGTGCCCTGTTTCGATCTGATCTCATCGTCGTCGGTAATGATTTCCGGTATGGTATGATCGCTCATCATGGGAAAACCGGTCGTCAGAATCTTCGTCTTCAGGGATTTGGCTTCTTTCTTGACGCGCAGCGCATCTTGTGCCTGTTTATCCGGGCTCTGATTGGCCAGAGCAAACGGATCGACTTCGTTGGTGCCGGGTATGCCGCATTTCGGTCCACTTCCGTCCATTACCGTATCCGTCAGGGCGACTGCCGCGGTTAAGACAGCTTCGTTAAGGTTGCAGGGGACGTTAGGATCCTGGAGAAGTTGCGGGCAGGACATCAGACTGGCGAAAATGCTGGGCATTCGGGAACAGTCGGTAGACCAACTTCCCAGCGCTACCAGTGTGTGCCGGCCGTCTGAGAGCAAAACAATTGAACATCAAAAATACTCGTAATTGTCACAGAGTTTTCTTTACATGATCCTTGCGAAAATCCGTCGAAAATTGTTCTTAGTCTCTCAAGTAAAAGTTACTGTACCGACGATGCAGGTCAAAGGAGCACCACCGTCGTTCGTGCAAATTCCTCCCCGTTGGATATCGCCAGCACACACGGATGAGTCGGCTAATTTAAATCTTTTGGATCCTGACAGTTGACTTCCGAGCAACACTTCACATCGGTCTCGTCTCACAAACTAAAGGTCACGATAGTCACTGCCAGTTTTTTTCAGGTTTTATAAGAATGCATTCAGTACCAAAATCAGGTAACACTATAATAATAGTTAGTAATAAGCACCAAATGCTAAGCATACGAGTACTGTTGCATCCATTACAATGTCATCTACTTAATACCCATCGCCGCGCTTAAGCAATCTATTCGTACAGATATGCATACCTTCAAATAATATATAATGTACTTGTATTGCACATTGTGCAGCAAACGTACATTTAGACATATTGTACACATTAAAAACCTTTTATTACATAAGAAGGTTGCAGTTTTATATTGCTGTCGATGACATTGTTGCAGAAAACCACCTACATCGATAGTCGATTTTGTAAGTTGCAAGGAACCTTGTCCTCCTTCTGAAATTGAAAATACAACAATTTAAAACTGTGCCGAAACCAGATAAGTAAACGAAGCAGGTGTCAGCACAGGAGCTCTGGCATCGGATCGGAAGCAATGTATTTTCAGTTTATCATTCAAAAGCCTTTTTAGTTTTTGTGAGTACATAACACTTAAGAGCTAACAAGCTAATAATTACCTCGTGTTGCGCCAAAACCGGCCACCCAGCATGTTACCATAGAGGAACTGGACACTGTCCGGTCCAATGTACATGCACGACAAGTGCAGTCATTGCTGCGGATCTTCCCTTTAACCTTCAGTATGGCGAAATCCTTATCCAGCGTATCGGGATCGTAGGAATCTGGGATGATCAGGTCTGCCACAGCGAAATTCTGACTACAACCGTCATTGACATTCCGCATGCCAGGCGATGCGTCGGTGATTCCTGTCTGGATGAGTATTTGGCCGGTATCGGACAACAGACGGTCGACACAGTGGGCGACAGTGATAACATGAGTGGAATTTAAAACAGCGCCGGCACACAAATAAGTAAATGGAATTCCTAACGTGGCGTTGCCTTTGTCGAATATGGCAGCCTAAGCAAACAGACCCTGTTATGTGTCAACTAGCATAAAACGGTAAAAACAATTTTAAGGAATTTCAAAGTTCACAGCTTCGCTTGCTTTGCACGCGGGCGTATATTTTTATAGTTCGATTTCTGCACCAACCATGCTGTGCTTCCTAATATTTTTGATAGTTGCAAATTTCAGTAACGTTAATTGTTAATTATTACAAAAATGCTTAATTAGTTCATTCCAGCTAAGGATCGTTTGGTCGCAAACGCTCGCACCAAGACAATTTGTAAACATAATAAGCTAATCCGTCAATACGTACATCTTTCAATTGCGCGTGCCATAAAATTAATGATTAAGCATATCTAAATTTGCTTCTCTCAGAGCAATGCTCGTCGGCACCAATACTAAAATTTAACGTGACAGCAAAAATGAATAATTAATAGTAGTAAGTAAAGTATCAGTGAACCTGTACAGAGATACTTACAATCCAACAAACATCACCCGGATCAACTGGGTTTCCGTCGAAAATTCTGGCGAAACGCCGTATGTTCGATTCGCCACCGGATGTGAAGAGATTGCGGTTGAAGTTGCTACCATGCCCGCATGGTGCATCATCGACCGAAGTACTTTTCAGTAGTCTGTTCATGGCAACTTTACCGTGGAACCGTCTTCCGCTGCGTAAACAGCACCACTGATCCGCCTTACACTCCCGGGACTGTTGGGCAATGGCCATTCGACCGACGCACTGCGACTGCAGTTTATCTGCATCCAAACAAAACCCTGCCCCATTTTCTTCTGACGCTCGGCAGGGAGCTTCGCGCTTTTCTGTTAAAGTTTTAAATTAATACTCCCTAATATTACAAGATGTGGTGCGTTTAAATTTGTAATCCACTTCATGTGGTAGCTCGGGAAGACCTTATTGCGCTATGGCAAATATGTTCCCGCCGAAATTCAAGAGATTTGGACGCGGTAACGTGGTTTGAGTACTTCTCGTAAATGAGCGGATATTATTGTTGCACCACTGAACTTTGAATTCGAGTCTTCGACTATTGCTAGTTGAACCATTTGGGCAAATTAAATTTTGGTTTTTATGCGTTAATTTTATTCGTCAATACTAGTATTTTTACGCACATTGTATTTCGTACTCTAGGTTATAGCTTTCTGCGCAACTTGATAAGATATAGATATACAACTGTACCTTTGCTTTTCTAGCAGTACAAAAATAAAAACTTAATTCATTGTTTGGAATATAAACAACATCAAAATTCATATAATGTAAGTATAAAATTCTTAAGCTTATCGTTCAAATCATATCTATATAATTACAAATTTCGCCGCATTTACGTTAGAAAAAAATGTTTTAAACGATACTGTAACATCATTTTCGATGCGCAAGCGACTGTGGTACTTTGATATCACCGACTTACAAAAGTTTTTTATTTCAAAACCGGTTATGAGAAGGATTATTTTACCTCTAGTAGAGTGCGCGTGGACTAATTCCAAGTTCAACAACTGCAACAACAACAGGGACACGAAAACAATCACAGAACAACGTATCAAAAAGTCGACCGGGCGGTGCATTCGACAGGGAAATTTTTTCATTTAATTAAAAGCTGCAGAATCTCAGCTGTCTAACATACTTGTGCAATCTACAATGCCAGAATGCACGCCACGCACAAGTGAGGTCAACAATTAAACGCAACATTTACTCATAACAAAGCACGAACAAAACACAGATAGCCCACTCGATTGATGCTCATCCGAACGCAGACGCCGATACCAACAATTAAACTTCCGTTTTTTGCTAGTTGTCTTGTCTTTCGCCCCAGTTGTAGTCGAACCATCCGTTGACAATATTATTATGATAATTATGTAACTGGCACGTGTTGAGCCGCGCGCAACTTCAACGCAATTAGCGGATCCGTTTAATTTGCTCAATTAGCGCAGCCCAGAGGTAAAACAATGATACGATAAACGAATCAGAAAACGGCATATAATTTTCCATACAAAATTATTAAGATCAACGAAACTGTCGAATCACAAAACTGCTTGCGATGCAAAATTAATGATATATGCTTTAATTTCCAGCCAGTCCTTGGCCGGAAACGGTAGGTGTGTTATTGTGCGACTGCAGCATAGTCTCATTCCTTTGGTCCGATTTCGTGGTCAGTATTTTGCAAAAAAACACCACATAAACGATGCCAAATAATGTAGCGATTAGTACGACGCAATATAAACATGTCATAGCCATGGTCATCGCAAAAGTACTCTTTTTCACATCGTAGTTTTTTGGATCTTGACCTTTTTCGGCAATATCTCCCAGATCATACAGAAACCACGATAAGAAAGCTATCATGGATAAGCAGAGAATCACGGTCAGGCTGCTCAACATCAAATACACTCTTCGGAACAAACAACCATAGGAAACTGGAGTGGCATTAGCAGGAAGTCGCTTGTTTTGCATATACTCCACTCTGAAATGCATGAAATTCGATATGCCCGTAGCCACTACGATAATTCCGATCCAAATACCCGGGACAAAGCTGCGCGAATAAGGACACAGAGATGTGGTGTAATCTGCAAAATAAGCAAATAATATAAAAATATAAAAACTTAAAGCGGATGTTTAAACAGTTGCAAAAATAAAAATGTAATTAAATCTAACAATAAATAAAACAAATTTCGAGATAAAATATATAAATTTTATCGGATTTTAGGAACTGATTCTGTGATTATTACAGTATTATTAATTTTAAACTGTGATTTTATTGCTCATTGTTTCGGTTGTTAGTATTTTTTTAGTCACGAAGGAGTTTTCTGTACGATTAAACTTGCAAGCACGAAAAACCGAAAAGTGATCGTAAAGATTATGCTGGTTTATTCCTGTTAAATGGATTTTGCAAGATACGCACCCGTCTTATCTAGATTTACATACTTGACCGACTTAAAGAGTACACAAGTAGAACCATTTTAGACACTTATACAATACATACATTCTGAACTGCTTCTGAATTCGCATCATGCAAAGTCTTTATGATAACTTTTAGTTTACGCTATGCGTGCAAAAAAAGGTTGGGCTTGGCATTGCTTTTATCAGACATATTTCGTCTTCCGGTCCTTCAAAAGTTCTAATTTTTTGGTTAAAACTTGAAAACCTCATTAGTCGTACCTAACTAAAACTGTAGCAAACTTTGTGTACAAAATTAATTTTAGCCCGCCAGATCCGTTTTATACCGCCGTTTGACCAAACAGTCAGTATACAGAGAGCAACAGGTGCAGTGGTAATTCGGTATTGGTAATTCGGTATAAACGGTATAGGTATTGGTAATTCGGTATATTGGTAATTCGGTATTCGGTATAGGTATTGGTAATTCGGTATAAACTTACGAAAAACAAGTACGGGTAGTGCTTGTACTACTTTAGAGGCAAATGTTTTAGAAGGCATTAAAAACTACACCCAGAATTTTAAGCGGGGAACCTTTAAAAAAAGTAGAGACACGAAATCACAAGACCTAACACCTCGATCAGGATTCGAAATATAGATTGACATGTACATATGTAGGTTTACGAAGTATATTAGCAGTGGTTAACGACTTACTGGCAATCTCCAACAGGATCAGAATAATTCCTGCACAGATTTGCGTACCAGCAACACATTTTTTAACGTCGACAATGCAACGCGCAAAACAGTTGCTGCCATTGGAAGACATGGAACTGTTCTCTTGATCGTTGGGGTCCGCCGTTGCATCCATAGTCTGAATAACGGAGGATTTTGCTGATATGCACAGCACACTACTCAGAGTACAAATTTAATAAATCCCAGACCTGTGATAGTAAATTTTAAACAGAGGAATAACTAAGGCTTTCGCGTAGCATGATAATACGTATATATTTATGAACAGATACTGTACGGCTAACATCGAATGCTATGCTCAGTGGTCACTATTAAAGCGGCGTTTACAAGTACACAAACCAATTAACTACACAAGTCCCGTACTTGTACAGACATTAATCATGTTGCCTTACCTGTATGGAATCCATTACAGTATGTAGTTGTACGACAGAATGAATGAATAAACTGGCTTAGAACATTCGGATCATAACTGATAAATCCATAGCGGCATTAATAATATTCAAAGAATTTCGGTGCTTCACCTTGGTGAAGTGGAAGGCTCACAACTTGGGAGCGGGCATCGTGATATAGAAAGAGTATGATGAATACAAATGAGTCTGATGAATACTTGTACAAATAATTTGTAGACCGAAACTGACGCGCAACTAGGTATATGTCCGCACTCAACGCAGTAAGTTAAGCAAACCGAACTCACTGATTGTTGGCACGAAGAATTACTGCACCCTGCTTAAGATGTACCGGTACAGCATTATTTTATCGCACAACTTGATCGAAAGATATATAATTCCATGTGATTAAACTGTACCGTGAAAATTACTAGTGTAGTACTCTGTGTGATGAGTCTGATGACCAGATACATACAAAATTACAAATATCAGAACTTTTTTAATTAGCTTTAATGAGCCGGAAGATGATACTTAAGTATAATCCATAGACAAAACATTATTGTGTTCTATATTGTACGTAGTCTATGGTCAAAACCTTTGTAAACAAGTCCGCTTATATTTATATGGACCACAGTCCACGGTATCATTACTGTACCATATACCAATCTTACAAGAAACAGTTTCGGCTTCGCCTCAGACTTTATCACAAATATAAAGTACTGCAGTGTATAAGTATAATCGAGGCTCACGCTCAAAGCGGAATAAATTCTTTTTCGGGTGTTTTCCAGTCCCAACATTCACTTTACCGTTAACAATACTGCGACACCAACACAAAGCGGTTGCATAAGATTCTGTGCTACTGTGCTAGTAGGAAAACTACTCTTCCACGAAGTAAGATACGTATAATATAGATATAATATATAGATTATAGTCTAGGTACATTGTACAATACAGGTACTGTACAGACTAAGACAGTGCCTGCTCCGAAGTAGTACTTACTGCTAGCAAACGTTTGGACATATTACTGCGTACAAAACTGAAAAATACAAAACAATACGTGTACGTATTTAATGTGTACCTGTTGTATTGTTTTATTGTACATAAGCGCACTTTAATAGCGCAGTACGAAAACATGTACTGCACGCCAGCATACGGATGCATTTAATGAAACTTCATAGTGATCTGATAGACTGAGACTAACATACGCTGCATAATTGATCAAATTTGAAATGCCACAATTAGACAATTTGGGTTATTCAGGAACGATATCTGCAGCTAGCAGCGCATACCAACGGCGGTCAAATGCCGGAAATCTGCGGAAAAGTATTGTTCTTCGTCGTCCCATCTTCAGTCAAGACAAGTAAGCGCAATTCCGCCAGTTACAAGTATGCAATACAACTGCGTGAAAAAAGAATGAAAACGCGATATTGTCCTGACATATCGTGTACTCCTGGGTATATCATTATATGCCATCGATTGCTTGCAGATTTGACAGCAGTCAGGAATTTGGCGAACACGGCACTCCGACCAGTCCTGGGATATGCCATCTTGCAGATTTGACAGCAGTCAGGAATTTGGCGAACACGGCACTCCGACCAGTCCCTGGGATAAACTGAAGCGCTACATCAGCCATCAAGCGTACAAAGTCCAACACTGGCAACCCAACGTTTTCCGACTGCTGGTGCGATTCTTCGTCAACACGTTCCCGATCTTGAAGTGGCTACCAAAATACAATGTCCGACAAGATCTACTGCAGGACAGTATTGCTGGTACGAATGTTATCACTATACATAATTTGTCTCAGACAAATGCATTTTTCAAGTTTCACTACTGAAGTATACGTAATTTGTTTCTGACAAATGCATATTTTTTCTTCCCACTGGAAACTTAACGTACCCAAAAATTTTTTTGGATTTTGTCTCCAGCATGTGCAACAAAGATGCCGGTTTTATAGGTTTCACCGTCGGAGTTATGAATATTCCACAAGGTAGGTTACACTGAAACCTCAGCACAGCTTTTCACTACCGAGCATACGCGAGCGATGATCATTTTCATTTAGAGATTTAAAATTTTTGCAATCAGTCTTTTTTTATTATGCATTTTGTCATGTTTTGCATTGATGTTGCAACCAAGCCACTACAGTATTGTACTAATCAGTAAGCACTGTAGCGCGGACACTAATAGAAATGCCTTTTCTGAATTGTCAGTTGTGACCACTTGCCCATTGAAAGGCAAAAAATGACAATTTTGAAGACCCCATCATATGAACTCAAGTTGGTTGCAACACCTGATTTATTGGTGTTTTTACTTGATTCACGTTATTAATTAAAGTCGTTAATATCGGTAAACAATGTTTGAGCAAGTGCTGAATACTCAACAGTATCGCATACGGAGGTACGAGTACTTAATAAATTCTCATGCAGGCATGGCGTATGGATTGCTGGCGGCATTACCGGCAGTTTATGGTCTCTACACCAGTTTTTTTCCAGCTTTGTTATACACCGTTATGTGCACTTCCAGGCATGTTTCCTTCGGTAAGCTTTCTTGTAAAATCTTTGCAAAGCCAACCCGTAATTCGTATAAGAGTACAGACAGCACTGCCCAAGTATTGTACTAGTATAACTCATGCTATAATACTATGACCTTTTTTCGTGATCTAAATTTCTGTTCGCAGGAACATTCGCCATTGCATCGATAATGACAAGGTGGGATACAATTGGCGCAGTAATTATGCCACGTTTACAACATTTGATTTTGACTTGGCTGGATTTATTTGACTGTGTACTGTATAGTTATTAGCAGTAATATACATAGAGAACAAACTGTCTATACTCGTATACAAAATCTAAAAAAATTTTTACGACGGAGCCAGGTTACCGGATTTCAGTGATTAGATATATAAAAGATCTCGATTCTCGACCCTTTAAAAAATTAAGTCAATTTAAAAAAAAGCTTTCTTGCTTTTGCATAGCAAGGTTGTCCAACGCTATGCACTGGCCGGAAGTAATTCTGAGCTGCTTCACTCAATCACCTCCAACATGACACAGCTCCAAACGGTGGAGGTCACAAATCCAGGCGATTTGGATGCCAACCTGGAATTGCGAATAACCGTGCTGGTGGCTCTCACAGTAACTGTTGGAATTTGGCAGGTAGCAAGCATTTATCGTATCGTTGCTGTGAAAGTATGTAGCTTGCAAAAATTATTTTGCAGTCATCTTCGACCACATTTTGTGACTGTGAAAATATATAATCGTAACTTCTTATTACAATTAAAATAAAACAAAGTAACGGTTTCTCTCTCAATGCACAATTATGGACTTTGCATTTCAGAGTACTTGTAAATACTCTGCACGTAGTTAAACGTTGTAGTTAAAAATTAAGTAACATAATTATGCAACCCGTTTTATTGTAGCTGATCATGGGGATACTTGGATTAGGCTATCTCAGCATATACCTTTCCGATCAACTCGTGAAAGGGTAATTATCCATAGATAATCTTTAAGAAATTTTCATGTCGAAAATTACTCTGAGATATGTTCACAATGGCTTCACGCATATTGTGCTAAAATTTATTGTTCCTTAATCCCTTTTCTCATAAGTTATAGTTCATATTCCACACCTATATTGGTATTTGTGTAAACTGGAATGCCCACATGGCATCATTATTACATGTTCGCAGATTTACTACGGGAGCGGCATTTCATGTGTTCACCAGTCAGTTACGGTACGTAGGCAAGTACTCTGCATATACAGTATTAGCCATAAGGCTCTTGACATAATTAATTAAAGTGGTGAATGTTTGTAGTTCAATTTTTGGATTACGAAAGCTGAAGGAATATTCTGGAGCATTAAAGCTCGTTTATGTAAGAACTTATCAACTAATATCAATGCGAAATGCCAAAATTAAATTAAATACAGCTTCTGAATCTCCCTGCAGGCATACATCGATTTCTTTAAACTTATCAAAGAAACCCACATCCCAACTCTCGTCATATCCATCATTTGTCTGGTCATCCTTTTATCGGCGAAATTTTTAATTAACGAAAACAACTGGATACAGTCACGGCTGCCCGTAAAAATACCATTTCCATCGGAACTGGTTGTGGTCAGTAGCAGGTCAACAACTTCGCTGTGCATGCATTTAAAATGCATAAATGTATTGTGCGCGCATATGATACTAATATTTACATAAAACTGAACGCGCACAACTGTCGTGTGGTACGTCATCCAGGTTGTTTTCGGAGCTCTTGCATCATACCTTATGAGCCTGGGTACTGCTTATGGAGTGGATATTTTGGGTCACATTCCTCTTGGGCTTCCGGCACCAAGGCTTCCTGACCTTTCGATTCTTCCAGCTTTTGCGCTTGATAGTGAGTGATCCACTTACATACAGGTTTTATATATGCATGTGATTACCGGAAACATTGTTTTTAAATAGGTTTTGCAATAGCGATTGTCAGCTTCGCCATCACCTTATCGTTGACTAAGCTGTTCTCGAATAAATACAAATATAGCATCGATGCCAATCAAGAGTTGCGAGCAATGGGGTTCAGCAACATTTTTGCTGGCTTCTTCCAGTGTATCCCGTCAACGGGATCACTGGGACGAACAGCGGTGCAGACATCCATCGGAGGGAAAACACAGGTAATTAATTCTCTTTTGCGGGAATTGCTAGAATGACTTTGCGTATAAGCATCGAGATGTGCAAATTAATTCTTATAGGCTTCAATTAATAATGTTTGCAGATTGTCAGTGTCATATCCACAGTGTTCGTCCTGATTGTCCTCTTAGCACTTGGGCGTCTACTGGAACCGCTGCCGAAAGCCTGTTTAGGATGTGTGATCGTCGTGGCCTTAATTGGTTTACTCAAGCAGATCATGGAATTAAGGAAACTTTCGCGAGTTTCTGCCATCGATACTGTACATCTTCAGTCATAATTAACAATAATATCGCATCTGGTTTATGATTATAAACCCTGATGTTTTTGCAGTCGGTGTTTGTTGTGACCCTTGGCGGTGTGCTGTTGACGGACATAGATTTGGGTCTGGGCATTGCTGTGGGGTGGAGTCTGTTGACCGTAGTATTCCGCACCCAGGTATGTACGATTTGAGATAATCCTGCTTAAGTTTGCGTATGTACCATGCGGAACGATGGCACAAAAAGGGAGTCACTTACCAACTAATGCTTTTTAAGAGACCGGACGTTTCTGTTCTTGGAAGAGCACTGGGCACGGAGATCTACAAACGAATCGATGTGTACAAATCGGTATTACTTATACGTATATTCTCTAGAGCATAGTTCGTAAGCTAACCGCCGCGGTCTTTCATTCTCCTGCTCCGGAATTGAAAGCGCCTTATAAAACATTCAATTAAATTATAAGTGCGTTCCAACAAAAATTTTAGGCAGTGGAAGTTCCTGGCTGCAAGATTATTCGCTTTGAAGCGCCGCTCTATTTTGCGAACTGCGAATACTTCCTTGATAAGATTCACCATAGCGCTAAATTAGGCAAGTACAGAGCTCGTCCGTCGAAAAGGGAAGCGCGCAGCCGACAGGGCTCAACTGCCAGCTACAAGGGCTTCGTGGAGTCCGGCTCCACGAATGATCATGACATTGAAATGCATACCGTTTCCCACGCCACCACCCTGTACGACAATCACCCCTCCCAGGACATCCAGTACACTCCCTTCAGTGCACCGGAACGCGGCGGCCGGGTCGATGCCGCCACGTTGACAATGGACCTGGCTCCAGTTGAGCCGTTAACCCACCTAATCGTCGACTGTTCTAGTGTATGTTTCGTGGATGTTAACGGAATTGCGGCGATTAATCAGTTGGCGGCGGAGTGCAGCGATGCAAAGATATCTTTATTCCTCGCATCCTGTAAAGGTATTAGTGTTCTTATTCGTTTACTATCACGCGTTGACCGCTTTCTCATTATGTAGTGGGAATTCCACTATATATTATTGCGTCCGCAAAATAACGACTTTAAATCAGTAACTTTGAAATAGCCAAACCGAGTTCAAACTTCTAATGTATGTAGTGAAAGTATCATAGAGTAGTGTTTGGTGCAACGCATAGTTATCATGCAGCACAAGGACACGCACTGCGCCAGCGAGATCAGTCAAAAGAGGTCAAAATCGGTAGAATCTCTACTTAAACTGATTAATAAACGTTACTTTTTGTTTATTTTCGTTGTAGCGAACATGCGAGAATCTTTGGCATTATCTGGATTCACACCCCAGCTGAACGTTGATCACATATTTGTTTCCATTCACGACGCCATCATGCAAGCTGTCCAGGAACACGCTGTAAATACCTATTGAGATCTATTATAATCATACCTAATTGTTGTCATAATTATGACTTATCTGAACTTGCGCGTTGTTGCTGCTGTTCCTGTATAACGGGATTTTTATTGAGTAGATTTCATATCCTTCATCGGAGCATCTGCAAGACGACGAAGAAAACTCCAGTAATAATGAAACCGATGAAGTTTTCGTCGCAACTGCAAACCATCGAAAGAAAGCCAAGCCGAAAACTTCGTTGGTAGAAATTCCTAATTCGAGCGTCCATGCGTCACGTTTGCAACGATGGTACAGCGAACCGGCATCGGAACCACTGCCTCATCCTCAAGCCGGAAATGGAACTACAGTCACTCGTGGTCACAATCCTTGATGAAACAAAAGTTGCTGATCTAGGAATAAAGTACTAGTCGGGTATTTTGAACCATGCAAAATTATTCAAACACAATTTGCCGTTTGTATTGACTTCGGCATTCGTCTGTGATGAATGACGGTTAAGCTGTTCTAATTGTCAACTGGAGACATACAGTATTCTGTTATCATTAATGATGATCATTAAACTTTCAATTATCAACATTTAATTTAGTTCTACTTATCTATTAATACCAACAATCAGACCACAATAACAATATTTACTGGTACAGGTGCAACCGTCCATAGAAAGAAAAGCGGGACAAAGTTTCAGAATTCCGTTTACAACACAGAAAATAGTATATTGTAGTAGAGTAGGAGTACAAACGTTGAAGACGCAAGTCACAGTTTAAACACATTTACACGGCAATAAAGCTATTTCAAAAACAATATAAGCATCGGAAGAAGATCAACAAAACTACTATCAATGCAACAGCATTGTTCGGGTATAAAACATTGGAAAAATATAAATTAAAAATGAACCAATCAGCCCTGAACGACCTGGGTATCTTCTTCCGATACGTCCAAAAATCCGAAGCACCTGTCGGCCGCATTATTGGCTGCCTCTTTCCACGTTTGTCCAGTTCCATCGAACGACAATTCCCGAGGATATCCACGCTGTGCTCCTGACCCTGTTTCCTTCCAATGAAGTTGCAATTCCACCGCCTCACAGCTATCTTCATCAGAAACGCCATTTAAAGTCTTTTCGTCTGCTCTGCTAAAGTGCACTTTCAGATCCAGTTCTATCAACTGGGCAGCGACTTTTTCCAACAGATCCGAAAGCGGCATGAAATCCATGACCGCTACATCTGCATTTTCGTTGGGAGATTTTGCTTGCTTCATTTTGCGCAATATGGCCACAATACGTAGTTTCAAGTCCTCAAACGGCGTTTGGGCTGCAGAGTCTTCGTTAACATCACCCTTCAGGCCAATGTCCGATGTGCTAATCATTTCCGCCACCTTGGCTTTCAATTTCTACAAAGAGGAAACGTGGATGTAAACCAAAGCTCACTGCTCGAATACGAATGTCGGAATCTAAAGCTGAAAGAATACCTTTCTAACTGACATCACCTGAGCTTAAAAACCGTAAAATCGAATAGTTTAAACTGTTTCACTTTCAAAAAAGGCGAAGCACAATTCCAAATACATGCCACACGCTACACAAAATTATGAAATACAACAGTTTTTTTTCAATTTCGACTGCATACTGTCAAGTGAGATTGACACTGAATGCTTAATCGGCGCTTAATGGGGCACAGCGCAAAACTGCTCATAACTTATGCTCGTACAAAAGACAGCAGAAATCAAAATCTTGCTGAAGGAATTATTTAACTTGAATGAAAGCGCCCATTTAACAAGATGCAGATGGCAGTAAATTTGCGATCTTATGTACTGTACCTTGTTAACAGGGTGAGATGGCGACTTGATTGAATACCACAGCGCCAAAAAGTGGTAATCGCGCTCCAGCGCCTGGTACAAATCACAACAGGCGCTCTTCTTCGCCTCCATAATGTTCATGGCAACGCCTTTTCCACAGAATTTATTCATATCTTCTGGTGGACCAGCGCGGACAATTATCTTGAAAGTTCCATCCAGTGTGGACATTGGGTCACTAAAGGTCCTATCGGGCCACTTTACATCACGCAGCAGATTAACAATCCTACGAACAAGTGAAATATATACCCACTACTTGGCAGTTACAAAACGAGCAGCTCGTAGGACAACCAAGCGGTTCACAAATTCACACCACGTACGTCTCTTGAGGATTAATCGTGTTTAATCTCGGAAATTCCTGTTGCTCTTCCTGTTCTTTTCGCTTCCTGTAAAGATTAAATAAAATATTAAATCTATCAAGTTTTAATGAAGCTTACCAGGCCGCAGCACGCATTACTGTATTTAAACTCAAAGGAAGGCTTTCGAAAAACATTCGCTATCAGTTATGTGACACGTTTCTGCTTATTGGTGCACGTGTCTGTAACGTATAACCCAAGCTTTTTTAAAATTTTTTTGTAAATACACCGTAACCTATGTGTACTCAAAGAATCCGTTATGGAAAACTTCATTCTGGCGAAAACTTTCTTCACACGTCCACCATTGCATAAGTAAAGGATGAATTGGATTAATCATTAATGGTTACTTACCCGAGGACAGCAGAATTCCCGTTCCCGATAGCTGGTTGTGGCTCGCTTTCTCCACTGAAACTCGGGCAGATTTGCTCGACAGCCTTGCGAGCCGCTTCTCGTTTGGCAAGCACTTTGGTTCTTGCTGAACCACAGGCAACAATCGGTGGCTTCTCCAGGCGCACCGTGCACTGAAAGTTGCGGAACTCCCCGCATGCTCCTTCGTCTGTAAAAACTGGAGCGGGATACTTGTTTTTTGTGGTGAATTCGTAGAGAAACGAGACGGGATTTTGATTAATGATCTTCTCCTGGATGGACATGATGGTTCCGTGGAATAGATGAGGCTGAATGAGCAGTGTAGACAAACTTCAGAATTTCGAAGTTGATCGAAATTTTCTATCGCCTTTTCGAGAAAACGGATTTAAGCGAAAGTTCGAGGCTAATTTCGAATCCATCCATTTCGATTTTCGCATCCGATTTTCTATAATTATTTTCGAATCCTGTCTGTGGCAAGAACAAATGAGTACGAGTACTTAACAGAATGCCCTGTGCCCTGCGCAGTGGGTATTACGCACCGCACGGGCGCGCCACTGCGCGGTTTGCTATTTGCTTTTCATACTATAATTATTATGAGAAAAAGTAGTTTGATAATTAATATAAGTAGTTTGAAAATTAATTATTAAAAGTAGTTGGAAAATTTAAAGATCATAAATGGGCACAAAAAGCTTTATTTCGATACTGAAATTAATTACTTAGCTCCAGAAGTATTGCACAAGTATCAAAAATACCGTCTGGAAAGTTGAGGAAACGCCCTTACACATGAATATAATACTTATTACTTAGTATACCCCGCGGTAACAGGGCACGTACGATAAGGGCTGACGGAAAATTTGAGAACCACTTCCTTTTGTTTTGAGGGCCGGCCGCCGGGTACCGTGCGGTGTACGCTATAGCAGCAGTATAGCCAAGGCCATGGTATAGCCACGGGTATCACTTCCTTAAAGTTCCTTTACTCGTAAATTCAATGGGAACCCGTCCGCAGAACACTCTTTATAATCCGTAAATGAAAAAAGCAGCCAGATTGTTGAATTATAGTATGCACTGTTGACTCAGATCAAATTACGAGCTAACAGCACAAGCAGGCAGATTTCATAGATTCTTTTCTGTATTCCAATATTCAGTCCACGAGCTACATCGACTGATCGACAGCACACTTTCAATCATTCTTTGGAACTTTCTTTTGGTCAAAGTCGTAATCTTAACTTCCAAGGTCATACCAAAATAAAAGACTGGTATGCCACAAGCCACAAGGAGATCAAATACTGTAACTGAATAAATCGAGAAATCAACTGCAAAAGAAACGAAAATTTCCGAGATGACACAGAAGATGAGACAGCGTTTACGTAGCCGCTGGCAGTCAGGAGCCATAAGCTCCCAACTTCCCACAAACAACCCAAAATAGCACAGGTAACTGATTAAATAATTTAGAAGGAAACGCCCGCAACGATCAAACAAATCGAAGCCAAGGAAGCAGCTCAAGGTCACTCATAATTAACCGTTTCTTCGGGTCCTTTTCCATCAGATGCAAAATGACTGACTTTATTTCCCCCGACAGAGCGATCTTCTCCGGGAACTCGACTGGATCATTGAGAATCGATTCAAATAATTCCGGCAGCAAAAGTGCCCTGAATGGTAGTTCTCCCGTCACGAGAACATACAGCGTCGCACCCAGTCCCCACAGATCCAACGGACGACCAGCACAGTACCGCTCATCAGGCAGCAGGCATTCCGGTGCAGTAAACGCCGGCGTCCCCTGGGCCGCAGTTAATAAAACGGCTTCTGTACCATCATCCTGCAGTACGAGTTCATCGCAAAAATTGAAGTCTGCAATTTTCACGATGTCGCTACTTGATACAAGAAGATTCTGCGGCTTCAGATCGCGATGAACGATTCCACAGCTATGTAGATGTTTGATGCCTTCTTTAATGTGCATAAAGTATCTTCGTGCTTCCTCCTCTTGATAATAAAAAGCTGAAACACAATAAAGAGAGCCTTTAAAAAAACAATTAAGCTCAACTATGTTATCGCAGTTATATCTCGCAGTCCATTATTTCGTGACGAAAGCTGCCTAAACGCCTTCATTACGCGCCCGCGTTCTTATGGTTCTCATGAAGATGTAATTGGCAATAAAGCGTTCATTACGTACTTGAAGGAATATCCATCAACACACGATCCATAAATTCCAGCACTATATAAATGTTCTGATCTTCCGGATCATCGATGAAATCATACAGCCTGCAAAATAAACTATGAATTCATATTGTAAAGCTTAAGTAATCTGGGAGGTTTAGAAAATAATTTCGCATCATTCAAACACATAAACACATGCATCAACGGTTGTGATAAACGGGCATCATAAACAATAATGTACCAGAGCATACAAAACTTTTAACCATTAAAATATTGCACAATTCGTTAGTACAGTGCACTTGCTTTATAACATTTTCATGGTCTAAACGGCGAAGTAGTGCAGCTTCTCTGTATGCATCTTCCACCGGATTCCGTGAGTTCCTACAGAGAAAAAAAATTACGAAACGCACAGTCGATCGGCAAGCCGCCATCACGTAACCCAGCTCACCTTCTCAACATGCTGACTTTCTTCAGCTTCGTTTTAGAGAATATCTTCACAGCATATTTTTTCCCATCGATAACGTTAATGGCAGCTCGCACTTCCGATAATGTGCCACCTCCAATAACATCAAAGGAGACTTTATAATTTTTCAATTTTATAAACCCATCATCGCTTACGGAAAGCCTGAAACATGTCAAATTAACAATTAGTTACTACAAGTACGTTTAGTATCATGATTGTAACATTAATTTTGTATGTAGGTACTGCGCGTACACTCTGCAAGGAAAACAACAAAGGGAACACGAACTACTCGTACCAAATCAATACACAAAGAATATAAAGATCTAGTTTGCTCAAGTGCATTTTCCAGACTCTACAACATGACAGGAAAATACCCAAATTATTTACAACAGGACAGGTACCTAACAAGGGTGATACACAGCCTACACAGGATAAAACCGCCATTTCGAAAGAGAACTCAAACAGTTTTCAGAGTGATGCTGGATGCGCTAGATGTTTACGCTTTTATGATGAAGCACTGTACGGCGAGCGTATGCTGCTAGTCAATCCCAGGCACCTGACGAGATCATAACCAAATAAACCCATAATTAACCATCACAAGTTTATAACGTAACAGATACTGAAAGATTAAACTGGACAGTCAAATGTCAATGAACTGCAAAATTACCTGGGAGTAACGCAGCCGTGGATAATAGGAGCAACAATGTCATCACGCTGATGCAGATCCCTTTCACCGTCTTCCACCGCCAAGACTTTCTGCAGAACAGCCGGCGGGATCGCTACAATATCCCCAATCGCGGCCAAGGGCTGCTGTATAAGATCTTCGGCCACCGGGACAGTTTCGTCCAGCGGAACCAGTCCCTGTTCCGTTGCAGTGTAAGCGACAGGATCCAAGCTTGCCAGATCAATGATGCTTCGGTTAGTGTGAAATTTGTCCTCGGGAAGCAACTCAACGATCTTTACATGATGGTTAGTCTGAGTGTGATCTGCGCTCTTGAGATATGGCTGTGGGTCCGTGGGATCTTCAACATCATCCTCGCAAAAGCCGTTGTCGTTGTGGAGATCGTCAACAACGAAGATTCTTCCATTGCCATCCATAGCATCCAGCGTTTCGACTGTCGATCGTGAGAAACGTGAATAAGCTATACGGTAGACCACTGGTTCCACTGGTATTTATTGCTAAAAACAAAAGCTTCGCCGTCAAGATTTTAGAAACTGCAAATCAGGAATAAAAAATAATCATACGAGCTCAGAAAATCTGACACAGAAAAGAGAAACTCGGAAAACAACAACAAACTGATTATGAATGACTATAGGCAACTTCAGTCTTCACGCCAACTTGTCAATCGAAACGTCACACATTTGAAGTTTTGAACATATGCATCATCATCCAGTCATCAAAATGATGAAATCATGGTACGAACTACGAAGTACAGCAGGTAAGAGCCGCGCTCTTGTCAAATAATAAAATAGTATGGATCTTATTCTAACAAGAAAAATTGTTTCTTGGTTTCGTTTTTTACAATTTTTACATCGTGTTTCGTATTCGCAAATGACTTTATTCTGTAATTATTATTGTTATTATTATTATTATTATTACATCAAGAGCAGACAACCCGTTTAACGGGACTTAACGACTTTATTCTGTAATTATTATTATTATTATTATTATTACTAGTAGACCCCGCGCAAACTGCGCGGAATATAGCAGCGATGGATAAATAATTTAATGTAAATCTCAAAAAGACTTACATTGGTTACTGTATATCAATAGATTCATATATCCTTACGTCCGTATTTTTTGGAAATTATCTCCTAAATCAAGAGTGATTTTTGCAATAAGTTGATAATTTTATAAAATAAGGCATTGCACAAACGTTCCTACCTTTATCTTTAAAAAAATCTTAAGTTTTGGAGAAGGTCTAAAAGAATTTTTCAAAGTTGTAGTACTTAAGGATTGTTAGTACTTAAAGGTTGTTGGTTTTGGAAATTATCTCCTAAATCAACATTAATTTTTTCAATAAGTTGTTAATCTTAAAAAATAGAGCATCGCACAAACGTTCCTACCTTCATCTTTAAAAAAATCTTAAGTTTTGGAGAAGGTCCAAAAAAAATTTTTGAAAGTTGTAGTACTTCAGGGTTGTTAGTACTTAAGGTTGTATTACTTAAATGTGGCAGTGTAGTAGTACTTACTTAGTTTGTAGTACAGTAAGTAATTAAATGTACTCTAGTACAAACCTATCACTTAATCGCCGGCGTATCGATATCATGAATTTTTGAAAATTGTAGTACTTAAAATTAATGTTGTTAGTACTTTAATGTAATACTACGTATTACGTAAGTTGTAGTACTTAAATGCTGTTAGCTTCTAGAGAGTTCGCAACTTAGCAACCTAAACAATTGTTTTTTAAAATTGCCAATTACATCAAATATTATAATTTTATTTTTTCTAATTCTTCAAACCTTTAATACATTCTTAAATCCGTTCGATTACCTCAGAATAACTATAAATTCTTCAAAGTCGGCTTTAAAGCTTTTTTATTTCAAGAATTTCTAAATACTTCGACTCGGCCCCGCGCAGCGGGGCCGTTACCTCTAAACATTTTTAGCCTCCAGAGTTTCAAAATTTTAAAATATCTAGAAATCTGAGTACCTCAATATCTCACGGTCTAAATTGCCTAATTTATATGTAATTTCTGAATATATAAAAGCCGGCCCGCGGCCCGTATATTGTATTCACTCACGTAGCGGCTCTGTGGTACTGGTGGTAGCTTGGGCATTCACAAACCTACGTTACTTTGTAATACTGGTGGCAGCTTTGGTATTCACTAACCTAAAATCTAATAAATATGTATTTAATTTATTTTATTAGATACTGAACAGCTGGCTGAATGGCTGAAAATCTTGCAATTAGTAGCTAAAGATGCAGTCTGTGAGGTCACTTTGAGCAACTATTAATTGTTTTCCACAAGTTTCCATTAATTCTGCGCCGAAATATCGGCTGAATGGTGGTTTATCATTTATGGGCATCGTGTCAGTGATCCCACGCCATCCATTTTATCACCGTTTAAATACTACCTGTCGTACCAAAAAATTTAAGTTTTGAGTTGGCTAGATCAGCAATTTAAAGTTACATTAAAAACATGAAAAAGACAAAAAAATTACGGAAATTATTACAGTTTTTGAAAACTGATCGACTTTGACCGAAAAGCTTGAAAGCTGTCCGCATTTCTACGTGTTAAAAATATTTTCGTAACTGGCTTCGGTGGGGTTTTATATTGAAATATTTTATTGCTGTATGAAGTATATTTTGTAATTTCTTTCATTCTTCCATACCTTGAACACAACTGGTCGCGCGCTAGCGCGACCGACACTTGTATAGCCATATATCTACGTATCTGTATTTCCATAACTTACATTAGTTACATACATGCCGTATATCTACGTATCTGTATTTCCATAACTTTTATGTGCGAAGTGTAACCTTTTTCTTAACAGAGAAATCAGAAATACTGGTAATACCTTCGCAGTACAGTGTCTATTTTAAATTTTTTCCCATCCCGTCGATTGCACTTACATACAAAGCTTTAGAAGCTTTAGATTAAAAGCTTTAGAAGCTTTAGATTAAAAGCTTTAGATAACGTCAAAAATCGAAGTTTTTTCCCCGGAAACAGCTCTTTTCTTTTCAGGTTTGAGCTTTACCGGTAGCAATAATTCATTTTTTCCTGATCATCCATCAAGAGAATTTTACTCTAGTTGTTAATCAGCAGCTTTGAACTAATCCAAAGTTTTGCAATTTTATGTAATTTGACTTAGTCAAATATCGCTGGTGCCCTTGTCGAAACGCTTATCAATAGGCTTATTAATAGGTGCATAATAATATTTTTCCACTATATTGCTGTGCATAAAGAAAACAACAGTGTAATTACTACCAAGTTACCAAGTATCTGTGGGCTGAAGTAACTAAGTACTTAATAATTTATTTGCTAAATTTCGATGCCAATTAAACTATCAAATTTTTGTAAAAATTGCCCTTCAAAATCAAATGCTGTATAGTGTTACTGAAATTGACTCGGTTGCTAAACTTGCTACTTCGCGGGCTTCGCTCTTGTCACAGCTCGGCGCCTTTTGCGGCTCGTTATTATTACAAACGGATAAATTACTGTACTTGGAACTTTACAAAACCTTCTCGTGAATGTAATTATAACATTCGGCCCGTGTTAACTGCATCTATCCAATCAACTCCGTTGGCCACGCTAATCAGTACGTAATCTAATCCATTTATTCTGTTTAACGAAAGACGGTTTTACATTGATAATTTTTGCATAATATGCACGTTTCCGCATTTGTTGTCAAATCTGTGCTGCAGTGGCTAACATTAAGTAATTCATGGATTTCATTTCTCCCTGTGGCATGCTGGGTAAGCACACCATAAAATACTTACTCAAATCTCGAACTGCTTTTTCCGTGAAATCAAAACGCAGAAAATAGCGCAAATTCGGCTGGTACAGGATTTGACGATTTAAAATTTTAGTACTCGTATTTGCCATTTTTATTCTGTTCTGCTCAAAGCCTCAAACGTACTCTGTACAGTACTAAACAATAATATCGGAAACAAAAAGTGCTTATAAAAGCCACCTCGTGCGGTGGAGCTGATGTACCCTAGCGAGATACTGTACCCGCCCAAAAGAGCGCAGCAACTTTAAAACTGATCACCCGCGCTGTGTAGGGCGGCTACCTGAAAAACTTGTGTTCGGAAATGAGAACCTCGAATGTTCTCCAGATTTTTGCTTTGCAATGAGACTTTCTTATCAAATCTTGACATTCCCCTGTAGCCATGCTTTGGAGGTGAAATCTATAAATTCAGGGCTTTCAACTTATATATAGGCCTTAAAATTTCATCCATTGTAACGTTTTTGCTGATTTATCCAAAAGTGTGACTTGCTCTACTGGCAGTGGTGGTGTGATCGTTTTGCAGTGGTGGGTTCTCCACTTCTACCATAGACTTTGCATGTTAAGTTTTTTAAACTTTTCTTTCAAACCGTTTTCTTGTTTTGAAAACTGACTTTTGATGGCAAATATAGAAACTTAGGGCTATCGAATGGTATATAGCTATCGAAGTTTGGTTCAGTGTAGAGTCCTGGCGAACTGTATGGAAATGGAATTTCTGAAAGTCTTATTCTTTTAATATATAGAGATTATTATTACATCAAGAGCAGACAACCCGTTTAACGTTTAGCGTTTAACGGGTTTAACGTTTAACGTCTGGCCGCTACAAAAACAACGTTAAGATTACGACAGATCCACCATTCGGAGAGCAAATTTGAAAAAACCAACACCATCAACGCGGAGTATCTGCATATTAACGTTTTGTATGCGCTCGAAAATGTCCCTTAAACGCATGGTCAACGTGCCTTCCCCGATCTTCTTCTTCGCTTTGGCTTCGATTCTTTTTGGCTTCCGGAGGTTATACCGCGCTGTAACATCCGTAAAGTCAATCATGTCGACCAGGTACTGTGGAGGATGGTACGCTTCGTGGTTGTAGATCTTGTACAACCATACTGCCTCGGACTGCTTCCAACGGTCGTACACCGGCAGGATGCGCAGTTTCTGGTACAGCTCGGGGGTTACCCGCTCCTTGTAATCAGAAATCGCCCGCAGTGCTTTCCGCTGTGCTTTAGCCAGTTTGCCGCGCAAAGCCAAAGATGCCGGTGACCACGTATCCGACCCGTAGTCAAGTGTGGCTGCACACAAGCATGGTAAAGGCTCCTACGCTGGGGCAGATCCAGGCCGTCTTTCGCGCAGTTAATCATTGCGATACCGTAGTTAACTTTTCGCAGCACGTGATCTACATGCGTTCCCCACTTCAGGTTGCGGTCTATGAAGATCCCCAGATACTTAACGCACTTTTCTTCCTCCATCTGGTAGCCATTGATCATCACCACTGGAGAAGGTTGGCTGTTCTTCGGTTCGGAACAGATGTACATGAGTTTGCACTTCTTTTCGTTTATGCAGAGGGTGTTATCTGCAAGCCAGGTTGTCACACTGCCAATCTGCACGCTTAACTTCGCTGCAGCTTCTTCTTTCGTGCGGCCAATGCCATACAGTACCGTATCATCGGCGAACAATTCTGCGTCATTTCCATTTGGCATATCGTTTATGTACACAATGAACAACACAGGCCCTTTGTGCCTTGTGGCACTCCCGACCGCACAGGGAGCCAGTCCGACAGATGCGCTGTTACTTTCACTCTGTAATCTGTACGTTTACAAATGCCAAATGGCATACGAAGTACGCCTGCTTAAACATTGTTTTGCATTTAACTGCAATTTTAACTTTTTAAAACATTTTGTTATTGTTGTTATTATAAAAACGATAAATATTTGTTTAATTGTTTTACGAGCACTGCAAATCCCTCCACTGCGTCGAGGCAATGTTACTGTAATAATTATGAGGCTTTACAATTATTTAATTTTAAGTACTTAGACGAACACATTGACGCGAATGCGAAAACAAGCTGCCAGCCGTGCCGAATGAAGCTGCCTGGCGAAAATCATTCGATTGGTCGGTTTATTTAGAAATTAAATAAAGCGACCAATCGAAAGATTTTCGCCGGGCAGCTTCAATTCGGCGCGGCCGGCAGCTTGTTTTCGCACATAGTCCATTATTGTGGGATTTTGAATGATTGAATATGTCATGGTGAGAACGCAATAAAAAATTAGTACAATACCTGTAGTACAATACTGTTGTTAAAGGGCAACTACAACTACGATAATAAGTAATATTATTTTCTACCTACCCCTCGCAGTACGAAGTACATGTACAGTACTCGATAAGAGCACGTTTTATTGTACAGTAGAAGTACTGAAACCGCAATCATTATCAGTACTAATTGCAGACCAAATTCTACGTCAACAGAATCGTTTTTTTTAATAGTTCTGTTTTGTTCAGGCTTACTGCGGAAACTGCAGGTGTACTACAATTCTCTCAAACCATGCTACCAGCTCAACAAGTCCAAGTAAAATATAAAACTCCACCAAAAAGAAACAGACACTTAAATAAATAAATTATAACTACACCCCATTTTCGTCACAGCTCGAGGAACATCCAATATCTAAAGTCCATTTTCCCAGCAGAGGTTTGACAACACCAGATCACAGAATAGCTAAATCAATGGTGAATCGGCAACCTTTACGCAACTTTTAAGAACTGAAACCGGGAACGTTTTAGTCTTTTTTAGGATGAATGTTGTTTTTCTCAGGCTCCAAGAATTCCGAAATCATCGATTGTACCAGTTCGCCAAGTGTCTTTTCATATTCCTCTCGACTTCTAAAATGAATAAAAAATATGATAATGTTTACGCAAGCAGTGCATTAACGATTAACCTTACCCCGATCCTGGCTGACCACAAATTTCTGTGTAATATTTCAACTTCGGTTCGGTGCCACTCGTACGCAACGTTGCAACGATCCCTTCTTCGAATGTAAACGTGATCATCTGACTGGATTTACTGACCGGTAGAATCTGTGAATCATAATTATGTTAATGCAGGAAAGCCCACAAATTATGACACTCGATGACTTACAGGTCTGCCGTCAGGTTGAGCGCTGTCATAACCGGCTGTTAAGTCCCGCACACCGCTCACGTGAAAACGTCCACACACTTTTGGATACTATCAAATTTTCGTGTTAATTTCAAAAAACTATTGTTATCAAAACAATTAACAGCAACATAAAGTTCCTCAAATCTGAAATGCCGCTGGTCGTGTCATCGCTTACTCCGTTAGTCCCGTTGAAATTTCTGAGGCGCTTGAATATAGCTTCGATTGTAGGAGGATGGTAACACAGGAAATAAGAATTATTCGTGACGTGATGTCCATACCTTAACAAGTAAGTGACAATACATTATTCACATACGCCTGTAGTTACTACGTGTCATTTTAAGCAATAATTCTCCAAACAGCCATCAACATAATTTTTTTCTCGCAATACACGAAGCTGTCCAAAGGGAAAGGGAACGGGACTTACTTAATATGCAGAGACTCCAGAAACTTGGCAATCGTCATTCCGGTGGAATATAAATGCACAATCATTTCGGCAGCCACCATGCAGGCCGAAATCCCGTCTTTGTCCAAAACGAAATCTCCACACATAAATCCAATGGCCTCTTCAAAACCAAATAACACTGTCTTGCCGGTTTTCCGTAATTCATCAGCGCGATTGGCAATCCATTTGAAACCCGTTAATGTTTCCTCAAAGTTAAATCCTTCCATTTTAGCAATGGCCCGCAACATTTTGGAGGAAACAGTGCTGGCAATCATGTAACATTCATCTCCTATAACGTCACGAATAAGAAATAATATTTTTTGTATGTACATATGTCAATGAGAGATGTGTATGCGCACGGCTTACAGTTAATTATAGTAATTTAAGGTAATGCTGTACCTTTTTTGCTGTTTTCGTGCGCTTTGCAATAACTGTTCCACATCCACCAACCAAGCATGGTGCCAATATCGTTTCCAGAAAAGATTTTCCATGAATTTCTGCGGAGAAATGACTTTCGGTCATGATTACAGAACCACGATCGAGTAGTAATTATTACAGAACATAGAGCGTACCTACCGTGAAAGAACAAAAACAAATTCACAAGAAATTCAGTTCTATACTTGCTGCAGGCTTGAGAAATACAAATAGTATTCTAACACTTGCACTTTTACCCGGGTTGCTTTTCCGCCAGTGCGAAACGATCGGCATCGGGATCATTAGCAAGAATGACTGAGGAACCATGCTGCTCTGCTGTCACAACCGCCAAATCCTGTAAGGTACCAAGTAAAACGAGATAATGATGTTTAGGATTGTGTGCAGTAGGCATCAACGATATGGATAATCATTACCAAGGAACTCTTCCCTTCTTCTGGGTTAGGATATTCCACTGTGGGGAACTCAGGATCCGGGTTTTTCTGTGAACGAGAAATTAATTATTGCAATCGAAAATTTTTCGAAAATAAAAGTGACTACAGAATCTGTCTGCTCACCTGTTCTTCGACAGGGATAAACAGTGGCAGACGGAATGCCTTGGTGGCTGCTTCGACGTACGAATGTCCTACACCGTGCATCGGAGTGTAAACGAACTTCATTGTCGACTTCGCATTGTTGTCACTGCGTTTTGCAAAACTCATTGTCAATAAACCACCAAAAAAGTTTTTCATTTATTCATAAAAACGTTATCCAGCAAAGGGTAATGCAAATATTGCAGTTTCGCTATTTTTAAAATCATCACATCTATTGCCTCGCCCCTTTTCACCTCCCGTTTTGTAGGGCTCTTTTCGCACCCGGTATGTAAAGAAATCTTTGTATATAAATGAAAATAAAATAGGCTGCGCTGTTTTTGGTCCAGCTGAACTCTGCTTTCTCGAGGGATTTTCTAGCCATTTCCTCTGTGACTCCGTTCTTATAATCAAGTCGCCTTCTAGGGCAACACCGGAAACAGCTTTCACCTTGAAAAAGCTTTCAGCATATAAAATCCTCCAAAGCCATTTTAAAGGAAATTGCAAAATGGTGCGAACCGTACAAAACAAAAATTCAGTTTTAAAATGCTGCCAGCAATATCCAGGTGTTTTAAATGAAGAATTATTGAAAAAGCTGGCCTATAACTAACGGAGTGTAAAAAAAGGGGCGCCTATAAAAACCGGAGGTTTGGGAGGTGCCTAACAACTGTAATGGCACTGTAAAATATTAATGACAACAATAACGTTGTCCGTATCCGGAAAGAGAAATCCCCGATTCTCTTTCCGGGATTCCGGAAAGAAAATCGGAATACAAGACATAACCACAACGAAATTAAGCAATCTAAAGCGACAAAAGTAATACTCACCTATAGAGCGAAAGTGTTTTCACGGACTCCAAATAAGCTGCCATGATTTTGTCCAATGGATCAGTGAGCAACGAATGCTGAGAAGGAATATCCCACGATGCAGGCCATGGCGCTAAATTCTCCTCGATGGCAGCAGCAATTCCCTTATCATGCGGAGAGGTGATCTGGGCTCCATTGTCCCAGTACACCTTGTACCCGTTATCCTGCTTGGGATTATGCGATGCCGTAATCATAATGCCGCAGCTGCATTTCAGATTTAACACCGCAAACGGCTGCAAAAGCAAAACGCCAAAGTAAACACTGCTATAGTTCTAGCCAGCATTGAATAAACTTCAGTCACGGATGTACCACAAACGGTGTCGGGCAGATCTTGGAAAACAGATACACGGGTACTGACTGGGAGATAAAAACTGCCGCGGCCAACTTCGCAAATCTAATAAAACATCGAAAATCTTCAAAAAAATGACTACTTCTAAAAAGCTACTGAGCTAGTAGTAATATTTAACATCGCACAAAGCTTCCCAGAAAATCTTACCGATCGCTATTATGTCGATTATCAAAGCCGATAACAACACCGTGTTTCTGAATTTCGGGTTTTGTTTTCAGCAGATATTTAACCATTCCCTGTGTTGTTTGGATAATCACCAAGTCGTTCATGTGGTTGAATCCAGCGCTCATGCTTCCACGCAGACCTGTTAATTACAATTTACACGTACGATGTACTGGTACTATACGACTATATAAACATTTTTGCCATAATGGTTAAATACGTCAAATACCAGTAAAAGTAAAAACTGACAAATCCAGAAGCTGAAAATATCAACTTGTTTATAAAAACTACAATTTTCCACAAATAAGTAACAAAACGTCGAACCTGCAGTGCCAAAAGCCAGCCGCTGCCCGAGTCGTCCTTCCAACTCATCAAAACGTTTGGCTTCCACCAGAGCGGTAATTTCCTTTCGCGTTGCTGCATTCTACAAGAGCCAAAGATTACCCAGCTGGAAAGATTTCGCAACAGTAGTCAAAGGCTGACTTGATCCCAAGCGAGCCATTCTTCGACTTTGCGATCCAGTTCAGGACTGCCACCAAGATCCATGCTCTTTCGATCCATGTTGCCGTTCATTTTCTTATGGATGGCGGTGTTATCTTGTTCAGCTGCGATTTATTGAATGAGATGCTCCAGCAACAGTTTCTACAAAAGAAGCATGTACCTGTATTCAAACAAAATCTCAGGCTGATGGCAGCGGTGGGGAATAGATTTACAGACGGCTCACACAGGTATCCGACAATCAGCTGATAAATCCAAGAACTGATAACAGTTACTGTGATAAGCAATCGGCGTTTGCCGCTGTTTGGCATCAAGTACTTATGCCTTATGGATAGTAACTCAAGTACATTTCAGTCTGCACCGTACTCGCGATCGTACAGCAAGTGTTGCAAACAGCGATGCATATTAATTTTACGTTAATATACACTACAGCTTAGGACAAAATGGTCGCATACCCAACATCTCCACATTCAGTACGAATGCAGCGCAGTGCACTGTACGACTGAGTTCAAAATATCCGTTTCGTACAAGTGCACTGCACCGCTTGCGTACAGAATGCTGGGTATGGGGCTATGCGACCATTTAGTCCTACATTGTAAGGGTACTCAAACATCCTTTACGAGCGGCTCTATAACTTAAAGGGGTCAGATCCTCTAACTTGTAGCTCCGCCTCTGCACTGCCATTGGACGAAAGGCTCTATAATTTTCCTCTCTTTAACTTAAAGTCCTTTAACTTAAAGTACCGAAATCGTTACTTTTCGGTATAGGGCCCGCTGAGTTTGAAATCGCTAGTGCAAACTGAAACCGATCCTGCATCTAATGTGCAGATATCTTTTGCGGACTACTGAAATTTGTTTTCAATGGTTTTAGACTTTCTGTCCTCCTGTGAAGTGGGATGCGTAAACACCCATTCACACCTATTTCATCATTAACCGATTTAGAGAAATATGATTGGCTAGTGAGAGTTAAAGGGAAATCGCATCTATAACTTAGAGAGCCGTTCGTAAAGGATGTTTGAATACCCTTACTACTAAGTACTAACCTAATGGTAAGTACGTGTGCTAGAGCAGACCATGTGCAAATGATAAAACCTTATCAACAGCGCCTTGTTTATCAGTTCCACTCGATATCGTATCACAAGAGAAAAAATTGATATTGTTTTTATGATTATTAATTCATACACAGTAGACACTAATAGACAGCAGTCACTACCATTTTACCGACTCATATCGCTCTTTTTGCTTTTATACAAGTCGATAAAACCACCCGTTATACAAAGACGAACCCTAACCAGGTAAGACCGAGTCATAAAACATGATATTATTATCAGGCTTAATTATTCTGTGCTCGGGTCATAGGTCCACGACAGAATGCTGGAAGAAATTCGTAATGAAAAAAGTTTGAGAGGTCAGAAACAGGTAAATCTGGTAGATTTTCGACATTGGTAGTCTCGTTAATCGATAGCGGCACCACCGGCACGTAAAAGAAGCACGGTACCACGCCATGTTCCTTTGAACATAATTTTTTAAAACTTCGCCGATATTTTCTGCAATTCCTAAGATTTTCTTGAGATGGTCATTGTACTATTGGTTAACAGTCAGTTCAAAATATATAGACCCACTGTCATCTCATAGGGATCCCTATAAATAGTACAATCTGTACTAGGGTAGCTATCAATGGGATCAATGGGAAGGTGACCGTCGTTTTGATGTGTTTCCTCGCTGCATTTGTGAATTATTTATTGTCTGGAACTTTTTCCAGATGCATGCAGAATTGCTAATTGTAAGGAGTCGCCGTCGGACATCCCGGCGATTGTCGTAACCGATCGCTCCAGCTGTCTTATTCCAATATCACGGTACCATGCGGGACAGAAAATCGATGACGGGCTCGCATGCAATGTACTAAGTAACTTGTACCTCTATGGATCTTGCTTCTTGAATTTTTTGTAAATGACGGGATGTAAATGCGCAAGTCATACAACTACAGGAAGAAGGAAACCACAGGAAGAAAGCCTATACGATATATGTCTTACATAACTGTTCAACATTGACGTTGCGCCTAGCTGCTACATAGGTAAACTTTTGTATTGTACTTACTCGGTATTTAATACAGAAACCGGCATCCTGCGATTCGCTTGAGCCGCTGCGACAGCATAAGGCACTCGTTCAGCATGCGGCTTGTAAAAGACGCATACGTCGATCAATATTAACTGGAAATGGAAATCAGCCGCCAGGGAGCGGAAATTCATTCGTTTCGGCAAACTAAACTGTCCTGCAGGATGACTAACGATATCATAAGGCAAATACTTTGTCATCCTGAGTACGCAACTCGATCCAGGATTTAATATGCTGCCAACAGCATCCCGCACTCGGCGAATTAGTGCCTGGTATGTGCGCGCCACAATGGGTAGTATATGAACTATGGGATGAGAAATACTTCCGGTTGGGTGAAGGACGTAAAACAGGCGCACTTTGCACCGTATGCAATCGGCAATTTACCCTGAGCATCCAACGGATTAGTCAGCTACACAACGCACAGCGCACACCACAATTCTGAACAAACTTTACGCACCCAAGAATTTTTTTGAAATCTATTATCCGGAGAATCTGTCAGGGTGCGATAACTTTTAACTTATAATTACACGGCATCCCAGTCATTCTTGGTCTTGCCAGTTAAGCGCGTGTATGCCGTGTGAATCGCTGTTTAACCTTGGTTTATGGTAATCAATTATTGGGACTGTAAAAGTGCTGGAAAATGTCGATTGCTGATTTGGATTTCATGAATATCACTCAGCGTCGGAATTACATTGATGAAAAGCTTCGAGAAAAGGGATTAGAAAAAGTCCCGCTGTCGGCTGACCGGTTTCTTGAAATTTGGTCTCATTACGACAAAGACGGTGCGCGCTAAGTACCGTTTTTTACTGTTTACTTTTACGGTTTTACTACATTATATAAAAAGTTTTGCACAATTCCATTTCTCACTTTGCATATTGTGATAATAATGGTTTCGGCATTTACAAATTTTATATTATCGTATTTTACAGGAAATCTGACCATAGAGGAGCAGGAACTGGACAGCTTTTTGGATGAATATCTGACATCTGCATATGCAAAATATGTTGTAAGGAATCTCTGTTTAGTGTTATAAGAATGGTTTTGTAGCAAGCGCTGTTTGACACCTCTAGAGTAGAGTAAATTTGACAATGTTAGTGCTGAATAAAGCACGAGCAAAGTAGTCAAAAACTTAAATTATAAAATTAATAAGATAACTAACTCCCTTGCATACGTATTATGAAATCCTGTGGACTTGTCTGCAAGCTGCAAATAAAAATTCGGGAATTGTGAGATGTTGAGTTTTTATGTTTACGTATAGTATAGTATATGTATTCAGTTATTAATCGTTTCAAAAACTACGACTGCATGAGCAACTTGGTTGGTTAATGTTGTAGGAGGTTATGAAGGACAACGAAATAAAAGGAATAAAGAAGGTTTACATGCAAGGGCTCAATGCGGAAGAAGGAGGCCGAATCTCACTGGGATATGTAAGAAATTAACCCTGATGAGATGTTGTGCGCATTACGATAATTAACTTCTTACGTCAAGCAGAATGTAGTACTCAAAACAATTATGAATTTTTCATATGTTCCCATTGTTCCGACATGCGCTGTATCCAAGATGCCGTGCCGTGCGATTGTATGATTTTCTGTTTAATCGCGCACAGCTGACACTTGGCTGAGTATGCACTGTAGGCATACGCAATCATACTGTACAGTATGCTGATTGTAGATGGCCAAATTACTTCCGGTTGAATTGGGGATTTTTGTCCTGTTCAGATCCGAAAGTCGCACGAAAACCGCTGTTGAATTTATGGAGGTACGTAGTCGATAGGCTAAACGTACATATTTGTTTATCCGTTAGGATTCTGTAGCATTATGAATGGCAAAAGCCAGAATGTAAATCATAACGAAGCGTCAAAAAGGCATAATTAGGGATATTGCAGCAACGCAGTATAAATTAGCGCGGATCAGAATCAACAACTTTTGTAGTACTGTACACCTATAATTAAATTACACCATTTTCGCTTTTTTTGTACATGACATGCATGTGATGTTAGCTGTATTGGTGTTTAAACTTTAAACCAAAAATCGCAGTATATGTCGAAATTTCAGATTTGGAAGAAATACGACAAGGATTTAAGCGGCTATATAGATGCCAATGAGTTCACGGTAAATGATGAATTGTGTGTTAACTTCCTGCTCCCTTGCGACCCTCTCTTACCGGTTCATGATGTACAATGTATGCAATGTATAAATTAAAGCTCCTCTTGGCGGAAATGCTTCGCAATAATGCCTCCCCATCGGAAAAGATTGATTGCTCCAAGGCTCGTGAATACGCAGAGGCATTCGTAAGTTAAAAACGGTGTTCGGCAAAACACAGTAATTCGTTTAATGTTTAAGTTTTGCCGTTTGTTTTTAATTTTAATGTACTAATACGACCGTAAAAACCGGTATCATTGCAATATTAGTACAATTGACATTAGCACATGAATGTTTGTTTGCTGAAAGGAATGGTCCAGTCGGAGTCGACCATCAGTAAAATGTTTCCATTCATACTCACACATTAAGGAATTTTTTGTCACATTTGAAGGAAAAGTTTTAACAATAAGCTGCACTGGCAGACGTCTGCGGCGGTACGAATGCATCGTCTGCTGGTAAATGTGATTGGTTATTGCAGCTGCCCTTTTTTGACGTTAATGGAGATGGCAACCTTGGACTCAATGAATTAGCAAGGTATCGACACGAAGAAGCAGCCATGATATAGTACCTGTTACTCGACTTATCGCTTCTGTAGACAAATTATAAACATCTGAACAAACAAAAGTACCCGAAAAATCGACAGGGAAAAAATGCACGCCAAGAAGCGCTTTAATAATTATAATAACTAATACTTAAAAAAATCTGGAGACAACAAAAATTCCTAGTTGGTACTCTATCTGTACTGGCATAAAGGATACCATTTTAAATGTTTAAAATGATTGTGTGGAAGTGTGATTGTTTCAGGCTGCTCCCTTCCAGGGAAAATTTTGTTCAGGCGGCTGTGGACAAGGTCAGTGCTCATGTGTCAGTATTTGTAACTGCAACTGCACTACTGACTTTTGTGGTGTTCTGGTGCTTACATTTTGCGTTCCAATCGGAAATTTAAAGCACCGCCGTCCAGACGCCAGATAAACATATCCACTGTAGAATCCCCATTTTCAATAATTTGCGTATTGTTTAAAGTCCAACTAAGTGTGGTTAAACCGACTGGCGCAACTGGCGCCATTGTTCTTTTTTGAGGAGAACAATGGTGCGCCCCCCCCTCCCAAAAACCTAAAGACGGGCCTGGTTAAACCGTAGTTAAGCTGAATAGAGGATAGATAGGCACAGACATAGCACAAATGAAGGTCTGTTATATACAATACAATCTTAATATGCGCCTTCATTAGTGCTATGGTACAGATAGCATGTTAGCTTGACTACGGTTAAACCCTTAAGCCGCTATTTATAGTATTACTTGCCGACTTAAAAGGCTTGTTTTAGATGACAATAATAACATCATTAGTCGACATTGAGCATTTATTACAGGCGTTTTCTCTTGAGGGCTTGAAGCCGAAAGACATTCAATCATTACTGGAAAAATATGACAAAGTAAGAATAATTATGCTGAGCCCGATTAAAATAACAATGCATATCGCTGCACGTTTATGTGCAAAAAGCCGTTTGGTAATGGTCAACCCGACTATTGCAGCAGGACGTAAATGGCTCTTTAGAAGGTAATGAGCTATCGGCGTTCGTGCGCGACATCCTGGCGGCCTCCAACAGCGATTACACTGCTCAGGACGTGAAAGATTTCGAAAAAGTGATTATGAAAGTCTGCGATACCGACGCCAACGGGTCAATCGATGCAAAAGAACTGAACTTGATTATCACTTCAATTGCCCAGGCCAAAAGGAAAGGTCAGTGGCGAGTAGTTAACCTAAACAAACATACGCAAACAAATGTGCAAATATGCGGTATCGATTTTATAAAGTCATTAAAGAACCCCAAAAAATGCAGAACATTTACATTGATTATCTAATGGGTTTGTTAGACATTCAAATTTGAATTTCGTTGTCGCTTCGTCATGCATTGCTGGCATGGGCAAACTTCATCCCAGTGTAATTACAGTAAAAGATCTAGATCAATAATAAGCGTATGTTTTAGGTGGAGATGGGATAAAAAATTTCTACGCTGCAACCTGCAGCAAGAAGTAGCCTGCGGTTTGCAAACGAATTTTTTACAATGCAAAGCACAGTACACTGGTTTTACAATAGGGATTGCTGCACGGTTTTTTGTTGTAACGCTAAAGCTGTATACTCAATCGTGGTCAGCATGTTGAACAGGATATTATGTAATACTCGTAATATTGTACGTATGATGGAAGTTGTCCGATTAAGATGTTTCGGTTTTCATGGTTTGTTTTATCTTACAAGTTGCGTTTATGGATTTTCAACGATTATCTAAAAAGGTATGCTGCTACTTTCCGGCATGTCATTTCTTGATTTGTTTCGGTGCGGCATCGATTGTCGCTTTATTTTCAACTGACGCTGACATCCTACAGCTGCTGCAAGGAATATGATTGTGGTAATACTGGAAACGGAACGCAGTTGTACAAACTAACAACAGTATAAGAGTACTAGCACAAAATTAATTACAATGCCAAACCCGGCAACTGTCTAACAGCGCAATAGTGCTGCAATGATTTAGAAAGTAGTTTTTGGGAAGCGGTTCTGCATCATGAGTTTAGTGTCCATGCCACGCACGTTTTCCGGCATGGTGATACACGATTTCTTGCGGGTACAAAAGCCATTACAACAACCCCAGTGATCGGCCCACATTTTTTCGGGAATGCCGTCCAGAGCGCAGTCAGAGTCCTTGATACATCCTGGAAAGAAGGTACGAAGGTACGCTGTTGTAATAACAATTTCTGCAGAGTTAGACATTTGTCAGGTGTCAACGATATTGCAGAAATAAATAACGAAGTTGAAGTTAAACGAACTCACTCAGTCATTAAACCAACGTACAATGAAAATTCAGCCCGCACCACGGTCTGCATTAACTTTGCTATAGAAGTAGTAACAGAAATTCATAATTATTGCGCTATAAAGCGATGGCGGACTTACTTTCCCAGCATCGCTTTCCGTGCATCACATAATCGCCCCACGCCCAGGTGCCCATCGAGTTCAGTTCATCCGAGTCGATATCTTCGTGGTGGCTGAGTTTGTGCGGCTTCATGTGCTCGAACATTTGTGGCGTAATACGGCCGAGATCGCGAGCAATGGTCCACTCTTCGTAGTTCTTGATGTTAACGCATTCAAAGGTCACATTGCTGGGTCCACCAGAGCAGCAATCCATGTTAGAGCGGCAGGTACGCGGTCCACAGAAGCGGCATGAGCCCATGATGCAGGTGTGCAACGGCGAGCAATCCGTTTCCTTTGTGCAGGCTTTTTCTGTGGAGGATGTTGGTAATACGTATGTACAGATACGATTATACTCGCATTAAATTTTAATAGCTAAATCCTAATTGTTTTAACCAGAAGGGACCAAATACTGCATTTTGAAACTAAAATGTTTATAGGTTTATCAGTTTATGTATATTCCATGCAAGCCACGCAAAGCCGGCATTTAAAGTAAATATTTAATTTGAAAACATAATCTCAAAAATCATCAAAGACCACAGGTCAGCAATGTCTACACAAAGTAACGATAACCGGATTCATTACGGAATGTTCATCAATTGTTCTCAGGTATTGTCACTATTGTGCACGTACCGGTGTCGCGGAAAACTGGAGTAGTGAAGGGAACACACAAGTGCAGCAGCATGTCGCAGCGTAGTCCATCACCGCAGCATCTGTCGGTTTTGCAATGCATGGCTCCAATGGCTTGACCCTGAATTAGCTTCATGAAGTATTCCACGATCGGCACGGTCGTCCACGTTGTTGGCGTTGTCGTGAAGTTCTGTTTCGTCTCAAACTTTGTGAACTCATTCGTGGTGTTGGTGATCATATTGTTAGTGGTGGCCGCGAATGCGCCTGCAAATGTTATCGCGAATTCCAAAGCGAAGCGGGTTCATTTACGCATAAAAAACTGATGACCTTTTACAGTGAATCCTTAATATGAAGCTCCGATCTCAGTGAAAGTACGTACAATCTAATTATATCGATAATTTGACACTACAGATTTAATTTTTTATATATTACGCACGACACATTAATTGCCTAAAAATAGTTTACAAGAAGTTCTGATACTAATACGTATTATTGTTTCAACTTTCCAGTACGCTAGTAAGATCACTCAAATCAGTCAAATGAACCTACTTACCAGCACAGAAAAACAAAACACTGTATGGCAGCATAGTGCTTTTTGACGCGCAGTGTGGAATAATAAAGTATTTGTATCTCAGTAGTCAACTAACTGAAACAATACACGAGATCCTTTTCAGCTTTATTAGTTTTCGAAACTGACAAGGTATCATCCAAAACGAAATTATGCAGATGATTCTATGTGCTACCACGTGCACAAGCTGTAGATTTTTCTCGCTTCACCACAAACCCGTTTATGTCACTCCCCAAAGATATCGGGAACGTACGAGTTCATTATCAGGCGGAGATCGCTTTGTTTTCTTTCGTCCAATAAGATCCGTTTTCTGAACTGAGCTCCAGTACGACCGGTCCATTTCCCTCTGTCTTTAATTTACTGCAAGCTGTAATAAACCCCTAATTTTATTGACTGCACGTTACTGTAACGTGTTTGTGCCATTCCCTGAAGGAGCAATCAAGTGGAGCAGAAAATGTTAACAATACGAGTATGAGAATTGGCGCATAATGAGCTTCTTCAAGTGGATAATATGCTACATAATATCTCAGGACTGGCGCGACGTTCTTACTTAATTGTTATCGAGCCGGGAAGCTTTTGTGTAATTACTTTTTTAATAATTCATTTTATTTTGAAACTCCGGCGGTATGTATCTGTACCTAGCTAGTCTTGTTGTTAGATGAATCAAAAGATTGTTTTCTATAACTGTAGATTGTTTGTCCAACCATGATTCTTCTTAAGTAATCAGCATAATCCACTGGCGATTCCACATTAAAGCTATTGAACGATGAGTGTTTACACTTTACAATAACAAAAATTCAGACGTTAAACATCTTTCACTGGCGTTTATAATCTTGCCACTGAATTATTAATACAAGAGATTGTTAAACTTATTTTATTAAGTAACTAATTTTTGATAATTTGATTTGATTTGAAAAGTGGTTTTTTCCACAATAAGCTTACGTACAGTACTGTACTCATACTGTTGTCATGGAAAAATATTTTTTCGGAAAATTTTCATTTGCGCCAGTTAAACACCCGATTAGCGATACAGAGACCAGTTATTGATGCGTACTGTAATCGAGTGTTTCAAAATGATAAGATCGGTAGTTATTTATTAAGTATACTTAACTGTTCTGAGAATACATAACACTGCAACTGCAACCATGCAGCAGGCTCCTCAAAAGGCTTCTCAGGCAAATGTTACATCGGCTGCCCACAAAAGGCAAAGTCGACCAAGCTTAGGAGGTGATGACACTGTGAGCGAAATACATTTGCAAATGTTAAATTTTTGACATAATATCTACAGAATTTGTTTTGGCGGTGTCTCCGATGATTCTGGTGATATTTTGGTAACCTCTTGATGATAAAACATTGTAGTCCCGAAAGCACACAAATCCGAACATCAGCATCAAATTTCCACAACGGAGGGTTTGGATTCGGTGCGGAGTGAGGTGTGTTTTGCTCAACTTTGCTGATTTTCAAATATTAAACGCAGTGGTACCACGTAATTTGGTTGAAGACTACGAGTACTGTACGTAATGAGTAGAAGATTCATACTTTGCCACACCGGCCACAGAAGGCATTTCACACAATACAATTTTAGGAGCGCACCAGCTGTGTCACCGGAATATTTTAAAGTTACATTATGGCGCTATTATATTGCAACTTCTGAACGATTCGGTGCTGATGAGTTAACAGAATACTAGATCTACAAATAAAGTTCTTCGCGCACTAATTTCATAAATACCTGCACAAGCTGTTAAAGCACTGTAATAATCACTTTTATCGTGGAGTTACAGCGAGAATTTCTGTTTTGGAAGCAATCATTAGTTATTTAATAACTAACATGCGTAAAGGTCAAATGTTTCGAACTTTCTCGTACTTTCTAACTGCCACGATTGATCAAACAAATAAAACGCACATAATTGCTTAAGATTGACGAAGCTCGGAAAACACTTGAAGAAGCCACCCAGTTTCTGCATAATACAACAATGCTTTCCGGCGGATTGAATACGGCACCCACTGATGGCATAAATTTCGATGAACTGCGGAGTAAGGTACCTGCACCAAGGCGCAGTAAACACGTAACAAATAACAATAAACGTTCAATGTTCGTTATGCCATAATAAAGGTAGCAGTACGTTACAGTAGATCTTGTAAAATGTATGAGTCTTCATTTTTATTTATTTCATTGCACTGCAGCCAAGCCGCAGCTTTCTGTCCGATCGGAATTTGAAACTGATCCAGCAATTTATTTACTGACAAATAAATTTATTGCCGGTGTTGTCGAAAATTAATACACAAAACTCCAAGTATTTACTCTTAACAGCGTGGTTAATACTGCAGCTCAGAAATGATCCAAATGCTCCAAGCCACACGATGCAGGGCAGCGTAAGCGGCGATCTGGAAGTAAGCGGTACAACTAACTATACATGTACAGCCAATTTACGTTGTCTTACTGCAATGAAGATTTATTTTTATGAAGCGACAGAACAATCAATCTCTAAAACTTAATAATAGCAAATGCTGGAAGAATTATCAAAGGAAACCGGCGGAAACGATCCCGACATCCAGCAACTGCGAGACGTATGGGACACTACGAAATTTTTAAGTTATCAATTCGAAGCCGTTAAGAAAAAGGATACTACAACGAGCAATCCAAACAACGCAGAAACCAAATGAACTGGGGCAAAGCAACCAAGTTACTCTAGTTCAAATTTAATCGCCCAAATACGTCAAAGGCTATCCCAACCAAAGATCTGTCACTTTCTTATACGAATCAAATAAGCCGACTGACCAATAAGTCAATACCCTCCGATCCGGATCAACTTCCCAAAGAATTAGTTCTATTCTGTAAAGCTGAGCAAGCTTGCTGGTCGGTTACTGCCTCCACGATAAACTTTCACCAGACGCTCAAGAAGCAATGGATAGGGGCACATATCGCTCAAAAGTTTATAGTACTCCAACGGGCTATTTTTGTTGATAAGAAATCTGCAACAACAAAAACAAGCTTATGCATTATGCCCGAAGTTTTCCGCCTCTGTATTTCAACAGAAAGTGACGGATCAACTTACACATACCTAATTTAAGATTTCAAAAACAATACAACCAAAATCGAAACTACGGCAACTCGAATGGCAGCAGCAGACTTAGCAGTTATTATTGATAGTGCAACCCCTATTTAAATGACTAGTCTTGTGCTAACACCTAGTCCTGTGTTAACAACAAAGAAAACAAAACCATTGACAACAGGAATCGGACCTTGCGCACATGTTGTACAAGTCTGCGGGTTTATAACCGGAACATTTATGCAGAAATCGTTCATTTTCCTCAACCTCCATTGCACTGGGGAAAATTACTCGTGATGCACATCTATAAATAGGTCGAAAATGGAGAAGCCACAAAATAAAAACACCAACACAACGAAACGTATTCTTACTCGTAGATGATCTTGGTAAACCCTTCCAGTGCCAGCTTTTCATCATTCAGGCGACGTTTTACCAAGCAGACAAACAACGGAACGTTGCAGAACCATAACGGTGGTAGTGGCAGCCTATCCAGTGCACCCAGGACAGATTCTTGATCCTCGCTAAAAACACTATTCTCTGCGGCATATTTCACACCGATATCCGTTCCATCTATTGCACCAATATAAGGGGAAGACAATGGCGCCGGAACTTCCTCCGATAATGAGGTGCGCTTCCCACTGGCTGTCAGCACCGCATTCATGCTGGACGACGTAGAATCGTCGGACGAAGACGGTGGCACACTGTCCAATATACCATTGGTAGAGTCGTCATCCTCACTGAGGCCGTCATCCTCCTCGGCGTATTTTGAACCGCTATTCACATGTTCCATTTCAACATCAACGAATGGGGAAGACAACTGCGCCGCTAACAACGAGTGCTTTCCTCCGGACGGCGTCACATTGTCCAGTGCACCACCGGCAGATTCTTCATCTTCGCTCGAAACATTATCCTCCTCGGTGCAATGGGATTCGCTACCCACATCTTCCATTTCAGCATCAATAAGCCGGGACGATATCTGCCACGGTATTTCATTCGGTATAAACGCGAGCTTTCCCGTGGCCGGCGACGGCTTTCCTCTGGCCAGTGACTGCTTTCCAGAGCTTCCACTGACCAGTGACGACTTTCTACTGGCTGGTGCAGACTTCTCACTGGCCGGCGCCGGCTTTGCGCAGGCGGGTGATGGCTTTCCACTGGCAAATGATGGCTTTCTACTGGCGGGTGAAGGCTTTCCACTGGCAAGTGATGGCTTTCCACCGGATGGTGAAGGCTTTCCACTGGCAAGTGACGGCTTTCCACCGGATGGTGAAGGCTTTCCACTGGCAAGTGATGGCTTTCTACTGGCTGGTGAAGGCTTTCCACTGGCAAGTGATGGCTTTCCACCGGATGGTGAAGGCTTTCCACTGGCAAGTGATGGCTTTCTACTGGCGGGTGACGCCTTCCCACTGGCCGGCGACGGTTTTCCATTGGCCGGCGACGCCAGACTTATATTGGACGAAGCAGAATGATCAGACGAGGACGGTGACACATTTTCCAACACATCAATGGCAGATTCTCCATCCTCGGCATATTTTGAACCGCTGTCCACATTATTCTTTTTAGCACTAACCAACGGGGAAGATACCTGTACCGCTCGTCCATCCGGCGTCAACGTCTGCGCTCCGCCAGTCGGGGATGACAGATTAATACTCGATGACCCAGAATCATCGGGCGCGGATGGCAATATTTTCTCGCCAGCGGCAGGTTCTTCGTCGTCGCTAACCTCATCCTCTTCGGTACATTTCGAACTACTACGCGGATTATTTATTCTAGCATCACCGAACGGGGAAGATATCGGCAACGGTGCTTCGTTCAGTATCGACGTGCGGTTTTCACTGGACGGCGACGCGAGACCTATACTCAACGACGCGGAACGATCGGACAAGGACGGCAGATCACTGTCCAGTGCCATGATGACAGATTCTTCATCCACGGTAGAGCAGTTGTTCTTTTTCACACGTTTTGCACCACTATCCATATTATTTATCCCAGCATCAACGTACGGAGTAGATAAGCGTATCGGTTTTTCCAGCGGTTTCGACCTGCGCACGTTACTGATCGGAGAGGACAAATTCATATTCCACGATGCAGAACTACTGCGTGAAGACAGCCGCCCCTTGTCCATTACACCAGCGATAGATTCTTTGTTGAGATCAACATCATCCCCATCGGCACGCCCTGTAGCGATAGATGCATCATCCATTTCAGCACCAATGCACGGGGAAGACACATGCAACGGCTCTTCGTCATCAGGTATCGGAGTGCACATCTCACGGGCCGGCGACTCCAGAATTAAACTGCATGATCCAGAATGATCGCGAGGAGACGGAGACTGTAAACGCATGTCCCAGGCTGAAGCTGCTGAGAAGCTAGCGGATTGTTGTTGTTGTGCATCACGACGCGCCCGGGCGTGCGCAGCAAACAACTGTCGGCCTCGCTCATGACGGACTGAAACTTCGCTGCTGGAGCTACAAAATCAGACCAAGTACAAACACAACGTCCAGTACTGCACGGTGGTATCACTGGTATACTATGCTTTTAGTTTTGTGAGCAAACGAAATGAGCCCTATAATTTTAGCTCCAAAATAAACGGTCAATTTTGCCAATCAAAAATCCACTATGTCTCAACGTGAATTGAACGACTGAACCAAGAATCGCAAAATTATTAAATATAAGTTAATAATAAGTATGTGATCAAATCGGACAGTAATAAATTCTTAAAAGTTAAACCAGTTAACTGCAATTAGCAGCAATCTGCTTTCAGAATTAGGGCTTGGCCTTGCGGACAGTCCATTATTTACAGAGAGAAGATCCACTGCACTACTAAGTAAGTCTAAGTTACTAACTATAATAATTAATTTCAAGCGCACCTCGAAGAAGTTGACGATTCCAAGTTCGAGGAAGTATTTCCATTACTGCTTCTTGGTTGCTCTTGTCCTGCAAGTAAGTACATCATGTACATGTACACTAAAAGATTTCGCAGAAAACCCACTGTTACCTAGTACACAAACAACAACACCACCACCCGAAGCGACCCCTTTAGAAGCTGAACCAACTGCTAAAACATGAGTAAGTATGCTTACGGGCCCGGTAATCCTGAATATTTCGCGCATTTGTGGCTGCAGACTTATTGGAGCAAGGAACCGGAGTTCCGATCCCTGGAGTAGACAAGCCCGAACTGTCTGCGCTTTGATCGTTCTGCGAATCATTAGGTTTGCGCGCTTCCATTATCTAAAACTCCAGAGTCCAGATAATCGAAATAATATTCAAGTGCAAGCGATGTGTTGTACAATTAAGTAAGTAATATTCAATACTAGTAGACCCCGCGCAAACTGCGCGGAACAAATCAGCTACAAATAATTTACGTTATATACAGGCTGCTAAGACTCAAATTATGATTGAGATACTGTACTAATAGGAAGAATACGGATCATAATTATAAATTCTATATTTTAAATTCGATTATGTGTTGCAACTTGCAAGTGTACTGGTAAAATTACCTATACTTCTACGGTAGTATGGCTGACACCGCGCAAAGTGCGCAGAGGAAATCGACTGCTGCCTGATGATAAATGCAGTTAAAATAAAAGATAAATGCAGTTAAAATAAAAATTACCGCATTTGCTAATACAGTTAACTTCGCTGACAAAAACTAAGTTATTACCGAATTACCGTAATTATCGAATTTGCCCCTCCCCGCATAATAAGGCACTCTCCGTAATAAGTAAGCCCCCTCCCATAACCCGTTTGAAAAATAGCTCCTCCCCGAATTTGCCTCCCATGGGGGTGTTATTAAATGTTAAGCGCCACGAAATGATAGATATAAGGCCAATTGCTTCATAATAACTGCTATGATGTAATTAATAAACAGTAAACGGTCACAAAAATAATTCGGTGCTATGCTTCAGAATGCTGCTCGTAAGGTTCTGAAACTGCAAACACCGGTATCTACTGCGTTCAATTTCAATGGAACAGAATGCGCAGTTGTTTGAAAAATAAACGTCCCCTTCTGAAAAATACCGTTTGAAAAATAGTACCACCCCCAGAAATAACGCCTCATCCCCGAAATAAGACCCCCTACTCCAGGACGTTTGAACTTTTGCACCCCAGGGGTGCAAATTCGATAATTACGGTAAGTGATTTTTTTCCAGCGGCAAGTGGCAATCCCACACCAACTAACTACTTAATACTTAACTAACTATAAAAGGTTCAATTGTTGCAGTCTTGCAGAGCTGGCTGATAAACTGTAAGAAAAAAACTGCCAAACGATGTCTCACTTGGTTGCTGCTCCTCCTGCTTAGCGAGCTCGCTCGCGCAGCAGCTCCGTTTCGCCTTCTGTAAATATCCGTTTTTCATTACTAATTTTAAAATACCGTCTTTCATCGGTATAATACGAAACTAAAGAAACAGTGTCAACAGAGAAATGATTAGGTTAAAACTACCGCAAAACACTGCCTTTACCTAAGTATCAAGCAGCCACCGTCATCCCGCAGCTACTTGATAATTGGTACTGCCAGGCTGCCAGCAAGATTCGCGACGCATGCAGCTCACTTGGGACACTTCCCTAAGTTCCTGGGTCGTTTGTGCGTTCGGTTGTCAAAATAACTTAAATCTTTCTTGTGCCTAAATTTTATTATCCTTAAACCCACCGCTGTTAATATAATGTTTCTTAAAGCCATTGCAGACCAAATACATCAAAACAAACAAAATTTTTCGAATTTTGTTTCACGATATAACCCGCGCAAGCTCTGCAGCAAGGCAGTTACTTTAAGTCTTCGCTGATTGGTTGTGTTGGGGTTCCGTAGACTTTGTATGATAGGGTTTTTACAGTTTTCTCTCAAACGATGTTTGTTTTTGAAATCCGAAAGTTGCGGGCTCATCTACGAAATCAGCGCTATCGAATGATCCGTAAATGTTGAATATTGATCCACTCTGCGATTCTGGGGGATTTGACAGACACACTGATCACGCCCCCTCTTAATCTTTTATTATAAAGGATAAGTCACTGAAAGTGAAGGACGAGAAAGGCTCTAGGCAGACACGATGAGGATTGAGGATTCTTGCTAAAACTGCTACCGCGCTTCTGCGCGTTCCAGTTTAAAAGAGTGCATTAACAAAAAGGCGCGCAATGAGCATGCGCATTGTGCATTTGGTGCGCGCGGTACATTATTGTACAGTACTTACTTACAAACTTCCGGTGACCGGAAACCGTACTTGAGTAGATGGATGCTAACTACTGCTAACTACTAAATCAATAACTTTTACCGTTATTTTGCATCGCGTACCTGTACATGTAGCAACGCAAAAGGTTTAGAGTATCTATACAGCCGTTAAATTTACAGTTAAATTAAATTCCGTGAAATTTATTTTTTCTTTAGCTGTACGGCTGTGTCTGCTCTGCTGTATCGGTATTCTACACTCTTTACCATTCGTTGTAGGATCACCACGGTGTAAATGGTGCATCAAGCACGAGAACGTTTTTTTTTTGAAAGCGGAGACAACAGTAGAAAACACGGACACTTTTCTATCGGTTTTTTAGTCCCAATGATCTTTCGTGAGTACGGCAACCCGTTTTTTACCAAATTTTTTCCGATCGCTGCTTGAACAGAGTTTCCGGCCGGCCGCCGTTAGCGGTGACCAAATGAGAGTAAAATAAAGATGTTAAAGAATCAGATTGTTTTTTTAATTTTAAACATTCCGGAAATTCTTTAAGTAGCAGACGAGGTCTACAGATGCGTGCCATAACGCACTTTCCGTTCTGTTTTCGAAACAACAAATCAAATCAAACAATTGCACAGTACGGCTTTTTTGGTCAGTAGCAGTGATTGCAGAGTAGGGTCTCTTCGTTATTAACCTCACAAATTATTAAAATTTCGTACTTCAAACTGACGGTTAGTTAAAAGATCATAATCGTACATTAATTTCACTCTTGCTAGCAGTAAAAACACTCAAATTTAAAACCCATTATTAAAATTACTTTCTATTAAAAAGCTGTTCAATATGCATAATTTTTATTGATCACTGGTCAGCAACGAATATCGCATCGCTCTCCGCTGCAAGATTATTTGACAGAACATTGTGCGTTAAACAAGCACATCTGAGTGAGCGGAGCAGTAATTTTACAGGAAAAACTGGATACAGAATCTGAGAATAAAAAAACGTTGTCTGGCATTTTCAGCAAGACTCTGTAATCCGTATTATGTACACAAAGCAAGGTACTGTTAAAGTAATAACATTAACAGCAACAAATTTAACGTTAATTAATCCGTAGAGTTCTGAAATAAACGGGACTTTGGTACGTATATATGTAACAGCCGTAATTATATCATTATTTTACAATCCACAAACATGTATCCCACACAATAACTATCCCCAATGCACATTTTTATAAGATCATCTTCCGTTACGACCGCAGATGATGGCTTCCTTTTCTCTCAATAACGGATGATAAAGCGCCATTTTTACAGTCATCACCACTGCCGACGTCACCGCCCGGCGCGTGGTTATCTGTCTGCAGCCAAGGATGCAGCTTAACATCTTCCATCCGAATCCGCCTCTTCGGATTCTTCGTTAACAAGCGTGCAAGGAGATCTTTTAATTCAGGGGAAATGTCAGCATCCGCGGGAAACTCTACAGAATCATTGAGGATTGCTTTGAAGAGCTGGGGCATAGAGTCACCTTTGAACGGGACATCTCCTACGATTAGGGCATATAAAGTCACACCCAGTGACCACATGTCCAGGGCGTAGCCCGAAACCGGCTTGTTTGTCGTTCGAAGGCATTCCGGAGGCGTAAATGCCGGTGTCCCGTGCACGGCGGATACTTCCGGCTCGTTGACGGCATCAGAATTACTGGTGTCTGACTCTGTACCAGTTGAGTCTTCGGTATCGGAACCGCCCTCTTCGCAGAATCCAAAGTCAGCGATTTTTACTCGGCCTTGTTTACTTAATAACATATTATCCGGTTTCAGATCTCGATGAACAACTTTCTGAGAGTGCAAGTAATCAACACCATCCAAGATCTCTTGGAAGTAATTTCGTGCTTCCGATTCAGGGAACGGAGATTCTGAAACAAAAAGCAAACAATGTTTAAAATACACAAACTTAAATTTGAAAGAACCGCAATAAGGAAACTATAACTACGGCTTGTAAATAGCCACTAAACAAGCTTTTTTCGATTATGCCATGTTGTTTTATTGTTAGCCAGTAGTGAGCTAAGTAACGTAAACTATGAATATAAATGTTGGCAGAAACCAGAAAATCAATCTGTGGGGACTGAAACTATGGGGACTGAATACGTAGACTCCAAATCAACAACAAAATCATGTTAAAATAATTTATCACATTGTTAATGCAGAAGATGTCTTATTAAAACCAGTTAATACTTTGGCATTGACACAGGGGCGCATGCCGAAGCCTCGTGTATACCAATTCAAATAGAAAGAAAGTCAAACACTGCTCCGAGCTTTACAGTACTGTACTTAAAGTTTAAACGTAAACGAAAGATCTGGGCACGCGTGACACCTTAAGGCGTTTATCACTACTCAAACAAAAAATAAATAAAAACAGCATATTCAGCAGTACTTGATCATATGATACCTGTCGGAAGATCCATCAATGCCTGATCAAGAAGTTCCGTCACGATATAAATGTTATCATCGGTGGGATTGTCGACCACTTCAACTAACTGGATAATGTTAGGATGATCCAACTTTCTTAGAACATCGATTTCTCTGTACGTTTCAGCCAAAGGATTCCTCGAAGACCTATAAAAATTAACAATAATATGAGCACAAGCAACCACTACAACCGAAAAGTCATGTGATGTTAGAGCAATGAATACTTCCTCATAAAAATCCATTACCTCAGCAGTTTATTGTAACACTGCATCTTCCGTCTGGATAGTATTTTTACAGCATAATGTTGGCCGTCCTTCTCATTAAATGCCACACGGACTTCCGACAGACGACCGCCTCCCATTGAATCAAAGGATATTTTGTAATCGTTCATCTGGATGAACCCTTCGCTCGTAACAGATAAGCTGCAGATAAAAACAGTAAACGATAATAAAAACAACAACAAAACGGCTCATAAACACGTGCCTATGTAACCTTGGCCATTAATTATTTCATCGGCCAGCCGTCAAATGTCACTGCACATAAAAATCAAAACCTACAGCAGCCAATTCAGCCAGTGATTAGGTAAGTATAGTGCAATCATATGAATTTGTATACGTGCATTTTTTACGTAAACAGGAACCGGAAAAGGAACCTTCTGCTTTTACTCACTCTTAATATAATTTAGCTGGATGTTACTTCGAAGTGCGCGATGCTGCTGCGGGACAACTACCGTTTGACAAGAAACCAAAGCACAGCTAGGTGGCTGACCGTTAGTTTTTCGTGCCAACAGCATGTTGGCCATTTGGTACTGTCCCGGGTGTGACTCTGGGCATGCCGCCAGAGTCAATTTTGTAAAATAAATTTAAGTACAAATTATATGCCAGAAGAGACGAAAGCCGGTCCACTTAATTTCTATTTCAGGAGCTGAGTGTAGAAATTATACCCGGTAACGCTAAAATAGTGTTGGGCGATCTGACCGGTATTAAAAAGGTTTTCACTAATGGTAAGATTATACCGATGCACTGGGTTTGCTGAATGAGCACTGCAGCTTTATTCTGAAATATTGGATACTGCCAGTCATCAACAGGAACAAACTATGAACAGCATTAAAAAAGTCTTGTAGAAAGACGGTTAACTTTCATACACGTAAATGTACAGTACCTTGTAGAAAGATTTGTGCGCAGTAATGGCTGGAAAGCCTTCACCGCAGTATCCGGATTCAAACCGTCAATGTCCTCTGTTGCATCCACGATCTTTTGCAGTAAACAGGGAGGAAGAAATCCCGTCGACAGTGAATCAGGCTGCTCTTGCAGAACAGTAGCGGCCACAGCTTCATCCACGATAATTTCTTTTTGCAAGTTACACAAATCTTCTTCGGTATAACTGACAGGTGCTTCAAAGGCCATGTCTTCTAACGATCCTTCAAAGTCTGGTAGCAACTGCACGACGGTAACCTCGATGGACTGGTTGCTGGATTCGTCAGACAAATCTCTGACAATTCTATCCCCGCTTCCATTCACCTACAAAAATTACGACGTAAACAGAAATTAAAAACCACTTTAAACCAACTATGAAAATGAAACACATGTAATTCAAATTGCGCTTTACTGTTAGTTACGTACACGTAATTAAATTTAGGTCACTTCTATGCGCCCGGAAAATTTCCGGCCGCATAGTTAAATTGCTATGCGCCCGGAAAATTTCCGGCCGCGTAGTCAGTTTGCTATGCGCCCGGAAATTTGTCGTCGAAATTTTCAAAGCTACTGTACATTTAAGAATCTAGGTCCCAATACCCTTACTAAAGTGCTAAAATTTTTAGTACTTACTCGTATTGCTTTTAGTACTCGTACTTAAGATAGGGTGCGATGGGCACGAACGGGTTTGTTTGTAGGTTGCAAACCAAAAGAAATGCTGCTTACGAAATTGCAGATTACCATAAGCCATAAGGCATAACGCTTTGAATTGACTTTCAAAAATTCGAGGAATGCAGCCAATGAAATTAAGATAAAACCTTACGCTGTAAACAAAATTTTAACCGGTGTTACACCGGTTAAAATTTTGTTTACAGCGCTTATTTACACTAATGTTTCCGCCTTAAATTCTTTGCAATGGATTCTTCTGCTGAAGTATTTTTTAATGAGATTTGGCCAGATACATAAACAAAAGACAAAAAATCTAAAATTTCTAAAGCATTTGCTTTTTAAATCTTTCAGGATTTCGATTTGTGAGAAGTGAACGTTCAATTTGCATTTTCCAGGGGGTTGGTAACATGCATTATAAATTTTATACCCGTATGTACTGAACATTTTCCAATCGCAGTTATCGCAGAGCTCAAGATCTGTTATTAACAGATTCAAGCTTTTTGAAACTTGTTTCTGAACTAATGACCTCGCTCCTGGTGTTAATGGCCGCCCTCAAAATTATACAAAGAATACTTTTGTGCGCAAAATAACGTGCAATACGAGTAGAAATACTTCTAATTTTTCCTAACAAATACTTTATATACGCTTGGTGAACAGACACCGATGGTTAAGAATTTCGAAAGGGAAGACATTTCACATATCACATTTCACTTATATTATCCATTAGTTTAGGAAAATCTTTGGTTCTGTTAATATTATTTTATGTAGTAAGGTTACTGTGCATTTAATTAATAAAAAACACCCTTTTGACAGCGTGCCCGGAATTTTCCGGGCGCATAGCACTTTCGTTAAATTTATTATTTATGGCTAGTTCGCAACTTCGCATACATGGCTGACGAATGACGATTAACTCGTCGCAAACACGTTACACACTCCACAACTTGAATTTTCCTCAAGTTATCTCCACAAAATATTTTATTAGTAGCGTACGAATAATTTCACGAAAAGCAACATAAAATTTCGATGATGCACAGAATTAAAAAAACAACAGAAGCGCTACCTTTGGGGAGTTTCCGTGCACATCGGGATGTGCATTACAAGGCAAATTTTCAGATGCATCCACAGACGGTGATCCACTTCCATCATTAATAGGGTGTTTTCCAATGGAAAAATTCAGGGGCATTCCTTCTACAATCTCCGATAAAACTGCAGTGTCCATAGCAATTTTGTAGCAGTTTCTGAAAATTATACAACCATTGATAGTACCTGCCTTTTTCTGTTTTTATTGTACTTATATTATATTGTTCACTAAACGATCGTATTATAATTATATAATCTACAGATAATCAGATATGGTGCAGCTTTGGCAGTAGAACTAATTTTTATTTTTAATATTTCTTTTAATTTTTAATATTTCGTTTCTTTGATTTACTTATTTGATTGTTACTGTATTGTTCTGTTAAAGTTCTGTAATTAATAATTTAAGCGCTAACGCAATATTAACTCAAATACAAAAACAAACGACAGTGCTGTAAAATAAGTCGATCAGTTAAATCAGGCAGCACCACTGCACAACGGCGTTTTATATTTTTTGTTAACACTGTTTTGTGATTGGTTAATCGCTACACAATAGTAATACACATAATAATACTGTAATTATAACGCCAACGATATGGCCATTTGGCTACGTCTAGGCAGTAAATCACGTATTTGCTTAAATACTTACGCGATACGCATTTCAATTTACCACTAGTTATAAAAATGCAAAATTACTATTAAAATTTATCTAGTTGCTGCTGTGGATTCGCTATAAAATATCTCCGCAATTAAAGTTGTTCAACCATTCAAACTCGAAGCGGCTACCTTACAAGTTAGAAGCGTGCAACAATCAAGACTGTAGCTGGTAGCACTAGAAATAGTATTAATAATTATAAGGGACATAAAAATTAAGTAAAATATCTAGTCTCCGGCGCAGGCAAGTTATACAACAATGTAAACCGAACAAAACTAATTGTAAGGGCAAAGTTAGCAAAATGAACGCAATAATTAACAATTATTAACTCCCGGTTTGCTGGCCTCCAAAACACTCCATGAATTAGTTTAGTTACAGGCTACTGAAAATTAAAGCGAAGCGCCGAAGCTTTTAGTGTTGTCAACTTTACATGAGTTATTTATCGTTAACTAACTTAACTTCCCAATACGCTCGTTGCAAAGAACTGTGAGAATTAGAAAACTACAAAAAAGCCACCCTTAAAAAGTAAAAAGCTATTACTGTACATTATAGTTTATACATGCACTTACGCAGTATAGCGCACAAATTGTCGGGATGTCTCCGAATTTCGCAGAATCCGCCGATTGAGCTAAATCTGGATTTCCTGCTTTTAGCTTTGGTATGGGAAACAGCGAAGTGTATTGCAGCCAGCAATCGATATAATATTATTATAAAACAGCACCCGATCACTGCAATTAGTTTCAAGAATACCTCTTAAACCATAACTGCAGTTCCCAAATTTACATGATTATTAAGTACTGTAATATTATAATTATCTCAGCAATCTTATCCAGGGATTAATTGAGGTAGTATCATAATTCATAAGGCGCTTCCAAACTGGTGTTGTCACTACTGCAGAAGTAAGTACATGAAATCGCTTCAAAGTCTTTCCGCAAAGCGCAAACATAACGAAAGAGTCATAGTGACGTCGTAGTGCAGTACGATCGTGACTACTATAGGACAGGACAGTAGTCACGGCAGTGGAACCATTCACAAATTACGTAGTACATAAGGCGGAGGGGCTCGTATTGCTTGTGTGTAGCTAGATAACTTTGTATACGGTCGGCTCTGGCCGGGTAGTGCTCGCCTGTGGTCCGGCTCCGGTTGTGTACCCACTCCCACTTGGGCCACTTCGACTCTCTGCATTTCGTTTTACATGGGAAGAAGTGGCATTTTTGCTGTGTGTTGTTGTTGTTCATAACTTCACTCTACACTTCACAGTTTTTACAGCCTTTGCAGCATTCCACTACTCCAGTTCCATTTGTGGCTTCTTTTCAAAATTTTTTTATGCAGATAGATTGCTTGATGATTAAAAATACTTATCGCGAGTAGTATGCCTGTATGGCATATAATATTTTATTACGGACACTCACACTATAAGTACGCACGCGTTCGCCGTTTTCGAAAGCAGCCAGGCGAACGGCCATAAGCGGTGACAGAGAGTTTGGACGAGGCCAAAAGGTGCCACTGATCATATCTATTTGTGCTGCTCGTCTTCTTATCGAAGATGAATCTCATACGATCAAGCGAGGAAGACAGCAATACGCATGTGGCTGAGGAGCCCGTGGCCAATAATCGCAGTGGAGGCGTGAAGCGTCCAAGCCGTTTCAGTATCAGTCGTCCCATTTTCAGCCAGGCGAAGTACGAAATTCTATTTGATTTGTTGGAAGTTCAGTTTCTGGACTTTCCTCACGCCGTTAGTTCATTTTTAAATCATGGAGAGACGGCCATTACTGGATACTTTCGATAGATTCGACGATAACAACGAATCCGGAGAACACGGAACACCAGCGACGCCATGGACGAAATTGAAAAGACAAGTGTCCCACAAAATCTATCGGACTTTCAATTCGCGGACCAACTGTGCGCGGATTATGAAAAAGAAAATATTGCGGACATTCCCCATTCTCCAGTGGATGCCGCGCTATAATGTTCGGCAGGATTTACTTCGAGACTTAGTCGCAGGTGGAGTAGAGCCGAAGTGAAACTGCGATTTTGTTATTTTGTGCTGCTTTTAATTGGGCCAAGGTAACTTTAATTGGGTTATTGTTTTTTTCAGGATTGACTGTGGGTATTATGAATATTCCCCAAGGTACGTCGTAGACGATTGGCATCGCAAACGTTTCCCATTTTATATTCTGCGTAACCTACTACAGGAATGGCTTACGGAAAGCTTAGTGGAGTTCCTCATGTATTTGGACTGTACACCAGTTTTTTCCCGCTGTTGATATATACGCTAATGGGCACATCGCGACATGTTTCTGTTGGTAAGTAATTTGCATTGAATTCCCTCTAATTAAATCTGTTTTTTGTGAGCTTGGGAGATCAGCTTTTAAATCTTACATAATGGCGGTAACGCGAGGATTTTGATATTGGTTGTTAGATGAGCAGACCTGCTGTGATTTATTGGTTCTGGTACTTTATGGAGTTGATAAGCTTTTGTTGTAGTGATAGAAACGGTTTCTTTGATCAGCCGATATGTTTCAGTGATTTATGGTGCTAGCTTTTAAAAATTGATAACGCTGGCGTCGTTTTGCTGTTTCTGTAATAATTTTTCTTTGCCTTGCAAGTTAGAGCGATTTGCAGTGGTAATTGGTAAACATTCAGGTGCCGACAATGTTGGCATGTTTCGAATGTGGCGGCTTCATTATAGTACTTTCTATAATTGCTGTTTACAACTTTTGGCTTCGTGAATGGCTAGAGCGGATAATAATACGTAATTTTATTGCTAATTAGGGTATTCCTGTACGTAAATTGAAATGATCGGCACACGACCATGAGGTACCTATTTGACTATTTGTCCTTTTGGACTCTGTATGTTCTGAAACGCCGTTGGTTAGGTGGTTCAAAAGGTTTCGATGAAGTTAATTTTTTAACCACTTCGCTCTGGGATTGAAACAGGTGATTAAACCTCATTCACTAAATTGTTGACTAGATGATTCTGTTTTCATACGGTATCGTGTAGGCTTCGCACTGACAATATATAAGACGTAGAAGTAGCATGCGTGACACATTAGTGAAATCTTATTCTTTGAAGTGAGTTTGAATTTCGAGGAAGAAAATGTTTGCTCTGCCTTCTGTATGCCAAATAAATCGTTATTATGGTATTACCGTATTATGACTCTTTTTCCAACTGGTTCATGCCAGTCGATGGCAAGTGGGCACTGTGCTGGTGAACTTCGATGGTCGCGAACGTAATCCACAAGCAAAATGTTGATCCGGCGTTTTGATCAATGTTGTAAATACCACAGAAATATTGACAGCGAAAAATTCAGCTATTATAAAATTTTCTTGTAGGAACGTTTGCCGTTGTGAGTCTTATGACCAGCAAAATTGTCAAGCAATACGAAGGCACGGAAGCAGATCATCTGCGTTCGAGGGGTTTGATGATGAATACCACTGGTAATCTGGATGCAGAAGACAGTAATCTTCCCGCTCGGGTTGGTGTACTCATCACGGTGGCTTTTGCGGTTGGACTGTGGCAGGTGCGTGTTATGTAGATTGGGCTACTAATTTTTTGTGTGCATTTGTAACTAATTTATTTATCGCTTGGCTGCGATTTTATTTGGTAATTTATTTTTTCAGGCCGTTTTAGGAATAGTTGGACTTGGATCACTTACAGTGTATCTTTCCGATCAGCTCGTTAAAGGGTAAATGACATCCGCAGCGGTTAATTACGGTGTCTGTTTTATTGGCATTTGGCGGATGTTATTGTTGTTTTTGATGACTCACAGATTTACCTCGGGTGCTTCGTTCCACGTGTTCAGCAGCCAGTTGAAACCGGTATTTGGAATGCAGAATCTCACTTCACATTATGGCGCTTTTAAACTGTTTAAAGTAAGTGGAATGAATTGATATATTCGGGAATCGTTAAATCAAGGGAGCATGGGCGTGAACCTTTTCTTTGATTTTAGACGTATTCGCAGTTTTTTGTTAATCTTGCAACACATGACGTCAATGTGGCCACTCTGATCATATCTTTGATATGTATCGTATCACTTCTTCTAGTGAAGTATGTAGAAGTTACTCGATCAGAAATTTGTAATTTCAGAATTGTTTTCATTCTATGTATTTCAACGGTTGCAGGTACCTTGTGAACGAAAATAAGAAGGTTATAAGCTGGATAAAGTTTCCACTTCCGGCAGAACTGCTGATTGTGAGTACTCAATTGCGATAGGCATTTAGGATAGCTCGAACACTTGAAATTTTGCCAGTCACTTGTTTCACAGCTCCGATTAAGTTTTTAATGAATTGAATGACGTTTGTAGTTTTGCTGTAGGAGGCCATAACTGGCATTTTTTTCAATGACTAGGTTATCTTCGGCACGCTTGCATCATGGAGTTTAGATCTCAATGGAAAATACAAAGTCGTCACTGTGAGAAAGGTTCCTGTAGGCATGCCTGAGCCGCAAGTCCCCGACATGGTCTTACTACCTCAGATTTTAGTGGATACATTTGCTGTTGCCGTAGTTGGATTTACAATCACGGTGTCCCTGGCAAAACTATTTGCTCAGCGTTTTAAATATGAAATCGACCCAAATCAAGAGCTGAAGGCCTTGGGCGTCACTAACATATTCTGCTCGTTTTTCCAATGTATTCCGGCCACGGGATCGTTGGCTCGCAGTGCTGTACAAGTAGCGGTGGGCGGTGCGACACAGGTTAGACTGATTGAGTATACATTTTATACTTGAATTGCCTAGTGTGAATTAGTAACAACGCACGTATCTTGGTAAACTGATCCGTTTTTTTTTCTTTATTGGATGATCTAACACTATTGCAAAAATAACAAAAAATACTGTAATGTAGCGACTAAATTTTACACTCACATGAATGGTACATGCGCGTTGATTTCAGGTTGTGAGTATTATCGCAGCATTATTTGTGCTCGTCGTGCTTCTGAAACTGGGTACTTTATTGGAGTCTCTCCCGGAAGCTTGTCTTGGTTCAATCATTATGGTGGCACTAATAAATATGCTCAAGCAGATATCGGAAGTGACAAAGCTTTGGAGTATTTCATTTGTTGATACGGTGAGAAAATAGCTCATGATCGCGGATTGTTTTTGGTAGCCGGTTTTCTTAGGTATTCTGTTTTTGCAGTCCGTCCTTTTGGTTTCGTTTCTGGCTGTCATAATTTTGGATGTGGATTCTGGATTGGGAATCGGAGTTGGCTATAGCTTACTGACAGTCATATTCAGAACACAACGGCCGGAAATTGGGCTGTTGGGACGCGTTCCCCAAACTGATATCTATAAAAGGATTGATTCTTACCGAACGGTACATAGTTTTCAGAGTGAACATTCATTTCTTGCCTGTTGTCTTGGGTTACATTGCGGTCACACTTAAGCTATCATAGAAGCAAATTTTTTGGAACGTCTGCAGTGTACATAATATACAGAGCGACGTGCAAGTTTATCCTTGTTGTCGTAAGCTCACAGACGTTGTCTTTTGAAGATTGGGAAAGTGTTTGAGAAAAGAGCATCGTGTAATGTGTCTTTCTTTTCTTTAGGCTATGGAAGTGCCGAATATGAAGATTATCCGCTTAGATGCTCCACTTTATTTTGCCAATGCCGATTTTTTCCGTCGTACCACCTATGAATTGTGTGGTTTGGATGGCAGAGTGGATTCTCAGTCTGATTTACGTGCTTCTCCAATTCAGAAGCACCCTAAATACCGCAGTCTTTCTGATACGCAGTTTGCTGCTGCCTGGAATGATCAGGAGGTTGATTTATCCTCCAGCTCATCCATTCGTGTCATCCAGCCCAATAGCGCTTCGTCGGATTCATCGGTTTTGCCGGGTAGTCCTGTGCCATTGATAGATTTGTCGGACCATTCGGTTCTGCTTGGAGCGGCGACTCGCTATTTGGTTTTCGATTGCTCTGCCGTCTGTTTCATGGATATCACGGGAGCCGAAATGCTCAAAAAGATGGCGCAGGAATTGAATGCAATGGGCGTGGAATTCTTCTTGGCAGCTTGTAAAGGTATGTTTGATTTAGTCTCATTGCATTGATGACTCATTGGCCGCCGACTCATACACCTTCACGAAAACTGGTTTAAGAGAGCTTTTAGGCTACGAAGGGCTTATAGGTTTTTTGTTATTTTAAGTTAGTAAGCTGAATGATTGGCATCCTGCAGATAATTCACTGGGCTATTTTATTAAAAGAAATTACAGTCATAAATAAGTGGCAAGCGACGGTGTTGTAATTTTGCTTGAATATGTAGAAATTCCCATAGAAAATGTGGCTGGACATTTTTTGACGTTTGTGAGTTAAAGACTCTACTTTTCCCAGCATAATGCGCTTTTGAAAATATTTTGTTTTTTGTCTCCAAAAGCTTTGTCTTATCTGCGTGTAAATTTTTTTTTCTTATTGTTTAATCAGATTTTGTTATTCAGCTTCTGCGCGGGAAACCTTAGCCTTAAGTGGATTTGAGAAAACATTGGGACCGGATCGTTTGTACCTAACTGTTCATGATGCGGTGCTTTACTCAACTCAGACGGATCCGAATAAGTCCAGTACAAGTGGATAAATTAAGTACAAATAAGCGCTGCTCCTTTTGCCTGATTCAGTTCCAAAGAAAAGCCGATAGTTTTATACAAATGTATACGAATACTGTTATTTAATTTTGCAACTCAGGGTACGAACTGGTTGGCTTCGTATTAATTGCTCGTGATTGTTGTTTTTAAGGGTCTATGCTGATTTATAGTTTGTCCCCGGTGCCGCACAGAATTTTCAGTGTATTTCTGTGCTTGAATCGTCTGTGTTTTATCTTTTATTAACTTCGTTTTCGAAACTTGTGGTCTACAAATGTGATCATTATTTTTTCAAAGGCTGATGATGTACTTCTGGCTTTAGACATGGTTGTTTCTACTGCTCAAACTTTTGGAAACTGGTAGTAAAAACGTTTGAATATTAAAGTCCAAAATTATGATGACAGGTTTAGACGTGCTGGTAAACGCGGTGGCAATAACTATTAACTGCTCACATAATATAAGATAACATGTACCGTTACGATCATGAATCGCCTTGGCTTTCTTATGTGATTATTAATTTATTTGCTGTACAAATTTGAACGGTGTATCTATATTTACGCTAATGTCACTTTAACGCTTATGCAGTAGATGCTAGTAAGTTCATAACATTGATACTTTGTGGCGGCGGCGGTTATTCCGAACATTTGAGCACTGGTTTGGAGCATTTGAGCACATTTGAGCATTGGAGTACCGGAGGCGGTTATTCCGAACATTTGAGCATTGGTTTTCTGCAGATTTTTAATAATTTCATGTCAACACAAAACTAATAATTTTTAGCTACGGAAACAGTGATGGCAGCGCATCTCCAACAAAATAAATCATAACACAAAGTACTAGTACCTCCGAATGCCTTGTGCTAGAGCACTTAAATTGCATATGTTTATAAATATAATTATAGAGTGTACCCACTAACTTAACAGTTAACAACTGACAAAAAATTTGGTGCGGGAGCAAGGTCAAGGAACGACAAAATCGCGGCAGTGGAGAGTAGAGAAAAAAACGACGGATGCAAATCATGCAATCCCTGTTGACGCTTGTTGACCTTTGCTGCGATTTGCGGTTTTGGTTTTCAAGCCCTTTTTAAGTAGTTTTGCTTTTCCGTTCATTGACTGTTGTATGAATTGTCATCAGTTGCTGAAAGAAATGCCTTCGTGATAGTCTACCGTTCACCAGAAGGAGGTTTCTTTGACTTTAGACACGGCTTCCGGTTTCGGGGATAAGTAATAGTTGACATGCGAAGACACCAGTTCTTTGACACGGGTGTATGTTTCAAGTACGAAAGCAGACGCGCTCTGCAGATAAAATTCGTAATCCGCGGTAATATATGCGACGGCATTAATTGTCTGTTCAATAATATCTTGAGAAGTTCTGGAAAAATGTTTCAGATCGTGGATCAGCCGTAATCTCGCACGATCCCTGATTTCCCGATCGCCAAATGCTTCGCGAAGTTCATACAGAACAAACAAACACCACAAGACTAACAGTGTAGCCAGGAAATTTATCAAAACGCCACAAAAGGTTATCTGCCGCATCTCAGCTTGCATCGGATAGAAATAAGGTATTCACTGATAACATCCATTTTTGTCAGCTTTCCTGAACGTTTTGTTTAGGTACTAATTTTCATTTCTTAATTTGATACTGATAACAGAACAGATTGCTAAAATATTGTATGCAGTCAGTTAAAATTGCTGCATTTTTGGAACACGTTGTTGCACAGCTGCTGAACTGATACGCTCGCTACAAGTCGTTTCCTGGACGACATTACTGACTTCTGCGTGCATACTCGTACTACAAGTACGAGATATTATAGTAAAAAGTACGAGAAAAAAGAAATCGTATAAAAAGAAATCGTTAATGATACTATGGATCAGTAAACTAGTGGTGGTTGTGAACCACTTTACTTGCACCGAGTACGTACTGGAATACATTGTATAATAAATACATCGGCATTACCGGGTTGTCCGCGTTGGTCTTCTTCCTTTGAATAAGTCATCATAACAGAATTTAGTAATTACTCACTTTAACAAGTGGGGAATTTATACAATTATTATTGTTTTTCACTATTATCCAAGTTCCAACGTACTTTGAATGATGATTCTTACCAATTTACTGTTAAGGTTTTTATTTAATTTTGAAATTTTTGCTTGCCGATTTAACTTTGTAAAACAAACAAATTTGTACCAAAAAATTGTAATTTTCTAAACTTATCCAACCAAAATGTGAACCCATTGTGTTTCAACAATTAGTATGTGTGAACAAAGGTTTCGACGGGTTCCATCGAACGGAGGATTTAGGGCATCCATTCGGCGGATTCCATCCTAATCATAAGATCGACTGTGCATACTTATCAAATCGACTACCGTAGTGGACGAGTCATGATCAGTGTTACCCACCTAAAACATTCCATGCTTTTAAACCACAAGCATAGCGTATTTATTATAATTAATATAGAGTTAATACGAGTACATAGGACAATATTAATGTGGTTGGAGGGTCCGTTGATTGTGCAGTTTATTTGCTCTTTCCCTGCCAGTTTGCAAACTACCGTCTATTGCGGCTAACATTATTTTGCATGGTGCCGTATGACTTTGTAAATGCAGACAATTAAAATTTGAAAGTGTTTGCGTTCATATCGATCCCATATAAAACTTAAACTGTGGAATAATTTCTTTTGCCAATTAACTGAAATAAAATTACTGTACTAATGTACTGGTTTATTGAGATGGACACCAGCGCAAATTACAGTTACGCACAAAAGGATACATACTTTATATATCACGGCGCATCTTCAAGCTCTATAAGGCAGTTTTCCGGTTCGACTTTTCTAATGCGAAACAAAATCCGAAAAAAATATATTAAACATGTTCGCGTGTAATCTGTAATTGTATTGTATTATATGCATTCATCTAATAATAGGAGTTGTAAGTACATCAACGAAACCAATCTGACCAAACTTTTTGAGGTGTAAAAACTGAAGAATTCCAAAGAAAATTCAGATAATACCATTTTATCGAAACTGGTATGTGATTATGTGTTGGGAAATGAAATTAATACATATATCTGAATTTAAATATGCACACCTACAATATGCAAATATCGTAGCAATGACACAATTTAACTACGCATTAATGCACTTTAAAGACACTTACTGACTTTTAACGCGTTCGGACCGGCAGTATTTTGATTTTTGATCTGGTATGAGTGTGATACCGTATCAAATTTTGCTGAAATGTCGTTTTCTTTGGTCAATCACTGGAAAGGTATCAGTCGGTTGTATGCCGCAATGCAGCCCTATCAGCTGAAGCTGCAGCTAGGAGTTACGAATTTTAGATAGCCAAAAGGATGAAGACGTGAGTTATACAGACCGGTACGTTTTAATTAATGACGATCGAATATTGTTTCTGCCCTTTACATTACTGGAAAATGCGATACTAAACTTGTCACCTGAAACGCTTGCAATATTTGTTTGGACCGGATGAACACAGCGTGATATGGATTTATGTTACTAACTGATCCTTAATGTTGGCAGACGTAAAATCGTGATTGCACCGCGCTCGTATTAAATGGTTCAAAAAGAATATTTTTCTTCAAAATGAACTCGGGAAAACATTTTCTTGAGCCTCCAAAAGATCTTGCTCGAAAGGACGGAAAGAGAGACAGTTTGCGACCTGACACACAGCTCCGCGTGACTCGGCCTATTCTAACGCAACAGGCGTAAGTTGCCCACTTTGCTGTTGTTTTATTTGTTTGAGTACACCGGTAGAATACTGAATCTTCTGCACTCTGAGTAATCTCCTGCCAAATTATTTCTGTACGATTTTGTTCATGTTACTTGAGAGCTGGCGAGAAAAAAATCTGAAAGGTCACACCATCACAAACAGAAACTTATGGTGGTTGGATTGCTGTGTTTGATCCCGTTTTTTTATATGACATGCGTTGTCAAAAATGTCCATACCTGTCAAAAATGTGGACTTACATGCATATAATGACACAATTATTACGCGTAAATTTTTTAAAAAGATGTTTGGGCATTGACAGTTTTGATTCCAATTATGGCCTATTGGAACCGGGACCTCCACTGCGTCCCTGGGGTGAAATAAAACGAATCGGCGGCAAATTATGGAAACGGAAAACGACGTCTAATAAATCTTGCCCAAAATTGGCTTATTCCTTTATTACCAGTTGGTTTCCCGTAATTGCCTGGCTGCCAAAATATGACTTCAAAAGATTGCTTATACCAGATTTCGTGGCAGGTGCTGGCAGTTTTTGAAAATTCTTTCATTTAAGTCGTGGTGTTGTAAAACCTCTGCAATTTAGGTATCACTGTGGGCGTTATGAATGTTCCTCAAGGTAACTTTGACGACTCTAATTAATTTTAAATATTTGCATTATTTTTGAAGTTTGTTAGCGCAGTCCTAAACTGTACGCAGAGGACATATTTCGCACTGTATGGAACAATATCTTTTCAAAAGCATCCCTCCGCATTAACAATATTTTCAAAACTGGTGCTTTCGTATTGCTTATAGGGATCGCATATGCAATCCTGGCCGGATTACCACCTGTAAGTGCATAATATATATCACTGCATTGTACATAACATTCTAGAGCAAACAATAAGGCAACTCTTTGGAGGACCATAATGTACATCTTTATTTTCTGCAGTCGGTAATTCGCTTTCGCCTTTGCACGTGAAAGCATGACACTAAAATAGCAAACACTGGATCCGTATTATTTAATTTGATACCTATATTCGACCATGCAACAGGTCTGTGGACTGTATACATCTTTCATCCCGACGCTGTTCTATTTCGCAATGGGCACATCTCGGCAGTGTTCAATGGGTACAGCTACTAGCATTTTGTACTCAAATAATAATATAAGCAGCTAACTCCACCGATTACAATATAATATCGGAACCAACTGTTTTGAATGCTTTCACAGTTTATTAAATGACAGGGACATTCGCCATTATATCCATGATGACGAACAAAATTGTGGGATCGTATTCTAATCCGGTCAGTATGAGCATGGCTACCACTCTCGGGACGACCGTGGCTCCTTTGCTCAGCACCGGTAACAGTGGTATCGTAGAAAATTCAACGACACCGTTGTTGCCGGTGGAAAAATTCAACGAACGAGAAATCGAAGCGATTCGTGTTGCAACAACAGCCGCATTCGTTGTGGGATCCTGGCAGGTGCGAACTCCTACGTAGTTATAAATAATTGCTTGTTAGTGCCGCCATCTATGATTAGTTTCCCCACTCAGAACAGTCAAATCTATCACCATTCGTGAAAAATAAAACCTGCCTGTTATTACAACAAAACGTCTCAGAATTGAGGCTTTTAATTACATAACTGTAAATATGAGACACTGCCATATGGATGAAATGCCTATTTAAACTATTGGTCTTTTTCTAGCTTCTGCTTGGAATATTAAAATTTGGGGGCCTGACTGTTTATCTGTCTGACCAGCTGGTTCAAGGGTATGAAAATTGCTTTATTGTTCAGTCTAAAAAACATTTTGCATCTAAAATATTACCATGACACCATAACTTAATTTTTGTATGCGTATCTTATTTAGGTTCACGTGTGCATCGGCATTCCATGTTTTCAGTAGCCAATGTAAGTGAACGACCAGGAACTTCTGTAAAAGTATTCCGTATAATTGGGTATACTGGAATCGTATTGGGTATACTATAATTATTTGTTTTACTTTAGTGACATCTGTATTTGGAGTTAAAGGACTGCACGAATTTTTCGGACCATTTAAACTGGTCAAAGTAAGTAGCTAATTTGATTTTAGTTGAGTTGACCTAGCCTACAGTTTTTAAAAGTTATACGTACTTTAAGATACAAAACTGCCTTTGTTAATTTTATTAGCGGTTAATCTGTAATCTGTATAAACAAAAGGTCATCATACTACTTCTTTATATTTAATAATTTATATTATTTTCCGGCATATTTGCAGACTTACATAAGGTTTTTCGAAGTGATTCACACGGCCCATCCGCCGGCAATGATAATTTCAGCTGTGACAATCGTGATTCTGATTATCATTAAATATGGAATCAACAAAAACAAGAAAATCCGTGCCATTATTCGCGTACCTGTGCCAGCCGAACTTATCATCGTAGGTTGACACAACCAATAAGAATAGTTTTACAAATCAAACAGCGCTATAATCTGCGAACAGTAGCTCTTAAATCAATTTATCAGAGGAGGTGTGACAGTTGTCGCATTGTAACGCACCGCTTCAAACCAACCGATATCTTCATACGGGCAACAATATGAGAAATGATTTACGATTCTCTTACAGGTGATTATTGGCGCAAGTGTATCGTATTCATTCGAGTTCGCAGAGAATTATGACGTGGTGACAGTGGCCAACGTGCCCACGGGAATGCCACCGCCGACAGTGCCGGACTTCAGGGTCGTTGTGGACAATCCGGCTATTCTGGGCGACACTTTCGCTCTGGCGGTCGTGGCATTCGCTATCACAGTCACGTTGGGCATGCTGTTCGCCAATGAACATAATTACGCTATCTCACCCAATCAGGAATTCAAGGTGAGTAATAACATGGATAACGTCGGATACCCTTTTATGACAACAGCTACAGGCGCTGCAAATTTAAAAAAAATAACTGAACAAGTCGGCATTCTACTCAGTACAACATAATATGCGTGTTGAATGCCCAGTGTACTTTATGTTAATCACGCTCATGTTTACCGCGGCTGTAAATCAGTAAAAAGGCATAGCAGAATCTATGAATTTCCACTGCAGGCTCTTGGGGTGGGAAATATCGTAGGATCATTTTTCCAAAGCATGCCTTCTGGAGCATCGTTGGCGAGAAGTGCAGTGCAGAATGGTGCCGGTGGCCGGACGCAAGTATGTGTTGTGCTCGTACTCCAACAAAAGGTTATGCACTGAACAGTTTACAAAAGTGATCATAACACGCTGACTTTTTCGGCCGCTATTACAGTGCAGTTTTAATTTATAAAGATAGAATCAATAAGTGCAGTAAGAAATTAATATAGGGTTATGCATGTTTAAGTAACGTTGAGTTATAATATGCAAAGGTCATTTCGATATGTAAATACAAATAAATCCTCGTTTTTGCAGATAGTCAGTTTGGTGCAGTCGACAATTGTTCTAGTGGTCATTTTGGCTCTGGGTCCGCTCCTCCAGCCCCTGCCGCGCGCCTGTTTGGGAGGCATTGTAATGGTGGCTGTTATTCATCTCCTGGAGCAGGCAGTGGAGTTGGTACATTTGTGGAAAATATCTTTTGTTGACTGGGTAAGTGTGGAAGCGATCATTTCAAAGCAATAACTACTGTACAAACTGTATTACGGTATGGACGCAGCTCTTTACATATCGACGTACAGTTTTGTGAAAATTAATAATTAAGGAGTAACATACGTATACAATAATAAGCATACTAGCATAATCAAAACATCATATGTATCATGTGGCAATGTTGCAGACGATATTCCTAGTGGTCTTTCTGTCAGTTTTGATTCTGGATGTGGATATTGGAGTCGGAATTGGCGTGGCGTATGCTATCATGACAGTGATGTTTCGCATGCAAAAACCAAAAGTCCGCGGTCTCGGGCGACTGCCTGGAACTGACCTGTACAAACCGATGGACATTTACACCACTGTTAGTAGAAATAATTGTTATGAATTGCAGATGCAGATGTGCAAGCAGTATGCAGATCACTTTGTGTGATTCCTTTCTAAAGTACTCGTGTAGTTGTGAACGAAAACTAATCACCGAGTCAGCTACATTTTTAACGTTAATTTTTAGGCTTATCAGCGACCGGAAGTGAGAATTGTACGGATCGATGCACCAATTTACTTCGCTAATGCCGGTGCGTAACAGTGCCGATAGTTATGCAAAGTTTAAGGTATCTACATGATCATGACAGCCTTCGTACGTGTAGCTTATATTAAAACAAGACTGTATAACCTGGCTGGACTTCATGATGCCATGCGGGAGCTTAAAGAAGAGAAGGAAGACACCGAGAACGATGAGAAGCAGCGGTATGCGTTCACGAATACCATCGTAATCGAAGACAACGAAGAACAGCCACCGGTGGAACAATATGAGCGCAAGCTAAGTCGGGTATCTTCCGGAAGTAAGAAATCCCATGCGCATTTGCCGCGAACAGTTACCGGCTCACTAAGCCAGGAAGTCCTGAAGGATAACGAAATCGTCAGTGATAACACGGACTCCACCGATGGTTCAGAGGATGCAAGCATTCCAAAGTTGCACGTGGTGATTGACTGCTCCGAGGTGTGTTTCGTGGATGTTACGGGAGTTGGGTTCCTGAAGAAAACGGCTGATGAGTGTCGAAATATCGGGGTCACCCTGTTGCTTGCCTGTACTAAAAGTAAGCGCTAAATCGATAAATCCTAAGGGTTTTTTTAATTTCAAGATCAAAATGATCTATAACCAAAAATCTTTTGCGTTTACTTAGTTCCTCTGCGATCGTATTTTTTGTTATTGCAGAATCTGTCCGTGATATGTTGGAGATTTGTGAAGCCAGCGAACTGAATGCACCGGATCGACTGTTCGTTACTGTCCACGATGCGGTTTTATATGCCTTGAATAACCAAACAGTGCAGCCCCTTGCAGTAAGTACCGGCTTGCGAGGGATATCGCTTAATTTAGAAAATTCCATATCATATTGGCGATGTTCACTAAACACACGGCAATGGCCTCTGATTCTTGCAAGAAAATAGGACTTCTGTAATTCTTTTGCGCTTCTGTACTGAACTCTTTTTTTGAAATCTTCGCAAATAGCAGCATCAATTTGTATGTTAATTATTAATATCCGGATTTTTACCCGGAAAAGGCGAAATTAAAGATTATCGAAACGTCCTCACGACATAACAGATGTCAACTTTTTGTTTGTTTTTGTAGGTTGATGAGTCCGGAAAGACTGTTAATGAAAATCGACAAAGCGATACTCGTATGTAGCGCAACCAAATGCAGTGCATCATGCATCTTGCAGTAACGCTATCCTTTTAAGTTCATTTAGAGTGGCATACACTTAATCTGAAAAGGATTTTGACTAGCGTGAATGCACTTGGACCTTTGCGCATGCTTTTACTGTAGTTTTTTGTAAGTGTTGCCCATTTATAAAATAGTTGATTGTATCACTTGTATGTACACCACATTACTACAAATCCTTGGTTAAAATACTGTACGAGTGTGTCAATAAAGTTTGGCTCGTTGTGAAAGGCACATCCGTGCTAATTGTCAAGTATCGCGTTCCAATGACACCGGTAAAACGTAAGGTAAAAACGTAAACAATTTTCGAAATGCCGGCACCTGAATTTGGTTGATTTTCAGATTATCAGCAAATAAAAAAAGCACGTGAGCAGAAACTCTGTGGCATAATTTTGAAATAAACATATTTAATATGGCAGTCACGGCCCACGGGTATATGCTTTAATTTTTGGAACTGCCGTTATCATGCAAGCATAAATTTCCTAAAACAAAAATGTAAATTTGTTGTTGTTGACATTTATGTAACAGGTATGACAATATTATTTCAGCAGCAGATCAGTGTTCTGCTTATTTTGTTTTAGCGCAAATTTGGCATCGTTCTGCTGCCAGCAAAATATTTTGGAAAAGGGTAATGTGTGACCCTATGCATCATTTTGTATATGACTACAGTATAATTGCACGCTGTAAGGAAAAACAACGGTACTCGTACAGTTTTAGCGAAATGTAGCGGACTATAATACCCTAACGAAGTTAATCGGCCAACCCGAGATCACATTTTTTGTGATTTTGGACACAACTGCATTGTTTCTCTTTGATTTTTTAGCTGTCGAAATGCTTGCTAATTTATAACACAATGAAATTCTTCCGAAGGAAAACTTGGACTAAAAGGTGATAAATCCATTGTGCCGTGGGCGGCAAATCGTAATTTTTCCCCGAGATATCCGGGTTGCACGTGTTTAACAACTTGTTTCCGACCGCGACACTTTATTAAGCGATACGCAACAAATGGAAGAAAAAACAAAGACCACAAAAAATAAGGTATGAGCAGTATACTTGCATAGCTGCACTGTAGCTACTAGTAGCGTTTTACCCTATCTGCGGGTACCGTGATACAAGAATCATGAAGTACGTAAGATAATAAGATTTCATTATGGTCCGGAATTCTTTGGAAGTTTCATTAACACATGCCATGGAAGGTTTTGTGGGGAAATTGTCGAAATTGCCTCCATAGCGATGACAATTCATTCCATTCGCAGAGAAAACGCAGCATTACCGAATCATTGAATTTATTTATTATTACTCAAAATATAGTAGCACCAATCGCAGAATAAAATCTAAAAAATTCAATGTTAATCTGCCGAAATGTTCAAATTAAGTGTCATTCAACTGCACGTTTTTCTATATAACCTTTTCACGCGCAAACGACAATAGCCATTCGACCGTAAGAATGAATAATTGTTACAATCTATTTGGTTTTTAATTAATTTAGACCCGTGTTGAGAACTTTTGAACAAAACTCTTGAAAACTTTTACACAAAAACTTTTACTGATTTTATGACATTTTTTGCTTAGAATTAATAAAGAATTACCGGTACTCGCACTGTCGTACACAGTGTTATGATGGCTGGCATCGAGCTAGAATGCTATCGCGCACGGATGCGCTTATACCTTTCCATTCTGCTGTGATGTTTATTTTTTTGTTTACCTTTTTTGTTTGCGTTTTTGCGATTTTTTTCCGATCTTTTTTATCATTTCCGCAAAAAGCGCTACTCTTATGTGATCGAGATGTGATTGCCGAAAGTGAGTCTTGAGTCTCGCAGCCACGCAGTACATACGGGCTATGACATAATTATGGCAGGCTTTTTCGCTGGCAGCACACTCTCGCTGGAGCAATAGTGTAGGCACTGGGCACCTTCATGTTGTGTTTCCAGTGTGGTCATGGTCAGTCTGGGCTCTGGAGCATTCCCATATGCTCTCTTCTTACTTTGCGTTTTAGTGCTTTGCAAATTGCTCTGACTTTCATCTTAGTCTTTTAGCGAAATAATACGCTTAGGTCGGGCGAATTTATTGTTAAATTTGAGCACCTATTGTTCCATACGAATGATACGACCAATCTGCGCAGGGTACAACCCGTATTACACCACTCCGTTTTGGGTAGCCAGAGGCTAGATAGTATTTTAACACTAAACTGGTTAAAAGTTGTAAATCCTACCTTTGACAATGCTGAATGTCTCAGACAAGCGTTGGTCCAAAAAACTCTGGGGCAATCTAACAATAAGTGTAAGTCGAGTTTTTGTGCGCACGGGCACGCATTTTGATTGTGCCTAGGCACAATTCAACAACAGCCCTTTTGCTTGTTTTTTTTTGTGCATTCGGGGTATCACAAAATATCCATGAACTGATTATTCCAGTAGCGCCCGTTTGGAGATCACGATTCACTGGGTACTGAATTTTTCAGTTCATAACCACCTGTTGCTCCTTATCACTTACAGCATCGAATGGCATCGGATTCGGACGTCCAGGTGACGTACGCAGTGGGAGATTACAATGTAGAAGGATCACAGAACACTCCTGCTCGGCTGCGCGTATCGCGAGCCGTATATGATCAGCCCAAGTAAGTCAGCAGTGCAGACCAGCACAACGCACTGGCAACATGGTGACCACTGGTCGCCCTTTGCAGTTTCGACACTACATATGGACTTTGTGCACCGGGTCCACCTCTGACGCCCTGGGATGATATCAAGCGTATCGCCCGCAAGAAATGGCGACGGAAGAAAGCTACTTCGGGACGGTGCGATAGAGTGTGCATGTACAATGTAATGGTGAAGTGGTTCCCGATAATCGACTGGCTTGGCAAATATAAGTGGCGGGAATACTTGGTTACCGATGTTATCGCTGGTGAGGGTGCATTCATTTGCCGATACTAAAAAGTTAATTATGAATCGTGATTTCCAAATCTCATAAAAATATTAATTAGTGTGTCAGTTGTTTGTTAAAATGTATTAGAGAATTGTATTAGAATTTTAAAATCAAAACTGGCTGTTTCAGACTTTCAGAAATCACGGTATTAGCAGTAGTATATCAATCTGAAATTTGTTAGCCGTAGAGATTAACAATTTAATGTATGCGGGAGGAAAATTTGCGTAGCACAAATACACTAATGATTATGTGCTTCTCAAGTTTAAATTTCTGTCATTTTAATAGTGTCGGTTTGCGTAGGCTTATTAATTACAACGCGAAATGGCTGTTGCCAAACTCACAGTTCTTGCCATAGAAGTATTACGATAACAATCAATAACACCCTAGAACAACCTAGTCATCATTAACATACCCACTCCAGGATGTTAATTCATTTATTATTCGCATTCGCTTCCAAACGCTTCGTTTTTCGTCATTTGTATTTATTTTTCTTGCGATTTTTGTTATTTGTAATATTTCGTGTTTTCTAGGTTTGACCGTTGGAGTGCTAAATGTTCCACAAGGTAAGTTATGAGGACGTTAATGGTCCCAACCGCGGTGTTGATTTTAACGAATTCGCAGAAAATAAGAAACTTTCTCGTGTTGGTATCATAATTGAACATCGTGAATTTAATTTCGTCTTTTTTCCAGGAATGGCGTACGCTCTCCTTGCACACTGGTAAGATACATAATATATTTATTATGCTTGCTTAATTCGATCATTTTGACCAACATATTGACCATTGGGCAGTAGATAAAACAGACAGTGACACAACAAAACATAATCCGTATTTTTTTCAGCCCTCCGGTGACGGGATTGTATACGTCGTTTTTCCCGATTATAGTTTATCTTCTGATGGGGACCTCTCGGCAGTGTTCTATGGGTCAGTAAATTTAGCATTAACTCCACTGTTTTCATACGCTTTGACTATAACAGTTAACTGATATCTTGTTTTTGCAGGCACTTTTTCCATTATCAGCATGATGACCAGTAAAAGTGTGAATGAGTTTGCTCCAGAGTTGATGAAAGTGTATAATGAAACTGGATTCAATGACACATCCAGCTTGAAATTCCACAATGACCAGTTTAGCCAAATTCAAGTTGCCTCGACCCTTGCCTTGATTGCTGGTGTCTGGCAGGTAAACCGTAAAAGTGATATGACACTTCCTGCTTTAAATTGTCTTTTGCAGATTTGCATCGTACTGTAATTTTATCTTTAATATTGAACGTTTTGACGGTTCCACAGTATTACATTCTTTATCTTCGGTAGATTTCGGTAAACAAATCTACGGCAACGACAATATTTTTTCCGTTTCAGTTATTATTTGGATTACTGGGATTTGGCGGATTATGTGTGTATCTATCTGACCAGCTTGTTCAAGGGTAAACATAAAACTTTTACCGAAATTCGATTTCAGGTTCAGTTTTTAACTGATACACTCGTTCTCTAACAGTCTTTCTTGAGAAAGATGCTCATGAATTGCTGTAGCAGTTATGCTCCTCAAAATTTAGTAAGCAGTCTAAGCGTTTAGCGCGACCTGCAACCCCTAATTTTCTTGAATGTCCATGAATGGTGGTAACGTTAACTGCTTACCTTTTTTTCTTTAAACAGATTTACATGTGGTGCAGCATTCCATGTGTTTACCTCGCAGCTAAAGAATGTATTTGCAATACCGGGACTGGAAGAACAGTATGGAATCTTCAAAATTGGCAAAGTATGGGATGACAGAGTTCCGACCATGTGCACATGATATTAAGTGTGACAGTGGATTAAAAAAGAGACAACTTGATTGTGACTGTTCTGGTGACCTTTTTTCAGACTTACAAGGAATTTTTCCAAAGGATCGGTGGTACGCACCCTGCAACGGTTATAGTTGCACTGCTGTGTATGGTAGTGCTTGTTGTTATCAAAATTGGTATCAACGACAATCGGAGACTCATGAAAAAACTCCGTGGAATACCTATCCCGGCCGAACTGCTTATCGTCATCGGTTCCACTGTGGCTTCTTACTTAATGAATTTGGGCGGCACTTACAACGTTGAGACAGTTAAAGTGATCCCCCAAGGCCTGCCCCCCTTTACGTCGCCCGATTTCAGTTTGGTGTGGAAACTACTCCCGGACTCGATATCGAATGCTATTGTGGGGTTAGCGATAACTGTTACGCTGGGAATGTTGTTCGCCTCCAAACATGGTACTAGTAATTATTTCATTACAATAAAAATGGTCTACGTACACCTTTTTATTACGGCATTGGCTCCAGTGGAATGATACAATAGGGTTTTGGTTTGCAAGTTTTTAGTAGCGACAGCCGACATATATTCCTAGTTACTGTTCGTTAGACATGCGAGTACAATATGTACATGTGTACAATACTAGCGGTTTGTACAAAATGTTTACAGGGTACACCATTGATCCCAACCAAGAATTTAAGGCGCAGGGCATCGGTAATATATTTAGCTGCTGGTTCCGGTGCTTTCCGCAAGGCGCTTCCGTTGCGCGCAGTGCCGTGCAAAATGATGTCGGCGGGAAGACTCAAATCGTCAGTGTTGTCCAGTGCATCATTGTTTTGATCGTGATGCTCTTTTTGGGGAGATATTTGCAGCCGTTGCCTAAACCGGCACTTGGAGCGATTGTCATGGTGTCTGTATTTCATTTGTTGGCTCAAGTTGTGCAGTTGCGCAGATTATGGAAGCTTTCACTTGTTGACTGGGTGAGGACATCCTAAATTTCTATACTACGGTACTTACAATCGTTAGCTGAAAAATTGCCCGTTTCTTTCGTACTGGGAATAGCACAGACTGACCGGTTACAACTTGACCAGTAAAATTATACCGGTAATGAATTCCGACGACCGAGTGCTACACGTAATAAAAAGCTCTGCCATGAGCCATAGTTAAAACTTAAAAGCTCGTGTTATATCTTACAAACCTGGAAATTTGCGTAGTTAATTAGTAAAGTATCAGTTAGTTTGGAAATTACTTGATTGTTGTGATTATGTTGCTGCTGTAGTAAAACGCTTTTTTTTGCAGTCCATCTTCCTTGTGGTGTTTTTGGGTGTTCTGATTTTGGATGTGGATGTGGGCCTGGGGATCGGTGTGGGCTGGGCGATTATGACTATTATGTTACGACTACAGAAACCAAAAGTCGGTCCTCTTGGACGTCTTCCTGGTACCGATATATACCGCCGTACTGACGTTTACAGAACCGTAAGCATCCAAATCAATTGTACAGTGTGCTTTCTCGTGCAACTCCATTAATCTGCAGCGCTCGCTTTTATAGTGCAAAATTACGTCTTGGACAGTTTATTGTTGCTTGCAGGCTACAGAAGTTCCAGGTGTAAAAATCGTTCGAGTCGATGCACCAATATATTTCGCCAATGTGGCGTACATTAAGCAGCGTTTGTATGCTTTGGCCGACATTCAGAACCTTATTCAGAAGCACCAGGAAGACCATCCAAAAGCGCCGGATGGAGTTCCTGGAATTCCGGACGACGCTACGAATTATGCCTATTCATTGCATTTACAACTTGGCGAAGATAGAAATGCTAGGGAAGAAGCACTGGAATTCGGTAGCAGATTTGGCGGATCAACCATCAGTATGGAAGAATTGTTTACAAGTTCCAAAGGACTGGTGGTCCGGACTCAGTCGAATGATCGCGAAGACGACGAGGAGAATCTTCCAGTGAGACACCTGATAATTGATTGTTCGGAGATCTGCTTTATCGATGTGACAGGGGTCGGTTTCTTAAAAGTCTGCAAAGCCGAATGTGAGAGTGTGGGAGTGGAGCTACTACTAGCCTGTACAAACAGTAAGCAAATTATAAAAAAAATTATAAACTTGGAACGGTATAAAAACCTTTTGCTGGGAAGTTGAAAGGTCAGTTTTAATGAGAATATATGGCAAGATTTTTTCCAACAGAACCTGTACGGGACATACTGGCCCTTTGCGGCGCAATGGAGCATATCAAAGATTACCAACTGTTCGTCACTGTGCACGATGCCGTCCTCTACGCTGTGAACGCGCAAAAGTTTAAGAATGCCCTGGCCGATCGCGATCGGAAGGTGTGTATTAATAATGTGTATTTATATTATTACATAGGTCAAGCTTACTGCACAAGAATCAGCGTACAGCAAAATGATGATAGCGATTTCAAATTTTGGACGAAGTTATGCATGGAGTAAACAGAATTTGTTCAAGGACGCAATCGGAATGTGTTCGAGACCGAAATGACTGAGCGTCCAGAAGGGACAAATGTTACAAAATATTAGATTGATGTGGTTTGGACTCTTAATACATTACGATCGTGTCCGACCATTTCGACAGAAGGGCATTTGTACAACACGTATTATCAGATAGCTGTAGCGCTTAATCCTGTAAATTGTGATAATTCGTATGTTATTCCTTGTGTCCTTACCGTAGCATTATTGTTTTCGCACAGACAAATCCGACAGTTGATGAAGAAAACGGAATAATGAACCAGGGTTTTGGTGGGCGCCGCCTGGACAATCTGGTCGAGGAAGACGAGGAGACCGCTTCTGTAAAGTTTGGCAAATCAGATAGCAGCGATGACATTCTTCGCAGTCCATAATGACGTACGAAGTACTGGCTTCTACGACTCCACTAAAATTAATGAAGCTGAAAAAAAGAATGTAAACTACTGCATTGTTGTTAATGGCGTGGGTAACTGTTCACCCATACGGACATAACCATGACGGCAGCGTCATTGTGCTTTAAAATATTGAACAGTCTGTGTGGTCCAGTTGTCAGTGTACTTATGGCTTTCGTTGATTTGAATTTTAACTGATCTGAAAAGATTATTTGGTATTAGTGTACTGTATAAGTTTACCGATGCTGAAGCCAGCAGATAGAATAATGGTGTGGCTCTTGCAATGGTATCAGGTACATACCGGTATGCACCAAAAATGAAGTACGGCACTATAAATTCACACTACAAAGCGTTATGTTAAGCGAATCTGTGAATAAAATCCGTACTGCACTGCTTGTAAAGCGAAGTTTGAAATGATCTTGTTCTACGTTCCAGTTCAAACTGTACATTGTTTTGCCGCGACCGTCGGAGACCGGCTCCTGTCGGTGGATTGGTAGTATAGAAATGATTAAAAACCTGCCGTCCATCCAGGAAACGTCATCTCGCTGTAAACGAAAACAATTTCAATTGTACAGATGAAAACGTTGCTACCCGTAAAGTCATAATATACCTATGGCTGAGCGTTTAAGTAACACAGTACCAGATTGAGTGGATTTGAGGCGCTCAATCTCAATAATTTGAGGCGCTCAATCTCAATTTCATTTCACTCAATAATTATTAATATGTAATGTGAACAAAGTACTTACTTGTAGCCATTCGACGATAAACATCACAGCCACATCAAACTTCGTATCGTTTAGTTACGTATTTAGGAAAGCTAATAATTTTAGTGAAGAAAGCACAATCTTCAACAACGGCATGTTCTTTCTCGATCGTTGGTTGCAGTTATTAATAATAACGATTGTATTTGTGGGAGCAGACGTCATTCTACACTTTGCTTTAATTATTGCGTTGTTACTGACGTTTAGTGCGTAAGTACTTAACTGGAATTCACTCACCAGTCAGTGCAGGCTTATGCAGCTAACGACCACGAGCGGCTCATTACTCCAACGGTTAATTAACGGTGAACCCATGCATGTAAATTGTACCATGTACACCTTTAAAATACTGAAATGCATGAGTGTTGCCGCACTGGGAGAATACGTATACACTATATCTATACATATATCCTAATTCAGATCTATATTGCCACGAATGGGATACACTAGAGCAGGCAAACCAGAAAAGACTGACCAAAACCAATACTATATTCTAAAAGCCCGTAGTCGAAAACCCGGCCAGATAGTAATCATTTTTTTGAAAACCTCTCCCGCTTCGAACGTCGAAGCCGAAGAGTTTTGACTACCTTCGCCAAATGCAACTAAATTATTGTAATAATAATAATAATTATCATCGTGGTATTGTTAACCAGGGAATGTTGTCACGTAAACCAACCAAAAATAGCTAAAAAATGAAAGTCATTTCTACTGTTTAAACTATCAGAATGAATTTAATTAGCAGACCGTCATTACGACAAGAACAACTACATATATAACGTTGTCATCGAAGACAAATTTCTGCACGAGTGCCGGCCGACCAAGTGATCAGGCAACCGCTATTGTCCAGCGTACGGGACCCGTTAGGTGAGCAAGTTTAAGTGACCAAGCTACCGGTACTGTCCAGTGCACAGAACCCGTTAGGCGAACGAGTGACCAAGCTACCGGTACTGCTGTCCAGCGCAAATAGCCCGGGAGGGAAACGGCCTATCAGGTGGCTGACCTACCGGTAGTGCCCAGTGCACAGAATCCACAGATCCCGTAGGTGAAGGAGTGACCAAGCTACCGGTACTGTCCAGTGTGTGGAGACCGTTAGGTGAACGGGAGACCCAGCTGGTACTACTGTCCAATGCACAGATCCCGTAAAATGAATAAGTGACCGAGCTTCCACTAGCCAGATTCACCAAGTTGAGGTCCACAGAATCATGAATTCAGTTGTAAGAATTTATGGTGATTTGAGAGAATCATGATCTGATTAAAAAAATCATGTAAAATTAAAATCCGTGTTTTTATATATTAAATCCGTTTTTTTGCGTCAATACGATGTCATATTCGTTTACTCATATTATGTACACAACAATATAATGGTGCAGTTTACTCAATAAAGCGTTTCATACGATGTACCGATTATGTTTCGACGAAATGTTATTCTAATAAATACTTATTGAAAACTAAATAAAGTGGCCGTTGACCACAAGAAACGCGGAGGCGAAGCCGAGGCTGTTTCTTGTGTAATCCTATCTGTGCCGGCCGATGATCAGTTAGGGTTCCCCTTCCCCAAGTACGCTTCTTCAGAAAAGTCATCGCTTTGGAAAAACAAATAGAACCCCCTTGGACGGTTTTCAAAAACAAACTATTGTCCCACGGACACCATTTGGTAAAATACGGTAATTAATGTTATCATTCAGTCAGATGTGGATCTCTTATGAACCATACACCGTCTATGTGTATTGTAATAGCCTATTGATAGGTATTTGTATAATATTAATAGACCAAAAGGACTGACAAATGGCAAAATTTTTGATCAGAATTTTGGATTTCAGAAGCGAAACGCTCACAATAATATTAAGAACCGCTAACAAGTTAGCCAACGCCGGCAAGCCGATTCCAATAGAGTACGTACTCTAGAATAGGTACGAGTACGATTACGAGTACGAGCATTAAACGCGAGCACCACAAGCCTGTAACACAAAACGACACTGCACGCGCGCAGCGCTCGGTAGTGCAATGCAAACTTTCCTCCACCCGTTTTTCTCTCTTTGTCGACCGATACCCTTGTTTTCTGCATCGTTATTAAATTTATGTAACAGCAGTCATCGCACGTCGCCATGGATACTGCCGTACAGCACATGGGCGGTCACACACGTAGCCGACCTTTCCTTTGACATTCAGTTACGTGATCCGGCTTGTTTTGCAGGTTTTTTGCTTTATCTTTTATTTTTCTCCAGTGCGGCACGCCATCAGCTGAATCTGATCGTGATGTCACTTTTTGGCAGACTACTTGCCACTGCGTTGTACGTGCCGGTCTCTTGACCGCTTAAAGGTTGCTATAGGAACCGTTTTCCAACAACAAAATGTAATAATGTTAATGTAATAATGTCATGTAATGTAAATGTAATAATGTAATGTAAATTTTCCATAACCATCGAACTGTAAAACCTACATAATTATGCAATATTATACATTTAACCAAAATACTCTAATTTTGAGTTTCTAGACGTACATTTTTGCCCCAACAGTGGTTTAGCCAACTATGTCACTACTGTAAGGGCAGTTATTGATTTGAATTTTGAAACGTCGCGTGGATTAAGCTGGACACCAACCAGTACCGCCACTATAAGCTATTTATCGTTTCAGTAAGTTTTTACCACTAGCATGTGCTGAATATATATTGTCTTCTTCATGCTTTGTGTCGCTGAATATCTTTGTATACATTCAGAAACAAGTTAAAAAGATGCAAATGTTAAATGTTAAAGAGTATAAGTTTGCTTTACCGTAATAAATGTAACAAAACTAAAAAAGTAAATGCTTGCTAATTAAGGTGCAGAAACTGGAATATACAGAAATATTATACACGTATATCTGCATATCTTATTGCCGGAGGTATGGATTATGCAAGTGCGCTTCGGCTTAAATCAATACATCCACACTGCCATAACACCTCCATGCATTCATCAACGTTAAAACGCGGTATTTGCAAAGGCATACTGGAGTGTTTTGGTTATCATTTGACCTGACCTAAAAATCGACCAAACCCTTGTCGGTCATAAATAGGAACGCGCGTTCCATTAACTATTGAACGGCTGCTTCAGCTGATAAAGTTGGTAACTAGGACGATTACGAAACATATTGCCAAATCCGATAACTACGAGCACCCTAGAAGTAAGTGTACGGACTACGGATACGTAGATAATCAGTAAAGTAGTAAACTTCAGTTTTCAATATTAAATTTAACATTTAAGTGAAGTACGAGTACTTCTATGCGTATCGTATATGGATTTTACCAAAAACTAAGTTCCGGTCCAAATTTATTTTATGGCTATCATGTATTTTACTACCGTACTCAGTAGTTTACTAGCTAAAAATTCTGGCTAATATTCTACACAAGTCCAGACAATTCCAGACAGCAACTAAACTCAAAAGAAAAAATCTTCAATATTTAGATTTAATTCTTGGACTTAGAATCAGTAGTTGGATCGACTTTGAAATGTCTGAGACAGATTTAAACCGCAAAAACATATAAAAATTGTTCAAAGGGCTTAATATTATCAAAGTTTTAAGTACAGCGAGAGTGCGACTACGAACGGAAGATCCAAACACTATAGTAATGGAATTTGATACGTACTGTTAGCTGGGGAAAAGCTCTCGGCGACTGGGGTTGTTCACCTTTGATTAAGAATCATCCTTGAAAAGGATTAGCACGAGCAGCATTTGGACTTGCCGGCATATTTGCGCGGGCGGTGCCTTGTGCAGGAAGCTGCTGCTATGTGAGTACGATCATGAACCGCTACCGTGTTCAACTGTATCGGCTGCGGATGGCGCTTTCGCAAGGGTCTTCCGTGGTGGGTACTGTATTATGTATTATTTTTATCCATTGCATTCTGGTTACGCACTCCCGGGATAGGATATTAAGCGCGCTCTGCCATTGAGTGTGTCCTTGATTTATGCAACTGCAGCCGCTGCTGGTGAATGTCCGCCGCATCAGCAGTCACCCAACAATGCACGTTTCCATGGTTTCGTGGTATCATTGATTACGGTCGGTTACGCGTCTGTACCCAATTTGCCGGCTGATCGCAAAGCTGCAACTGCGCTGCGCTATGTAAATTTTGTTTCATGTCAGTACCTACTTGCTTTAATATTATTGTGCTAGCAGACTTATTACTAGCGAGTACTAGTGCACGTACTCAGCAAAGAATCGTAAAAATTAATATACGAGGTACATAGCGCTGCAATAGAATCCGCGCCCTTCTTACGTTAAAACTGTTGCATTTGGAATAAGTAACTAACGTAAGTAAGCTTTATTCAGGTTTGTACTTCATTGTTCACAGGAAAAGGGTGCGCTGATACGCCTTCGTTGCATTTTTATACATAAATTCACAGGCCGGTTAGCTGTCCACAAATTGTTATCCACTGTTTCCTGCTTGCTTGTTAATGCAATAGAAGAAATAATCACTAATTGAAATTAATAAAGTATAGTACGGAGTACTACAGACAACAGCTTTTTTTCAGCTCAGTCAGAACATGAGATCTGAAGACAGTTAATTTGCGTATCGTACGCAGTGTTTTCAGGAGGAAACACTGACCAGGTACAGTAGACAAATAATGAATAAAACAATGACATAACTTGCATAACAGCACCAAAATTTATGAAAAACTAGTACAGTACAGTACAAAAAATTTATGAAATTCGTTACGGTTATGAAATTGCTGTATAAAACCACTGGCTGTAGTTATTTCTATGCAAATCATGAGGTAAAGCAGTGCAGTTGCACCCCTATCCTACTCGTAGTATTCCAGGCTTCCAGCCTTGCCGCAATATGTACCCACGGGCCCGTACAATACAGTACTTATTGTTCGCCCACCGTCACACCACGGTCCCTCTAATATATACTTTCTATGGTACCACTATACAGGACTGAAAATCCTGCAAGGCAAAGGACCTAGTGACCTTAGTGGCCTTTGATTGCTAACTGCATGCTACCGGTAGTAACTCCGTGATTGCGTCCTAATCTGCTGCAGTCGTATTTAATCTTATTAATTTTACAAATTAAGTCAGTATAAAGGTATCATATGCGCCACGCAATTTCGCCACCTTAAGTATGTTAGTACTTATTTTTTTATCAATATCCGCACATGCAAATTCAGGGATCATAATAATACTATACTTCGAGCGCGGTAGTACTGGCTGATTACGTAAGCGTGCACGCAAAATGATATTTATATGATGATGCCGGTTGTCTATCATGAGTCTAGTTCTTCGGTGGTCTTGAATATGTACACGTTTTAGACAACGAAAGACCCATCGGCCAATAACCCCGGCGTTGCTCGTACAAGGTCTGTGTTCGTAGCATGTGGGAACTAGTGACGAACTACCTAATAATATTACATCGTTCAGTACTACTGCAGCACCAAATGTACGTACGTCATTTCGTACAGAGAAATATCGATTTAGCAACTTGTCGCAGCAGTTGTTCAAATTACATATGAAAGCCGCTGCCTGTCATATGTTCTGATCCAGTCGTAAATTAAAGATTTCCAGAACTTTGTAAAGTTAAAACTTACCATTAGGACAAAATTTTGAATTAGGAGTGCATATTACGTTGCAACGACCGGAAATCGTGTCAACATCCAGACGCTCCGCTTGCAGGAATGCGATAAGGTATGCTTTTACTTATTTATGTTCGCGACATTTAACCGTAAAGCACTAGTACACAAGATGTTTATGAATAACTAGACGCGTCTTCTTATTGCATCTACTATGAATTTTGCTTTTAATTTTAATGTTGCCATAACGTTGAATACGAAATCATCAGTATTTAAATACAGGCATTCGATCAGACATCACATGCTTTTTTAATTACTATTTTGTCGGATCTCGTTTACTATTTTGTAATACTTATTTACAGTTAGTGTTATTAATGTGACTTTTGTATACAGTAACTGTAGTAATGTTACAGTCTTACTGCTTACAGATACTGTACAAAGTATTATAGTTCATGTAAGTTGAATTGCTACTGCAATTTGAGTATTAAAGGACCGACTGCGCTGTTGTTTGTTTGCTGTAACGGTCTAACCTGAACTCACAATTACCGCAAAACCCTTTATGCCAACTAACATCGTGTTGTAAATATGGATAAGAAACACTGAAAAGATGTATTTATATCGATAAATTCTCGAGCTCTAATTTTATTTTAACCAGCTACGAGTTGAATATAAAATTTCTTACTGAATATTTGTGCCGCAACATCCATATATACTGTGTACAGTATGCGGCAGTCTATTCAAGGCCTACGTAGTCACTGTTGGTACTGTTCAATAAGAAGTTCTTAAAAATTTTTAAAAATTACTGTAGTAAAGTATTACGATGCGAGGCATCGACGGATTGTAGTTTTATGATTTAAAAAAGCAGATAGTATTATAAAAATATTTATCCACACGACTGCAATTACAAGCTATTTCTCCGTGAAACAAGCTGCAGTGATGATGATTTGTAACTGTAATTACGTAACCTTTGCAAATCATCTTCCTGCCTCTTTTTAATTTTTCCTCTTTAGTACGTGATTGCTTAGATACATGCGCAGGTGGACTTCTACAGCAGGCACACCATGAATCAGTGATCCAGATCTAGGTAGCTCACATTACACAAGAGAGATGGGACAAATTATCCCCAACGATATTTTCGATTTGATCTGAAAGGACATTTTTTATGTAGTCTACGTGCGTCAGTTGCTAATCTGCCAGACGACTGCTGTCCCGATGTGTCCTCATTCGATTACAACGCATCAATAGCGGCATATCTTCTCGTACCTTAAAAACAAAGAATTACGGAGATTATGCAATGCAGCGAATGCATTTTAATGCGGCTGCAGAGGCCATATGTAGCTGATTATAAATGAATTCTGATACTTGCTTACTTTAACGGTCACAGCAATTAGTAATTAGTGTACTTGTATCTTGAGAAAATTCGGTAACACGTTAGGAACTACAGATCCGTAACAGACCGCATATTGCACTGCAGTTATTTATTACGTGTTATTATGGTCTTTGGTCTTGTACGGAGACCAAGAGCACCTAATTTAAAAAAAACTCCTTATTATACGAAAAACTTGGAAGGTCACCCAATATGAAAGGGTTTGGAAACGCTGCATTGCAGCATGGCGATATCTAAAGAAATATTAGTACAGTACAGTGCTTGTCCTACTGGGTACAAACTATCCGAAACAATACAGAAATCAGTTACTCAAATGTGCAGTGTTTATGTATTCGTAAATCGGCAGACACAGATGTCACATATTGCCTATGGGAAAGGCATTACATAATGGGTAATTAAATGCACAAAACACCAACTACAATACATTCACATCAGCAGGCATTATCCGCGCCTCTACTGCACATTTAATTTTTTTAAATTTATAATGATGTCGAACCCAACTAATTTTGCCTATTGCTACTTATAAGCGATTCTACAGGTTTTTGGAAACGTCGAAAACTGTCCTCCCTCTACCTATGATAAACCCTCAACAAAACAATTAAAATATAAGCGAATTACCGCATGGAGTTTTATAGTAAACCATTTAAAACGGCGCTATGCATATTTTTTGTACAACAGTTACGTTTATGATAATATTAATGCGATAAGGTTTAACACTTTAACTGGTTTAACTTTTGACAGTAGTGAGATTCAGGTTTGCGGCATCACTTAACAATTGCATGTGCAAACTGCAAACGAAGCAGTGCTTGTGCTGTTTGCTGACAGTTATGCTGTCGAAGTCATCGCCGTAACCATGGCAACGTTTGAACTCGTTTGAACTTTCACATTGAACTGTATTGCAAAGGAGATTGAAGTTAGCGCATTTGGCCGCTTGGAATTGTTATGTCGGCTGTTTTGTAACAGGAAAGATAAGCGAGCGATCAGTTTAAACTGATACGTATGTATAATCATACAGGTAATATTGCATCTTTCAAATCCTAATATATAGCCTACATGTTCGTGTAACTTCGCACAAAGACAAAGATCAAGAAATTCCCTCAAAATGTGGTTAGGTATCTGGAAATTCATTATTTTCGGTTTACCGTACCGATACTATTGTAAATTTGAATGTATAACAATACAACTATTTTGCCGGTCAATGAAGTTGATACACTGATGCTTGGCGATCGTGATGCTATAATATAGCGTTTAGAATGTTGATATACAGCATTATTTTTAATGACGCAATACTTCATACACCTTTACCGTCATCATCATCATGACAGAATAAACGTTAAATTGCAAAGATCGGTAAAGGTTTTCCTGCGTGAATATACTATGCAATAAGCATATGCAAGTTGTTAAATTTTGGATGCACGTAACAATTCTAAGCTACCTTTACATAAATTGGTAACATATATTATGTTCGACATTGTCTTTTGCTGGTATAACCCCAGGAGTTCATGATTGGTTTTCTGATACCATAACGTTTCTTTTTGTAACGTTGCATCCTTTGTGAATTTTTATTTCTGATAATATTTAATTATTTGCTATACTTAACATACTTAAATATTGCTATACTTAAGTATAGAATTAATTTTGTTTTTAGAGTATGTGTTCGTTATCAGCAGACGTCTTCGCGCTTGGGCCTTTCTTTTTTGTCCAAAGGGCTGCATCTGTAGAAACAGCAAAGTACTGCACTTAAAAAAATTAATGATAAAACATCCGTTAGCTACAGTATGAGCCAAGCATTCCACGAAATACTGTTTTGTCATTTGTGTACTATCTTTAAACTGGGACACGGTCGAGTTCTGCGCATAACATGGTACGAGGAAATGTAGCTATAGACCGACGAGAGTTTAGTTACTCACATACTGTAGAGCACGGGCATGTGCATCAATTGGAACTGTTATGGTACAGTCCACGCCTTATTTCGCAATCCACACCAAGTGGCCTTCTTGCTGCGTCAGATTACTTAACATATTATTCGTGGCGGCATTCCACTACGGTTAGTGTTCCTACACAATACACATACAGTGGTACAAAAATCCGTTTTGTATGTAGTACAGCAGTAACGGACCACGGCCGAAGCACGGCTCACGTGTTGCGCTGGTGACAGAAGTGTGAAAGATTTCGAGAGAGTAACGTATGTCCAGTTGATTATTTAAAACCGGTTTTCCTCTGGATAGATTTAAGCAGCTGGCGGTTGCGCAGAATCCTTATATGCCTCTTTCTCAGAAAACTGAGTTGTTGTGAGATTCTCTTGACTAAACTGGGCAATGAACTGTGTTGACCTACATTTACTCATACCCTTAAAACGCTTTTTAAAACTGCATAGAACGAAAACGGTGGTATAACTTACCGTTTCACTACTTACTGTCAGCATGCGCTGTGTGAAAGTATTGCGTTAGTATTCGGTAATCGATAGAAAAAGCGAAGCGATTTCCCTTTCGGTATGATGGTTGGTACCACCTTCCGATGGTCTGATTGGTCGATAGTGACCTACTGGTGGTCAGTGACCGAGTGGCCGTCAGTGCGGTTGTTATTCATTGATGTGACATGGATTGCTCACTGGACTGAATGAACATGTAGAGCGGTATCCAGCAGTCAGTTCATTTGAGGACACACACGTACAGACATTACGATTCTTTGGTACGATTACGTGTATCGGAGGAGAAGGAAGCCTTTATCCGCATGCAGAGTTATACTTCTGCTCTAATCACGTTTTGTTGTACTTAATTATGTATTTAAAACTATAAAGTTTCTTGTATTATGGTTAGCTATACTGACGGCATTTAAGTTTTGCAGTCAGCGCTTAGTTTTCCCCCTCCGCTTACGGGATGCTATTCGTAAGTGCTGAACGTAGTCGTACATAATTCTTACTTATTGGCAAGTGGTATACCTATTGCCTATTCATAACTTTTATATTTATATTTATAAGTTTTTATTATTCGAATGAACCATAAAATCCTAGAATATGCCACAATTGTCAGAGCTTGCATTAAGTTGCACTACTGTACACAATCTATTCGAATGAGTCTAACTCGCACGTCAAATGGCACCTCGAAAGTTTAAGTTTTTTCTTTGCGATTTATAACTGCAGCGAAACTAAGTGGTAACTAGTTACTAAGTTTTAGTTATATAGAAAATATATTGAATTTGGTTTATTCTCAACCCGGTACTTGCATCCCGGTACGCGTCTCGCGTTGCTTGCCCCTGTGCGAGAGGGTCGTCGACCGGTTCTAGTGTCTAGATGTATTTGGACACGATTCTCGTCGACCCTTTCATTTTACTACGTACTGCTTCCGGTTCTACCAGCTATGAATTTCTGTTAAGGATTAGATCGATTTGCTATAATGAAGGCTACCTCAGTTGTCATAAGCAGAAATGTGAATACCTGAATTAGTATTATGTATCTGGGCGCAAGTATAGCATGACAGTATAGCATGAAAATAGAAACTGGCATTCGGTATCGCGGTAACTTTTTTTGATAGTTTTTTTATTTTTAAGTAAGAAGTAGTTATGCCGTAGTGGTTCTAAAGCAGCTTGCTGAGTTGCAATGTGCAATGCTACTGCCTGACCAACAGAACGTGATTTTTGTCGCTTGTACAACACCTTGAATAGTGGTTTCTGCTATAAACCGGCATCAGCTCGAAATACAGGTAGATATATACAACCACAATTAGTGTAAATAGGCACTGTGCTCATTTTCAGTTCAGATTGCTGTAATATAGATATGCTATCCAGTATCCACTATGTACTCGTACAGGAAGATGGGCAACAAGGGCAGTGACCGATCTGAGAACGATGAGAAACATCTTTACCTACTACGTAGCATTCCTATTGTACAGATACGTGATCGATAAATATGTAACATCGCGTCGGGATTGAAAAATTGCATAAGCGTGCAAGAAACGTGCGCTCCCAATCAGTGCCGCTGCTACAGCCTTTTGCTGCAAGTGTCTCGAGAAACGAAAAGATTATTAACTACTTACTCTAGGAAAACTGAGCGTTGTATGGCTGTATTGCAAAACGGCATTAAAACTGGAATTGTGAAACGCTACTACCAAAACATATGAATATCGCAAAATAACCGTACGATACACTAGTTACTTGAGATATCGTGTTCATTAAATCTAGTTACGGTCTAAAAAATAATTTAGTCAAGTGATGGTATGTGCGATATGAGATAACTTCGATTGTCCAATACATCCAAAACATGATCTTCATTTTTCAGGTATTACCTAGTTGGATGCCATCCCGTCTACTGTGAACCTTTCCGAAGTTGCACTAGAGTTCCTTTCACACAATAATGGCATCGTCGACATGTGTCTCACCCGAGCCCGCTGCTTTCGCTATCCCACCCGATTGCATGTCAACATCGTCGCAGTCCGGCAGTCGGAAACGCGAAATCATTCCTCAGCGTAAACAACGAGAATTCACGCCCGACACACGCAAAGACGACACATATTGGGACCGTCGTCGTCGCAATAACGAAGCGGCAAAACGCTCCCGCGAGAAGCGCCGCCTCAATGACATGGTCCTTGAGGCTCGCGTCATGGAATTGACCGCCGAGAACAACTGGTTAAAAGCCGAGCTGGGTGCTATCCGCGATAAATTCGGCATCGCTAAAGATGCCCCGCCTATGATTCCACCCACAGCCGGCGGCAGCGCAGCGCCGGCAATGCCGGCATTCAGCCAGAAGGACTACAACATGCCGATCGCCCCCAATTCCCTGCTGCCGCACGTACGCACATCGCCGGTACAGGTGATTCCCCACTTTCTCAGTCAACCGCCCAATCTCAACCGCGGCCTGCCGATGATTCGCGCACTGCCCTCGGTGCACGCCTCCATGCTGAACGGCGCCCATCCAGCCGCCATGGGGCACATGTTCAGTGGAATTCCCAATCAGCACATGTACGCCGTCCATCCCAATATGGGTCCGTATGGGCGGATGGCCTGTCAGTCCGTGTCACCCCTCCCACGCTCGTCCTCCAGCGGGAGTCGCAGTCCGTGCGGCTCAGAGAGCGATCTGCGCGATAACGGTCCGCCCAGTCCTTCGATCGCTGCGGTTAGTTCTCTGTTGAAACTGGCCAACAGTCACTTCAATGGATTCCCGCATATGCCGCGCGAAGAAGACTCCGACGCCTCGGGACCCCACTGCAAGTATCCCAAGCAGGATGAGGAGGTGTTCCATGGCGACAACGAAGCGGTCAATCATCTGCCGCTGAAACTCCGTCACAAAGCGCGCATTGAGTCCAGTTGCAGTCCGCCGTTGCCGCAGAGTGCGCCAATAAGCTCCAATAACTCGACGCACGAAGAGGACCACGACGGATCCGGATTCAGTGGGGAGGACTCGGCCGTAGATGTGACCGAGGGTGATGAAGAAATGGTCACCCGCAAGCGGAAAGCATCGGATATTGAAAACATACCTAACCGAAAGAGCAACGGCAGTCTGCAGACGGAAAACGTCCAGTTGCGCGGTGAACTGCAGCGCCTGGCATCGGAAGTAGCCAACCTAAAGGTCATGATGAAGAAAACAGAACCGCCCGCCAAAAAACAACGTAAATCCCGCAAATCACGCGCGTAATCACGCGTTTAGAAGGGGGACGCGACGGCGCGCGGCTGTTGCATGTATATAGTTGCGCACATTTCATTATGTATTTCAAATTAAGTGAAATGTTACATGGTTTGTGAATTGTTTTCTCGGTGCCCATAATCCGGTTATCGAATCTTTTCTAGATTTGGGAAATGCTTTGAAAACTCTAAAATTAACTTTGGTTGACGTATTCCGGTGTGTACGCTGATTTCCACTTTTATCCATTTTTAATTTTTATTGGTTTGTTCTTTGCTTTGAATTGTGCTAGCACTGAGCACTTCAAATCAAGGTTTGATATCGGTTTTATTTTTATTCGTTGGTTAAACGTTGCTTCTTGAGATTTTGTTGCACAAGCTTTTTGGACCTGTTTGGTTGTTGACTAATAGTCGTAACGTTAATGGTTATTGTTAAATGTTTCCCAGCTGGTGAGAAATACGTAATAAAAAGTTTACACTGCCTACTTTGTACATTCTTAAGTGAGCATCGACATGGTAACTTGCGTTTAATTAATTTGGGATCAACCAAATAAAAAATTCATGCACTTTCACCCCAAAAATTTTTGACTGCCTAACCAAAAAGTAAAGAGTTATTTTATTTACATTTCGATTTCGAGTTTTACACCACACCTTTGTTGCGTAGTGCCTTGCAGAACCTTAATATTTAATAATATGCCGCGCCGCTCATTGTACACGCACCGGTTACAACCCATTTCCAGCTTCTATTTCCATTTTTCTTTTATTACTGAGTAGTCCCCAATCCCATTTGTACGATATTGGATATACGTACTGTACTCGTATAACCTTACCGGTTAGTGTCATGGTGCATACTTCGGTACCTAACGATCTTTATTGTTTTTACCACCGTAACCGTTTGTAGTTACGCGTCGACAAAGTCGATACCAGAAAAACCAAAAACTAGGTATGTACTTGTAGCTGTCTTCAAGTCGTGTTTACGTTAAATTTGTTGCATAATCATTAATAAATCCGAATCGCTAGCGCTCATGACTGGCCAAATAACAGCTATCGTTGTCACCATAAAACCATTTTCCACGTAATACCTTGTCCAACGAGTAGTTTTACAGTCAGGCGAAGGTTTATTGTTAACAAAGCCCTTGTAAGTGATCGACAATTAAATGCTCTAAAACCGCTCATCCTAGACGCCGTATGCGTAACGGAAAGAACGGACAGAATGTTGTTAGTCCGGGCGCAAAAAAATATACATCAAATCACTTTCTTGAGACCTTCAACTATTTTGCCGGCACTCGTACTGCAAGCCGCGCCGCAACGAGTATGTTGGATAGTAATTTTGCGTAAAATTATTCGCTCCACCAGTCACCTATAAAGCTCTTAAACACTATCCATAAAAACCTTGCACAGCAGGATCATCTATCCTAAAGGTGCTATCTAACACTAACTTTTAAGCATTTTTAATTGGCGATCGCTTGCTCAGGTGTTTATTGTAAAACCATGCAAGGCTCACACCGCTACCCAGTTGTATGTCACTGCAAACAAGAATTTAGTTTTTCTAAATATATACCGTTTTCGTAATAAACGAGTTGTTTTGTAGCAGCTACCATCATAATATTGTGAAGTTCCAGAATTGTCGGTAGATCAGTAATTTATTTTCTTAAATTGTACGAACGCTTTGATTTCGTGCCCTTTGAAATTTACCTGTTGTAGTTTATTTTGTCAAAGACAACGTAGAGGTCAATTTAGCACAGGAGTGACAATAACAAACTACATATAGCGAGAATCATGAAGACCGACACTGCAGAAGAATCCGGCAGGAAATCCAAGAGAAGATCAAGTCAAAATTCAACTGTGCGGCACATTCTACGGAAGTCAGGATTCGGTGCCGGTAAAACTGCAGAAGATACAGTCGCTCCCTCTACATACCCACCTGTGGTTCACTGCAAACTGCTTGATGAACTGGATGGGAATTCTTCTGACACTGGCAGCTCCGAAAACCAGGATGGCAGCTTGGGGTACAAAAATGAAGGTACGAGTGTCGTGCTGCATACATATTAGATTTTGCAGTGCTTACTTAACTAAAGCCACCGAAGAATCTTTACAACACCGAGTTTGTGGGAACTCGACATTTCAGATTTGTCGATTTTTGTCGAAAATCACTATGCAGGCTGCTAAACTTGGTAAAACGTCCGTGTTGTTCCTGAAAATTCATATTTGCATACTTGGAATGGTATAAACTGCGGTTTCTTAAATGGTGGCGGGCGACAGCCGCAAAATCTACATACGGTACAGACCCTCTCTGTATGAAAACACTACTAATTAGTAGTGTTAACATCAAATATTATATATGTTTCGTCATACGTGAGCATCTGTAACGTTCAGGATGGAATCGGTCTCGTAAATATAAATATATAACGTTTTCGTGGTGTCATAGTTTCGAAAAAAGTAAGGGAAACGATGCCGCTTTTCAGATGAGGGGAATCCTTAATCTTCGCAGACCAGAACTCTGCAAGCAGTTAAATTTTATCTAACTCTGTTCTCGAAGCCTTTGGTGACAAGGACAATATATGGAAACTTTTGTTGCGGTAATACTTGTAGTCAACTCTTATTTTAATAATACCGTTGTACGTAATCCTATCAACACTACCCAAATGCTACCAAAATCGATCCGTTTACTAGCAATTTGCGCTTTATGCGGAGTACGAGTAATCTAAATACAAACGAGTAAGTACGAGTAATCTAATGTTTATGGTATTGTTGGGATCTGGGCTTTTTCAAAATAATTTTCAAAACAATGTGCTCCAGATATTTATTGTATGAACAGTTGAACACACAATGTTAATGCAGTACGAGTAGTGATTCTGGTTCTGCACAAAATGGAAAGCTAACTTCATGTAGTTCATTATCAGTCACCTAAAGGTGTTTTGAAAGATAATTTTGTATTCTTATTGTAGTAGCAGTTTTGCAAAGTTCGACACATCTACTGAGTATCGGACAATACAGTAAGTACTCTGTAGATGCGCAGTAATACAGTAGCATGTGGTGTTGTCTAACAGTAAGGTGAAGACGTGCGTAAAGAAACGCTATTTAACGGTGCCTGTTTTCTGCGACATTGATTATGCATCACTTTCACTTTTTATGGTTTCTTGATACTTCGCGCATTACGGTTTGGCAGACGACTTGCGCAAGCAGAACCTGACGCTGAGTATTGTTTGTTATGCTGTCCTATTCTGTGATGCGTAGAAATTTGGAAGGTCGTCCAGTTTTTTTGTAGCAGATCGTGTGGAACATCGCGTCACGTTAGCTTTCTTTCCGGACAGTTTTATCTTGAGATTAGTAAACACATTTTCAGTAGAAGTAAATTTGGCAGTAAATATTCAGGATCCCGCAATATCTATAATATTTGACGCGATATGTGACATTAGCGTATTACCTGTAGAAGTATTAATTGGTGCAAAAGTCAGCCATATTTATAATTAATTACTTAATATAAGATATATTGTACTCTGCCTATACTTTTAGGCTTTAGCTATTAAATGCAGCAGGACCCTTGTTTACCTTAAAGCATTATGAAATAAAAATGCTGAACATATAATTTTAGCATTTTCGTGTTATACAGTAGAATTACATATATGTATAATGAAATTCATATATAAGCGACATGAAATTGTCGCTGTTAAATTTACCCGTGTGCATGTTGCAGAAGTCTTAACACCGGTGACCTTTTATCGACCCTGGGATAACGAGCCCACATTGGGAGATCACATCAACCAGATAATCGAGAAACAACTCAAACAGGCGCTGCTACGCAAAGTTCCTGCAGACCAGCCAAATTACAAGCTGTGTTCCCCAAAAACTATTGTCAAAGGGGGGCATTCGTCAAAAGGATTTCGGAAAGGGTCTGTACGCACAAACAATCAAAGACAACACGGCAAGACGAAAAAATAAACGAAACCATAGCTCTTCCATGTGCATTCGGTGCCAATTACGCCATACCGCAAGTGCCAGAATATCAGTTTTCGGTAAATGCGCAGAATGTTCCGTATGCGCCTTGCGCAGATAATTCCTTCACTAGTTCGGTATGGAGAAGTTACTATCCCCTTTCGTGGAGTGCGTTGTATCCCATGCAGTCATCATGGCTAGCATCCATGTCGACCGCGTTACCGCTGCAAATTCAACGCACCTATAACATTTTCGCGCCACCGGCATCGGCGCATCCACACAATCCCTTGAGTCAGTTGAGTGCGTATCCGGTGGCGGGTGCAGTTAATTATGTCTGCGGCCACGAAAGCGATACTTCTAATTCAAAGGACTTGCGATTAGAAAAAAGTGCCGGTTGTGTTGAATTTATAAACAATGGGTACGGTATAAAAAATCCTCTGGCCGAGCGATTGGCGGAATCCGAAAACAATCTGCTATCCTATCCTGAATGGACGTCTGGCAAACTGGCGCGAGATAGTGCTAAAGTTAGTTAAAACTAATACTGACTTAGAAATAGATAAAAATGAATCTCCAATTACGTAAACATTCTTGTTAAGTCCAATACAGGTCTTATCATATGGTTGAATGAGCAGTGAGCTACGTATCATTTATTAATTTTGTCATTTGCTTTTTCTTTTACAGAACGCTAACTTAAGCAAGAAAAAGCACAGTGGAGGAGCACTAAAACGCTTTTTATGTTCCTTTTGTGGGAAAGGATTCAACGATACTTTCGACTTAAAGCGCCATACGAGAACTCATACAGGTAGCAACGTTATAGCTATACGTATCTCACAAGATGTTAAAGGTCATCCATGGCAAGAGCTTCGTTACAACTGCACGAAGAGCTTTCGATCGTTACTGTAATTTTGTCATTTCAACCGAAACGAAAATACTATACAGTATTTTAATTTAAAAGTAAAAACTGTACATAAAACTTTCGCAGCTACCGTAAACCTGCATCGGATCAATGAGGATTTCACGCTTTACGGCCTGCGTTATAATGTTTTGACCAAAAATTATTAAAGTAAAATTTGTATTCTATATAGGTAAACACCATACACTCTAGATCTGTAAAATAAATTACTGTTATAAGCTTACAATGTTCGACCACAATCTGTGTAAACATTCTTTTGGCTATACTGGTATGCATGCTGCACAGATTCTTTTTTCATAACTCTTACCTTTACCGGACGCTGCCATTTAAATGTCACTGTAATTGAAGGTGTGCGACCATACAAATGTGATAACTGCGAGAAAAGTTTCACGCAAAGATGTTCGCTGGAGACACATGCTAAGAAGATACATGGAGTCAAATTCCATTTTGGCTACAAGGAGCGTCGTGACAAGCTATACATTTGCGAAGCGTGCGGAGATGCCACACCTGTTGTAAGAACGACTGCATAAACCAGCCTTCCAGATGTACTCGTATTTCTGTACAGTATTCAAGAACCTGATAATAAATTAGTTATCCGAACGTATAATATTATGAGGTGCCGATTACGAAATACTGGTTACTAACTGTAAATTCTCTGCGACGAATACGTGCACGTTGACGCAAGCAGTCTTTTCCTTTTCACTAACTTTTTCCTTAGCTGATTGTGTTGTTATTATACTCATAGTAACGGTTTTTCACTAATACGTTTACCTTTTTGCTAGATGGAGCAACATTTTCTCCATATGCAACGCGACCACTCCCGATCGGATAAGACTGTGGGATCCGGTAATTTATTAGGAAGTGATAATTTGCAGTGACCGTTTTCCACACCAGTCCCAAGGAAAGTGTGGTTAGATTCAACCTAAATCTACTCTAGAAATCGTAGCGCAATGTTGCTGATCGCCAAGTCGAACTAACTAGTTGACTAATCGGCAATCTGTTCTGGTGGCATGACACCTTACAATTACTGAATCTGCTTTAAAAAAGACTATTAACATTGGTCACCATACATTAATCTATTCATTTTCCGTATTATTGTGTTAGGGCATGGAAATGGTATGGGAAGCATTACTTATATAGATACGAGGTACATTAACATAGGTGATTCATACACGACCAAGACTCCGACAGAAGTAAGCATCGCAAAATTTTCATCGCTTAAAAATTTCTAAGATTGGCGTCTTCTATGTACCACAGTTACGTGCCTGCAAATTTAAAACTATTTCTGCGTTTTGTATCGGCAGTGATTCGGCATACTTAGCACTCAAATTCGGAATTTCTGTTTATAAAACTTGCAGTTTACTCTACTCATATTGGTAGCAAAGTGTGAACGATAATGCACACTGTTTAATATCGCTCAGGCTTTGCTACTTTGCTTTGCTATTAAATACTACGGTGCAAAACTTAAAACAAATAACGCACGTTCGCTTGATTAATCATTAAACTAAAAACTTTTTTACTGCTTCTATCGATCAGACGATTACTAATGTACTGTTTTCAAAATTATTGTGTGCTTTCCATTTTTTCAAACTGTAATTTATCATTTAAGAACTCGGCAGTTTTAAAACTGTTGCAGACGGGCACAATAAAACCAAAATTCGCTAACAGAAACACCAAAAAAATTATAGAACGAAATGATGCCTCGCCTTCTTCCAATCAAACGCAGGCGGATTCACAAGCAACACCCTTTTGTACAACACAGTAATACAAAACGAATTTTGCAATCTGGAAGACCATTCTTTAGAACACAACCAAATAATAAGGTCAATCCACGAGATTCTCTTTACGAACATGCATTTCTCTGGCATGGCTTTGTAAATACGTACACGTTGCGTTTGAAACCTAAAAATAATTCGACATAAGACCTCCGTAGACATGCGAACCATACAAATAGCTTCCAACACTAACCGTCTAACACTAATGATAAGTAATTCACCTCTAACAAGACCGGCATCGCCCGGGGTATCAATTTTTACACAAGATTCATATCCCACTTCCGAGGATAAAAGATATTCCTGAAAGTTTTCTGGTTTGAGACGAATGTCCCGAAGTATGGCACGCATATCCACCTGCGCGATATTACAAAAATTAGCACAAAAGGTAAGGTAATAAATCGTCACCACGTGAAATACAACACTATGCATGAACTACCGTCAGTTTGCCTTTGGATTTCCCCGAGCAATACGAGAACCACTCTTGTGGTTCCACAATGAACAGTCCACCTGGGCGCAGGTGGTGGAAGGTGCGCTGGAAGAACCTCTTCAACCCTTCATCTCCCCAGTTAAGGTGAATCCATTTTGTAACACTTAAAGCTAAAATGGTGTCAAATTCTCCCGCTTCGGAGGCAGGGTCAACTCCGGACGCCACATAGTCGCACTACATGAAAAACTATTAATAACCTTGCTTATTTGTAATAAAACTTTCTTCCTTACATGAAGAAACGCAATGTTATACGGAAATTCTTGTGCTTCGTCAGAAAGCCCACTATTAACAGCGGGCGCGGCTATCGGTCCGAAAAGAATGGGAAGTGACTTGGGGAAGCCTTCTCTTTCGCACAAATCATCCGTGATATAATGGCGTATGTTGCGTTTGGCTATTTTTATCAGTTCTTTATCGATATCAATCCCAACCATCATTCGCGGTGTGAAAGATTTTGTGAGCGCCAATGTGAACTGTCCAGTATTGCAGCCAATATCTAAACAGTCTTTCCCTCTGAACCATTCGCCCTGCATTAAGCGATAACGGGGATCTTGGTCAACAATACGGTAACCATAATACCGGTTGTAATTTCCGTAGCGAAATCTATTGGCTAGCATTTCACGTTTGGATGCGTAGATAGTACCATCCGGACCGGTAAAGGAATGGGAATTGCGATTGTAAGCCTGAATTTGCTCGTTTAACTGCAGAGGATCATGGCGATCAACGTTTTTCGGCAGCCCAATGAAACGATCTTTACGCGTTCTGTGGGGGAAGGCTGGTCGACGGCTGAATGGGGACACTTCTTCGTTGACGCCGGGTGATATCGCAACGTTAGGAAATGCCGGATCCAGGCTCAGTGGATCGCGTGGGCAGACCAGTGCGTGGCGGCGCTCCGACATACGGCGCTTCCAGCGCTCTTTTTCCATTTCTTCCTGTTCTGTTTTGATTTCGGAGTCCACTAAACAATACACATCGCACTTACAATTAGTCGTTAGAACAGCACGCACAGCAATGCAAAATGCTTCCTACAACCACAATTGTAATTACCTATTTATGCTGCGAAAACCACAGCAAAATTCGAAGTTAAAAACCTTCGAAAGCTTGACAAATTATAATTATGACGTCGTATAATAACAAAACTAGCGTTATATAACGCCCATTGGTGACCATTGTGACTGCCTGTTATGTATACGGGTATCACAGCCAAGCTTACTCATGAATTTACAAAACGGATATTAATAAACCTAGAAAAGTAAAATGATGTCTAATTGACTAAATGGCTAGTGGCTACCAAACTATTGCAGGATTTCCGGTATACATGTGTGCCCATACAATTAATTTCTGTATAAGTAAATAGTAATAAGTCGGCAAAATATACTTCCACAACGCTCGGTTAAACTCAACTGACCGCAAGCATGCCGCCACGCAAGTAAACGGATATAAGTAATGTTATGTCAAAATAAAAAGCTGGTATCAAAACTGTCTAGGTAAAGTCGAAATTACTTCTAGTACTTAATAACAGCCTCGACTAAACTGTCAAAGAACATATGCCGCACATTCGGACATCGTAAGTATTAGGTAAATTCAAATCGTTTTGCAGATACCGGGAAGTCAGCCCCTCGCATAATCTGGACATGCTACTCAACTATTACCCTCGAACAAACAAAACCTTAAAAACGTTTCCTTCATTATACTGAGCAATTGGACAGTAAAATAAAACACAAATTAAAACACGTAGAATGGCCAAAGTAACTGAAAAAGTTAGTGCAATAATAACGAAACTGACATGATCTTACTTATTACACCGGCAGCAGTCGACGAAGTTGAGGCGTGTCGAAGTCGGGCTCGCTTCCGTCGGCCCACTGGAACTTTATCAAGCTCATGGTCGCTGGAGCCCTCTTCTTTCTTACGTTTGGCTGCTCCCATACGGGAAGATTCGTCAACAGAAAGTGTGGAGGCTTCTGGTTTTGCAGGGGAGTAACGTAGAGGGGACTCTACGGAGCAGGACATGCTGGAACAACGCGGGATCCCAACAAACTTTGAAAATATTTTCATATCAGCATTTACGCTTCTTCGACTAACACTGCGTTGAAATATGTTTGGCGTACTCCGTAAACGAAAATGAAAGCAAATCGATCAGTTCGACTCAGTTTTCGGTTCGGTTTTGGTAACCGTTTGCAGGCTGACCTGTTCGCTCAAGTCGATAGTTGTTATTATTTTGTTAATTTGTTATTGTTTCACTCTGCCTTGCGTGCCAATAGAGACTAAGAGAATCTATGACAAATTCACACGTTGATGCATTATGTCGATTAATCGTTTATATTAAGAAAACAAGTTACGTTTTGTTTGGATCGTTGATGTTTTCCCACGTTAGTACATCGTACTTTAAAACTTTTATTAAGTATGTACTACTCAGTACTAGTATTCCGTGTTGCCAACTTGCCGCAACTATAAAGCGGGCGGTTCGGAACCATAGGCTCCATTGATAGCATCGCTCTTGTCATACACGGCCTAACTTGGCCACTGTTGTCACTTGTCAGTATGCTGTGTAGTGATCCAGATTTTACGTTTTGTATCTTGCGGTAATGCATAAAACCGATAAAAGTGAGAAATCCTACGTATTTACTTTGGCGACTTAATTTAAACCAAAAGGGTTGCATGGACTTGTGAATGAAAACGCACGTTTGCGGCATCTTAAAGTTTGACATGGCACATCTGCTGCTGGACGGCCGGCAACCTGTATAGAAGATGGACCGTTTTTCGACACCTGGAACATTGGATCCAAGTCACTCGTCTACAATGCAGCAGCCTTCTCAGGTATTTCGGTGGCTAGGGCGTTTCGCTCCAGCTTTTTGTTTAAATGGAAACCAGGTCTCCATTATAACGGAGCCTGCGGCCTATTATGAATTTCTGGAATCTTCTATGAAAACCTTCACACGACGAGCCGTATTGTCAGCGCTTTATTTGGGAACGGGACGACTGGAACAAAACCTGGTCTCTGCACTTCAGAATCGTTGCTCAGAATTGAAAAAGAGCGCAACTCCGTTTAATGTCCATTTTCTCCTGGATTATCAGCGTGGATCTCGGGGCTCGAAGAATTCGCGGACGATATTGCTGCCGTTACTGCAAGAGAATGCTGAGCGCGTCAAACTCTCCCTTTTTCACACTCCAAATCTGCGTGGAATTTGGAAAACACATGTTCCGGAGAGATGGAACGAAATAGTCGGACTCTTGCATATGAAAGTGTGCGTTTTCGATGATAATGTTCTCATTACGGGAGCGAATTTAAGCGATCAGTATTTTACGAACCGACAAGATCGTTATGTGCTCATTAAAAATGTTCCCGAATTAGCCAATTTTTTCGAAGAACTCGTCCAAGGGGTGGCAGGCGCATCATTCACTGTCAATGCTCAAGATGAAGTGGGGTTGTCATCCGATACTGCTGCTCATCCATATTTAGGCAGGTTTGGCGTTTTTGTCTTATGTCGCGTTTACTATTTAATTTCGGCATTATTTGTAAATTTTAATTGCTTTTACGCGTTTTCTTACGATTAATACCGTATGGTTTGCGTAGTTTGTTCGTATTGCATTAATTTTGTTTTTCTCACCTAAGGCATATTATATAATTTCAACAACTGGTGTAGATGGAGCTGCTTGGTTTATGAAAGGCCGAAGGAACGGAAACATATTTAATTTTAAATTTTGAAATAATGGTTTTAAAAGTTTTCATCATGGTGCAGGTAGCCTATAATCTCTTATCAAATACAAATGTTCGATTTTTTCTTCTCGTATCAGTAACTCTAACACAGTTCTTAAATTTCTTACACTTCGGTATTTGTTCCGGTGATGCTTGCGTTACGTTTTCTCTTTCTATCGTTAGGATCGAAGGAAGATTTTATCGAGCATGCCAAAGACAGCGTGCGCCGTGCATATTCCATGTACCCTCCCACGCAACGATTCGCTGCGGGACCGGATGTTAGTATAGACAATGCCGACACGTGGATTTATCCGCTAGTGCAAATGAAACACTTTGACGTGCTGAAAGATGAGAAGGCGACGGAAGAAATCCTGTCTTCAGTACCGGAAGACACGCATATTCACCTGGCGTCGGGTTATTTCAATTTAACCAGATCCTACAGGAGATTAATTCTGACGCAGCCACAGGCACATTACAGCATTCTTATGGCATCGCCGCAAGTATGAATGCAAATACCAAACATGAACATTCAACTTCTAACGATTTTCGCTAGGATGTGGATGATGAATTCACGGGCAGCAGGGTGCTTTTCTGCTACATCGTTTTGCATTTTTTTCGTAGACTAACGGGTTTTTCGGTGCCGAAGGCGCATCGAGCGCAGTTCCGGCTATGTATGTCCAGATTGCAAAAACCTTCTTCAAACATATTCAGCGGCATGCCCAGCAACATAGAGTGAAGCTGTACGAATACTACAGAGATGGCTGGACATACCACGTTAAAGGCCTTTGGGCAACTCTCCCAGGTCAACAGAATCCGGCTCTTACTCTCGTGGGATCGCCAAACTTTGGTAAGGCGATCAGCTGGTTTGATCGGCTGCTGTAGGTGTTAGTCGCATACCCGGTTGATGATTAATGCCGGGATTCGTATCGGTACATTTCAAATATGTTGGATTGATTTTCACAGTTTACTGCATTTTATTTTGAATAAATTTTTGTGCAGGGTATCGGTCAGTCAATCGCGATATTGAGGCTCAGATAGCTGTTGTGACGGAGAATGCGGACCTTCAGAAGCGGCTGGCTGAAGAAAGAGATCGGTTATTTCATGATGGACGGTATATAACAGATGAAACTTTTGAAAGCGAGCATCATCAGGTACCATGGAGTGTACGATTAAGTTGGAGATGGATTAAAAATTTTTTTTGACTGCGGTCGTGTGGCAAATGTTTTTTTAGAAATGCGTTGTGATCACTTCTCGGTGGTTTTTTACGTTGAACGATTAAAGTTCCGTTTTACCATTGTTACCATGAGGTTTTATAGTTTAAACCTTTTACCTGCGTGCTTTAAAAACTAAATTCAAGAATTGAATGAACTGTTTGCTGGAATGGCATTTGTTTCGATGATTTGTGTAAATTTGCGTATTGACCCTGTAGGTTTTATTGGAGCTTTCTTTTACTATGGCATCATTTGACGTTTAATTTTCTTCAACTAAACCACAACATTTGATAGGCTAATCGACTCTGGTTAGACTGCTCTTTGTCGCTGACAGAGCATTACTACATTAAATGGTGTTTCTGACACATCCTCGCTTGATAATCTTGTTTAAAGGGTTGTATTTGGACAGTTTGTTTAAACTGCGTCCTTACCGCCAATCGCCAATGATTTGGCGTGCATTTCTAGCCATAATGCAGAAAATGGGATGGGTGTCCGACCCATATTTGTGTTATGCCGACGGCATGGCTAAGTCTGCATGTCGAGCGCAGTGCCGCGCGAGACGGAGTCTGTCGTAAATTTGCCTCTCGTGTGCGAGGATTCGAACGTGAAGTGCTGATGTGGAAACATTGTACATATTGCTTGCGGATTAATCCAAAATGATCTAGATTCCAGTAAAAACCGCACAGGTTTAGCTCTAAGAATTAAATTCAATTGTTTTGAAAGAGACCAGTCGGGCAGTATCGATTGAATATGTGCCCTGCACAAATGAACGAGAAATTGACCATTGGCTAATTGGATTTCTCGCATTGTTTTTATGGATTTGCCTGTTGAATATCCCCTCCTCTTCTGCCTTGGTTTTGTGGGTTTTCGGGCCAGATAATTATTTGACTTCTCATAACCTCTTTCGCCCATATTCAGTTCAATCTGGAAAGAAACGCAGCCGAGCGATATACCGTCGTATATATATACGGAGACGTCTCTTACTACGGCGTGATATACCAGCGAAAAGTTTTTGGGCTACATAGCTGTATATCCTAATTTGGCTAGTGGATTGTCGTTTTGGCCTCTTAATGGTCGGTCTTTAGATAAAAATGCCACCCAGATGATTTTGTACTGTAGAAACTGATCTGCATAGCTGATTGTTATACGTTTTGGTGGGAAGCCATTTCTTAATTAGAAAATACGAAATCCACTATGGCAGCATTCATTGATTCCGTTACGAATCGAAAGTTGATTTACTTTGGACTGTTTATTTTACTTATCCAAATCGGATTCTTCGTTATTGGCGGAATTATAGGTAATTAAACGTCTGGAACGTTTCTGTAGTTCAGTAAACCCGTCAAATTGATATGTTGGCAATGTTGCAGCGCAGCATCATGCATGACGATAAAGGATAGCTTTACTTTATTGCTGTATGTATTTACCGTTACAGTACTAATCGTAAAAGACTGTATTTGTTATTATATGTGTTAGAAAAGCGCATAGAATATAAATATTATGGAATAAGACTGTGGAGACAACAAATTGTAAGTACAAGGAAAACGGTTGAGCTGGTATGGCGCCGGTTTTAGAATCCGTGAAAATAGTTAATAGAAAAATTATTATGTACAGACTGTATAACTCCAGTTACTAACCATAAATATAATACCTTTCAATGGCTGGTACCTTTTTAGTCCTTTACCACAGCTTACACTGCGCCTACGGACTACGTACATATGTGAAAAATAGTATATTATAAAAATATGTATGTGTTGTAAGTACACTATGTGTAGTTTGAACACGGGCTATTGGTGGTCAAACTTGGTAACTGCATAATATTCCTCTTGTTGATTAGTAAATCAGAATCACTACTTGTATTGTTGATTTGCAATTTATATAATTTCGCTTATTGATAATTTCATAGAATTATTTTTCGCAGCGCCGTCACCGTCAAACGTTTCGCCGATGCTCAGCGTAAAATGCTTGGATGACCAGAAGGGACCGAGAGACCGTTGGTTTTATCCACGCGGCAAAGATCGGTCCAAAACATGCCAGCAGATCCACGATTTCGGAGAAGAAACTGTTCAGAAAATGAAACTGAATGCGTCGAATATAGTTTTTGCCGTTCAGTTTCCTATCCCTCGCGATGGCCAAGAACTGACCATGTCCCGTTGGTTTCAAGGTTTGCTCGGCGTTCTGCATCCGGAAATCGTTTATCAAGGCGACGATAAGACAAGTGCGTTTGTAATATTATGGTGTACAATATTTATTGAAGTGCAATTTAGGATTATCAATACGGGCTTAAAAAAGCAGCATTTATGTGCAATATCTGTAGGTGCTGTACGTTCGTGTTCTTACTACGGTACACTTAATACACGAGTCCGTACTAGGCTTCAAACTGGATATCGAAATCCACGCACGTATTGGTTACCGCAACAAGGAAGATCCGGAAGATGCTTGGAAGGAAATTGATCGGTCGGTGGAAACACGACAGCTTGAATGCAGCATCGAAGAAGTATGTTAGACCGAAGCGGCAACTATAGATATCATTAATTTCAACCTTTAATGCGTTTTTGTGTACCGTATAGATACATACGGATGTTCGGCCATCGTTGCGCTGTTAAAAAATAATATATATAAGCTGAAGCGATGGACTCGGATGTTATTTTGCAGTATAAAATGATAAGACCTACGTACTCTCGTAATGAGGATTTATTTATGTAGAAAGGGAACATTCAGTAGGGAGAAAATTTACTAAAGGCGCGCTAAATACGTTGTTAAGTAAATCACTGTTTACTGTTTAGCCAAAATGGTGATTTTTATGTTTACATTTGCTTGAGCATAGTTTTTGTGGTGTAGCGTCACAAGGATTATTTGTACAACTGTACTCCCGTTGCCCTTTTTGAACTGGGAAGTTCCTATCACGACTTTTATCTGTTAAATCTTCGCCTGCCCGTGCATAACTCCAATGGGACGTTATCGGGGAAAAATACAGGGCTGGGACAACTGCAAGATTTATGGGTGGTGGAAATCCATCAAAACGGCGGTTTCACGCGAGTTTGGTTTTCGGTGAAGACCGTCCTGTTTCCGTTCGTCTTTGTAGCTGTTTGCTGGTTTTGGACGAAAATACGAAACTTACCCAAGGCTCCGCGGTTACTGGAGAAAATGCTGTTTACCTTGGGACTGGCTATGTTGTTACTGGATCTGCCTTTGGAGTTTCTGTCATTGCTATTCGACATACCGGCAATTCTCTTGATTTCCGACATCCGGCAGGGCATCTTTTATTCCATCTTGCTGGCGTTCTGGATAATTTTTGCCGGGAGAATATCAAATGGTATGATCAATCACAAACAAACTGGTATAAATTTAATAAAGCATTTCTATGACCAAATTTTAACAGTCTTATGCTTGCTTTCCATTAGCATAACGAGGTTGACAGGTTGTCTAACGTTTTCCCCGTTAACCACCGAGTGTGATAAGTATTTAATTAGTCTGCTGTGTGGAGTATCCATTGACTTCATTCTGGGATTGCTCATTGCCGAATCCCAATCTAAAACACTCCGTTGATTTTGCAGGACGACGTGTTGAGAGACAGCATTTTTTTCTACTGGAAACACTTGGGCGCCGTTGGTTTTGGATGCATCTGCTTGTTTGTATTTGATATGTGTGAGAGGTGAGTCGGGATTTCACAGCGCAAATACTTGCCTGTTCAACACATCTGATTGTCAAATGCACTTTCCGCTGTGTTGTTCATGTGCTTGCTCACCAGTCACCACGCATTTCCTATTTATTGCAGAGGAGTGCAGCTGACGAATGCCTTCTACTCAATATGGGCTACTCCCACTGGAACGAATCTTGCCGTAAGCACTGTGGGCCCGATGGGTCACATATATCTGACAGACATAAAATTCTGAGCAATAAATTTTAATGATTCCAGATGGCGTTTATCATAGTGGCCGGCATTTGTGCTTGCATCTACTTTGTTTATTTGACGGTCATGATCAGTTTTGCGCTGAGGAATATGTGGGACAAACGCAAGAAACTGCTTCAACTCGACGAGAAACGGAGAAAACATTATCAGGCATGGATAAAAAGATAGTTGACTTTGAAGACGTTGAACTAATAAATTATCTATAGGTATTTGGCGTATTGTTGTTTCCTTATTACAAGAAGTTATTCGTAGTTATGATGTCGCTAATCGTTGGCCCATTGGCATCTGTAGCCTAATTAGTGATCTCGCACATAATTTGTCTGTGCTTATTATTATAGTAAATTAAATATCATATCACTAAAGTAAAGTAAAAGTGTGACTTACTATACCTGTAGGCAAGCCGAAACAATTCAAAACACATGTCGTTTTATTATTGATTTTGGCGTGATATTTTGGCGTTAGTTTTGGCGTTTTACAGTGTTAGTTCAAGGTTGCGCAAGCGACGGAACGTTTTCTTAATTAGGTATTTCTGCAGATGATGATATTCCGCTTCCAGTTCCTGTTGCTTATTTCGCTGCTGTGTGCCGCATTAACTGTGATATCGTTCATTATTGGGCAGGTGAGCATTAACACTGCACGGAACTTTTTTTCAGCGCTACTGAAGTTAATGATGATTTAATATTTTTAGGTAAGCGAAAGCAGTTGGAAATGGGGCGATGAGGAAAGAGCTGGTCTGGAATATACCAGCGCGTTTTTTGTGGGCATATTTGCCATGTGGAATTTGTACGTAATTACGTTGTTGATCCTGTACTCGCCAGTGTCCACTCATGAAGCACGTAAGTCATGGCTCTTGTGTTTCCGTTTAATAGCAGACTTGATTCGTTTTCGTTAGCTGCGGCTCCCGTGTGTTGAATGTGTTTTTATCCCTTTGCTTCGGCTTAATTACATGATATTTTACAGTGGAGAATCCGACAGAGAATTCCGAAGTCATAGCACTGAACGCTGTTTCTGGAACATCAAACGACTCAATATTGATGACGGATTTTGCTACTTCCGCAACCAGTTTCTTGCGTAAAGTAGCGGAAGATTAGGAACCAACGTTGACGCTGATTATCAGTTTCTCTTCGTGGAAAATCGGGCGGTATACTGTACTGCTAACGGTTTCATAGTATGAAACTAGCATATGTATGAAATTCATACAGTCTTACTTGCCGCATGTATTTAAGCCATGTAATGTTTAAGTTCACCTCAAATTTCTGCTAGCTTCTTATTTCTAACTTTGAAGGCCTTTTAAGAAACCGGAATGATTTGCAGCTCATACTGTTGTGCTTTCTTAAAAATAATCTCATTGTTTTGTTAAAACTGTTGTTAAACTTATCGTCAACTGTTGCGTTTTGACCGTTTCGAATGATAAAAGCTGTTGACCGTAGGTACTTTATATTGCTATACGCTTGTGACGGCTTGTCTATAAATGTGTAAGTGTTCAGTACTTAACTCCGGACAACATCCGAATAATTTTTATCTTGACTGGCTGGATTACATAACACTGTTGGATAAATACTGTACAGATCTGTTAATAAAACTCATTATACGTTGTGTAAATCCATCACATGTGATGCTCACAAAAGGCCTGTGAAAGGAAAGTTTTCAAATTCGAAGACTAATTTCACATGGCGAGACTGTTTTGTGCATTTTAAGTTGCTTTGAACTTGTGAATTCAACCGTGCACTGCGCGTATATGTGTGCGGAAAATTCATTCTCATTAACATTGTTTGTTCACAAGTGTTGAGCAACGGGCATACACAATTATTTATTAATCTCAGCTATTAATAACATACGATTCAAAAAATCGCGGAAGCGGTTTCATAAGTTTTAGTCCGTAAGTTATAACACAGTGTACTTGATGGAAGCAAATAGCGCAAAATAATATGTATTGTATGCATGGAGTACCAGCACAATAACTCTTTGATGGTGTCTTGCAGAATTATAATTATGGGCATGGAAAGTGACAATTTAATAGAAAGTTTTTGTTTTTAGAACTTTTTTACTACTTAATAATCATGGCTTTGAAATTTTACAATGTGTGCAGCATGCCCTTGGTACTACAGCTTGTGGTATTAAACATTTTAGTAAGGGGTCAGAATTTAGGTTTGGAAAAACCAGGCCGATGTGCTTCCGTTAGCGGAAAATGCAGTGCCGGTCCAAGTCCTAGTAGCCGCTGTTTCTTTCATTTTGAATGCCCAGGGAAACAATTGTGTTGTTCTATCGATGGATGCATTAATGCTTGTGTCGATCCTGTTCTGAATTTTAATGATTCTCGTATAAGTGACCTTTTGTCTAGATCTGATATGCTGCTGTCTGCTGCTGATAATGCGTATGTTCTGAACCCAAATGTGGTCCAAAAGGGTAAGTTTAGTTTGCAATTAAAGCGCGTGAAACTACAATTTCCGTTGGGGTTTCAGCTGGCATTAAGAGTTTGATCTACTCGTAAGATGTCCTTAAAATGTATCGGTGCAGTTAAGTTAGCCCAATTAACTAATGGCGACGATTTATGGCTTAAAGCAACACAGTATCCACTATGCCGCAACTGAAATAAAACTTTTATGAAAAGTGTTTGAGTAATTTCTGCAGGTCCATATTTAAAATGCAAAGCCGGGTTGCTGATCAAAACTTCTTACCGGTGTAACGGGAAGAACGATTGTCCGGACGGTGACAATTCAGATGAAATGGATTGTCCATGTTCTGCGGATGAGGTTTTGTGTACCAACGGATTATGCGTCAATTTGGCAGCAGTCTGTTTACCAACCGGAACACGAAATGGTCTATGTTCCGTGCCGAGCTTAAACTGCTCTAGTATAAACTGTTCCAGCTCTGACCATTTCCGGTGCAACAATGGACAATGTGTTCCGCTGAACAATCGCTGCGGTAAAATGAATACGAACCCAGAGTTTTTAAACATTATCATTGCTTTCCCGTAGTTGCCTCACAGTTTCTGATCCTCTCGTTTATATTATTTATACAGATGGGATCTTTTCCTGTCTGGATGGAAGCGACGAACAGGACTGCGGTTTGTGGTTACACAGATGTTTACCTTTTAAATATAATCATTCGGAATTTGATCACAGCATAAGGATCAGCTTTTCTTTTTTGTCAAACAAATTTCTTGAATCTGTTTCAAAAAGCTGTGCGACATCGACACTTTGTGTAACTATATTCTACGTAATCAAATTCAACTGTTCGCAACTGTGCTTTTGTTATGGTTCGTAGCTTGCAGCAGTGGAAATTTTAACTGCGATGATGGTTTATGTAAATCGCTACTGAATGTTTGGTAAGGAACCTGTTTTGAGTTGCTTATACAGTGCGACAAATATGGTTTTAGCATCATACCGTGACCAGCCTGACGACATCATAATATGCAATAATTAATTTGTAAATTTTCTTGCAGGTGCAATGGCGCAGCTGATTGCTCCGACCGTTCCGATGAATCTGCAAACTGCTCCTGTATACCGGGGCAGTTTACATGCACGAACGGTCGATGTATACCGCAATACAAAAAATGCGATTTTATAGACGACTGCTTGTAGGTAGCATTCAAATTTTATGGATTAGCCTCACTTCATAAGCTGTGACCGTGCAGTTTCACAAAAATTCGAAAGATTCTGCTGAATTAGAGACGGATCGGACGAAACCGACTGCACAGTGAAATGCACGGCGTCCAATAAACTGTTTCAGTGTGGCAGCGGTCAGTGCATCCCCGTTTATTCCCAGTGCGATGGGTTTCCTGATTGTCAAGATGCATCGGATGAGAGCAACTGCGTGGACAATAAACCAAACAACTGCCATCGTGCCGGGTATTTTTCCTGTGGAAATTCGTCTTCCACTGTCGAAAAGTGTGTGCCGTTGTCGGCTTGGTGTGACGGTGTCACGGATTGTCCTGATCACGTAATTTTAACATGTGCTTCGTGCAAGGTTTTTGCAGTGTTATTTTCAAACGTTAATGTGCACCTGTAGACCGATGAGCCGCTGTTTTGTTCGACAACATGTCCAAACGCTTCGATGTCCTGTGATGGAGGCCGATGCATATCACTGGCTAGCAAATGCGATGGCAAAGTGGACTGCACAGATAAAACTGACGAGAGCGGATGTCAGTGTCAGGAAAACGAGCTGCCGCTTCCAAACAGCGCTTGCCTGGCTAGGGACAAATTCTGCAACGGCGTGCGGGATGCCGCTAATGGTTTGGATGAAGAACAGTGCAGAGGTGAGGAGAATATTAAGAAAAAGTTGTTTTTTTTATTGTGAACAATCTATTTACAATCTATTCGTGCTTCGAATGAAAATATTTCAAATTCTGGAACACACGCTGGTATTAATTTTTTGGACCACACGGTCAGAAATTTTTACGTTTTGTTATTTATACTGATGCACGGATGGTTTATAATTTTTTATGTAAAAACTTTTAGCGTGTAAAGAGCGATTAGCACAAAATTTCCCGGGGAAATTATGTGACGGGATAATCGACTGTCCGGACGCATCGGACGAACTGTTCTGCGGACACTGCACGACAGCGCAGTTCTTTTGTCAGAAATCCCACCAATGTATTTTTCGTAATCAGACCTGCGACGGCTATCCCGACTGCAATCCCTACGGCGAAGATGAAGAGACATGTCTGGGCGTTACTCCAGCGCCGTGTCACATTGATGCCGATATGACCAGCATTCAGTCGGAACGTGCCGGCTGTTTGACTGTGCGCAATCGCGGCGAATGGATGCCGGTGTGTGCGGAGCGCTGGCTAAGCTCCTTATCCGATGCCATCTGCGAAATTATGGGCTACGATAAATCTCTATCGACCAACCTTGTTCCTATGGAGCCGGGTGAAATCCCGGAAAGACCGCTGAAGATGCCCCGGCAATTTGACGGAGCGCAGCTGGTCATTAGCGCTGCCTTTAGTTGTCCATCGCGGAAGAAGGTCTACTTGGAATGCGGTTCACTGCTGTGTGGGCAGAGTTTACCTGATAATGGCTTACCCAAATATATAACCGGTTACAACAAAGTTGCCGCTGGAGAACATCCCTGGAGTGCGCTCTTATATCAGGATGGGAAATATATCTGTTCGGCGGTGATAGTGGACGCCGAATGGGTGTTGACCTCGGCCAAATGTGTCGCGACCATCGATTTGGCTTCCAGTTTTGTTGTAGTCCGCGTCGGCATGATACGTCGCTTTTCGCGCAATGCTAATGAGCAATTTCTTCCGGTGGATTTTATCGCTATGCATCCAAATTTTACTGTCAGTATTAATCCGGAAATCGCAACGGCTGATGCGGATTTAGCGCTCCTGCACCTCGCGGTTCCGGTCCACTGGAATGCCTTCGCGAAGCCGGTGTGTTTACCACGCAGTTCGGATCCCCAGAAAGTATTACTCTTACCGGATGGGGAGTAGTTATGGGGCAAAGCGTTTTTTCCAACGGTAAACTGAAACCACATTCAAATAACATTATTAAAAACTTTTGTCTGCTTAGCTGTCTTCTTCATAAATAGCCATCATAACGCGAAAACATACATACATATATTTTATAGGAAAGCTACTCGTACGACTAGCGAATTCTATTACTTTTATACGTAATACGTATGTCCGATAAGCAGCGTCCACGTTCAGTCGCCGTGTGTGGGTTCATAATTGTACCAACGTGTTTGTTGATTGCCCGAAAGAATTCAAGTATGGATTGTTGTTGTAGAAGATGCCATGCAACAGGTGACTGTCAATGCCATAAACTCGACATTCTGCCAAAAAAATCCGTTTCTTGGAAAAAAGCTTGACTGTTAATTCATTTTGTGCAAATTTTTCCGGAATCAGTCCAGGGAACTGCACAACAGACCACGGCGGGCCGGCATTGAACAAGGACTATTATGGACGGTGGAGCGTGGTGGGTGTGGCGAGCTTCATGTTAGGCTGCAACCAAACGGGAGCTGTTGTTGGTCTGGTCAATGTTGCAAAGCACCGAACATGGATAACCGATGTTATGACTAAAAGTAAGTCAGACCGGCCTTCACTTCAGCGCTGCTTGTATGCATCAGTATGTTTTGTTCGGAAAAAGGTCACCTAATTTGTAATGTCATTGTAGGTGCTCCAACGAAGACATTAAGCGACAAATTATGCATGAACGGATACAGATGCGAAGTCGGAAGCTGTATAAATCCCAGTCAACGGTAATAATTTCAACCACAAAATATGGGCACCTTTAATCTTTCTGATAATTATAAAATTACAGGTGCGACGGCACGACTGATTGTCCACTGGGCTCAGATGAATACAACTGTCTGCACACCGCTTTTCAGCAAAATCAAACAGGCAGCTGCAATTTTTCGGATGCGTCTCTTTGCGGATACCGGCAGGACATAAGCGATACGCTCGACTTCTATCGTGGAAACGTTGGGGATTCCAGTTTTCCCATTAACCGCGAGAAATGGCTGTTGAGTTTCAGCGGAAGTTTTCTATACATCAGCAGCTTAATGAATAACGGCGGGAAAGGAGCCACGGCCAGGCTGATATCGCCACGAATCAATCCTATCGCGTCGGCTCGATGTCTGAAAGTAAATTTTCTAGCTGGGAACGGGAGTTTGACTGTCTACGATTACGCCGATCCCACTCGGATGTACACGATACCTAAGATAGGTGACGATGCTACACCGTCATCGACACAGTGGGTACTGCCACAAAATACTTCCTTGTTTGTGTTGGAGGCGAAACTCACCGCGGATAAAGACGCTTTCGTAGCGATGGGAGATATCGTACTGGACGCCGGTAGTTGTCCAAGTTAACTATTCAGCAGCCAATAGTCACGGAAATTATAGCCTTAGAAACATTCTTAAATTTTTATTCACTGTTGTATGATAAGTCCACAACAGACGTTGGTGAAGGTGCTGACACGTAGTTTCCCAATGGTTTTTTATAGTTTGCATTATTTACATGACGATGATGAAATGATACCAGATCTGTCTTGTACCATGCCATGCGTGTACTACTGTATCTTGTTTTAAACTCTGTGCCATCGTAATGGCAAGAGCAGAATCGCAGCTGAGATATGCCATACTCGGGCTCTTAACTCTTAAGTGACAAATCAATGATAACAATGAATTCAATGTCTTCGTGCGACGGGCAGCGCCCGTTTTACAGCAGTAGACAATAGAATCAGTGATGGAAAAAACTAGTTAGTGGTGCACAATATGAAAATGAAGTCGCTTAATTCAAACAGTACGTACCACGGTACCAGTAACAAAACTGTTAAATTTCGCAGGACAGGTAGAAACAAAATTAAAACAAACCGACACATCAGGTGAATATCAGTTTCTTAGTAAACCCATTCTCGTACGAACACATTTGACGGCCAGATCTTAGGGTCCAAAATCTTTTCAGATGCCTTCTTGAATGTGCCCACACGGGCAAACGTTGATGTTCTCTTGTCCCCAGAAGCGGGGACAAACACGCTAACAAATCTTGTAGCAACCCCGGCTGCATTCACCTGGCTAGCTATGAAAGCGTTTATACCTTTGATGTTCGGAAACTTCAGAATTTCCAGGAACACCTCTTGCACAGAAATCAGCGTGCGGCGTACGATCGCATTACCGGCTATACCGTACATTCTGCTGACTTCCGGAACGGCGAAGCGCGAACGCCAACAAGTGGTTGAACTGCAAATCCCTGTACACAATTCACCACGCATCCCTGTACGCGATGAGTCACATTGTGTATTTTACTTACTTACTACTCTAGTAAAACCGGTGGTGCCTCATGGCAATTTGACAAACACAAACTGAAAAAGTTCCGTAGCGATTTCGGTTCGCATTTTGTAATGTGACTTATAACTTGTTACATATTTTTGGTGATTCATTATGATTTTCATAAAATTCTTATCATGAGACACTGCGAGATGGCGTAGTATTAAACCAATAACTCATCTACGATTAGCGCAGGTCTGTGAATATGATTGTTGGGTCCCTTGCGCAGAACAGCATGACCCATGTCGATTATCAGTGCGTCGTATCAGAATGTTGATAAGCTACGAGGGCAGCTGAAATTCAGTTGCTCATTCGTAGTTTTGCTGGATTTCAGTCTAACTCTAGCCTGCAGTAAAGGCTCTGCTAATTGCATTCAGTATGGAGCCTTTCATGCTAAATATCGCTGCTTCTCCGGAAGTGAAACCCAAGAAAAGGAATGGGTTTTACCCTAGCTGTGGACGAATCGGATTTTGGATGAGTGCGAAAAAGCAGAAGAAAATGGATATGTCCAAGTTCGCCTTAATTTGCCGGTAAATGGAAATTTCCGCTGTTTTATTTCAGCCGTTTGGTGTACCACGCTGTAGTTTGCTCTTCTTCCGTCTTGTAGGAAGACTGGATATGAGTTGGTTGAGGTAAGTTTATGATCTTCCTGCATTTGTGTTTCATTTCGCTGCCGTGCACTATGAGAGGCTCTTAGTACTCGAATTGATATGCCTTGATAAGATAGATTTTTGCGTAATCTCCGATCGAATTGTTACATCAGATTTATGTTAATTGCATGGTGTTTGCCGTTTACTAAAACACAGACATAAGAATTGCGGGTGAACCGTGAATACAATTACTGTATATGCCGTGGTGCGCGACTGCGCGTGCGAGCGATCTGCATGCTAAGACAAACAAATTGCTGTGTTGTAGCCTGTTGTTGTAATGTAACGAGTGTATTTTCGTGAAATCTGGCTTTCATCGTAAAAAATGAATGAAAATTTTTAATTAATTTGTATTTAAGCAAATTGTTTCCGTTTGAAGTGGGGGCTCGGCTCAGGTTGCGGTATCGTGGTGTTTAATGAAACTGTTTTGCAAAACTTTGAATTAGTCAATAATTTCCGTAAACAGGGAACCGTTTCATTCGTAATTCCCTCATCGCTAAGGCTATCCATCTAACATAACACTTTTTCAAAATTTCTCTGCGAGGCGTACTCATCTTGAAAGTTGTGTATTGCACAATGTACTTCCGCACAACACGGTGTTAGGGTTTGCGGAAATTCATAATACATATTACATAGTAAGCAACTAACGTGGAAGTGCGTGTGCGCACTCAATCAGCTTTTTATGTTTACGCTAAAATTTCCAATTTTTGCTGATTGCAGCTTATCGGCAGTGCGTGTACACAATTGGAATTGTTTGCGGTTGTTGAATATTTTTATCGACTTTTAGGTTGATTTTGGACGCCCTTTGGAACAGCAAGGACCATTTGATATCTTTCTTCATAAATTGACGGATATGATTGTTAGAGCTGAGCAAACCAATAGCACCGATCATGCTGTTAGAGCGGAAGCGGAGAAAGCAGCTGAGTTTTTCCATGATTTGCAGGTAAAAAAATAACGTTCAGACTACGTGCAAATGGCAGTTTTCAATGTATGACAATACCATACTTGATTAGTGATTGGTTTTTTTCTGGACAGGAATACCAGCAAAGTCATCCAGAACTGATTGTCATTGATCCAGTTGACAATTTGAAGAAGCTATTACTGCGCCAGCGTCAGTATCACCTGACCGCTTCCAGCCCGGCTTGTAGACACGGTAAACAGTACTAATTGTGAATATTATGATAATGTTAATTGTAAAGCGTTAATAGGAAATTACCTTTTCGTCTTCTTGAAAACGTGCTGAGTACGCCAAAAACTTGGGAAAAATGCGTTTAATTTTGATGGACATGAGTGGTAAAATTCGATCGAATTCCAGTAGTGTCTTGTTAAGATTTACGAATACGTCAGGGAGTAATCACGGAATAATACTTATTTATGACAAATATATCGCACGGAAAGTCTCCGCGGTATGCTTGTTCTCTGGGTGGAGTTATTTCGTTTTCGATTTGATCTTACGGTTTAATAAGCTAAGGATAACAAGAACTGATTTCGTTTTGGTTGGAGGCTTTGAATGTTCAGTTTGCACGTTTCTTCAATATACTCGTACGAGTACACAAAAAAAACTGGAATGTCAGCGAATTTTTCATGTACCCATATACATTTCATACCCGGGGCAGGGCATGTTTGATGTTTGATTCATATTCATCCGACTGTTGATTATGAATCAACCATGCACACTTCCGTATATTTTATTGCCTGGTCCATACAGGCCTGTTAACTCTGTTTGTATTGTTGTAGAAATGGTATTTTCGCCTGCCTTCATCGAACTGAGTGCCACCGCACCCGAGGAAATGCTTCAACAGCTGCAGCGCGGACATGTGCAATTTCCGATTGTATGCAAACCGCAAGAAGCCCACGGCTCGTCAGATGCGCACCATATGATGATTATTTTCAATGCTACGGGCCTGGAAAGCATCAAGGTCCCCTGTGTTGCCCAGTCTTTCGTTAATCATGATGCTATTCTGTATAAAGTATTTGTTATTGGAGACAAGCACCATGTTGTGCGCCGACCTTCTTTTGAGAACTTTTATTTGAACGGTAAGTGCCACCGAAAATTAACTGTTAGACACTTGATATTTTTGTTCGTTGGAAGTACGTTTCGGTTGTTCAGACAGTCCAGTTAACAGCTACTCACGTCGGCTTAGATTTGGAGTTGGGGACCGTACGTTTGCTTGTGGCTGAAAGTGTTTTTTACTCTTTCTAGACCTTCCGCCGATCGTTTTTGATAGCCAGGATATATCCAAAGCCCAATGGCTTTGTAGTGATCCGTCGAAGCTTCCCCTGTTTCGTATTGCGGCCAACAGTATTAACGCAGCAACCGCTGAGGTTGAACTTGATCCGGCAGTAGTATCGTTCATTGTCCAAGGAATAAGGCAGCAATTCGGGCTGTCCTTAATTGGAATTGATTTAATTCGCGAAGTTGACACCGGAAGGCTGGCGATAATTGATGTGAATGCCTTTCCCAGTACGTTAACCTGCATACCCGTGTGAAATTTAAATTCGAATGTCGGCAAATTACTTTTTCGGTTGACGTCTGAATTGCATTGCAATATTAGTTTTGATTTGCGCTTCGTCCTGTTAAGTCGTACAGACTCATACTTTGATTTTATTTACAGGCTATGATGGAGTGCCGGATTTTTTTGGTACGTTGTCCGATTTTCTGCATTCCACTGTCAAGCACCGCAGTGCTATTCTTTCGCGGGAAAAGAATGGATTAAACACAAAAACGAAGAATATCCCACGCTCATTCCAGTCTGTCACGAGCGCTACTGTAATCAGACAGTAGTCCGGAAAACCGACTTTCCGCCATTGCGCGTGGAATAGCATTCCTTTACCACAGTTTTTCTACCTTATCGCCATGTTGCCTTGTTGGTTTCATTATGTTGTTTGTTATAAGGATTTTACGTTCCCCGGTTTATACAGAGAGTTGTCAAAGATTTTAGCATTTGTGATATAGAACTTTTTAATGCCATTTTACGGACATACGAATGTTGAGTATAATTTTTACAACCATGTTGCTAAAATAAAACAGTTTAAACATCCTAAACAGTGACAATTTAATCAAGAAAATATCAGTGGAAGAGGAACTAAAAAAACATTAAGTTTAGTGTAATCCTTAACTCAGCTTTTCATGAAAGTTTTTAACGGACTTAAAGCAGACCAAATCTGCATGGGATCCATAGGCGAAACCGATTTCTGAAATGAAAATTAGCCGTTACGAATTACGAAGGGATGAATTCTGGAAGATAGTCCAAGATTCGTACCGGAAGGTCAGGTATTTTACTTTCTCGTACGGCATATTCTCGGAGCATGAAATTCTCGCCTTTCTGCCAAAATGTATATTTTTAAAATTTTTTACAACAGAGCATGTAGAACCTTCCAAGTAAAAAAAATTAACTGTAGTATACAGATAGACTATTCGAATAAGCCAAATAAGGACCTATTACAATGTTTTGTAATTGTAGTAGGAATAATAATATAATACTCGTACGGTACATGAATTAAATCAGTCTGACCTAACTGAAGTCGCTTCAGATTTGTAAATTACAAAGACAGATATAAAGCACTGCGATTTACCCTTTTAGTTCTTACCTTTAGCAGTAACCGCGTGTCGTAAAGACGTACGAACACGTGGTCAACCCGTAAATAAAATCGCATCAGGACAAACACATACGAGTCAACAATCCGCTAAAACAACCCCGAAAAGCCATCAGTAAGTGACAGAAATAACCGTAGTGGGCACATTTGAAGAGGATAAGCACTGCAAGCCGCAGCCTGGTTATACGCACGATTTTCAAATCCATTTCTGAACATCCATTATCATCTAATTCATCCCCATAAAGTTGAATTTCATCAAACAGCAAAACAGCATCTCTGCGTTTTAGTAGCTCCAGATCCAACTCCTCCACAGTTGGCTAAGTCATGAAAAACAACTGCAGTAATATGTGATCTATGACAGCGAGGATTCAACGAGTACTGTAAACATTACTATCTATCAGTATTTACAAACCTGGGAATGCATGGTGCCAAATACGCTTCCTCGGTAATCGGGCGTGTATGTCCAATCGTACTGCACCGTCTTCGACCCGTACGTTTTGAGAGCTTCGGTCCTAAAAAGGCAGATAAAAGCGATATGTTATCATATGTACTAGTAACTCGCGCAAAGCCTATTCAAGTACAACAACTGCTGGCTACTGTAGTGAATAAAATTTAAAATATATAAGACTGGTGTATGCTCACTTTGTAATGCTGCATATCAAAATACTAACAAGAAACTATGCTGCCCACTTTAAATATTCGGACCCATACGAACTATTAAACAATTAAAAGTCAGACGGAGTCCATCACGGTGAATTCGGTGGAAAATTGCAGGACATACGAGTAGTTCAACAAGACTTTTTGTTACAAAAGTTATACGAAAAACAGTTTAAGAAATCGCTGACAAGCAGATTAAAGGTGATCATTTTACGAAATTGCGCAAAATTCTCTGTTTTCTTACGCTCACCTGGATTCCTGCCATACACTAGCGGACGCCACCTGAATATCACCCGAAGGCTGCTCTCCGATTGAATTCACAGCATCCACAGCGTTAAATTCAATTCCTGACTGCGTTTTGGCATTCTCGATACGCAAAGAGTTCTCCACAAAGACCATATCGGGAAGATATTTCAGCGTAAAGCGCGCTTCATTCCTAATATTATTGCAAAGGGAAAATTATCCAGGGTCCGTTGCACGATTACTAAATTGTAACTCACAATCAGTATGCTGTTCACATTTACCTACAAAAGACGCATCTGCCACCGCTACCGGGAACGCAGTTCCCACTTTGATGGCTCGCAATGCTGGCAATGGAGCTTTCCTTTGCGCACAGACACTGGGAGCTCATAATTGGAGCTTTCGTGATTGTTATGATCCAATCTCCGAAATGGAAGACTTGGGTGTTTGGGACAGCAGCCGACGTGGTTTGTGTCACCAGTGGCTTACCGGAAGCAGACAGGCCATTCCTTGACTCTGGCTTGCTATCCATACTATAAGGAGTAATAATGATAATGAAACTTTCAGAATGCAACGAAACTCGATTCGCTATGAGCATAAATAAGTAATCACAAAATAGTTCGCGGAATCTGACGAGTGCAAATGTTACTTACTTTATAGTTTATTACGATTATATCATTATTAGTGCACAACACAGTTTACAAAATCAAAATTAAAGTTGTGTTTTCTCGAAGCTGATCATGGTCGAATGACTCACCTGGCTTTGGAGCCGTAGACGAATCAGAAGTGCGTGTTTTGATTCATTGTTCGCCGACTTCAATACGGTGTGCCATATTTGCCTGAATGAACCACCTGAGTTACTGACGTCATAATAGGCTTCCGGACGCGCATCCTGTACGGGAAAGCACGAATTTTGTTCGGCCTCCAGTTGGTTCTGGTCAAGTATTTTGGGCTTTTCTGAGTGATAAAATGATTAGTTAAATTTAAATCTTCCCCGATAATTTTTAAGTATTTGATTCTACAGAGTGTATTTCGATTTACTATTGCTGACAGATGATCAGCATACAACAAGTATCGGATTTGAGCCATTTGATCAACCGATGAGATTTGCAAAACATGTCAAATTTGTCCATGCAGTACTATGCAGCGGTTTCTGATGTCGGTGCTCCAACTTCCAGCAAAACAGAAGCAACATCATTCATTAGTCCCCAGCTGCAGTATCAACAATGGTATGTATAAACTATAGTTAGTTCCGTTGCTGCGAATGGTAGAAACCCTGCAAGTCTGGAACCATGCTGTTAACAGTTAACTGGCCGTTTAAGATGTCGCGAATCCACTGCGAATCTTGTTCGTTACCAAGTGGCTGTTTCAGTTTGAGTAGTTTCACTAAAGAAATTTTATGCGATTCTGTGCTAAGTAATTTTTGCAGCTTCTGTTGATAAGCAGAGACACTAATTATTCGTCTAATGGAATTGCGCTTTGGCGTTGCAGGTTTCAGCAGCAAATCCAGCAGCAGGCTGCACAACAAAGCCAGCAACAGCAGAATGGTATATCCTTCCCAGCCTTGACTGGAGACGGGAGTCAGGCGATTTTCACAGCTGGTTACCTCGATCCGCACAGTTTGGACTTCCATGCCCTGAACGCCGGCGGCCTTAACGCCAACATCAACGGCCAGATTGTACCAACGGATGCTGGTTTGTCCCTGTCAGCGTTACAATCGATTGCTGGTTTCCAGCTGCATACCAGCCAAGGCAAGTTCACAACTTTGAATTAGAGTTTGACGTACATAGCTTCTCGGAAGTTTGAATGCAGTATTCTGGGAATGTAGGTCAGACTTTCATGGTGCCTTCGGGTGCCAATCTGACGGTCAGTAGTGGACCGTTTGCCAACAACGAGCAGCATATGCAAGGTCTGCACCACCAGCACCAGCAGGCAGCTCAACAACAAACCCCTGTTGCCGCTCCAAAGAAGAAGGGCCCGAAAACCAAGGCAGCCCCAGCACCGAGCACACCCACGAATGTCACCAAAGCTGCAAAACCACCAAAGCCCAAAGGGACTCCCAACGCGTATGCCATCTTCTACAAGGAAACCTATGCCAAGTTGCGTCAGGAAAATCCAGAATGGAAAGCCAGTCAGATTATGGCAGAGGCTGGCAAGATCTGGAAAGACTTGAATGGCGCCGTTCAGGATCACTATCGATCTCAGGTACATCATGAAAAATTCTGTTATGTTTCAATTTCATTTCACTATTATGAATCAGTTATGTTTCATTATTTGCATACTTTTTTTGGTGTTATCATCACTAGCTTCAGAATGCTTTCGATCTACTTTCTGTTGAAGTTAACGCACACTTACCAACATTATTGCAGGCTTGCAGCTAACTTTTATTAAAACAGTGATCTTTGTTAGGCTGAATCGTTGGTACAGGCTCACAATCTTGCATATCCGAAAACTTCCGGAAAGAAGCAAAAAAACGGGCAGAAACGCCCCATGACAGCTTATCAGTTGTTTATTCGCGAGCAGTTCAGTCAGCGGCCTTCCGAAAGCAGTACCATGCACGCCAAAGATATTCTTATGCAGCTGTCCGGTCAGTGGAAAAATTTACCGGATGAGGTAAAAAAAGTCTATCAGGACCGAGCTCAGCTAGAGAAGGCTCGCTCCCAGGCAGAGCAGCATGCGAGCAACGGGGAACGCCGGAATGGTGATGATCAGATGCAGATGAATGATGTCCAGGCTCAGGAGTTGCATTCCCTGCAGCAGCAAGCGAACATGATGATCGATGTGCCTTATGACCAGAAGCCAAGATTGGACGATACCCGATAGTAAGATTGGTATGTTCAATATATGGTACACGCTACTGTGACGCAAGCAATAATGTTTTTCTTAACTTCTCCACCTTCCGAAAAGCGTGGTCAGTGATGCTTTTTCGGCTGTTTGCAGATTATTTTTCCTTCCTCATGGTGGTAATAGCAGTGAGTTATTGGCCTCCAGTAATTTGATTGTGACATGAATGACACGGAATATTTAGGATAGGACCGCGAATTGTTCCTGTTTTCTTCTGCCCGATTGGAATCTGTTTGGCCCTTTGTTTACAATCTCCCTACTGGATAAGAGAGACCAGTACTAGTGCGATGATTAAGTCGCTATCTCTTTGTTCCGCAGTATTACCTTCCTTTGTTTTATTCTTTTAAATACCGAAACGAAAATCTGTATTTTGAAGTCGGAGTGGCTTTTGGTCTTTATTGCTCGTTTAGTTTGTGGATTGGGAAAAGGGCTTGAATTTTATTGCTTTATTGACTGTTAGACTTTACTGGATTGCCTGTAGAAAGCGTATCGGCGTTTAGCGGATCTCAGGTCTGGAAACGCTGAAAACACCGTACGTTGAAAGGCGACTGTTTGTTCCTGCTTAATCAACTTGTTTGTTAACGTTATTTTGTACGATCTCGAACCTGATTTTTTTTGGTTTTTTGAGTTCGATATAGCGTATCCAGCTAATGTTTTGTTTTCATCGTTTTAGTCTTTTATGAAAATCAAACTCAACCGGGTCCACCTGTTATTCTTCTCGAAGTACTGAACTATTTTGTCATCGTTCATTATTGTTTGTTATTAGGGGTTTCACTGGCAGCTCGCAGTATTGGTCTACATTTACGCTTACATTTACATTATTTTAGGAAATTATTTTCACTGTTCAGAATGGTTGTTAACGTATTACTCATAGACTATTTACACCAGCTGTGCGAATGTGTTTCCTAATATCACGCGCTATTAAAGAAACATTACGTACGACTGATGATTAGTAATGAGTAATTATTCTTTAGTAAGTCAAAATTTTCCACGACCAATTAAGTGAGAAAATGCCACATGGTTTGAAAATTTGGACTGCTTCTGCTCGTACTGTACCTTCTGAGCCTTTCCCGTAATATACAGTGTCAGTACCTACTTTTATCGAGAACGTCTTGCAACCAGAGTACTAAGAACAGTAATAATAAAATAATTGCCTTATGTGCAATTGTCGTGTCTAATAGTACTGTAATTACAACTTTTACAAGTACATAATAACATACAAAAGTATGTGTATCTAGATAGTAAGATACCCGTAAGTACTGTACTGTACTTGTATAAAAAAATAATACGGACCTTTCGCATACTGTACAAACACTAGCGGTGCAGTCGCGTAGTGAAGTGCTGGAACTGCTAATGTCGATGCACTGCACAGCAAAACCACCTTTCGCAAACCTTCGTTCTGCTACGGTGCAGTACACAAAACTGAAATTATTGACTTTTTATTTTTTCGATTCTGAAATCAATGTATTCGTCAAATGCCTTCAAATTTTTGAGTGAAAATGAATGCAGAATTACGTAAACTTTTAATCTTGCGAGTTCGCGGTCATATATCTCAGAGACGACTGGTTTTGCTTCATTTGTGCGCGAAACGTCGTCCAACGACTGGCCCGCGAAGAAACCGAGGATAATTGGGATATCGTGGAAACGTTTTCTTTGGATCGATTTACGAAGCGGGAGTTTTATTGCTTTTTTCGAATTCGAAAAATTGATTTTCCTCGCCTCTTAGCTGCACTTCGCATACCTGAAATCATCCGGACGGCAGCGAGAGATGCAGTTAGAGGCGATGAAGGACTGTGTATTTTGTTACGCCGTTTGGCGTTCCGAACCGATGGATAGAGCTACGAAGACTATTTGGCCGCTCAGAAGCTTGTCTGTCCCGCAATTTTCATACCGTTCTGAACCACATCGATTCCTCTTTTAAATGATTGTTGCGATCTTGGAATCAAAACTGGCTCAACGAAGAAGGCTTCATCGATTTCGTGGACGCTATCTCTCGTAAAGGAGGAACCAAGCAGGGATGTTTTGGGTTCATCGACGGGACAGCTAGAGCCATTTGTCGCCCCAAATTCCACCAAAGAGCTTGTTTTAGCGGACTCAAGCGCTTTCACTGTTTGAAGTGGCAGTCTATCGTTACTCCAAATGGTAAGCCGCTTCTTAAATTAGGCAGATGAAAAATTAGTAGAAATAAGAATAATAATTCCATTTTTCGATTTCGATCTTTCAGGGTTAATTTGTAATTTGTTTGGTGGAGTCAGAGGAAGTATGCACAATGCCAGACTGCTTCGCGAAAGCAAGGTGTTGGATGAATTACGCCAGAAATTCCTTCAGTTTGATACAGATCAATACTGTATGTACGGAGACAGCGGATACAGAAAGAATCGTTTTCTAGAAACGCCACGTTCAAACGCTCGCTGTCTGGCAGATCCTGCAAAGGAATTGGAAAACTATGCGAATTCGAGCGTCCGCCAAGCAGTAGAATGGAATTTCAAGGACATTGTTAACTGGTGGGCCTATGTGGATTTTAAAAAACGAATGCCCTTGTTTTTGATTCCTGTTAGCAAAATCTATCGCGTTGCGGTTATTTTATCGAATTGTAAAACATGTCTAAAGCCGAATCAAACTAGTTTATACGTTTCCTGGAAGAGTGCATCCTCTGGGCGGTTAGCTACTGTTTTAGGAGGAGCTATAGGCGACATCGTCTATTTACCCCTTTCATTAAAAAATTCACTGCCAATTCATTTTCCAATATTTTCAAAAATTTTTTTGTTTTCGGTAGAAAAATGATTTTTCTGCATTCTAGTACCAGAAAGACACTCCATATCATCCAGGAAAACATAGCGCAAGCTCCGGAAAAGTACGCAACTAGAAGGGGCCTTCTACTGCGCGCAGTAGCGATTCAGTACACTAGCGGTAGCAGTAGTGACGTCAGGACCTAGTAGTGACTGTTTTTTTGACACTGCAGACGTTTGCGAAAGGTCCGTAATGATACTACCACGGTACCACCACAGCTAGCACGGTACCCGTAATAATGTCGGGTTATTGTGCCAGCCGCCCAGGGTGGCATATACGGTTGAGGCAATTGCGGCTGTGGCATGCGCCATGCTGCTACAGTGCTACCCCAACTACTTACCTAACTTACAATATTATACTGCTCATCTAAATCCTAATACCATTCTTGTCAGTCCAAAGTTCCTAACACTACAGTAACTAGTAAACTAACAGTAACTAACACTACAGTAACTAGTTCCTAACACTACAGTAACTAGAAGCTTTCGGCAAACGCTCCGCTTAACCATACCCATACACTAACCATACGGTATGGTTAAGTGCGAGCGTATGGCAAATTGCCATTGGCAAGTGCGGATACCATACAAACGCGTCGTATGGTGGTCGACTTCCAACGACTCCCCTTAACATTTGTACAATCAAATTGCACTAGATGTGCTTTTTTATAATACAGAAAACATTATTGAATATAAATATAATTTTTTCGGTTGATGTCGTGCCATGTAGTGCGAGAGAAAAAATAAAATCTGAAGGCACCTAGAAGTCAGCTGCGCGATTTTGCTAGTATCTCATACCTCCATGGCGGCCACCTCCATGGCGGTCTACCACGACTCGATAAGAGATGGTTAAGGGATGGATACGGTGTCTTTTGCCGAAAGCCTCTATTAAATATTAGCGTGAACAAACTTCTATAATTTTCCTGAAGCAAGGAAAAAGAAGGGAATGCTTGAAAAGAGTTTTCTTCATGCTTCTTCTGCCAGAGAAGAAGCGTTGTCTTATTGTTAGAAATTAGAATATGTAGCGTTAAGTACGAGTACGTAATCTTAATTACTGTACATATTAGTATAAGAACGAGGATCCAGCTTATTTTTCGCTGCGTTTCCTTGCCCGCGCTTGGGTTTTTTTGGCAAAGAGGGGGCGACCACCTACTGGGTGACTGATTAAATTGTAGTGGAAAGAAATTAAAACACGCTGTTAAAAAGCGTACAGAATGCAAAAAATTTCATTTAAAGTTTTAAACAGACGGGAAATCGAAAAAAAGCATAAATTTTTTTATAAAATTCAAGAAAAACCATAATAAAAATTGTAAAAGAAAATAAAACGGTGGTCAAAAAAGAGAAACGGGGGCAACCGCCCTCTCCCCTTCGGCCACTTCGTAATATTTTTAATTTTTGACGCTCTTTTAAATAACTCGACTCACGATGTCTCAGTTTTGTATGGTCTTTCCATGCAACACTATACTGACGTCACGGAATTCATTAGGTTCGGTCTTTTAGGCGTAATGAACCGTCTGAACAGCTCGAACCATTCTTTGGGCACTCCAGTAAGCGAAATCAGACGGTTCTTTGGAAAGCCAAACTTATTCTTTCACTGAAAATCCCAAATTTGACTTTTGTTTTGATTTAAATTTTAAATTATTTCTCGGAACCCTTTTCGACATTGCGAAAATAAAATTCATTATTGTCGCCCTGGAAAGAAGTTTAAGGAACTGAAAGTTTAAGCTGCGAAATCTGACGGAAAAAACTGAACCGTTAAGCATGTGGTATACTCCGTCGGGAGACGACTCCCGATCCAGATAAATCTGAAACCGATACAGAGACTCGCAAACGCAGTTGGCGGCAGCTAGTGATGGAAAAACTAAACCAGACTAAATTCGGTTAAACCAAAAACTTGGTTAAAAGCTTTAGCCGCCTAAATCGGCTTAGTTAAAACTTATAGTCAACCAAATTCTCTTGGCTAAAACCTTTAGCGACTAAAAGTGGCTTGGTTAAAATTCTTAATCAGTTAACCAAAGTTAACTGAAACTAATCACTAAAATCCTTATAATTAAAAGTTTTTTTCATATATGATTTTATTTTCATGCGGTTTTAGGTACCCAGATCACGATACTAATGTTGTTCCTACTCAAGTATCGGCGTTTACCAACCTTCCGTAAAACACAAGCTAGAGCTTAAAGTCTGAAGTCAAGTCACTAAAGTTACAATTACAAATTTTACAGCATTACCCGTAAAATTACCCGTTAATGTTATGGAAATAAATTGCGACAGTAAAATAAAAACAGGCCGTAACGACGGTGGTTAATGGTAGCTTGCGAAGGCCGGTTAGGCAAAATGCCGCACTGTCAACCGCCCCGGCCCGTATACGCATACAGCCGCTTGCTACATGCGCTCTGCAACTGCGAAAGACCCGACCGGCCGGGTGGAGGTTAAATACAGTTCCGTACTTGAGCTAAATACGGTAATTTTGCCATAGTTTCACTGGAAAAAAAAAGACCAATAAATAAAATTGGTTAACCTCGGTTTAACCTTCAAGTTTTGGTAGCTAAAATCGACTCGGTTAAAACTTTTAGTCAGCTAAAAGTTCTTCACTAATTTTTTTACCTACCTAAAATTGTTAAATTAATTGTTTTAGTTTTAGCCAGGTTAACCGTAGTTAACCGACTAATTAGTCGGCTAATTTTAGTTTTTCCATCACTAGCGGCAGCCAGCGACGTATGGCAGATTCAGAAATCGAAACAGACTGCCTGAAGCGCAAACTGACAAAGCAGTATAAACACATATGCCAGTACGCGCACATTTCTCAATTATGATAAAAAATGAATAGCGATTCCCGTTTTCAAAAATTATACTGCGCTGTGCTCTGTTATTAGTGTTATACTTTGTGTTTATTACACGATTGAAATTGTTAGTTTGTTTCCTTTGTTAGTCTGTGTTACCAACTGTGTTACACGAAACCTGAATTGATTTTAAAACTATGCGTTTATACTGTGATCATTTCGTTTTGTAACGACTAACGTCACTTCAAACATGCGCAAAGCGAAGCTCGCTTTGCTTCTGCATCTGGTTCGCGTGCGTCACAGTCTTCTTCGTACTTCTCGTCTGCGCCAAAAAATTCATTTGCTAATTGCGAGCAAAAGAATCCGTCAACGTCGCTGGTATGTCCGTGAACATAATCGTGATCGCGATCGATGGGGTGAATTTTCGAATATTGTGAAACGGATGCGCGAGTTAGACGATGAGCTACATTTTCAGTACTTTCGGATGGCCAAGGAAACCTTCGACGAAATTCTTGCATTGATTACTCCACGCATCAGCCACGCCATCACCCATGAGTATCCGGTGTCTCCCATGGAGCGACTTGCCGTAACTTTAAGGTTAGTAAAATAAAACGTCGTGTACTACTCTAGCAGTTAAATGGTATAAAATTAGAATTTACATATTCAAACAAATTCATTTTAAATTTACCTGCACTTGTTACCTTAATTTTCTTTGATTTTTAAACTACTCACAGCTGCTGTTTCTGCTCATTATAGCTGTTATAATATGTGTTTACAGAATCTTGGCTTCGGGCATGAGTCAAACTACAGCAGCCCATAGTTTCTGTCTTGGTCGAGCCACGGTAAATCGCATTTACCGCGAAACAACAAGGGCAATTTGGGATGTTATGGGGCCTGTTTACGTTGGTCCACCGAGCGAATCACGCTGGAAATCTAATGCGGAAAGGTTCAACGCGTCCTGGCAATTTCCTAACTGCATTGGTGCGGCCGACGGGAAGCACGTGGTTATCAAGGTAAGGGAGCGGTGACTGTTGATAAGTAGAAAGTTTTGAAAATTAAATTATTATCTGCTTTACTGCTCACAGTATAATTATTCTTGATTAATGTATTGCAGAAACCAAAGAATGGCGGTAGTCAGTATATCAACTACAAAGGGACACATTCAATCGTACTCATGGCTGTAGCGGGTCCCGATTATGAATTTTCATACGTGGATATAGGCGGCTATGGTCGGCAGAGTGACGGTGGGACATGGAGCAAGTGCGCTTTGGGAAAAGCGGTGGAAGATGGGACGCTAATAATGCCCAAGCCCGAGCGCCCATTATTATGCGAGCACCTGTTGCCACATGTATTTGTCGCGGACGCTGCGTTCCCCATATCGGTCCACCTGATGCGTCCCTACCCCGATCGAAATCTATCCAGAGCCGCACGAATTTTTAATTATAGACTGTCCCGGGCGCGGCGCGTCGTAGAAAACGCGTTCGGCATTCTCGCTTCCAGATGGCGTATTTTCCAACGGCCAATGGATTTCCAGCCAGCACAAATCGTTCTTACCGTCAAGGCATGCGTGGTGTTACATAATTTTCTACTTCGCAAAAATATCGCAAACAGCAAGTCTGCCTATGTAATGCCTACTCTTATTGATCGGGAAAACGAAGACGGCCCAGGAATAATTGAAGGGGAATGGCGGCGAATAACTGCGCGCGATACGGGGTTGTGCAGAATGGGAAAAAGCAGAGGCACTGCCGAAGCTATGCTTATTAGAGACAGGTTTCGTGACTATTTTAACTCCACCGGCAGCGTTTCCTGGCAGGAAGCTCGCACATTTGGTGTTTTTCAGGAGCAAGAAAATTTTTCTTCCGACGATAGCAGTTTGTAATTAATTGTGTTCGAGTGCTAGGAATTTTGTACTCTATTTTTGTGGCAACATTAAATTGTAATACGGCATATTTCGATTTCGATTGTATAGCAATAATTCCGGCAATAAGCACAATGGCGGAGAACAAACAAGTGAAAAGGATGCAACATAACAACGAACAATTTCCTTAGTCTTTCCAATCCGCTTTACAAATGCTTTATTTTACTAAAAAAATATGCAAAATATTGTAAATACACATAGATCGCATCACATGTTATCGCGGTTCAGTTACGTTCCAACACAATTTCTTTCTGTTTCTCAAGATTCTTGTGCAGATTCTTCGTCGTAGCATTTACTCGATTTCTGTGAAATGCATGTGCAGGTATTCAATAAAAAACTAATAACAAGAATATGTTACTGTACACCACTTATAAAATATTTTTACCTGTGCGTTCAATACTGCTCTCGTTGTTGAGTAGCTCTCTCGCAATAACGTTCTGAATGCCTTTTTTGATGCGCTCCTTCTGCTCGGCAGTAGTAGAATTCAAAGTACTTAAGACGAAGTCACCTGTCAAAAATCAAATAAAGTAAATCCTGCCTTTTGCATATTATCTTCAGTGGTGGGCTAGAATTTTTAATGCCTTTGTGGGCATTCAGCAGTTTATGTGCACCAGCATCTGTTCAACCGTAAGCGTATTTAATTTTATTGTACGAGATTATACTGTACTTAACAACTAGAGTTGTTTGCAATATAACCATATAATACGTACAAAACAGTTCCTCCGTAGTAAGAAACTTTTTCCCGTGCGTGCCTTGTTCTGCGAAGAAACTTTTCAGGACGTTCGACGTTTCGGCCGCTAGTTCGTCGTCTCTGCGCTGCGATTCGCTGAGCTGTTTGATGAGCTGATCGTAACCTTCGCGCTTTCTCTTTTTCCCAGGAGTACAATGATCTGAAACGAAAATCATTTATAGTCAATACAAATTCAAAGTGCCTGGCGCTCGATTAATATATGCGTCAACTGCGCTTTTTAATTTTGTTTCAAGGAAAATACCTATAATGATCTAATCACCACACACTTAATTTAAATTAACAATATTAATTAGTTAGAAATGCTTTTAATTTGTCTCACACGCTGTCTTTGTTGCGGATCCTGAGCTCGAAGTACTCGGTGTATTTGGTGATTCGCTGATATCTCCGGGGTCACAAGGAACGGTTGCGTCTGCACTTTCCAGCATCAGTCCAGCGTCTTCTTCTTCCTCTTCGGCGATCCGTTGATCCCCCTCGATATCCGGCACATCTTGAGGACATGGCTCAATTCCCGCACTGTCTGATGTTCTAAAATTCAGAATATTGCACATGTAGACATATGACTAAATACAAATATCTAATTGTAATAAAGCGGCTACGAGTGCTTAGTTAATTTAAATATTTTGTTGTTCCAATCATTTTATTTGCCAAAATTCATTATATCACAAAGTCACAAACTGATTATTTTTAAAAAACTGAACTGGCATAAAGCTTTTTTATTTGTGATTCTTTATTTGTGATTTTATAATCAAATAATTGTGCTTACTCAGCCATCGTGAAAACGTCGCCTAAAAACTGCATCTGGTCCCAAAAGTGCCATTTCTTTGCTTTATCGGCCTCGCTTCCGCTGGGTTTTGTCTTCACAATTTTCCATTTTTTTTGGAAGGTACTGCGCAGGTTGTTGTACTGGTTTTTACAGTCGTCTCCTAAACAAGCATTTACGAATAAACAACCATCATGATTTAACAGCCATCTTTTAACATAAAATATTTGCATTAATTTTATTAGGCACAATTACGCACCAGTATTTTATTAGCATGTCTCCCTTTTTTAAAACAATATTTAGTGCTGCTAAGGTTAAACGAAACATCCATCGAAAGCGTCCGAAAAAAAGGTGTGGCAAGTGGTTCACGAGAAACAAACGAAAAACGAAAACTACCATTATGTTCACCGCCGGGAAAAAAACAATAAAAGTACCTGTTTTGGATTCTCCGATCAACTGAGCGATTGCATTCCATATATCCACCTTGCTCTTCGTATCAATGTACTCTTTCGACTTTGTATCCCAGAGCGATCGATTCACTTTCACAAAAGCAAGAAGGTTTTCCGATTCGGCATCAGTGAATTTGTTCAAAACGGCGCGTTTGGAGTAGGCCTGCGCAGGCATTCGAGGCATTTCGTACACGTACTAATGAAAACGACAAAAAGAAAACGTACGCAGCGCAAACTACAAGATGCTGATAGCGTGGAAAAAGCCAAATCCACAAAACGGAATAAATTGAAAAAAGTATGATTCCAGAGATCAGGAATAATCAGAAACGTTTTCACAAAAGAAATTTGATATAGAACTACGCGCAATCAAAATTATTATCAAGTGCTACAAAAAGAAATTCAGCGCGGGCTCCAGTACACAATAAAAATTGAACACGTTCATTTCATCAGTATTGATGTCAGTTTCGAACCGGAGCACGTGCAGTCGCCCTCGGTTGCAGACAAGCTGAGGGTTGTTTATACTGCAACCGAAGCTGGAAGACAACTGAAGCTCGAAAGTATAAACAACCTTCAGCTAACTGGTGCCAGTTAGCAAACTGGAAGCGCTCCAGATGGAGTATACCACATGCTTTATTACTGTTCAACGGGCCAGGGTCAAAAAGAGGGAGGGGAAATTAAAGGGAGGAATTTTCTTTGGTCAAAAAGAGGGAGGGAAAACTAAAGGTAGGGATTTTGAGCGGTCGAAAAGAGGGAGGGAATTTGTTTGGTCAAAACGAAAAGTCGAGTTCACTTGTTTCAAAAAAAGTGTAACAGGAATTCTAACACCAGCGCCCCCCCCCCCGCTCCCCGGAAAAAAGTGTCAAAATTCCCATATAAAATTTACAAAATTCGGGGCTGGCGCATTTGGCGCCATACTTTGCCCTCGAGGAGAACAATAGCCCAGTTCTACCAAAACATACTACCATTCTCCAGCTATTAGATAATAATGATAATTATTACCATAAAAAGGACGAAGTACGCCGCTCCGCTATGTTTCGATATCGATTATAGAGGTAAGTACTATTCCCACTCCTCGATCAGGATAGCGTAAAGGAAGTGCTTTTGTTATGAGTGGCATTTTGTTATGATACTTGTTAAAGGTATTGTACTCGTTCATACTTGATTATTTTGGGACATATCTGATGCTGTAAGTCTTAAACAATTAATAGCAATGTGGCTACTGGCATGAGTTACAGTACATAAAAACATTTTTGATTTTTGTACATCGCTGTATACAAATGTGTACAGTACATACTCATGCGCTGCCTTCTTTAAGACTTTGACCCAGACTATTTCACTGCCTTAACTGGTGTCCGTTCATTTCGGGAACCGCACATTTCGGCAATATTTTTTTCGGTTTTCTTATGCTTTATTATGTTATCATTCAAATAACCCTTAGGATTCTTAGGCTTTCTTCAGTTCTTAATTAGGGCACTTAATTAGAGTTCTTAATAAGGTGGTTTTTTTAATGAGGTGGTATTATTCAAATGTTTTCTTAAGTTTCTTAGGTTTCCTTAAGTTCTTAATCAGGTTTCTTAATTAGGTTTCTTAATTAAGTTTCTTAATTGAACGGCTTTCTTAGGTTCCTTATGTTATTCTTGTTTTTTATCAGGTTTCTTAGCTTTTCTTATTTTTGTTATTCGTTCCAAGTTTTCTTATGTTTTTATGATTATGTTTTTATGACGTTACTCTTTTTTGTGTTCTTATGTACTGTCATCTTTTTTTTGGTTTTATTAATGGTTTCCGAAATGAACGGTTTCCGAAATGAATGGTTTCCGGAATAAACGGTTTCCAAAATGAATGATTTCCGAAATGATAGGGTGTCATTTCACTGACATTTCCTGTTATTAAGATTCAGTAAAAAAACAGGCGCCTCGCTCTAGCTGATAAGTCACGTCCTGCCGTACCGGCACGGTACATAGGTCAGAGCTCTCACTAGAACGGTGTCGAACTCCTTTTTGTAATTTTGATGAGAATTGTCTGATTAGCAAGATTTGAAAACTGCGTAGTATAGATGCCGGCGGAGGCCGGCCTAGTATAGATCTTTTTCTTGGTAATTAAGTTCTGTTTTTATTTGTGGGGTTTTGCTGGTGACCCCGTCGGGACTCAGACAGCAGCCGATCTTTTATTCAGAAACTTGGACTTCCCTACAAATGTTGATTTTTGATTACATTCTAGTCAATCTTTGCGAGTTAAACAAATAACTATGAATAAAAAAACTTTAAATTAAAAATTTAGAAATTAAATTACTGAATAAATTACTAAATTTGATGTAGGGTCTCCACAACCAGTACGCACATGTACTGTACTTCTTTTGGATTATTGCATGTTTTCATAAGACCTGACGTTTATAATAACAAATCGTAACACTACCATTCAAAGTGGGCCGTGAGAGACGATGCTGAAAAAAATTGTTGCCCTGACCTGCGCATAACGCTTGGTTCCATACTGGCATACTCTAAGCGTTGGCTGTTTTCTTTTAACAACAATACTTGTATGAACCGTCGTGTGTAGTTGCCAAATTCCTGTTACAGCTTTTTTTAACATCTCGCGCCGCAAAGACGTGCTTTTCGTTTTGACCGAAAAAATTTCCTTTTTCTTTTGAAAATTTTGCCAAAAGGAAAATTTTCTTCTTTTTTTTGACAAAACAAATTCCCTCCCTCTTTTCGACCACCCAAAATCCCTGCCTTTAGTCTTCCCTCCCTCTTTTTGACCAAAGAAAATCCCTCCCTTTAATTTTCCCTCCCTCTTTTTGACCCTGGCCGTTCAACGCGCTCGAAAACCGATCGTTAGCCGTTATTTTGACGGGCATTACAGCCAATCACGTTCATTGGTGGATTTCTGTTCATCTGATCCAGCGAGTGTTTTGAACCGCGTACAGTGCATGACTGGCTATACTTTACAAAACCGGGACATATTGAGCCGAGAGTAAATATTAAAAATATTAAATATTAACGTAACTCGTACAGTGTTGTACTTCCGTACTTTATTAGTGCGCACGGCTGTAATAGTGCTTATACTATTTTGCTATCGAAATAGTAAATACATAGTCTGAACTCTGAAGTGCTGCTCTACTAGACTACTACTTCGCAGTACGTACTAACACGAGCGCACGAGGTATGATAAATGATTAGGCGGCATCCATAAATTACGTAACGCAGAAATTCGACATTTTGATACCCCCCTCCCCCTATGTCACGACTCACCAGTGCTGACAAACTCAGATCCCCTCCCCTGAGCGCTGCGTAACAAATTTAGAACCCCTCCATAGATTAGCATGGTGACGTCAGAATCGTAACAAAGTTTTTAATACCCTCCTCCCCCTTTGTAACAACAGTAACGCTTTCAGGACCCTCCCCTCCCCCAACTTGCGTGACGTAATTTATGGATTCCGCCTTACAGTACTTACGTACTGTACTTTTTTGCACTAACGCTCGATCGGCGAATTGGATACGGCGCTTTGATCGCCTTATTTGTTTGTGGCGCAGGTAACGCAGGTCCTGGATGACCGAGTCAGTTTTGTGTGAGACTCCTTTAAATGTCCTTTTCCGGTTCTGTAATTTTCCTTGCCACACTGATTGTATGTACAGTAATACGCCATCCCAGGTGGAACTGTAGTATGCACTCTGCAGTTTGATCCTATGTACTGGCTGCTGGCGGTTTCTTTTTCCAGTTAGCTGTTAGCTGGTACTGTAGTAAGTAAGTAGCAGTCTGTCGGATACGTACAGTACCATATTACACTATTTCTGATCCCGATTCTAGCGATACCGTTTTTGTATTAAACGAATTTGGGGTTTTGTAACTTTTGTTTGAATGATACTCTGACCTGTAAATCTGGAGACCCTTCCAGAGCACCACTGGTCATTATTAGAGCACAATTTTGCAGTTGCTCAACTTCCAGTTCGAGTACAGAACTTGTACTGTTGCAGCAATTTGATGATGGCAGCTTTATTCCAGTGGATAATGGTTCCGCTTTGCTTCGGTATCCCCTAATTTCCTTGCTCATTTGCAGCTCAGTGGCATTCAGCTACTTTTCATTTCTTGAATCAGTTCGCCGTCGCTGTTCTGTGGATCTGTTTAATCGTCTGTTTCCTGTGGTTTTAATTTTTAAAGTCAAGTTTGCGTGCTGTAAGTGATACTTGAGTGACTGCAGTATTCGGAAATCTAGAGTAGTAATTTACTAATACTCATTACATTTACAGTAGTCTAATGGTTGTTAGTTTGTGACAAAATTATAAACGGTTGCAAACCAAACTAGTAATAACAATGTTCGTACATGTTTGTGAAGGAGGTATTTGATTTAACGATTGTAAGTTTATTTTTTTCTGTTTTCAGAGCGAGTTGAGCTTTCGAATTCCGAAATCATTAAGTATCTATGGAGGATAATTTCAGTGAATCCGTATCGGGTGATTATCATTTAGCCACAATAGGTGAGTGCGTTTAATGCTACTGTGCGATGGTAAATTTCGCGCACAGAAATAATGACCTGGTAACTGGAGTTGGATTTAATGCGGTCGAGGGTTCTCCTAAACACATAAAGTAACCAAAACGACTTTCGGCAGCCCCTGGCAGATCTATCTGTCAGTCAAGGCTAGTCGCAATGTATAAAATACTCATGACAAACCTGGATGCATATTCTATTGTGTTCCTGGCTGTTCGATAATTATACTGCAGTACTTGCTCACTTTGGTGCTGCTGTACAGCGTGTGCAGTTGCCTAAGTGTTGCAGTATGCGACTGCATCGATCTCGTGACAAGGAACAGGAATTCTGATGCACATGGCTGGCAGCCAGACGGCGCGCTGCCATAATTAGTCAATGCGATACATGTCCTGGCTGATTTACTGAGCTGAATATGGCTTGAGTTCGCTGGCGCGGAAAAGTGGTTAATGACTGAATGTTCTCGTTTTTCATTTTTAATTATCGGCAAGTCAGAGTGGTCCAGGAAAGGCTAGGGGCATTCGGGGATTCTGTGAAGCTGGCAGCGCGAGAATTAAGCTCGATTACGCTGCTGTTTCATCTGCATGGTCTTTCGGCGAAATCATTGATGAGCTTTTACCGGAAACCGGTTATGTCTTGTTGGTGAATGGTGCTTGATGCACCAGCCGTGCATGGTCAGTAAAAATCTTGCAATCAATGTAGATTTAACTGCGTTTGAAGCGGGAGCGTATTTTTCTGCTTGTTTTATTTTTTTAAATTCGAAGTTTATACGGTTACCTATACGAAGTACCGCTTTAGTAAAATCCTATTTCAGGCAAATTATTTGTCCTTATTACTTTATTGAACTGAAGCATTATTTTTTGCAAACTAGGTTTAAGATAAATTTATTGGATCGCTACTGCATTGCTTCGTGTTTCCTGGTTGGCTTATTGTTAGTAAGAACACTCCTTTTAGTTTTTGTCTCTGTTTGAAGGACAAATGCCTGGCGGCAATAAAGTGCGTAGATAGCAATTCGGTGCGTGCAGTACTGTACGTATTTCGCGAATGATTAATGGATATCTATAATCGCTGCTAATTAATCCTTGGAGGTGACTTTGCTGAAAGTGCAATAATCGCGTTTGAGTATAATTATTACTTCCAACTATAGTCTGTAGAATGGTGGAAAGCGTGTAGTATAGCATTTTGCAGTTTACAGAACATAGCGGCAGGCTTGTACTAATTTTACGAACTTATGGTCATTTTTCAAGATACTAGAAATTGTTAAATATCCAAAATTGTATGGCGGGCAGCAAAATTAAAGATGGCTGGAAGTTTGCCGTGGGTTTGCAGTGCATCAGAAGAGGTTTCACTGTTGCTTTTCTTTTCTTTCAGTTGCCATTACAAATTTTCCGTGTGGTTTGTGCGCTTTAGTTTTCATTATTTTGAAGAAGGAAAAGTGCACTTGCAATATGAAACAATAATCCAAGCTAGAAACAATCAAAATTTTGCGTAGGAGTAAGACGAATTTGCCACAGAGATTAAAGTTATCTTTTGGTCAGAGTAAAGCGGCGGCTAAATGTTTAGATATCAAATTGGGGTCATGGCACTGATTTTGATAGCGAGTGTGATTTCCGACACCACTTACGGCGAGATCGAGATTAATATCAATTAGCAGAAACCGTACTATCGGTAAATGGCTGAGAATTAGCAAAGGCAAAGTCTGAAAAGCCCGGGAAGCATAGGTACTCGTATACGTGATAAGATAGTAAAGGCAAATTTCTTAATTTTTTGTTGTCCGTCTATCGGGAGCTTGTTAGTGCTTATGTGTATGTATCCCTTAAAAAAATGGTAAACCCAGAGATCGCACCATTTGTTTTGCTTCCAGACCGTCTCAAGACGGAGAATTATTTGGGCACTTTAGCCAGTGGCAGCCTGTGTGACAGTTGCAAGCATTTAATGCATGGCTCCCTTATCTGCGGCAGCTGCCCGTGTCAACGTAAGTCCAGGACGCTTTTTGATTTTTTTTGGAGTTTATTCCATTTTCCCAGTGGCACATTGTTGGTTAATTGTGATCGTCGAACAATCTTGATTGTAGTCGGTGTTGGTCATTCCTGTCAGCGGAGCTGTTCGACTCGGCTGGAAAAGCGATGTACAGCGTGCGCACTGGCGGAGAGCTGCTTGGCACGAAGAGGTAAGGAAACATCAAAATTTAATAGGCAGATAATCGCTTAAATTATGATATGGCAATGACATGATTTTTCTTCTCATAGTTTTTGGTGTAGAACTTAGTCAGCAGCTGCTATCAGATGAACCGGTGCCGGCACTGGTTGCTCGATGTGTGGAAGAAATCGAAAAGCGCGCGTCGGCTGCAACTCACGATCTCAATAGGATATTTTCCCTTACCGTTCCGGCGGATGTGGTTCGGATAGTCTGTGAACAGATCTCATTATCAGGAGGTGCGAAATTTTGCGATCGTGTAGTGGCAAACTTTGCCTGTGCCGTATTGTTGTTATAATATTCTTTTGTAGATTTGAACTTATTGTCGGCCTGTGAAATCGCCTGTATTGTTGAAGTATTAAAGCGGTATTTATTGGAACTGCCTACTCCTGTGATACCTACCTCCATGTACGACATGTTCATAGAGGCCACAAGTGAGTTCAGATACGACGGAAAACAGTATTTGGCGCAATCCCTTTGATTAAATTTTTAATTTAAAATGATCAAGTCTTTTGGTTATTTTTTTAGTAAAAAATAATTAAAATCGTTTATGTTCGTGGCGCGTGAAGTAATCCGCCACTTGCTTTGATTTCCGATTAAATATTGTTCGTGGATAGGTTTACCTTGATCTCAACATTTTTCATGATATTTTTCTCGTTAGGTTTATGTGAAACCGAGGATCAGCGCGCTAGTATTATTCTGGATTTGGCAAAAAAATTGCCTGACGCCCATGCGAAAACCCTGCGATATTTGATGGGCCATTTTTGTCGCTTGTGCTCAATGATAAAACAGTCAGAGAAGAAGTGTAATCCCACATTATTGCTGCAACCATTAGCGGTGGGGCTTATCCGGCCATCTTGGCTCAAAACAGAGTAAATGATAATTGAGGAAGAGAATAATCTGGGACATTCAGAAATGGGATAATGGGATATGTACGTGCATTTGTGCTCGTAGACTGATTTCGCGGCATATAAACTGGTACAATGTCATCTTGGAAACTCTTCTACTGAAGGGAACCTGGGGTATCGATCTATGTATTGCGGATTTAGATTTCGGTGAGAGAGTTAGGGGAATTATTACTGGTTGTTCGTACCGTTATGGCTTTATCGTGTGTGCAGTACATGTAATGTGAAACGGCCGCATTATCATGCTTTAAATTGTAAAAGTACCTCGACCGCATTAAACAACGCAGAATGTTCTAGTTGGCACCTTGTAAGGTTACAAATATGTATAGGTTTTGTGAAATGCCTGGAAACATTTCCGTTTTTGTTGACGCTTGCAGTTTATGCACTCACATGTTTCTCAGAGTATTCTGGAATAGACTCATACAGTATGTAGTTATTCATAGTCGTTTTTGCTAAATCGACTGTTAGCATTTTCGAGTACAGGCATAACTGTTTGGATTGCTGTTAGGTGTGCCCTCGGGACTGCCGGAAATAGCCTCATTAACATCGGAATTTGCACGTCGGAATTCCATCGGTGCACGAGGTTTAGCGTCGTCACCGAAAAATTTGGAAGATTGCGATTGGTATTGGGGTAGTGTGTCGCGTGATGATGCTGCTGCCGCCATGAAGGATCAGCCCGATGGAAGTTTCCTGGTGCGCGCTTCATCCACTAAAGTGCAAGGAGAATATACGCTGACGTTGCGGTAAGCAAGTTTTATAAGCAGAACGTCGACTGCATTTCCGAAATTTATATATCAGTTCAACTAAGTGAATGATTTAAACGACCTAACAGTGAATGGCACAGTCGGCGAAAACAGCTTTAAGTTAAGTACAACCGGTACAATTGTACAGAACATGTCTCTGAAGACCACAGAGCATGTAAATTGTGTGAAATTCTGTGATTTTTTTCATCAAATCTGTTTTTGATTAAGTTGGTAACATCCTAAAAAACTAGGATAGACTTCCAGAAAGTAAAGTTTCACGTTGAGTCTGATATGCCATCTGTATTGCTGTTGAAACCTTAACTACTTACTTGTGATTCCGATGATTCTTATTTTATCGTTCCTGAAAATTTGCAGTTTTGTCTTTATTTAGATGGGTCCATGCTGTGTACGCATTAACGAACACGTTTGAAAATCGGAAATGGGAAATCTGAAATTTGTTTTATTGTTACAGAAAAGAAGGAGCGAATAAGCTCATCCGCATTATTGGACGGGATGGCAAATATGGATTTGCCGAGCCCTTGGAATTCGATAGCGTCCAGGCTGTCATTGATTATCACCGCACTAATTCCCTGGCGCCCTATAATCGCATGCTTGACATCTGTCTCATCAGTCCCTTGTCCAAGAATCAGGTAGGAATAGCGTGACGTCAACCGGAACCTCTTTATTTCGCTTTGATTAAGTTAAACATTATCCAGTCACCGAAATGTGAAGATCGTGATTCAATTTTTCTAATACCACTGATAGTCGACATCAGAAGGTCTTGGACGTAGGTGGTGGCACACGTGGGCTATGCGTGGGGGCAGTAATTACACGGGCACAGTTGATTATAGTTATGAAATACTGAAGCTAATTACGAAATGAAGAGTTGCTGCTACTGAGTGCCGACGGAGCGACGCTCCCTGGGTAATTATTAGGAAACTGGTTGCGTGATTTATTGTGCATGCCTTGTTGGGAAAGCGTTATGCTCAAGAGAAAACTCTTCCTTATCCATTATGTAACATTTTCTGTGACGTCTCTTGGAATACCATTCCTTGTTATTATGTAATTCATAGCACAAAGGATTCTATTTTGACGCGTGAACTACGATTAAAAATCCCTTCTGGTCGCATCTACCTGGACTTAATTAGTTGTTGTCTGGAAGAAAGGTTGTGTTACCTTCTATTATGAACTTCCACCTTTAGGAATAGGTTCAGTATTCTCCGACTGATTAATGCACCAAAATCAAGTTCGACATTTAATTAGTTTACTGTTATGGTAAAACTGTAGTTGCCTGATTAAACATTTTTTGGATTTTCTTAAATATAAGGGTATTTTCTTCAGGGTGTTATTGATTCTTCCGATCGGGATAAGATTTTGCAGCAATTGAAGGAAAACAACATGGAATATAACATGTGGAGTGAGATTTATGACCGCCTGACGGAGGAGACTACACGTACGGCCCAGGAAGTCAACATGAAAACCCAGGCCATGGCGGCATTCGACGCGGCAGTATTAATGTTCGAAGAGCAGATCAAAATCCACGAACGCTACCAGCGTGATGCAAAGCCCAATGAGATTGACGCCGTTAAAGCCAACTATGCCCTATTGAAAGCCCGTCTGGACGGGATATTGAGTAATCGAGCCAAACTGCAAGTTGACCTCAATCTCCAGACACAGTGGCTGAAGACGAAGGAGAACGATCTGGCTAACATCAAACCACGCATCACCCATTTGAACATTGTTCGTGGCGATATGATCAAGTACGTTAACGAGTAGCGTCTATCTATAACCTAGATTTCCGGTCGGCACAACTATTTAATTTGCGTAAATGGGATCGGTGATGTTGTTGCGGTATTCGCTGATGGGATCGTTTTTGTGTTCAGGTTGTTGACCAGGAGTGGGGTTAATCAAGGTGAGCTGGATGAGATCCTGCAGGAATCAGCGAAGTTGGGAGAAAAGAAAGGCTCGGAGAGGTATTTTTCATGACCTGGCTGTTAATTTCTGTAACGTAATAAACGCTGTCAGGAAAGGATCTATAAATTTGTAATCGTAATAAATCGACATTTTTTTATTGTCTATATACTGACAGTAGAACTGGTAACGCATTTGATAGTTCCGCTGTTCGGACAATTCACATAACCATTCACATAGCCATTTTTCACACTTTCTTGTGTATTGTAGATTGAAATCGTCTCCGGTCAGTGAAACGATTCTTGAAGTACCCGCAACGTCCGAGATGGTGCAGAATGATGAGAAGATGTGGTACATACCAGATGCTACCCGGGAACAAGCAGAGAAACTACTTATTAACAAACCATCCGGGACATTTCTTATTCGCCGGCGAATGGAGGGCTCGTCTGGTCAGACGCATGCGCTTTCTGTTATGGTGTAAGTAAAATTATATGGTCACTGGTAGAATTTGAAATATGTTAACTGCAGACTTCCAAACTCTAAAGTTTGGAAGACTGCAGTTAACTTGAATGATAGTGGGTTTTACGTGTGTAGCTTTGTAAGGCTCGAGAGTTGAGGCGAGATCGTACAAGCGACTTGCCCAGACATTAAATTTTTCTTTTCACGGTCATTGGGTCCATGTATTGATTTCGCCTTTTGGCATTGTTGTAGGAATGGCAAAGTAGGTCATTGCCTGATCAATCAGAATGAGAACGCATTCGGTTTCGCGGCACCCACAGGAGAATTTGTCACATTAAGGGATCTGGTGTCGCATTACGCCAAGAAATCCCTCAAAGAGCATAACCCCCAATTGAATGTGACATTGGCTTATCCAGTGAATGCGCCCGGTACCAGTTCGTAATTATGGTGTTCGTAATGGCGAACAACATGTTCGTTGGCACCGTTAGCGGTCGTTTCCTACCCTACCAGTGTTCACTGTACGGAAAGACGTCATTTTCGGAATGAAACTGCCAAAAGCGCCCTGTTGTTGCTGTTTCATCTTGCCATGCATTCCAGTGGTACTGTTTGGAGTTGTATCCTACTTCCGGCAGTATGCTTCGTTGTATTGGATTTTTGTAGGAATTTCATTTTTTACTTTTATGTATGCTGACAGAATGTTGTTTTGTTTCTGTATAAAGATTGTAATTTTTTTGCTGTACATTTAAGAGGTTTAATTTTTCTTTGATAACTTGATCCGTCATTTCCGATTGAATCGTTGACTGTTGTTACGGAATACAGTGAGGACAGAAAATGTGATAAGGAGGAAATTGTGCACAGAAAAACTTCTGTTTATTGTTCAAAGTTTTAAAGGCATATAAAAAAAGTATACGAATACACTTTGATTCACTGAATATTTTTCGTCGTACTCAGCCGGCCGTAGCCATGTGCATCCCATAAATAACCACTCTATACCACCGTGATATTAAGTGGTACCATTTTGCTCTCAGGTGCTCCTTCCAGGAAATCTCGTATGAAAGACACCCGATCACAACGTTTTCGGTCAGCCGGGTGAGAAAATAATAACTGATGATGGACTCGAAAACAGCAAAAGCAATAAAGTAAAGGCATTTTCGGTCTTTAAGATTGATATCCAACAAAAAGTGGCAAAAACGAAGTAGTTTATTAACTGGATACGAGGTTATTTGCTTCTCCCAGGCGCAGGTATATCGCATCCAAATCGGCCATGAGATCCCTTTTGGAGTCCGCATCCAGTTTGGATGAAAAAACATAAAATCTTATTACGTTGACACTTTTGTGGACGTCTGCTATGGACGGAGGAGTACCGGATGGAGAGGCTGATACGTAATCCGCAAACGACGCTTTACGTGCCACACTTGATGAACCTAAATGTACATGTTACTTACGATTACTGTCTACTGATGTTGCATTGTTTCTCTGTACATAAGCTTCTTACATGTCAACTGCACAAAATACTATAGTACGAGTATGTTCGTAAAACTGCGCAGCACTTGGCATGGCGCAGCATGGCCTTGCACAAAGATTGCACGTTTACCAGCTTGTTTACTTGAATTTCCTGCACTGGAAAGGCGACTCCAAAAGCCTTTTTTCCATTCCGTTGTTAACAAACACCGGTCCGTTTCCGTTCCGTTCGCGGCTAATACTTCGATGGCTTTCTTCCACAGTTTCCATTCCGGTACATGTTTCTGTAAAATGAAACTGGTCAGTAAAGCTGACCACCTGTCTGCCGGTGAACTATTAAAATGTCTGAAGCCCATCATGGATTCATGATTCAGAACTCCAAAACTTCAACACGATCATTCCAATAAGCGAGACTAGTAGTCTACGTTAGCAAAAGGCACCAGGAAACCCAACCTTGGAATTTGGGTTAAACGAACCCAGAAGGGTAAATTCGTAAGCTTGAACAACGTTTATTTTGCAGGTTTAAGATCATATTAAAATACCTTACAGAACAATGCTAAAATATCTCATACCCCGTTAGATTTTTCTGAGGTGTAGTATTCGGTCAGCGCATCCTCTACATATTGCACTCTGTTGGTACCGTCAGCGTCTTGCCAGATTTTCGGTCGCTTTTTAGCAGGTGCCTCCTCGTCCTCGCAGTCGGAAACAGGCAACATGTCTTCCTCATCGCTTCTTACCACTCCATTTACAGCCAGCTTTTTAATATTGCGACCTATCGTGGCGCGATGAACATTGACATGAAAATTGTCTTTTAGCCAATCTGCTAACTGCGTCTGGCTCCAGTCCGGGCATTCTTCGTGCTTTTCCAGCAAAGCTTTGCGCGTAACATCCGTTAAATAATTGTTTCCCCGGCCGCGACCGAATTTTTTTGAATATCGACAAGTCTGAGGCACGGCAACTATCTAGAACAGATAAAAGCACAAAATATCAAAACCGCACCGAAAGAGCCCAAAGCTAAAACGCCAAGAGAAGAGAAAAAGCAATTCCCCTGCAGTGCTGTAAGTAATCTCTCTCACAGACGTCGCTCCAAGTTGTCGCACTCTTGCAGGCTGTTTATAATTGTTTAGAAAGTTTACCGTTTTCTGGCCTTATCGAGAAAAATGCGCACCTTGGTTGCAGCCGGCACGACAAATCCCTGTTCTTCATGGACTTCATGCACCTGCCCGGCATCCTCGACGTCGATTTCCTCCATTCGCTTGACCGGTGCCAAGTACGGCAGCAGATCGTTGGGCCAATCAGTCTTGTCGCTAACATCCGGCGCAATTTCGCTGGTAACGCTGTCCTGTGAAATGGCTGTCACTTCCAAACCATACTTCTTCAAAAATTCTTGCAGCCATTTATCAGACAGACTGAAATTTGTCGGCACATCGAATTCTCCCGTCAGTAATAGTTCCGCAGCTTTCTCCTTAAAGGAGCTGAGGCTCATGGCCATAATTGTGATATTCTGCAAGAAAAAAACAAAAGAAATTACTGCACTAAATTATTAGCAAGCCGACGACTCAACCGCTTGCGTAACTCTGAAGAAATTCCCAAAAAAATCAGTTTGGTTTTTATTAGTGAATAATGTGGCATAACTGTTCCGTGTTGCATGGTCACTTTGCGCCGGAAACAGACGTTACCTGATCTCCATCGGCAGACGGCTCCACACTAACTTCCGCTGATTTAGTCCGGGCTGAATACCATTCGAACAGTGTCGCTTCCAGTACATCGGCGCCTGTTGGGTCTCTCTCTTCTTTGACTGCATACTTCTGAATGGTCCGACCGACGGTGGTACGGTCCACCAGAATGCCGTGCACTCTGTCCAGCCATTCCACAATCTGCTGCTGACTGAGTAAGGGCTCGCTCATATGCTTGTCGATGATCGCTTTCCGGGCTTCGTCCGTCAGATGGTGGCGCTTGACTGTCGAGGGGCGTTTTAAGGATTTTTTTGGCACCAAGGCTACAGGTTCTGCTAGAATGATGTCTGATTTAACCGAGATTTCGGTTGGCTCGGGAATGACTTCCACGGGAAGCTGTGACGACGCGGGCACGGTCTCCAGAACAGGCGCAGCCGCGTTTTGAGCATGCAACGTTGAGGATGCTCTGGTGCGCCGTTCCATATTGCACCTATGCTCGGTCTGGATCCTACTGCTGCTGCAATATGGTCTTTCCAGTCGACTTTCTGGCCAAATCGACGCCAGTTACACTCCCATAAAAAAAAGAATATTTCTTATTTCCCGATATTTATTTTATACATTTATTTATATAGAAATTAATCAATGTACTGTTTAACAAAAGGTGAGAAAAAATGCTTTCGAGTGTTGCGAACAATTACAGTAATATGATCCCGTCTATGATGCGTGCGACAGCGAACGGCGTGCCCAGAGCGAGCACGCACACGCTGCACGCAGCAGCCATGCACCTTCACCGAAGGCGTGTCCCGGCACTCAGCATTGGCCATTCCAATAAGTCTGAAATGGAATCCTTTAGATTCCTGCTGGAAGCCTGGAATTAAAGGCTTTAATTTTCGAGTAACTGGCGACTTCCACTGAATGCTTTTTCCATTTTTTAACTGGAAGTGTGAATAAATTCAGGCTGTCTCCTGCATCGCATCCGACTGCATTCGGCGAACTTCTGGTACTCCGTCACCGTGGATTTTTAGCGAGAGTTCGCGATCATCTTTACGGATTTTTGTTATTAATTACTGAGATTCCTGATTTCAAGATTATAAAATGGGTGTAAGTGAAGCAGGGGTGGTTTTGTTAGATTGACTTTAAGATTTGTTGTTGCAGACCCTTATCATTCCGGAAAAGTTCCAGCATATCCTCCGTATAATGAACACCAACATTGACGGACAGCGGAAAATCATGTACGCTCTGACGGCTGTAAAGGTACGTGAGAGTTCATCATCTGATTTCCTGCGAAGCATACATTGAAACTGATGTTTCAGGGTGTGGGGCGAAGGTTTTCGAACGTAGTGTGCAAAAAAGCCGATATTGACTTACGCAAACGTGCTGGAGAACTGACAGAAGAAGAGGTGAGGTTCTCAAGTTCCATTCGTTAATTTCACAACCTCAAAGCATCGTTTTCTGGCAGAAAGAATTAAACATACACACAATTAAACCGTAGTTTTGTTTTCTGGACTCATTGTATATGGCATGTTGAAATACTAGTAGTTGTTTATACCTGTTGGCACAGAAAGCTTGCTGTTAAAGACGCTTATATACGGTATATCGTAATTATTTTCTCTGATAGAGTCATGTTTTTATTTGTTTTTGTTGATTGCAGGTTGAAAAGGTTATCACGGTTCTGAACAACCCCAGACAGTACAAGATCCCCGACTGGTTTCTGAACAGGCAGCGTGATATTAAGGACGGTAAATACACGCACGCCATGGCCAACAATCTGGAATCGAAGTTACGTGATGATCTGGAACGTCTGAAGAAGATCCGCAATCATCGTGGTCTGCGCCACTACTGGGGCCTGCGTGTGCGTGGCCAGCATACAAAAACCACTGGCCGTCGTGGACGAACTGTCGGTGTGTCCAAAAAAAAGGGAGGTTAAAGTTATTTCGATTTTTGTTACTTTTGGAGACCTAAACTAATCAGGCTGTCTATCGTAAAATTCCATCATGTCATCTCAGAAGGAAGAGCAAATAAATACTTACCGACAAGCCTTGGAATAAATACGAAGTTTTGCATCAGTTAAATAGTAATTCGTAGGAACACTTAAGGTACTGATACTAACCAGTAACCACTGGTTAGTATCGGTACACTGACCACGATTGTACTGTGCACTTTTCTATAGTATTTTCTGAAAAATTGCCCAAATTCCGAGTTTCGACTTGAGTTTAAATCGTTAATTTCATGGTTTCACACGCTACTGTTGAGTTTTGTTTTGAATTTGCGAAAATTCCATTCATGAAAATTTTGCGTTTCTTTCTTTCGTAATGCATTTACTCGACGGACTACGGATATTATTATGTATTTAGATTTAATCACCACTTGGGAGATGCACAAAAACTCAAAACTGAATTCGGTGTGTTTTTTATCACAATGCCAATTGCAGGCTGCGCTCATTCTACCAACTTGGGCAAAATTTGCAAAGAGGAAACCCAATCTCTCTTGTAGCAGAAACGTATACAAAAATATATTACAAGAACATTTTGCCCGATAACATCCGAACAGATACACTAAAACCTTTCAAAAATCTGAACATTATAAAAGTTCAAAGCAAAACCACTAAGAAGAAGGCTCCAAATTATCACAACAATAACATCCCAAAAATCTGGCAGGATTCATTAGCCAGCCGTTCCCGTTTGTGCATGGCGTCATTTCTTCTTGGCGTGGCCATTCATTTTGATTTTGCTCACCTCATGTCTGTTAATGGTCTGTCCCTGCAAAAAAAGGCAGTTTCGAACCATTTCAATGTAATATTTTTATTTACCATTCATAACTACTAAAACTGAGTAAATTCTAATATGCAATAAACACTGCATACCGGGGCCAATGCGAATGGTGTGACCACAGTCAAAATCAGTTCTTCTGGATGTTGGCGCATCTTCTCCACCAATTTTTCGTGGATCTCCCAGGTAACGTTTTCATCATGAAGTTTCGTTATTATATCGCCTTTCTTCAAACCATTTTCCTTAAAACAAACGATGTAGGAAACAATTTTCTCATTCAATCTCACAGTCGCATTACTAACGTAATATGCCAGTGAAAAACAACACTCGTGTAACCTTGAAATAATCGATTGTTCTGCCGATGATATCCTTACCTCAGCAATGCTTCCCGATTCAACTTCCGTTACCGAGACGGGTGAACTACCCCGCACGCTGAATCCGTAGGAATCCACCGCACCAGATTTAATCATGTGGATCAGTTTTGGCTTAGACCATTCGTTGGAAGCGTTAAATACGTGAAGAGGACCCTAAATAATGCACTTCAAGCACACCTTTCATTGTCATCGACAGAGGCACAACAGTGTCGTTTGGAGATTGTTACCAGATCACGGAAGGGATCCTTCACCCTGACTTGAGTGAAATTTGGAGCGATCGGTTCAGAAATCTTCTGTGCTTTAGCTAGAAAAGCACAAGGAGTTAACCGAGAACAGTCAATATTCACATATGCTCAAAGTATACCTAAAATTCCTGGTGGAGTGCTAGCTGGTGCGAAGTTCTCTTCATCTTCCAGCCTTTGGTACAGTTCCAGACTTCTAAAGGATGCACAGGATCAACTTTTGCCCGGCATTAGCAGCCACATTATTTCATACTGATAAGTTAGTAACTAATCACAAGCAATTAGGTATAACACGCTAATAATTATTGTCAACAGAGGCAAAGAAGCATCACAGTAACAATTGGCGGAATACCGGCACGAATGTGCCAAAGATGACCGGTAACATATTCAAAAAGATTGCCAAAATTCACAATTTTCACAAACGACAAAACTGCGTAAAGTACTAACCTATCATGTGCATTTCTCAACACGGAGAGCAGCATGTCCACCTTTCTCAACAGCCGGCACATCCTGTGAATTCGTATACACTCCTCAAACAACAGGGTGGCTTGTCGAACGTGATTACGTGCTACAATTAAAAATGTCGTCAAAATTACGAGCATGCACTAGAAGTATGCATTATAAACTGATATTAAATTAAGCCACATTTTGGGCAGTGCAACATCGCATCGCATACGTGCTGTGTATAGATACACTTACATCGACAGTCAACTAAGCAGGCTTTTATCACTTATCAGTCAACAAAATCTATATAGGCAAAACGTCTGTTCACTGCTTACCCAGATTTTTCCGATTTTCTTTCCCAAACGATTCAGCCAAAACCCCAACTTCCAGAATATCCGCAATTTTGGCTAGAGATACTAGAAACAACAAGCAAAAACTATGTCAGTCTCTCATCGATTCGTACTATTTTCCCCAATGACCCACGCACTATTGTAATCGGCCAGTGCCAGACCCGTATGAAAATGGGATTTGGCTTTGTAGAATTCCACTTTAACCAGCACCATAGAAATCCAGGAATATGGTACATACTGTTTAACAGGGGCGGCAGAGATGGCATCGTGCACGACTGTGAAACCTTTCGAAACCTATACCAATTCAATAACATATCGTTAAAGTGCGAAAGGCGACCGTTCTACATGAGACAAATGCACTTATTTTAATATGTAATAAGGCTATCACATTACCTGTGCGGCTTCTTGAGCGTGGATTAAGTGTCCATTTCGGTCCGACAACAACGACAAATCATACAGACACTCTTGACTCTGAACCTGTAAGGGAAAAAATAACTTTCATTGCAGATCCTCACATGGTTACTTCTTCGAACACATCCCACATCTGTAACTTCTACACCCAACCATCATTTGTATAACTTGTATAACTGTTCAGTCAATCTTTTACACCCTCAACTCCGAGCCATTACAAATGAAAAATTCTGAACGAAAAAAGTGCTAGTACCACTGTTTAACTGGATTATTAATTTAATAATCCTTGAGAAAGTAACCTTACAGACATTTTACGAATGTGGTCGCTGTGAAATAAGCGCGTATTAGCTTCCAACCATTCTCTTACCAGCATTAAGCTGACCAGCATGCGCAGTGTTTCCGGTTTGAGATCCATGCTGGGAGCATTATTAAAACTGTTGGCAATAAACTGGAAGATCCCAGCCGCTTTCTGAAAGGCTGCCGATGCGGAAGAGAGACCTTCCATTGATTTCGCGCGCTGAAAATATGCCACAACGCCAACGCGGTTAATGAAAGTCAACACAGCGGATATGTCATCAACGCAAGAGCGACACCACAAAAAATTAATCACCATAATGAAATTTTGACACTTACTTGTCGAGCACCGATTTGTGTATACAACGAGCCCATGTTGAAAAGTGTGCTGGCTTTTTCAAAAGCCACCGACTTTTGTATGCAGGGAATTCCAATTAGCGAATCATACCTGTAACAAGGCTGATATAAAGTACACACCACTTTCACCCAGCAGTATCTTCCAATCGGCAGCCTTGCACGGTATCTATATGCAATTCTCTACATAACTCGCAAGTCTGAATGGTCAAAATTTCTAAACAACATAATACCGCACTTTGTAAGGATACTCTTTTCGGATTTCCCCATGACCTTTTGACAGAAAGAAGTGCTACATCACCTCGCAGCAGCCAGAAGAGCTACCAGATCAAATTCCTTACTAGTTATTAGTCAGTGCGGGGTAACACAACATCCTCTTCTCATATAAACATTAAATGAAATTATTAGCGGAAACCGTGCACCCACACCCACAAATACAATCAGCAATAGCCTGAGCAAAGCCATAAAATCCCCAGATGACTTCACACATCACAGAAAAACACATCCACCGAGAATAAACTACCGGTCGATGGAAAATCATTTGGAGGCACTTTAATATTCCCAAACATTCTAATATCCCTGCTGCTGCGTAGTCAAACCCATCGATCTTGCTAACAACTATACCAAACAGGAAGTAGCATTTACGGTAGTGTCTGCAGCTTGTAATTCCCACGATGGTACGATACATGTGACTTATAAGTCCGTGCTCAACACTGTACTTACCACTGGAATTTAATGCCCGTGACAGGTGTGAAGAAACGCCGCTCAATTAAACTTAAGGTATGTACATATTCCAGAAGAAGGGAGATTCCATTCTCATCTCGGGATGGACTGCGACAAGCCTGACAAAACAGCAAAAATTATATCACTCCAGAATGTCACATGTAAGTAGTATTATCCCACTTAATGGTGTTGAATACGTGCATTAAGCGAGTGTTATTGCCAAAAGGGAGAATAAAATACTAGCTGTCAACTTTATTCTCACATTGCGAAGGGACATAAATATTCCAATGGCTCGGTCATATTCCTCCAAATCGGTCACATGATAATGACTAACCAAAAATTCCTGTAAAACAATTCACTTGAGTCAAACTGCCTTCAGTTTATTGCTAAAGCCCAGAATTCTGAAGAGATTTAAAAATTCAGAATTTCGGTACAGTACTACTTTACCTCCTGTACCTACGGCACAAACAGTATTATTCAGTCCGGCTGAATAGCATAATTAACTGGAAAAACCGCATAAAAGTTTTCTAAAATTTTATTCGTTATACGTTAATTTGACAAAATTCTATTGCGGAATCTAGATGGATTTTCCGTGCTCGAAAACATTACCCATAAGCCTATGGATTACGACTTCCGGGAAACAGTGGCGTTCGCTAATCCGACACAAAGCAGCTGTTTACTTTCTCATTCGCCTTATCGACAGCCGACGTTCAAACAGAAAAATTTGACAAAAATGCTGTGAAAACAATAACCTCAATATCTGTCGCAAAATACTACGAAAATATTCAGAAAATGATGCCGGTACGTGACAAAATCTATCGTGCATCGTGAGTCAAATTTCCATATTATATTATCGATCCGAGCAAGGTAGTCAGCGAAGATGCCATTTAGCCAGAAATCACCCTACCATAGAGTAATCAATAAAGCATGACAGCATTAACTTACAGTCAGAGAATCGGAAAAGTCAAGATCAACTGTTTCTTTCAAGCCCAGTGGAATCAATGGCACCAAGTCGCCTCTGCAAGAAGCCGAAACAAGCCATGAAAAATCATCAGTTGATGTTTTTTGCATACAGCAGGTAAACAATACACTCACGTCTCTTCTTGATAGACATGCACTGAAGTGTTGAGTTCGGCCATCTCCTCGCTGAGCAGCTGCAAATTGGCATTGACCACCGATAGTTCAGCGGCGATCTTTTCATGTTGTTTACGGTTGTTCGTCGCACTACAAATACGGCTCGTATATAAATTAGAACAACTGACCAATATCAACATGTCAATGGTACACATTGTAAGCATTTTTCCCTTTTTCTATTGATTGGCTAACGAACCGGAATAAACGCTCGGCGCCGGCGCGAATTTGAATTTCTTTGTTAATTTGATGGTTTATTCGCTGGCGCTCCTTTTGCAGTTTTGTACGACCAGTTTCCGCCCAGTTGCGATTGCTCTGCAATGATAGAACCGTAGCACGTTGAGAAAGCATCAAAGAACTCACATAATCAAGGCCAATTTTCCAGAAGTGCATTTAAACAATCTGCACGTAAAATTAATGGCAACACGACGGAACGATAGTTTATGACCTTACTGATCTAGAGCTTGCTAGGTTGATCTTCTTTACAGAAACGATGCTCCAAATCTGGAGTCGATACTCCGAAATCAGTGAAAATGCAAACGCTGCTGCTTTCATTCCACAAAATTGAACAGTTACAAATTCCATATAATGTCTAGGATCGGTGCACCAACTTCGTGAGCACTGCGCACCATTCCACAACAGATGCTTCCCATTTCATTCATCAGCAGAAGCGGAAGGAGTTTTGTGTTGAAATAAATTACTATATCCAGTACCTACAGCGCTTCATTTACATCAAGATAGATTTTCACGCTATTGCTGTTTTTCTTATCGTATACGAAGCCGAATCAGATAATTGAGGAGTACTGTGACACAAAGCAATAATCAGCAAGTAAGCACATGAGTATACAGATATACAAATTTTATACAGCATGCTTCCGAAACTCGGTTAGAGATTCACTGCGGTAATCAGGAAAGTGTATGTAGAGTTATAGGAGCAAGTTCAACATGTCAATTGTTGTAATTTCCATGAAGCAAATTTTCACAACGCTCAAAGACGCAAACAAAAATTAATGCATGGTAAATCTATTCATTAAGACTGGCTTTACTAGTCAACACCGCAACAAACAACAAAAGGCTATGGTGCGTGCCAACACTGCTAAAAAAAACACAAGAGTACTGCACTTTGCACAAAATTTAAAATAATGCAATCTCACTTCAAATTTTCCGTAACAATTTTCACTGTACATATTCCTATTAAAAATCAAAATCAATTCAGGTGACTTGTAAAAGTATTTTTCAGTATTCTTATAAGAAGAAAGTAACCTCCAGTCTTATAACACTCTGCAGATGATTATTTTCACATCAATTTTCACTGCCAAAAGGTGTTTAAACTGCTATAAATCAGTCTAATCGGCAAACCAGCAGATTTATTAGTTCACACACATTTCCCAGCCTGCAGATAAATTCAAATTGCTAGTCAGCCTTCCCAGTGTGCGCTCGAAATAAGTATAAACAAATCTCAATGAAAAATCTGCGTATGTCGTGAACTTTTGCTCCAAACTGCAAATCTTCAGCCGGTTGATTTTAAGAGGAAAAATAATACAAGTATTTACATTCAGCTATTAATATAATTTTCGATTATTTTGCCACTTACTCCTCTTCGGGAAAACGAGTCACGGCTGCCGGGACTGTGGAATCCCGTACTGCTGCCTTCTTCGTCGGAATGGGAATGCTGCTCTCCATTATGGCTAATTCCATTGACAGCCATGATTAGCGATGATAAGCACAGTCAGTGCAGGCCAGACCACTTAATCCCGCAATTGCAACATACAGCGCGCGGCTAATGTAATTACGGATCAGCCTCTCTGATTCAAGACACCCAACTCACACAACAGTAGCCCGCGGGGCTTGCGGATCACAATCCCGGCTATTCAGGCAGCGGATGTTGATACGGTCATGATCGGATCGGGAGCATATCTGCAGGGGCAGTGATAAATCATAATAATTGTCGCTTGGCGGATATACGCAGCCTAGTACAGTACAGTCTGTGGATGCATACGGTACTATCAGCAGCAATCACTTTCCACTCAAGCATAAACAAATCTCGGCCGTCTTGTGTGTTGTGTTGCAACCGAATGAGCGATAATTAGACAACGTCTGCAGTTCAGTCTCTCTCTTCGTGATCAGCAACCACTTGTTTGCTGTTGTGTGTTAATTCGCAGTTTGGTTGGATTGTTGCTCGTACTCGCTACTGCCACAGGCTAGACGAGCACGCGTTCACGGAGAGAAAAACGAAGACAACTCGATTTCGTCATGTGCAATCTATCACGCTCATGAAATTGTCCGACACATCTGCCACTCGATGTCTATGATGATTATCGAAAGCTGATCGCTCGAAAAACCAATTCAGCAGAATTCTGAAGAAGGATTTAATCGGAAAGTCTTTCCATGTGTAAAAAAACTTACGACACCCGTGCAAACCTTTTCCAATCTAAACCACCACCGCTACCCCTTTTCCAGAAAACTAATTAAGCGCTTCTAAGGTTTCTTTTAAGAAAGGTAACACCACAGTTAACAGTAACTAGCGACTAGTCATTTTTTCTGAAGTTTCACAGGCCGTGCGGATGGCTATAAAATAAATTACGGGACACGTGCACCATCATTACTGTGTTAATCAGACTCAGCTAGAACTTACTCTAGTAGGTAAACTGTCACAAAATACAAACTTACTACTGTCGCTCGAATGACTAGCTGTTATTTTTATCATATTCTTATCGTAAAATTATCTGATTATCACTTCGGAAGTAGAACGTCCTTACAAGTTAGTTCTTACATCTTACCCATCTCACGCTCACATCCGAATGGGTAACAGTCACGTTCTAGGAATTAATTAATCCTTGTGACTTGTCACTTGTGAAAAATGTTGAAATCTTTCCAGAACCTTAACAACCGGCGCTGTGTTTGGCAGGAATCCTCAGTTTTGATAATAATTCATGACTATTACTGATAAAATGATAGGTAATTACTACAAAAATAACAAAACAAGTAAAGCTATATTATGACAGCGGCGTAATGCTATCTGGTTCCTGGTTCCAGATGCAATTATTATTACTGGCGTTTTGGCAAAACATGCACGCACGCAGGTGGTGCAGTTGGTGTTGGCTTGGATGGCTTCGTGCAACATTACGGCATTAATATACCAGTACGATGGTACGACCCTACCGTCAAGGTGCCGTGTGGCGTGCACATCTGCAGCCACAATACACAGGTGCGCAACCACCTATTCCTCAAATAAATAACAGCCGCACTTACAATTACTGCCGTACTGTTTTAGTTAATTATTCCAAAATAACACCATAAACGTATTTTTTTTCAGCAAATGATTTTCGGCACATACGAACACCAAAAGTACCGACATTCAAATAAACAAGAAAAAGTCAAAAATTGAAGGAGTGAACTATGAAAAGCTAATTTCTTGGCAAGATAAGCACAATGCAGCAGCGAAAAATGGAACAAAATGGCGTTAAATGCGTATCGCAACAGGTATTAGTACCAGCAGTAAAAAACGTGCCGACAACTGAATCAAAGAATTTAAACTAATGCACCATAAATGTAACGGAAATAATAACAAAAAAAGAAACGCAAGTAACTAACGCTATAGGTATAACTACAATATAAATCACCAAGATATATCCTGATATCACTATAAACAACGCAAATCGACGCTGATCGTCAAAATTCAAATCATTTCCGCAACTCCGCTTGCACAGCGCTTGGACTATCATCTGCTAATTTTGGATACCTAAAAAGTACAAAATTTGCACTCTACAGAAAACAAGAAAACAAACAACACATTAAGTTTTAACAACTACTGTAGCTCAAATTACTCGGAAGGTCCAAGAATTTCTTTAGCCCTTTCCGCTGCCAGGTGGGCATAATACACAGGTGTCGGCAATGACACACTTCGTGTAGTGCGTTGAAAAGCATGAGCCAAAGCGTATGACAGCTCTTGCAGCTGGTCAGCAGTTGAGCAGTTTTGATCAATCATTACGATATAATGCGCAGGACGTGTTGTTCCCTAAAACCAAAATCACCGGTAGGGCCTTTGGTGACGTATCATATATATACAAGTAATCCCCGCATTAGCATACACATACAGTAGTACTTACTTTACTGTATTTTCAGTACTCGTATTGCTTTTTATCTAATTTAACTAAAACGCAGATCGGTAAAACACAATTTAAATACCTGAATTCCGTGCTGAGAAGCCATGTACCAATCAAAAGTCAAATTGGAACATAAATCCTTATCCGCAACCGTACCTACGAGTAAAAGCCCTCGAAGTCGGCGTAATCATAACTGAAAGCGCTCCGGAAAATTCATACCGGCTGGGACATTAACACCTTTTCCTTTAGGAGCATCTCTATCATTTTGACAAGCCAGACGAGTCTGGTGACGCTTGGTTACAACGATGAATGTAATCTTGGCTTCTTTTCCGTACTTTTTCTTATAAGCATCCACCAAAGCCGCATACTCGTAAGCCAACACCTAATGGCCACAATAAGTGGTATGTAATCAGAATTTTTTATGCAAACATAAAAAAATGCAATTCGTACACAAAACAGCGAAAACACTATTTTCATTGCGAACGCTTTGAACCATAAATCTAAGTATGTACCTTCTTGTACTGTCCTTCGCTGACCCCATCTCTATAATAATAAATTCGCTCTGGAGGAACTTCACCATACGCCGCAAACAGTGTCAACATGATGTCCCCAAAATTTTCAATTAGCTCCTAAATCAGTGCAGGAACCAATGTTAAAAATTCTTACAGCGAACAGCTAACTGTAACTCTGCAAGTGAAAGTTCAGTTATTCAAAACTTCATAAGTGGACAATTGCACCTTTAATTTTCCATGGTCGCCCACTTGAGGATCCAGCACAGCTTTGTACTGCAGGAATGCATCATCGGTGTTCGCTACCACGGCAGCCACCGAAGGTCGCTTACGCAGTCCTGCACCTGTATTTGAGCCGAATTTGATAAGCTACCATATCCCGGAAGCACAATAACTATGCTTGTATAACAACGCTAATGATTGACCTTTAGGATGGGTTACATCCGCTCCGATTACCATTGTCTGCAATGAGTAAACTAATTAAATGCACATTCAGAGAAGGATCAAAAACAGTGCTGTAATGGTCACTAATTCTCAGCTGCTTAGAACTCACAAGTCCGACGTAACATCTTATTAACAATATTACTTTAATATTAGCTAAAAATCGGGGACGCTCAAATCTGAAGTTGATGCCGCCCAGTTTCACGTTGATCTTTCGCAAAATGTTGGCTATATTCCCCGGCCGACTGGCAGTACTGCGGCTGATGAACTGGGTCCTCAGTTTTTGAACTGCAGATCCGCTTTCACATACGCGTTTGATTTCATCATGCAAATCCGATTTTCTTCCCTGACGATCTTCAATAAATACAGCCAAATCCAAGCTTTTGGCGTCTAGTTTCGATACAGCCGTTTTCAGTTCATTTCGTCGAATTTTCGTTCCGTCACCATTCTGCGGATCGCTAACACCGATACCCATTTGCTGACCCGTCTTCTTGAAAGTAACAACCAGATCGCGAATGGGATAACAATCCAGGTAGAACAAAACCCATTTATTCAGTGATTTAGCGTTTTCCACTTTTTCGAAGTCGCACTTCCAGGAGCCATCATTCACTGGGATTCTTAATCCTTTCTGCGAAAGCACCGGTGGCGGAAGGACGCGCCCATTAAAGGTCATCATGTTCGGACTCAGTTCCAACGAAAAACTTTGCATGACGGGATTGTTTGTTGTAATGGATGCTTCCCGATTTTGCTGGATATGTCGCATACGCTCCGGAGCTGCCATCAGCAAACTTGTTATTCTCTGTTACCACTTTCTCACTATGTACACGATTACAAAGCAAATGTTTCACGATTACGAAGCAAATGTTTCAACGGAAGTGAACGCCGTGCAGCTTGGTCAAGCTTATTACTATCTTTTTTTAAATCTAGCTACAGCTTTTATGGTACGAGTACGTTGAGTATTAACCCACAAACAAACTATAATTATATCTCCTTTACAAACCTGGCCGCGAATACAGCGTAACCATTTCCTCCGCTACCATCGGTGCCACGCGATCCAGCAGCTGTTGGTGTTTTTTAATCTTGCATAGTTCCATGGGAATAAAGGATCCGTTCATCATCTGCGAATACAGTACGTACTTCCGTAAGTAAAGGTCTTACACAGGTGGCACAGGATGGTTATACCTCAACAACTTGCAATCGTGGAAATAAAATCGCTCTACCCAAATTACGGTGATAATCCAGGACAGAAATCTTCTTATTGTCCAAGTCAAACTTTTTGGCAGCCACACTCTCCCGACAGATCTGCTTTATTGCATATGTTTTCTGATATTCTTTCCGAGTCTGAGCATCAACAGTCGGCACTTCCACTTTCAATCCTCTAACTTCATTAGCATTCAACCACTCCACGAAACCTTCTTCCAAAACGAAATTAGGATCCGCTCTTTGAGGGACTACCAAACTGGGATTGTTGTCTTTTAAAAACCATAGTAGGGGCTGTTCTTTGTAGAATGCGCTTCCCGATGTGAGAAACAAAGTGATCAGGCCATTCATCGCCGTTGATGGGCGAACGCTCTGTAATAATGCAAGCGTAATAGGGCACCATGCAACTCGAAAGCAACAGGTTGAATCTACCGTCACATACCACAAATAGTTTGGATATAGCCAATCTCCCGTGTTGTAAAATTTCTGTCTCCTTAGGGATATACAGGCTTCGTCCAATTTCCACTGCTCTCTGTGTAACCAGCATAGCCTGCCGTAGAATAGTATCCACGGGGCGGATATAATCCTCTGCTTTTCGACCATTCAGATTGCCTGTTTTGAAAACTTGCAGGTAATTATCCATGCGCTCTTGCCGGATCAACTTCAGCGAAACTTTGCAATCATACGTGCGCGGATCCCCTAGTTGTTCCATCGTGGAAGCAAACTCAAAAGCCACCTCTTCCTGGTCAGTAATGTCGGCAAGCAGGAATCCTGCAAAAATCTCATCGGCTTTGTTAAAAGCGATCTCTCCACCCTGTCCTTTGCCTAGCACTTGACGCGGATTTTGCCGACGGAATTCGTTCATGATGTGTCGTTTCATGGCTGGCTTCAGCGGCTCCGGCATCACGTGTGCCACACCGCGCTGCAATGGCCAAACTGTAACAGTAGATCATCTGATCCTTCTTGGAGACGCGCAGGACATAGTGATTGGCCTTCAGAGCAATAGGAAATCCGCGGGTTCCGAAACCGATTTTAGCATCGCCAGGACGTGTCACAGGATCCCGTTCTTCCAGCGCACTCGCATCGCCCGCTGGTTTCTTTTCCGCTGATTTTGCACTGGCTGATGTAGATTTACTCGACGAAGGTTTGGATGAGCCAGCATCCCCTTGGCCACGCGCGGAGACAGGTTTCGCGCCATCGCCGACAGTCAGTGCAGACACACTCTTCTCCAGAGAAACTGTATGGCTGGCCGAAGCACGGCTGGTCGACGGTTCCTATCATGCCAATATAAATAAATACCGCAACTGGATACTGCCTATTGAACTCACTTGTACACCAGTAAAATGGTGTAAATGGTGAACACTCAATAGTTTAAACACCACGAAACGAAGTCGTTACAGGTCTGCAAATTTGTAGCGCAGAGCGCCACTACACTAACAGTTGTCAGTTATCATTTTCATTACGTGTTTAAACGTCACACTACGTCTTTCGATAAAATAAGTAATAAAATAATCATATGATACAGTTATGCACCGAAACCTAAGGATGCTGTGCAACGTGGAAGTGTCTACTGTCTACGGCATATTTTCGGAACCACAGTCTAGAAACGTACCGAGCTTTTTGGCACACCGCTTGTCACAGGCAACTGAGCGCTGGTTGCAGCGGCTGCCACAACCGTCTCAGTGCGCCCCCATGCAGCCCCTCGTGGTGCGCTGGGTGTAGGCCGCGGGGCAGCCTGTGGGGCCCCAAGAGCGGGAAAATCGGATTGCTCGATGCGCCTGGCCGGTGGTTCGGGGTCGGGAGGTAAACCTAAAGGAACAGCGCCGCGAGCGCCGCCAGTCCCACCTCGTCCGCGTCCGCCACGGTTCTGCGTACTACCACGGCCTCGTTGTTTATCTGCCATGAATCCGATTATCCGCTGGTGCTGCAATGAATTCTGAACTGAGAACGTTGCAGTTCCTGACTGTAACGATTACACGAGAGGTCAAGATAATAAAAAAAATAATTATTTCATAGCCCATTTGAAAATCTGAAGACAATTTAAACTAACGAGAATCACGGGGCTTCAAATAGTCTTGATCCCTCACTTTTCCACGTACCGAAGTGAGAAACTTGGGTTAGTTTTGCCACAGGGATGAAAAATTCCGAAAACGTAGTGGCAGATGCTCTAACCATAAATAGAATTATGCAAGATGTGGAAATTAGAAAGACTCCAGCAGCTCGATCACTCCGCCTCGATGCAACAGCTTTCAGGTCAAATCGTCGAGGCTTTAAATGTTTGTTGTAATGTTGTTATTCAACTTTGTAGTTGGCTACATGATATGTATCACTGGTATGCGATGATGTCATGATGACGTAATAGTACAGTATAGTAATAAGATTTTATTAAAAATAAAAACACAAACCACTCCAAAGGGAAATCCAGATAACGATCTATATAAATCGTTTTATTGTCTAGACTTTGGAGTGGATAACAATAAAAACGTTCCGCGGCTTCCGCGTTGCTCTCGCCCAACGGTATGTACAACCACCTACAATTATCTTACAGAGACAATGAAAATTCTGCCGTTCTCGTTCGTGAGAGCAACCGGCTTATTGATTCTTTGTTGAACCAAGAAACCCAAAACTGGCAGAACATGCAGACGAAACAGTGCCTTCGGGCTTCGTGCTTCGGGCCCTAAAAACATCGTTCAAATATTACATATTTGGGTCGTTCGGTTAACCGCAGCCGGAAGATGATTCATTTTATCAGTGACGTGCAGTATGAATCATGTCAAGCTCAGACAAAGCCGTGTCGCCAAAATCGATCGAAATTGTTAACATTCTGGAACTGCTTGAGAATTATTTTGCCATCGCAGATTCGAAATGTTGTTTGGAATTTTGGATGCTTTACTTCTGGTGAAGTACTCTCTAGATTTAAATTTTTTGATTGTCCCGTTTAATCACTTTCTACAAAAATTTTGATACTTTGTGGAGAAGTTGCGGTAGACGATTTGAATTAAGATCATCGGGGTGCTTCGTATACACAAACGGATCGAAACTTTTTGGAATTTTTGACTCATCATGAACATTTGACGTCCTTCGCTTCTTTTGATCTGTTTCCCGGGATCAGAGATCAGTTCCGGGACACTTACTTGAGGTGGTCATCAATCTGCATTGTTCGGCTTCCTGTATTGTTGTGCCATGAGTACCAAACGAGATCGCCCTTATCTCCTCGTGGTTACTGTTCGCACTGGTATGTGGTTTGCTCCTTACTGGCAGAGACTGTATTTCGTTATCCGAGAAATGTCCAGGAGGGTTGTCCTAATTTTTTAGGGCGAAAGTTTCCACACCGCCCGACAGAATCGGTGCGTATCGACGTCCGCTTTGATGGCCAGCTGCTGAGCTCGTTGCCCGTTCCGCTCAGTGAAGAGCCGGTCTTCGATACAGACATGGCATTTCGATTGACGGGCAAGGAGCTGAAAGATCACAAGTACAGCTCCTCGTTATTATTTTTTAGTTGAAAAAAAGCTTTTCCCATTAAGCGTTATCGGGCTGAATTTTTCGCAGAGTGCAGAGAACACCCATTAAGATCGAAGTGAACCGCGTGAGCAGACGCGGCGATAGTGTGGAGCGAATTGGTTATCAAACTCTGGATTTACGCTCATATGCCGTGGAAGTGGGAAGTCCGCGGTTCGCGTGGTTTCCATTGTTAGGAGCGCAGGCTATGCGCGGCAAACCCGAGATCAATATTGGTGTGCAGGTCGACGAGGACGAAGAACTGCAGAACCTGCAAAATGAAGAGCGTGCTCAGGCCAGAATTTACTCGAAGTGCCAGTAGGTTCTCAGTATGCAGTTGCTTTTTCTGAGCGTGTTTGTTGACTCGGCTCCGGTGTGTCAAGAAATCCTCAATTTGATAGGTTTTCTATGTATTTAGTATTACGATTTGTATTGCGTTGTTAGACCATGCCATACTGTTATGCGTAATTTATTTAAGTACCTATAAATTGTAAATTTAAAACATAATTTAACACTTTATGAAAACTGAATGTGGTAATGCATTTTTTTATATTTTTTTGCATTTAATGATTTTGAATTTTTGCCTAGGGAACAAAAACTACTGGATCACTAATCATCCTATATTGGTGGAGAATCCTGACGGTTTAAGCCATTATCAAATTGGCCCTTCTAAAGATAGCACACATTTGTTTTCGCTGCGCATCACGATAGCATATGTTTCCCATCTGGATCAGTTTTTTGAGCCGTCGATTTCATCGGAAGGTTCGCAATTTTTTCTCCATTATCAGCTCTTTGATAACCACCTTACAACACAGCCGTTCGATGATTTTAATTCGGCTGATTTGGTGACCGAGCACGTGGCTTTCCGGTTACGCGCGAATTTCGATTTGTTACGGGAATATTTTCTGCATCAAAAGCACACTAAAGTAAGCATTGTGAAATATTTGGAACTTTCTAATTTAGTTAGCCGTTAGCAAAAATTGATGTTTTCCAGATAAGATTATGTCAAGGGGATGGCAATATTATTGCTCAATCGGAGCTGTCTTTCACCGACTTATTCCCGCCAGATCTCCAAGTTTCATCGTTGCCTTTTACTTTTGAAAAGGAGATCGGACTGCATCCTGTTCCTGATAATAAATTTGGAATCCCTGAAAGTTTGACTTTTCCAGAAGGTCAGACACCGATCGTGGGAGTTCACGTCGAAATCGGCATTTTGCAAAAAATCGGTTAGTCTGCCCTTTTGCGACCTGCTCTCACAAACGAGGGTGCATTACGCTACTCTAGCTGTAATTTGCAAAAATCTCGGATAGCTCCACTAGCAAAAAATAAGAGCACTCGTGCGCGAAGATGTTTGCACAGGAATAAACGTAACTTTAACCAATGTTTATCGTTCAAAATTGTATACGTAGAATCTTCGGGATTTTCTCGAACGCTGACACTCGGCGAAGCAAAACCATTCATGGAAGAAATCAACAAGATGTCGCAATCACTGCGGCCAAAATCAGCGAAAACAGTATCCAGTGCCAACAGCAAAGCACCGCCTCGATCGAAGAGCACGCACGGTTTTAGTCAACTCACGGAAGACGAAATGCGAAGCTTTTCTTCGCTTTCGTATCCCGCTGCTGAATTACCGGAAGACAGCACGAAACACCGGCACGAACCTAATCGTGAAACGCCTAAATATGTCGAACAACAAGATCAAAATAACGAAGCCACCCGGAAAACGGCGGAAATAACCCGAAATGATGATCAGCGTCACACCTCGCATAAATCGTCTTCAACTCAGATATCTCCGCCGCCAGTGATAATTACTCGGAAAACAGTCGATGAGCAAGTCGAAACTCGTAAGCATGCATAAAAGGCAACTTCGATACTGGAAAATATTTCCGGCACGTTCGATGTTGAATTTTGCAGATCCTGAGGTGAAGATTGTCGGAACACAAACAGCATTCACGGATCAAGATAGTTCTGATAATTCAGCCTATCCTAGCCGGAGATATGTCTGCACAATTTTTCTGTATAAAATCCGAGTGATTTCCCCCAGTTTCCGGTATTCGTCTCCCGTTTATTTACGCTATCAGTATCCTTTTTTTGGAAGTGCAATCCCTATTGTCACTCGACCTCCAGTTGAGATACACCCTAATCAGGATGCCATCCTAAATAATGCGCTAACGCAGTTCACGTTTGCCTGTTCGGAAGCACAGCTGCTCAAAGCGTTTCGAACGTTAGTAATTACTTAGTCACAGAATGTTTGACTGCATTAAACAGAGCGTCTTCGCGGCTGTAGAAAATTAAGAAAACACTTTTCGCGATTTTATTTTTTAAATAAACTTCTGTAATTTTGTATTTGTATTTGGTCAAAACATCTGTGATTTCTTTCATCCGTAAGATATTTTTAGGGCTCCTGTGTGCATTGAGGTCTGGAGAAGTGGCGTTGGAGTGCTACAGGATGAAATCATTGGCCAAGCCAAACTGCGGCTGGATTGGCTGTACAGAGCAGAAACAACAACGTTATATGAGAATGAAAAACCTTATCTACGGCGCTCATACGAGACTACGCTGGAAGTGATAGATTTGCAATCGTATGTTATTGTGCACTTGTAAATTCGGGTTTTCCTTCATATTATTGAGTATGATACCACCCAAAAATCTTCGGTTTGTGCAGCATTTATCTTAGTCTGCATTGATTTTTAGGGAGCGTTACCCAAAACTCGCAGATATTACGGTATGCGCGACACTAGACGACTATGGCGATCTGCAGCGACAGCTTGTCAATGCCATGCCGACACCTGTTGAATCGCGTAACGATGGTTATCGACCGGAAGTGAATATTCGGTCTCAGCCTGGTTACGGCAATCGCGCAAATGTAGTCGATCTTGAAAAACAGGCGGCAGTGGAATTGGAAATTTGGAAAGACAGAGAAGAGAGAAAGTTTAAAGCTCAGGTAATAATTGTTTTTTTTTTAGTTTTTTAGGACCTAATTTTGTAGCAGTAGTGTCTGGTTAATACTGTCATACCTATGAATCGAAATAAAGAAAAAATTGTTTTTCGCATATGTGATATCGTATATTGAATTATCGCAGTTTGATAATTTGGTAGTTAAAAAAACGCGAAGACGAAACACTGCAAAACCTTACTCAAGAGTGGGAGCGTAAAACAAAACAACAAAAAGTTTTTGTCGAGGATAACCTTCAGATGAACAAAGCGCTGGAAGACGACTTGAAACGAATGATCATGGAAAACCGAAAAAAGGAAGACGATTTGAAAGAACGTGAACGCCGGGTTCGTTTTAATCGTCGTTAGCGTTGTAAAATATGTTGATGAACTTGTTTTGCAGATTGCCGAAGCCGAGCAGTACCTGAAATCGGAAAAGACAAGATTGACTAGAGATATCGAAGAAATGCAGCGGACTGTCCTACAGGAATATTCTAAACGACTGGAATTAGAACGGTCAGCACAGACATTGCTAAAGGCGGAAATTAAACAGCAGTCTTCACAAATTGATGAGTTGAAGAAGCGTCTGGCCGAGCGTGAGGAAGAGGTTGTTAAACTGAGGGATGCAGATCGACAAAAACCATTGCAGCAACAGGAACTGCAGCAGGAAGTGAACCGGTTAACTCTCGAAAAGGTGTGCACTTTACCTGGTTTGTTACGATGGTCTGTTGTATTTCAGTCGTTTTGCTTACCGTTTTTATTCAATTGTTCAGAATGACCTTGAGCGGCGTGTTCAGAGCGAGATGGAAGCCAAAACTCATTACAAGCAAGAATGGGGTAAAGCTTCGAAAGAAGTTGCAAAAATGCGCGTGCGGTTGGAGTCCGAACACGAAAAACGTCTGGCAGAGAAGGACCGCGAACTCGAACTACTTCGGGCTGAGCTGGCAAAGAAAAAGCAAGCCGGAGGTCGAGAACGAACCACAGATTTTTCTAGAGATTATCAAGTGGACAACGGCAGTGTTGATTCGGGCCGGAGAAAGGATAGGTGGGATGCGCTCGACTCGTAATTTTTTCCTGTTATTGTCGGTATATCCACAGTTTGTTTATATTATTATGCGTAGATATTTTTAGAGTTAATTTCAGCTGCGGTTTGAATTTACTACGATCGGTTTAAGTATGCATGCCGTGTGTTATTGTTTTGTTTTTGTTTCTTTAGATTGGCAATTCAGTTTGGCGGTGGAGAGCGCAAGCCACGTTATGATTATGCGGATGATGTTTCCGATGCCGAAAACGATGAGAACACTCAGTTCGACATGAAACGTTTGGGTCTTTCGGAGAGCGATTCGGAAAGCGATGACGAGACCACTTCGAATCCCGAGAAACGGCTTTTGGAAGCCATGAACCAAAGAAATATGCTTCTCAGCATGCGCATTTACAAGTTGACCGACGATATCATTGTGGATATCGACAAAAAGATTGAACGGTTGAGGCGTTTGTGCGACAAAAATGCGTAAAGGACAAGGATAACTACTGTAGTTGTGGCGGTAAGGTTGTTATTTGCTGTTGCTGCATTTAATTTATTCTTGCAAACTTGTGAAGGACTGTTATGATAGGTTTGTTTCTCTGATTGATCTCAATTGTTTATAAATATGTTAAAACAATCGATCAACGCTCGATAAACAAAATTCTCCAGATTAACAGTATTGTTTGTTGCAACGGTATAAAGTCAGAAAAAATCATCTGGGAAAAGCAGGGATTTAGGTAGAATTATAGAAGCACTAAACCTTTATATGCGATTGTAACGACCTATGAAACGCTGGCAGTTTGGGCACGTGTGGATCACATCCTGGCACGAAGGAGTACTGTGAACAAAAAACAGCTTCGTGTAACTTACATCAGTTAAATACACTTAGGCTGCTAGGAAATGAGAAAGTTTCTTTGCTTGTTGGTCGGCGGTTTTCATTTGAATCTATATACCATATTTTTTTGTTTAAGCCTTACCAACAGGGAATCAAACAACAACCCAACCAGCAACCTGTAAAGAAATCAAATTTTCGGCTAAGTTACGGCACCTCTGTACATGAAATACAGAAGAAATGAGTTTCGTGCTTTTATTGATACTTCAAGAAGTGTAGAAGTTCTTACCAAAGACTAAACATCCTCCAACAAGAATATAGGTTAGCAGACCATTTTCATAATGCACCGTAGTAACGATATTCTGATGGCAATTTGGGCATCTGAAAAACCACAATACCAAAACCACAATACCAGACGTGCATTACATTGATCTGTCGGAATAATAACAATAATAATTTCGTGATTTACTTTTAGTTATAGGTGGGCGAATAAAAAGAAACTTTATCAATTGATATTTTAATGCACTTTTAAGAAGTAAGCGGTATGCAAAGTAAATATGCTTACACCATTGGCATTGGGTTGGGAGATACGATAGTCACAGCGGTCACCTAAGCGAAAATAACAGCATGCAGGGTCACGAGTAAATCCATTTTACGTGTTCACCTAATACATTTCCAGGATAATCGGTTTAGGATTCAATGTTAAACAATGTTACAGCTCGGAAAGATGCGATTCCGTGGATGTTAGTGACGTTATAGAACCCCAATTCTACTCGTAATTCTCACCACAACTGCCGACGGCTGCTGGACCACAACTCCGCTGCCGGGTGGAGAGGCCATCACGACGGTATGGGGATACGCGGCTCCGGATGGAGGAGCGGTGGCAGTTACCTTGCTGGTGGTGGGAAGAGGCGCGGCAGCGCTGGCCACAGGACCCGGAGGAGGAGGAGCGCTGGCGGAAGCAGGTGACTGGGACGCTAAGATATTCCGCTTAATTAAGATGTGCTTTGGATAGACGTCATAAAATTAAGTTTTGATTAGTTGTTTACCACCGGATTTAGCAGGAGTGGCGGAGGCACTAGGTTTCAAATCGACCATTATCAGCGTACACCACCGTTACATGCTAATGACCGTACATTTTTCCCCGTCCAGATCGTGAATTATATTACGTCTAGAACGAACACGTGGAACAAAAATGAAAGTCAAATTTAATTGTTAAAATAGTTGTATTATGTATTATGACGACATGAACTGTTAAAAAAACTTTTCGTTGCCATGCAACTCCTCGAATGCTTTGTTCAACTAATCAGCAGTAGCCATCCGCCCATAAACAAAACCATTCCCGCCAGTCAACAAACAAAAGAATTTGTTGTCCGTTTTTCGAAAATTAATCTCTTTGGTTGCATTGTGGTATTACAACCAGCCAAAGCAGTTTTTAACTGCGGATTTTCCAGTGCCCAGAAAATTTTCACAATCTCATTTTAGAATTTTCCCCGTTGCAGCAACTGTCAGGCTCAAAAATTCTTTTTGTAATTATCTGCATGGCCTATAGTGGCATTACGTATGCGGACCGTATGTGCTATATTTTTGTGTCACATCTAGAATTTTAAATACTTACGAGTTTATGCACTCAAATTAAATATAACTGCCGTATTATTCTGGGCCGGGCCTGTTCTGTTTCCTGATAATCATAATACTTGCTGCCAATCACATTGGCTGCTTAAGGCACAATATACTAAAGCTAATTGTAAAGCTACAATATAAATTACTGTACTAGTAATTAAACTCGTTAATTAAGAGAAGCTATGCAGAATTTGTATTCCAGAAGTCCATGACTGGTATCGCAACGTCCTGGTCAAGTGCTGCCATTACAGTTGCGCTGCAGCGCGATACACAGTACAGGAAATTACGTATGTAAGGTCACCAAGTACGTGCTAACCATAAGTAGATCTTGCGCTGAAGTTAAAGTTAAACCGACTTCGACACATCTCGAAGGTATCACGTCATCTGAATTTACTGCTGGATACAGCAGCAACAACAAAAATTATGAACAATAAAAAGTAAATCAGCAGTGTGACGCTGCGGACAGCACAAAGGCTTTTAAGTCCAGTTTTGGCATTGCTGTAAATCAGGCCCGCCATCAATGGCGCACCAAAGTTTAGGACATTAAGTACAACTAAAACAAAGCACACTATAGCACTAATACTGCTAAGAACTAAAAAGGCAGTGTAATAATTGCTGGACACTTCCGCTGATTCCTCCAGATACGCAAATATCCCAATCGTGCCGGTTACGATGAATAAGGCTCCCGCAAACACTCCCGTAACCACGTGTCCCATAAAGTCATAGTCATTGGTGCCGGCACAACTGTCTAAGGAATAGTACATTACTTAGAAATGCAGTTAATCGGTAACCGAAGCTCTTGGAAGGCAATGGAAGCATCCATATTCCGTATGTTGGTGTGTTGTACAAACCCAAAAAAGGGCACAACGTACGGTACATGTACAACTACAGTTGATTAATAAATATAGTTCACCCCTCACCAGGTGTAAAATAGCAATTTTCATTTGCGCAGTTACATAAAAACGTAATAGCAATACGAGTATCTAGTTTCTTCTACTTTAGTCTTAGGTATTTCCCGATATGACAACCATTAATGAAATTTTTTAATCCACTGCGCTGTTATGATAGGAACGTTTATTACTTACTGACACCATCGATAACAGCAAGCAGTGCTCCCAGAAAAACAATGGAGATGGCAACACCATACAAAGGGCTTCCATTCCTTACAGGAACAGCGCTTGTTGATGCAAACTCGTATATCATGACATTGTGCCATGCAACACATTCACTGCGGTACAACAGTTATTTATGTGAGATGACGTATACGTATTAGTAATCGTAGCAGCGGATTTTTTTGTTAGTTGAACTGCAGAGTCATATGAACAGAAAAGGTTACCGTAACGTAAATGCTAAGTATTTAAATACTTATCTTATTTATACAAATAGATTTTTTGCGCTGATAGTGAAGCAAGAACCAAATGCATCTGGAAAGTTGGAAATGATGCCCTGGTCAGTAAAAAGTTAAGTAAAATATGCCAAACCGATAACAAGTGCTGGCTTTTTGTTCCTTCCTTGACGTGTGTGTTGTAGTATTTTACTTAGGTTGCCAAGTAAAAGAAGCCTTGTTAAAACAGCAGCTGTATTACGGCCACAAGAAGAAGCAGTATAACAAATTCACAAGCATTTTTCTGCATTTGTTAGTTTATCAATATTCTGTTACGGCAACTGTCTAAGAGCGGAAAGCGTTTCAACAGTCTGCGTTACACAGTACAACACAAAAATATGTAAAACTAATAGGGTACGTTTGCTATGCCATAATCGTAATTTTACTTATTATCTGAGGCCCACGCCAGCGCTATACCTGCCGAAAATAAGTACGATGTGATCTACTTTATTTTAATCATTACCGGCATGCACCGACAATCTTACCAGTTCAGTGTTCTCCACAATTTCTTCATTGAACACGTTGAGAAAAACACGCGGGAAGAGTCAGTCCAATAATTACGGGGCAGGAATTTGGAATTTACCCAAAACAACAACTTGCATCGGTATCTGCAAAATATCTGATTTCTTATCTTGTGTCCGATAAAAATACTTTTGGCTATAGGTTTCAGTACTTCTAGAACTACGCGGACCGCACATACCAGAACGCAAATAATACTTATTTTCTAGCGGAAACGGCCATTACAAATTATCTCCGCTGATAAGATAAATTAAATTGTGCTGCGCATCTCAAGCAGCTTTTGTAAACAAACAAAATTTTTGGCTATTTAATGGTCCCAGAGCACTTAACAATTTTAGTTATTCCAGGCTAAACATAAAATAAAGGTCATATACAAGTATCTCTAGAGTAAGACTTCCTTCTAGTTACCGTATTACAGCCTTTCTGTTTTGAAGTATTTATTTGCTTACCGCTGTTTCTTTGTTTTCCAGTTTAAGATGGCCGATCAGAAACCAAGCACCCAACCCGGACAGTGCAGCGAAAAGTGCGATCCCAACTGCAAAGACGCTAATAAACAAGGATGCTGCGCAACCGGCACCTGCACCAAGGATCAGCATCAGTGCACCGACAAGTGCGCATCATCGGGAAACTGCACCCGCAACCCGCATCAGTGCAGCGATAAATGTGCCACGGATAAGGCAGCCTGCGAGCAGAAAAAGAATCTTCCTGGACGTACTCGCATGAGTCCGGAGGAGTTGGAAGAGGCCCGCAAGCGCGAAGAAGCACGCAAAGCCGGCAATCAACAATAAATCAGCAACCATCCGGCGCTGTTTAAAATTAAGTGATTAGGTACACCGATATGGCATTTGCGCTAACTACAATTAATTTTTGCTGGCACAGCCAGCTTATTACTCGTTAGGCAACTTTCCAAACTATAATTGCACATTTGGTTTTTTGCGGAATTGTTATAGTATGAAAGACGATGGTCAATATCGACTGACTTCTGCAGTCAATATGTCGGGTATTCCTTTGTTGGAATTTGGAAAAATATGCATACTGCATATAGCGTTCTGATGAATGAGTAAAATTTACTTGGAATAATAGTTATACGGTGTATACTACGTACTTGTATCTGACGATGAATATGTAATGTAGTGTTTACTTAACTACCAAGCAGAACACCACGTTTAAACGCGGTCGGCCAGGCATTCCACAAAAGCCAAAATAATAAGATTTCCTAGACAATTTTCCCATTTTATCTATTTTTCCCTAAAAGTAAAGGCTTCTTGTCTGTCCGTCGTCATGCGCCCATGCAACCTGCACTACCATTTTCAGGGCTTCCACACATGGTTCAGGAAGTATATCAATATTTTGACCGAATCAAAAGTTTAAAAATAAAAACCAGCGAGGTTTGGTTTGCTTCAGGACATCGTCTTGCTTCGTTTACCACGCATTGCATAGCACTCGAATAAATATGGAACTGGAAACCAACCGAAAGTGCCACCCGGTGCGAGCTCTTTTTATTTTTCGAACCGTTTGGAACCATATGCACCAGAGAAGTTTCAAACTACATACGTATTTTAGGTTTTTGTATAATTTTGTGAAAGCAAGCTCTTGAATCACTCTGGATAAGATAATATTGTTATTCGCAAGACACAGGCTCACATAATGCGGAAGCATAAAATACAGTATCCAAGTGTGAAGTGAATAAAAGTGCAATTCTAACAGTGAGCCACGGCTGTTTACAGTGCGACATGACACTTAATATGAACTCGAAACTCCAAACCGATCGATCGATCAAAATACTGTGAGCTCAGAAAATCATCAGAAAACAAAAACTTATTATGATTCTACACCTGCATCTGGTCGTCCAAGAATCGCAAGTACACCGCCATAAATTTTGCTACGAATGCTTCCAAATGGTACACTGCTTTTTGGCCCAGTTGCATCCTGTGCTCGTACTCAGCAGCCAGGTGGATGACTTCGCATTTTAATACGTTATCGCAATTTTTGATGAGTTCTTTGGCCAACCCCTGGTAAAAAAAGAAGTTCAAGGATAAACGCGGTTTTTGCGGGCATGCACTCGTATGTGCCCGCTGCTCACCGATAGGATCGTCGTAGGAGGAATACAGTGGACAAGCAGCTCGTACAATCTGCCACGAATTTCCATTAGCTGAGCAGTATCCTGTTTCTTAACGATCAAATCGGCAGTTTTCGTTAGATAAACTTCCCAGTCTGGCAAAACGGGAGCAGCTCCCGACTGGAACGGATACCTGAATAGTTTCGTCATAATTAATCAAATGATTCCACACGCAGCGAGATCCGTTATAATAAAACTGTTTCGACTATATAAAGGTATGTCTGTTGTCGACTACAGAAGTATGCATCTTTCTATCGAAATTCGTTTTAGGCTATAATATCAAACTCACACAAAATCAAAGCAACTAAAATTTGCCAGTGTTTTCATTATAATCTTCCATTTTTTATAATTTTGTCTGTGGTTACTAATGAGCACGAAAAAGAGAAAATGCACCGCTATCCGAATGACAGGATTACTCAAGACAAGTAAACTTACTGTTTTATTTTGGTCGCTTCAGTTGTCAGAAGAGCCCTCCGGAGATTTCGATTACTCTGCTGCACAATTCTTTTGACCAACTCGTTCGGTATGTTGACCTTTTCTTCCTTGCACACTTTCTGGATTATGCGCAGAATCTGCAATATACTTATCTATTCGCTAATGAACTCTTAATGCAGCAGAGATCTTATCGAATGATCGGTGCTTGTCATCAAGTCATGAAATACAGTTGTTATAAATTGTGCTTGTACAGTACCTCATCTTCAGTTGGAGCAGCAACACGAATGTTAAGACAGCGGCTGCGGATAGCAGGAATCACTTTGCTGATGGAATTGCAACACAAGATCAACCGACATGTGGCCGAATACTTTTCCATAGTTCTGCGCAACGCCTGCTGAGCATCCTTCGTTAATCGATCCACTTCCATTAGCACGACAACTATAAACAACAGGACTCCGTTTTTAGCAAAAAACTAAATTCGTTTTAGACCATTTTTGGCGGAAACAAACTAAATTCTAACATACACATGCTTTTTAAAAAATTAGGTCAAACTGTCATATTCCCGCACATACTATCACCGTTTCTTGTCGTGGCAGTAAGTTTAAATTCAGAACCAGTTTAATGAAAAGGCCCTATCGCTGTTTGCACCACATTTCACTCTACCTTTAAAAGGCCTTCTTGTCTGTCCGTCGTCAGGCGGCCCAAACTGCGCTATCGTCTTCAGGGCTTCCATAACAATTAGACGATCATATATACCCGCATCACTACAGCCAAACACTTTTATTAGTAGGTTAAAAGTACAAGCACGCTCAACAATTGTAACTGATTCCAAGTGCCCACAGGCGCAATCTTCAGAACACGAGATTTAAATCGCCAAATCTAATTTCAACTGCGACACGAAAACCAGACCTTGGATTAACTTCGATGTGATACGCGCTAGCCACCGTGGTCACATCGATTTTCTTGTTGGATGGAGTTGTGACGGAAATGGTATGGAAGCGCATTCGGTGCACTCCGGGACCAAAAATGTCCGCCAACAAACAAGTAATACGAGTCTGCTTTCCAGCACCCGGAGGACCGAACACCAGCAAATGAGGAAAATCATCCGAAGCTGCCTGCAACCGGAGTCATTAAGACTCAAAAATGTCATTTCGGTGGAAATACCCGCCAACACGTCCAACAATGTTCACTAACAAAAAAAGTTAGCAAAGACGAAAACCTTTAGCTCCTTACAAGGTTTCGCAAGCTGGCAGCCTCGTTGGTGTGATAATCCAGCTTCGATGACTCCGTAGGACGGTACTTGTCAACCCACAGAGACATCTTTGGAGAGTTTCGGAGTTTCCCAATAATTTGACAGACGCACTAAGAATTTCTTTTTGCTAAAAAAACAAATTATGATGTTAATTATCTTCTTATAGCTTTTGGTTAGCCACTATAACCCGAAGCATTTCGACTGCAACTCACAAGATACGATATTTTGCTGCGAAGAACACAGCCCGCGAAAACGATGAAAAATGAATGCTGGTTCACTGGTGATGCAGAAAATTCCAAAACATCACCGAACTGCAAAATGCGAGCAAGATGGCAGAACGGGCGGTGCCCTTGATTATCGAGGATATTAGGTCAGCCTCCATTAGGAACGTATTTCACGAAACAAAAAACTTCCTGCGATCAAAATGCGGCTATGACTATGAGTCGAAAGCGAAATGGAAGTGGTAGACCACTACCAGTGGTAGTAGCGCGAAAATTAATACAAAAAATTCGAAAAGGCAGCGCCAAAAAAATACTGTAGCAGGTACAACGACTGCACTCGTACAACCGTGTTCCCGGAAGGGCCAGAACCATTAACCATATGATCATATTATTCTCGTTTGAACTGCGAACAGTATTTTTTGATTTCCTTAATCCCTCTTCACTTCTCCTTCACTACACTGCGGTATCGTGACACTAAATAATGCAGAGCCAAGCACTCGTTGATCACGGTCAGTTTATTTACAGTATTTTTAGAACAACCGGGTGGTAAACCGTAAGTGGCCACATTTCAAATTTTCGAGGATGAATAAGTGAATGAATACCTTCATACAAGTTTGGAGCAGAACCCAACAGTAAATCAGCAAGTACTGTACTGTAAAATAGTTATTACTGTTCATCGACCAACCGAAAGAGTAAGGCAACCATTCACCAACAATAAAAGTGTGGAAACCTGCATGTGTTGGAGATTGCGAAGTAGAAAACGAAAAATGTAACACATTTTTCAATACATCATTATGCACCAGTCAAACCGAAAGAGTACTTATAAAATTTCCAAAGTCACAGATAAGCCTAACCGTACCAATCACAGCAATTAACCACAGCTGGCAAAGCCACAACCCCAGCGAAGTCACGGTCGACATCCAAGATCGTCTGTCAGACATGACCGGCGTTTGCCACTTCAGCATTGCTACATCCCTTAATACTGTTTCCATCCTTCGCCTTCCCTTTTCCCCTTCTTTAACCTCACCCTGCTCGCTAATCACATGCAGCAAATTCCATGCTGCGTCCTTTATGGCTAATTCGGCATTTGGTCCAGATCCACATCCAATACTGCTGACAGGCTCTCCCACGGTTAAAACCGTAGAGTACACGGAATGGGGCCCTTGTCGGGAAAACGTCTCATGACTCAGAGTCATGTTAACCACCCGACATAAATACTCCAGCAAGGATAACGGTTCAGAGCAGAGCTCGTCCGGCACATCCATATCACGACTACATTTCGAAATCAGTTCTTGTGCAATTGACGACTGACTGTGCGCCAGTAATTCTTTGGCAATAGCCGATATGGTATTAACCGGAATACCAGTGCTGACCGGTGTTCGGCTGCGAGGTAAGCTGATCAGACCAGGCGCTAGAGAACGACCTAAAATCGCAAAATGATTAGCTCAAGGTTAAATTTGTACCTCACAACGCAAGTATCCAGAAAAAAAGAACCAGTATATCCAGCAACTGTTCGCAACATCTACGCATAAGGACAGCGTATAACAAAAAGTTTGTTTTGATATTTAACGTATTAGCTTCGCATTAAACAAATACATATATATGCAAGTTCCTAACCTTGCTGCAAGTTGGATGTTGCTTCATACAACACTTCGGATACGCTCTCTTTGGGATACAAATACTCTGGCTGCGGGTATTTCGAGAAACGTTTCCTGTACATTTCCCCATTGTGCTTGTCTTCTGATTCGGGATTTTGTAAATCAAACGTCACCTTTCTGTCACCCTCAACTTGCTCCGGCAGTGAAAGTTTAGCCGTCTTCAACAACGATTTCTGTGGAAGGGGACAATGTAAATGGTGTCCCAAAGCCTTCAGCATATTTTCAGCAGCAAAACGCTTGGCTAGCTTCTTACTGGAACCTGATCCCAGCACGGTAATACCACCAGGAATTTTCACACTGACCGTAAATTCTTTTGTTTTATTGTCCGGACTGATAGTCTCGTCCATATCTTCAAAGATCGGATTCGGTTGATCATGGGCCTGCTGCACTTGATACAAACGACAGACAGGATTGATATGCTTGCCATATTCAGGCTTAGCCTTGGCACTCTTCACTAAGTTCGTCTTGCGCTTTCTCTCCACGGTACCTGAATTGGTGGTACACCCATCCGCACTAATCTCCAGATTTTCCAGCATTTTCTGTGCAGCCTCATGTTTCGCAACACGCTTACTTGTCCCTTTCCCAATTGTTTCCACTAAACCCACGATACATTTGAAAGCATGTGTTTGGTTATGTCCAGCTCCATCACAGCCAGTGTAAGTAAACTCAACGTCTTTCTGTCGTCGTGCTGCCTCTTCATACAAACGGGTGACGGCGGATTTCTCATTGTCAGCTACCTGTGGCGGAGTATCGGTCGTGCCACTTGGCGGCTCGCGATTATCTTTCTGGCGGTCAAAATACTCCAGAGCAGCCTGAGCTGCCAAGTTCCGGGACACTATTCTATTCATTCCCCAACCAACAAAACTTTTTCCGCACACAGCGACAGTGGTACTCCATAACAGTTCTCCAGTCTGCCAGTAGGAAGGCGACGGGATCTGGGCATCTCGGTAATTAGCCCAGGATCGCAATTTAACGGCCAGTGCATTCAGTCGGGCTACTGGTGGTGCATCAACCGATTTTAACTGATCCGCCCGATGCTGACTTTTTCTCCGGAACCGCTCGCAATCGTGGACACTGGGTAGCACGGAGAGCGGCAGCATGCTGGGCCTTTTTAATGCTTTTCCCTTCTCCGAAAAACTCCAATGTGCCGTCAGGAAAAGTTAATGCAACTTTTGCTATGAAAAGCTTGTCATGGGCAGGTCCCTTTTCATCAACTAAACTGTATAACAATGTCACCTACGAAAAAAGCTACCTTGCAATTCATTTTTAATCGAGGTACAGTCCTTGTTTATTACAGTACTGCACCTACAATAAAGTACTTCACCTGCAATAACATATTGGTAGTATAGCCGACAAAATAATTATAAATACTTAATCGAAAAATCCACCTGAAATTCTATAAAATCTTTTGATTTTTACAGCAGAAGTAAAAAAAGTCCTCTTACTTTGTTAAATCGAGCAATCCGCGATAATTTATTAATGGGAGTGTCGTTATCTGGATTGTCATGCTCTGGTGTGAGTGGCAGTGTTGGTTGAGTCAGAAGAGCCTACAAGATTGACACGATATCCGCGCAGTTAAGTTATTGGGATTAAATCAACATTAGCGTCTTCGACATTATACGTTTTGTATGTCTTCATAACGCACCGTAGCAGACAAACCGCTGGTTTTTGCGCGCACCATTGGAAAATGAGCTCTATTCTGTGGCGGTAAATTAGCACCAAGCGGGAAAATGGGAATCCGCTCTGGCATGAATGAAACTACCGGCGGATATTGCGCTGAATTCGTTGTCAGAAAACCACATGGACCGATATTCAGTGGTCGCGCAACACAGAACGTGCCATTCCGGTGACCTAAAAATAATATCTCAATCAGTCCAGTGGTGTCTGTTAAAACGTAATCGAAAAAAATTAGTAACAATGTAAAACTGAGGACGCACATTGTAAACATAAAACAGAAATTCTTTTTCATTTATATAGCGTACGCAGAAAGTACCTGAAATAAAGACAGACACTTTCAGGTGTTGCCGGAAAGGGGATACACTTCGATATGAGCATTCGCAATAATCACCGTAGCAGACGTACCTGAATCACAGGGAGGCTTCGGGGGCAACTGGAATCTATCCATTACACTGATCACAGGCATCCGCAGAATCGGAATTTGGGTTCTAACGGGCAGATGTGCGGACGGAATACCATTGGCGGTATAACAATCACTGAACCCGTAAGGCTTACTTAAGCCCATGGGTAATCGTGGTATCTGGGTTCCATGAGTTGTTGGCACAGAAACAGGAGACGAAACTGCGGGATTGCCAAGCCCTTGCTCACCAGGGAACCTGCACATTCCGCGAACAGTTTGATACTGATATGGTTTCGTATCCGGATAGGCTGGCACGAACTGCAAGGGTCCTTTCTCACACTCCATTGGACAGGTTTAGTTCGAGAAGAGACAAATGATAATCGGCCACCTGGTTAAACGGAAAAATCATAATCAATGTGACAATGGTAGCACAGATACAACACTAACAACAGGAAGTGGTTTCTTATAGTCATTTACTTCAAACTAGTTACTAGCAACGTGAAGTCAAATTTTACCGAAGTTCGGATCCGAAATCGAACCAGCAGGCCAGTAAATTATTAACCACAAAATTATTTAAGCATTGTTAAATATAAGTTTTATTCTTATTTGGCTTTACACCTATTCGACTTTCGTGAAATTAAGGAAGAAGGAAAGAAGGAAGACATGGAAGAACAGAACTGGAAGAAAGCAAAATAAAACTGTCGTTCTTCGTAGTTCGTACTTCGTAGCGCAAGATTTTCAAAATTCATTCATAAATAATTGGGCAATACAGAGAAGAAATAAATAACGACTGTGTTTACAGGATTTGCCTTCAAGTTAAAATGATTGCCGAATAGGAAGGATTAAGCGCGATGAGATAGATCCCTGTATCTCTTAATAATCAGGCGCGCACAATTTCACTTTCAAAATTTTGTGATGACTGTGGGAATCTCACTCGTCAGCGCGTCACCATAGTAAAATATCACAAATCTGAGTGGAATTTGGAGTTTCAAAATTAATACATTTATTACTACGTTAGTTTTAGCCGCTCTTTCGAAGCCAGATTCGGTACATGTTGTCGTAAACCTGAATCGTTTTGTCCATGGAAAAACTGGAAGTGAGATGATTTCTTACACCGTTATCGGTTGTGTCGGAGATTTATATCACGAGCGAGGAGCTAACGAATTCTAACTCCCAACATCTGCGACTGCTGGGATTCTCTGCAGTAGAATTATTCAAAGCCAGAATGGGTATTTTCACTGGTTTGGGATTTTTTTTCGCCTCCGGAACACCAGAAAAGGTACAACTACCGAAAGAGAACATGATTTCTTTCGAATTCCACTGCACTCACAAATTATTTAGCATTATTAGTGATTAGTGCATTATTAACCATGCAGTGTGCTTTGTGTTTACAATAACTTTACATAGCGTTACAGATACATATGTACAAGTAACAAATCGCATAAGATTTTATTTAAAACTGACGGACAATGAGTAATTAATTTTCTGTCTGTGGTGAAGTGTTTTGAAGCGAGATGTATTTTACAGTACATACAGATACTTAAGTTAATTTTATGATTTTAGTATGCTTTTGTAAGAGTTAAGATGTGCCGTGATTGCCTCTGCCAATTTAATATTAATGTGTTTGCTAACCGCTTAAAGGCTGATGTTAATGGTATTGCACAGTGAAGTCCGAGACGTTACCTGAGCTTGTGAAATACTTCGCCGCGAGGCTGGCTCTGAAACCAAACAGCGCACTTCCTCGCGCCTTCAGGGTTTTCGTAGCACGCCCTGGTTCTCGGTGCAGTGTAGACAATGCTGTTTGTCTCCACAGGCGAAGTTAGTGGCTATGGCCGAGGGTGCACGCGTCGTTTCCTCCGTTCTCGACGATCCGACGCACGTTGTCGCGGATTCTTGCGAAGCCCCGGAAGTCACTGAAGCTAAAGACTGCCTTTGCAATGTTATCATCGTCAAGGTAAGCGGTGGCTAAATTGACGTTACGAAACCATATCTCTGCGCTTATCGGCTTAACCAGATCGAGAAAAGCCGATACACTGAGTGAGGAACTTTAACTGATTTTTTACTCTGATTTCTGTCCGCACCAAGCTGGAAAGCAAGGTGCTGCTTTCAAGCTGGAGCAGACAGAGAATATTTTACGTTATTTTATCGTTTAATATCGACACTGTTGTTAATGTAATTTTGATCAATATTTTTCTTACGATTTTTCCAACATGGCTTTTTGCAGAGTACGTGGATCGAATTGTCCGCAAAGACATCCCGTGTACTCCCGTGAGTACGGATTGCCTGCCCGCATAACAGCGCAGACTAATTCTTTTTACGGGATTTTTTAGTACAAAAGCATTTTCGCCTGAACCCAAGCAACTATTCAACGCACTGCGGATTTGCGTTTCACAGGTATGGTGCTTATTTTGAAGGAGGTTTCCTAAATTAACTCTTTTGTAAAACCTTCTTCTACAGATCGCGCCAAATGATTCGGTGGTTTTATGGGCAGCTATCGAATGTTACGGTGGAATTTGTGTATCTCAGTTGGATAGCAGTGTTACACATCTGGTAACTGGTCGGGCCGCTGGGGTAAGATGCTGTTACTGCATTCCAGATACTTCTGAAATGAAATCCGTTTATTTGTTTGTCTGCTGTTTTTTTGCCTGGTTTTTATCTGTTTCTGTAGTTACATTCCGAATTTCTTGACTTTCTTGCAGAAAAAATACACAAAAGCAATGGAGGAAAAGAGAATCGGCATTGTTACTCCGGACTGGATTACTGATTGTATTCGGGATCAGATTCTCCATCCACTTGAGAGTTATCATCCTCAGTGGTTGATCGAACCCGATCCTCCGCAGTTGTCCCTTCATCCTGGCGACGAAATGATTGCGTCTCTTTTACCTCCCGATTTGGCTGATTTGCTGGATTCGGATTTTGTTACTCCGATGACTACAACTACACAAGCTCAAATGATCGATCCGCAGTCCGTTCCTATGAACCATATTTCTGCTCCTTCCATGGATATGGATCCCAGTAAATTGATGGGGCAGAATATGGGGAACATGACCGGTAGCAGACCTCAGTTTATCCCCAGTGATATGATGAACCAAAATCGCATGATGGCACAGCAAGTCCAAGGAAATGCTTCGTTAGTGCGTCCACAGACTAAGACCGCTTTGGCAAGATTTCTAAACACTCGTCATAGTTCCCAGAGCCAGGATCAAGTGAGCCATTTTATCCAGTCTCAGCGGTGTTATTTCTTTGACTAGATTCTTCCTTGTTTCATGATTGCGTTTCGTTTGTTTATTAAACTGTTCGAAACAGATTCCGCATTGGTATTGTTATTCCGCATTGTTGTTATTCAGCATTTATCATTCACAGGTAACAAATAATAACAATCCAGGAATGGCTATGAACCATGCCTTGGTGCCTATGCCTCCGCAAATGCCCGAGCCGGGGCAAATTCAGGCTGCACAACAACAGCAGCAACAACAACAACAGCAGCAACAGCAACACTGGCAATGGAAACAGGCTCAGTCTCCGACACACCAGCAGCTGCAGTATGCTCCTCCGACTATGACACCGATGCCGAATCAGATGGTCGGCGTCACCGTCTCGCAACATCAGCAGCCTATGCAACATCAAGCAAGTTATCAGCAAATGCAAATGGGGCAACTTCAACCAAATCCACAACAGCAAATGCATCAGCAGGTCTATCAGGTTAGACACACAGAAGCAGCTGCGCCTCGTTTTTTTTACTGATTTTTGAGACGGAGATTTTGATTTGTACCCACGCTTTTTCGTTCTGTATCTTTTACGTCGTGTTGATAACTTTATCTAAATAAACTGCCAAAGCGAAATTTGTTTACCGTTCTGTTTTTCTAATGGATAGATGCAGCAGACGCATCAAATGCAGTACGCACCCAACATGGCGGTGCGTCCAGTACTACAGACCCAGATGTCAGTGGAAAGGCCTCAAGTGCCTAGCCGGCCGGTGCCACTTGCAGATCCGGTTTATGTGGGATTTGATTTTCCTCACGGTAGGAATCAGCGGACATTTGCGGAATGTTTTGCGTATGTTCGTACGACATGTGAACAATGATCTGATTTAGTTCCTCCAATGAAATTTCTTATCGGATGCAAGATTGTGCTGCCAGCTCTCAAAGATATCCATAATCCAGATGGACGGGTGTTAAGGAATATGGAAACAGTGTGTACTTCACTTTGTTAACCATAAATGGACTATGGAACATGATGGGTTCACTGTCGCAGGTCATAAAGAAGTATGGGGGACAGATTGTTCCGCTGGATGCAATGCAGACGGCTACTCATGTGATATGTGACACGCAATTAAGCCCAATAGCGCAAACGGTAGGAATGAATGGTTGTTTGGTACACAGTATTTGCTTTTGAGAGATACTAATTTTTTAAACTTATGTTACAGGCACTGAAAGCGCAGAAACGTGTTGTGACGATGTACTGGTTGAATGACTGCTATCGTAAGGGTGAAATGCGGCCTCCATGGCGGTTTTCTCATCTTCCCTGTCCGTTTACTGATGACAATAAGCCGCTCCATGATAAGGTATACATCTCAGGTTTTAAGATTTGGTTGTTTGCTTTGGATAAAATCTGAGACGGTTTCACGAGCCTATTTTTTTCAGATTATCACGGTAACTGGCTTCCACGATGAGGAACGTGAGGATGTCATTGCTCTGCTTCTCACTCTTGGAGCCCGATATCAGCCGTTTTTGGATAGGAACGCTTTTGCTATGATTTGCAGAGTGTATGTGTGTGTCTTTTCCTTTGTGTATGTGTGTGGATAAACAGCTCATCCTTTTAATAACTAGAGCTAGTGGGAAAAAGTATTCGAAAGCCGCGGAGTGGAGCATCCCTGTGGTCAATGTTGATTGGCTGCACGATTTGTGGAATAGAGACCCCAAACCCCTGACGATGATGAGCAAGGATCCGCGATATGTGCTTTCTAATGAAAAGGACCCCCCTTCCCTGGACCTGACGGGAGCCAACGTGAAACGTCTGCCGCAACTTTTGATGGCGGCTTGGATCCATCCAGTCCCGGTTCCACCAGACGCACAGGCGGTAAACCATTGAATTCAAATCTTGTAACTTGTGTACAGAGTACACCGTTAAAATGTGGTTTTGAATTACTTTTCGAAATTTACAGAAATTCAGTAGTACGGCAAAGGGGCGTCCAATCAATCCCCAAAATCCTAAGAAAAGGATCAAGAAGCAAATGATGGACAATGAATGCAAAAAGAAACGGAAACTTGGCCCGGTTGTTATATTGTTTGATGGAGTTGAGAAATCGGAAGAAAACAAGTTGATAAAGGTAACAATATACAGAGTACGACTTACGAGCTATAATTATGAGCTACACACTTGTACTCTTGTATAAATGCGAGATGTGATAGAAAATTTCAGGTAATGGTTTAGCAGTAGTGAAGCAGCAAAAACTGAATAAGAGCACGTTGTCAGCGTTAGTAAAAATGTGTTTATTTATGTTCACAAAATTGCTTGGTTGTGAGGTTAGACTGAGCGCACGTTTATCAACTCATACCAAAAAATGCTTAAGTTAGGTTATGCTTCATGTGGAGTTTTCTTTAGAGTCTAAAAGGACTGGGACCAGCAACAGCCTCGATTACGGAAAAGTTCCATGTTTGCACTCATTTGGTTGCGCCAAGGATTTCCCGAACACCAAGGTTTTTGATCGCATTCAGTGTCTGTCGATGCGTGGTCACGCCGAAATGGATAAACGATTCGGTGGAAGGTGGAAAATTACTGGAAACCGATGAGTATATTTTACAAGATCAGGAAATGGAGAATAGAGAATCGTTTACATTACGCGAAGCCCTTGAAAGGAAAAGCATTTTGAGCCAGAATGGGATCCAGGTGTTCACCAACGTGAATTTTTATATTACTCCTCGAGTGTATCCTCAAGTGGATACGCTGTCGGAGATCATCGAGGCTTTTGGGGGAAAGGCTGTAAAGCATCGCATGCCGAAGTTGGAAGATTTGAAAATGGTAAAGCATGAAAGCAGTTGCTTTGCTGGAGCTCTTAATTTTTGCTGATGGTCTTTAGCAGACGTCTAGCTAATTATGTCTTATTATTATTCAGCATGGGAAGAACGGCGTCTATTACGTGGTGATAGCAACTGTGGCTGATTTTAAGGACTTGGCTGGGTTGATCAACACAGGACATCGTAAGTGTACACAGCTGTGGTGCGATCGCTCAGTACGTTATGTGTCACGAAGTTTGACACTCATATTACTGCATATTATACATTATACAGTATGTCTCCTTATGAGCCTTAGGTAGAGCTATGAAAATATTTATATATGCAATAATGGAACAACATAGTTAGAAGTTGACAATCCTTGATGAGCTGCATGCGAGTATTTCGACTCATCATGAACCTTTTTCATTGTATTTACGTGACTGACTTAATTATTTATATAGTAACGTAAATGAGAAATCTGGGACCCGTGGTGAAGCGCAGCATTGCAAGCATTTGTTTTTGTTATAACATACGGCATCTTGCAGCTATTTATTCTGCGGAACTGATCATATCATCTGTTATAAAGCAGCGGATTGACTGGAATGCTCATAGACTGGATTTCTCTAAAGCACCCGTATGACCTTATGAAACAGGAATTGAGTGTCCATAACCAAAGAAGTGTTTTCTCCCGAATCTCTTAACTGTGATAGAAACTTTTTTGTTTTGTGCAGGTATGCAATCTTTTTGGTCTTGATGGCATGTACGTAGAATAGTTTTTTGGTGCAGTTTCCAAAACGCATATCCGTATTGGAGTGCTAATTTATTAGTTTTGCTGAGACTTTTGTCGGAGGTTTAAGTCACTATATACGAGTAAAAATTGACAATTCGTACGTATACATTGCACACACACAATCTGGATATTCGTGGTTCTACTGTCTACAGACGTGAGATAGTTAAAAAATATGTCCTTAGCAAATTTGTATCAGGAAAGTGCCCGGAGTGCGCTGGCCATTGATCAGCTCCATAAAATTTTTTAGTAAATATGTTTCTTACAATTATAATAGATATCTTGCTATTTATTCAAGTATTTACTTATGTTTCTGTGTCATAAGTATTCGTATAAACTGCATATAAAGCAGTAATTGTTCGTTAACTGGTACCGTTCGTATTACCAGTTAATACAAAATTACTGCTGTACTTATGCAGTTTATGTAGATATTGTGAACTTATGAAATGCCTGTCATTAAGGGCTAGGTAAATGACCCGGTACAACATTACCATACATACATAATAGTGATAATATCAAATTTGGGCATATGCAGGAGAACTTTCACATTCGCGCACCCCGAACACTGTTTACATTGTTTTAGGACATTCTGTAGCCAGAATACCAGATGATATTTACAGTATATGAGCGTGAAAAGTGAAAATCATTTGTGCGCGCAAAATTCCAGTAGTTTAAACGCATTCAGGTGTGCCAAAAATCTCATTATTCACTAGTACTTAACAATAAAAAATTACTGTAAACAATTAAAACAGGACATAAAATTCAATATTCATTTTTAAAATATGTGAAGAAATGGTGATGCAACACTGGTACGGTGTGAAAGCGGTCTTCATACTTTTACTAATTCTGTATACAATCGTGAAAGAATTACTGTACTTACCATTAATGTGCTTTGCTGCACGGTTGCAGGTCAGCAGGTGTCAGAAAAGTCACTCGCTGAGTACGTCTGGAGTACTTATACGAGACTGTACTTGTGTACGAGACTACCGCCACGAAGAGTTTGTGCGGTAGTTTCATTCTCACTAGAAAGGAAACTGCATAAACTATAAAGGATTCACAAACCATAAACTGCATAAACTACGGTATAAACTAATTATCTATTGTTTACGAAGAACTGTCGCAAATAATTCCTGTTGCTTACTTTCCTGTTTCTTACTATGTTTATCAGTAAAATAACTTAAATTATACCTCATTATTGCTTGCTACTTCTGTGATAGATTGTGTTCAGTATGCTGTTATCGGCATGAATTCAAGGAAGATCCTGCAGTACTGGAATCTTGGTCGCTGTGATTACAAGACTGCACTGGCACTACAAGAAACATTGGTTTCTAGACATTTAAAGGCTACTGCGGAGCATGCCCCGCAATCTGCAACCCAGGATATCCTTCTCCTTGTTGAGCACGATCCCGTGTATACGGTCGGGATTCGTCGCAACGAGTACACTCAAGTGGATGAAGAGCTCCTACGCCAGAAAGGCGCTCAGCTGTTCCATACCAATCGCGGGGGATTGATCACTTTCCATGGACCTGGCCAGCTCGTAGCCTACCCGATCCTGAACCTGCAGCACCTCCGTCCCAGCGTGCGCTGGTATGTTTGCCAGCTGGAGGAAGTGCTGATTCGGACTTGTAAAGACTTCGGAGTTGTGGCGGGACGCACTGAGCATACGGGTATTTGGGTGAAACGGGCGAAAATTGCAGCCATCGGGATAAATTGCCGAAGGTATATTGTTTCCCACGGAATCGGATTAAACTGCAGTACGGATCTGAAATGGTTTGATCACATTGTGCCGTGTGGTTTGGAAGGGTACTCAGTCACGTCGCTGTCACAAGAAACGGGAAAATTGTTGACTATTCCCGATGTCGTACCTGTGTTTGTGAAAAACTTTGCCGAAACATTTGGTGTAACAACCGAAGAAATTACCAAAACCGATTCTGCTAATCTGATGCGTATTAGCAACATGAATTTCGATAAAAATAAGACAAATTTAACAAACAAATATTGACAAATGATAGTGATTTTAGTTCGATGTTTTTTATTTGAAGATTAAAACGAGCGAGCATGAAGTGTTTGAGCCCTGCATCACGAATTTATTAAGTAACAGTTGCCCGAATTCAGTAAGTAACAGAAGGGCAACTACCACACGATCTTCTTTCACACGATCAGAAGGCCAAAGCAGCTTTGTACCTCAAAATTTGTATAACACATGTATTTTATTTAGTGCCTAAGGACAAAGCTATAATCAAATAAACAAAAAATGAATCGATACATTTTAGCAGGTGATCAACTGCATTTACGGTTACGTACGGCGGCATTTCTTTATAAAATCAGCTAAATGGCGGGGATTAATACCGCACTCCAGCAGCTCAACGCAAATTTGTATTTGCTCTTGGTTCAGTCCGGTTTGAAGTAGGTCTGACAGCTCCTTCACCACTAAAAACAGTTCTGGTAGTAATTTCGGGCAAACTTACTGCTATATGACTAATAATTTTATCGATAAAGTATTTTCATGATGTTAGTAGTATTTCAAAATCCGCTAGTTTTCGTGATTATGACAAAATCCTCTAAATGCATCGGATGCAAATTCATGCAATGCTAAAGTGCTTATGAGTACCGAATGCTAAAAGAAGTATGTAAAGCATAAAATAAATACAGATATAAAGATACTTATTTATATAATAGAGAAGTACTCGTACTGAAAGTACACAAAAATGTGCTGTACTAAAACAAAATTATTATCCAAAATATTTTCTTACCGCTGATACTCGTCCGTTGTGGAACCGGAGCACTGCCAGATGGATTTGTCAATGAGTGCTGATTGTGAATACTTGTACTGGTGCCATTTGCATGACCTGTACCCAGCTGAGCGGAAGCAGTTGCTCCATTAGCTGTTTTCGAGATTCCACTCACTGGATTAGGAACAACCATTTTCTGTAAATCACAAAAGCGAAGTTAGTGTCATCTGAGATTCGGAAACGGATTCTGGAATCTGGATTAAGAAAGATACATACACAAAGTTTATTAGCGACCCAACGGTAAACACAAATGCGGCCTGTATAATATGTAATTTTAATAGTTTATGAAGAAGAGGATAATAATAACATCATCAAAGGCTTTGATTCAAAGAGGAACGAACAATACCGCATCGCGTTGCTCCGCTTTGTTATCGGCGAAGCGGTATTGTTCGTCCCTCTAAGATATCATACTGTAATAACTTAAAAGTGCATGTATTATATTCTTCCGCATGACCATTCTTTTAAATGACCAGCAGATATGAGATTCGTCTTCTTACTTTTAATTTCAATCCTATTTATTTCGGACCTGGCCAAACGTATTCGGGAGCAAACTGGAGAAATACGTGCGAAACAGTTTTTGTTGCAGCGTTGCAGTTTAGAAATTCAGCGGGGCAATGCTGCTTGTGTTCTTGGTACAGTTGAGTTCAGTCGCTCCCTTGATGAACTGTTTTTGGTTTTCTAAATGATGTGCTTTCGTTTCTGTATCCAACGCAGACAAGAGAAATAATGCAAAATAGTAAGTAGTTTTACGGTTTTACCTATTTTATACAACGTGAACCCAGCTGCAGTCTGCAGTCTTCTTGCACCCGTAGTCGTACTAATGCGAGCAATTCTTTAACTGGACTAAACACGAAAATGATTTCAATCCTACTACGATGAAGATGAGCCCTGCAATTTATTATTTATGACGTATCTTACGGTCTTACCACGACAGTCCTATAGGCTATAGGGGAACTTTATTCGCAGTCCTCCCCGGGGATTGTTCGACGGTTCAAGCTCCACGCTGGTTAGAAATCGACAGCTGTAGACCAAATGGCAGGAAAAGGACAGAGCTCAGACTTGAATTCTACTCTAAATTTATCAATTTTCGAATGGAAAACAAATTCTGGAATGACTGTACCAACTTCTGCCTAATACTCTTTTGTTGTGGTTTTACATTACATTATTACAAGGAATGCTGGACAACAAACTTTCATTTAAAGTGAAAACTCGCTGTAGCAAGAAGTTTTGGATCGCTAAAATTGTGTTCCCTGTTACAGTTCAAATCACAATAACCGCGCCAATTTTGTTCCGTGCTTCGCAAATTTGCAGCGCTATTGCGGATATTCGTGCATCTTTATTGGCTTCTTCAATGTTTTTGTGTTTTGAACCTGACGTTTCTGTGCTTTGTAAAGAAATTTATTGTCAGATTCTGACTGTGAAGGTATAATGGACTCTCTGCAGGAGGTAATTCGACTGATAGAAAGAGACAATGCGGTAGTAACGTACAAATCCCTGTCCCGCAAACTGCAAATACCCATCGATGATGCTAAGGAGGTCCTCGCGAAGTATGTTCAAGCTCGTAGTTCGAAACTGGGGAAGGAGATCCATATAATTTACATGGTGACGTACAGTCTTGAACTGCCGGAGGGTAACGTCGAAACCCGGATGGTGTTTCTCCAAGAAGAAGCTGCAAGCGACATGGAACGTAAAATGCATGGATGCAGTAAGCACGTGTTTTCCGTGCATGGCATCGCGGTGGATGATCCCGTTTCTATGTACACCGTCCATAATTCTCTCAGCTCCATGGGATTTCCTATTGAGAACCCCAAAATTGTAGACAGAACTGCCATGCAGTCATCTGGAGATGGATTCCCAGCCACCTTTACAATGGATACGAAGGTTTTAAAGAAGATGGAAAACACAGAAAAGAAAATTTTTGCAGGTACTGGTAAACTGTAAACAAACAGTAAACACCGTAAACTGTACATAAAAAAACGCGCTACCGCCCCTGCTTATGCCCGTTATTGGTTATGGAGAACGAAATAGCGCATCTATATTATAGTATTTTATTCAGACGAGTCTGGTAAAGTCTTCCGCCTTCTTAAAATAATAAAGCTGTTAATTTTTTTATTGTAGATATGAGCAAGTCCATAGAAGCGTTGCGGGTAAAGTCAGTTGCAACAGAGCCCGCGGTGACAGCCTCGCCACCATCAGCAAAACCTGCAATTTGGGTGAAGGCTGGCGGTCTGGACACCAGAAAGCCGGCATCGGATAATATGAAGGACATTTTGCATGTCAAACGGAAAGACGCCGCCCCGTCTCCCTCGAAGAATTCTGGGCAGAACAGCGATTCCGACGATGATGTTATTATTCCGCGTAAAAAAGTCAAAGCCACAGCTGTTTTTCGAGAAAGTGATTCGGAAGCAGAAATGATAGTGGATTCTTCTGAACTGAATGTTTTTGAAGACGATCTCAAAATTACGGCTCAGCCTGGAAACGGAGGCCCGACAAAGGACCAGCGCATTAGTCGTACCCCTTCTCCAGACGCACCAACAGTGATACGTCGAAAGCGCGGAGAAAAGGCTTCTGAAAATCGGAAAGAAATCCCTTCCATAAAAACCGAAGACAAACGTATTAGTTTTGGGGCATTAACCAATGTTTCAGATGAGGAGAACAGTGAATGTGAAAAAGAGTCAGAAATTCCGGAAGCGAAATCCAAGACTGAAGTGAAAAATACCAGCAGCACAAAAAAACGCGGACCTAAAAACACTCCTAGTTCGCAAGCGGATTCCAGAACTGATAATAACGAAATTGATAGTGGGGAGGAGTTTGTTGCGAAGTCAAAATCGTCGTCCAGCAGAGGTAGCGGAGCCCGAAGAAAACGTGTGCGTAGTAAGAAGGACGAAAACGAACCAGTTTCCGATACGGAAGGAAAACAACAGAAATCACCCAGTGTCGAACGGGCAGAGCCTTTGCGGGCTTTTATGTCGGCTGCAAGTGAAGGCGCCAGTCAGCAACGAAAAAAGCGCCAGATACAAGTCGTTGAGAAAGACGACGAAGGGTACACCGTACATAAAACGGTATGGAAGGACATGTCGGATGAGGAAACGCCGGCAACTACATCGCAACCGGAAGTCGTCAAACCTGCTCCAAAAGAGAACAGTGCCGCTATCACCAAAACTAAATCCAGGCCTGCTGCAAAAGCTTTGGCAAAGAGTAATGATGATTCGAAGGATAAGCGAGTTCAGCAATCGATTATGAGCTTTTTCAAAAAGAACTGAGAGTACGCTCTCGTTTTGCTGTACTTCTTGAATATCGCTTTTTCTGATAATTTTTTCCGATTTTGTACTTGTACGCATATTATTACTAATTTGTTAGCGTTCAAGTACTTATAGATGATGGAATATGTTGAAATAACGTATCCATAGCACAATAATAATACAGTAGATGCTGTGAATAGTTGAAAAGCGTAATTTTCTTTGGCCAAATTGCAAATATTGCTGGCAGGTACAGGGATTTTTATTAAATAAATTATAACGATCCTATGGAAATTCGAAAATAGTAGAGACAAATCTTGCTCTACCGATGTAGGATTAGGACCGTTCGGATTCTGAACTTTCCAGTTTCCGGATCTTCATAATTACTGTAAAAAGACCGCCAAGGCGCCAGCTTCGTTCAGGCTGACAAACTGCAAGTCTCGCAGTCGAACTCGAACTCCACTGTTCCATTCGGTTCGGAGTGTTTCGGTCTTTTTGAGCTTGACCCGACTCCGACTGCAGAGTGGGGCACCCTTAGGCAATCTCACAGGGGGTTTTTACTCTTTATTGGTGTCCGACAATCGAGAGACGTGCTCTTTTCAAGCCTCGCCTCGCTACTGTACAACCCTTCCGAGTATCACGTTGTGCCTTGAGGCTTGAGCTGCATGCGCTTACCACATAGCATGCCGATGAGTCGGTCGCCATTTTGCAGCCCAGTTGCAGCTTGGGTTTTCGTCAGTTTTGTAGTTTTTAGGTTTAGGATACCGCTGGCTGCCCGAACTATCGTTTAATGATTTCGCCCGCGTCCGGGCCATTTGATCTCTTCAAAACAGTTTTGTTCGCAACGGACCGTCAAACCGTCATCAAAGTAAGGATTTTAAATTTTGTAGCGGTGATTGTTAAAATTAGAAACAAAACCGTAGGTTATAGCCGTTACTAACCTAATTTTGGTAAAAGTTAATATCGCAGTTTTAATTACAATGTAATTTGATCACATTTGAAGGATGAGGTTGTGTTCGAGCATACTATACTGCATTTGTTTAAAGGACCACAGTGTGACCATAGCTAACCAGAAGCAATGCCGCATTTCATACATCGTCTTTTTGAGCCAACATTTACTACACCCTATTAGTTTTTATGCAAACTTCGAGGATCGGTGCGCTAATATATGCCGATAAATCTCGAGGAAAATAGTGATAATTTGCATTCATGCAGATGCTTTAGCTAGTTAGGATGCTAATTGTTAATAAATAATATCAGATCGTACAGGTTTAATCTTGAAATTTCACTTTCAAGTTGTTGCCGTGTAAATATTATTGATAACAATACTTCTAGTGATAGTTTAAATTGCCGTAAAAGTTAAAACCTTACACACATTACAATTAATTTTAAGCCTTCCCCGCCGAATACCGTAAGCACGCCTGCAACTGCAGCCCCTCTCTGAGATCTGATGATTCTCCTGTAGGCTGTCGCACGATGAGTATAAACATCTTTAAAAATGAAAAAGTCTATGGTGGTTCAGTTTAATAATGATTTAATGCTTTTGTAAAATTTTTATGGAACATTCTAGGAGTTCTTGAACACCGCAAAACAGAAAGACTTACGTATAATATTGTTCATTTTTAAGATTTTAGTCTACCTAGGCAATGGGCATGTATGATTATGCCGGAAGATTTTATGCGGTATCCGTCGTGATATGATGCATGAAATTTTACTACGTACAGCATTACAGTTGGACTGGGCAGAACCCTGCTAAAAGTAATTTTTTTATATTTGACTTTTATATTTATTTTATTTAGATGGCTCGACATAATCTGGATTTAGAAGAATACAGCGAAGAAGTGAGCGAAGGCGCAAGCGAAGGCAATGGCGACGCCACTGATGCCCTCCTCCCGCCAACTGAGGCGGTCGCCAGTCGGAACCGGCGAGGCCCCAAGGCCGCCGCAGGTGATATTTCCGGGAGTTCCCAGCCGCGCATGCATCGACGTCAGAGTGAAGTCTGGCGCTTCTACGAGCGCCATTCCGATCATTCAAAAACTTGCAAAGTCTGTCAGAAGATCTTTTCCACGAATACGGCCACCGGCGCACTGCGTAAACACCTGGAGAAACACTTTGGCGAACAGACGGATCAGGTGCTGAGCACAGCACAGTCGGCCATGGAAGTGACCATCAATCCCCTCAGCAACACGGTCACCGTCACCGGATTGGCACCGGCTATTAGCACAGCTATTGCCGCGCAACAGGCCCAACAAAGCCAAGTTAGTCCGACTCCGAAGCGCGTCAAGCGTTCGACGGTTGGACTGGAGTCGCCGCCGGTGGCTACCCTCCAGGTGGGCACCACCACTGCCACCGTAACCGGAACGGCGGTGCCCAGTAGAACGCGGTATAAGAGTGCGGTATGGGGACAGTTTCATCGGTTGGATGACGGGCGGCCGCAGTGCCGGGTCTGTGGCAAGGTAAGCAATAGCATTTCTCTCGTATGATACGAGTACTTCCACTCTTCCAGTATGCGTAGGACAAAAAGACCTTTACTCACGTGACCGTAATTGCACGCTGACCATTTTTCAGTGCCCGAAATTTGGTACGGTATTTCGATTTTTCCACTTTTTCGAAGCTGCTTGATGTCATCGAAAGTGAAAATTGTTTTTTACTTAAGTAGAAAAGGTAATTACTAGCTCGAATTTTTGCTGGCCTTGTATTTTTCTTAGTTCGTATAACTATAAAACTAGCATTTTCCTTAATCGTATAACTATAAAGCTGCTACAGTCAAATTGATGCATCAACAGACTAACCATTCATCCGCAGGCGGACTGAGTGTTTGTTGGGCTGCCACATGGAAATCATTTTTTAAGGTTTCTTTTTTCACTTCACGTAATATGGCTCGAAACACCGGTTAGTTATGAATTGGAGCCTTATTATGCTTAGGTATATACCACTAGCTCACTAACGTAACCACTAATTTGTAACTTGTAAATCAATGGCAGTAATTCTAAAAGATAATTTTTGGTGAGGACAGGTGTACGCGACAACGGCTTCGACCAGCGGTCTACAGCGCCATTTGGACACCCATGATGCCGTCGATGCTTCCCCTCCGCTGCCTCCAGCTGCGCAGAACGGCATCAAATTGGAGCAAATGCAGTTAGCGAATTCTCTGCCGCCCAACCTTCTTGCCTCTGCGTCTCCGGCGGTGGGATTACCTATGTTACCACCGGCAACGCCCAGACTAAAATCTGCTGGAAAATCCTATATACCGCCCGCTAATGCTGATGAGATCTTCCTGAAAACAGTTGTCCGGGAGCATATTCCAGTGGCCGAGGTCATAGATGCGTTTAGTGGCATTTACCGGACTTATACAGGGAAACCGGCTGACACCACGGTTCTGACTGGTCGTATTCGAGCCTTGTTTGCGAAAAAGCGGGAGGAAGTTAAGAGATATCTGGCGGAAACACTGAACCGGGTGTCGATCAGCCTGGAATTGTGGACATCCGCCATTGATCAGGTGTACCTAATTGTTACGGCGCACGTTATGTCAGAAAAATGGGAACCACTACGCTTTATTCTGGATTGTTTGTTGATGACGCCGGATAACAGCGCGGACAGTATCCGGGATTCACTGGTGGCGGTGTTAGATGACTACGGTATTGCACATAGGGTGTTGGCCGTAACGACGGCAAATGAGCGAGCTATGGAAGCTTTTAATTTGTGCAACAAAACGGCAGTCATAACCAAGCCGGGCTTGCCCGCATCGCACGTCCGATGTATTGGTTGGGGCTTGACCGCATGCGTGCAGCCGGCACTGGATCACGTGCAGGACCATCTGAACAATGTTCGACGATTCCTGAAAACCCTGATTAACCAGCGGAGAATGGGAGATTTGGCGCACACCGCAGCACTGCTCATTCATGATTATACGGAAATAAAACTAGACATTCCAGGTACGTCGATACTGTAACATTGGAATTTGTTGTGACTAGGAACACAAATATTAGGGGCATAAGCAACGGAATTAGTTTTTAGCATTTTATGATGTTTCTACCAGGTTCTTGGACTTCGACGGTAGCCATGCTGGATGCGACTGTGAAAATGCGACCTGTAATTGACGAATTCATAGCGCACTCACAGGCTGCTTATACGGAGTTTTCGGAAGATGACTGGCGAGTACTGGAACTATCACTGGATTTGGTCAGTAATTTCCATCTGGCTGCAACGGATATCGGAAAGACAGACTATCCCGCTCTGTCCAACGTGCTGCCATTAATGGAATACTTAACGAATTGCCTTGTCCAGCAAAAGGACAGTGCTGACCATCCTACGTGGTGGAAGAAATTAGCGACAGAGATGTTAGAACGTACAAGGAAGGTTATGCAAAATCTGTTTTCGGATGTGTATTTCTTTGGTACGGTGCTGGATCCGCGGCATAAACTACACACCATTCCTCACCAGGTCAACCGACAGGGCGTGGAAGACAGTCTGCGTAATGTTTTCTCTCGCTATCTCCAACCAGCTGGACCGACCGATGCTGCGGCCATAACTTCCGGTTCGAACACTGTAGTGATGATGTTTTTATATCTTTTTGCACCGGATTTGGTCATCTTTATAGTTTATTCTTTGCTGCTCAGAATCATCAATACATTCTCATTATTAATGATTTATTTCACTCACCTTCGTATAGTACGAATTTCGTAATTTGTGAATTTTTTTGCAGTTGGCTCGTCGAATTACAAAGCCGGATCGTTGATGTCAGCAATTCTCAAAAAGAATCGAGAAAGTTTGGCTCAGCCACAGATTGATGAATTGAATCAGTATTTAAATACAGCTGTCGAGCAGGCCGAAGTGGATCCTCTGGAATGGTGGGAAAGTCACAAAAAGGTTTATCCTCATTTGGCTCAAATGGCCATGGATTACGTTTGCATTCCAGCCACTTCTGCAACAAGTGATCAGCTTTTCGTTAAGGAGCTGCGCTCAGGACGGTTGCGCAATCGTTTGGACGAAGAAGAGCTGATACTCTACGTATGTCTTAACTCATGGATTGCTGCTGACCTTGGAAATCGCGCAGCCAGTAATATTGCAGCAAAACGGGAGCCATTGTAGCAAACTGATATTTATGTTTTAAAGTTATTTAGTGATTGATTGCGCTTGTTTTGTTGTTCATATTGATCTGATTTTTTATTTCGATGTTGAAAACAACTTTCATGAAGTTTTTTTTTGTGTTAAAAAAATTGCACAGGAACGATTTACCGCATATCACACTTCACATGACGAAATACAAGTATATATGAAAAAAGTCTTTATTATCCCAGATTTAACGGACAATTCGGCACAAACCAGTAGGTACTTAATATTATTATAGCAAATTGAACGCACTGGAAACATAATCACTTGATGCACATAGTACGGCATACACAAAAAGTGAGAAACCAAATACTCAAGATCCGTTCTCAAACCTGCAAGATCTAAAAAAACGGTCCATCAGACACCAGATGAAAACTTAGAAAATGTATAGATAAAAGTACGCAATACCCACACGAAATAAACAGGCATCACATAGAAATTTCCGAAAATAAATAACGACTAGCTCGCTCAGACTTCTGGATTAAGGACAAACAGATGCCAAAAGCAGGGAATGCAAAAAATTTACGGAAACTTGTCAAACGCAGGGAATCTTAAGGAAACATCACAGAAACTCTCAACAAGCGACGCGCGAGTATAAAAGAATTTAATCCACATCTTCGATGCATTTACAAATTCGCTTATTTATGGGTCAATGATTTGCTGAATTCTTCTTCCTTGGCCAGTTCTTCTCGAAGACGCTTAAACTTACGACGAAATTCGGCCATTAGTGGGGCAAAAATCTCATCGTAGTCTGCCAATGTCTGCTCCATATGATCAGCATATTCATCAACATTGTAATCCACTTCACTCGTGATGTTATTGAAATCCTTAAATTTTTTCGTAAATTCATCCAGCGTATCCAGTACAATCTTCTGACCTTCCAACACGTCATCTTCCGCTTCCCGCAAGGCATTGATGGTCTGTAGTTGTTCGTTGTTCTCTTCCAGTTCGGGCTCTTCATAGTGCAGGCTACCAACATCACTGGCCATAGAGGACATCGTGTCTAACAAGCCGGGTTCTTCTCCACTGCCGGATCCAGTCAACGGACGTCCAGAATCCTCCTTTCCATTGCCGCTATCTAATTCCTTGACACGATAGGCATAGCGCAGCGTATTCAAAGTATGTTCTGCAAGATCACTCACATTTCAAAACAATTTTTGTCAGATCTAAACATTTACACTTTCAGTACAGTGATCACGCCTACTTTACAACTGCTTAATTTTAAATTCTAAACAGCGGCTACGGAATACATTCACGCAATTCTGGCTACACACATACCAATCTAAAATCTCACTTGCAGAAACAGATGCACATAAGATATGCATTTCAGTCACTAGACTCACTACTGTCAGCGCATAAAAGTCTCGAACACAAAAATTGGCGCCTAACAGCAACAACGAATCGGCGAATCGGCGCCTAACAGCAAGAATACGAATACTACTGCATCCGTAATAAAGTTGCCATAATACCATTCTCAGCGAACACTCAAGAGTCAGTGCAATTTTCAAGCCACTCGAGACTTTTGAAATAATTCATCATTATCTGACTGACGCAACTGAAAAATCATCTATGATAATATTTCTTAAATCGGAAATCGATTCGTAAGAACGATAAAGGAAACAGTGTTTCAATACTAAACAATTAACATTTCTGGATTGGCTAATGTTTTCGTATTAATATAATCCACAATTTCGTAAAACATACAAAATGCCGGCGCTCTTGCGCAACGAACGTCATTTGCGCACTTGGTTATGAAATCTGCAAATACGATCTTCGCCTACCTGAACAAGAAATTCCAGGCGAAATCATAGCAATCATGCATGTTCGTGAGTTCTGCCCAATGAACGAATCACGAAGCACCTTGGTTAACTGGCTGCCACGGAAAGGCAAATGGGCGCCCTTGCGGGCCAACGCACGGATGCACTCCTTCAAGGCCAACAGACTCTTATTAATCTCCGCGCCCTCCAATCGTGTCTGGCGATCAGTGCTCATCGTGTCAACACCCCGCTCGTTGCCGGCAAGATCAATAAAAGAGAATTTCCCGTGCAGAACTCCTGTTTTCTGGCGTAAAATAATCTGAAACACCGCATGCGAACGGGATGAATGCTGATTTGCTGCCGTTTGGCCCGAGGTGCGTACACCATTTCCCAGTTGGATCAGATGCAGCACATCTTCCACCGCTTTCACTTCCCGTTCCTGTAGATCGCAAACCTGCACTTGATTCTGGTTGTCCTCCAAAATGCGAAGCTTTTTCTTTTTGTTCAGCAGATCAAACACCTTCCCACTGTATATTTCAAAGAAGCTAGCCCGAACGGAAAAATTGTCCTTCTTATATTTCGGCTTTTGCAAATGCTTGAAAATATCGCGCGCTGCAAATGCATAGATCCCAGTTGAACAGTCCTGATTTTTGCCGGAAAAATTGCCTCCCATTGTATGAGTCTTTCCACTTCCTGTCTGTCCGTAGGCGAAACAAGTGGCCATTCCTCCCTCGAAAATGGTCTGAATCAATGGTTGAGCTGTAAACTTATAGACCATCTCGTTAGTTGCATCGTCATCGAAGGCGTAATCAAATCGGAAAGACTGGTTGTCGAGATATTTGGTCAGATCCACTTTCTGTTTGCAGTCATGCATAATCATCGTGTCCTTAGACGGCACTGTGATAACATCCACCTCCTTTCTCTGCTCCTCTGCAAGTAACAAACCACTGGTTTCATAAACATTTCATAAAACATTATAACTGTCTTGTTTGACTGTCAACTCATTCCATATTCTTTGCGAGTTCAGCTGCAAAAGACAGCGTTATAACATCACATACAGACTACAGAACAACACTTTATTTAAATACTGAAAAGCCTTAATTTAGCTCAGAAATGTAAGAAATGGTCTCCAGCCAGCCTACAGAACAACACATATTTTTATGTACTGAAAAGCTCAGAAATGTAAGAAACCGACAAAAATTCCCCTACAACAATTACCAACACCCAGCACGCAAACAAGTACTTCAAAGAGCGTAAACTGCCGTAAAAACCGCGGCATATCGATTTCACATCGACCAGTTTGCATTCTTATTTTTAACTATGCACTGTCGATCCGCATGACCCTTTGATGCCAAGTCAGTTAATCCAGGCCGACGGGGAAAAGTGCGTTGTGCCAGAATTACCACATGTAACAACAAACACTAACCGCCTGCTACATACCTTTCTTGCTCAACGGGCGCTTACGAACGCAGACATTGATTAGTTTATCGTGGGCCACGTCACTTATCACCAGCGGATTGATATCCAGCGTTGCGCGGAAGTCACGAATCATGGCCAGAAACTGCCAGTTAGGGTTGCCCGGATCCGCATTCATCTGCTTCTGTTTTTCTTGCTTGGCCTCCTCAAGACGCAAACGTCGTTCGTTACGGTTCTGCTCTAGTTTCTTGATTTGCCTTGCACAATTAGACATGCGAGCTGTAACCAACAAAAACACTGTATTAAACTGCACGGCTACGGACATCTTCAAACACACACCACATACTACACAGCCCACACCCTCCTCGTTATGGGATTTATGCGACCGTAACCGCGATAACAGCATGTCTAACATGTTAAATATATCAACTTTTTCAAGCGCCGTAGATAACACGTAAACCGAACGAATGAGGTTTGAAAGCATACTGAAGCGTTTAAATACTCATAAAGTTTCGAGTGTATGATTTCGTATACTGTAATATTTCCTACTGTTTCGAACAGACTGCACAAAGACTGAAGAAAAAAATTAACAAGGAAATTTCCGGATACAGATTAACATCAATCATTTCGTATCATAACTTTATTAATTTTCGATTACCATTGCAAGCACAACTTTTTACTACAACTTTTTTCTAAATATCTAATTTTAAGAAAATTTAAATTCGTCATTAGTAAAAGACGATGACCTGAACCTGAGACTGCATTTAGCTCACCTTGATTCCCTGGCAGACTGGGTCGTGGACTGACTTCCGTCTTGCGATCGCGCGCCGACTGCTGCGCTGTGCTACCTCCAGCCAAACTCTTGGAGGCTGCCCCCACACCAGCACGTGTTGACCTTTTCATCTCCGTCACCGGAGCCCCCGTCTGCCGTGCATCGCCGCCGTTCTCACTGACCGAATTCAACTGTCGACGCGGCGCCGCGGCCGTATTAGTCACACGGGGATTCTTGGCGCTGGTGGGGCGACGCAGCCCGGTGCTGGGCGCCCCGGGCAAATGCATCATCATCCCTTTGCTGCTCTCCCGGTCCTCACGCTGCACGGGAGCAGTAACAGGCTCTTCCGACTCTTCGTACAGCACATCGTTGGATGCGGGCACATTGACCATCAGCACATCGTCATCATCGGAGATCTCATCGTCTAGGTCTTCCTCGTCATCTCCGTCAGGCGAAACTTCATTCCCGTTGGTCGTCTCGCGATCCACATAATGACTCTTCCGACTGGGCAGCAGGTTAGCGTTCAGCTCGAAGACGGCGGGGAATTCCACGCTCTTTCCTTTGGTCTCGCCGTTCTCGATCCATTCCACGATGACGCATTCCTTCTCATAGTCGATATCGCTGACCGAGGCTTGATGGACACGACCGTCGCTGCGCTGGATATAAATGTTGATGCGTTTGCGCAGACGCGGACCCGGATCACTGACTGCTTCGCGAGTGTTTACAGACATTATCAGGGATTCAGGTACTGTGGTGCTGTTTCCACTTTAACGCCAGCCACGATATGCGCGATCCCAGCTGTACAAAAATATCGCTTAATAAATACTTGTAATAACTTCCATTCACTGAAAAGACAGCAAACAGCCACCAGGTGATGGGTCTATGGAAATCAGAAAAATGAAGTGCTGAATCAGCTACTCCAGGAAACTTGCCATGTTGGCGCGAAGTTCAGCATTTGGCACAGTGTGACTGTGAAGCAGAACAGCTCTAATCGACGCGTCAAAATGCTATAAACCAGGCGGTTACATACCACTTCAACCTTCTGGCTGGTGAAGTAAGTAAACGATCACGAACTGTCGTTGCCTCTGATTAGTCACACATAAACCAGACAGGCTAATAATTAGTACAGCGCAGTTGCTATCGAAATATCAGTTATTTACTCTTATGACCGTGCAATACGCATCCACATGCGTTCGGCACATTTAAAGTAAACAAGAAACTAATTTAATTACGTATTTATTCAGGACAAGAGTAAATTCAGTACCTACTTGCATTAAAAAGCTGCTAAAATATAAAAGTATCTCATAATCATAGTGTAAAAAAACAGAACTTACGTTTTAAATACCTTCGTTATCGCGTGGTTGAAAACGGCAAATTTGTACTTACGTACATGTTAAGAGCAGAAAAACACAGACGTGATGCCACAAAATCTTCGAGAAAAAAACCTTAAAACATTTAAATTCTGACACTGTATAATTTTACTGTACCACGATCCCCATCACACTACTGACTCACCAAAACCCAAAGCGCACTAGATCATCGATCCCGTTTGGATCACTGCTAGCTCATCCAACCCAAATCTTCCCATGCAGATTAGTACAGTTTCGGTATTCTTTGGCCACGCCCGGTTTTCATGCGATGTCCTACGGGAATAAATAATATTATCCCGTTTGCAATATACCGGACTGTTTGTAATGAGTCAACGCCATTTACCAAGTAAGTGTGGAAATACAATCAAAATCCTGTAAGATTACCGGAAGTTTTCACAATTGCGTGCAACAAAGTATAATAATTGGTACAAATATTATTAATATAAGATCCTTCTGTGTTATTTATATTTATACTTGAAATCTTGAACCGGTAGCAAAATCAACAAATAAAAATAGTTAATAACTTAGAACAAAGACAAACGCATTTTATTTTAGAACCATACGCTAAAATTTCAGGATAAAAACATTATCGACTTAGTAGACATTCCCAAATCACCTATTCGTATAGCCGTATTCGATCTGCCGCGCTTTTTGAATGCTATTTTATCGATTTCTGCCACATTCAGCCGAATTACAGTCACAGATACGAGTACTTACTTGTGTTCTCGCTATTTACCTAAACCATGACCGTCTAGTAGCAAAAGCGTATCTTGGGAAGAGCAAAGCTGGGACATTTCCAGGCAGCTGAGCCTGAGTTCATGAATCATGTCTTTCGATATCCCACCTCACTTAATACCGGCTCTCCGGGATAACATGCAAAGGCGTGTACAGCACCACTGCCGGCAAAAACTGGAGTAAGTACGTACTGTAATAACGCACCTACGTATACCGCGTGTTCATCGTGCACAAGTTTCGATTGATGAGAATAGGTTGGCATTAGCAGTACTGCGTATTATACGTACTGTAGTGCATGCACAGTGTACACTATACGAGGATGAATTATCCGCGAGACTCGGGATTACTACGAGTACGTCGAGTAGTACACTTTTACCTCTTCAAAATTGTGCCAGAATTTACTACAGAGATGGTAATTGTTCGTATTACTATGTCGACGTTTGCTTGAGTTCAGTGCGACGTAGAGAAATTTCAAAACCGATCTCACCGTTGCGGATTATTATAGCAATTATCCAGCGATGCAGCAAGGAAGACCCGAATCCGCTGGTAAACTGATGTTTAATGCTGCTACAATATGCTGCTACTTTGCAAATGTTTGTTGCAAATAGCTTTAGATCTTAAGATCTGAATCTATGGCTTATGCATGACAACAATTGGGCACTGTGTAGTGTTCTAGTACCAATGAAGAAAACGATGGAAAACTTTCTTTGCAGCAGTTGGTCGGCCGGGAACTGCGTCTCGTTTGGCAGCTCAAGCCGGGGTAAAATTTTTTTGTTGTTTAAAATAACGATCATCGTCAGTAACCCCATGGCCAGTGGATCATTCAATGATGGCTAAACAGTATATGCATTGGGGAAACGAAATAAAGGATTGAAAATCTCATTGTAGAATGCGGTGAGACCTGGAACAGCAGCAAGGCCGGGCACAGCGCGATCAAGTGCCGGGAATGGTAATACTGTAACAATATATTTTGTAATACTGTTCATACTAATTTTGTACACCTGATTTCACTAATATAATAATATTTAAGCTGGAAACATTCTTCAAGGCCATGGAATCACTGATTATGTTAATGCTACGAGTAGTGCTTGTGCTTGCAGAAGTTCGAGTCCAGACTGGTCGGCTCCAATCAGCGAAAGGTCAAGCAAAGTTATCTATATAAATAAAAGGATAAGCCTTAACGAAATTCGGTGTGTGTCATCGATGCGTTAGCGCTGCTCTCAACCAAACTCCGACGTCGATAGGTCGTTTGATAGCCCTTAACGTACAGATTTGCCAGCAAAAGCCAGTTTTTAAAGAAAATCAAACATTTGAAAAAAAACTTCAGAAAACATTAACATAGAAAGCTAATGGGAAAAGTCAAGAATCCACCACTGCCAAACCGACCACCACTGTTTCGATAGCCCTCACGCGTTGGCCAATTTTGCTAGGACTGCGGAAAACGTTGAAGTTTTTGAATCATGACTATGTATTATTCCATAGTCTTGAATAAATTTATAAATTTTTCATGGATAGTTAGCTTCAAGAAAAAAGAAGAACTGAGAAAAAAGACCTATAAAGTCTTCGAGTATGAAGCCGCCGTGCAACTGCTCAAAACTTTTTTCAAGGAACTGTCGTTTGCGGTGGTTTAACCCGTTTATAGTAGCCACGCTTCCACGGGTGGTTGCCATTGGTACTGATTTGCTGTTGAAGTTAAAAATTTACAGACACATTTAAAAAAAAACTTTTAATTTTTTTTCTGTGGACAATTATGTTCCAGAAGGGCGGAATTGCGTGTCTGGGGCTGATTTAAAGGGCAGCAAGCTGGCAGCTGCACATTTTAGCGACTGCTTGGCAGTCATCAGACGAGAATTGCAGTTAAAGTATTTGGCCCGGTACATAGTACTAAATTCGTGAATTTTAAGTTCATTTTAAAATGTGAAAACAGTGCCAGAACTGTGCCTCCGTGTAAAAACCATATTCATGCATATGTGCGTTTACATGCAGAATTTGAAGAAGATCGGTTGCTAACGAGACTTTTGAAAGACCTGGATGCATTTAAACTTTTGGAATTTTCATACAGCCATAACTCCCGAACCAGGTGCTGCGCGCTCAAACGGTTTTCACGCCAATGTATACAAATCCTCTGGCTGCAGTATGTCATAAAACAAAGCAAAATGGGTTTGGGAGTGCGCCAAAGTGGAAGTTTTCGCACAGATACACGAATTTGGTGCTATGTACCGGGCCAAATCCCTTGAGCAAGGTAGCTGCATGCTTCACTACTGACCAGCGACTATTGAGAACAAGAGAATGTTTGGGAAATTTAAAAACTTCCGTTAGTTTGTCACAGAAGGCGAGCTCCGCTCGCGATGCAGCAAATATGCAAGAAATTTTGCACAAGTCCTCGATTTTAGAAAGAGCTATCAGCGGAGAAGGGAATACAGCGAAATGCTTCTGTCCTCATTTAATTAAAGTGGTTTAACTTTGTTTTGTGGTCAAAGTAATAGTGAAAAAGGTGACTATTACTGTTTTAATTTATCACCTGTTAGTGTACTGATTGTTGAAGGGCAGGTGCAGTGGTGCATTAGGGGTCAATCTGGGATGTAAAGTGCTTAAGTAAATTGTTATCGGATACGTTGAAAAAGCTCAGAATGGTAAGAAAAAGAGGGGAGAATAAGTTTTAATACTGTAAATTACAGGGTCCCTATGTAGCAGCCGCACGAAATTTAACTGATGGCGACTGATCTGGAAATAAACAGATCGGAAACAAAAAAAGTCACCCGTTTTTGGGAGAAAAATAACTTTAAAAATTTTGCATTTCAGGTTTTAGACCATTCTGCAGTCAATTAAACAGTCAGACAAATTTTCCAGTAGTTATTATCATCACGTGACATCAACTGTGCACTGCACAGTGTGCAGTGTGCAGGGACATAATTGTGTATTTTGTGCATATAGAATGCTACGCTTCGTTCATGAAACCTGCAGTTATGAGTTTACATATATTTACATACCTGCAGTTATGAGATTTAATTTTGCGCTGAGTTGTGATTTATCCAATGCATTATTTACTCCGCGCAATTTGCGCGGGGTCTACTAGTACGAACAATAATAGAACAGCATTATGGTCGCTAATCAGCTTTTAAGCAGAAGCGTATAGGCATAGGTTTGCTGATATTTTACAGGCCGCAACAAACCACGAAATAATCGAGACAGGCCGTACTTCCTTGCCGTTCTCCGGTAGGCGTCCGACATGTCATCCTCTTTGTGCTTGGCAGTAAATCGGTTTAAATTAATACTTGTATGTTTACTCAGTAAACATACAAGTATTAATTTAAACCGAGATAACCGCTTTGTGTTTTTGCTGAACATAGATCCAAAATAACGGAAATCACTAACGAAATTAATAAACTTAACAACGCATGCAAAGAGTTTTCCACACTGGAAGATTTCTACGCGACTTACCGAAGTGAACATGCAGCCTTATCAAAATCTGTTGGGGAACTGAGGACTACGCAATATAATTACGAATCGGTATCTACAAATGTTACGTAATCATGAATGCTAAAAGCTGCGCTTGTAAAGCACTTGCAAATTGTTGCATTCATCCTAAAGACTAAACCCTCCGAAACTTCATTATTAAACTGAAAGCGCACGTTTGACGTTTGTCCGTATACTTATATTTTTAAAACTGTATTATTGCAAACGTTTTGTTCTAATACAACAATAATTACGTATGTAAATAGTACAGAAATCGTCAAATGCTACTTGTTAATTTCTTGCTTCTTGCAATTCTTTTTCAATGCTTCTTGTTAATTTACCTTTCTGTTGTTTACCATAGATGTTAGAAGCCGTTGCAAAAGGAATATCGGACGAAGAAATTAGAGCAGAAATAGATAGCCACAAACAACAAAACGCGGCTTTAACGGGCGATGTTGAGGATCTCCTTAATCAACGCCAAAGGTCAGTTCCAGTCAAATCAGGCTTTGTTTCGATTCCACCACTGGAAACTTTATTTGGAATTTTCAGAAGGGAATCTGAACTTAAAAAACTGCAGGACAAAGCGCACAAATATGAATCTGCTGGAGAAACATTACTGAAAGAAATGGTAACTGGAATTCAATACCTGGCGATTTTACCATGCGAATTCAGTCGATTACATTTTGCGAATTCTGCAGAATTTCGGAGATCAGGCCAAGTATCGCGAAATGCAAGAGGAACTGGCAACCCTGGATGAAATGGAAGAGAAACTGGTCAACCAGTTTGAGCAGCTTAAAAATGGCGACCGCGCAAAAATCGAAGAGGTACGATTTGCGAAAGAGCTTATTTACCTGTATATTATGAGTTAACCACTGTCCTGTGTTATTCCGGTACCAAATGGGCTGGGCTATTTGTTGATTATGTACAATTACTTACCTAATACCGAACCGTACCCGTGCTGCAGACAGCAGATGTTTTTTCGAGTACAGTATTGTAGGATTATTTTTTACGCTTATAATTTTGCTCAGCGCGCATAATTTTTAGGAACTGGTATTTTCCCCACTGAAAAAAGACGCCAGCCAAGCACTGTCACGTATCCGGGAGCTTCAGAAAACTCTGGATGACGTGAAGATCCAGATCAGCCGCACTCCGGAAGAAGAACAGAGCCAGTTGACGGAAAAATTAAAAGTTGATAATTCGGAGATAGCCTCACTGCAGCATCAGTATGTACTACGTAGCACCGTACCGCCCCGTTGCCGACTGCCACTATTTGTTTTCCTTTTACATGGAACGTTAACTACATATATAGGCATTTGACTTTCGAGTACATAACTACGTACCCTCGATTTTTTTCGTAAAGCGTACGGCACCTTTGAGAGCCTAAAGCAAGCTTGCCTAAAGCATCAAAATGTTTTCTGTGTATGTTGGCAGAGCAGAAACACTGCAAACACTACTCGCATCTCTAAAACAACAACTAGGGCATGAGATCCCTTCGATAACATCTCAAAAGGTCACCGATAACGAACTGAAAGGAACAGACCGCCAACGTAAGTACAACCGTTGTTGTTTTGCGTGTTGACGTCTGTGCCCGTGCATCAGGGTTCATACATGATGATTGCCTATTGAAATTACTATTTCATATTTCGCATGTAAGCGTGAATTTTGCAACTTTTCCCGGCAGGTTTCCTAACTTCATTTAACGAACAATTCCAAGCAGAGGAGGTAATTTTCAAGCCTAATTAAGTTTTAAGGACAAAAACCTACTCTAGGCTTAGAAATTGGGTTACCTACCCTAGATGTTTTGCTTTAGTTACCCTTAGCGTAACTACATATGTAAGTAGAGTATTTCTAAAAGTTGTAAAAGCATTCTAATCATACAGGATTAGCCATTTGATTCATAATTTTGTGCCGGTTTGCACAGAATGCGCTAAAGGAAAACGAGGCGGATGTGCAGTCCTTACTTGGTCGGCTAAGCAGAGTACGTAAGTCCGTTTATTTCCCGGCCGGCGGTGCTTATGGCTAGCCATGCTTGCTTAAAAACTAAGTATATTTTACCTGTACCGTAATATGCGCAATCATGTACGGTATTGTTTTCCGCGAAGTCACGATCCCTATTGGAGAGCTTCCGGTATTCGCATATGTATAACTGCAAGAACACCTACCCGTACTACCCACAGTATAGATTTCGTGGCTTATACTCGTACTCGTAGTGATCGAAGCATTGTTATCTTCCAAATTACTTAAACTTCCCGATTTACAGAATGTTGCCGCCTTAAACGATTTGCCTATAGCAAGGGAGACAGATATTTTGAAATCTGACAAGCAATTTCGTTCTATGGTCGGTCAAAGGCGGCGCGAGCAACAACTGCGAGAAGATCTTTTGCAAATGACCTTTGACGAAAATTTCCGGGAACTAAAAAAGCTGCAAATGGTACGATCTTTACGATATTTCAAGCAGAAGTTAACATCTTTTAGGAAATGGGGCAATATGTTTTCATAACCGTTCACTTTACATCTGTAGCTATTCGAATCGTTGGCTACCGAAAAAGAGCAGTCCAGGAACTTGGCCAAAAAAAATAAGGAAAGTGAGTTTTCAACCAACGTGAGCGACATGAAAGAAATGATTTCTAAACGTGAATCTGTAAGTGCAGCTTGGCAGTATTGTAAGTAATATGGCTTTCGTCAGCGCAGTGCGCATAGTATGATGCACCTTCCGCTTTAAAAGATGCGTTAGTTGTTACAGTACTTGCGCGTTTCTTCAGGAATTAGCCGACGAAATTCGAACGCTGACCCAGCGCAAAAATTTACTGTCAACAGAATTATCTGTTACCGAAAAGGACCTCTCTAACAAATCGGCGGAGTTGCAAAAAAGCTCGGAGCACAGTAAAGTAAGGAATAACTGTTTGGGTGTGCGCTGCTTCAGGAGGCACACTGTAATATTTACAAACTTCGATAGATTTCCGGTTTGGAAACTCAACTTCAGAAGATCGAAGCAAAATCTTTTGATTTACAAGAAGGTACAAGCAGTAATGCGTTCTATGCTCCAAATTTAGTCATCAGTTTAGTGATTCAGTTATAAACTGCTGTATTAAAAACGATACCTCTCGGTTGCACGAATCCTATTTGTTTTAATTAAGTAAATTACTCTGTCAAAACTGTACTCAAGGAGTTTTGACTCTGCACAACATGACATTGAACTGATTGTGTGCTGTAGCATATTTACACATTTTGTTTCGTACTGCTAACAGGGCCCCGTCACCGGCTATAATTTCAGAAAAATTTGATCTTTTGCAGAAAGATAAAGGAACACTGGAATAAACAAAAAAAATTATTTTCAGCTGCTGTGATGAATGGGCGTGGCCATAACAAAATTTGAAACTAAATTTTTCACTGTGCTGTAGTCCATGGAAACTATCAGCTATGCTGACAATGAATGCAGTGTTATACCGCTAATACCGACAATCTGTAGGAGGTCAGTTTAACTTTTAAATACTCGTTTACTTTTCTGGAAATGATACAGTTTACACTTACGTTTTCCAGCAGAAATGGATGTGATTTGTTTAGCAATTTTTTAACCATTACGAGATCGAAGTTGCACGCGCGCACCGATCTGCAAATCCGTTTCACAAGCGGCTGGATTGTGAAATTTATGTATGTGCAAGTCTTTAACAAAATGCATAAAAATTTTGAGAGAATAACATTTAAAGAGTTAAACTGGCTTCGCACAGGTTCTTCAGTTAAAACGTATGATGCGGTACATACATTGCCCATAGGCTACAGCACAGTGTAGAATTTACTTTCAATTTTTGTCCTGGCGACGCCCATTCATCACAGCAGCTGAAAATAATTTTTTTTGCTTATTCCAATGTTCTTCTATCTTTCTACAAAAGATCAAATTCTGAATTTATAGCCGGTGACGGGGAACTGTAAGTGCTAACTCTCACTGTACAGATACGTTGAGGTAGCAAAGCACAGCGCTTGTAGTAAAAGAATGTTCGAATGTAAAAGAACTGAAGAATGTTGTTGTAATATTTGATGAAAATTTGTCAGTATAATTTGTTGAAATGTTATTTGTAGTCATCGCGGACTTGGCGACGACAGCTTCATATGGAGACCTCAAAAAGCTTGTGCTTTCTAAGGTCAAAGATTTGAACAGCGTGCTAATTCGGCTTGCCACGATGGAAAATTCTTTGCGTGGAGAGGAAGAGTAAAAGCCAGAAAATTTAGACGTAATAATGTAATATCGGTATGATAATTTTACTAAATGTATGTATTGTGCTATGGACTGGAGAAATTACTGTACTCGGAATTAAAATGCTCTTGTATGCAGATGGTTTGTCATATTAAACTGTATATGTTGGGTTGTATCGTCTAGAATTGGTTACTTACCAAAAAATAATTTACTCAGTTTAAGTACTTACCTTCTTACTACAAGTACACAACGTTGTTATCTATATATAATCGTAGAGTTTATGATGTTGCAGCTGTAGTTCTCCGATTCGGCTAATTTTTGCACCTGCAAAACCATGACTCATCACGCATCCTGATTTTTTTAGCACGGTTTACATTTTTTCCAGTTTTAGAAAGTGTTTGATTATCTATTTTTTAACAGGGAATTACAAGCTAGTACGTGTTACATGATAATTATTATTTCACATGAAATGAGTAACTGCAATGCAAATGCGAGCGAATCGCGCACCACCATCCGATCCCAGATATCAGCGGAACACCACGCCCACACACATGATGGCAGGGTAGTCACTGTCCAGTTTCGATCCTAACGTACTGTAGGCTCATTCGTGCTTGTTCGACTTCAAAAAATTTCAAAGTGAAATAATTGCAGAAGACCGGTGAAATCAGCTTTTGAAGTGCATCGTTTTAATTTGAGGACTTTTGGTACCTATGAAAAACTGATTTTGTACTAGTATGTATTTCTTATTGGAATAGTGCAATTTAGATCCGTTTCCTGTGTTTTTTCTTCGGAAATGCTGCAGTTTTTGGACATCTTCGCCGGATCACGTTCATTTTAATTCCGGCATTATTCGTGCGTTTTCAACTAATAAGTTACCTGAACAATCGACTTTCAACTCCATGGATCGTATTACGCACAGATATTCTGGCACACAACAAATTCTGCATAAACATGATGATTGCATGACTGCTCCGTTTTAAGACGAACGATAATCAGCGATGTTTAGCTTACGGCGAGTTGATACATTAGCAGCATTCTTTTGGATATTTCTTGTTACCCTTCTGGGATCGCTGCAGAATGGCAGTTGCTTCCGTTGGCTGTGAGTATTAGCGCATGATCAGAAGTGATATCATGGTTACAGTATTAGGTTGGTTTAATGATCAGAGGGCATTCTGCGGTGTCAATTTTAGAAACAAATTTTATGTTTTCTGGATATATATATGTAGCAAAATTACGCGAAGCTTCTGTAAATCAGTGTGCCCGTGCACCACAAACATGTAAAGTAATGTAGATATGCGATACAAGTAAGTGAAGTAACATGAATACAACACAAAAATTAATGTTCCCTGAATCCTCAATAGAATTATGTTGATAAATAATAATAGTCAGTCACAATAATCGTCAGTCTTACCGCTCCGTAGTGGTCTGCTTTTCGAATCATTTTTATAAATATTTTTTTCAAAAACGGGACCGTTTCGAATTTTGCGTTTTTTTTTGTTTAAGTACAATACATTTCTGATCCTTGTGTAAAATTGCAATCAAACGTTATTTGCTTATATTTTATACGCGGCAGAAATTATTCTTTATCTATCTGGCAGCATTTTGTAAGTAAGCTTAAGTACTGCAACAGAAAAAACATGGAGAAACGATTAAGGAAATAACGAAGCGGAATGCCAGAGAGCAAATGGTGCATATTTGACAAACTGTCATGTTTACCAGTTGTCCTCTCTGTGACACTTGCTCTGTGCTTGGTCAGTGCTTGGACAATGGTCAGTGGCTAATTGGCAAGGGAAAATAGCGATTAAGTGTCATATAACACAGCGGCGTGACTGAGCCCTCATTGTCCTGCCAAGTAGCTACAAGACAACTGCACAGTTATCCATTGTTCCAGTTCCCTGATTCGAGCTGTATCGATGTCGATCGATCCCCTCTGCTGCACCGTTTGACTACCCAGTGGCAACTGTGCGTAATGACCATGTTTGCGTAATAAATCACAACACAGCCGACATCAAAATAGCCGCAGCAGCGCATGCGGCAACCAGCTCAATTTAATTATTTAAGCTAAATAGTTTCACTTTTACGGCGTTTACGTCACCTATAAACGTCGTAGAGGGTCCATAAATTACTCTGCTGCAGAAATTTCATCCACATAATGGTTTGACTTCTGATTTCAGTTCACTGGGACGTATAGCGTCACTGGCCAGTGCTCCCGTGCCGGACAAGAAGCAGTTCTACTGCAACAACGTTACGGGTTTAGCCCGCGCACAAGTCCACGTTTGCCAACATAATGTGGACGTCATGGACAATGTCAGGAAAGCGGCTATTTTGGCCATGGAGGAATGTCAGTTCCAGTTCCGTAGTCGACTCTGGAACTGCTCGGCTGTGGATACAATTAAACTATACGGTTAGCTTAAGTAATATATATGAAAACGCCGGTTTACACCGACTTCATACTATTTAGTAAGTGTAATGTAAACGAAACACTCCACTTAGCTGTTTGGTTCACAAATTGTAACTTGTCATAACATTCTTTACTTCCGAGATGATTAGGAAGCGTGAGGCGAGTGCCCATGTTTTATATGGCATTAACAGCCGGGAAACATATCATGTAGCTCTATTTCCGCACGACGGTTGACTGATAGGTGTCGACCACCGGTCAATCACCTAATAACTTGCACCTAATTTCTTGGCACCATCCTACGAAAGTTACAAGCGAGGAACGCTTTCTGTCTTTTCATCATATTTTTCGAAGATTACAATTAACAACCAAGTGCCGCGTCCTTAATTACATGGAGGCGGTACAATATACATTCATAAACTATATATGTTAGGGTCCATTTTACGATGACCTTTCGCATGCTACGTATCCCGTGGTATTTTTGTTGCAGTCTTAAAATTAAATTTTCTGAAAAGCGTCGTCTAGAAAAGGAAAGCTGTTGTCTAACCAAATGTTTTTCGCAGTATCACCTGATCCTTGGCAAAACAGTAAATCTTTTTAACATTTTGTAAGAGGACGATTACGCTTTGCAAGTCGGCCCACAAAATGCTACCAAACAAAAAAAGTAAACAATTGCAAATCCCATTGACTATGCATACGTCTATATCTTTGAAACAGGCACACGGGAAGCAGCATTCGTTCACGCCATTTCTTCGGCATCTGTAGCCTACGCAGTGACCCGTGCCTGCAGCACCGGTGAGCTGAGCAAGTGCAGCTGCGACAACAGCATTCGCGGTCGCAGTCCGGACGGTCACCAGTGGTCTGGCTGCTCAGACAACATTGCTTTTGGATCTCAGTTTTCCAAGAGTTTTGTCGATTCCCGCGAGCGGGTCAAACGATCCGGACTGAAAGCCAGTCGGGCCCTTATGAATCTCCACAATAACCAAGCCGGCAGAAAGGTCAGTTTTCGTGTACAGTAATTACGGCAATTACCACTAGACTCATGGCCAGTAAAGATTTCTTGGGAAAACTAACTAAAGTCGCTAAATTTGGCAAACGGGTAAACAAGCGTCGAGTTAATGAGCGCTAGAGCGCGGAATTCACAGATTTTGATTTATGTGCAGACTGCAGACGGACAGATAGTGTTGGGCGTTAATGAGCTCCTATTAATTGCTAGCTTGGTCAGTAGTGCACCCGTACGAATTGTGAACGCGCTGGCGTTTTCCTGTGGCATTCGTGTATTGGACATGTGTGGGCCATTTACCGTACAATGGCAGACTGTGTTGCTCTAGATATCCCCTTTCCGTACGCAGTAATTGAGGCTCAGTATCTTCAAGGGAAGTCTGGAACGCACAGCCCATTCTGCTACAACTTAAGCGGCGACAGGAGTTAAACGATTCTGACATGAAGTCATAGATACCGTTAATGATTCGGCATCAATGAGATGGATGGCACTCGATTAGTCTACAATTTGCAATTGCGCTGATTTCTGTAAACCCGTTAGACCTATTTCGCACAAGCACTCATCTTATGAAATATAAGCACTTACGTACGCATTAATTAATGCAGGCGATTGAATTCAACATGCGAGTGGACTGCAAATGCCACGGTGTTTCCGGATCCTGCCAGGTCAAATCCTGCTGGCGCAGTATGCCCACCTTCCGGCACATTGGCAATATTCTCAAGGAGAAATTCGACGGTGCCACCCTCATGCGGATGAGCTCCAAATCCAAACGTGGCCGAACGAAGAAGACACGACGACTACTGGAACCGGTGAATCGGCAGTTTCTGTTCCATGGCGAGACCGACCTGATCTACCTGGATTCATCGCCGGATTTCTGTGTGGCCAATTATGCAATCGGCTCGATGGGGACGCGGGGTCGGCAGTGTAACAAGACATCTCCGTATCCCGACGGATGCGACATTATGTGCTGCGGACGGGGATATGCCACGCAGACGTTCAGTAAACGGGAACGCTGCAATTGTCGATTCCATTGGTGTTGCGAAGTGCGCTGCAAAGAATGTATAGCCCATGAAGAGATCCACACGTGCTTGTGAAATCACCACGCGAAAATTTCGCTTCTGAAGCTTCCTCGAACCTGTAAACTTTGTACGCAGTTTCGACAACAACTTCACGAACGTGTGTGTCGATAATTTGCCTAGTTAAATGCGTGTTAACCATATAAGCTGCACAGGTTGCTCTGCCGATTTTGTGTGTTGTTGTTTGTAAAACAATATCATATTAATCGTGATGCAAATTTATGAGTTGCTGTCTTACCACACTCTCAGTCGTCAATGTCGAATTGTTTTTATGCGAAATGTCTACTTTAGGCAAAAAATTTGATTGTATCTTGTGCATTAACGATACCATTTATTTTGTAAATGTAGTAAATTTAAACGTTTCTTTTGCATTTATCTAGTGTGTCGCGCCAATATCAGTGCGTTTCTTTTGCATTTATCTAGTGTGTCGCGCCAATATCAGTGCGTAGCAGATGGCATATTAAAAAAGGGCACACACCTCATATATTATGTTGGACATTTTCTCCGAAAAATTCTACTGTACAATACATACATCGCAGCCCTAAATGAGTTTACCATTATTTTCGTTTTGGTTTTACGCATACATAGTTTGTAGTATCTTGTTTGTCATCTTTGCTGTTGTAGTTTCCGGCGACATGTATACGAGTATAAGCTTGTATGGTAAGAAGTATTTCCTTTGTTACAAGTGCTAACTTTTGTCGCGCACCCATCCCCAGTATTATGGCTTTTACGTTGGTTTTCAATTTTTATAACAACTTTTGGGACTATGTAGGGTAATGACTGTACCCTACGGTCACCCTAGTAGAGTAGCTGATCAGGACAAAGTCACAAAAACGTTTTGATGATACCGTATTTCTCAAGTAAATTCTGGTTACTGGTACGAGTACTCTAGTTTTCGAAATTTTGTCATTCTACGTTATTTTAATGTTCCTTGAATCTTCCGGTGTAGATGTGTAGTGGTCATGGTATTGTGATATCACAATGGCTCACTACGACTATGTTATTGTGGGTGGTGGGATAGCTGGAGTGTCCTGCGCAGAAACAGTGAGTTTGCAAGAGTGTCCAGATACTCAAGTATCTGTCGACGTGTGTCGCTGTCTTCATGACATAATATGCCCATGCCGTTCAAGGAAGATCTTCTCTGTAAGCCCTGTTTATTCTGTTTTTCGCAGTTGTCGTACTGTGCTCATGATTCAAGATCGGTTTTGGTCTCTGCATCGCCAGTTGTTAAAGTTGCGACAAGATTCAAACAGGTAACACTAAGAAGTTCTGGGTTCTTTTGTGATAATACTATTCGGTATTCACATGGACCAAGATTTCACCACATATTTCGCTGCAGGTAACAAAAGTGCTTGAGGAATTCGACGTCGAGGAGCAGTCGCTGGACGATATTGCGAAGCGCATAGGCAGCGTCGGGGTTCTTCTGGATCAAGCAGTTTCGATTTCTCACACTGAGCGTGTAAGTGCGTTGGCGACTGAAAGTAATCAGATTTTGTCCCGTGTTTTTCATCCGCTGCTATGTTAGTACCTTTGCCGACCAGAAAATTAGACGTAAATCTTTTAATGTTGCAGATTGTTCGGCTGGCTTCGGGTGTTGCTTTAAATTATGGGAAACTTTGCCTTTGCACTGGAGGAAAACCAAAGGTGATTTTTTCACGCAAGGATTTACATAAAATTGATTTTTTTGATTTTTGTTTGTAAATTAGTCAGTGCAATTGTTTTTTCCAAAAATTTTGCATTGGTTTGTTTAGACTGTAAAGGTTTGTCATTAAAATTGGTTCAAGCATGACTGATCGAACAGTTTTGCAATATCAAAGTACGTACCACAGAATTATATAAGTAATTTCGAAGTTATTCGTACGCACTCTGTACCTTGCGGCACGGTGCATGTGCCCTGATAACCAGAGATACTGCTGATAGCAAGAAAAATGCTAGAGCTTAGGTTTTTAGCCGTGCACGTTGTAGTATAAACAGTTTTGAAATCCAGAACCCAGTTAAATTGTCTGTTATTTTTTTAGTTAATCGCCAGAAATAATCCTTACGTGATTGGGATTCGTGATACCGAAACAGTACAGGCACGTAAGTCGATAAAAAAGCTGTTTCTCTCCATCTGCTGTGCTGCTGTTTCATGAATTTTTGTTTCCAGGAATTCCAGAAACGCTTACAGGATGCCACGCGCGTTATTATTGTGGGCAATGGTGGCATCGCCACAGAAATGGTGTCGGAGCTGGAAAATGTGGATGTGGTATGGGTTGTTAAACACAAATCCATCAGCGCAACGTTTGTTGATGCCGGAGCAGCAGAATTCTTCTTGAAGTCATGGAGTGAAAAGCGTCAACAAAGAAACGATGAGATCCAGCTTAATAAACCGTCGGCGCGATTGAAATATACCGAATCCTCTAACTCTTCCTTACCTTCTACCACGGCAGGCAGTGCACTGGGGCCTGATTGGGCTGGCAATATTTTGATGAGTGGAAAATTTTATACTGCAGGATCATTGCAGATTGAATATGAATGCGAAATCGCCGGCATTCTTACTCCGGATGAGTGTCTAGTAAAAAACCTGCCGGCATGGGAGAACGGAAAGTATCCAGTGTATGCCGAACTAACGAACGGCAAAATCATAGGATGCGACTTTATTGTGAGCGCAACAGGCGTAATTCCCAATGTTGACTTGGTGATTGGATGTATGCCTGCTGACGGAATTGCCGTTGATGGAGGGATAAAAGTGAACGAGAATATGGAGTCCATACTGGAAGATGTGTTTGTTGCGGGTGATGCATGCACGTGTGCATGGGAAACAGCTCCACATTGGATACAGGTTAGAAAGTTGTCTACAGTGTGTTGAATCTTAGTAAGTAGCTGTAGCGCGAATATCTTTTGCAGATGCGCTTGTGGACGCAAGCAAGACAAATGGGTGCCTATGCAGCTAGAAGTATGATTGCCAAAACCACCCACCAGTCCGTGCATTTGGATTTTGCCTTTGAATTATTTGCTCATATTACAAAGTTTTTTGGTTTTAAGGTATGTGATTTATTTCTAACGGTAACAACATGAGTGCGGAATTGCTGGCGTCTCTGCCGCAGTTTGTCCTGTGTTATGCTATCTTTTTTTCTGTGTTAATTAATCGTTGTGAAATCTGATTATGCTGTTACAGGTCGTTCTGTTAGGATTATTTAATGGTCAGGGGTTAGAAAAAGAATACGAAATACTACTGCGAATGACAGTCGGGGTGGAATACATCAAAATAATTGTCAAAAATGGAAAAGTGCAAGGAGCGATTCTCATAGGGGACAGTGATCTGGAGGAGACTTTTGAAAATCTAATTCTTAATGGTACGGATGTGGCGCGTTATGGAGAAGATTTGCTAAACCCTGATATTGACATCGAAGATTATTTCGATTAAACGGAATGCTTTCCGTTCGATATGCTGTGATAATGTGTGATTCATTGGCATTTTTATTTTGATAAAATTTTGCAGCGGATGTTGTGACTGTGCCATGGTTTAGTTGCTGATATGAGATTTCTCTCCCGATGAAATGATGTGCGATATATTGAAAACATCCATGTGCCTGCAAAAGTTTTTGATCGTAGTGTTACTAATATTTAAAGACATTATTATTAAACGCTATTTAAAGGCACTATTTTGATCGTAGTAGTTTTAAGCACTAGGGTAGTTTTTAAAGGCGTTACTCTCTTAAGCCTTACTAGTAATGCGTTAGTAACAACAAGTCATTACTTACCTTTTTTTACAAACTATCATATAATTCGCAATTGTCGATCGTTTTCAAAAGATCATGATAATACGAAAATAATGTGAACCTAGACTTTTATGAATACAGTTACGTCATTGATACACGACCAGACATCAGGTCACAACCACAGATGTCGGAGGGTGTGTACTGTGTGGGTATTATTGGGCTGTGGTCTGGGCGTGACTACGTCAGTCTGGCATTAATGGCGTTTCCCAACAATGTCAGGTGACTACATGCCATTGTCCCAGAAAATAATAAGTACTCATGGTAGCGTAACGTGTGAACCACTTCGGAGTTTCACTTGCTTGACCTACGCACAAATTTATTTGTACCTGCTTTTAAGTTTTACCGTTTACGGTTTTACCTTTTGGTTCATTTGCAGCGACTTCCTACTAAAAATAAATCTACTGTAATTGTAAAATTAATAAGTTGTGCTGTTTGCGGCACCATTGTTAAAATAATTTTGTAAGTTGGAAGTTGCTAAGGGGCTTAGCGGAATCCTGGCCTTCGCTGCTCCGGCGTGTCGATGACGATCTTCCTAAACTCCACCTCGAATTAACAGTGCTTTTAAGTCTTTTTCGTGGAAGTTTTTATTGTATCATTTACTCGTATTGTAGCTGATCAAAACATTGACGGTATTGTAGACCTTGCACAAATTTCCGCCTGCAGTAAACCCGGATGGCAACAGGCGAAGTTGCGGATGTCGAACCCGAACTGAAGTCCCGCACGGGCGGTACAGCAAGCTGACGGACGTCTTGCGGAACATTAGATATTAGTAATATGACCTTCGAATTTTGCAGATTATCCTAATCTGCCGTCCGGTGACGAACCGCGCAGCGCATCGTTTCTCATTCGAACTTATGAGGAGCGCTACGGGCCTAAAAAGGCGGAACTGTCTCCAGGTACCGGTACTCATGTATGGTTGTTGTGAATGTTATCGACCTTCCCATAAACTACCCTTTTGTTTTACGATTTTCCTATTAATCAGCAGACTGTAAAAATTATGACAATATCACTTTTGCAAGTCGTTAATTTTTAGATTTTTTGTCATGTGCATAGCAAGCGCCATGTGCTTTTCTTAAGATAAGCAGTTCTTATTTTCGTTCGAAAACGTTTCCCTAGATTGCATCACAACCGGAGCATGCCTTTAAGCCGAAGCTGCTGCTGTGTATTTAACTGATACGTTTTCCGGTATCGGTAAAACTCCCGACATCTGGATTTTTCAAGATAGCAAAAGTAATAAAATTTCCGTGTGAAATGATCTCCAGTTGGGAATTTTTGTGACAGAACGGGCATGGAATCGAAAACCAGGTGGAACCCAGTCGGTTCCCAGTTATGGACTGCATCAGTTCGCGGTCACGGCGGAAGAGCCGCTCAAACTGGACCAATTAGCCGCTCAGGATCTGCAGTCCATCATTGACTCGGTCAGCAACTTACCTGAAGCTCCTGCAAGTACTCCGGAACCGGAATACATGGTCACCACGCACACTGTTACCGATTACGGGGAAGAGACGATTTATTCGGAGTGTTGTGTGTATTCGCCGGATGGCCACAATACATGCACGGTGGTCACTCGTCATGTGACATCGGGTGACCATGAGAGTGACCAGGCAGTCCATAATCAGACGGTGGAAAAGGTTTGTTTTGTCCGAGTCTTGATTACGGGGGTTTTTCTATGGTGAAGTGCGACATTTTTTTGTGCTGTAGCATCTGATCAGTTACGAAGAGAAAGAAGCAGTGGTGGATGATGTAATCGGTCATATCGTGCGAGAATCCGCTGGTGATGCTCAGGAAGTATTGCCATGCGTGACCGGTAAAACCTCCAACAGCTCAAATATCATGGGAAAGAGCTGTGGTGATGCCGCTGGACAGGAAAAGGCGATCGAAGTCACTGCAGTTGGCGGAATTCCGAACACTGGGAGCAAGCCATTTTCAGGATCCGGCAATTTCAAACCACAGGTACAGCTAGCACTGCATTCCGTGGTTGTTAATCGCCACATCATGAAGATTGGTTTGCCGGTCTATGTAATTGTAAATTCGGCCCACAAACTTTTTTAAGTCTTCATTGAAACTTAAACACGGTATTATTATCGGTATATTATTAACTGTCACGGACACAGGAAGTACATGCAACTCCAATACAGTACTGTATGTGAAACATGCATTTGCAGCTGCAGGAGGTACAGTCCAAAGAATCCGCCACATTGAACGCAGGTATAGCGAGTTGCACTGACCAGTTTGCTGGGCTGGGAATTGGGTATTATTATATACACCTGTTTTCCAGCTATTCCCAGTTTAGTGCTTCTTCCGGTCGATCCCGAAGCCGAAGTGCTTGATTGGTGGTACGTGAATGACGCTGATTTGATTAGTGTGATCATGCTGTAGATGGATTTAAGTTTGATTGAGATTCGTGCAACTGGATTTCCACTACAGGTGGTTGGTTTCGTCCACGGAACCGCATACACGAAACCGTGTTATTCTGCATTTCGAGCCTGGATTTCTGAAGATTTCTTATAAATTTCTGAATATGGTATGCGTGACCTTTCCTCTTTTCATGACTGAGGAAGGAACTTAAAAGCTATCAGTATAGTTATTGTATTCGTAGCCACCAATCAGAATTCCGATTAATGAAGTTGTGGTGGAAATTCCGAAGTCGCGTCGACTATGGCGAAGATTATCGCAGCGACGGATGTATCTGCGCCAAGGATTGGCGAAGCTGGAATTGATTGCTGCTTTAAAATGCGATCGGGACCGATTTGTGTCGCGACTGGCTAATGTTGCGCCGGATGTCTCTCCCTTCCTGAAACAGTAGCAGCTTTGTGAATAGTAATGAATGCGATTGACGCAAAAGGGTTTGCTGCAAATGTAAAGTGATCTGCGACATTTGCAATGGTTTAACTGAACGGTTTATTGGTGTTGGTACGTACACTCAACAATTTATGCGACTAGATTTTCCCTAATTCGGCGACCGATTTACGGTTCGGCAGTTCGATCGAGGAGGATGGAATGGTCACCGGTTCCCTGTGACCCTTCTGTCCTTATACTTCGTTACCTGTTGGTGTTGTTAACATTTCCTTGTCCATATAATTCGTTACCTGTTGATGTTGTTTGTTTGCATGTTTTTGTAAATGCTTGTAAAACGAGTCGAATTGTACGACAAAAACTGTCAAGAAGCTTCATGTTAGAAAGGATTCGTTTCGGAACAAAACAGTTGCTGGATTAAAACGAGCGAATTATTCGTTTTACCAGTGATGTCATCCACCCCGTCCCATTCTTGGTGCAGTGTATTTTTAAATACAAAAATATTAGTTCAAAGAGTGTAGCTTCCGGAGCCCGGCCGATGATTTACATATAATCACATATAAAAACAAAGATGTTTCCGTATTCAGTAAAGCAGCTGGGCAAAAAATACACACAGAATTAACAGGTCATGAAATGTATTGCGCATTGCGAGTACTTCTATACGTTTCAACAACATCTTGCGAGCACAGTTTTATTTGCCAAGGTGCAACCACTGTCCACGAGGCCCTGCAATAGTAACCATAAAACACACAAAATACAAGACGAATAGTTCTTGCTGTCTGCATACGTACTCGTATTCATTTTTCAATGCCTCACAATTTTTCAGATTTTGTAATTGCCAGCGGTTTTGTTTTATTAAACTGAGACTGTGGAGTGAAATTTTACTCGCACCAGGTCATCGAGAAATTTTCGATGAGACGAGATATCGATTACGGACTATCTAAACAACGTGCAATCAACAAAAGAACTAAGTGAATAATTAAAATAAAAAATGCAGCATAATATTGTAGTTTTGTCAAAACATAAGCAGTTAAACCGCTAGTGCTAGTATGAAATATGAATACACTTCTGGTATTAAACAACAATAAAATAATGCGGCCCGATTGCCGTGACTGCGTATACAGAGTACATAGTAGACTCGGTAGTTCACACCTACGGACGTAGTATATTGCCACATATCCACCCATTCAAACAGATGAGTAATCCATTTTGTTAGGTTGAATCAGCATTCACAAGGTTGCGGTGCCTACGCCGACTGTGTGCCATTGAGACTCATTGAGCACTTGTCAGTTATTTGCTTTGGATTTTATTGCGAACGTATGGTTTGCTTGTCGGATACTCCATCTTGTTTCAGACTTTCCTACCGTAAAGGAGCAAGAATCACTTTTCTGTTTACTTTTTCAGTTTTATGCCGTATAGCGACACAGATTTCCCTAGGTTGTGATTGCATAGACTATATTTGTGGTGGCAAATACGCGACTCTTTTGCGGACACGAAGAAAGTCAAGAAACATGGTTGCACAGCAGACTTTTACGGAACAACAGATCGGAGATTTCCAGGAGGCGTTTTCTCTGTTCGACAACAAAGGAGATGGCAAGATCTTTGCGGGACAGTTGGGAGAGGTCCTGAGAGCTCTCGGTCAGAATCCAACCGAGGCTGAAGTACGGAAATATCAGCAGCAATATAAATCTGACCAGAGGATTAGCTTCGATGTGTTTCTCCCGATTTTACATGAGTTCTCCCGTTCGAAGGAGCCCTACAGCTACGACTCGTTCATTGAAGGTATGTCATACTCATGACAGCGTGCGCAAGTTTCGAGAGTTTGAAATTAATTGAACGACCATTTACGACCTTCATAGATTTAATCAACACATACTATATAGTGTGTGTGCCATGCACAAGTTAGCGTATCGCCAGTCTTTATTAATCTCCAAGTAAGCAGGATGATGTGGCTTATCGTAATCGTAGTTATCGTAATGCACTGCGCAGTATGATGGTGAATTCTGTTTTCTCAACAAATGCTATTTTGCGATGAGGTAAAACACTTTGGTTGTGTCAAATCTCTAAAGCATTTGATTTACGGTGAATAAAATAAAACAAAATAGTCATGTTATACCAACTAATTGCAGATACAAGATTCAAGATGCAGACATTATTCACGATTAGTTTTATTATTTATTGTGATTATAGGTCTGCGTCATTTTGATACGGAAGGGAATGGTCTGATCAAGACATCGGAATTGCGCCACTTGCTGACTACGCTTGGAGATAAGCTGAGTGAAGATGAGTTTAAAGATCTTATTACTGGTCACGAAGACAGCAATGGGAACATCAATTATGAGGACTTCATCAAAAACTTGATGAGCGCCTAAAGGCTGTGTTGCGGCCGACCTTTGTTCTGTATATTTATCCCCTGTTATTCTTTCTTCCAGTTTTTTTGTTTCTGTTTCCTTCTAACCATACACCTAAAGCTTTAAACATTTCGAAGTAATTTGCGTTTTTTGGATCGTTCATGTTTGCGTTGTTCTAATTGTGGTTGGCAGTATCACATGGCTGGTATTTGAACATTCCTCACGTCGGCATGCAAAAGCTTTAATACAATAAGATCTGTCTGCTTTTTTATGCAAACAAGTTTTTTTGCGTGACATTTCGGTAGTTGGGCGTTGTGGCTCGTTAATATCCGTCTTCGCTCTTCAGTAATATTGCTGTGCCATAAAATCAAAGAGCATTTAGAGGGCGAACGTGAGGACATTTGTATTAAATTGGTGGGTGCAATTTTTTTACATGTAAAGTTGTAGACTTAAAAGTCTAACATAGGCAGCACACAGTTTCATCCTTCAAATTGTTTCGTTGTTTTGAAGTGTTCAGTTAAAACGGAAAAGTCAGTTAAAACGGAAAATGAAAAATTATCGGGTCAAGGTTTTAGTGTTCTACATCGTTCATGAAATTCCAAAAATCACAGCTAATTGTGCGACCAAATTGCGTTCCAAAACCTGCAATTTAAATTATTAAATTTTTTCGAAGGACGGGTACAGAGTAAGGTCATCTCGCTAACTAATGAATCGATTGATGGATATAATAATGTATGCATATTATTGTTAGTCGGGACTGTTATGTTCTCCAGTACTCGTAATGTTATTTCTTGTTCCAGATTTCGACGTCAGCCGTTCGGATAAAGCAGTTCCTGATTCTAGCGGACATAATCCAAAATCAGATGGTGTTGTATTGCGAGTGCATAACTGCAGTAGAAACTGACCTTTGAAATGTTAATTCACCAAACAACGCTCCCAAACAGGAACCGACAAACGATGCACATTTTTCTTCTGCAGTTATCCCACAGGCTGAAAATTTACTATGTACCTATTAATATCTATAAATCTTAGTTCCTGTCAATGGAAGACTACGACAAAATTGAAAAATTTCTTTTCTACACAGAATGGTCCATTGCTCACTCCTGTCAATGGAGGCAATACCCAGGCAGCAGGCAACAGACGATCAGCTGTTTGGCAGCAGCAAGTTAGTAACCAGCATAAAGATTTACTTATCGTTACTGTAATGCTATTCGTAAATGCGCCAGTTTATCTCTGCGTATATTACGATTTTCAGAATTTTTAAGCTGGAACCACTGGTTCTGTTTTCTTCCCACAGTCCTTTTTTATTGACTACACTCAATATTGTCGCTTTGCTCTTAGCGGTAGAATGAGATCGCTTATGAATGGGATTATGGGATGGTACTTCATGACGTTCCTGAGTATTTGTTGTGTTCGCACCGGTGATATTTCTAAAACGGGAAACTGGTACACCAAAACCTTCTTTTCAGCTGTGACTCCAATCGCGGACAGCTTCAGGTATAACTTCGAAACATAAGATAATTATGTTGCAGGAAAACATTTTCTTAACATTTTTGCAACGCTTGTGTTTTGCGCGATCTGTGATGGAACTGCAAGCTTATTGAACGTTCTACAACTTCTACTTCATAGGTGCAATGCCCGAAAGAAGTCCTTTGACGAATGGAGTTTTAATTCGTTCATGTTGTTAAATCTTCCAATTGATTCCATAATAAAAAGCCAGGCATTTATTCCGCGGACTGTGTTCTCCAAAGTGTCTCCAACTTCGCTGAAAACTCGCTCCAAACTTGCTGCCGTATCGACCGATGCCTTATCCAGAATTCTGGACTTGGATGCGGAATCAGTGGCGGACTCGGAACTTTTCGTCGATTTTGTCAGCGGGAATGCTGTCCTGTCGGGCAGTGTGCCGTTGGCGCATCGCTACGGCGGCCATCAGTTTGGTTCATGGGCGAATCAGTTGGGCGACGGCCGCGCTGTTCTGTTGGGCGAGTATATTAACAGTCACGGTGAATATTGGGAATTGCAGCTGAAAGGCAGTGGAAAGACGCCGTACAGTCGCGCAGGCGATGGCCGTGCCGTGATCCGCAGTTCGGTGCGGGAGTTTCTGGCCAGTGAAGCCATGTTCCATCTCGGCATACCGACATCCCGGGCGGCTGCCCTCGTGGTCAGCGATGATCCTGTGTACCGCGACCAGTTTTACGACGGACACATGAAGACCGAACGAGCGGCGGTGGTGCTCCGCTTGGCGCCGTCCTGGTTCCGCATTGGCTCGCTGGAGATTTTAGCCCGCAATGGTGAACACGACGAGCTGAAGCAGTTGGTGGAATTTGTGCTGCAGCATTATTTCCACGCGTATATTACCCCCAAAGAATACGGGCAAGATGATTACATTCAGCTGTATGGAATCATCGTGAATCAAACTGCGGATTTGATGGCCAAGTGGCAGTCCGTGGGATTCGCGCATGGTGTGTGCAACACCGATAATTTTAGCCTCTTGTCGATTACCATCGACTATGGACCGTTTGGATTTCTGGATGCGTACGATCCGAATTTTATTCCGAATTCTTCCGATGATGAAGGACGGTATGCTTACAAAAAACAGCCAGAAGTGGGCTTTTTCAATTTAAACAAGCTGCGTGAGGCGATGCTGCCTCTGATTCAGTCGCCCGCACAACTGGACGCTGCCCTGGAGAAATACTGGAACAGATTTTACAGAGCATACAACCGGGAGTTTATGAAAAAATTTGGTGTTATTCGTGAGCACCAGGACAGTCAAAAGCTGATTGCGGTCTTCCTGGATATTTTGACTGCGACTGGAGCCGATTTTACCGCTTCTTTTCGTCAGCTGAATTTACTGTTATTAGCAGAAGACGTTGTTCAAATTCCCACAGACGCCTGGGCACTGCACAAAGCATCGCGGCATAAGAAGTGGAATTATTTTACGTCCTTATACCGGAATATTGCACTAGACATACGTTTGTCTGATTCGGAAAGGATTAATGTAATTAATTCTACAAATCCAGTGTATATATTACGGAATTGGATGGCTCAGCAAGCAATTATGACTGCCGAACAAGATGACTTTAGCGAAGTAAACGATCTCTGGCAAATCTTACGCACACCGTACACCGAGCAAGCTTATGCGGAAAAACGCGGATTCTCTCGTGAATCACCAAAGTGGGCGAAATATTTGAAAGTGAGCTGCTCGTCGTGAAAGTGTTTCTCGCTTTTCGAGAAGGGTGGCGCTTTGTCCATTAGATCGTCTGATGATTCTTATAATCAAATGGCCGTTCGGGTGTATTAAAAGATTGTGTAACTGGTTGCTCATGACCTGTATCGGTGGCACCGGAATTGTCTAAGCATTTACGCTGCTGACCCACTTACTGCCAACAGGTACAACAGGTGTTCTCTTCTATGTGTACAACGGTCTTTTGTCTTTAAGAATTTACTAATTGCAATTGGAGCTTGCTTTAATCGACTTTACTTTCTGCTGTTTCAGTGTGACGGCGTCATACGTTGCCGGCTTGTATATCGTATTGGATTTTCTTGTTATGCAAGGTACCTGACGCATTTTCCATAAAGTAATTATTAACCGGCAGACAATGCACTTGTTGTTACGGTTTATTGGGGAACACGAATTCACTTCATGCCGCAGTTCCGAGTTTTGGCTCCAGTATGTCCCGCGGCTATTTCGTTCAGTTGTCTGAGAACGATCGCATAGCGCAAGCTTGAACAGAGAGAAAGTGTGCCATTTATCGTGCAGGTGCATTACGCGGCATTTCATTTTTTCTCCTCGTGCATATGTTCACAGATGGCTTGACATCGCACACCACCGCTTTCGATTTCAACAACCGTTTCCGCTCAGATTCTATCGGAAGTGTTTGTGGAATCGTGTGAAATGTTGAAAGGAGCCTCGTTCTTTAAGACGGGCTCATTGCCCCGGCCCGCTGCCAATCCTTCGCATATCCGAGAAGGTCCGAATACCGTGGAGGGCATCGCTGTGCCGGAAGAGCAAGTGGAATCATTGCCACCTGTTCACGGGCACGAAGGAGAAGATCACCGTGACGCCAACCAGCTGGAGACTGAGCATGCCGGTGAGGACGATGAAGATCCGTACAATGTTATTCCCTCGATGGGAGACGGCATGATGGAAGTGCCGCTGGATGGACCACCGGAGAGTGCCGCGCTACTGGACCCCGACCGAAAATCGGTTAATAGAAGCAGGTTAGCGTGGCGTAGTTGATTGTTAGCGTTTGTTTTTTCTTGAGCTGCTTTTCGCTTGTAATTAGTTTCGAATGACTAGCCGTCCGCTGCACTGTGAACTGAGAGGAGAGAACTTGTGCATTCTGATCGTGATGTGGGCTGATCAGTGGCTGGTCAACAGAAGTGCGGAACTTTGATCTGGGTTATTAGAAAATATGAAAGCGCTTCCGAAAGTTTTCCCTTGCTTGTAACCTTTTATTACTCGTTGAGAGAGATGATAGGATTCTCTTTTCTGCGTTGCACATTTTTGATATGTTTGTGAAACATAAAGCTTGCAGAGGATGTGTCAAATGAAAAAATTTGGATTTCTCATTTCTGGCTAATACCTTAAGATCATAATTGTTTTTGGCATCACTACGGCATAATTTATTACTAACTTTCGCCCGTGGAAAGTGTTACAGTGATAACACGCTACTTTAGATGTGCCCTCGTTTAGCGGAAGCATTCACAGCTGGTATTTTACCCTTGAGCAGTTTGGTTGTGACTACGGTTACATAATCACTACCGGTGAAAACTAGCATGGCGAGAAATGTTATTCAGTTAAAAATAGAAGACTATTTTATACGAAACACCGACATACGAGACATCGATGGTAGCATATAAAAAGAACGGTTTTGCGGGCAAAATCAACAAATAACAAAATGAAAATAATAAAATAGAAATCGTGAATGGATAACAACGCTTTGTAGCTGAATATTGTTGCATATTTATGAATGTGGAGGCAACAACTGAACCTGCTGCTGAACCTGGTTTTATTATAGCAAAGAAGGAATATATTCCGAAACCCAAGGATGGGATGTTTTTCAAGTTCTCGAGCCGGAAGAAGACAACCACGGCAACGAGAAGCTGATAAAAATTGTCGTCCAAGTTATCAAACTTTTCGTCTACATTCTGATCTTTCTGCTTGTATTAACATGTGCAGTCGTTGCCAAAGGATGTCTCTTGTTCATTGCCGGAAACATGATTCCTGGGAAAAACGTGCAGCTCTGTGGCGACGTCGATGGTATGCACTTTTGGTAGACTGATTTAATTCCTGCTCCAAATTGACGTAGTTTTTTCTTTATAGTGAAGGGTGGTTTCACCATAACACGGTCCACCGTCATCACAGAAAATGTGACCGTCACATGGGTTTGGGCCATGTACTTGGCATACTGTGTTCCCGAATTGTTTTCCTTTCTGTACAGTTTGCGGAAAACTACATTTCGCAGCTTAAAACCACCGCCCATTTCCATGATCCTGTTGGTCATTTTCCTGGAAATCGTACACACTGTTGGACTGGGAATTTTATTGTTTGTTGTACTGCCATATTTGGACGCCGTTCGAGGCGCCATGATCACCAACTGCTTGTGCTTTGTTCCGGCAATACTGCAATGGTTGTCGCGTAACAGCTCAGAAAAGCTTCGCTGGGTTAAGATGGGAGTGGACACGTTTGCTATTATATGTCAGATTTCCGGTACTTATTTTCAAGATAACTTTCAAAAAGACACTTATGTTGTGAATATTTTTTTTTATCTTTTTCTAGGATTCGTCATTTGGCCACTGCTCCATCCAACCGATAATTTATGGAGCATTCCCGTCGCGTTAATTATGACCAGTGTTGTTTGGTGGGAAAACTTCTTGGACAAAAAATCCCCTTTTGCGGTTATCTCTAAACTGGCCGCCAAAAGCGAATACTTGTACAAAACTCGCTATCGTATCTATGTCTTTCTTTCTCCTATCAAATGCTTGGTAATGTTGGGAACGATGATCGGCTTCATGTCGATGAGCATCCATGTGGATGCGCTAATGGACTCACGAAACATTTTCCGAGCTCGCAATTTGTCGGTTCTGGTTACTCGCACACCGATGCGGACCACGGATGAAATTAGCGATGCTAACTCCGGGCTGAACATCTTTGATTTCAAGCATACTCCCGTTTCCGACAATGAATTGTGGGAAATAGCTGGAACAACATCCTTGGTAGTGTGGCTCATTCAGATTGCGGCGGCAGTTCTGTGCTATTTAACCGGAAAATTCGCGTGCCGCATCGTAATTCAACAGTTCAGTTTTGCTTTCCCGATCAGTATTTCTATGCCTGTCCTGGTGTCGGGTTTAGTGGCCGTTTGTGGATTACGACTACAGGATAATTGTTTCGGAACTAATATCTTGCCAAAGTATGATCTGAACACAGTTTTATGACTGCCAGTGTAATCTGGAATACGTCTAGCATACTTGTATAGTAACTGTGCTAAGCTTGTGGTACGATAAAACCATATCCAAAACGAACATTTTACAGCCTACATTTATACTTTGAGTTTATTTAAGCTTACAATTAGTTTATTGGCGTTATTTATATTTAGCGTGTTTATAGGCATTTATTCTTCAATATGTTTCCGGGAAATGGCATCGAAGATCTGATCTTAAATGAACATGTGTGGATTTGGCTATTATGGCTGTTTTCGCAAGTATGGGTGACCTTCCATATTTGGAATCCTAAATGCGAACGTTTAGCGAAAGCAGAAAAGTGAGTTATCAATTAATCAATCATTGCTCTTGGTAATGTTTTCTTTTCGTTGCAGGTTGTTCGTTTTGCCGATGTACCATGGCCTAATTATTGATCAAGATTTGGCACTCAACCGTCGTCGCGATGATCAGGCGGAAGTGCTCAGCGAAGACCTGAAAAACGGCTCCCAAACAGCGGAAGATCCCTCACCACATTACGAAACGCTGTCCATCAAATCTGTCGATTCCTCTAAAGAAAAGCCTTCCCACCGCACCGCTGATACGGTGACCAAAATTATAGCATGCGCTACAATGTGGCACGAGACACGCGACGAAATGAAACAGATCCTCAAATCGATCACACGGTAAGGTGTTAAGAAGTACCTGCTTACGAAATCAATCAGCATACACACTGACATTCACGACACGTCTGATAACATAATTGTCATGTTAGGATGGATGAAGATCAGGCCGCACGCCGCAATGCACAAGAGTTCCTACAAGTGGTCGACCCGGATTATTACGAATATCAAAGTAAGTCTACGGACGCATTTGTTAGATGTCAGTATAAGACAATCGTAATGTAAATGCGGAAGAATCAAACACACGCAAAACTCATTACCATAGATCACAATTGTTTTTATGAAATTTTTGCAGCACACATCTTCTTTGATGATGCATTCGAAATCAGCGATGAAAATGAAAACGAGAACGTTGTCAATCATTTCGTCCGACTGCTGTGCGGCGTCATTGACGAAGCGGCCAGTGCTGTCCACCAGACGAATATCAAACTGCGTCCGCCGGTGTTGATCAGCACACCCTATGGCGGCCGGCTGGTATGGACGTTTCCCGGTGGGACGAAAATGTATGTCCACCTGAAGGACAAATCCAAAATCCGACATCGAAAACGCTGGAGCCAAGTGATGTACATGTATTATTTACTGGGCTACAATCTCATGGATTTACCGATCGATGTCACTCGCAAGGAGACTATCGCGGAGAATACGTATCTGCTGACACTCGATGGGGACATTGATTTCAAACCACACGCTGTGCAGCTGCTAGTGGATTTGATGAAAAAGAACAAAGGTCTGGGAGCTACTTGCGGGCGCATTCATCCGGTCGGAAGTGGTCAGTACCGGGTTTTCTCCCTCCATACTGCTTTCTGTATCAGCTCAAATTATTCTCTGTTTTGTTGTTTTTTAGGTATGATGGTGTGGTATCAGCGTTTCGAATACGCTATCGGCCATTGGCTGCAAAAGGCCACGGAACATATGATCGGGTGTGTCATGTGTTGTCCAGGATGTTTCAGTCTATTCCGCGCCAAAACTCTGATGGACGATAACGTCATGCGGCGTTACGCAGTGAAAGCCGAAGAAGCTCTGCATTATGTTCAGTTCGATCAAGGAGAGGATCGTTGGCTGTGCACGCTGATCCTGCAACGAGGTTATCGTGTGGAGTATTGTGCTGCTTCCGACGCCTGGACACATGCGCCTGAAGGTAGTGCACTTGGAAAGAGATTGGTGGTACCACACGTTTCATTACTAACTATTCGCTTTTAGGCTTTAACGAGTTCTTCAATCAACGACGTCGCTGGGTGCCCTCGACCATAGCCAACATTTTGGATTTGTTGCTGGACGCTAAGAATGTCGTGAATTCGAATGATAACATCTCCTGGGGATACATTCTGTACCAGTTGGCTTTGATGATCGGTACGATTCTGGGTCCGGCTACCATTTTCATGATGATTATCGGTGCTTGCGTGGCGGCATTCCGTGTGGACAACTGGACTGCTTTCTGGTTCAATATCGTTCCCATTATGCTTTACATTGTTGTCTGTTTGACAATGAAAGCAAACTGGCAGGTAATTAAAACTTATAAATGCTTATCGTCTTAGACAAATAGTCTAATTATTTTGATTTTTTTTCAGCTGTTGCTGGCGCAGATTATGAGCACACTTTACGCATTGCTGATGATGGCCGTGATCGTTGGTACTGCTATCCAGATCAATGACGACGGGTATGGCGAGTCAAATTGCATCGCCTACTTTTCATGGCTGTAGATTAAAAATGTCGTCATTTCTGAAGTTCGAACGCGAAGTTAACCTTCCGCCTCTTAGTCAGAATTATGTATATTTTGTCCTTTGATCTGCCGTATTATTGTGCTAATTTATGTAAACTGCACCTAAAAACGCACTATTCAAATGTTCGCGTTGCAGATGGGGATCGCCGTCGGCCATTTTCTTGATCGCACTAGTCGGTTCGTTCTTCAGTGCCGCCATACTTCACCCCCAAGAATTTTTCTGTATCGGTCACGGGTTTTTGTATTTCCTATCAATTCCGGCCATGTATCTCCTGCTGATGATCTATTCACTGTGCAATTTGAACGTCGTCTCGTGGGGCACACGCGAAACCGCAACGAAGAAGACCCAAGCGGAGGTGGCGCGCGAGAAAGCGGAAGCCGAAAAGGCGGCCAAAGCCAAACAACAGGAAGGCTTCATGGGTTTCATGCGGAAAATACGCGGTGATACCGCCAACGATAATGGCATGTTGCTCAACTGTTGTACCGTCAACTCTCGGGATGATTCGGAAAAAGAGGAGTTGATCAAGATCGGCAAGACGCTGGACATGCTGACGCAGAAGGTTGACCTTTTGAGTAAGAGCCAGTATCCGGAAGGCTTACCGCCGCCTCCGGAATGGCCATTGCTGCCACCAGATCATCCTCAGTTTTACAACAATTTGCATCAACCCGTGCACGCACCGGTCAATCTGCACATGCCGGTACCGTTCCCGCCCACACTGGTCGCCATGAACGAAGATTTCGAGAACGGTTCACTGGGAACACATGTCTATGGCGAAGTAGAGGAAGAAGAAGAGATTATCAAGTATTGGATGAAGGACAAATGTTTCGGAGAAGTCAATGAGGACCGCGTGGTGGTGTTGGAGGAGAAGGAAGTGCAGTTCTGGAAAGATTTAATTAAAAAATATCTGTATCCGTTGGACGAAGATAAAGCTGCGCAACAGAGAATTGCCAACGACTTGAAAGAATTACGCAACAAATCGGTGTTCATGTATTTTATGTTTAACGCACTGTTTATCCTGATTGTATTTTTGCTGCAACTGAACAAATACCATCTTCATGTTGACTGGCCGTTAGGCGTGAAAACCAATGTGACGATCATCAATAATCAGCCCGTGGTGACTAAAGAATATCTGCAACTGGAGCCCATTGGTATCGTTTTTGTGGTGTTTTTCTTCTCCATCCTGGTGATTCAGTTTGTGGCCATGGTATTTCATCGCTTCGGCACGTTATCCCACATTTTAGCCGCCACGGACATTGATTGGTTCAAGCGACGAGCAAAGAAGGATCAACAGGAGCTCATTAAAGAAAACGCTATAGAAATAGCTAGAAACTTACAGGTAAGTTGTGTATTGTCAGTGCAAAGTGCGAACGGTCACCAATTAACCCAACTTAAAAATGCAGGCACTGCGCGGCATTAACGACCCTACGGATAATTACCGCGACGACGATGACCCACGCGGACCTGGCTTCCGCAAAACCATTCAGCATCTCGAGAAACAGCGTCGGCGGAAGCAGAAAGTGGGAACACTGGATGTGGCTTTTAAGAAGCGTTTCCAGGAACTGAAATCGCAGGCTGTACGGAAGCGGTATCCCATGCGGACCATCGATCCGGAGACCGAGAAGGCCATGCATCAGCTTGTCGAAGAGCAGAAGCGCGTGGATAATCCCGATGTCGTGCGATCGCCCACATTAGTAGGCTTTGCTGTGGATCCTAATGGGAAGGATGTGGAGAAGGGTGATATGTTCGACACGGCCGAAAACAGACAGGGCCCGCGCATGGGTATGCGCAGCCGGCGCCGCTTGGAAGATATCTTCCACAATCTCACCGGCCACGAAGATCCCCACGATGGCTTCGCCAACGATGGATTCGACCCCTATGACCTCGGAGACGACACGGTCGGCGGGGATTTCGATCGGGACCGGCGCAGTTCATCGCACATCGTACAAGAGAATTCCGACAGTCCTTGGTTCGGAAAAGTGAGACACACACCGCGAGGAACCCCGAAAATGCCGAGAAGGTCACCTAGTTTGCATACCCTCGATCGCGCTTGATAGTCAGTTCCGGGTTGCTTTTTTTGTAAATGTGAGCGCTTTCCATAACGCATTGCATGTGTTAATCGTCCTAAGCCAGTGATATTTCATGAACTATGAAAAAACAATTCCCATTATGCTTTAATTCAGAGTCGCAAATAAAAACAAATCAATACTAGAAACCGAGGATAAAATTATTAACGATAAGTGATATGAAGAACGAAAACCCGAGGGAAATGTTTGTCGGTGAGATATTCCGCCGGCGAGCGAGATCGGACGATGGGATGAAATTTAATATCCTCCTACAAAGAATCAGCGACTCAAGAGGGAGTATGTAGGCAAATTGCCCAAAACACGTAGAAAATCAGGGATATCGCAAATAATACTACCGGTCATACTCAGTAAAATCGAATAAAACTTGTAAAAACTGAATTCTAAAGCAATTTCATTGTATTATAATATAAAGCATCTGACAACACAAAGTTAGTCTACCGATACACGAATACAGTAATACGTACGGTCGTATGTACCTTCCATGCGCGGTACAGCGATTCGCTCCAAGGCTTCGATGAGAACGATCGAGTTGCCTCTAACGACAACCATTCCCAAAGCATGCTTCTCGCCCTTTGTTCCCTCTTCCACAACCTGATCCACTACGAGATTCATGAAAGGGTCATATCCGCGCAAAATACCCTGCACGGCGCGTCCTCCATTCAGTCGAACTAAAAATATAGCAAAATTGCCGTCATCATACTGTAATGAGTGTAATCTTACGCCGGCATACACAACTCGCTATTACACAGCCATGCGCAAATGCAGCACAAACTGACTGAAGGCAAAATCTTGAACGTTTTAAAAAATTTCAATATCAATTAGATAACCCACTCGCAATTCGAGCCACTACTGACTGATCAGTGACTGGATGCTTACAGCGCAAAACTAATGCATATCACACCTCATTTATGAAATTTTATACCTTTGATTAATTTTAATTTTTAAGCAATAATTATCTGGCCTGAAATTTTATTCGATCTGTATAGTCAGTATAGTTCTCCTTTTCTGAAGAGTACTCAGCACTCAGCAGCAACGCTGACCACACTTACGGAGAACTTTCTTGTCCATGTACCTGAAAAATGAAAGGATCATCATTAAACAGTTGAACAAGTGACACTGGTCATTGTGTGAGTGTGCTGAAAACAAAGGCATGCAGAAAATGGGGGCGCAACAACAATTGTAATTCGATAAATACAACTAGGACTAGAGGAAGATACTGCTACACTATTTCTGTTTGGTGGTTTCTCTGCCTGTGTATACATTACTAACTTTTTTAGTTCCGGACGGCGAGCGCGATTCATTTTGTAGGTGATCCGGACTGCGATTCCACAACGCTTTATTCCACAACCAGGCTTTGCAATTGATGAAGATCCTTACAAACGGAAGCACCGCAGCACCCACACTTCAGAATTCAAATCCAGAATCCGCTGCAGGAAAATTCGAGATCCCACTTTAACCGAAAACCTTAGAAAAAAATGAAGCCAAAAACAGTTCCTGATTAAGATTTGACTATCAAGCAATTAAAGCAACCATAAACCATAAAAAACAAAGTTTTTGCTAAAAACGGAAAATGCGAGAAAACTCCGAAAACTCGCAAGCAGTAGCAAGGGGTTACGAGGACAGAACCGACGAAACACTCGATTACCCAAAGCTGCCTAAGCAGCACCCGCAGGAGAGTGGCAGCTGAAATTTTTTGATTCGTAATAAGATGCCTTTTCAAAAAAGTTTTCTGTATTTGAATTTTTAATTTTTCGATATTCATAGTTCATACATATGTATACCATTAACTGTGAGCGTTTGTAGTTATATGGCATGAAAGCTTTGTTCCCGGACGTGCGGAGCAGAAAATCGAAACTCTGTTTCAATAATCTCGATCATCCTGGAATTTGAAAATTGAGGGTGACTGATCTGGTTTCAGTTTCTTCCGGTGCGTCTCGCAATTATTGCTTTAAACATGTTAACTATCCTTGAGCCATCGAATGTTTATTCATCATCGTTATGATTGACTGAATCTCGTAATCGGATATAACACTGTACGGAGTGTATTCATCGTTTTATCCGACAAATTCGCGCCAACTTCGCGGTCGGTGATCTGATGCGACCCAGCTAGCGGTCGAAAAGGAGCCGTTTGCCTTTGCGGTGAAATAAAGTCTACGTCCCGTATCTATCATGATGTCGGAAAGTGCCCGAGAAGCAACACGGAATTTTAAAGATTTTATGCGGATGTACAATGAACTGACCGAAACCTGTTTCAGTGTCTGTGTCGCTGAACTTGGACAGCGCAACTTGTCCGCCGTAGAAGAGGACTGTGTTTCCAAGTGTGCAGATAAGACAGTTAAGCTTAACCATAAAACGATGGAGATATTTATGGAAATGCAGCCATTGATGCTGGAAAAACGCCGTCAAGAAGCCGAAGCAGCTCTAGCAGAAGCGGAGAAAAGCAGTAATAATGCATCAAACGACAGCACGCTTCCAGAACTAGCAGCCACGCAGCCACAACCGGAAGAAGCCATCATTGCAGCTGCTGCAACTTCGTAGCCGCAAAAGCGTACCTGTTTTCTTCTCTTGTTCTGAGCATTTCTGGAAGTGCCTGAAATGGCTGCGGAATGCTTTTGTTAAAATAAGTGTCTGTGAGGGGTGTTTTTTTATCATTTTTACTTGTGTTTTTAATGCAGTTTGGCCTCAAAGCGTACCAAAAAGAAATGAAAGTGACAGGATTTGAAAATTGTGCGTCATATATATTTTGATAACATACTAGCATGCAAACTATACTTATCATACGGTCGCGTCGGTGTACAGGAAATAAAAAATGTTGTATGATAAACAAATGAAGCTATTCCTAACGCTTACAGAAATAGTTTTCATTATGTTCTTGATTTAAACAAATTTTATTTTGAAAATATGAATGAAAGGAACACCGGAAGACTTCGAAATGCAGTTCTTTCAGCCTGTTTAGCTCAAATTTTATCCGAGTTTAGGATTTAGCCTCTGTAGCATAGTGGTTAATGCGCCGTACTTATAAGCAGTATTGGCCCATGAAACTGCTAAGTCATGCGGATATCGCGAGTTCAAACCTCGCCAGAGGCAACTTTTTAGTCCAGCTTCGCAGTCCCGATAATAGTTTTTGATGGATTTTGAATTTAATGACTTGTTCTGAGTCTGGTATAAGCAACAGAATGCAAAGAAAGCTAGTGAATTAATTTTTCTCAGCACAGGTGGGAATTACGCCATACATCACGCACATACATTTACCGAAGCGGCATAGGAGATCTAGATGCAGAGGGTGCATCTGGAAGCCGAAGCTAACAATTTGAACGGTCAACGCTGACCACAATGCATGAAGTTATACATATAGTAATAATTAATGTTTGATAATCATAAATTTTCCGATTTGCGAAAGCTATCGTGTACTGTAACATACTGTACTACTGCCTCCCTCTGATATGGGATGTGACAGTTTGTGACACGTTCGCTACTTCGTATATAGCTGGTTGTTCAGAAGCAGCGGGATCGGCTGCTGAAGACGCGGAACTGCGGAAGCGAACCCTTTATTCCGAACTCACTGATCGGTATTTTTTTCAGCCAGTGGCTCTCGAAACTATGGGAAGTTGTGAAGAAAGTACCCACCAGTTCATCAAAGAAGTCCGCCGGCGTATCAAAGAACAAACCCGAGAAGCGCGCGCTACTCAGTATTTGTGGCAACGTATAAGTGTGGAAATTCAGCGCTGAAACGCGGCTTCTGTCCTAGGGACGGTCGGGTGTTCTCGAGAGTTAGAAGAGTTATTGTACTTGTTCTAATTATTGGATTTTTAAAGTTTGAATGTAAATGGCACTGGCTTGTACAAGTTGATAATAAAGATACGGACTGCGGAAGCAGCGTATATTACACAATACACGTTCCAGTATAACAGCTAAGAAACAAGTAGGACCGCAAACAGATAAAAATCGTTATGATGGATTTATATTTTATAACAACATTAAATCACTCACATGCAAAAGTAAATGTAAAAGTACACTAGGAAATATTGTGTATCGATAAAAGACTAGATGAAGTTTGCTAGATATATGTCGAGATGATAATTATTATAATTAGACACCACTAGTGCAATGTGCATTATGAATAAATCATTCTATAAGTTCGAAATTTGTGAATGTACTTAAAGATGTTGTAAATATCGCTGTACAGGTTGGTCATTAAAACTTTAAAAGGATGCCCCACTATAACGATCGATGGTATTAAGTTCTGAAATGAACGCAAGTAGAATATCCGTATTTTATAAATGAGTTTAACGATATTTGCGTAGCTTCTATCTTATTTTGAATATAGGGCACCAGATAAGTCCTGGGTGCATGCAGTAATCCAGTCGTTTAACGTTTGTTTTACAACTGTTTTATCGGTGTATATGTTTATGGCTAGCCAGGTAAGTCACGGCAAAAACATATCCACCATCAATGGACGCAATACAAATGGTATTACGATGTGGAAAATGCATATACAGTAAATATTATCAGAGTGGTCAATGGATCGGTATTTTTTGCTGTTGCAGTCTTACTGTTGTACGTTCGTGTTCGCAACATATATTTTGCCGCTGTTAGGAATATGGCAAGCTAACATCATTTTTCTTTTCGTATTGTTGCACTGCATTATAGAGAAATTTCGTCTCCATCTAACGATCAGTGTTAACATATATTTTAACTTTCTTGCTTCTGTCTCAGTTAAAACTGCAACTTTATATCATGGTTTCCACACAGTGGTAAAACAGAAATGTGCAGCAAATTTTACCAACAATTTCTGCGGTGGAATGGCAGTGAAAGTTCTCTTGCAAAATGCTTTCGTGCAACTGCGTGCATGCAGATCGTATCTGGACTGGCATTGATGATTTTTGGTATTGCAGGTACGTAATGGCCACACAAAAGTCACAATTAGGTAGACGATGACGCAGCTCTTGTTTGAACGCGACTGCGTATGTAATATTCTTACAATAACTTCACAAAAATATTGAACATAATGTTCTTTGTCCCATGCAGACTGCTTTAAAAATTAACACCCACTTTGCTGAATCGTTATCCAGACGCTGCAGTCCAGCCGGAAGAAAATCACATCGAACGGATTGTGGCAACATCCGTGTTCAGCGTGCTGACGTCGACCGGCGCCGGATGTGGTCTAGTGTCGTTGTGCATCGCTCAAGTTTCTAGTTACCGACTCCTTCAGCTATTCCACTTGTCGCTGAACCTGTTACTCCTTCCGGGATGTGGTTTTTATATGCTGCTCTTGCGTCGTATAATAGAGGACACCAATGCTAAGCTGCTGCAGCCTTCCTGGACGTATGAGGAAAAACAGGAAGAAATTGGCGTACAGCGCATTCGTTATGTGCTGCTAGCGTTGCACGGGCTAATTATTTCTCTTCAAATGGCTGCCGGCTTTCTCAACTGCATAATTTTATGGAGATTTCCCGAATCAATGCGGCATGTGAGGCTGAGCAAAATAACTGGAAAGGGAAGCATGGAAGCCGAGATTGATCCAGATATCAAGCAACTTTACGCAACTATCTAACAGAGCAAAATTCGACCATGATTAAAGCACTGCTGTGGTTAAACGTTGGTGTCACTACATATTTGTGTAAATTGTACTACGATAATAATGAGCAGTCAGCTGCACGGACTTTTTTGACGTGTCTTCCTCTTTTTGATGCTAAATAAAAGCACAATTTATATCGCTGTTATGTTAAATTAAGTAATGCAATTCTGTAATACACCCGGTTTTTCTGCTTGAATGTGCATAATACGTCCTAAGAGGAGAAGCAATTTCCTTTCCGTGTCGTCGAAGATACACATCAGTTTTTCAAAACAGTTACCAAAATATTATACGATTCTTATACAGACTCTGTACATGCTGCCAACAATAATAAATTTATGATTGGTCGAAAAATCAGCTGTAAATGTGTAGTATACATACAAAATTTTGTCAAGACTGCGCATGCAAAAAATGCATGCACGTTTTTTTAAAAAAATGAAGAATTTTATTTTTTTCGACTGTCATGCATGTTTGTATGTAGGAATCTTGTACAATAGCAAAGGTGAACATTCACAACCATTAACAGGGGAAAGTGTGTAATGGTATCGAATTCTATCGATGCCGTCGCCAAATGTAATCAATCTCGAAATCGAAAAACAGTCAGGAAACTCGATCAGAACAGATTGTAACAGTAGGAATGCTATATAGAATGCAGGTGATGTTGAAGCCTGACATTTTGCAGTAATAAATCCCGCGCACGCTACAAAAACTCAATTCAATAATATGAGTCCAATATGCGCTGCTTCGAATTCTATCGACTATCGATCTCTTCGAGAAAAAACTACCGTTGACGTCGAAGTGGCATTCATGGGGCTGATAACTACAAAGTTTTGTTTAAAAATAGAAACGGTCGGTTTCTTAAATTGTTTTTGTGTGGTCCAGCCTGTTGCCATTCTGCCATTTTGCGCTGCTGTTTCCGTATTACGTCGTTGGCAAGTACAAAATGAAATCCTACAAGGCACATGCAAAGCTGCGAGCGCACGTCTGGCCGAAGTCAACAATATGCCATAATTACCGGCACAATTCAATTTACTCAACCATCAACTGCGCTGAATGTAGACCGGCATCTAATCGATAAAACCAGCCAGGAAATCTTGACCCGACAAAATGGGATATTGTGATAGGTAAGGATTTCACGAGCAGGAACGTTACACGCGCCGGCGCAGCTGCATTTCCATACTTGTACGTATGTATACAGATCGTATGGGAAAGCGATAGGACTACTTTGTCCCGGTTGACTTGTAAGGCACACCCTATAGCTTTTAAGAGCGGCGGCTTTGTAAACTACAAGGAACATTTACGTAGTTTTGAAAATCAATGGCTAGTGCAGCCGACACGATGGATTTATTACTCAATATGCATATCTAAAGCATTAAAGTGCACGACAACGACAACATGCAATCATGCATCCTCTCTTCCTGTGAGCAGGTTGTTTTATGAGCTCGTAACTGTTTTATTCGCGCAAACTGCAGATTTTGGACGGAAACAATATTGGAGATTTTTGCATAAAACAAGAGAAGTATTGGAAACGCCGTTTTCATGGGTTTACCGTCATCCAGTAATCAGGCACACATAACCGGCAATATTGACGAGCGGCAATTGTCCCACAGTGCTTTCCAAAGAATGACTATTGTGTGAATGCGTTACTCCTGTGATCACACAAATTACTAGCTTACCCAACAGTTTTTGTGTAAAGCGGTTTGGCAAAGCGATGGGAAATCGAGAAGGAAAACTATCCAGCCGCGTTGGAGATTCCGATATACCAGGAGCATGCAAACTGAAAAAGTCGGATATGGACTTTCTGAAGGCAAACACCACATTTGATGAAGCAACAATATCGGAGTGGTATATAGAATTTATGGTAAGTACAGCAAACTGCCTTGCAATCTGACGTTGTTTGCCTAAAAATTTGTGTGCATGTACTGTGTGAGTACGAACACATCAACAAGTGGGCACAAAATCCTGAGTTTTCTTTTAACAGCTGACACAGGTATATTGTGATTAATGCTGCAGCAGGCCGGTAACATGGGCGATTCACAGTTTCACACAACTGCTAAGTGCAAACTATTACCACAGGAAGAATGTATATTTGTATACATTCTTATATTTTGTATACATTTTTTGTATACATAACCTAGGGATAACTTTTTATACAGGTGTCCGTAAAATAAAATACGTAGATATAAGCTTTCGATTTCATATTGTTGTACTTATTAGAATACACTCTGGCTTGGAGCATGATTATATTTATTTATCATACTCTTATGATTTTATTAACAAATATTATAACAATAATATTTTCTACAATTTCTAAAAGTTTTAGTGCTATGGTTCATTCGGTCATGAAAGTGGCTGCGATTAAATTATCAGGAGAAAGCACAGCTATTTGCAAACCATGCTGCCATTTGCATTCAAAAGTTCTGAATATTCTAAAATTCTATTAAAGTAAATACTGATCGCTGATTCGTCTGTAAATGTAAGCGTTGACATCGTAGAGTGCTTTCGTTGTCGCTTATATATCGGTTTTAACTTATATTAGGCATGCAAAGCAATTTTAGTGCAACAAATATCGGTTTCTTGCACAAGTGCATTGAATATTTATACTAATAAGCAATTAAGGAGGAAATATAGCTTTCATGCTATAAGTGCAACATCTTTACCAAGAGGACGATATATTTTGCCTCCTATATACTTATAATTGCTAGTGTTTGTTTGTGAAAGATAATTATATCATAATCATGCCATACTATATTCCTTATAATATATGCATATGCCATAAAGAGGCTTGCTTGCTGTATGTTTATGTTTCATGATCAGCACAATAATTACATCACGAATCAGCAACGCACAGGTCGTTAGCGGTGGTTATTTACGATCATGAGCAACAACTGATTACCTTCCATTGGTATTTTTTTGTTGGAAAATCTTTGCAGCGCACAAATGTGACAAGTGACAAGCGCTTTAAATTTGTTTGTGCTATCCCTCGCAAATCATCATAACGATTATAACCGTGATCGTAGCGTAGCGATCATTTATAGTAAAGGAAACAAGGAACTAAACTGATTACAACGGTTGCATGTCGGCTGGTGCTTTTTAAGATGGTTAAGTTTTTGCATTTACAAGTGTAACCACAATTGTTTACAGAGAGACTGCAAAAACGGAAAATTATCCCCTCAGAAATTTATGGAAGTCTACGAAGTTCTGTGTCCGGGTGGAGAAGCGAAAGCCTTTGCGAAGCATGCCTTCCGCACGTTTGACAAAGACCGCAACGGTTTTATTGATTTCAAAGTAAATTTAAATAAGAGCTTGTATTAGCAAAATTATTTCGTATATATCAGAATTTGCTAGTTAGTTTCTGTTTCAAGTTAGAAGGGTTTGTCGGAACTCAGGCAGTTATGGTGTAAGGTACAAAGACCGCACCGGATACTGCGAAATCGCAGTCAGATCCTACATGTAACATGAATTATTAATACAACTTTCACTATGAAACCAAAAAACCTGTACCAGTGTCACCGGTCCCATCAAAAGCGAAAATTAATCAGGTTTATTTTACAGGAGTTCTTGATGGCCGTAAACGTAACATCATCGGGAACAGTCGAACAGAAGCTGAAGTGGGCCTTCAATATGGTAATAGCTCTTTAAAAATCCCAAATTTATTCATCAACTGTCAGCAAAATACCATAATTTCATTGATACGCTGGCATATAGCTCTTTGAAGTGCTAGTGCCGCGGGCAAAATTTCATTAGGAATGACCTTTCTGTTGCAGGTCGACATTGATGGAAATGGAACCATTGAACTGAATGAGATGGTCAAAGTCATAGCGGTAATGACTGCAATTTATCTATTTCAGGCACCTATAAGTAATGCGTTATTACATGTTCATATCACTGTGCCGTCCTGTTTAATATCGCTATGACGTGCTATATCTTCAAATCAAAGTTATAAGTCTCATAAGCTTTTTTTCACATTTTAATATCTCAGAACTCTATATATAGTACCTCAATCTGAAAAAGTTACATAGTTAAGTACTATACTTCGCATATTTTTAATCACACCGATTCACACGGTATAAACCAAAGGGCTGATGGTTTGCATACTTACAGTAAATAAAATTGAAAAAACTGACAGTTGATAATTTCGATACAACTATACTTTTTTAGTTTTTCCATATAAGTACAGTAATTCCGATAAAAAAACAAGGGTTTTCTTATAATTTTATTAAATCGGAACATTTCCTTTTGAAACTCGAGATCTTCAATGTACACCTGCGTTCATATTTTCAGTTGTGCACTAATACTACTTCTGTTCTACTATCTACAGCATAGTTGTGTACAGCAGGTAATTTTACTGTAGAACACATTGCTTTTTACTGTATGCTTTTTTCCGTAGAATGTATATTTTAGCATAATCAAAATTAGTTCAATGGACCTGATGGTTTAGCATGCGCAGTACTGCATAACGAAAGCTACGGAAAGAATTCATGTTGATATGCGTGCCGGATGGTGCTAATCGTTTTAAACGTCTTTATTTACAGGCGATACAAGAAATGTCAGTAGCTTTAGCAGCTTCTCGTACCCATTCCTCCTCCACAACCAATCCTGTCATCCAAGCAGCCTCGACGCTTAATCCTACCGAACGTGCCAAGCAGATTTTCTCCCAAATGGATGCCAATCACGACGGCATCCTGGATGAAAAAGAGTTCATGAGCGGATGTATGAACGACCAATCTCTTGTGCAAATGCTGCTCATGAGCGGCAGTTTCACCTGAAAGTGATTTTTCTCTTTCCGACAAATTTATTTAAGCATAATATGAAAACTTAATGCACAAAATAAATGCCAGTAGCCATATACACGTATGTAGTAAATGTCGAGCTGCATGCCGATATACCGCAGATGCTGCATAAAGATATAAAATATATTATCGACACGTACCGTCACGTATATATAAAAGTTATACAAAGCTCTGATGTTCAAAACAAAGGTCATCAGAATGAAATTTTATCACAGGTGAGCAAAGCTTTCATACGTATTGTTTATTTGCACATAGTTTGCGCATCGGTTGTCTTAATAAAATACTTGAATAAACGAAAAAAGCAAGCACTGTACAAAATTACATTACGGCTGAAAAACGTCGTGAACTAGCGTAAATAATTTGGCAAATTGGATAATAAATTGTTTGCTTATAAAAAAATGTGATCACTTAACCAAAATTTTAAACTTGCCATAAACCTTAAATTACTCAATATGTTTTCAAACCGACTGCAATTATTGTTTTCTGATTCTGTATACACACTACGATGTGATGTTAATTGTTTTCTGTAATATATATTTGGGGAAGGCTCCGCACACCACGTTTCACCACCAAAGTCTTCGCACACCACGAAACACCACCGCCAGGCTCCGCACACCACTTTTTATCATTTTTTAATTTTTTTACAAAAACCACCGAAATCTTCGGACACCACCAAGGGCAGAGTGCACACCACCACAGTCTCTGCACACGACTATTTAAAACAAAATCAATTAATTGTTGTTACGGGGGGAGAAAAAGACAGCTCTTTCGTCTCACGGTCTGGCTTCTCTTTTTTGATACCACTCGTTTGCCTCCGCTTCCGTTATAGTAGCAAATTTTTCGGTTTACAAACTTGCCGAACGCAAGTTGTTTTTGTTTGCGGATGGTTGCTTGCCGCAACCACATGTTTTCTGCTGTGCTTACCTACTTAAGAAGCGCTTATGTACTTACTTTTTGCTGTGCTTACTTAAGAACTTTCTGTGCTTACTTACTTGCATTACGCATGCTGTACTGTATAGTAAAGATTTGCGTTGCGCTATATTGAAACCCAAAACATTGTAATTTAGATACAACGTATTTTAAGCAAAGTACTACCTGCTGTACACACACGAAAAATACAACATTGCTCATATTAGTCATATATACGACCGAGCGCTGTATGTTTCCGAAACTACGAGTATAAGGTGGTGTCCCGAGACTGGCGATATTTTTAAATATATATGGTGGTGCTCAAAAATGGTGGCCCGAGACAAAACGTGGTGCGAACAGTGGTGTGCGCAGCCTGGTGGTGGTGAAAGGTGGTGCGCGGAGACTTTGGTAGTACTAAAACGTGGTGTGCGCAGCTTTCTCCTGTATATTTTGTCTTGCAGTAGCTAGTGAACGAAGAAATACCAGTATGACATATCCGAGTATGAAAAACTTACTCACAATAAGAAAAATATAAAATGTAAATAAAAAATACTAAGCATCTATATACTTATATATATATATATATATATATATATATATATATATATGCTATATATATATATATATATATATATATATATATATATATATATATATATATATATATATATATATATATATATATATATATATATATATATATATATATATATATATATATATATATATATATATATATAAATAAATATATATATACTAATGAACTATACTCGTATATAACGACATGATGAGACCACTCGACAGAAAACTGCAATTGCAATTACATTATATACTCATAATAACTTATTATATCATGAAAGTCATTATATCATTCTTTATAACGTTCGTTTTCTTCAGAAGAATCCTAGAGAATGGAAGCAGCACTGCAGAATAAAATAACTTTATACAAATCTTGTCTTTTACGAAAATAAATTGCTGTGACGCTAGCGGAGTGGTCCATTTTTCACCAGCATAAGCCTTGTTTTTGAATTTGTTACTGATTTCTCAAACGCGTATTGAAAGCTATGAGTAGGATAAAAAGTACTGGGTACTTTTTTTCGGGTAAACTCGGACGCTACTTCAGGCTCTTGCGTTTTGTCCAACTTTAAATTTGTCAAGCAAGGATAAAGAAGTAGTTTGATTTTCATAGGAAACCCAACCAAGATCTCGCCAGTTTGCCGTGTATTATAAAGTAACAGTAACTTACTACTGTAGTAACTACAGTAGTAAGTAATTGACGTATGATTGTGCAACTTATAGTGTTTCTCAACACAGCGCCACAGACATCGATGGTATTCCATGCTATGTGAACAAGTACGGAAATTGATAACTGATCAAGTTGTAACACTGTTTAATGAAGACCGTAGCAAATTTTCAGGTATCTTGTCACACATTTCTCGGTGAGCAAAATCCCTTAAATTTTAGCAGCTGTTGGGTCGAACAAATACGTCGAGAAAAGATACTTGTAGTGTCTATACGAGTAGGCATGGTTGCCACTTGCCGGTTTGGAAACGCATTTATGCTTTGCGGATAATTGCAATATAATGCCTTATAATAAAAATTCATTAATCTTTTCAACAAAGGCGATAAATGGAAGCAGTGACTGTATGTCAGTGTTTAATATTGTATAATATTGTAGCCTATAGTCGTAGTACAAAACTTGAAATCTTGGGCAAAGGTCACTTATAAAATCCTGGGCATCCGATAGACTAAAAAAACTGCAAAAATCTGAAAACAATAACAGCCAAAAGTTAGCACTAATCGAATAAAAGCAATTTCATAGGTACAAATGTGTATAGAAATCGCTCATATAATATTATCTTTAAGTCTTTAACTATAGAAGTACATCAATCTTGTTTCGAATTGCCACCTGTTTTAGGTTATGGCCTGCATCTATTGATGTAAATACCTACTTTGTCTAGAACTAACACTTTTTCTGGACCTGAAAACTGTGCCGGCCGAAGAAATTATTTAGTTAAGCATAAAATTTAGTTTAATTAGCCTCATGTTTTCATAACGTTAACCCCTCTGCAAAGTAGGGGATGTCTTTATAATTTCGAGTTGCGGAACCACAGGAGTAATTTAATTTGAAGCAGCTGGCTGTGTTGCAGTTTTTGTCGCATTTGAAATTTGTAGTCTATAACAAAACCTGCGAATTTCCTGCTAACAAATAAGTGCCGTTAAGTCCTGTATGGTGGAGTCTGGGTGCGCTGAAAACACACACAAGTTTCAAAGTCCATTTATACAAGTTAACGAAGCTGTTAAGAAATGCAAGATCGGCTAGAGTAGTTATAATATTATCATTACGCCAGCTTTGTTTTATGCAGATACTTGCAGGTCTTTAATACATATTTTGCTTGCAGGTACTTACGGAAAATCATTGACCACCATATTTGTGGACCACGGTTTATTGCTACTCTAATGATCTTTACCGTATTTGCCCTTGTCAAGTGCATTTGTATTGACATCAGTAGTAGTTAATAATGTGTTAAAATTTTAACACATTACTGAAGTGCATGTTTGTGCTGACCCTGATTTTTTCTGTTCGCCGGTCTCCTTAATTACGTCACAACAAGAGTACGATGGGCCTACAAATGCCCAGGCAGCAAATTATAATACTACTGTACAAGCCGCTCGTACTAAGCAGTCAGTCATGCTTGAATGTGTACCGTGAAATGTTTTTGCAGCGGATATTGCCGTTGGTTAAACTTCATGGAAAATCTGCTAATTAAACTTCATGTGCGCGGCGCGGTCATTTCAGTTTATGTACGCACCAGTAACCGGCAAACTTGCACTCGTTTCATTACAGAACGCTACACGGAAGCTGTGCAGTCTGTGGTGTAACATGATATTTATACAATACACACAGAATCTTCACAGTATGCGACTCATGATTCATGAAGGATGAGAGCCAGCCGCGTTATCGACTGTTTTTTTTGCTGTTGAAATCAATTGAAAAACATCATGAAAAGAGCTGATGTCTATTGCCTACCACCCACTTTGACCAGGACTATAATATATATGTATACTCAGTTCTATTGCAAAATGCGCGCGCGGCACATTTTCCAGTAACGAGCGGAAATGCGCTTGATGAACTGAACAAAGGGTTGCCAACACTTCGTCGTATTGCCCGTAACCCTGGTTCTTGTTTGATCGAGCAACATAATCAAATGTTTCACAGTTATTCAACAGCGGAAAAAAGTCTGTTTTCCATAGGTTGCTTATGGTGCAAATTCGGGGAAGTCTTCATGGTCAGATATTGCATCCGAACCATAAGAATAACCTATATAGATTTGCGATTGACCCCGGATTAGATTGCATTGGTTCGGCGGGCACATGACATATGTATGCATATTAACATGTCGTAAATCTGTCTAGTGATTACTATTTAATTATTTACACACGCAGAGTGTTTAAAACAAACTCAAACATTTTTGACTACTTAAACTGCATCTTTCCATGCTGTCTGGATTTTCTTTTTATATTTGGAAAAAATTTCTAATTAGATATCAGCGTGTCTCTGTCTCACGAACTTTCAGCTCACAGTCAATAGAATGGCTCAATTGTCATAAGCTCGATAAGTTGATAACCCGATCTTTGTTACCAGTTTAGAACAGTTGACACGTGCACAATTCCGAAATAAACGTTAATGTAAAATACAAAACTAATTCTACTCATAATGACTATTGTTCGGAATGGTCGCTACTAAGAAGGTGACAGCAAAACGTTACACAAATTAATGTGCTCCACGCAAAGCAAGTGTCGGTGCGTGAAGAACGTTAACGAGGGAAAAGACTGCGCACCGGAAATGGAATCATTAAATTACCAGTTCAGTTACCTATTGCACAATAATATTTCGAAAACGCATGCGGACTTGTAAAGCTGTCGCGTCATAGTGCGGCCCACAAGGGCGTGCCCAAGAGAAAATGTTGGCAAGCATGATGCGCGCGCCGCAATCTGTCACTCGTTGAGATCCTAAACGAATGTTGAAAAGAGCAACAACAGACCATGTGAGCTGAGTTTTTGCAGGATATATAAAGCCTGGATGCTGCAGCTGTAAGTGTAGTTGCCAGTTTTGCTCATGTCGATCGAAATTTGATCAACGCTTAAAAGATTTGTTCGTATGTTCCTAATGAGTTATCAGCGAGATACAGCGGTGTATTATGCGCTTATCCTTACAGTTACGTGTACCGATATGCCTTATTAGCGTTTGATGCAACAGTGCAATAGTCGGCAAACGAGGTTTCTAGTGCACAAACCCGGTGCCATACAGGCTACAGTAATTGCTACTTGCTGCTACTGCGTACTTTTATTGCGATCAGATTCATTGCCATCTGAATCCAGATTGCGTGCGGTTTTGCGAGGAATGGTACTTGAAGAAAATTGTTTTCTGTCGCCAGTGTTTATACATCGGTGTACCAGTGCTTGTCATCTAACGCACGCACGGACCGCATTTACAAGCGGCAGCTTGGGAAAAGTTTAACAGTTCAACCAACCCGTCAATACAATCTTTACTATTTCCATTGGTTTACTTCACTATAGAATACATTCTGTACTCTTTATATACAGAATCGATTTTTATATGATCTGAGCTTCGGCGGTGGCGGCGGCTAAACTATGGTTTTGTTTGAGATGTGTGATTACGCGGATCTGAGGGGAAGTGATGTAGTAGTGGAAAAGTATGCCGTGATGGATACCGTGCTTCCCTCGCTGGAAACGAAACCCGCGACACTACCGCGTGCTAATGAGGAATTTGGCGCTCTGGAATTAGACCACATTGTCAGTCCTATTGAAATCACCGTGCTGCAGCTACTCCCGGATTTCGATGGGACATTCGCGGATATTACGTCCGAGAATGGAATGCAGGATGATATCGTTTCCTATACGTCAGAGGAGTTGTTTGATCTGCAGAAGGATATTATTATGGATGAGGAGAATGCCGAGCTGACAGAGGAATTTCTACAGGAGCCCTGTTTATTACCGGCGCTGGGCATTTCGCCGGCGGTCGTGCAGCGGATCCGTTCCGATTCCCTTGGCAAGTCGGATTTTTTAAAGAAGAAAAAAGAGGATGACGACACAGACACGGATAGCTTATGGGAATCCTGTGTCCCCACCCTACTCGGTCGGCGCTCCCCGCGGTAAGCACAGTTGTGGGCTCATGTTCGTGTTTGTATTTATGACCGCGTTTGCCGTAGAAGTAAATATACTCGCGATTAATTGCACTACACCAGCCGCTGTGTTACGTCATGCTTTAAACATACAAATACGCCTGCGCTTGCTCATATCCAGCATACGACATGAATCTATTTTTGGTGATCCCGCCATCTGGGAGCAGACGTTAAACGATAAAATCGTACGCAGAAACCGCAAGCCGCAATAAATAGCTTTGTAAATTAAATATCTACAAAAATTGATATTTCTTGATATTTCTTCTCATTGATATTTCTTCTCATACTTCGCATTGACATTAACAACCTTAATAAGCAAGTAAGCACAAGGAGCCAAAGAGGTAGACCTTGTAAATCAAATAGATATTGCCAATAAAATATATTGTACACGTATTATTAAAACAGGAACACCTAAACAGTGATGCAAACAATAACTACAATTCTTTGCATTTTTCTGGGTGCACGCTCGCTATAAATTACTTTAATTGTCATCTGCAAATTAATAAATTGCTGACGCCAATGTCGTATATATAATTAATGGCTTAAGCCGTTTAGTTAACAAGATGTTTTTTCACAGTACACATTTCCGATTTCATAAAGCTATGAGAATGGCTCTCACTAATGCGGTTATTCAGATTTTGTCATGCACAGTGTATTGTGCACCCGGCAATGGAAAATGTAATTTTCTCCATAATTCAATTGCTTTGTAGGGTGTTGTCGAGTATGTGTGTGTTAATTTGAGTTTCGCTGACCTCTGAGTGCCATTGAAAACTAATGTTATTTTCTCCGTCGGCAACAGACTCTCCCTTTCGCTGGATGGATTCATCGTGCTCCGGGACTATAAAATCTCTCCCGATACATTAGGTAATTCAGATTTTAGAAGTTTTTGCAATCTTTTACCTACAAAATTAAACCAGGATTCGATGCAGAAATTCTGTTAATTCCTGTGCAGTATGTACTCACGAAAAACAGTTTAGTCAGGTTTGCTAATTGCTAATAAAGATCCAAAAATACCCTTTACACCAAAATACCAACACTGCCGTATCAATTAAACAGTGCGATCTCTCCCTTAGGCGGCGGAAAGCTTAGCGAAGTGCGTCTCGCCTACTGTGAGAAGGACCGCACCCAGTATGCCGTTAAGATCCATTCCAAAATGAAACTGCAGAATTACAATTTGCTATTACGGTATGCGCACATATTCATGTTGACCTTCTGCTGTGAAAAATCCTTCCGCTCGCGTCGTTACGCCGCATTTCATGCGCATTGTCTCTGCAGGACTTCGCGAAACCCCTTGGAGGAAGTCTATAGAGAAATTGACATCCTGAAAAAGCTGGATCATCCAAATATCATTCGGCTTATTGAAGTTGTTGACGAGGCTGACGATGATAATATTTACATGGTCTTCGAACGGTTGGACCACGAGCTTATGAACATTCCCTCAGGTAAAGGGCGCAGCCCACTTTGCCTTTGCTAATATTTACATTTGGTGACATTTTGCTACTTTACTCATTTGTGGCATAAGTATTGAATTAGAAAAAACAAAGTTTGATATGACCGGAGTAATTTTTCTCTGCATTACAATAGCTGTCCTGAAGAAAGCAGTATTAAAAATGTGCAAGCAGTTACTTGATAATTAAAAGCGTAAAGGGTCGGTTAATAATTCGTGGTGTTACTAGCGTATTAATAGTGCCGGATTCTTAGTGTTGATCATACAGATTATTGAGATTGTTTTGTACGGTTGAAAACTTCCTATAAAAATGGCAAGTTACGGGTATTTTTATCTGAAAGGTCACCGTCGCTTCCCTGTGGTATACGGCACTATACAGTATACACAGTGTACGGCTTGTACTAATGAAGAAGTTTTGGCAGCCATATTAAATAGACAAACTCAAGCAGTTTATGAGAATTGGAGTTAATTTGCAGAGCTCCATCAGTGCTACTTAAGAAGCGTAAACAGTAACTTAATGGGCGTTAAATTTGGCTGCCGACAATGAAACCTCGTTGCCTGAAGTATGTCAGTGAGTAATGCATTTTCACCACACGCTGTAATCAGCATGGTCCTGTTATGGTTTTTCGATATGTGCCGGTTGAGACCCTCGACTGACTGAACAAATACAGAATTTACCATTTACGAGGTACTTGTTTGTACAAGTTCAGGCGGTTTCCGATGTATATTTCCGCGAATGCAAACCCCAGAAAGTATGCCACGGTGATGCTCACGCTCGTTTTTCATTTCTGCGCTGCGCTATCAGAATGCCAAATCAACGTTGTGGAATATAACTTCCGGCGATTGCGGCTTTACATAAATTCCATTGTGCACATACATTATCATGGAAATTAAATTGGTGCGCTTACAACAGCATTTATCACTTTTGCTAATCAGAGAACGGAAAATTTCTGGGCGCAGAAAAAGGTTAATACAAGGACAATTCCCTACTCATTTCTATAATTGATATCACCCATGTGGCAAAGACGATTGTGCGCACATGACAGATGATAATAATAGTTTGATATAATTTTCAGCGGTGATTTTTAGCTCGTTTTATTATAACCAGGATGCTTAAGCGTTAGCGTATCGTTGTTGCGCAGTATGACTATCTACAACGGTAATTCACAATACGGTAGATGCTGCTCGAGTTGTCACCAGTAACATTAACTAAAGCTGAAAGTATATTTACATATATATTGTGACAATATGTATTTAAATTTCCAAATGGTGGCTGTGTTTTGTGGTGAATTTATTCACAGCCGTCTTTGTTTTTTAGATACCCCGTTTGGTGAATCTGAAGCACGAAAATATTTTAAAGATATTTTATTTGGTGTGGAATGTATGCACCAGCAAAACATTGTTCACCGGGATCTAAAACCAGAAAACATGCTGGTTTCCCGTGACGGTCAAATAAAGATTGCTGATTTTGGCTTTTGCGAATATCTTTGTCCCGATCCGAATGGAAGCGATGAGATGATGGCGTTATGCATTTCGGGTACACCGGCATTCACCCCACCGGAATGTTTAAATAACCAAAAAACCCTTGTGCCTGGACGTGGACTAGATATGTGGTCACTAGGAGTGACCTTATATGCACTGTTAACTGGGAGTGTCCCATTCAAAGGCGAGACCATGGTGCTACTGCACGATACTATTAAAACCTCTGCAGTGGAATTTCCACCGGGTTTGCATCTTTCGGAATCCGTGAAGGATTTAATTTGCAATCTACTCAACAAGAGTCCATTAAAAAGATACCGAATGGACGACGTTAAGCGCCACCCATGGCTGGATGAAAATACTAGTCGACCCGTAAAGCTGTTACTGTCTGTGGGATCATTTAATGAATCGGTGGATGAGGTTTAAGGCAGATATGTTTTTGGATGAAGATTCGTATGTTTTCTCCTTTGCAATTTGCACACAGTAATAATTTCTCAATTTCCTAGTCACATCTATTTTTAAATGTTTTTGCTTACTGTTTTACGCTGTAAAAAGCTGCAGTTTTTGCGCAGAATATTTTTACATGTTAGGCGTGTGCTCAGTGAAGAACGTTGATGCTGTATTAATCCCTTTGCGCTTTCGCATTTATCTGAATGTGAACCGGTGTAGATGGTTGTGTTAAATATCTTTAATTCTGCTGCACAGTGCACAGTCTGAATAAGTGACTTCACAGTTTGTGATAATATGGAATAAAAAAGCGCTACTGTTGAACCTTTTTTGGTGACAATTGCGATGCTTAAGCGAATAGAATCAAAAGCGCGCGACGCTTCATCTCCACCATAAGAAATTTTCTCCTTTCCCTTGAAATTTTGCCACGAAATTTTTCAAGCATATTAATTATTAATAAATTTCGGGCAGTAGTTATACGCTCTTGCAATATAGCAGACTAAATGTAAACTTACTGTTAATATATGAAAATGGTGCTTGTCACGTCTACTGGGCTCAGCCGGAAGAGTGGCATGAAAAATGGCCCTGATTTCCATATGAAGTGAATTATACATACTAATTATTAACGAATACTCGGAAGCGTGGCCGCAATAGCATTTTTGGCACTAACGTCCAGCGCAAAAGCGCTACCCGTATAAATAATGGGTCGATGATAAGCTAGTTCAAGCGTTTTATTTACAAAGACCTGTCTGGCGCGTTACTACGTACGCACAATTCTACGTCGTACCATGTGCCGCTCGACAATAGACTTGGCGAACAGGGCCAGGGCCGCACAGATTTTTCCTACGAGTATGTTGAGAAACTTTACGAGACACAACGGACCGTGTGTGTGTGATGTCATAATATCGATCAAAACATTACTATGAAACGTTGACACAGGCGGGTACGTTTGCCGGTTACATGCAGCCGGCGTTACCGTTCTTTTAACCACAGCGTAGTAAACCGTCGTCCGTTGTTGCGACATCGTCAGATTCAGACGGGTTTATGAACCCATTTCATTATGTAAAGATGTGACTTACATCATCACAAAGCAGACGTACCATCGTGGAAAATCGAAAAACAATTACAGGAAAAGATTACTAACACTTCAGAGATGTGTATTGTTTGGTTGACGATGTCATAGCTGTAAGCTAGCGCGCGCTTATCTACGAATATCATGCGCCACATACTTCTGTTAATTATTAACAGTACAGTACTGCTGATAAACTATCAGATTATCGTAATTTTGACCGAATCTTCAACATCGAACTATTCGCCCGGCCAGTGCAGAACTACAACAGATAACCTGTGATAAATAAACATATTGCAGAAGAGAACTGAAATCCCAAGTCCCAAGACAACTAAAAAAAATCGAGACATGCTCAGAAAACTTTTCCTTCATCTTCACCAGAAAGGAGTTTTAATTTAACGCTCATCTGGGATTTCTTAAATCAAATTAAATACAAACAAAATTCCCAACGTTTTCCAGCAAGTGGTATGCCTTTGGGAAATTTATTTCTTTGTGTAAGTAAAGGAGAGAAACATACGAAGTTATTAATTACGACATCTGATTTATTAAAAAAACGTAACCGTCTCATGCTTGCGTTTGTTGGTACATCACTGGAAATGATTTTATGATTAAATCTGCACAACAGTTCGTTACACATCAATTCTGGAATCTTCTCTAACCTGATATAAAACTCTTAATCAGTTTTCTCTAAGGAGCGGCAGAACTCAAAGCCCAGATTTTTGTTTGGCCGACTTTAGACGATTACGTAGTGCAGATTATTTCCAGATTTTAATTTGCGTTGCTTAATGAGTTAGTAGGGCTGCAATACGACATCGCTGACCTTTATGCATCCAGACGCGACTACTTACTAATCCCTAAAGGGTCTAGGGAGCGTCAATATTTTCTAAACCATGTTGCATCCATTTTCTCGCACATACATTGTAGTAGCAGCTGGAGAGAAGCTGTGGGCGCCGGAAATCAGCTTCCGGTCCTGTTCTGGACCATGACCACGTAAAACCGCTTACCGCCATATTAAAAATTTCGGTTATATTAGTCTGCTGAAACTAATAAAAGCATTTAACTTTTTACCGACTGTGATAAAAGCACTGTACTTACGCGCCTGCGCCTTCGTGAGTGCGCAGTCGTGCACCGTCAACCACTTCCGGTGCTGCGGTGTACCTTACACGTCATCAAAAGATCTGTTGGTGCACTGGACTTATTGTACACGTTTTTTCCCCCTCATACAGTATTCTGGAGTTTCATAAGTCCATGCTTCTGTGGAATTATTTTGTTTAGTAGCAATCGGCCTTAATTTTATTTTCAAAAGTATCTGAATGATAAAATCTGGAGAATTTCCGTAGCAGTTTTTGTATAGCCTAGCCAGCTGTGAAATCGACCACGCAGCTTTTGCTGTCAACAAGCGCACATTGTTGTGCGAGATTATTTCTTGGATCCGTAATCTGTATCATTGTTTCATTATGACAGAATGGAATGATTGGAATACCGAGTGGGAAGAGCCTGTCACAGTGGTCCCTGGGAAATCCCAGCAGCCCTCGCGCTCGTCGAGTCGCGTGGAAGTCGTCGCGTCTCCTGGCGCAGAGGAACCCAGCTGGGGCGACGAATGGAGTAGCAACTGGGATACTTCCAACAGTTCTCGACCCAGTCCGAAGACCAAGCCATCCGGAAGCTCAAAGAGCGCGCCGCGACTAGCCAAAAAAGGCCCTGCCAATGTTCGTTCTGCGCGAACTGCCACAGGCAGTGCCACTCCACAGGTGCGGTCTCCACTGCAGTACTACAGTGGATAGAGTAAATCTCTCCGTGTTTGCTGCAGTTTGCAGTTTTATGTTGTTGCAGAACGGTGTAAATGTGACTCCTTCCATATCCAGGGAAAGTGTTGCTCCGTCCGCATCCGACACAGAAGTAAGCATGTTTTTCTCCGATTTTCTTGTTTTGTATCAGTAATTGAGTGTTTGGTGTTAGACTGTTAGTGTCAGTCACTGTAAATGTAGCCACGTTTAAAGTTTTAGCTCATACTGCAACTGTGTGTGAGAAATTTAATATTTGGTGGAAAATCTTAAATAGCCGTGCAGAATAATTTTACACCTTGTTTCGTACGAATATTTATTGGTTTTCAGCTTCCCGGTTTTTCGTCTGTTTCTGTTTATGCACTGCCTTCCATTTATTTTTGATTGATGTTTTAGTGGATTCATATCCGTCACAGTGATGCTCCCACTGTTGTGCATTCCGCGCCGGAAATACTCAAAGACGAAACAAATAACGACCACCACAGCCGTTCGCAACAGTTCGAATTTGATACTCCCGATGTTTGGAGTGATCTTGGATTGGCTGAGCATGCGCCAGTTCGGGAAATCCAAAATCAAAATGCCCATGAAACCACCACTGCTGTTGTGGTGGATTCTGAACCGGACGATCACGAAATGTTGCAACAGCAGCATGCAGCACTGGAATTACAACGCCGGCAGGACGAAGAAAAATTACAGCGCCAGCTAGCTTCCGAAGAACAAAGGCGACAGATGGAGCTAGAACGTGCAGCTGCCGAAGAAGCCGAACGGCTCGCTGTGGAAGCTGCCGAGAACGAACGTCGGCGAAAAAAGGAAGAAGAAAAATTGCGTCAACAAGCACTGCACAAACAGCAGGAAAGGTTGCGACAAGAGCATGAGGAAAGAATGGCGGTGGAACAACAACGAATTGAGCAAGAGCACCTTGCTGAACAGGAAAGATTGCGCCAGGAGGAACAGGAAAGGTTACGGCAAGAGCAGCTCCGTATGGAATGGGAACGGGCTGAACAGGAACGACTCCGTCAAGAACGGCTCCTCGCTGAGCAGGATCGCTTGCGGAAGGAAGCGGAAAGAGAACGGTTGCATCAGGAGCAGTTGCGGGTCGAGCTGGAGCAGCGCCGTCAAGCAGAAGAACGGGAGCGGTTGCATATCGAAGAGGAACGACGTATTGCGGAGCGGATGCGCGAGGAGCAGCGGCGGCAGGCTGAAGAAGAAGAGAAGCGTCATGTGGAAGAGCTGGCCCAGCTGGAGCGAGAAAGAAAAGCAGCCGAAGAAGTGTACCGGGAAGAGCAGAAACGGAAACAGGAGGAGGAAGAGCGAAAGCGGTTGGAAGAAGAACAAGAGCGTACCCAACGCGAAGAGCAAGAAGAACGAGAGCGGGCCGAACAGCGCGCGCTTATCAAACTGGAAGAGGAGCGGCAGCGGAGACTGCAGCAGGCGGAAGCGGATCGCCTGGAACAGGAGCGGCAGGCAGAATTGTTTCGTCGGGCAGAGCGAAGACGCCAGTCAGAAGAAGCACGGATAGAACGGGATCGACTGGAATTAATGGCGGAAAATACTTTCCAAGAATCGAAAAAACACATATCCGGTTTTTTAATGACAGAATCGACCAGTCAAGATTTGATGAATTCTTTGGAGAGAGACTTGGGAGAAGAACAGGAAAGTAATTTAAGGTATAAAGAGAATGTGGCACATGTTGATGATAATGTGTTGGCGCCGCCCGTTTCTGTTCTGAGTGCTCCGGCGTGGGATGCCATTCCAACTGCTGATGATTTCGATGGAAACTGGGATAGTGAACTGATGAATGTGGGCAGCCCTGAAGGTAGCCAACAGCAGGGTCTTGATATGGATGGCTGGGATGAAAACTATGGCAGTGAGGGAACGATTTTGAATGCCGAACCTGTTGATGTGGACAAAACACCAAACACGCTGGCAGCAGTTGAAAATAGGGTACCTAATTTTGATGGTGTTTTATGATTTCGTTTGTCTTAAGGGTAGCCACTTTGGTAACAATGAGAGTGCATTTTCGTATCAGAAAATGATTGTAGTTTTTGCTTAAAAGTTCATGCATCAGACTACATTATCTTGCACTTGTTTAACTTTTGCAGGAAGACAACGTTCTGCTGAACACTGAAGAAGAAGTTTTACTGTCGGAGTCTGTTGCTCAGATGGTTGATGGAATAGTTGACGGAACTCAGTCTGAGCCGCAATCTTCGCAAGAGGTGAGTGACACCCATAGTGCTAAATAAGTTCTGCATCGATCGCTAAAGAAAACCGCTAGAAAGATTATCGGGTACTATGTGCATGGAGCGTAGTACAATTCCAGGCCTATATGATTAAAAACCAGTCTGACTCTCCTCTTGCTGTTTTTTTGCAGCCTTCAATGACATCCTCCCGTCAGAGTGGCCGGTTGTCGATTGGTTCTCTGAGCGCCGAGCCGGCTCTGTCGACTGATCCGCGATCGTCCACATTCATTCATTCCCACATTATACCTTCGACTAGTTCTCCGAAATCTAAACGCAGCCACGATTTGTCGTTATCCTTATCCCCGCTGTATTCAGACAGGGCTTCGGACGATGAACACCCAAACGGCCGCTTAGCTGCGGATCACCGAGACGCAGATGTTAGTGGAAGTTCTCTGTACGACGGATCGGACAGTTTTTCGAAGGATCCAGTGTATGTGGGCTTACGCGTAGGATAGTGCTTGTTCTAAAAAGTTTTTTTGATTGTTACAGAGACAACCGAAAGAGATATTTGTCTGGGGATTATTCAGACTATTCCGAAAACGACCATCACAATGATCGATACTCCAGTCGTACCTCCGAGTCGGAATACGACGACCCTGATCACGGTGGACGTCGTTATTCCCCATCTGACAACCGCTCCTCCTCATATCGCGATGAAATTCGCAGTGACGTATCGGGAGAGACTGTTAACAGTGCGGGTACCAGTTGGACAGTCACTGATCCTTCGGAACGCATCCTGCGCGCGTTCGGTGTCGTGCCGCCGCCGCAGTCATCGTTTTCCACGTCGATGTATTCCACAATGATGTATCCATACAATTATGGTGCTCAGGCCAATATGTTCCATTCCATTCCACCATCACAGCCAACTTTTTATCCTGCTGTCACTCCGACTGCCCACATGACTGTCGCTGGTGCATTTGATGTGCGCAAACACCTTTATCCACACAGTGTCGGGACAACCAGCTATTCCGATGTCGTGCAAGTAAATAATCTGGATAATACGAAATACTTGGAAACAGTTGGCGCCAGGAGAGATCGAATGCGACCTGATGTAATTAAATTCCCTCACAACCTGTCCGTTAACGCAGTAACCGATGATAGACTGGTTATTTTCTGCCGTTACATGGGCGACACTGTGAACGAAGCAGGATATTTGGACGTGAATAAACGCGAAGAAGGTTTACTATGGAGTTTGTTGTCCCTCCTCATTCGACACGGAAACAGCGTGCGAAACTTTGCGATATCAGAAATCTTAATGACGTCTTCGAGAGATCCGAGTTTAACGCTGAGCTCTGCGTCATTAATGAATGGATCCCTAATTGAAAATTACCCAGGCGAGAAGCGATTGATAACAGTAAGAAAGAGTCTGGCAGCAGGGCTTATCCCACGAGCATGTAAGGCGGCGGAGGAATTGGGACGGACACCTTTAGCGTTTATGCTTTTGTCTTTGCCGTCCGTGATCAAAACGAATAATAAAGTGGCCTTGGCTGGATTTTTGCGGTATATTGAGCACACTTTATCTCCGATGGATCCGATCTATTCTGCGTGCGCGCTTATGTGCGGGGGAGGTCCAAAATTGGCAGAATGTGTTAAGAATTGGACTTCCCACGTGGCTTTGGTTATTGGTTGTGGCGCATTCATAGCTAGTACCGTGAAGACGAAGTTTCTGTTAAATCTAGCAGAAACGATGGGCGCGGGTGGTCGTCCGGTTGCACGGGATGTGTTGTATTTGCTTTCTCGTCCGGGTAGCAGAATTCGAACGGGCAAGGAACTGAAACTGATCGGAACGGACATTGACGGCACACAGTTTGACGGTAGAATTGATGCTTTTATCGATAAGCTTCACATGACGGAAGCATTCATATACGTGGCCAATAAGTTGCAGTCTGGTGGAGTTCATGCGCTGGCTACCGGGTTTCAGCTAAGTTATCTGCAGTTTTTGTTGGACCGACAACTTGACACTGTAGCGGCAGAGTACATGGTGTACATCGGAAAAAATTATTTGAACACGACTAATCCGGAGTGTGAACTCACCCTAACTTTATTTGCCACTGTTCTTTCCAATCGGCACCTGCTCGGATCCGACCCACAGGGGATTGTCGCCAGCATTCGTGCCATGGCAGACCAAACCATAACCACGATGCAGGAGCAGCTTCGGCTTCAGCGCGAAGAGGAAGAAAAACGTTTGCGGGCTGAGCGGCTAAAAACAGAGGAAGCTGCTAGACTGCAAAACGACCGGATTATGCGCGAAATTGATCAGCGTGCAAGGGATGAGGAAGACGCCAGAATTGCGGCTTACGAAGAAGCCCAGCGTATTCAGGTACACCTACTCTTATAGATATTTTTTGATACATATGCGTGGTTTTAATCTGTCGTGTTTAGTTTTTACCGAAAAATTCAAGAATTTCTGTGAACTTCGAACGCATATCAGTGCATATAATGTACTCGTATTTTTAAAGCTTACTCATCTACGCTGGGTTCAACTTAAAAAGCTTTGTTTAACAATAGGACGTACTGTTAACACGTAGGTGGATGTAAGTAATCATTTGGTGCCACCTAAGAAATGGAAGGTTACCAAAATCTTCTTTAGATCGAAGAACAGCGGTTAGCAGAACAGCAGGAATTTTTGATGGCGGAAGCTGAACGTCTGGAAGAGTTGCGGCTGGAGGAAGAATTTTGTGCAGAGATCAGTGAGCGGGAGCGAGCAAAGTCATCCAGAAGGGACGAAGCTGAACGAATTATGTTCACAACTGATTCGCCTGTTGCAGAGTTGCATGTACTAGAACCGGCCTCCGAAGTCCAGCCGCAAACCGCTCCACCTCTGTTTTTCTCTACTGAATCTACACCTCATGTTGCCCCTGGATTACCGTTTTTTGGTTTTACGGATAGGGTTGTGCGAGATTCAGCTCATGACAGCGAGACGTCCGCTCGCACAGATCAAAAGCAGGTTATAGAGGATGATGAAGAGCACCTTAGTTTTTTCCACCTACCCCAGAAGAAGCTTGTCGATGAGGAAGAAACTGCTCGTAATCTAGAAGCCTCTTCACATCAGCCGGCTTTCATACCCACAGTAGTGGAATCTCCTGGGACGCCTGTTAAGTTTGATAGTTCTTATTCTGAGAGCGATGCAACTGGCGGCGCCCCTTTTATTCCCTTATATTCCATGGAACAAAATGGCGGTACCGGAACGACACAATTTGACAACTACCTGATCATGAATGACACATCGGTACCCCGTACGGAAAATGCAAAACTTTCTGAAGTTGAGGAGAAAATTGTGGACGACCAGCAGCCAACTCTGCCCACTGGTGATCCATCACAGTATTACCACTTAAACTTTGCGGTAAAAATTAACTGATTCTTTAAACTATTTTCTGCAGTTTTGTTTATGTTAACCATTGTAATTCGTGATTATGAACTATAGGGCGATGTTGAAGGCGCTTCGGTAGAAAGCGATTTCGCCAGAGGGGAGAATGCCGAGCAGGAGTCAGCAGCCCATGCGGACCAGAACATCCTCTACGATCAAACAACGTCACAGTATTATAACTATGCAACAGGATATCCTCCCGGTGAACTGTCCGCTTCCGACTATCAGGCGTACTGGAATCCGGAGTATTATGCCTCACAAGAAGGAGCTGTAGTGTCAACGGATGCGTACCAGCCGGTCAGTTACAATGTCGATCAAACCAATTATCGTCATAGCCCCGTTCAGTCAGCTGACATAAATTCCGGTTGGACAACTGAGCAAGGAATCGCACAAGCGACTGAAACTTTAACCACAAATAAAATCGCTCAGGCTGAACACGATAAATCTGTCGTGGAGAACTCTTCGAACTACTGGGGAGCGAATGTTTCCCACAGTGCACAGTCTTATTCTAACCAGCCATGGGCAGCACCGCCGTCTTCGATACCGCCACCATTCTTTGGCAGCGCACCGGAAGTGCCTTCTGAAAGCGATGAAGAAGCAACAACGCAGCAACAGACGGCGCCGTACGGTTATCCGCCTTATTCCGCACCGTTTCCTTCATCTCTGCCGTCCCAGCCACCGTCAGCTTTGCAAAGACCGCCGCAACCAGTAGTACAAGGACCTCCGCCAGCTACTGCTCCGCCTGCGCCACCTGAAAGCAAGAAAACTGGGATGTTGGGGCGGTTTACGGGGTTGTTCAGGAAGTCGCAAGATGCCGGGACACCGCCAGCTGCGACGCCCGCTGTGGGTGGGGCAGTTTCGGGACCTGGGTCTGTGCCGATGTTTTCACCGACCGCATCGTTCGGGACGCCTTTTAATGCACCGACTGGACCGGGAAACGCCCCAGCCGGATACCCCGGTTTACACCGACGTCGGCTGGCGGATCGGGGCTAACAGGACAAAATGGATGGTCTGATATATCGCTGAATAATTCCCACACATCGACACCGCCCATGTACAGTGTGGCACCGAATTCCCAAGCTCCTGCTCCCTATTGGCATGCAAGCTATCCTACAACTATGAATTCACAAGGTCTGACGCAGAGCTTTTGAGAGACTACAGTTTTTATTGCTAGGGTTAACATTCTTTTGAAAACAGCTTGTCGTGGCGAATATCGTACGTAGTGAGCAGTACAATTAAGTGAATTCTTTTCGGTACTTAACAGCAGTATTTCCTGTCGGTACTTACGGAGTTACGGACTGAAAGTGACCTTCATGTTTTTTTTTCAGCATCGCAATTTGCTCACCTTACTGGCCCTGCATCCTCAACCGGCATACCGAATTCGCATCCGGTTATGTCGACTGGAATGCCCGTTTATGGAATCTCTAATCAGCAGGCGGGAAAAGAAATGTATCCGGCCCAAATGGCCCAACTATCAGCTGATATTGCGCCTGGACATCAGCTACCACCGTTATACTGAAGATTTGTAGTGTTTACTTTGTGATTTAAGATTCCGTTCCTGTCTTTCCTTAAAATATTTTGCCCTTTTGGATTCTGTAGTGCAGTAGCTTCGCGTGGGGAGATAGAGGTTTTATAGAACAAAGTTGCGCCGTTATTGAAGATCACTTAGTACTTACGCGATTTGATTAAAAAAAACTCTGTTATTCTGCAGACGCCCGTGGCTGCAATACAAGCTGTTCAGTAATTTTAAAATGGGTAAACGGTTGAAATGATATTTATTAGCATAGCCATGGAACAACATAAAAATATAAGTAATTTTTTTAAATGACATACTGTTTGATGTTGATATTTTGATATTACGTAATTAATCCTTTCCACACAGTAATTAACCACGTACTTGTTTCCTGTCAAAGTAAGTATTGTACAGTACGTACTTTATATAATTATTATGTAATCGTATGTAGGGGCTAGAAGTTTAGTATGTATTAATATTAAAGCTGAATTTATGGCAGTACGAATACAGAGTACGTACTACTGTAGAATGATAGGCATTTTTACAGGCACTTTCCAGTTCGCTTTACACTGGATGAACGAACGGCTTTGTGTGCTTAAGCGGCAGAGCAAAAAATTCGCATGCCGCAGCAGTGTTGTCAGCCTGTCACTTACCATCTACGGAATGGAATTTCGAATTTTTGCAATTAATGTGTTTGTCAGGCTCAGCTGAGAGTAGGATTTTTAGTTTTACCATACTTTATCTTTCATTTCTAAAATATTGAATGTTCCTTTATGCACAGTAGTTGAATTTTTTACAAAGAAGGACTTGTAATAATTCATTATGATTGACTATGGCGTGATAGACTTGCCAGCTGATTGTTTGCGTGTGGTTGTGCATTCGAAACATTCCGTCCTTATGCCAGTCTGCTGAAAGCTTATTTTGTTACATTTGATATCGCCGCCATGGAATCGGAAGACGATCCTAGGGACGCCCAGCCGAAACGCCGCCGAAGAAATGTTGACGAGGATGATGTAGACGAAGGTGCGGGCATGATACCGAAATTCAGTCGTTTGTGACAAATTGGAATTGCAAATTCACACCCAGGCTCCGCTGTGCTGAGCTTGATGTTATTTCTAAATTGTAGCTGATTTTTGCTGGTTCTGCAGGCTGGGCATGGGTCGTTCTGGTGGCATCCTTCATCGTCAATATCATTTCCCTTGGCACGAATTTCTCCTTAGGCGTGTATTTTGCTGAATTCGTTGATTATTTCAAAGAAAGCAAAACACAGACCGCTTTCCTCATATCTCTTAGCTGCGCACTTGTCCTTGCAGCGGGTGAGTTTATTTATATTAACACTGAGGTGTTAATTACGAATTCTCCATGAGTAACGCCTGCAACGGGATATCTTAATGCTACAAGTGCGATATTAAGAATTAACTTAAAAATGCAGAAATTTGGTTTCTAAAATTTTGATAGCTGTGTATTTACTAACTTTATCCCCTTTTTATGACTCTGGAATATTGTTATGAGAATTTTTCGGTGCTAAATTCATTAGTTTTGTCTATCTGTAATTTGGGTGTTGAAATCAGTCTTTGCTAAATAGGTTTTGCGCTGCAGTTTAGAAATTTTTGCTTACACACTGCTGCTGTTGCAGCTTCGAGTGCACTTTATAATTGTTTGCATTAATGTGTGAGGTGGATCAGGTGGGAAAACTACGAGTACTTATTGCTTATGCTAATAACACTGTACTGTATGTCGAATGTGTTTGCATCGTCATTCCGGCATGCTATATGTTCGCAGGTCCTTTTGCCAGCGTTCTGGCCAACCGGTTTGGAACGAGAATTCTGATTATCTGTGGCGGTCTTGTGACAGCGACAGGATTCATCCTCAGTGCCTTTGTCCAGCAGTTCTGGGTTATGTTTATTACTTTTGGATTTATGACAGGTGAGAAGAGGATTCTTCCGGAAAATGCGTGTTATGTGGCTGCGCTTAAGTACTTCTTGAATATTATGGCTTGTTGGAAGATTTCGGCTTGCCACTTTTTGCTTTGAATTAACGCTGTATGTTGTTTGACACGACAGATGGTAATCGCTTCGATCGGTTTTATCATGAAAGCCTTGCCAAAAACTATAAAAGTGTTTAACACGTGAATAGAGCGTGAAAATAATTTGCAGAAGATCATTTATGTCGTTTCATCTCTCAAAACATCTGAGATTTCTTGGACTGTCTATTGTGAATTTCGTTTTGAACGTTTTTATGTTCAGCGTATTTTTTGCGTAACTTGTTTCAGCCATGGAAATTTTGATGGCAGCTTTTTATTTCAGGATTCGGAGGCGGTTTGAGTTATTCACCGTCCTTTGGAGTTTTGCCGTTGTATTTTCGACGCCGGCGGAATTTCGCCACAGCTATCGTAACGGCGGGGAACGGTGTGGGAATTTTTATATTTCCTTTTCTTTTCCGGTATTTAATTGCCACATACTCGTGGCGCGGCGCGATGTTTATTAATGCTGGCATCGCTCTCAATGTCATTCCCTGCGGTGCTGTGATTTTCAAAAGACAAAAGCGCATTCCCGGTGGCGGATTAGCCCAGTTTTTGGATTTATCGTTATTCCGTGAAGCCTCTTTCTATTATCATTTGCTGCATTTTTATTTAATGGGATCGAATTTTATATTTACGGTGCTATGTATCCGGTACGCTTTGGATGTGACGGATGCAACAAAAGATCAGGCCCCCTTATTGCTCACGATCAACGGTATTTGGACAGTTTTTATAATGATAGAGCCTGAACGCTTAAAAAAACTTAATCGAAACGGTTTTTCAGTCACTGATATATAATGAATGTCAATGGGCTTTTTCGAAAATACTTCCATCTAATCTGTTTATAGTTCACGGGTTCTTGCACATTGTAATTTGTTGATATCGTTTATTTCCGTTGAAATATGGACGTATTTTTGTAATGCTGATATAGGACCTTATTTTTGTAGGTGCAATGAATATCGTTGGACGAACACTGAGCGCTGTTGTCAGCACTAACCCGAAGATCGCTACCTCTCGCAATCGTTTCATCTTGCTGCATATCTTTTCGATCTCGGTTGCCGTTTCCATTGCTTCATATGGGTGGTGCACGAGTTTTCCAGCTGTGTGCGTTGTCGCAGGCTGGGTGGGATTGTCCTGGGGCACAAAGTTCGCCTTGGTGCCGGGTGTTACCATTGATATTGTGGGTGCTGACAGATTTAATGCCGCGTGGGGATATTCTGTTTTTATTCTGGGATTAGCATTTCTCAGCTTCCCACCTCTTGGAAGTAAGCTCAATTCACCAAAAATTGCTTGACGTAAATTGTTATTATTTTGTTTATTAAATTATCACGGTTTTATTGAGAGGAAACTAAATTTTATTTGTTTTGTGGGATGTTTTTCAAATTTGAAACGTTACAGTGATTAATTTTAGATGTGGTGTTTGCCGGCAAAGCGAACTTACCCTGCGATAACCACTAACCACAAAGTTGTTTGCGATTTCCTGTAGTGCTTTCATAATATACAACAGCCCCACTTCCAGGCTTTTTGATTCGGTTGTTTTTTGTAGTGCTTTACACTTCTTTAAATTGATTAGCACATTTGCTGGTGCTGAGTGATTTAAGCTTGAATGTGCAGTGGTTATAATGGGAAAGAAAATCTAGGTAGCTTACGTCTTGCGGCCTGGAATTGTAGCGATTTATTACTGCTTTGCAGAATTTGCTGGTTTATCGGGTGGCCGCTAGGCTTACGAGTTACGACTAACGCTTTGTTGCAAATCGTTTGTGGTAAAACATGTTTTGTCATATTGTGATAACTTTTTCGAAGTCCGACGTTTTGTGTTTATGCTCATCACAGTACTACTTCGAGTATTCTAGTTCAGTGTGGGGCAAATGTTGACTAATGTTCACAAGTATTGTAAAGTGATAAATACAAATTTAGATAAGTGCGCATACTACTTAGTACCAAGTTTGCTGGAACAGTACTGCGTGCCGTATCTCTAGAAAATTCGATGTAACGGCAATTTTAATTGAGCAATTTTTGTTTCGTTTCAGGTTATATTGCGGACAGCACACTCAGTTTTAGTAACGCCTTTTATTTTTCTGGAATTGTGTCCGGTGTGGCGGCGCTCTTTTGCTTCTTGCTGCACTTCATTATGTGGCGAAAAATGCAGAAGGTGCGTCGGGAGACCGCTGAGGTGGATCATACAGTGAGAATTGTCCGGTACAAAGCCAACAACAATGGCGAAGCGTAAAATCAGCCAAAGAAATCTCTTCCAGCCTGGTTTTTCTCTACCTGTGTTTTGAAAAAGTATTTATTTTCGTGATTCCTATTCGAGTTACCAGTTTGTTGCGTTCCGTTTAAGCAATTCCGTTTTTATTTGTTTTTTGAATATTTATGAATGGGAAATCTCGTGGGTTTATTGCAGAAGTAGTTCTGCCTTCCAGCTCAGTTTGGGGTTGTTGCTGTCCTCTCAGAATCTTTCGGGTTTTCATTTGTTTTTCTGTATGATTTCGAAAACAAATAAGCTCTAATAAAATATGGAAACGAAACAGCAACAATCAACAAATTGAAACAAAAAATACAAAATGTGCATTCCAGATCTCGCGTTAAGATTGCCAGTTTATTTTACGGTGGCGTATACGGAATTGCGTTAATTGGCTGTTTGAGAATCTCGGTGCCGCGTTGCAGTAGCAAGTAGCGCTGGACCGGAATGTCGGGAATATTTGGCACCGATACGGTGAAACCAAAGGTGTCTTCCGCGATGCATCGGCAGATTGCGTAAATACCGTAGGCAAATTTGATTTTTGGCAGTGCTTCCCGTTTCAAAAAGAGCAGGCAGGCTTCCAGCGGCAGTGTATCGCCGGGAATACAGCGGAATCGCTGCGATTTGTAGGGAGGAAATGGCACTGGACGGTCCAGTTGGATTGTGCCGAACGGTGCGTTGATATTGGGTACTGCTCACAGTTTTACACACTTAGTAGTACTGAAATCTTAGATACATATTATTTTGACGCCAGCTTTCTCTATTACTTAATCCATTTACAAATTTATGCGCATCAGTGATTGCCATGCTATCTATTTTTCCGTTTGTAGAATTTTCTTGCGCTCTAAGTAAGTTCTCGAAAGGTCACATATATGTATCTGATATCATCGAAAATTGGAACATACTGCAACTGGAATAACTCGGACAGCATCCATCCGATGACGTTCCGTTAACGAAACACTTCTGTCCAACTGGTGGCATTCGGCAGGTATTATAGCAGTCGCCAATTTGATAGCGTCCTGTGATGGTTCGCGTGCAATAGCATTGTAAGGAACACGGCTTCTTCAGTGTTAAGCTTCCGCCGGGAAATTTACAGTTTCCCGACCGAATTTCATCACCTACACGATCACAAACATTTGAAAACTGATCAATACTGCTTTTTCCTTTTCAAATTAAAGAGCTACGCACACTTGCCGACTTGTGCCTTTGAATATGAGCAAAAAGTGAAAGGTACACAACTTTGTATAAACTTAATGCTTACACCCATAAACGTAAGTGAACTGTCCAGTCTCTTCTTGTAGAACCGGGATCTTTATAAGCTCTTGTCTGAGACCAGCGCAACTTATTGGAACAACGGAAAACTCGCTTCCCGGAGCAACGGTAGTGGTCTGCAGATGTACGACACGTACCAACGGAACAAACAGGATGCAGTATATCCACAGCCGGCAGCGCACAGTTGAAGTTGTCATTGTTAAAGGTCGCAGTTGCAAAATGCAGTGCAGTTTAAAAATGCTTACAGTACGTAACGTCGAGGGGCTTATAACGTGACGCAACAAGTTAGATGTGGTATCGTAAGTAATAGAGTTTCACATTTTATTATCACTCACGTTTATTTTCTAATTTCTACCACTTAATACGGTAACGGAAAAGAGAATGCGCCGGGCGGAAAGTTTCACAAACCAAATGAAAGATGTCAAGCGAAGATGTTTCAAGGCACAGTTTTATTCATAATGCATTACATAAAATTCGTAAAGTGTGATGCAACGGAACACATTAATTCAAGGTCGATAACCGGTAACATTTAATATTTGTTCATACCGCGTGTTGTGTGATGTGCAGCTGTCAGGCAAACGATTGCAAAGTCATTAATTTTATTTGTCACACATTCTCGCGAATCTGTATACAAAACATGACATCAAACATCAACACCTTCTAGTTACGATCAACACTGGCGATCATTCTACTTAGGACCATTATTGCAGGCTCACATTATTTTTAGGTAGAAAGTACGCGTGGACTGTCGTAATTTCCTGATGGTTCGCTTTCGGTTGCTGTTCTATTTTTTGGACTTGTTTTTATGCAAAATTGCATCTGTGAGCAACAAGCCTCGAAAAGATAGTAAATAATTAACACAAGGGCAGCTTGATTTGTGAATGCGTAGTCAAAAAATCAAGTAGTAAGTCCAGTGTACAGCGGAGCCGAGTATAACCTCACATTACAAAAATTAATAAAATTATCCGCACACCTGTTGAATGTCTAAAGTGTTATGCACCTTATGCTCTACAAAACACGGGTAAATTCACAACATTCAACGTTGTGGCAAGTACTGACAACAATCAAATTCAAGGAAAATCGACGCGTATTACCAGAAAACAAAGCAGGCACAAATTAATGCAACTACAAAACTGTAAACCTTTACAACAAGGCTGAAAAAGCTATCCGTTGTACAGTTCTATACCTCTGCCGAAAATGTAAATATACCCGATTAGTAGAAAACATATCACTGAGACGGCACATCAGCCAGAGAACATTCGAATTCAAAACTAGAAAACAGCACTGGACGGTAGTGTTCATGTTCATTCAGCAGACACTTATTGTAACCACAAAGATGCCATTAAAAACTTCCAACACAAGTGTTTATTGATCCCAGGCATCAAAACAATCGTCCTCGATACTCTGCCGCAAGTCATTGAAGAATTTCAGATATTCATTCAAATTATGGCTACAAAGAGAGGCATCTGATTCAAAAGCAGAATCAGGTGAACGTAAGAAGAGATATGCCAAGAACAGCTAAAAGTATGAGAAACGCCACAAAGAATATCGTTCTACACTTGCAGTATTTTTCCTTTACACTTACATCATTAATAGGACACCTGCGTTGATTTCCCTACATCTGACCAGATGATGGACGTAAGCTTTGGTATACTTGCTACAAGTGTAGCATCCACACAGTGTGCTCAGAGGAGTCAAATCATCGAAATATCTAGACGGCCAGAAATGCTCCATAATGCAAATCACAAAGTAACTCCACATCAAACGAAAAACGCACTTTTTATCTGTCATATTCCAGACATCGAATGTTCTATCCGATATCCTCACGAGTGCTTCTGATCGATCGGCTAACACAGATGGATACGAAGTATCGAAGACGTCAACGCCCATGCGGATTAACTGGATGACTGCCTTTGGTGAAACCGGCGCATGGAAAAACCGAGGTTTGTTTGACGGCAACAAATTCTGCAACGAGCATATCAAATTACAGAATATATTATTCATGTTTCGAGAACTTTGTTATACCAGTGATACACATACAGGTACAAAATTCTCCAGAACGTGAAAACAAATACACCAACAGTTACGCGGACTGCGGAGACCGAAAGTCCTCACACATGCTTTCACGTTAAGCTACCCAGTAGGTTATATACCAATGATTTGTGTATGACTTCCACATTTTCATCGAAGATATTATCTGCATACTCCCATTTCTTCCAGCTGTTCATCCAGGTGCTCCCAAAACCATCAATAACGAAACCATCAACAGCCCGCTGTCCGATTTCGGAGGCAAATTGTGGCCGCTTGAAAGTATTCCCTCCACCGCCGACGGTGGCAACTACAGGCATCGTACTGCCGGTGGATTTTTTTAAACCCTCTAAACAGGTATCCAGCCATCGTACTGAATTGTCAAAGGATTTTGCCAGACGCTGATTCGTAGCTGTTCCCAAATCCGTATCCATGTCGCACATGATTTGAAACATATCAGGATTTAAATTTTTCTGCATTTCCAGGAAAGCATCGCAAGTGATCTGTAAACCAATTACAATAAATGACCAAACAAAATTATCTAGTTATCGTTATCGAAATAAGCTACCAAACGTAAAAATTTCAAAAAACCAATCAATATATCTGTAGAACAAAAAATGATCGAAACAATTTTGCGCAAAGACCAAAACAAACCAAATGGAGTACGTACTGAAAAACACAGTTGAACTCCATAATATTATAAAAATAAAAAATGCACCGTAAAATTAGTTCACACATTATGAGACACAGTAAAACTGCAAATCTGCAACCGTACCTTTATGCGCCCTTTTTTTCTCCATAGTCCCATAGCATTTTTTTCGTTCGAATTAGGTTTAGCAGGGAATAGAACGTCCTGAATGCTAACATAAACAAACGCATCCCGGTAACCGATGTATTCGCTGAGCGATCGTCCGGACGCTTTCACGCACTCGCCATATCAGCAACAGAAGCAAGGCTGACATTCAATGGCAGCGGTCGCGAGAGGTTGCGAATGTACTGAAGATCGTCAGGTGTCAAATGCGGAATACTGCCTCGCTGCGTGTATATGAAACAACCCGGCGTTTCAAATTCAAATTTACTTTCGTCGCGTTTATAAATATTTAAAGTCCCTCGTCGCAGGCCGTTCGCGTCCGCACCGTCTCGTTTGGCCAGGAAGATATTCATACTTTTTACATACGTTCGGAAGAATCTACAAACGCTAACTTCAGAATAGTAGCGGCATATTCTGTAGAGAAGTTAGCGATAAATTCATTAAATTGGTAATTGTAAAATAAGTAAAATTAGTAGGTAACTAAAACTGCATACGCACCTGAGACTCCCAAAACAGACGGGCACAATAGTTCCCAAGGCAAAGTGCATTAAAATTTTTCCAATATAGGTTAAGAAATTACGATACAAACAGCCACAAGCTATAGTCCTGCAAGTTGCAACACGCGTCAAATGCTAACATGTACGTAAAAAAATTCGTATTTTTAGAAATTCTATATTTGAAAAAATTAAAGTGCTACACTACTACTGTTTTACGTGATTTTTTTGCATTCAGATGTTTGAAAGGCTCAGAGGTGCCGTACGATAGAGCGTGGCGCTACTGCAAGTGGTGAACGTTGTAGTCGCCCCAGCTGGCAGTTAACATCTGGCGTGATGATGGACGAATATTACTGTACCTATAATAGTGTGTGTTTTTTTTCTTACTGTGTTTTGTTATACTGTATTTTGTAACTTTTGTTATTAAATTTTGCTCGTGATTTTTATTAGACTTTTCACTTTTGATTTTCCAGTGGATCTTTTTGTCCGAAACATGTTCACGATAGCAGAGATCAAACCGTGGTCTTTTAGTTAATCAGTATACTAGTGTCTCCGAACGTGAAACAGTTCTGATAGGCTTGAGACTTTGAACGATCTCGCAACCGGGAATCTCGACAAGCTTCGATGGCGAAAGCTGTTGATACAGTACCACTTTAGCGAACCATGAATAAGATGCTGTTTGGGAGTACAGCAGAGCTAGCTTGGAGTTCGCTCAAAATATGGGACTGTCATCGTCGCCAGAGATTTCTGCATGGTTCAGCATGCATGTTAGTCAGTGTGTTGAGCAACAAGTCGCGAAAGAAGATGGACGAGAAGCACAGGGTATTGATGGCCAAATTGGAAAGAAAGATTCTTCAGCGGTAATAAGAATTTATGTTCGGATTGATTTACATTTTACAGTTGCGTGTTCGTTTTCAGAAGGTGAACTCAATACCAGAAATGTGTTTCCCAATTGATATGAGATCTCTTAATCCAACCTCTTTTTATGTCGCTTGCGGCTTGTATCCAAATCAGTGGCACATGTTACAATACTGTCATCCATGACTTGTCGCCCGTTGTCGGATCTTAAAATTTAATATGGACATGCACATATCTGTTGTTAAAATTCTTGGGCCATATTTGATAGTTATTATGAAATATTGGGTGGTAAATGCTGTTTCGTTTTACAGGGACGCTGCTCGAAAGCCGCACACGCATACTGTTGGGTATTTAAGCAAGGTAAGGCATAATTTATTTTTCCGCACTACTGTACCGGTCGACATTCAACAAATTCTGATTTTGTTCGGTGTAGGGCAAAACAGATTCTACACCGTGGAGCGCTGCATATCTTCGCGAACACGAGCCACGCCATGTGAAAATGGTGGAGAGTGTTCTTTTGGATAGGATAACCGAACTGTTGGCGGATGCTCGCTTTTCGGAATTACTTATGGAAATCAGCATTGAGATTACAGGAGTACGTTGGCGCAATTTTATGCAGTTGATTTTGAATGCTGCTAACATTAAAAAAACATGGCTGTGCACTTTTCGGAGCAACATGATTTAATGCTTTGTAAATTACGATAGGTTCAAATAAACCGCAACCGTGGACAGCTCAACATTTTATGGGCTCCTACCGGCGATCCCTTAGCAGACAAAAAAATCCACCAGATCTTGCAAAGTATGACGCCGGATTTACGGTAGGCACACGGATGGAAGAACTGTTTATTTTGCGCAAAAAATTCGTAGCTTGATATGGTTGTATTTATTTCGGCGCCGTTGCAGAGAGCACTTATGCAGTCAGCATATCCTTGGTTTCGTTCCAAGAATTGAATTTGTGCGTGATAAAACTATCAGATGCCTGAAAGAACTGCAGGATCGAATGGCTCTTCTTGATACGGGACCACCGGATGAACCGTTGGATACGGTTGACCGTGAGGTGTTGGAGGTGACAGTTCAAGGTGGTCCTTCCTCTGGCCTGGAGACAACGTTGTCGGGACCGATGATGGACCCGCTGGGCCTGGATCGAGTACCACCGATGAGAACAGATATCGGCGGTATTGATAGAACTAAACTTCTGGAGCAAATGCAGCAGGGATTTTATAGAGCGGGGCCAAGAATCAATAGGAAAGATAAAGCCGAAAATTTGTCGGACGACAGAGCGGAAACTGCAGCTTCTTGATACTTTTTTCATTGCTGGTAGAACTGGTGGATGTTGCGTAATGTTTTGTGATAACTGCTTGGATAATGGATAAGTCAGTACATACTTATATTTACGTTAACTTGAATCTTACTACAGCACTGTATCGCACTTAAACCGTCGCAGCGTTTAAAGTACTTTTATTCACCTTATTAAACTTTTATCGCAGCGGTACGAAAGTTAACGGCGCCTGATTTAAAACCGACTGTATGAAGTTTGCGTTTGTGTACCAACAACGAATATTGCAAGTGTTACAGTGTTACAGTTTTACCGAACTACATGTATAAGTAAGTACATGTATCTTGCAAGTTTTAAGAAATCCAGCAATAGTTTTGCGCTTTTGCATAGTTGTGAGCTCTTTATTGTTAAGGGCACTAACCCGGCAAAGTTTCGCGTGTCATCTTGGATCACGTATAAAACCTTTGATGTTAATAACCTTAATAGTTCAATAAATTATTAAAAAATGTGAGTACGTGCACCTTATGTTTCTGGCACATTCTGTCGTATTGAGCTGTCTGTTTTATTTATTTGAGCATCATATTCATTCCAAACGAAAATCTGTTACACTGTACATCACCGAAGGGAGAATGGGACGATGACTGGTACTTGATAGTAATTATGTAAATGCAAGTTGTTCAAAAGCAAAGCATGATATAACTAGAATGGACTTGGTAGTATGGTTATCGTGGTACTCAGTAACGTGTAATATTTATTACCTAACCCAATAAGAACAACACACGCAAATTAAAACAATTAAACAAAACCGGCGTAAAGGTTTAGACCGGGTACGGATGAAATGGTGAGACAGGATCAAATCAACAAAAATGCGTTAAGACCAAACATCCAAAGCATTATGAAAACCATTACAGCTTCACAATAATAACAAAGAAAACATCAAGTATTTTTGGAAGATTAAATCGATTGGGAAGTCTTGCAGTTCCATCACAGCTGTAATCCAACACAACCGGCACAGATCAGCGGAACACACGCTCGATCAAATTCCTTATTACGGTACCACTTTCTTGTATTTGCGCACACTAGTAACGTCTCCGGCGCGCAAAGTCTGCAAATAATAATCAGGAAGTCAGCAAAATTTCGAGAAAGTTCGCAAACAGACCCTCTAGCAACTTATCGTCAGATTTATTACCGTAATCAGTTCATCTCCAGTGAATTCACGTTCAGCAGTAGTTTCCAAGTTAGTTTTCGGGTCACGTTGCACCTGGTGCAGCTTATTGCCATCCAAACTAAATGTGCACTACAAAAGTTCAAAATCCCATTATTTGAGCAATTCATCTCACAAAGTCAGAACTGAAGCAACGAAGCAAGCAAATAAGCACAGGTGACTACTCCGGCACTCGATGCTTCGACAATTTTTCCCACAGTGACTTGCAAAGTAAAACTAAAATTCCTGCAAAAATTCAGTAATCCACTAATGATTAAATTGACTACTCCGTATGAGCAAATCGCAAAGTAACAGTTAAATTGCCTTGTCAAAAATATAAATCCAATGCTGAATTAACGAATAAAAGCAACGGATTCAAATATATTTTAGCATTATGCATTTCAAAGATTGGATTTGCCTTTTTATTCCAGATTTAATCCGAATAGTTCTGCGTCCGCTTTATGTGAGGTACCAAAATTCACGCTATAATATATCTTCATCACCCTCTAACTGTTTAATCTACATAATTCCTGCTTACCGCAACATCACGCCCATCCATTGTATGTTCCGTGAACTGCTCGCCCAGCTTGAACTTGACCTCGTGGTTCTTGACCGTAGTTGTCGTTTTCATCGTGTAGACATCGTTATCTTTGGTGATATCGATGGTCGCTGACTCCACCAGGGTAGCAAGTTTTCGCAGGGCAAAGCCAACACCTTACAGAGCAAGAAAGGCTTAACAAGGCATTTAAGACTGCAAATGCGCCAATTTTAAAAATAACTGAAAAATGTTTCAAATCCATTTTTTCTGCAATGCGGTAAACTGCTTTCATGGAATACATGTAAAGCAGCTCAGCAGCAGTGGAGGAATCGTCAGGGATTTAGTTGGAACTTAGCCTTCAGTTTTACAGCTAGCCGAATTCTGCATGCGGCATCGGCACTAACGATTTAAGAAGTAACTTTGAATTCAGAAACAGCTGTTTCTTATAAAAATTAATACCAGAGCACAAAAAATATACATCGGTATCAACGTCCCAAGCAAACAAAAAGCACTGGGAGAATGGAAGTTCAAGCAACTGTAAGCGTTTTCGGTTCTCTGATGTCTGAAGTCAACATATGCATGGCATACTGGCGATGATACTGCCAGGCGCGCACTTACCGACAGCTTTCAGGTAATCATCAAACTTTTCACTGGAGGTTAGCTGATATTTTCCCGTAATATCCGTCATTTTAGTGGAGTCAGTTAAAAGTAAATTTGACAATTTCAGACCAAAACTCCTGTAAGGACAGTCCAAGCGGCAAACTGTTCAATCCTTTGAATGTTTCGTTTATTTGATGTTTGCCGTTTGCGACCACTCTGCCGGCCGAACTAATAACGAAAGAGTTGCAGTAGCATAGAAAAGTCTTCATGATTACAGCCCCACAAAATTACCTAATAAGTACTCGTCCAGGCATTAGTGCCCGTGCAGTTGAACTTGTGAAGCGTTTAACTCAATAAATGCAAAATATCAAAATGAAAAAAACATATTTATTTTAAATTGTACAGAGTGCAAAAAAGAAAAGTAAATGCTAAAATCAGTAAAATGTCATATTCGTTGGATGTCGTGATCCTTCTAATTATTAGTGCAGTGTGTTAAACTTGTCGCACTTCGGCTCGCCAATCGCCACTAGTGTGATGATTTAAAGATTTTCTTCGGGAAACTTAATAGGTACGACGTACGAGTAAGGCCTCGTCCCAAATTCAAAGCGAATCTCGTTATAGTACGGTTGCTCAACCACACGAGGTGGCTGTTTGCAGTGGCCACGCCTACAGATACGGTACGCGAAGCCACCTCGCGAGGTGGAGTTGCTGTATCGCAACGAGATTCGCTTCGAATTCGGGACGAGGCCTAAGTATGTATAGTTAGAAGTGGAGTCTTCAACAAAAAAAATCTTATTGGAGTCCATAATCCATATGTTCTCTCTCCTCAAAGTTTATCGCCGTCGAATGCATCGAGTGATTGGCTGTTGCTGCTTTAATTTCTCTCATTTATCGGCTGATATTTGCAAGCACAATCTTGCTGTACCCAGTCACTGCCAGTTTTAAAACATTTTTGTCATTTGTGATTAAATCATTAACTACGCTCTGCGTGCGATTTTAGGGATACTTCCAGTTTCCCATAGTGGTTCAGTGGTTTCATTAGCCTTTACAGCTTACGAAAAGAAACAGAATTTCTTTGCGAAAATCATCTAGTGATTCCTGTTGCGATGGGTTTGCCAAAGTTTGTATTTCTTCTAACTGTAATCGTGTATGCATACTTTGTACCTACAATGTACAAGTACGATTAACGATTTTGTTTTCGTAGGGTTGCTCGTGGACTCAAAGCTGTCTACACCATACCGTTTGTGAGTGTAGTATTCGTTGTTTGTGGTGTTCGTTTGGAGGCTTGCAAAACAATGCAAATTTGTAACAAAATTGCGTCTGTTGTACAGGCATCCGGCACGCAAAAAAACTACTCAAGATCTTTTGCGACCGGTACGGTAGACGCATCGGAAGTGGAGTTCTCAAAAGTGGATGACTGCGGAGTCATTCAGCTCAATAAGCCGAAATCCCTGAATTCTCTATCCCTAAATATGGTGCGATTGATGCATGAAAAATTAAAGGTGAGTGCTAAAAGTGCTTTACGTCTTATATGATTCGGCAGAGCCGCAGAGGTCAAACTTTGAGACCAACGGGGCGCTTTGTAATACTGATGCAAAGCATACGAGTACAATTTGCCAGATATAAAATTAGCGTAGCTTTATTATGTACGAGTATTATAGAGTACCGAACGCGCTTATCCGTATTTTTTTCGATAGTGTGATAAAGTTTCGTCTTTTCTTGCAGCAATGGAAAGATGAGCATGTGAAACTGGTCATTTGTAAGGGAGGGGAGAAAGCTTTTTGTGCTGGCGGCGATATCGTAGGTGCGATTTTGACATTTCTTTGAAAGTCGAATTTCATCACAAATCACAGTTAGCAGCGTATTTTAATTCTTATTCTTAGCAATATATAAGAATGCCAAAAATCCTGAAAGTACGTTTGAAGATGATTTTTTTCGCGGTGAATATACCCTTGATTATCAAATTGGGACGCTTGGAATTCCTTATATTGCTCTTATTCATGGAATAACAATGGGTGGAGTAAGTAGTCCGAAAAAATAAAGCTGGAAGAAATGAATACTGACAATTTTTAATGTTACTACATAGTTGCAAAATTACGATCACCGTGTCCGAAATTTATCTTTTACAGTGTAACACGTAAAGGAATATTCGTGCGTTACAGTGTGTTTATAGAAAAGAGAATCTGTTTGCTTATATAAATTTTGTTTGTATGTTGCTGACTTGTAGGGCGTTGGGATATCGGTTCATGGAAAATATCGTGTGGCAACCGAGAAGACCATGTTTGCCATGCCGGAAACAGCAATCGGTTTCTTTGTTGATGTTGGCGGCTCGTACTTCCTCCCCAGACTACCTGGGCAAATTGGGACGTATCTCGCTCTGACGGGTACTAGATTAACTGGGAAGGATGTAAAGTTGGGTGGAGTGGCTACTCACTTTGTCGACTCAGAACTGGTAATACGATTACATTCCTAACGTTAAATTTCTTGGTTAAGTCTGCGCTGTTACGGTTGTTGTAGCTCCCTGCTTTGGAGAAAGACCTCTTAGCAATCAAAAATCCAACGTCAGAGAATGTTAACGATATGCTGTGTAATTACGAAAAGAAGGTGAGGATATTTTTTCAGTTTCCCTTACGATTATCTGCTGGCTAGAGTTGATGAGTGAATTCTGATGATGCAATAAGAGATTGTACCGCCTGTTCATTCGTTAAACGTGACGTTCTCGATGAGATTTTTTATTATGAACTTTAACTGCTGAAAATTTGTAGATTTGAAAACGTGCGTATCATATTCATATTGTAACGATAGAAAATCTTAGTACCGCCAGTTTGGATTGTTAATTGCTTTTCTACATCAGTTATTGGTTCATTCGTTCCTTGTCTTCCTCATTAAGATCATGTGAATCAGCATCTCATTGTCTTACCGCTTTACCGCTACAATCTCGATGCTCTTAACTTTTACTTTGGCGCACTGGAATCATTCTTGGATTTGCTTCTTGCCAGCTAGCTAACCTTGCTTTTTGCCTTCTTGCCCTGTGTACTTGCTAATAAGAATCTTGCCGTGACTGCCATGTCTTGCGTTGTTGTTTGTAAACACTTCGAGATGAATCGTCTCATCTCCCACACAGTAGTTGTGTAATTGCCACCTTACTTCCGGTCAGCATCGCTGCTGACCGTGCCAGCCTTTTGATTGTCAGTTAGCCTTAACAGCCGCTACATCGTGGTACGGTGGATTAACCATCCCACTAGAACAGCAGTTTAACCGCCTGCTGTTGCAATATGCTGTTTCTGTATTCATTCAGGGTGTGGCGCAAAAAGGACATGAATTCTCGCTAAGCAGGGAACTGGATTCTATCAATAATATTTTTAAAGCGAATACGATGGAAGAAATTATCCGGCGACTGGAAAAGAGAATTCGGAATGGTCGAGAAAAACACTAAGCACGATAAGGACTATGGTAATATAATTTTTTTGTCTAAATTCTTGAATTATTTTGTTTTTATAATTTTGTTCATCGAATTTTCTTTTAATTTTTTAAGAAATGAAGCTGCAAAACTTTTGAAAAGGTAGTATGTAGAACCAATATTTATATAATTGTTACTAGTATCTGTCTGTTTCTGATGTCACATTTTGTTCGTGACATGCAATCTAGCCGGTCGATTCGTACGCATGCTTGCTTATGGTTCAGAATTTCAGAGTACCGGTACCAACTTTCATCCTTTCCGGTGTTTTTCTTTTGACATATAATTTAATTTTATAAAGGGTAAACCGATTTATTGCATATGAATTTGCCAAAATATATTTTACACTAACCGTTTATCTTGGTGGATCTAGCCACCTACTCAGTACATAATATTCATAATGTTTATAACTTGTTGTTAGCTTCTCTTCGTTATTTTTTAGTTTTTTCTGCCTATTGGCTGTTTTGATAATATTTTACTTTATTTAGAGTCCGACGTCATTGAAAATCGCATTGCGTCAGATGCAGGAGGGACGGAGCAAAAGCCTTTCTGACTGTTTTAAAATGGAATTTCGGGTTTCGCAGAGGATTCTGCAAGGAAATGACTTTTACGAAGGAGTGAGAGCGAGTGAGTTACTGTTACCCAAACTTTTGAATAGAATCGAGCAGAATTTGCGTTAACATTTGCGTATTATGTAATAAGTGATTAAAAATTTATCTGTTTACTCACAATCAGTAACGGACTTACATTTTTGATTTTTGTGTACAGAACTGTTAGACAAGGACAATCAACCGCGATGGAAGCCACCGACAGTAGAAGAGGTGAATGATGCAGACGTGGATGCTCACTTCGTTCCCTTTACCAATCCCTCAAAGGAGCTTGCAATTTGAACTGGTGATAGAGAATCTTTTACAGATCTGATTTTGTTTGATAGCTTTGTGGTTGTTAAATGCGTGTTGTTTTGAGCGTTTTAAACAGTAGAATATGGCGAAAGCAGACCGGTCGTACATTAAAGTTTAACCGAACTAACGAGACAGGAATCGTACTGAGTGTTATTTCAATAAATAATTATTAAATACTTTAATAGTGTGTATTTATATTTAACGCTTGACTTCTAAAAAATATTATCCATGCATACTTTACAGCTCATCAATCAGAACTAACATAAAAGGCGGTCATCTTTGCCACGCGGTTTTTGAAAATACTGCCGATCACCCAGAGTTATCGTTCTTATTGAACCGAAAAATCATTTCCAAAATCCAAATACTCATCAAAAGTCTAGTGTACATGATCACTGAATTCTAGCAAAAACGACCATCTTGGAGCTCGGCAATCAGTATTACAAAAAAAGTAATTATGGTTTCGCATCAGTGGGCGAGAACAGTATGCCGCTCGATTACAGCACGCTCAAGAAATGGCAGATCACAAATTCAGTGAAGAACAATCAGAATATCAAATCATTTCACCCGAAAATTAGAGAAAGTGGCATAAAACAAATCCTGCTATCTCTTTTGCGCATCGAGAAGATCCTTTGCTTCGTTTATTTTAGCAGCTAGATAAGGCGAACCACCTGAAAAACACAGATGTTCAAGTATTTAAACTTCATTATAATTATAATTTAAACGAAACGATATGCGTACATTTACTACCCGTAATAACTGTTAAACGTTTGCACTTTATCTTAAACCATCAAAGACAATAAATAGTTCAAAATAACGTAGGGTAAGACTTTTGTAAAATAATCATAATATACCCGTGCATAATACATCTGTACTTCTATCCAGACTCTGCAGTCTGTAGACTATAAATACTTGCATTTTAAATTTTTGGTTACCTTTGTCAGGATGGTTTAACACCATTATCCGCTTATGCGCATCTTTGATTTTCACTTTGCTCGCAGATGGACTGCATAACAAACAGAACGATTTCAGCAGCAGCTTCAACAACTTTATTAGTAATTAATTTTATACTTTCTAAAGTTGCTGATCATAATTTTTCCGAACACCAATCCCCAACTTGAAACCTCGTCCTTCTCGAAGTTGTCGATAATATAATATCGAAAAACGCTTGCCGTTTTGGGCTTTACATAATTACTGCGCAAATACCTGACGCCAAGGATTAGTGATGCTTCTCTCTTATCCATTTTCGGTTCAAATCCTCCTTTGTAGTATCTGGAAGTAGCTCCAAATGCAGATACCGAAGATGGGAGTTCCAGTTTCTGCATGATAGGCTTTCCATAACGCATCAGGTAACGACCTAAAGAATATCACTCCAATGATACAAATTCAGGGGACCAGGATCACGGCAAAACCATCAAAAGGCCCCAAAACAACAGCAAACCGGCAGAAATCACAACTCAAGCGATCAAAGGCGCATCTCATACCTGCAAGTCCTACGCCCGCCATGGCCAATCCTGCCAGAATAAATCCAGATGACATCTTGGAACTGCAAAATATAATCACTCCAAAAAACCGTTCAGGCGTCAACGCGTTTTGAAAGAAAGTGATAATGAGCGTAGTGTTTATCCCACAGACGGGACACTACTGTACGATAAAATCATAAGGGCTTTCTGATGGACAACCAAGAAAAATATTTTCGAATTTATCAAAATGTAATGACAGCAGCTCTCATATCTCACGGGAGTATAACACTAGCACAGTCGCATTAGGAGTACAAAAACAAAAACGCTCATAAAACTACAAAAGTGAAAACTGGGAATTTTACCTAATATTTTAATTCAAAGGTAACACCGTAACCCTCAAAAGTCAACAAGCATGTCATTTTCAGAACTGGAAGTAACCAGCTGTGTGGATTGCACCATCGCTGTTGGCCTAACGAGCTGAGGCTTGTGGTAGTGCCCTGCAACGGAGTAGAAAACTTCGTCCAGTCCGACCCAAACTTAAAAAATTTTATCCGGACCCAGTCCGACTCCGAATTCTAGAAACCTGACTCCGACAAATCCGATCCGTAAATATTTTTGGCCAATCCGAACCCACTCCGGTCCGCTCCGAAAATATTTTCAAAATACTGTTCATTAAGTATTTTTACTATTGTGTTTCTTTTAAGGCCGTTTTTTTCGGTAGCAAAAGCTTCAGTAATCAGAGGTCACAGTCACAGTCTTTTCCAGGGCGTAAAAAATGTTACATTGGAATATATTCATAAAAAAAGCTTCTTGTGGTACAGTTAAAGTCTTCCTTTACCGCTACAGTGTAGCATAGAGGAGCTATTCTCACTGCCAGAAATCTGCATCAGATTTAGTCGGTGTGAAAGGTTCGGGTCACGGGTCACTGAAGTATTTATATTTCTAAACTTCCAGAACATCAAAAAATATAGTTTCACGCATATTTTCTTTAGCTATAGTTAAACATATAGTACCCATATTAATATTATTACTATTTGATTTTCTCGAAGTTTAAACTGTTTTCAGATACCTACTGTGTGCGTCTAGTATTAACGAGAAAATGATATTGTATCATCCTATCACCAATACCAGAATGATTACTCGTGCTACAAATATAAAAAATGGGAAACCGGTGCCCTATTGTCTGAGCCGTACAATACTAGCAATCCGTCAGATACTGTAACGTATTAATCAAAGTAGTAACTCGTAGTTAGGTATACGATATATTTCGTAGTTAGGTATACGATATATTTCGGTAGAACAATGACAACTGACAGCATCACAACAATCGTTTTAAGAAACGCTTTAATACTGAAAAGTGTCAAGAGAGTTGCTGTCATAAAAGAAAGTAAGAGAGCTAACAACAGTGAACTAATGAAAACCAAATACTACCTTAGTGGTAAATAATTTAAGGCAGATGGAAGCCTCGCGCGAAGCTGACGAAGCTTTTTGTTTCGAAAATGCGTGATATTCAACAAAAATTGAACAATATTATTTATTTATTTACGGTTAATTTGGAGCCTTGATTGCATCCGAATCCGATCCGGTCAGATGCACGTAAACTCCGAAACCACTCCGAATCCGAATTTTCTACACCGGAATCCGTCCAATCCGATCCGAAATTCGGAGTGGGTTCGGAGCAGTCCATTGCAGGGCTCTAGCTTGTGGAGCTACAGACTACAGCGTAGTAACGGGTATGCTTACGAATCTTAATCGTAACTTACGATTAATAAAAGTCAAAAGCGCGTTTTGGGGTATTCGTGATTCTCGCCGAGACTGCAGACTGGCAGTGTGTCATTTTGACGTCCCTAACAAACAGGGATATTACAGTGCGCCAACAGGAGAATTATGCATTCACTCTGTTTCTGTTCGTGTGCTGCCATATGGGCGGTGGTGTAATACCGTGGCCATAGCACTAGCGCTTGATTTAAGAATACTGTAAACATTTTTATCACACGTTTTTTGCTCGTTCCAAAGGATGGTTTTTTGTGAATTTTCAAGTATCTGCCCAATTACCAAACAGCATAGTTTGCAAACGCGCGGTATTTAAAAGTGCCGGGCTCAGCACTTGTTGTTATGGGCCTACGATGACTTCCCGGCGCACCTTAGGCGCACGGCTGCCAACCGCCACAGGGTACCATCCCGGCGAGAATCATCAATTGGCTGTGTCGGTAGTAGGTATCATGTGCTACTTACGCGCCAAAGAAACTGGCCAGCGATGTGAAATGCTGCAACAGTGAACGATAATTTATGGAAATTTCGATTTTGTTTTGAGTTCAAAGTTGTTATAATTTTTAAAACTTGTTGAATATCTGGCACAAAGACAGACATTTGCACGGTACACGGCAAGCGCCAAGCATCACTGCTTTGCATTCGAAATGAAAACGGCTAATTTGTAGTTTACAACTTTAAACTCCGTGTGGGCACTGGGCATATAAATTAAATTTGTATAATAATATAAATTTTTATAATTATAATAAGTAGTTAAGTATGTACTGTGAAAACTTGTGAGAACTACTTGTATTACTAGTAACAATAGAAGCAGAATTAGATGTTGAGATTACGTATTTATAATTATAAGAATCATACGCCAGGATTACCGCGAGAAATACATACTTACTGTAGTTGTGTTGTTTGCATAAGCGCTGACAAATTATGATGGCGTAGCACTTCCTTGTAAAGCATTATACTCATATTTATTTGTTTATGCATATCTATAGTCTATAGGTATGGGTATTGTACATTCTTGCAGCGCGTTATGGCTTTCGCTTTTGAACCGTCCGGACCGTGACGCCGACGCCGGTTACCGTGCCGCAGGGTTTCGGGCCGACCTATGGGCGTTGACTTCATTTCAGAGCTGGTTGTCGGCAGGAAGTTTTGCGACACTACATGTACAGGTGCGACTTCGTTAAAAGCACACGCAACGCAGTGGCTTATGTTCTGCAACCTTGAACAAACAACCACCTACTTCTCGAAATCCTTGCTAAATTTACCAGTTGTGTTTGTGTTGATTTTCTCTCTACGAAATTTGTATCCGTAATGTCCATTTTTCTTTGGGTTGTGGAAGTAAGAAGTTTCTGCAGTTGATGTTGCTGGCTGTTAGTGTTCTGCGTCGTTGTGTGGAGGGCATTTGATTACACCTATTACTTTTATTACAATAAATTATTTCATTATTTGGCAAAGAAGTTCGACAGAAAATAACTACTCCAGATTTTGACCCGCAATCAGTGGACTACAAAAGCCACCGGACGATACACCTCACAGAAAGGACGGTAAGTGGTTCACCGTTATAGTCTGTTAGTCAACAGTTGCTGTTTTAATGTACCATAGAGAATCTATATTCTGTTTCTGTTTGATTTTATTTATTCAGTTTTTTATTGTTAATTATAAAAGGAAAAAACACTCTATGGATGTCTGATACTGCCATAATTCTTGTGGGAAAAGTAAACGTAGTGAAGTATAATTATGTTACTGGCCTACATTTTGTGACCTGATTTAAACCGTGATATCAACGGCGTTGGTCTTGAGAACTCTGAACCGGTGCATCGTAGAACTTGATAATTGTGTTATTAACTTATTGTAAATACGTACACACGTACCCACATGCCGTAAGTACTGTGTTTGAATACTTTTGAAGTTTTAATCAGTTTGTAATTCCCTAGTTCCATGTAGGTATGTTGTAATAGAAGAAAATATGACTATGTAATATGCTGGACAATTAATTTTGTTGACATGCTAATTTTGTTTTTTGGGTAACAGTCAATGTCAGTTGTGGCACAAAATTAAAACTGTTTTTGTGAAGCATAAAATAAAATAAGTTCTTTTGAATACATTTTTCATGTCGTAATCTCATTAATTTTCGGAAATTAGCTTGTTACTTCTGTGCAGAGAAAATCTCATTCACTGTCGGTGTTCCCACGTAAGGAAGTTATACTATGAGTATTGTTGGAATTATGACCAGGAAGCACTTATTGTACGCAGTACATACCTTGTACAGTAGAAGTATATCACTTCCACTTACCATTAACTAGATGGGTATGTATTTTAAACCGAAACAAAAATCGATGCACCCTAGATGGATCATGGAGTTAAACGTGACATTATAGCGGAAGTTGTTCCGGCTCGTGCCTCCTCAGGTACAGAGAAATGAGAGAATAGACCGCAGTTTTCTTAATAGACGGCAGGTCCTCAAAAGTGATGTGATGATATAACACTGCTTAATTTACTGATAAGTATTAATTACCAAATTTGTAACAAGCTAGTTTAACAGCCTTCACAATCTTGAAGTTATTCAGGAATTAAAATATTGTCAATGATTTTATGAAGTCGCACACAGTGTTGAATCTTGATTCGTCATCTTTGTACATAGTATACGAAAAACGCAAATTTTTTCTCACTACACTGTGATTACAGTATGTTGTGTGATCGTGTAGCTAATTATGATTTTTGCATTTTGACGTAAAATTTGGTCTCTCAGCGTAGTAATTCTTCTGTTATGTACGTTATTGTGAATATCTGGCGGATGCTTCCGGAAATGCTTGATGATTCACTCTTATCATGAGTTCGTCGTCGTCCGATCACTTCAGAGTTCCGTCGCATAAGCTTTCAGAAATTGTTGAGTGTGGATGCCCTAATTAATTCAAATTTTTTTAAACGTTTTTAGGCCTTCAACACTACCGGTGACTACGAGTACAAAAAGTAAAGATTATTCCAACAATACAGACAATTTTTACATGCTAATTACGTGTTACGCTGTTCACCGCATGTGCCTGTACAACTGCATTTCACCTGGTAATGAAAAGGGGTACGAGTACAATTGTACTGTACACAGCACCAATACTGCACCATGATAAGTAACTACATTTGTACTGGAATTCGAAGTTTTCCTTTATTTCGATTTTTTGGCTTCCGGAGATTTTTTTGTTCCTTAAATGAGCTGGGTGTTTATTCTCACAGAATATTATGTAATAACAAAATCGGAACTGCAATGCCAGATACTACTTACATAGAAGAGAAGTACCGTAGACACAGTAAAATTACTAGTAATATGTTACAGTACTCACCGCCAGAGCCGTACTGCGGTACAGGTTACTCAGTTTGAAAATAAAAAATAACTAATGCGATAATTATGTACAGTAATTTTTTCGAAGTTCTGTTTTCGAATTCACCTTCCAGTGAGAGTGCGTGAGTGTCCACTGTCACCTTTAAAAGGCTGCGGCTGAAAGGTCCGAATATGGTGTTTCATGACTAAAATTAAGACTTTTCAGTGTGTATCGCTTATCGGCCTTGCTTACATCAGTACTTAACAGTAATAGCGGATATTATGTTTTATCAGTGATTTATTAACAAAGCCATATAAGCGTTAACTCAATCATACCATGAGATTGTTCGTGGGAAGGCTTTCTGACGAAAAACTAATCACATATTGGGCCCTGCTTTTCAATGATAACGACCTGTACTGTGTTGTCGGCTGAACAGTGAACAGTACGTACTGTAGCAGCGTAAAACCGGTCCTCGTAAAATCTGTGCAACTGATAAGGGAGTAGTATGCGGAACTCCTTTTTCCTTCCTCGTTGCAAAGCGTGTGATCCATACTGAATCACTGATAAAAATTCGAGTATTTTGATAAGTTTTTAGGCGGTCACCTGCAGACGCAAAGTTCAATAAATTTCGTCCGGACCAATAAAAAGTCATAAAACCTGCATGAATCGAGCTTGTTCTGTATGTTTACTCGTGAAACGACTTTCATTGCTGCGTTTATCGCGGGACGCTTTTGAACGCGTGCGCTGTGCAGATACTGTAGAGGTATTTCTATTGCACACACAATAGATTATTATATTTGCTTCACGCATACTGTAATGTTTGATTTCGCCATCGGAGACAGTCATAGTTTATCCTGATTTAGTATAATATACAACGGTCCTGAAGGTAGTACTTAAATAGTGACTAAATACCCTAAATTATCTGCAGCAGATATTTGCACTGTTATAGTGCAGTACTTAAAATTTAACGCGGTTCCCCTGTTTAAACGTTAAACGAGTGTTACTGTGATATCAGGTACACTGCATTAGCAGCTACGGGAAACGGACCTTGTTGTTTTTCCCTGCTAAAATCAGCAGCGTCAATAGCCTTTTTGTCGTTTTCGTGCATTTGTATCTCCTTATTAATGCACTTCAAAGAAAGAATATTTTATGTACCTGGTGTCTGATTACTGAGCAGGATACGGAATACGAGGACGACGGAAGAAACTGTGTAGAGTGTCTGAGATCCACTGACCACCTTTGAATTTAGAAGACGGCAAAATGGGACTGAACTGCGGGGCCTCTTGTGCAAAGTACGTTCATCATCACACCGGCTATTTTCGGATTGCTCAGATACTAAAACGGATTCTTGTAGATACATACTGTTCGCCTTCAACCTTATATTCTTTTTGGGAGGAGGTGCCGTTCTTGGTATTGGGATATGGATTTTGGTAAGTTTTACCAGCGGGTCACTGTCTCAATTAGTTTTTGTATCATGGCCAGAAATTTGCTTGGTTTTGGTGGAATAATGATTCTGTGCGATGTTCTCGGCACTCGAATTAATCCATATCTGCACTTTAAAGACTGCAACTAAACGGTATAAATTGTGGTAGCGTAAAATCTTAATTAGATAAATTGACAGTGATAAATTGTTTATGGTCATTGGTCAGTGAAACACTGGTTGCATCCATACCAGATACCGAGACATTTACTCTAATAATTGACAATGTTTCAGTGGTTCTGTTAATTCACTGCTTATTTTTATGCGTATTTACAGGTGAATGCTGCCAGTTTTCAGAGTGTGGTTGACCAGATTTCTCCTGACAGCGCAACTGTGATGCAAAACAGCATTCTGGCAACGAGTTCAACGACGGTGCACACTGTGGGGGGAATTTTGGTTGGCGTTGGTGCGTTTGTCTTCCTGGTTGGTTTCATGGGTTGTTGCGGAGCTTGTAAGGAATGGCGACCACTTCTCGTCGGTGTAAGTCAGCTTGAATCGACATATTTATTGCGTTTTTATGCATCATGTGGCCTTGACGTATGCATATTTGTGAATTGTAGTATGCCATTTGTTTAATAATCATTATGCTGGTGGAAGTGGGAGTCGGCATCGCAGTTGGCGTGTACAAGGACAAAGTGAAGGATGCCGTTACGACGGAACTGGTAAAAATTGCGGATCTTTACGATTATGTCCCTACGCATTTGGTGAGCGGATCGAACAGCCAGTTCGCCGTCAACAAGACAACCGGTGGAAACCCCGATATTGTTCAGGCAACCGCAGCATTTAACGCCTTGCAATCTTGGGTAAGGAAATACTTTTCCGAAACTAGGAGCACACAATACATTTCTCCAAAAATAACTATTGTGTGGCAACACGTCTGAGCAAAGCTGCTGATTTAGACATTCCAATCAGAAATAGATGTTTGTGCATAATGCTCAGTGTGCTGTTTCGATTTATGACAGATTGGCTGCTGTGGCGTTACGAAAGGATATTTGGATTTTAGCAATTCTCCTTACAGCAGGAATCCTTTTGGTAATATTCCGCCGGTTTTCTGTTGTAAATTTTATGACGCGGCCTCTTTGCGATTGGCGTCTGATGGAAAATGTTATGCCATTCATGAGCGTACCAATCTCGAAGTCTCAAATTTTAATACGGTAAGTCTGGAATGATCACTGAGCATAACAAATTGTGATTTCTTAAGGTTAGTTTATTACTTCATCAAATTCGTCTTGCATGGTGTTTCAACTCACTTTCAATAGAGTTTCAGTGAATTGTTATTCGTCGTAACGGTTAGCTCTGTACAGTAAGCAACTGTCTGAAATGTTTAGGGATGCGTGAATCGGATTGAGAATTTCGTTAATGACAATGCGCCGATTATTATTGGGGTGGCTGTCGGTATCGGCCTGATTGAGGTACGGTGACCGATGCCCGCATTTGCGAGGCTGTAACCTGTGATTTGCAGTAATGATATAATGGTAAATTTCAGTGATCCCTTTTTTTGCAGTTGGTTGGAGTGTTCTTCGCCTTCTGTTTGTGTTGCGCTATTGGCGACAAACACCGATACGACTAACCTTTGATCTTTTTACGTAGTGCTATCTGGATGTTATTTTTTTACCGCAAGTTTATGCAAGACGTTTTTCTGGTCTCGAGAAGGTTTTTCTTTCAAAGTGCGGGCTAGTTCCCATGGCACGACCAAATTTTGTGAAGTTTTTAGTGATCCTTTCGGTTTGTTAGGCTTTCTGTTTGGATGATGTCAGTTCGGAGTTTATTTGTGATTTTTACCATGATGTAAAATATACGGTGTCTGTAGTACTAGTATTTCTGCAGTTCTACTCGTTACGTCTGGTCGTTACGAACGTTTCCCCGTCAATCCTGGTGGTTTTATGGTCTGCACCGATAAATAAAACCCAGTTGAAAATCGGCTGAATTATGTTCGTGTAGTTGCTATTAGTAGCGTAGGATAATTGGTACACGGGTATGTGCAAATTTAAAAAATTGGCTTGCAACGAATGAAATCTAAATGCTTGAGAGCTTGGAGCTGTGAGAAATTTACAGTATAACATTGACATCGCACATTTCTGATACTTCGTATACCATCTATGCCATACACACAATAGGAAATTAGGAATACATAGAAACGAACTGTAAGGTCTACAATTTAAAGACGGTTTCCATTGACCTTTTCTGATGGTGTTGGGCTGGTGTTGTTCAACGATTGCTACTAAATAGTCGCCAGTGGATTTTTGAACCCCCGGATCACCGGCACCGTAAAAAAACTGAAATCATAATTTGTGCACTTTCCTTCTCAGTTTCCGAAAACTTGCAACAACCGGCCATATAAAATACGGTTTCATTAAAGTCATTTCCTTTATGTTCACTTCCCCTTCTAACTTTAGCGCACACTTCCGTTTGTCGACACTGTAACAACATAATTTTGATAACTTTATCAGCGTGTATTAGTTCGTGAACTGCAGGTCTGATTACTAATCCGCGAGGTCTTCGGTTCTCACAATCAGCTGACATCTTTTGTACATTTTTAACCCGGAAGCAGCACGGCCGTAGTTAGCGTATGTCGTTAGCGCATTGGATAGTACAGGACGACGGTATGAGTAAATAATACAATAGACATGTACAGGATACGTAAGTGTACAATATACAACCGCATTGTGGATTCGGTTTCCCGTCACGGTTTTGCGATAACTGCGCGCATAGGAAAGCATCAGCGACTACAGTTCCTGATACTGGTGAAAACAGGTAATCATTGTTCGGGAAAACGTTAAGAAAGAACTAAACATCATTTGCATGCATATGTTCGGTTTCGTTAATGAAGTAGGACACATAATCAGGTAGCCGCTTATGCTCTCCAGAACGAATCTCTCTCACTCCACACCTTATATGTAAATGGCTTTATACATCGTGATCCACGCTCAAAAATTCAGATCTCGATTCTCGAAGTACTGAGGTACCTGTACTTACTAGTTATCATCAAAATGGGATTCAAGCGCATCGAAGCCGGTTCGCTGTAAGCATACGAGTATCAGTAATTTTATTCCAGCGCGGATAGACTGGTCATTGGGCTGCATAACAAATTCGCACATTGCTTGTAGATGCTTTCTTTCCTTCCTGATAATATTGGTTTTGGGGGTATTGCTTTAACTGGAATGGGAATATGGATTCTGGTTAGTGGACGAATAAAAATAACGATTAATACAAAATTTCTAGCGTGTGCTATAGAAGTAATATACACATTCTGTAATAATACATATCTACGCATGGAAGTACAATTAGTACACTGTAAGAATATTATTTCGTTTGCAAGTCTTAAATGAAAATACACACCCGTAATTGTGTAAAATTACAGAGCAGTGAGCACATAGTTGCAGATAAACATCATCAATTTCCAAAGTGTGGTAAACATTGTTGTTTTCGGCTATGCGGAGAGTATCTCTGCCTCGAACAGTGTCCTGCCTTCTGTTCTCGCTACTCTAAAGGTCATAAGCGGTATTATGATCTGCCTTGGCCCTTGTGCCATTCTGGCGTTATGCTTACTAGCGCGTTCCGTGACGTACGAGGAAGATCGCACTTTTTGGGCCGTAAGTCGGAATGTCGGCAGGAACCATTCTCTGCAAACTGGACTCCAGCGTTTTCGATGTTTTTGCAGATTTTTTTCAGTACAGATATTTCTTAATCGTTTAATTTTTAGTATGTTGGTTGCGCTGTTCTGATTATGTTACTGGAGGCTTCTATAGGCGTTGCGATGGGAGCCGGTAAAGGTTATGTAAAGGAAACTATCGTGCAGGAGCTAAATGCAACCGTGGGTTATTATGATTACGTCTCCACTTATTTGCTGCCGAAATCAGACGACCTGCTGATCGTGGACGCAATGAATAACTCGGATGGAAAGTTCGTCCATGCCACGCTGGTATTCAATGCTTTGCAAACCTGGGTACACTCTAATAAAATTGTGAAATCTTTTTTCCATAATTGCGCAATTCTTTTATTTTTGCTGGCAATTGGTAGTTCGGTTGCTGTGGTGTCACAAATGGATACTGTGACTTCATGTCCGCTCCGTACAGCAGAAATTCTCCGTACGGTTTGATTGCGCCTGTATTTTGCTGTAAAATGTATGATCCCAAATTGCTCCAGCTGGCATCCGGTGGCAAATGCTCCGATATAGCGTTTCGACATTCGGAATACGTTTCGAATTATCGTGTGGTACGTGCATTGTGCAACAAGGGTTCCTGAATTTTCTGGGATAATCGGGCAATCTTTATACTTCTATCCATATTCTACTGTGACACGTACCGGTAGTTATAAATTTAGATATTTGGGTACCTTTACCGGACCACCTCCCAAATATTATAATTATGTAATGTAACAAAAAATATACAAAGGTATTTACACGTCCTAAATTTGTCGCAAATTAGCACCAGTCAGATATTTGTGGTATCCATATGAAAGGGCCAATTCGATGGAGCATATTAGGTTTCCTTGTTTTAACATTTAATATGAGAAATGCTAATCTTCTGTCAAAAATATTTACATACTGTATAAACTGTTTTACTAGGGTTGCAAATCGGAAATCGACAACTTCGTTGACTATAACGCGTCTGCAATTATGGGCGTAACAATGGGAACTGCCATAGTAGAGGTGACGGGAATATTTGCGTTTTCTGCTGCGATTAGATAATATATCCTTCAATAGTAAAGCTAATTACGAATGTTTTTGTTTATGCTTGCAGCTTCTCACGGCATTATTTGCAGTCATTTTATGTCGCCAAGGAAAAACTGATTATGATTAAGTGAGGACGACATCTGCAGCTGTGGAAACTGCAAACGATTTGCACATTGCAGATACGTTTACACAGTTTGACTTGTTAAGTTGGCCATATGGATCATTCACTGCCTTGATTGTGATTTTCCGTGAACGTTGCCGTTAGGATTGGAAAAGCGGATTTTGATGCAGCCCTTGCTTATGCGATTTATTTTCTACATGCAAAGAAGTATCTCGATTTATTTGTTTTAATACTCACGGATTTCCGAATCTTTATGAAACGGCGTTCACTGAAATGCAACATATACGGAGTACTACATCTCTGATACGTGAAACGAACTATTAAGTACTGTACTTCAATGTAGCATATTTAATTATATTATACTGTATAATACAGTGAATGTACTTGGTTGATCATCGAATCCAAATCTTAACTTATAACTACAGCCAAAATTTGCTCGAAGCACTCTGAGAACACCCCGGGGTTACTTAAAAACGGTAAACCTTTATTGCAAAAACATGTTTAATTAATGTGCTGGAAGCGTAACAGTGTCTAACAACAAGAAGAATGCGAAATGGTTTGCTCTTGGGGCAGATGCTTTATGTTGCAGAGACTTCGAACCGGCGACATCGGCGCTAGTGTAGTCTAAAACAGTAGCTGCATATAATTCTCTGTTAGGTGTAGCATATATTTGTGGAGGGCGACTATGTCCTCGCAGCTCTAGATTCTTTGAAATATAACTGCATTTTTTAAAAAAACTGCGCAAAGATGGCGATGGATCTCGGTGGACCACGATGCGCCAAGTCAGTGGGATGATTGTACAGTTAATAAGTTTCATAAAAACTCTCATTTTTGTTTGTAGGTACACGTTGTACGTGGTCAACGTGGTAATTATCATCTTGGCCTGTGTGACACTGGGTGTCGGAATATGGCTCAGCGTAAGTAAGGGATTTCCCTCGATTAAAAGCAGCGACAGCTAGCCGCATTTACTGAGCTTCGATTTCTGGATCATTGCAACTTTCAAATCGACACATTTACGTTCCAGCCGCTAGGATTATTGCAAAAAAATAACCATTCGTACCAATGAAATAGTTATTTGTGTAGCCAGACTGTATAACTGTGGCACAGACTTGTTTAAGATACTTTCTTAAGTACCTATACTTCGTATCTCGCGCGAGGTATAACTAAGCCACTGTATGCGACATTCTGAAATCAACAATCGTTTATACAAAAATTGTTTGCAGACTAACGTTTCCAGCTTTGTTACCGCCTTGAATCCTCAGCTGGATCCTACGCATGGTTTGGCGACAGAGTCATTCCGCAACCATGTCGGCGGCGGTGTCAGCGTAAGTTTGTACACGTATACAATACATACCCTACACACAACAAATAAATAAACTAACAATAAGAAAAAAGTCGTCATCAACCTGCAGTAAAAAGGAAATTATAGAGTATTTTCAATTCCGAAAATGGAGAGAGACCTTACAAGCAGGCTTTGCTATGTAGAGACTTCAGACTGTCGCCAATGTTCTCATCACAGCCGGTGTATTTGCCCTTTTGATCGGAATCCTGGGATTCTGGGCGGCTTACAAAGAATCGAAGTCGCTTTTGATTACGGTAAGAGAATCTCGATGCGCGGAGTTTTGCAGCCGGAACTCCCATGTCAAATTCTGAAATTTGTTGTCAGATTAAGTACGATATTTTCTTGTAGTATGGAGTCATATTGATTCTGGTAGTTCTGCTGGAACTCGGTGCCGGTATTGCGTTTGCTGTGGATAAGCCGACAATTATCCACAATGTGGCTCGCGATTTTGCTATGTCTGTCGATAATTACGATTACGTTAAAACCGGTCTGGATTCCAATGATCGCATAGTCATCCTCCAGGATCGCACCAACAACAACATTACGGAGCAGGCAACACTCATGCTTAATGTGCTGCAGACCTGGGTAAGCGAAAATGGCTTATGATCAGTAGAATGTGTATGATTGACTACGCTCAGTTATTCTGACCCGGTTACACTTTTTGGCGTCGTGACATGTTATAATAAAACTATGGCACAACTATGATCTACCGAAGTTCGAAATACCGTAATTAATTTTAAAACTTTAAAATCATTATTTGCATATTTAAATATTCAACACCGGTTTCAGCTCGAGCAAAAAAGAACTACACAGTATTATAATTGTAATATCAGTACATACAGCTTTTCTGATGCACGTATCTAGGTGGGATGTTGCGGTGGTCTGCATGGATACAGGGACTTCGGGAACGCGCCATCGCCGTACTGGAAGAAATCGGGAGGTGTCCCTCCTGTATTCTGTTGTAAACTGGTCAGCACCAAAACCTTGCAACTGGAAGATCCGGGATGCATCAAAGTCCGAACGGAAGAGAATTCATGGATGAACACGGTGCGTAGTATATGTATATTTGGTACTACTTAGTGCTTACTTAATTTGTGGTCAGGTCGAAGAGCGTTGTAAATTCAAGCTTTCTTGTCATCCATCTAAATAGGGTTGTGCTGACAAAACCGCCGACATAATGCGGAAAAATATGCCTTCCGTCATTGGAGTTTCCGTCGGCGTTGGAATCGTTGATGTACGTTATGTAGCGTCATTTAATTTCAATCCCTGCTCGATATGTAGTATGTACCAATACTCCTGTACTAGTAATAATTACAGCTTGCATCGGCTTAAGACATGCACTTCCATTTTATGGTCATATTGAAGTATCGTTTGCTTGCAGATTATTGGTGTCGTCGCGGCGTTTTACTTTTACTACACGTTATCTCACGGATATCGGGAATTTTGATCAAACCACGCTAAGAACCAGGCGGAAGATATTTTATGGACGATCTTGTGGATTTCTATTCCATGTGTTGGCGTCTGTAGTTGCCATTCTGAAATCAAAGTTTTTTCGCATTTATAAAACGTTCATCTCAGAAATGTTCTTTTCCAATGCTGTATGTTCGTTTTTCTCTACCAGAACGTACAGTGCTGCGAATTTCCACGATTTCTGTTAAAAATTCGTTATACACTCACGAACAATAATTCTGCTACTGAGTTCAGAGTGACCTTTTGATGGCTCTGGGCTCTCTACATTATTATTTCGACATCGGCTTGGGTTTTTCTTATTAAATGTAGTTCTAGGCTGGGGAAGTACAATTTAGGTTTTAAGACTGTTTATGAATTCGCAGGTGCTCACCGTACAAAACCGGCCGTCCTTTGCAGTTACAATTCATTACACTTTTAGTGACCCCAGGGCATTTTCGCTGACAACAGCCTGCAGACACGAAAGCATTCAATAACCAACCGCAAGAACTTTTGCGACAAATTTATTATTTCTATGTTTTGCCAGTATGATCGTTTGGATGATGGAAACACTAGCTAGTGTACGGCTAATATTAGCACAAAAAATGAGCAAAGTTTTTGCCGATGATCTACAGCAGCTTTAATACTGTTGGCTTGACAGCAGTATCCCAATCGTGTGACTTTATCAAGCTTTCTGGTTTGCTTTAAGACCTTAGACCCTAAATTTGAATTCAAGTAGAATCGGCTACGATTCGATGCTTGCAAAACATCGTATACTTATTATAATCTATCCTTACAATTACGAAAACTTAGTTAGAATAAATTTCGGGTATCTGTAAAATTAATTACAGCAAACGTTTGCCGGTTACTCGAACCTTAACGTGAGCATTTGTGTTTCAAGCACTTGCCGTTCTTGCAGTTGTTGTGTCACAAATGGCTCTTGCATTCTGTGATAGCTGACAAGCTACCACTTCTTTTTTTCCTTTGCAGGTTGCTAATGCCTTGCTAATGCTGTTCCAATATTCTCCATTAACATTCAATCTTCCGGCTAGCCACATGGAGTTGTCCGGGTACACATTCAGAACTGCGCCATCATTTTCCTAAGATTGAAACGTTAATTATAATAATGATACTTTGTGGAGCTACCGATATCAAGTGCGTAAGTAATAAGTATTAATTAAGAGTCTGTTTGGAGAAGTATTGATGCTGCTTGAAACTACTGCTTTAGGAATGCTGCTTTTCGAACCTTCCTGCTAATTCTGAACGAAAATAACCTTTTGCAGATATAAATTTTGTAGCGAGATACATATGCGTGCGTTCCGCATTTTCTTTAAGTTATGTTTCGCCAAAATTGTCGCTATCCTACTTCGAGTACCTGGGGTAGTTTTCGCACCATCTGATTGCACTGATTATATATATGTTAGCTTTTGCACGAAAAAGAGCGATTCGCTAACTGCCGTTCTGCTAACATTTTGCTAACACGCCGTTCTGTTGCCGTTTTGCTGCCGTTCTGCTAACACGCCGACGTCCTGTACCATGAGGACAGTTATTATAAGTGTATGTATCCAAATTTTCAGGCATTTGCAAGCGTACAACATAGTAATTGTCCTTTGCGGATTAGCTGTGCTCGGTGTTGGAGTATGGATGGCGGTGAGTGTAAAGACTCGATGGACAATTAGACATGCATAATCGGTCTTGCCAATCCATTAGTTGTAATTAAATTACTATGCGTAATACAACGAGCATGAACTTTGAGCAAATGATTTTCAGCGCGATTAAAAATTATTTCAGTTACAGGTGGACTCTATGAGCTTTCGCACTGCTTTAGAAAATTTGGATTTATGGGGTCCAGCAGCACAGGCAGTCGAAACTCTGTTCAAAAATGCGTTACGCCGGGTGAAGGATTCTGCTGTAGTCCTCATAGCTGCAGGAGGCCTTGCCGTTGTAATAGGAGCGGCGGGAATTCTCACAACCTACACTAAATTTCTATTAATCCTGGTAAATTTACTTCCTGCGGTTAATATACACAATTATGTATTCTTCTAGTTTTTATGCCACTTTTATATCATTTTTTATACTGGTGCAATAACCGGCCTGACCATGTGATTGACCTTTATTTACAGTATGCCGTCATGCTTCTTATAGTGGTCATCATGGAGGTGGGAGCGGCAACCACTTTCGCCCAAAGTGCTCCCCAGGTCGTGGAAGCGGTGGAGGTGGAAATGAAAAAGTTAATCCCGGCGTACGATTTCACTCCAACTGTCATGGGAAGGCGTAATCGGATCATTCCCATTCACCACAAAAGAGTCGACAATGCCACTGCAGTGTCCACGCTGATGGTCAACGTTATTCAAGCCTGGGTATGATGATACCGTATTAAAAAGATTTATCCCCTGGCATAAACGAATTATCCATTGCAACTCATTCAGTTTTGCTAATTACTAATACCTTGCTAACTTGATGCATGTTTGTATTGTCGTACGTGTAAGCAGATCTGCAGATGCGATTTACTGTTATAAAGCGTACAGAATATGTGTTTAAAGTATCATGTAGTTGTTTTGATTTTAATCATGCCAATTATGTTAAACGTACGTATTGTTGCAGGTTGGCTGTTGTGGAGCAGAGTCGGGATTTTTGGATTACAATCAGACAAGGTTTTGGAAGAAGAGTTGGAATATTAGCTCGCAAGTTGTGCCGATTTATTGCTGCAAGTTTTCCAACTGGCAAAAATTGGAACTTGTTGATCCTAACTGCTTTTTTGTCCGTACTCCGCTCAACTCATGGATGAACACGGTAGGATTAAGTGCTTTAAAAGAAAGTCAGTCATGAACGATGCTTCACTCTATCAGACTCTGTATTTGCATTTTGCTTTCTATTCTATACGTGAGTATTAATTAACATTACAGTCAACTTATTTTTGTATTTGCACATAAAGTGCAGATTTGCTTTCGCCGGATTATAACATCTTACAGATTTAAGTACAAAATTCTGATCGGAAAAAATTTTGTATTATTCGTAAAAGCCAGAAAAATTCCCATTCTAACGTAAGAATTAACAGCGTGCAACCGTTTCTAGGGTTGCATTAATAAAACGGAAGCCCTGGTTCGTAATAAATTTCCCATTGTGACAGCCGTTTCCGTAATCGCAGGACTTGTTGAGGTAAGCGTAGACGTTCTGCGGATTGTTTTACGTAGCTGGAAGCTAGAATGGTTGTCCGTTCTTTGCAGACTGGAGCGGTCATTTTTGCGTTCGGCTTGAGTTACTCCATTGGAAAGCCGGGATATTATGAACTTTGATCCTTTTGAATTTTGTTGTACTCCTCTCGCACGAGTGCTTTTGTATCAAGTAAATGCAGAATTTCAACCGGTACCAATTTAACCAGAATCTGGTAAAGAATCAGAATCACACGATATCAAGTTTGACCTTTCCGATGTTCGAATTTCCAAATTAAATGATGCATTCCAGATGTTGACTTCCTGACTGTTATTACCCCATTAGAGCCCATTTCAAACTCCGAAATGAATAAAAACATCTGACCTCAAAAACCATACAATAATAGGTAAACTACAATAAATAATTTGTGGCTACGTACGCATACAACAAAAATCTTAACATGCAGCAACCCATTACACCGAAAATGTACCGGTAGGTAATTTACCTGCCGAAAATAATGCATGTATATCAAAACTATAGAAGTATATGTAATTGGATCTGTGAGCTAGTTTACACTGACCAGATAAAAGCCAACAAACACGCACAAAAAGATGAACAACAAAAAAAGCGACATATTGCGCTGCACAAAATTAAAGGCATTTTTTTATTCCTCATCGAGCTCTTCATTCAATATCACTTCGCCGCCCTCATCATCGGATTCCGATGAAGAGTATTCCGCTTCGATCAGCACCGGCTCCGCCATTGCTTCTCCGGCCAAGTGCAGACTGGACTCCGATGGATCCAGGCTGGCATCGGATGCCAGATGCAGGGCGGCGCTGCCGGATAAATCCATGATTTCCGAGAAGCCCGGACGATCGAACTGCCCTTGCTTTCCATGGGTTATTAGATGAGTCTTCAGATTAGTCGACTGGGTGAATGCCTTTGTGCAGCCGTCGTAAGGGCACACGAAGGGACGGATTCCATTGTGAATGCGCATGCTACAACGTAAACAAATATCGAAATAAAAATTTGTGATAGTACTGGTATTAAAACAAACTGGAAAAGACATACTTGCTTTATACAAAAAACAAGCCGGTACCGATCAAACAAGAAATCTGAACGATGTTCAAATATACATAAACTCAACTATGCAATGGTTTGCTACGGCATTATAAAACACGAAAACAATACTGAAATAAATTAAAGTAATTTGGAAACGAAAGGAGAACAGACAGTATAATTAACGCCAACTATACAAAACTACACAAACCAACGAAAAGACAGGCACACAGCACACCCCGGAATGCATAAATGAAAATTTATTTACGTAACACAACCAAACAGACGGCTTTAACATCGGGTAAAATAACAATTCCGTAAAACAAAAGACACCAACAAAAACAGGTTGAAGGAGATCAACACTCACTGCGTTCGGAGATTATGATCCAGAGAAAACCGTTTCCCACACCCTTCAAACGAGCACTAGAAAGGAAAAACACTATTAAAATTTTAAAAAAAAGTGTACAAAAGAGTCTCTCGGGAAACCACATTCGGAGATTATCAAAAACAATCCATCATCGTGCTTCAGTCAGTCTGGGCCACCTGATAGGGTTTTTCTCCCGTGTGCACGACGTAATGCCGGCGCAGTTTGCTGTTCTCAGTGAAACTCCGCCCACACACTTCACAGGTATGGCACTTGGGCGCATGCGATTTGCGATGCTTCCGGAAGGAAGAAATGTTGGCGAATTTCTTGTTGCACCCGGGATACACGCACACCGCGGAGCCGTCGTCCAGGATCTGTCCGTAGCGCTGCAGATCCGTCATGGCCGCCATCATCTCCGGTGGATCGGGCGTGGACTTTTTCTTCTTTTTTTTCTTCTTGGCGGCATTGTCGTCGTGCTCGGCGATGCGCTTCCGCGGCATACTATGCTCCTCGTCGTAGACGTAGCGCGGAGCTGCCGCCGCCTGGCGGAAGACATCCTCTGTCCAGACGAATCCCCGCAGCCGCTCCTGCTTCTTCTCCTCCGACCACTCATCACAGATCCACACTTTCTTCTTGAAAGTGGTCCCGAAGAGCGTCTCCTGATCGGTCTCCACCAGAGTCCACTTTTTCGCGGGCTGTGTCGTGATTTGGAAATTTCGACGGACGAAAGTTTTCAGTGCAGCGGATTCCTTGGTGGAAGCGCTTTTCTTCTTCTTAGATTTCCCCGCTGACTCTCCCGCCGCATGGGCACGGGGAAGGGAGTCGCAGAGCTTCTTCACCGAGTTCAGCAACTGCTGGTTAGAAGTGTGCTGCGCCGCTGCGTCGGCCGGATTTTCAGTGGATGCGGGGATTTTCACGTCATCCGCATCCAGCAGCGACGAAGACTGACTGGTGTCCATGCTCAGCGGATAAAGCAGTGCTGAATTATCTCGGTTATGATCCGATAGTAAAGCATCTGCAAATCAGTTATGGATGGCTGATGTCAAATTGAATCGTTAAACCATGAAACCTCCTAAAGTGAACTAGTCAGCTTCAGCATCCAATGCGTGCCAGCCATAATACTGTTCTCGCTTAGTTGCAAAACTCTTACCATTATTGTCCGGTATCCACGAAACATCAAGAACAGCCGTCATTCCACAAGAGTTAACAAAGCTACAGGGTTAAACCGTACAACAGAGCTGAAAACGGCTTTAACTTTAAATCATAGATCTTGCAACTTGGTGACAACATTCAAACAACGTATCCTGCTCATTCAAGTGACCGATAGTAGCAATATGGTATACAGTATGTTATATTTTGTATCAACTGATATGGTAAGTTGCTAACACGCACGGGAAACCATGAGAAAACAAAATCTATTCTATTTTGAACATTTCTTAACCGCATCTACCAAAACAAAAAACTACTGTTATCAAAGCGCTCCGTTTTCGCCTTTTCGAAATTTGCGAAAGTGAAAATTTTTTGCAGTTTGCTGTTCAAGTCTCGACAATGAAAAGTCTCAGTCTCATCAGGGGCGTAGCCGTTAAGCTATTCCTTCTCTACTGCCGGAAATTTACAAAATGAAATTGTTGACCAAGTATCCTGACGAAAAATGACACGTTGGCCCAAACTTGTGAGTATGACAACACAATAATTTTAACGACACTGCTGGCGAGCCACTTTATCTGGAATTTTGATTAGAAGCGCGAGAAATAGTCGGGATCTGTTGATTCTTAATTTATTCCAATTCAAGCAGCTTTGATAATGTATCCAGTTGGGGCTGGCGGTCAGCAACAACAGCAGCAGCGCGCTTCCTTTGGCCACGACTCATCCAGTTGGGATGACGGACATTCCGATCGTCATTCGCACAGTGCCCATTCAGCAACTGCTTCGGTCCCGTTAACCAACATGCAGCACAACAACCTGGGAGTGGAAAGCGGTCGGGTCGTTTTTAAAGTGCGATTGGGCAATGACATCCGCAGGATTCCTCTCAACAATGAGGACCTTACTTATGTACGTAAACAATTGGCTCAGTCAACTTTCCTTGCCTGGAAACTGGCGAATAACGGTATTACACTTCCAGTTTGTAATTTGATCCCTCTTTCTTTCTCTTTCCAGAACGAGTTTATCCTGATGATGCAGCGAATTTTTCGGGGGAAATTGAGTAATTCGGACGAGATTGTGGTGAAGTACAAAGATGAAGGTGAGTGAAATAGACTGAAATGTGACTTTTTCGGCATAGCGTACTGCTGATGTTCATTTTGTGATTAATACGACTACCTTCACGTTACTGTATAGTGTTAAGTGTATTAGGAGAATTTTATAATCTGTAATTTGTTGCAGATGGGGATCTGATCACGATTGTGGACGATCCTGATTTGGCTTTTGCTATGCAGACTCATAAAACATTGAAGTTGGTTCTGCTAGGTAAATACAAGTTTTTTGACAAACGAGAAATGGACAGAACTGGCCGAAAAAAATATTGGCCTAAGAAATTTTCACAAAATAATTGTAAACGGCGGCGATAGTTTTTGAGACTTTTTAATTTTGTGAATTCATATAATTTCGTTCAGTTTAACTGAGCTAAGAATATTTCTAATTATGATATTTGTATTTAGAATTTAATATATTTATTGTATTGTCTTTCATTTTCCAGTGCTAGCTTTTGCCTTTCTGTTATCATCGAAAAGTTGTTAATGCTCGTTAACGATGTCGTAGTGAATGGTGATACTGGCGTGTCGAGCCAACCCAAGGGAAGCGACGCCAGTCATAACACGATAGATCTTATGGAGACAGTGCGAGAGCTTCAAGGCAAGCTGGCGGAGATTCCGGCTAGCTTGGAGAGCGGCTTCCAGCGTGTTATGGAGAAGATTTTGGGTGCTGAAAAGAGTGATAAGGCAGAGAAGCAGACCCTGGAATCCCATCGTACGGAAACGATTCCGGTGGGTAAAGCTGAAAAATTTCCTGCAGCTGTCGATGGCCTGTCGAATGGTTTCGATGAACTGAGTCTGCGTGACAGTGGGCGACAGAACCAAGGTATGTTTGACAATCGGTGATCTGGAGAATTTGAGGAATAAAATAATTGCGTATGACTATGAACATCTGTGAAATATCGTGAAAGTGATGTTGAATCACTGTTATTATAGAAATTCCATAGCAGCTTTCGTGGTAAGAATGAAGTCTAGTTTACTTTTGTATTTTGTAGAGCACATGCGCGCGGAAGGCGAACTGGAAGGCGGTGCCCCCCGCACTGGGGAACAAAAAGAAATTCCTCTAACAGGACAGATGCCGCATCAGCATTCCGCGCCACCCGGATCGAATGCCCCGCCGCAGGCGTTTCATCCTCAGTCGCATGGGCATCCTCAAGCTTTTGGACAGCCGCAGGCCCAGCAACAGCCACAACTCATTCAGCAGCCATCCCAGCAGCAGCTGCAACAGTCGCATATGATGCAGCAGGCTGCGCACCAACAGCAACAACATCAGCTTATGCAGCAGCAGCTTCAGCAACAGCAGCAGCAACAATTACAGCAACAACAACTGCAACAACAGCAGTCGCCTCACCAACAGCAAGTTATGGGTGCGCATTTGAAAGCCCAGGTATGAGACACAGAAATAAAAAAATTTGCTTTTTTATTATCGCAGTTTCTTTTTCCGCTTAGTACTCATTCCCACCCCCGACTGGCGCTCCGCCTCAGTCGATGGGTCAGGGAGTTCCTCCTCCACCAACCGGGATGCCGGGGATGGCACGACCACCGGGACCCAACATGCAGCAGCAAAATCCGGCACAGGGAGTCCCGCCGCCGCCGAACGTCGGAATGGCCGGCGGTCCGTTTCCCCCGGGGGCTAATTTCTATGCTCGTCCGCAGGGCCCGCCCATGGGACCGCCCCAGGGATACCAGCCCGGGATGTATCAGGGACCGCCGCAACAATTCGGTGGTCAGTACCCACCGCCGCCAAAGTAACCTTTATGCAGATATTTTTTATTCGTTATCGCTAAGGAAGCATGATTTGTTTTATATAATTTATGAAAATAATTTTGATTGTGTTTTACATACAACATTTTTTATTTAGCTGTCTACTTTGTGTTTTTGATTGCTGGTTCGATAGAAAGTTGAGTTGCCCTTTGTGGTGTTATGTTAACTTTCCTGGGCTGTGTAATTGGTGGTTTCTGTAGAAGCCACTAGACAGAAACGTTTTGGCTTCCTTTAAATATCCTAATCACAACCTGCCCGGACAGCTTCTAATATTCTAGTACATTCGCGGTCGGCACTTTGTGTGGATTATGCAAAGTTATTTACTTCGATATCAATAAAATAAGGAGGCTGCTGATGGATTGATTAGGACTTAGGAGCAAGTCAGCTGTCGGTGTTTCATTATGTTGGGGAGTTATTTGGGTAATTCAAGTAATATTAAAGCAGTATTAATACTTACATCAACCTTGCTTACATAAACACTGTAACACTGCGAGCGCTCGGCACTGAACAACTTTCCCACTCTAGAACTCTAGGAAGTGCAGCCTAGTGCTTACGGAACCGTTGCAAAATATTACTGAGCGTTGATTTTACTTGGTTTGGCGGAGCTGCCCTGGAAATCATTTAAATTATTCGCACACGTTTTTTAAAATACAAAAAAATGGGGACAGCCGGGAATTGAACCCGGGACCACCCGCAACTTAGAGAAAACCCTAAGCGGATATCATACCCCTAGACTACTGTCCCTTTTCTCGATAGCAGAAAATTTTAAATTCGTAGAATATTATACGAGAATGTGTTGCACTCGTGAATTTTATCTTCATCAGCATTTTGGTCACTTTTTTTCGAAAGTCTAAAGAACACTTCAAAGATCAGTGAACCACTTGAAGTTCACGCAAATTTTTCGTCGAAAATGAAACATTCAGTAATTATTAGCTGATAGCTGTTGCGAAATATCGCCGTCATTCACCGGCAACATGTGCTATACGTACTCAAGTTGGATGAGTGATAGTAATTAACTACTAAAATCAATTTCCTTCCTAGATTCCTGGGAAACGCTTTTCATTAAGGTTACTGTCCTACTAACTGGCCCGCGTCATCTGTTTTTGTTATCAATTAAAACTGAATGGTGACAGTGGTGAGTGGTTTAAATAAGTAACGAAGCACTCTGGTAATTCATCAAAGCATTTAATCCCACCTATCGACCTACAAGATAGTTTACACTTAGTTATATTTATAGAATAATTAAGCAATACCGCTAATCAATCGTAAACGAACGCATGCGGTATCGACATGGCTAATTTTAGCGCCGTCGTGCTATCAACACATCACAAGCTATTATTTTCGACTCTTTAATTTCAGTTGCAGGTAGGCAAAACCAATTGACCCCTTTGTAAAAAGCACACAACACTAAAATTAACACAGCGCTATCAAAGCCTTTACACATTATGTAGACATCGCGTCTATTTTATCTCCATATGCGTTCGAACTTATGGTCATTTCTCCAGGGATGCTTATGCATATGCCGATACACTTTGTAGGTGTCCATATATTTTGGCCAATCCGCTTGAAACTGAAAGCCTTTGTACATTTTCTTAGCCTTTAATCCAACAATAACCGAGGATCGGCCGGGAAACGCCGTAACACCTCCGTAATAGGGGTCGTTATCCGGATCAAAGCGTATCGGATTGTAGCTAACGTGCATATTCGGAGGAAGATCGGTGCGGCGTTGGAATTGCGTCAGGCCGTTCAATCCCGTGACTGGTGTGCGATAGAATTCCGCCGCTTTATCCACTGATGTGATGTCGTGAAGTTGTGGACTGGGAATGGCATGCGAAAACATTTCTTCGCACGCCGTTAAAAACTGCAAACAAGTTGAAACAACCGCGATTACTATGTGTACATATGTGTTCTGCTGCGTACAGAGGCTACACATCACATTCAAAATTTCATGCACATCGCACAAGAAATATTTTCTTATCTAGAATCAAATCGCTGGCCTTTGTAAACCTGAAAGGAATGCCGGGGTACCTTAATAACACACAAACGTGAGCTAAAACAGCCAACAAAGAAGTCTGCACAAAGCGCACAGGCTACGGAAATATCTTGCAAAAATGAAAAATGGTAAACCTTATGTCAGAAATAACCAATCGGTATCGCTGTTCACTAGCGCATAAGCGGACGCGTAACGAAAATGAACAGCTACAGTAAACAGTTTCTTTAAATTTCTTACCTTAAATTTAGACAATCTATTCGGAAAAGAAGCACTGGCAATTTCGGCTGTTAATGGCTGCCCAAATGTTTCCGAAAATATTCCACTGATTCGCCGTTCGACATCCTCCGGAGGCTCGTATGGAAGAATCGTTTTCCCAAGTCTAGAATTATAAGAAAAGAAATTCGAATCAACTTCTCTTATGCATAACGAACACCGAATCTTCTAATTTTAAGAAGAACGTCTTTAGTAGGCGTAACGGCGGTAACGCTGGTCTGTCGTATGACCAGAAGTCAAAGCTATCTTAACAGTCAAACTCTGCTGCACTATTCTTAGTTTTCTATATCTAATATCAGACTTCCAAATTGAAACATTACACCGAATCACCGAAACAGACGCATCCTTACCCTTTATCAATTACGCTATTCAAAGCAGCTTTTTCGTATTGGCCCAAAAAACCGCTTTTCAGCACGTCTGCTTGCAGTTCCGGCCTGAAAGTCCCAGTGGCAGCTGATTCTTCGGGTTCCTCTTGCACTTTTTTCCGTCGAAAGAACGCGAAGGCAGGAGAAGAAGCATGCAAATACCGCGCAGCACCGCCGTTGGACGGCAAGGAATTCGACAAAAGCGTCGTTACGTTGATCCGTGCCATTGCCAACATCCCAGACTTGAGATTAACGGAGCTGATCAAGCCGAAGACAAAGCGAGCAGCAAGATTGCTGCAAGAACTCAGAAGTGCGCTATATAGTTTGCAGATCCAGGAGTACCAAATGCCAAATGGTGTCTCTTATTAATATTATTATTCCATGGTAGTGTACAGTTCCCTACTTCGCAGTGGTGCAGTAGTGGGGAATCGGAATCTCAAATTTATCGGATACGAATCATACGACTACGACTACGAGTATCGAGAAAGCTTTTTATTATTAAAAAAGCTTTAAAGCTTTTTATTATTATTTTTATTATTATTTCGTAAGTAATTAATTACAGTATTTTAAGTACATACTGTAGGACCGTAGGTAACTTGTCAAACCGCAGTGCCGCCGCCGCGTGCGTCTGTTTTTATTTTAACGCATGTTCTAAGAGCAACCGCCCAGAGGAGTTGAATTAATTGATAATTTTTCGCAGAGGTTACCACTTACCACAGTTGTAGACTTTTTGCTTCCATGCTTTATCAGAAGCATTGTATATTTTTGATGATTTTTTCGCGCGATATATTCATTTGTAGTTTATGAAGGAGCTTTTCGATTATGATGCAATGCGGTGCTAAGGAAAACTGAATGCTTGAAGTTCCATATGTAGTGGAGCGCTTCATTTCACCCTTGAACTGAATTTTTAATGTGATCATTTTGTACAGGCATGGCGGCCCAGGTCTGACCTGTTCCTTAAACTTTGCTTGCTTGTGTTAACACTTGACGCTTACTAACCGCAATGCCTCGGTTAAATCTTGTAACTGCTGTGTGCCGCCTTTGTAAGCAAATCATCCCCGTCACGACATCTGTTTTACAGCGAAGAACGCTGAGCACCGGTTCTTCACGCTACGTATTGGGAATAGAAACTTCCTGTGATGACACAGGAGCTGCTATTGTTGATGAGAATGGCAGAGTGCTTTCGGAGTCACTGTTCTCGCAATTGCCCATTCATATCCGCAATGGTGGTATCATCCCGCCGGTTGCACGTGATCTGCACCGTGCTAAAATCCAAGGAGTCGTAAACGAATGTGTACAGGCTTCGGGCTTGGATCCTGAACAACTGGATGCTGTAGCCGTCAGTGTTAAACCCGGAATGGCCATGGCACTTTTAGTTGGCATGAACCATGCCAAGGAGATCGCTAGGAAATGGAACAAGCCACTGATACCCATCCACCACATGGAAGCCCACTGCTTGACAATTCGCATGGTGGAGCCCGTAGATTTTCCTTTTTTGTATCTGTTGGTCTCAGGTACGTTTTTCAAAAAGGTGCACGGATTTATTGATGAGAAATGTTTAATTAACGGAACCGTGAAGTGATCGCACTCGCATTCTTTCGGATCCAATCACCCGGTGCTCACCGAATTTTTGTATTCTTTACTGGCAAGCCGGCAGCGTGAAAAATTATGGCTCAATTTAAAGTTTCCTATAATTTTCAATTGATATTTTATAATAACGTTAAAAATCTCTCATTTGTAAGTGGCTTGTGTATAAACAGCAAAATCAATTTTAAATCCTTGTAGATTTGTTTGCACTTTGCAGTGGTTCTTTGTTCTTAGAAAGCACAAGTCCAGCTGAGTAATTTATTGGCATTGTACATACTAAATTTAATACGCAGATAAAATTACCGCACTTAGCCATTAGTGTGGTACATACATAAATTTGTTTTTTTGTCGAAGCGAATTGTATTGACCAGCACGGTGATTTGGGCAAGCTGTAGATATTGTATTCTGTATTCCAGGTGGCCACGCACTGATCGGAGTGGCTGACGACATTAACAAGTACCAGTTATTTGGATCCACCACTGATGATGCCCCAGGCGAAGCGCTGGATAAAACCTGTCGGGAAATGCGGTTACCACTACTCCCGCAGTATGAAAAAATGAGTGGCGGCGCTGTGATGGATGATCTGGCACGGTTTGGGGATCGGGACTTTTTTGACTTTCCGGTAGCCATGTCGCGTCGGCGTGATTGCGAGTTTTCGTTTGGTGGCCTGAAGTGGGCAGCGAAAAAAATTATCATGGTATATACCTAATAACAGTTACTGTGTACAGAAATCCTATTAATTTTAACCATTCAGTTAATTTGTTCCGACTGTTGTATTGTATTCATACTTCGTAGGTTTTTTGTATATGGATATAGTACTGTGACAGTGTATCTAGGCACTGTCGGTGTATTAAAATTTGATGGTATTCAGCGGCGTATTAAAGTTTGTTTTATATGCAGCAGTTAGGTTTTCACGTCTTTCTACGCAGGATGGCTTGTGTTAGTCTGACGTTCATGATATTCTTTTCTTCGTTCAGGCGGAAGAAAAAAAACATGACTTTGGTCCACACGGAGTTATACCAACTGCTCACCATCTTTGCGCGTCGTTCTTGCATGCCGTTATCAGGACTATTGCAAAACGAGTGGAACGGGCCATGCGGTACATAGAAATGTACGACCTTCTCCCTCCGGAAAGGCGAAAACTCGTCTTGTCGGGTGGTGTAGCCTGCAGCAGCTACCTTAGAGAGATGCTGGCGTTCCTTTGCGAGAAGAACGGCTATACATTGCATGTTCCGCCTCCCAGACTGTGCACGGATAATGGAATCATGATCGCCTGGAATGGCATGGAAAAACTAAAGAGAAATATGGATTTAGTACCAATAGAGAATCTGCATACTGTTGATATCGATGCCAAAGCACCGTTTGGAGAGGATATTTCTAGTAAAGTGACCACAGCCGGAATACGAATCGGCACCGTGAAGTTTCCCGAATGGTCCAAGAAAATCAAAATGGATCCGAATGACGGCCGAAGTGCTCTGGATATAATTAATGATCGTGATTGTGATCTAAAAGTGTCTGTTGCGAATTGATTTTTTGGATGTTTTGAACTGTGATCCGGAAATTAATAAGGCTCGCGCAGTCGTACCGACAATGCAATCGGTTTTACAAAGTAAATGTACGTTACAGAACGTGTGTGCGTGAAATATTGAAGCCTATTAAAGTCAGCCGGTTATACCGTTATGGTACTTGTTCGTTAGCTTGATTTCGCTTTACGGAAGCATAAGCTAGCGAAGCGAAGCGTTACGCATATTTTTTCAGGTGCAATCGTAGACCTGCTGTTGGCGAGACCGCTTATTAAAATATTGCTTTTCCTTTTTTGTCATTACAGAAGGAGGTTGAGAGACATCTTTTGCTTATCGAAGCTTGTCCGTACGAACAATGGGAAAAACTAGTTGCCGTAAAACGTTGACGGTATGATGGTCTTATTATCAGTGGTCATCCTACCAATGCACTACCAAATTTTGCGCTGGTCATAACTACACAATCAGGAATGTCTCAAGTTTATTGTAATTTATGACTATCATATCTCTTTCGTTATATTAGCCGGTGTGTGAAGATTTGTAATATCGTTTTAGTTGATGAACCAGTTGTTTTTAGAAAATATTCGAAATGAAACCCGTGGATCATGTATTATCCAATAATACAAACCGTTGTCATCCTTTTCTGTTTTATTGTTAAAATTACTGAATGTTTCAAGATTCCTGCCACAGGTGGATTACTGTCGCAGCTGACCGGCGCGTCACAACTCTCAGGATTGATCGATACCCTGCTCAAGATACCGAATAGATTCTACGATGACCGCACAGTGTACGCGGCTACAACGGCTGCATCGTATCCGGATGTCAGCGCCTATACCATTGGACCGGGAGTGTCGTATCCCGTGGTAGTCGGCATCCCGAATCCCAACTATACCAAAGGTACGTCAACCACAGACACGGTTGTAGAAAAGTACATTCCACAAACCGATAAAGCCTACGCGGCACTTCCGCCGCTGACCGTCATTGTCCACACGGACAACCGTCCATTGAATGTGATCTCTGCTCCGCCAAATATCAACCACATCTCCATCCGCCCACCGCTCGGATCAGCGTATCCGGCAGGGAATTACGGCCCAGTGTACACCAATTCGGCGCCGGTGGCAGTTGATGCTTCATATGTTCCAAATCCTGGATATGTCTCATCGTCCACCGCCGTGTCGGCAGTGGATGCATTTAACCCAGGTGTGACGGTTATTAATTCAGCACCGCCTTGCAAGGCCGATGGTTTCATCCCGGGACCGGGTGTGACTGTTAACTGCGGAGATCAGCCGATTGTCTACCCGGATATCGATACGGACAATTACATTTACAACGGGATTTCGTATCCGAATTCTGCAGGTTGCGCATATAATTCTTGATCGTATTCGGGCATGCGCAATACCGGTTGCTGTTGCTCGGTGTGGTGACCCGTTCTCTCGAATGTGCATGCTGCATGCTGAGTGCATGGTTGGACCAATTAACCTTTTTTTCGTATCTTACCATGCAAGAACAACTTGGTTCTTGATGTTTTTTTATTCTCGCATGAAATATTCTGGCCGTGCTTCCCAGCATCCAGTCAGTTTACTTACGTACACTTACGTAACCTAAACGCAATCAAATTTTTGCAGTCTAACATCGCGCAGTGTTGCTGTGGGACAAAGATCAACGGTGTAATTTTGTAAAGATGCAACTAAAGATTTAATTAATGTTTCAGGGTCCGATTATCTGAACCCACCTGTTGCTTATCCAGCTGTCAACCATGTCAATACTTATTCATCGCCCAGCATCCCGGTTGTGCAGGCTAACGTGATACCAGTGCTACCATCTTCTGGCTACGGGAATAATAATGGAAATTTGGGATCATATGGATCTAACGCTCCGGCCTACAACGCTCCTAGCGTTTCTAGTTACGGGGCTTCCGGTCAGCCAACTGCAGTTGCTGTGGGTGAACCTTTGACTCCAATTTTCGCCAGTGGCGTATATGCTTCAGCTGGTAGTGATCCGCCGGATGGTTACAACAGCAAACCCGCCACTTACCCAACTTCCCAGACGTATGTGCCGCCGGTCGTGGACTCAGTCGTGGATGTTATTGGTAATGTAGCGGGACAGATTTATTCTGCTACGGATAAATTAGCTAGCGCGTACAATTCCCAAGGAAAGCCGTCGTATGGAAAAGGTCAAACTTATGCGGGCTCCTACGGCGATTCCGGGAATTCGTACGGTAATCCATCAAAATCGCGACCACCATATTACAGTGGGGAAGGTGAATATCCGCCGTATCCTAATCAGAACCATATAAACGACTATGAGAATCAGTACAAAGAGAACACCGATGATTACGGAAACCAGTACGGTGGTAGACCAAATAAGCGGCCCAGTGATTACGATTTTGAAATTGACCACAATGTGGACAACGTAGCGAATTCCTTGTTTTTCAACCCGAATAACCAGTATCCAGGCGGAAGTCCTCAGTTTCCCAGTGGACCGTATGGTTATGGTGCTTATGGAATTTCCGGAATTCCCCGGTGCCGGTACCGCCGATGCCATTCTATGGAGGATATTCCGGGTCATTCCTTACCGGCGCGCCGCCCCTGGGTGCATTTGGCTACCAAAATGGTTATTTTAGTACTCCTTTTGTGCCTGGTGGAAGTTTCGGATATGGTGGAAGTTCTTACGGTGAGTAAAAAAAATTTGCCAAGGACTCACTGGTTGGTACAAAACGAGATGCACGTTTTAACCACATTACCATCGATATTATGACTTATTCCTTGGTGTTGTTGTTACGTTCTGTTTCTTCCCGCTGTCTGAAGCCTAGAGGGGGCAACCGCTCCGTTGCAAGGACAATAAACTTCCATTATTATATTATTATAGCAGAAAGCGTAATACTGTGGTGCCAAGTCGAGTAGACAGCTTTTCATACAGTGAATTGTATGCTAGCCGGATACGCTTTGTGAAGATTCGGCATTTCAAAAATTGTTACGATGACTGACTAATAATTTTATAAAATCATACCTGATCTTATCTTGGTTAGTGACAGACTAGCAGTCTGCTTTAATCATTTCCATCGTAATCATTTCCATCGCCAACTTAGCGTTCGCTGTTCTTAGTATTTTGATATTTATTTTGGATAACTAATTTGTTAGATACGTATGGAGGAAACGTTGGCGCATACCCGCCTACCAACCGCCGCCGTAGTCCCAGCGATATTGGGATATTTGCCAAACTCTTAAATCCTTACCAGTCTCTAGGATATTTCCGAGGAAATCCCTTCCGACAAGGTTATTCGCCGTTTTACGCCAGTGATCAGCCGTTGCCGGCACGGATCGGTGGGTCTCGACCACCGGTCGCAGGTAATGCTCAGGGGATACTGCCGGATTCTCTGCATGCTGGTTTCCAAGAGCCTCTGTCCGAATCGGACGTGGTAACTTGTCCCTTTTCTGTGCATGTCTGATTTGCGGAATGCTAGTGCTACTTGTCAGAAAATCATACACAGTCGTCGAATCCTGTTTGGTGTGCTTGCAGCTCATGGGTTTGGTCATAGCCGATTTGTTGGATGATGACGACGATGATCGTCAGCAAGTATGTCGCAGTTTGTCAATTATTTGAAGCAATACCGAAAAGACATCCATATTTACCAAAGTCGGTGTAATTATTGTGTTATGATTCGCTCTTCCGTATCCGATGTGTAAGCCGGTTCCCTTTGAATGCGCAGAGGCAATGGTATCATTCGTGTGCCACTAATATCTGGTGTTTCACAATTTTTATTTGTATTTCAGGAAAGCAACGATGCTGAAGGAGTAATAAACCACAGAAGTGCAGGTTGGTCGGTGTTCGCTATTAACAATCCGGTAGTTTATTAGTTACTGGTCGAACATTTTTAAATATCCGAATGTTTCATCTGAACATTTAAAAAACATGCACATCATTCCGGACACGTAAAAAAGCTGTGTGAATCCATGAAGAATGAGTTGAATAACAGTGCATTGTCTTTTTCAGTGACTACAGGCTCCAGTATGTGGGAACAATTTATTGCGGTAAGGAGTGTGTATTGTAGACTGTAGAGCACTTAATAAAACCACTCTAGCCTGTAAAGTGCTGCAGCAAAACATTATGTTGCAGGCAACTGCCAGCTACATTTCTCAGCGATTGCGAGCCTCCGGATGAACGAGTTGCACGAAACTCTTTTTGTTTTTCAGTTGTTTTTTGATATGTGCCTTTGCATGAACAGTGTAATTTGTAAAGACTGTAACAATTTTATGAAGACCGGACAGTACTTACTTATATCCTGCATAGTGCATACGATGGCGGACGTTTACTTGTCCGAGCCCTAAATTCGGGGCTGAATCAGTATGAGCAAAGGACCAGCGAATCAGCAAAAATTCACATTACTTTTTATGTTCACATTACTTTTTTTTTCACATTACTTTTTTTTCACATTGTTCACATTACTTTTTACGTTCACAAAAATTCACATTACTTTTTTTAAAATGTTATTGAAAAGCCGCACAGAAATGGACAATTTCAGTGAAACGTTGGGAATACGGGATTTTGGAAGGAATAATTAAAATTTCTACAATAACTCTGAAAAGAATCCGAGATACGAAAAAGGCGCAACACTGGAAGAATGCGGCAAACTTTAATAACTGAACTATTACGCAACGTGAACCATAGCACAGACTTCATTTGGAAAACGTGGAGAATATCATCCGGCAACGAGATATGGCTGAGTGGCTTTATTTGGCATACGGTGGCGGAGGTACCGCAGTGTCTTCGCTGTACCGTCGCGTAGGGTCGTATGCCGGTCCGTGCAGTGTCCAGGTGTATTCCAGCACGTTGTTGGCATCGTGTCGCATGCTTACACAGGCGGACGCCATGCATACTACCCGATAACCAATAGCTTCCAGTTTATCCATGACTTCGCGTGGTCCACTATTGACAAAGTAAAAGGCGTAACGCTGGTAATTCTCCGTTTTGTAATCTATCCGCGCGTCCAGATAGGTCATCAAGGAGCGACTGGAGGTGGCGTTGCCCACGATGGTACACGAAGCGCTCGACCAGTCAACGAGCGACTGACAGCTGATGACGATATGCGGCATAGTTTTGTTTGCGAATGCTTGATTAGTTGGTTCTGGAGCTGCCGATGGAAAAATTGATAGATCTGTGCAGTGCTGTTATAACACAAGCATACAGAGCGGATGTAAATTAATGGCGAGCCGCGGATTCTTTCGCGATTTGTGGGCACGTTTTAGGGTTTTAGTTTCTTTAAGGTTAACAGAGTGCCTGTTGTGAAAATCAGAACTTAGCTGAATTCATAATCTGCGCACAGAAAATGACAACCGTAAAATCAAGATATTTTCTTGTACACATGCAATGATCACGTAGCACCGGCATTAGGGAAACAGATCCAGTGGCATTCAACTAGCGTGCGTGCGACTACTGCGCTCGCTTTGAGTCTCTGACAGAGCGCTCAGAATATGCGGATACGAATTCGTGTACACGAACCGATCGATAAGTTGCGCGGTTGTGATCTACCGTTCACGACCCGCCTAAATAGATTGGAAGTGTATATTTACGGCAGTCTCATAGTCTTATGCATAATTCCATAAAGATTTGACTTATCCCAACTTCCCGGTAACCGATTGCAGGGACGGCAGTAATCTCGGAGAAAAAGGCGTCGCCGCTGTGCCGTAGCTGCCGCCTTAGGGTGTGCACCTGCTGTTCGCATTGAACGCTGTAATGCAACTAGGACCATGGTTACTTTCGTAACAACACTGCATTTCTTATTTTAAAATTTCTCTGAAAACTTGGCCCTTGGGAAAACTCGAAAACTTTTAGTTTTATAATAAAAGTTCGATGTTTAACTTTTTTGGTTTCGCGTTGTCTTTCGAAACGGGTTCTAGTTTACTCTTGCTCCCGATGCTTAAGGATTTAATCAGCGTGCTGCTTATTTTGTGCATAGGATGAGTGCCTGAGATTTGCGAAATGCGTTCATGATTTCGGCAAGCAACATTAGTAAGGAACCAAACCGGATCCAGTGCGCGAGTCTTCGTAGTGCGCGTTTATATTCGCGTCGGCATACCACGTAGTACTTACGATGGTGCTTACGCTATTCCGCAAAATATTGTTTAATGGTCGGCTTCTGGATCAAGTTCGCCATGTGAGGAACAACAAGGGGTCTTGGAACTTTTTACGAATGTTTCCAACAAATCACAGGAGACTGTACGGGCTTGTGGCTTCACATGGACGCTTCTACGCTAGCTCATCTGCAGTATTGGCGACATCCCCGAAAACTGCTGGACAGAATGAGTACGGTGATATATTCAGCTTCGACATAGTACAAGTTCAGTATGCGGCTTTCGTTGTGATCATATAATGTCTACGTGCATTTCTTTTTTGACTTGACGTATTGACGCAGAATAAAAGTGGTGTTCAAGAAAGACGGGAAGATTTACGAGGTTTATGGAAAAGAAGGCGACACATTATTGGATGTTATCATCAATAACGAGCTAGATTTTGACGGATTCGGTGAGAGATGCTGTGAATTTGGAATTTCAGTATCATTAATGATTAATATTAAAATCTGTGCTATGAAATTTAAAGCATAAACCGTAAATCGGATAAACGGTAAATCTGCATAGTTTAAAATAAGTTGCTTTCTGGTGGAATTTGGTCATTTCATTTGATTTTAATGCGCTTCAATACACTGGGAATGTTTGGTGTGTGATTTCGATTGTCTTAATTTCAGGTGCATGCGAAGGAACGCTAGCATGCTCCACATGTCATGTTGTCCTGAAGAAGGAAGATTACGACAGGATACCGAATAAACCATGTGACGAAGAACTGGATATGTTGGACCTCGCCTACGATCTCACTGATACGTACGTGACATTATTACCAGCTGTCGAGACTTTGCATAACTGATTTACGTTTGCGAATAATGGTTTTGGCGAATGATGATTGCGAATACTGGTTTTGGCGTCAGAATCTCTGTTTAGTTGCTTATTTTTTTGTTTTTATAGTTCACAAATATTTACACAGGTTTGCCAGATTTTGTTTTTATAATTCATGAATATTTACGCATCTTTACATGTCCAAATCTAAATTTTTGCGCTACCATTATGTTACCAATTTCGTGTTTTTGTTTAATGCTCATCGCATACTCTTTTTCTTACCCGTAGCGTTTACAATTGACAAGCGCGAGATAGTGCGTATTAAATAATTACACTACTGTAGTAACAATACAGTCTATACAGAATATTTTACTGACAAGGAAACACAAACTCTTGTGCCTCTAGTCGACAATTAATTTACCGGCGCCACATTCTGCAGTGATAAATATGATTATTTGCAATTGCCTGTTCACATAGCAAAACTTGCGCTGGGCAACACTAGCACTGAAATGGTGTAAGCTTAAACAATGAAAGAATGCCGGAAGAATTCTTGAACTCAATACGAAGATTTTTTTAATATGGAAGCGCGTTGTAACTGATCCGTACATTTACTTTAATGTTAATTGCCGACTCGTGCGCTAATACGACACTACAATCAAAATTGTTTGTAGATCCCGTCTTGGCTGCCAGATACAAATTTCCAAGAGTCTTGAAGGTCTGGAAGTGCTGATACCAGATACACGGCACGATGCAAGAAGTTAGATGCTATATATTTTTGTTTTGTCGTTGAGCGCTTCATTCTGTTGCAGTTAGTATCCTGACTCCTGATTGTTCAGAGTTCGGGTTGATTGATTTTCCGGTTATTGTTAACAGATCTGTGAAAGTATACTATGATGCGAACTAACGGAACGTGCCTTAAAAAATCAAGCTGTTTTTAAAACTTTGAGGCTTTTGATGTCGGTATTTGTTGTAGATATACAACACTTAATAAAATGTGAGGAGGAGATCGCTGTAAATTGTCAGAGATCTGTCGTTCGAAGGAAGAATTGATTAGTTTTAATTTCCGCCTAAGTGACCAACATCATGAACTTCTAGACAACAGAGATATCGTTTGATGACCTGATAAATGTCAAACTAGAAAAGAAATTGGGGCATAATAAATTTCTTCTTGTTCGATATGTGCGATGCATACTCGTTCATTACTGCATCAGACTCAGCGAAAATTTATATGATGTGGTCAGTATTTTTTTTTCTGTTTACGACGGACGAGTAGAGCTAAACAAAAACTGGCTGTTGGATTATTTTCACATTTATTTTGAGACAAACGCTTTTACATTTTTGACTTTTTAATAAGGATGATCACCTTCGGCTGCATGTATCTTTTTCTTTGCTCCCTGGCTGTGGTAATTTGTATATTGCTTCCTGGTGCTCAACCGCAAAAAATTCCCAGACCTCCGAAAAAAATTAAGCCGGCAAAATTTATTTCCCGTTTGGCACTGCGAAAGTTGACTTTAAACAAGGATGCTGATAACTCAGCGGTTTTAATGCCACCTTGGAAAGTTTGCCCTTCCGGTCAAGAAGGGGCACAAGTTCCCATCCAATCGGTTGATGTCAAAGATACGATTTCCATGCCGTCGGATTTGACCAAAGACAATTACATGGCGATTTGTGAGTAACACAATCAAGAACAAGAATCAGCTTTAGTACTTTTTTAATTATTTTTCTATGCAACATATTAATTATCTCCTCATAGCGGCAAGCAGTAACCATAAAACTGTAGCTGGTAAAGAATGCAACACTTCTGCAATTGTGTTAATTATTTAAAATACTTGATAGTGGATACCTACCTGCTGTTCAAAATAAGTAAAGATACATATAAAATACTCGTACAGCATAAGTAACGTTTTGAAATTTGTTTCGAAAGGCTGATGGTGAATATCGTACTGTAGTTTTTACATTGCGCATTTCACCGGCATTTACAAAGTATTTTACAGAGTGAAGTAGTACGTACTCGTACTTACTTATTAAAAGCCAAATTAATTAGGCAAACACGGTACTACTGTACTTAAAATTTCCATTAGAAAATAATGCTTTATATCTGTAGTTCGCACTTTGAGCAGTTGTGAACTTGTGATGCAAATTCATGCAGTGCAGTGTATAAGTTACAATATACCCTTGAAATTAGATCCCAGATACTGATTATTATATAAGTACTTATTATGTTATAATTATGAAAGTCCTTCCGTTTCTGCTTCTAGCTAGAAAAGTTATAGGTCTACTTTTGGTAGTCGTCTAGCTTTAAGTTGTAATCATTGGATGTCCAGAGTTCGACTTCCATCTCATAAAATCAAACCAAAAAAAAAGTATAAAATTTTCTAAATTAACAAAGAAAATTTTCCATTAGCCTCGTATGATACCTTAATGGAGTTTATCTGCTGTAGTGCGATGATAATAATAGTAATATTAAGTACGGTGTTTTAACTGCTTACCGGTTAGCTTGTCTAACAGTAAAATGTTTCATTGAAACTGATCCTCGAAGGTGTTGAACCATATGGACCATCGTGCACATATCCCGGATCATTTGTGGCCTTCAGTGACTTATGTTCTCTGCAATGCCAATGTATGAACGAGCAGAAATCACTCAACCTTATCTCAAGTGATTTCCATTATGCTAACTGCCGCTCAATATGCTCCACGCCTCCAAACGGCCTTCGTTGTTTTTCCAAAAAAGAAAACGGAAGCTGCTGCCCTACCTACGAAGACTGCGGTAATGATGGCTTAAATGCACGAACGCTTATTCTGTGCCTATGCCAAGAAGTATCATGTAACACAACCCGCGAAACATTTTGTGACTCGAAAAGTCTGGCCTTTATAATTTATCAAGTTTCCAAAAACGGGAGCAACATCGCTCCGGGATACAGAAGTATTTGTACTATAAAACTCAAAAGACAGCTTTGCAGTGAATTCCCCTTTCGATGGTCAGTGGACTAAAGACCGATCAGCCTTCATTTCCAGTCGATTTCGATGCTCTCCCGGTGACCAACTGGATTCGGCAACCTGTTTAATGGTCGTCAAAGAAGCCATTCCAGAACAATCCTTCAGTCCAAAATTTCGAGCCAAATGCCAATGCGTAGCCGAAGATATGTATAAAATCTCCATTACATCTTTCATTTCGCAAGCCCAACCAAACGCTGGCAAAACCAAATTCGCGCTGATCCGTGACCGTGGACAAATTCGCAACCAACGACTCTGACACGTGATCAAAATAATTCCTATAAAAAACTGTCATCAATTCACCGATCTCCAATACAACTAGTTCTGATGCTAAACACCATTAAAATTCAGACTGACTTATCAGTCGTCAATATAATTCCGCTAGCGATTCTGATTGTCATCCTTTAAATTCCCAAGATGGTAATATCTGATTGTAAAATCTTACCTAACCCCATGAAAGAAGGCGCTCCGAATAGTACGGTATCGCAATACCACCTACACACGCATCATTCGATTGAGAGATCTCAAAAAATTGGCATTAACGAGAAAGTTCGCGGATTTTTGTTTTATCAGATTAGGTAAGGAAAAATTCTTCAGCATCATCGCGTAAGTGATAGCTATATGTCATCATCTACAGTACATCGAAACCTCTAAAGAATAAGAAAGCCAAAACTCACCCTCCAATATGAATCCAACAGGGAAGTGCAATTATGTAGTCTTTCTGAAACAAAAACGATAACGCTAAAACGGGAAACATTTCCGGTTTGTCATCTATGCAAACTAATGCTCATCAGACATCCAAGGAAGTTCTGCCAACAACATAAGGATTCACGCTCCTTCTGTACGAAACCGCGAAGTTCAGGCAAGATTTTCATCACAGAATAGGTTTTTACACTCATTAACACAATCGTATTGCTTAATATTCTTACCGGTTTTTTTGGTTGATATGATGAAATGGGTGGTCTTGAATCAAAACTACAAGAAAACAACCGATGGTTTAATAAGGAAACATATCAAACTGACATATACTATTAAGACCAAACTTCAGAATTTTAGAACTCAATCACATATCTCATAACGAGTAGGAGTTAAATTGTCATCATAAGGTGAGCAAAATCCGCAAGGCTATCTATTTAGGGCAGAACACTCACCAAACCGAAGTCAAAAGCCGTGGCGCGAATTATTCAGGAGCTATTTGTTTTGTCCAAAAACGAGACAGGTCTTACTAAAAACAAAATACTTCGTCAGTGATTAATTAAAAAAATATAAAGAGATAATTTTCCGACTGGAATCAGCGAGAGAGCGAAACAGAACTTCTTCATTTATTCAGAGAAGTTTCAATCATCATTTGTGTTTGGAAAGCATTATTGATAACGCATACTGTACCTCCAGTGTCGGCGTCTCATCGGACCGGAATCGGGTAGCTTGCAAAATTAAGGCCGGCACCGAATGGAAAAGGTCTGCAAACAATCAAGTATGTATCAAACTGGATTGAGGTATTACCGCACGTTTCATGCAAGCCACCTCACCCGTTCAGTCAGATCTACTTCGCTCTACTTCTCTCGACGACCCTCCTTTAATATGTAACAAAAAAGCAGTCAACGGAAAACTCACTTTTTCGTTCTTATGCCAAGTTCCAACGCGGTAACACCTTAAGTATCTCCTCGTTTACGAATCTGCAACATTGTAATATGTAATGTAGTACGATGAAATACAAGTATATTTTGATAACCAGGTTATTTAGAATATAAGCGATTCAAGTTTCAGACATCCAAGGAAGATCTGCCACCATCATTAGAATTCGCTAGCTCCTTCTGTACGAAACCGCGAAGTTTAGGCATTTTTATCATCAGTTTACGCTAACAGATCAGCTACGTGCGTGGGGGTATCGCCGTATCAGGAGAAAACTTAACATGCAAGCCTACCTGATGCTTTTGTTAGGCCTTGTCATTCGAAGAATCCGCTAAGTACAACCACGGCTGAAGACGCTAAGATACGGTACGCGAAGCCACCTTGCGAGGTGGAGTTGCTGTATCGCAACGAGATTCGCTTTGAATTCGGGACGAGGCCTTACTCCAAAACCGAAAGACCTAAAAAGGAAGGTTTCTGTGAAAAGATGGATATGTAAGTTTTAACAAAACAAGTCGATTGCCAACAAGCGGCTGTTCAAGTACAACAGAATCAGACATTTTCGTAGAGTTCTTCTATCCTCACAACAATCAGACTGGGGCGGAACGTTCTGTCATCATTTAAACGGGCTACAAAGTCTTTACTAAAAGTTAAAACTCACCACTGAGGTCCCGTAGAAATTATTCACCTCCATAAAAGAAAGTTGTATATCTGTAAAACGTTCAAATGCATCAACCCTATAGTGCAAACTGCAAATCAGTTCGTACTGTGTAACCGAAACACATTCAAAAATCAGCTAAAAAACGACAAACATCAGTATGGTCAGACCGCCCGTCGTTTTTTTATCATCACTGAATGGTGCAAAAAGTCTATTAAAGCCGATCAAGCTTACTATTAAAATGGTTAAATCGAGTAACATGGGGCAGGACGAATGACTTCTTGGTTACAGCATGAAATCTACAAAAAAACTATAATTATTATTTGCTCGTTGCTGCTTCTGATCAACAAGAACATTAGCCATAATGTAACTGAATTTAACAGTCAGAAACACGAACCAAGTGACAAATCGACACACCCAATTCAGAGAAATGTACGTTCATCATGAAAAAGGCAACAGAAACGATTTGAGTAAGATTTCCTTAGGAACTTCACATACCTGACTGCAGGTTTTCATCTAGCGTAAGCCCTAAAACAAAAAAAAAACCGTTTGAATTTCTACCCGTAACGTCTGAATAAATGGGCCTGCAGAAATAAGCAAAACTATCAGATTAAGCCAGTCGTCACGATGCTTCCGCTTGAAAAGCACTTTACCCTACTGAATCATCCTCCGTTCTCAGGTTGCAATATTCAATACAAAACGCAACGTTATTTCGCTTACCGCGTTCTAGATCAAGTGCTTTTCCTGCGCTGCGGCAATCATCGTTGTGTGTTGATTCCGTGCCACTATGGATACACAAAATGTGGATATTCTGACCCAAAAACTATTAAAATAAGTATTTATATAATTTTTAGTACGTGCAAAGCTTCAGTAGTTGGAACAGAATGTTTGACACAGCACAAAATATCAGATGGGGACATTCTTTATCATCACATGCTAAGGATGTTATACCGGGCATTGGCGGCTACTTCTCGTTCATATCTCACTTACATTATCGGGTTCTCGACGAGCAATCCACTGAGAATCTACACAATTAAACAAATGTAAAAACGAATCCTATTAGCATTAGAGCTTCCGGCTGTTTTCAAAAATAAAAATCAGCGTTGGTGGAGTGACATCAATAGTATTCAGTCCATCTAGTAGCTTTTAACATCATGAAGTACTTGTTGAATTAGTAGCATCGCAAAAACCTTACAAGCTTAGCTTACCCGGCAAAATCCGGTGGCAGGTCGCCGGATTTCGATATTCCATACCGGTCTGCGGTTTCTACGACAGCCTGATTGCCGAACATTTTTCCCAGGTGTGCTTCCTACAAAACTACGCGGTTATATAATGGTGTCCGTACTGCGGCGAAATTAATTTGTCTGCATGAAGACGTTGCACGAATCTCTGATTTTTCAGACATAAAGAATCATCAAACACTCAGACGAACGAGACAATATTCATCAATGTTGCGCAATGCGGTGCGGTACGTACAGCCGGGAACCTTCAAACTGGTGAGTAACCGGTACGGTTCTTACTTTTTCCAAATTACTAAGAGCCAAAACTACTTCCTGGAGATTCATTGGAATGTTTCTCCTGAAACAACAAATAAATACTCTTGTTACATCAGGTACGTCAGGATTACCGTAAAGCAGACACGAAGACTTTTCGGCTAATAAGACGAACAATCGCGAACCTAAAACGCCGCGAAGTTCGCTTGCCAGTTTCATGCTGTCTTCCAGCATAAACCATTAATACTCACGCAATCAAGTTCTCGCAATGCTTCGTCTTCAATGGCATCTGATCTGGACATTAGCTAATAAAAAATAACACATCTGGCTTGTGAACAAAACTAAAAAGTACAGCAACCACTCCGCCAACAGCAACCAGTAGCTATGCCTTCTGATTTCGGAGGATAAAATCGTAAAATTTCGCTCTTTTATACCTGAAAGCAATAACGAGTCAACGACTATCTCAAGCTACCTGGAAGTAGCCAAGGGTTGGGCGCGTCTTCACTAGCTGGCGACGGCACCAGGTAGGTTGCACTAGCGACGGGTAGGCGATAGCTGCGGCTGCTACGCTCAGTACCCTGCTAGCGCTTTCATCCGTAAGCGCTACCGTAGCGCTTTCATCAGCCAAACACCGCCCGTTAGGGATGCCCATACTTGTGTTAAAAACCGCAACATTTGTTAGGGGTGTGGCACTAGTACCGTACTTACTACTAACGCTCGGGAAGTGGGAATTTAGGTGGAAAGCAGCAGTGCAGCACATCCCATATGAAGGCCTGCAAAGGTAGCAAAACTCCAAAAACAAAAACATTAAATGATTATTTTCAGTTTTCTGCAGCTCACAAGTCAACTCGAAGCTTTACAATCTAAATGCAGTCGAGATTCTGTTGAACCTTCCATTGGTGTTTTATTTTGGCATTGATTTAATTCTGATAATGGCAAACAGATACACTTATTTAACCACACGTGCAGTTTCTCATCGCGAGAGAGTCTGCTCGCTTTACAAAAAGGCTCTTCGCACCATTGAAAGTTTCATTGTCGAGAGGTACGAGTACTGCAGTAAAGGCGTTTGTCCATCGTCTGCCATAATTTATCGATTCTTGTTCAATAATAAATTAGCATGTACAATTGCGCATTTAATGGGGAATGGGGAAAGCTGATGTTCTAGTTTATGTTTATAAGTAAGCTCTTACTATACGATATAGTATATGCAATTTATTTTCAATATGCACAAAGCGAGCTTCGCTCAACAATTATATAGTATTCAAATGAAGAATAGTATATTGTGAATAGGTTAATTTTAAATCGTTACAGTAATGGTAATTGGTAGACCCTAGACGATAATTCATAATAAATGACAATTTGTAGGAATTTCCTTTTGTCGTGACAGTTAATATCGCTTTGCTTTTAAGGACTGGATATAGATACCGAGCAGTTCTGCTGCGACAGCGATTTGATCAAAGAAAAGATGAAAAAGACATGAGGAAAGCGCAGAAATGGGTCGAAGACGGAGAAGAAGAGCTGTTCCGTAACCAGCATCCGATACCGTTTCAGTGTGCGTGATCATATCGATATTGAGAGAGATCTCTGAAATTTTCAAATGATTGGTTTTTGCAGTTCAATATTCTCCAGGAGGTAATGCATACCAACGGTACAGCCCGAAAATGGACAGTGTAAGTCATTAATTACCTACTCAGTACTGCCAGTACATTACTACGTATTTTACGTACTGTTGTTATTAACTTAACTGTAGAGTACGAACTTGCAGTGATGTCCCGTTTGCAGTTTTTCATGTCCCGACCGCACTTTCACGATCAAAAACTTTCCCGCACCCGCTCCCGCACCCGAGCGCTCGGACCGTCCCGCAACCCGCTCCGATTCCCGATTTTCAATGAATCAATAATTTTAATAATTGTTACAAATCTATTACAAAATTTTTGTGACAAAGTTTCGTCGAAAAGTTTAATGGATACGCATTTTCTAGAAGACTAGACCTGCATGATAAATCTTACTTTTACTTTTCAAAAACTGAACTTGTCCGTAATTATAACTTATACAATTGCCGTAAATATATTTTCTTTCGAAACCGACGTTTGCGTCACAGGGCAGACTATGCCGCTTATCAAATCGCTGTATCGCAACTGGTTCGCTTTGAATCAGAGACCCACCCTAGACACCAACTTTCGCGCGAAGCACAAGCTGACACACTTTGGCTGCGAAAATTGCTAGAAATTCTATAAAAATTTTTTAATTCAAAGAAATCCGTGTTTTCCCGAGTAGCGGGCGGGCGTATAATCAGGCTATATTGACCGCGATCCGAGCAGCCTCCGCATTTCCGAGCAAAGCGGGTGCGGGATGCGAAATTCCGTGATTACCAGGCCCGTGAAAAAAACGGGACATCACTGAGTCTACGAAGTTTCAAATAGTATGATCGATTTTTGACCTAAACCGGTTTAGAATCTTTTATCTGAAACATGTCCATGTGACCATGTCTTAATGTTTTTTTATTTGTAGTGTGGACAATTCATTAAACCAGAATCGCTGCTGTCATAAATAGGCCTAGTTATAACACAATACCTACGTTGTAATAAAGCTTGTAACTGAATTTTTAATGCGATAAGCTCTTAAATGAAATTTTTAATATAGACGTCAGTAAGTAATTCATAATTTTCATTTTTGGTACCAAGTACAGTGGTTTTTCTATTGTAGTTGATTGATATGTGGCATCCGATGGAGAAAGCGCAATTTCCGCACTACTTCAAACGCCGCGAGCAGAGCAAAGATGAATTTATTAAATTCTGGGAGAAGCACCACAACCGTGGCAAACCATACGATTCACACGAAGAAGAGTGGAAAGGAAACTGGGATGAAAAACCACCGGCTGAGTATCCGAATCCGGATCATAAAAAAGCCAAAATTGATGAGGTCTATAATCCGACTGTCGCGCCAGGGAGCAGATACACCTAGCTTCCTGTAGATGGGATTGAGCATGCGTGATGCTTTGCTTAACTGCAGAAGTGTTGATTATAGTTCGTAGTTGTAAAAATTTTATTGCGTAGCGGATAACTTCTTTTGAATTTGGCATTTTCTACGAGTTGAGTCGTCACTATCATTTAGAGTAGACCCGTACAGATTGTATAAAATTTATTCTGCTTGAGTCTGGTACTTGTACAATACTGTACTGCATTTGCTTTGCAGATAGGTAAAAACGACAATGGTTCAGTTCATTAGTCCATATGTTATTCAGCTTAGCGCATGGAAATAGATGAATTTGTACGGTAAGCAGCTCTTTCCCTCGAGTCTAGCACAAGAAGATTAACAAGCAAAACCGCAGACAGAAGCACCATAGATTTCACTAACTGAAAAACAAAGGAGCTATCACAGTCACAATTATCCAAGAGAAGAAGCCTCATGATTCATTCACTGTCAGAATCACTGCCGTAAGCAACCAAGAGTGCGATGCTGGAGCTGTTTCTGGAAGAAACAGGGTCTGAGGTGGATGCGGGTGATTGTTCCGGCAGCTCTTCTGCCACCTGTGCTGGGGATTTCAAGGGTTCATCAGAGCTTCCGCTATTTAACCTGAACGTAAAAAATTACAGGTCATAATCCAGACAGTCCCGACCCACGCCCATTCTCAGTTACCGTCTGATTTTTACGACTCCAGCTAAGAGGTCGTTTTGCCGCTTCTTAGGGGGCTCAGTACTAGACTGTCTTGCCAAAGTACGATCCTCTTTGCGCTTGTTAATCACTAAGCTAGGAGCGATTCCAGCGATCGGGGCAGCTTCTGTTTGGACAGCCGCTAGTTTATCCCGAAATTCCATTATTGCTTTTTTCTCTTCCTGCTGTTTTTCGCGCTCCATTCTTACGTAAATATCATCTAGCTATGGAATTATTTTATAAAAATTATACTGTAACTAACATCATCAAATATCGGTCTTGCCAGAATTTCAATGTGAATCTTGCCAGAAGCCGTGAAAGCTAGATCTTATGATGATGATCAATCTTATCCCTACACTATACCTGATCCAAGAACTCGACTTCATCATGTTCCAAACCACGCACGAAGTTTTCTGAAATAAACGAAACAATAAATCAAGCTGCTATCGGTTAATAAAGGAAAAAGCATTCGGATGACACAAGTCAGAGGAAGTCGGTACTACGGTAGTGATGCAGGTGTCTCACTGAGTTTTCGAGCCTCTTCTTTCTCTTCTTGCTCTTTCAGTTTCTGCTCTTTCAAACGATCGTAAAGCGTCCGATTATCGACAGGTTCATCTGGAGCTTCTGCAGAAAAATACTATGCGTATTACCGTCAAAGCAGCTATCAATAATTTCGTCAGTCATACAAACAGTACCAGGCTACCAGCCAACAGTAAATCAGTACGTAATTAGTAATTACTTACTGATGTTTGAGAATCGCGATACGTAAAACATCCCTATTTCGAAGTATATACTAGTAGTATATAGATAATATCTATATATATGTAATTTATCAGTACTGTACAAGCACTTAACTCCACTTACAATATTACTTTTAATTTGTGGTACTGCTTTATCCCGTACGAGTACTTATTGTAGTAGGTAATTATCGTACTTCTACTGTCTTCTAGATTTTTAAATACAAATTACTATAAATTTAATATGTACTCATTTTAAAACGACAAATTTGTGCATTCTTTAGGTTTCATTTCCAAATGATAAAAAAATCTAATATTTGTATACTTACATAAATTATAACCAAAATTATTGTACGTAATACGTATTAGAGTTACATACAGTATTGTAAAACACAAAATTAAAAATGTTCATGCGGACAACAACATAAGCGATAATCATAAACTTACGCAGCGGCTGATCAGGCTTCCGAACTTTTTCCCATTCAGCCTGTCGGACTTTTTTCTTTTCCTCAATTTCTTTTTCAGTCACAAACGATTTGAATGTTTCTTTTGGTGCGGCGAAACTCATGATTATTGGATGCAATGAATGTGATCAATATGATTAATGAGCCTCCGGAGTCCAGAATGCCGCACTTGCCTTTATAACTGCCTATATTCATTTATAATTTATTTATGTCACTAGTCAGTGATGCAGACAGCAGACCTACAATAACAGCAAATCCAGATCCAATGGCGCGAAAATCAATGAATATATACTCCACCACTTCACCACCACTACTTCACAGTCTGAAGTTTAGAAAATACTATAATACAAAGTACCTTCTGCAAGCTCGATGCAACGATCATACAAAACGTCCTCAGTTCTTCTCTTACGGTCTTAACTCTTACGGTGTCTTACCGCAAAAATTCTCGAGCCAGCGAACCACGGAACTCGTCAGCCAAGGTAATCCTACATGATGGTCAGTGGCCACTTTTGTGCCCTTATGATGGCCTTATCCGAATAAAAATAAAGAAACAATCATTCGAGTATTTTTCCAAAACAAATATATAAAAACAGTCGAAGCAAGCAGATTCGCATTCACTGCATTGCACTCTCCAATTTTCATTTTCAAAAGTTGTTAGCGTGCTTCGCATTTTTTTGAAAACAGTACCCGTAGCGTAACGAGCCTTCTAGTTGAAATGCGTGGCGTACTGGGCAACCCCTGCAGGTTCGGTGTTGCACGAAAGTTTTGCAGCATTCATTTATTGTAAAAGTAATTTAAAAGTTAAAAGTTCACAAAAAGATTTTACTTTACTAGTAAGTAACACAAGTGACAAGTACAATATGTTACTATCATACTTCTGTTGTTTTCATATCCGGTATAATTGTTGTAGTACAGATTTTAATTGTCTTTTCGAAATTGCGACAGGCTTATTGGTTTCGCATTTTTTGGCCCTCGCTTCTTAGACCCTTAATCCCGTGGCATTATTTTCGGTAATATCGGATATCCTTACTTTGCTTGGAATCGCTCTGTCTGCTTACCGGTTAGCTTTGTTCTGTATCTTAAGTCTTGACAGCGGCTCGGACTAGATTATTTTGACTGTAAAAGCAGCATACCAGAATGGCGGAAAGTCGTCTGAAAACTTTAGGAACCGTGTATACAAGGTAAGGGCCTTACCGTAAGACATCAATCAGCGACTTCAGTTGTTTATCATCGGTTTATGTTGTTTATTATTTTGGGATGTAAGTATGGTAGAATTCAAAGCCGAATGGTGAACGACTGAACGCTATTACAAACTTCACTAGAAGTCTTTATTTTGGTCGTATATGCAGAATAAAAGGGTTAATGCGCGGCGGTGCGCTCAAATGGGAAGATCGGCCGCTGTGGTATGACGTTTACGAAGCATTTCCCCCGAAACTGGAGCCTGTGATGGATCGACCGCCAGTGATGAAAGAGATTCCTGATATAATGTATCCGGAAGATATCATAAGAGCGTGAGTTGCTACAGACTCAAAAACTGCAATGGCATTTGATCCAAGAAAATCTTCTGCAGACAATTTTACAAGCGTTACACTAGCCCCGGATTAATCAATTTAGCGAGTCCGGTTGGACAAACAATCGCACAGAAGTAAGTTATAAGATAATAAGTACTGTAATGTATGGCGTGATTGATTAAGCATCCGTTTTTACTTTTTTCGTTTCCGACAAATTTATTTTCAGATATTTTCTTTGAACCAGGTTCACCGACACGTTTTTGAACTTGAGCAAAGATGCATCGATTCGCAAGGAAGATTTATTCCAAGCGTCTGTATCTGCATTGGCTTCTCAAGGGACGGTATTTCAAGATAAAGCCGTACGGAGTCCACCCTTGGCGTTTCGGCGCCGAGAGATGCCGCCAGGCTCCCCTCCCTCCGAAGATGCCCCTTTCGCACCTAAACCGCATGTTCCTTCAGAGGGCCCTGATCGACAGCGGTCGTGAAAATCATTTTATGGTATCCGTCGCTATCCGAATCTGTGTTTACTGTAACCAGGTCACGCGTCTGAGTGGTTTGTGTTTGCACCAAGCCTGGAAACAGTACTTGAATGTACCTGTGCACTATTCCCATGCAAGTCTGTGTGCTACTGCTAATGTGTAATTACTTATTGAACTGGAGTATGGCCTGGTGCGTGCCGCTGGTATTACAGTAATGAAAACATTCATGCGATGTGGTTCACGAAGTACATACATGAAAGATATTGAGTGAACACTGAAGTTTCGAAATAAGTTGGCGGTAGAATGAAAGCGTGGGATGAGAATCCGAAAATCGTTCATCAAATTTTACCAACCAGAGAAGTTTCATTTTTTACTAAGCCGAAGTGGATGGCGACAAACGTTAACGAATGAGAGCAAGACAAATCCAAAACTTTATTTTCCCAAATTGAATATAGGGTAGAAATTTAGATTATTCCGATCTTGTTAGCCACATCCAATGCGTCGAAGTCAGGTAAAAGGCGGACATAAGCCTTCTTGAACCCATCCGGCCTGAAAACATCAAATCACTTAAGACTTCCATGCTAAGCACATATCATCTGCAGCAAACAACAATTAAGTCGAACATTCACCGATTTACCAATTAGTCATAAACACAAGAAAACTGTCAAGTAACTTTCAAGCCACCGAAAATTCGTTCCTACTTCCTAATATTCCCGAAGTACGATACCGGTACATGTATTGCTTTACAATCTCGCTAGGCAGAAATAAAATTACCGGATCAGGGTGTTAACTTTCGCAACATCCACATCATACATGGCCTTCACCGCCTGCTTAATCTGGGGTTTCGAGGCTTTCAAATGTACCAGAAAAACAAGCGTATTATTCTCTTCAATCTTCTTCATTGCGGATTCTGTTGTGATTGGATGGTCGATCACTGCGAATTTGTCCATCCTAAATACATAACAATTTTACAGTATTTCGTGCAATCCTAGTTCTTCCCATTCCAACACCAGTACCCTTATTCGTGTGGAAATTTGAGTCGATGGAAATTTATATCAAGCAATATATTTCCAAAATCCACAACTTATTTAAAAAAATTCAAAAAATAACAGCTAAACAATCTAAAGAGCAATAAGTCTTGGAAATTACTGTAACCTCAATTTTGTAAAGTTCGCGTGTGCGTCCAGCGCTAAGATTTAAAATTCACCTTAATTTTGTTTGTATTCACACTGTGCATGCGAGAGCAATAACTTTAACCATTACAATTTGAAATATACACGTCATAATGTCACAGCGTAGTTCTACATACCTTGGACGATGCGGAACGCTCTTTCGCGGGAACTTTGGCTTCCTCGCTGTCTTGAGGGTGCGGGGCAATTTGAAGGTAATGTTAGTTCGAATCTTACGCTTCCGTGTAGTGATTGTTCCCTTCTTGATAGCCTGCTTGGTCTTCAGTGCCTTCGTTACCGCGGCCGAGGCTGGCTTCTTGGCAGGAGCCTGCGAGGTCTTTCCTCCTGCGGCTTTGACTGGAGCTGCCTTGGCAGCGCCTTTCGGGGCTGTTTCATTTGAAACCTTTGTAGCTGTGGCGGCCTTGGGTTTCTTGACTCCTTCGAGTTTTTTTCCCTGGGTTTTACCTGCAAAATTAGATATCATGCACGTAGTCTTCCCAAGAACCATACAGCTTAATTCTACCGCACAGTCGACTTACCTCCCGGGCCCTTAGCTTTTTTGTAAGTCCGTTTAGGCATCTTTGCGTAAATTTACTCCAATCTCAAAAACTCGAGTTCTCCAGATTGATAAAATGAGGAACCGTCAAAAACACCGGAATTCCAAAGTGTCAGATTCCTAATTTTTGGCCAGCATCAGTCTACCGCAAAGCGAAAAGTACTGTACGACGAAAACCAGTGACAGTCAGAGGCTAACCATGTGCGACTCCGTGGGACCCAGCCGATGGTTAACTGAGTAACTGCCTCACGGGGCGGGGTTTGACTTAGAATTTACGCCTTCATTTGCGCGCACTTTTGGCTTTCCACTTTGCTTCTAATTTATATAAGTAGTACCTTTAATTTGCTTCCTCGTACATATCATATCGTATTTCTTCAACTGTAATCATAACTCTTATAATTAAAAAATGTTAATGTATAGCAGCACAGAGCCATAGGATTAATAGCATCTACACGCGTAAGTACTAATTGTAAATCACAAGCCTGATGTTATTAAATTTTTTTATTTATTAAAACTGCATGTACACTGTACAGAGGATATTTATGTTTACGGGGTGCGCGAGTGGTTGTTCGCCCCCAAGGATGTTCAGTAGTACGTGCTGTGTACTGTAATTTGATTCTTCCATGATATTAAATATTATCATGGAAGAATCAAATTGTGGGATGGAAGAATGGAGATGTTGAGTACAGTATATATACGTACGTCCTTACTAACAATAAAGTAGTTTTTACTGCAGTAAGTAGACATACAATGATTGTGAATGATATACATTCAAATATTCAATTATTATTATCATTATTGTTATATTTATCAGGCGACACGGCCCGAACGTATGCGTCAAGCAGCACCCTGATTAAAATCATGCAAAGGTCACTCTTACTTTCATGTGATCTGCTTTCTACGATAAGGGCAGTATGAACGAAAAAGGAACCCAGAAAAACATGATTAGTTTAGCAGTGAAGTAGTTAACCAATAAGGGGAATTTCGAAGCCGATGCGTTAAAGTGGCACAATTTGTCATCCACTCTCATGCGATATAATAATAACACAACTTTACGGTACCGCACCAACAAGCAGCACAACCCAACAACTGTCGCTTGTGCACTAACGTGCGCACGCGTATGAAGAAACCTAATCTTTCTCTGATCTAAATTCATGAGTGCAGAACATAATAAAACAATTTTATAAATTTTTGCAGATTCTGAGTACAGTTCGTTGTAAAATACGTGAAGAATTCTTTGTGTGTCACCTTTTGAGCACAATTTCCAGAGACAGGATTATTCCGCGGAACAGACCGATTCATTGATCGGATTTGTATACGCCAAAAATAATTATGCCGTATTGAAAAACCTATATTTTTTTGGGAAAACCAGAGGGCTTGAACGTTTCCTGTGAAGTTTATCTATTGGACAAATTTATTTAGTCATGGAATATCTTTGGAGATGCTTCCAGATACGTTTCTTTCTGTATTGCGCACTAGTGTGCGGATATCAGTCACCTACGACCTTCGCCGGTGATGTAGGTGCAGTATAAACATTATTCCAAAGCTAAAACTGTTGTGCAGTACAACTGAAGAACAAAATTAGCGACGTGAAGAAACAAAGATGGATTTACAGTACTTTTTCCGGCAACTAGAAATTGTGGCGTAGCTTGCCCAAGTACTTATTCCAACTGAGTCTTGGTTGATGTGCAGATATCTCTACTATAATTTACTATCCTTACGGCAGTTTGTACTATACAGTACAATACGGTACTTTTTTGCTTGATTTAAGTAACGCTCTATTCAGTTTATTGAATTATAAATTTAAGTCTATTAATTTTAAGTAGGTATGTGCACGTATGTGTAGTGGACAACGAGCAAATTATAACACTACTGGATCATTATTTACAACTCGTTGTTGTTAACAACGGGAGAATTTTCAAATTTTATAACAATATTAAGCAGGGTTTTTGAAATTGTAGGTTCCGGTGAATCCGATAGACGCTTTGAAAGAACTCGCGCTGATGTCGTTTGACGAAGTTGTGCAGAAGTATGGAACAAACGCAGCAATCGCACCAAACGAGCCGCAGCCGCTGGCCGTATCGCTTCAGATTGGTTCAGGGCGGCATTACAGTAAGATTGTGTTGGTACATAAGTGAAACCGGGCCGGTATAAGTGTGCGTGCTTTATACAAAAACATTGTGTATACTGTATACGGTAACTTTATAAATTATACGATATGATATCGATTGTACTCGAGTCATCGACGTTGAATCATGGTTTTTAGGATAATTATGTTTGTATATATACAATACTGTAAATCAAATTGATCGGTGTACTTGCAGCGCGACGTCCAAATGATCCTGGTTCAGGATTGTTCCGGATGGCAGGTACTCCATCCCTAACTGAGTAAACTATATCTGCTTTCTATCATTCGAAAAATTTAATCTTGTTTACGGCCAACGAAGTGCAGGCGCAACGTACTTACGTACATATATAGATATTTAAGAAATGTTGCCATTGCCGTGTTTTTCTTGAATACGTTTACAGAGGCGATTTCATATTATCCCGGTTCGCAGCCAGTTGAGGAGGTGCCGGTAGCAGAAAATCCAGGTTGCATGCCACGAGAAAGTAAGCGGCGCTTGGTGTACGGTACTCTCTGACCTTAATAATGCGTAATTAATCGTCCAAGTATTTCAGCAATTAACTAGATTATCAATGCTAGCAAAATTGCAGGTTTATTAGAAGCAATCAGTGTAATACTTAAGATATTATCCATGTATCCATGTAGATGCTGGCTGGCTGATGAATTGACAGAATGCGGGTAATCCGTGTTGAAAATACTTACAGAACTCATTTTAAGCTGCAATTTTCTATGCATAATGCATTAGGAATTTAGCCAGTTTTAACTGAACTGTAGAAACGAAACAGATTGGTGAACTTAAATTATGAATCTTCTATAACAATAGCATTTTTACGAATATTCTAAATCTAGTACAATATTAGTAGCACACAGAAACACTCACCGTTTGTTAGCTTTGTTGCTTTTATCACCGGATATTTAAACACACTTTTATTGTAGCTGTCATTGAAATGCCGAATCAAAATTCGGCGCAAGTAGTTTATCCTGCTGGGACTAAAGTGAAGCGTTGCACAGGAGTTTGTGGACATTCCAATTTGTTGTGCCAGTCCACATCTTCCCGTACGGTACAAAGAAAGGTAAGACATACAATTACAGTGTATATGTCGGCCCATGCTCAGATGCGCTTCGCATTAACAGCTTAATGCGCTAGGGATTGATTCTGGTCTACAAGAGCGGAAAACTATCTCCATCTGGATATCAAACCTTTAATTTGACGGAAGATCTGAGCTGTGGTTGCCGGTGTTCGCAAAGTCCAGATGAATGCAAACCGAATCAAAAATACGAGCCGTCAAACTGCAAATGCATGTGCAGAAATCATGATGACAGCGTCATGTGCGGTCCACACAGGTAAAAAAGATTTATAATTCACTCTTTTATCAGAGGTTAATCTTAAGGCTTAGTATTTTTTTATAGCCCTACTGTTAAGTACCTTACCGTTATATTTGTATGTGACTTCCCGCTTATGCTGCCAAGACATACTGCATAATGCATATCGTGTTGTTGCAATAAGTAACTGCCATAATTAAATCGCAAACTACATGGTTGTAATTGTTAGCTCTTTCGATGTATAGATGGTACTTTTGTATGGCACTTACAGTTAGTACACAGTGCCAATCCGTGACCTTTACTATATTCCGTTGTGGGTAAATGTTACCGCAGTTACCTTAAGGTTCCTTCGAAATTTATATGTTCAAAGAAAAACAAAGGAATTATTTTCGTTAATGCCCGATAAATTTTAAACCTGCCTATTTGCAGAGTGTGGGATCACGTGGAGTGCAAATGCAAATGTCCGAAAACGTGCAGAGCATGTGTTTCAGGGACGCAGTTCGACGATTATCTTTGTTCGTAAGTATATGTATTGCTAGTGAAGGCTAGTGAAGGCACCACTGTAAAAATATGGCACCACTATAAATTTTTAAATCATAATTCTACAAATTTGCAATTCAGTTCAACCCTTAATCGACTCATAACCAGTGAGATATAGCACAGGCTATAATTTCTATATAATGTATTGCCTACGATATTAACTAGGGTATTTCTACCCCCGTATATTATACAGGCACCACTTTTTATTAATTTAAGATTATGGTAAAGTTTTATCGGAATCGTTTATTCGCAAAATGATCTACGAGTCCATCCGGCATCCTGCGTGGTGTATTTACATATGGCGATGTCGCCTGGACCTACAGAACCGGTAAATTTTCTTGGGCGTGTTTTTGACACTCGCAAGAAACTATACCGGTACGAAAACTACACTACTACAGATAGTCAGTTAGTTTTAACAGGCTAACAATTGTAAAATTAATGGTTATTTTTGTTAGTTTTACCTGTGCCGTTACTGTCAACAGTGTCGGTTGGTGAGACCGACCGAAAACAAATGCTGGATGATTTTACTTGCCTTTAAGCGTGACTTTAGCCAGTACATAACAAATTTGCCTTTCTGTAAGTTTTGAGCAGTGTTGGAGATGTTGTTAGAAAGCTTTTTTGGCACCGGTGCTTGCCCGAGATCACCCTATGGTGTGTTTCTTTTAGTTGACTGGTGGGAAGGAAGTATACACTTCTCGCTTCCACTTTAACAATTATTACCTTTCTTTCGTTTACCTTTCCTTCCATGTTTCCAAGCTTTGACCTTATCGCCGCTTTCAGAAGCTTTGTCATCGTTTGTGATAGATATCATCGGCTTTTAGGTTTTGTGATTAGAAGTTCACAATAGTTGAAGAATTCGATAAAACTGGCATGAAAATCCATAATTATAGCTCGTAAGTAATACGCTCACATACAGATATTAATATATCAGAGTATTATTAAAACGGGTTTCTGTCTATAATAAACAGGGTGCGAAAAGGGGTGTCTATAATAACGTGGGTGGGAGGGGGGTGCCTGTAACGGTTTCTTAATATCTATATATTCGTTTCACTCTTACATGGCACAGGCGCATCCAAGTACAAGATCATGTAAAAATTGTAACATCTATGCTTCTATTATCCGCATCATAAAACAATTTTAATAATGCCATTGTCAAGTGTAACCGGCTGCTTTGTTTCTTTATTAGATGCGTTCCCACCGGATCGCGAGCGGTGAGACCAGGAAGGAGAAACTGATCCTTTCTTGCACAGCACGTGTAAAAGTATTTCTTCGCCACTGCATTAGCAGATGCAGATAGGAACTGTAATTACATTGTGGGTCCAGTACCTGGGGCCTACAGCTAGTACAGCAGCAATGAACGTACTGTACAATACACTAGTCGGTAGTTGTACTGTACGCATTAGTGCAATAATAAATTGCAGACGAACAACCTTTTATTGGTTTGCCGCAATCGCGATTTCGTGAAATATCAGCTGGTTTTTTGTTTTTTATGCTCGTGCCTACATAAATGAAATTTTTAATTTGTGGTATACTTGCGAATTCTCTAACCTGTACAAGTAGAATATGGCATCGTAAAATGGTCACGATTTCGAAGTCCAGACTTCACAGGAAGAGCGAAACTGACGCAGACACTTTTTATTTCTTAATCATATAAATATTTTGTGCTGCTGCAGATTTGTGGTTTAGCTGATGTCCTCAGTTGTAATAAATTTTTCATTCACCCGAACCTATAGAAACGATGTTTTCGTGAGAATTCCATAATAGTTTGCCAAAAAATTTTGATGTCCCATTGCGATATAATTTCGTTTTATCATTTGTTCGCTGGTAATAAAATTCGTTGAAACCCCCGCCGTCCCCGTGTGTGGGAACACCTGCATGGGCCAAGCAGGCCATGGACATTGATTGTTGTTAAAAATCGCGCATACCATGCGTGCAAGAGAAATTGCCTGATTTTGCAATAAGTATTCCGAATATCGCTTTTGGTTTCTAAACACAATGCCGCACAGAACCATAAACCGGTTTGTAATAAGCAATCTGCAAAAAATGGAAGCCTGGAGTTACTTGCGGGCACCATAGTAAGTAAGGAGTTACTTACGCAATTCTTCTGTTCCTTTGAATTTCGCGCTTCGTTACCGGTTGTGAATTTTCGCTTATTACCGGAAGTTGATAAGCAGCGAACATGAGCATATATTACGAATATGTAAATAATGACAAAATCTTAGTGCAAGTATACTGATGATGGAAAACTTCTAAGGACTTTTCCGTTCCCAGCATTTCCATCAATCATTTCCGGTGTGCGGGCACTACATTCATTATTGCGCATTCCTTCTTTATGGACAATGAGCCTTTGATATATAATACGCATGTCACATAGTACACCAGTCAATAGTCAGCTGATTTCCGTCCGCACGGTTCTGATTGGCTTGCATGTTTGTTATCGCAGTCGGTCGATCGTTTTGCCTGTCAGATCGGTTTCTCCGACCACCAAACATCCAACTTGTAGATGTAATAAATCGTTTTCGAGCTAGTTGTGTGACGTTTGCTCGCTCCAGCTTGGGAACGCGATATCCCGCCATCTAGAATATCACAGAAACCGAGAAAATGGCTCAACCCGATGTGGTATGCAATGGTCATGGGTCCGCATTGCCCAATGTTGTTATCATCTCCGCCTGTCGGACTCCCATCGGAAAATTGAACGGAGCCCTTTCCTCTTTACCTGGCCATAAGCTGGGGTCGCTCGTTATCACGGAATCATTAAAACGCGCCAGTATTCGTCCCGAAGAAGTCAGTGAAGTGATACTGGGCCAGGTGCTGACAGGCGGCCAGGGCCAGAATCCCGCGCGGCAGGCAGCGGTCGCGGCGGGCATTCCGATATCCGTCCCCGCATGGAGCGTGCAGATGGTGTGTGGCTCGGGCATGAAGGCCCTCGTGTCAGCCTACCAGTCTATCCGTAATGGGGACGCCAAGATTGTTGTGGCCGGTGGCCAGGAGAGTATGAGCCAAGCACCCCATGTCATCAGTCTGAGGAAAGCCGTCGTTATGGGCGACACGGTGATGCGCGACACCTGCACGACCGACGGCTTGACGGATGCGTTTAATCGCCTACCCGATGGGCATCCATTTCTAATGGGGAATACTGCGGAGAAGGTGGCGGAGCGGTGGAAAGTGACAAGGCAGGAGCAGGACGAATACGCTGCGCAGTCGCAGCAGCGTGCGGGAGCCGCTCAGAAAGCGGGGTATTTCCGAAAAGAAATTATCCCGGTATGCGTGCAGAGTGGGAAAGGTAAGGATTCCATGTCTCAAGCAAGATCTCAAGACTTCTTTATGCGCAAGCAGTGTTTTGTTTTAAAGAAACCGTAGAAGTGAGTGCCGATGAGTTTGTCAAACCAGATACCACCGTTGAAGCTTTGGCCAGATTAAGGACAGTTTTTCAAGCTAACGGCACGGTAACTCCAGGAAATTCTTCAGGTAAATCAATTTTTACTGTATGTTATAAAGGAGGAGGAGCACATGTGTTTCTCAGATTGTTTTACTGGCTTTTTATATACTACAGTATCAAGTATCAGCATAAATTGCAGAACCTTCCTAAGTTTTTAAGGAATAAGGACTCGCTGTTGAAACACGATTTTTATATAGGTACTATGTATTTGTTGTTATTACTCTTCCGCTTTCATGTCCACCTTGGAACCACATGAAGTCTTCGTGACATCTAACTGTTTTAGCATCAGTGAATGGCATGGGGAACCTGAGAAAAACTTTGGGCGATTTTTATATAGACAAGTGCATACTAACCATAAATACGGCAGATGGGTATGACATTTGTTAATAATATAACTACTTTTGATTTTTCTTGGTCTCCTCAGATGCATGGTTAATCTTTTGTGTTCCGTTGATATGCTCTCGGGCATGATTTAAGCTTATAACTGAAACTTCGAAAAATTTGTTTCCTTAAAAACTTTTGTGAGCTATCCGGTGAAGCTCCAGGCACGAAGAATGTCAGGCACTTATTTCCGGTTGAAAGTTAGGCTTTTGTTGAATTGATAGATCAGGATCCGGTTTCGGCTTTGTGCAACTGTAAAATGTTGTTAGTTACTTTTGCTTAATAGGTGTACGTAAAAAGCACTGTACAGTTTAAAATGGTAATGCACGGGAACTCTACGGTTCTCTTTACTTTTTTAAAGTATTCCTGCGTAGAATATACAGCCCTGGGCAGCCAAGTTGGGGCAGTTTTGTAAAATAAATTACAAATATTCCCATATACGGTTTTGCTTTTATTTTTACACTTTTTTAGTAAAACTTTTTATCGCGCATTCAGCAGTATTAAAACTGAAATCTTTCGGCATGCCTGTAAGGAGCCAAGGGGCAATTAAGGAGTTGGGGTAGTGGCAATTTTTAGGGGGCTTATAAATGCACCTCCCATAAAATCACCAGCCGCTATTTTTCTCTGGACCCTTTTGGGAACTGTTGAGTGGTCCAGAAGGTCTCTGTTACGGGTAAACAGAGCATCCTTGCGCGATCAGTGGGAGAGTGGCACTTGAAACTAATCTTTCTCCCATAGGCTTGTATGTTAAACAGCCGGGATAGGAGAACAGGGTTGCTTAGCGCACTGGACGCTTTAGGCACGATTTGAGTGATAAAACGGAAGCAAGAAGGAGACCATTAGTAAACCGCCATACTGCTTTTGCCGGTCTCAACCTTAAACTATTTTAAAAGTATTATCGAATGGACGTGATTATTTTTTAATAAGCAACGCGGATTTTGTGAAAAAATGAAATTAAAAGTTTAGCTCTCACTTCTTGACCTTTAATTTTTTGCATAGAAACATGGTTACAAAAGATACTTTAGACCAAGAGGTATCACGCAAAAGTAGAACAAATATATTCGATTGCAATGGTGAAAGCTGGGGAAGTTTTATTACTGCCCCAACTTGGCTGCCCAGGGCTGTAGTATAACATTTTTACCACATAGGTACCACATAGGTACCTCGTTTGCTTTTTATATAGTACTTATTTCAATTTTCAGACTACTCTGCTCTTATAGATACAAGTTGTACACATATATAGCAGCGCTCTTCGACAACATCGGTAGCACGCAAAATAGCTTACTGCTATAGAGTAGATAACTGATTTATTTTGTACGTAGGAGACAATAATAATATTTTGTTTTATAAGCGTATGCGTATGGCATCCATAATAGGTCAAGGTATGTACGTAAGCGTGTATGACATCCATTACACTGATAGATCACGGAAACCCTACGTATTTTGTTCAAATTTGAATGTATGTAGGTGTGAACGATGGTGCAGCCGCTGTCGTGATGATGTCTGAAGCGGAAGCAGTATCCCGCAAATTGACTCCGATGGCACGAATAGTTTCGTGGGCGCAAGCTGGAATCGATCCCATAATTATGGGTGTTGGTCCAGTCGAGGCCGTTAAAAAAGCAGTAAGCTGAAAAACCGATTTTTCTTTTTCTTTAAAGTGTTTTAAATTGTCGCTTGCATTTCGAATTCGTGACATAACAAATCGCACCGTAGAATCATAAATTTTTCATCCCTGGGGCAGCGGCACATCTATGGCTTATTGCATCGGTAGCGGTACAGCTCTGGCATGGCATCTATCCTCACTATGCTGAAAGATTTATTACGCGTATTACTAGTCACGCAAGCAAGCTTACATTTTTAAAGAAAATCTTAATTGTTGTACTCAGCGAGTTGTACTGTATTTTCCCACTTATGAAGTTGTCAAGATCCTTGTTTTTCAGCTTTCTAAAGCTTCTTGGAACATTTCCGATGTGGATGTTTTTGAATTAAACGAGGCTTTTGCTGTATCATCCATTGTATGCGCACGGGAATTAGGTGTGGATGCAGCGAAGGTGAACATTTCCGGAGGATCCATCGCTCTGGGGCATCCCATTGGAGCATCAGGTGCACGGGTGGTGGTGTCGCTGCTGCATGGTTTAGAAAGGACCGGTGGTCATAAAGGTGTCGCGGCTCTGTGCATCGGTGGAGGAATGGGGATCGCACTGTGCGTGGAAAGAACGTGAACGTTCTAGTGAAAAATGGTTTGGAAATACGTCCAGTGATATCTGTACCGTCAAAAGAATGAATTGTTACATCTCCCTCAAGTTACTATTTCCTGGTGATTACTCTTTTAATCCGTGTCAGTTTATATGGTTTTAGAATTTAATTAGTTTAATAGTTCATGGGTTCGCACTCGCAGTTCATGGTATGCAAGTGAGTTATGAGACATACCGTTTTGACCATGTTCAAACATTCGGTTTTCTTTTTAATGTTTATTGTATTGAAAAAATTAAAGATGACATACTACGGACATTCTTTTACGAAAATCGAAAATTGTATATTGTGCCATATAAACTTGCTTAACGCAGAATATTAATTATGCTATTCGTATATCTATTAGGTATTTAGGTATAGAAATATCGATTTCGTTGTTGCATTATATGCGTTTCTGTTAAAATTTGGTTTTATCTGCAGTAAATGTGAGAACAAGAATGGCCAAATCATTATTTTGATACTTGCTCCTATTCTTATTCATGATTTTATTTCTGGCTTAACACTTCTAATCGGATTTATCCGTTTTTTCGGCACAGACTCTTCCTTGATCAAGAATGACCCGCTTTGAACTTCCTGCTGGGCGCATACGTTTGACATCTGTTGAATAACTTCAGAATTCACATCGAACTCTCTCTCTCTGGTTCACATTCTGAAATAGGTCTTATCTTGAAGAAGTTATTGGATATATGTTTACATATGCCCTCAGCTGTCATCTTTTTGATTTCTTCTACAGCAGTGCAAACAGATAAGAATGAAACTATTTCACTTTACAAGCCTAATAAGAACCCGTAAATCCGTAAATTAATTTCAGCTTGAATGCTTTCTGTCTGCGCTCCTTATCAACGGAATTAAGGCAGGGCATTCATATTCGTGCATAGACGGGTGATACAGTTACTGACCAGCAGCTTATGCTTGGTAATATAGCCACTCCTTCTGGCTACCGCTACTTGTGTGGACGGCTGCCGAGAGTCTATTAACTCTCACCATTAGTTGTTGTAATGTCGCTGCCACATACACATCAAATCGAAGAATTAATCTAGAAATATATTTCATTTTTTGATTGATCTGCTGGCAAAGTCATCAAAAACTCATCGCTTAATTTGGAAGTGTATGTAATCAATGGATGAACTGTTTTATATGTCATAACTATTCTTTTGAGAATGTTGCCGTCTTTAACGTTGCATTGTTAAGAGGTTGGTAGTTTTGATGAGAATCTATCATCGACACGATATCCCACCGGGCAATTCGTCACTTATTAGGCACACGGCGACATACGCGAATCCATCAGTATCGACCACTGGCTATTAACGGAAAGACGCGGATGTAGCTTTTTTACTCACCATCAGTTCTACATCAAATTCCATTAGCCGATCGAAATCATTGGCATTTTAATGTGATTCTCGCGCGATAGCTACTCTAGTTTGGCTGATTTTTTTAGCCATTAACTTACTGCTCCATAGCAGAATGCAGTCACCATCTGACCCGCACCATCAAGAATCAACGGTGGCGCACGCCGCTCGTCCCGCTGAGCCACCGCCATATCCCGGACGGAGTGTTATTATTAATTATGATTTAGATGATCCCGAACACTGGAAAAATAAACTCGATAAGCTGCACATACCGGCTGCCGCAGCCAGGAGAAGCGTTGCCAATGGCCATTGTCCACCTGCCACACCTGTGACGGACAATCAGCGTGTCCGCTCATCATCACCTTCACCTGTAGCGACCGGTGCTGTCTTAACCTTAGCCGAACTTAAACGGAAACAGATGCATAAACGCCGTGCCAGATTGCAACTGCAGACCGGCACAGCTACAGCAGCTTCCGGGAATGGTCAGCGTAATGAGGATGATAATTCGTCATGGTGCAGTGAAGAAGATGTGGATAGCGCTGAAGCATCACTGGAGTTGCGTTTGCGTCGGATTTTAGCCAAGGTGTGTTCTATAAAGCAACCATTCTGGTTACATCAATGGTAATCCGTGTAATTGTACTGATATGTAATGAAATACACAATGGCAATTAATGACTGCCACAATCAATAATTTATCTATATGTATAGATGTTGTGTTAACTGATAGATTTTTGATAATTTGATATTATTTTTTACCGGGGATGCAGCAACTGCATGTGAAAAACCAAAACGTAATATCACATTTTAACTGCATATATATACAGTTTTGCAGTAAATGTGGTATCGTATAATATACTATTCGTACAGGTTTAGCACTTCATGAGTATTTTTTTACACAATCCATAAGGAAAAATTATTGATAGAAGAGGATATATTTCCCGAATACATACAGTATCCGTACAGACTGTAGATCATATAAATATCTGAACGAATATGCGAGTTACGTATCGCCCCGGCAAACTTTTGAAGTTTACAGTTAAAAACATTTAAATTAGCTTGTAGCTGATAATACAGACCACATTAATTAGTGTTTCTTTATCGACATGATAAGTAACTGAATAAAGTCGCAACCTATGACAATCCGCGTTGTAGGTGAGAGTGTACAATGCAGTGAATCAGTGTCGTGTGAGTGCTCCTTTTTTGTACTGTCATTATCGGCCTACAAGTTTTAAAGTGCTACGTACTCACCATTCAGAGCAATTTTCATCCAGTACAGTACCATCTTGCTTTACTACTTTTTACTAGGCTTAAGTTGACATATATAATGGTTATATGCGGATTACTGATTATATTAAGTCAATTAAGATAGTATGGTAACTGTAAACTGCGTAGCCGAATACCGGTCAAGACAAAATTTCAATGTTACTGGTATGATTTACCACCCACTGTTTGCATCTGTGACAAGAAGATCATAACTACCCTCACATTCATATGAAATAAAATCCGAACCAACATAATTGCATATATAATGCCCTTAGCAATTCGTCAGTTGTTTTGACTTATGCTTTATAAATTATTTTCTGTTAAAAGTTTAACAGGCGATAATCGTAGCTTGAGGTTAGAAGATAATGGTTTAATGTTATATGAAACCATTTTCGCTTCCCATGTGACTTATATTTTTTTAGAAGCTTCAGACTTTTTTATACAGGAAAATATTTCGATGGAGGATTACTATAACATGAATACCGGTCTACTAAACGTGCGTGCCGTACCGGCATCGCCGTCGCCGGATATGCAACAGCTGGAGCCGAATGTTTTGTACCACCGCCTTAGTGATTTATGCTCATATGATGGACCTTATTTACCGAAACGTCATGCTACGCTTGATACCGGTCAGCGGGACGGAAAGCCACCTCTACGGTTGAGGAGTCCTAACCGTAACAAATGTCAGTTTTACGATCTGAAAACATCTCCAGCGGTGCCCACCCGTAGTGGACATAACAGAAGAATACTGACCGACGTCGAGTTTAGGGAGACCTTTGACAACTCTAGCAGAGCGCCAATGTCCAAAGAAAGCAAACAAAGTGAAGTTCACCGGTAAATCTTTTGATAGACCATGTTTGCGTACGTAAATTAAAGAGCCTGAGAGTCACAAAAAAGTGTTAGTCACGAAATAATGTTAGAAACATGCTTGTTTAGGTTTTTAGGTTCAAATTAATTATACGATAAACAAATTTGTTATAACGCGGTGTGATTACGTAGTAAGAAACGCGTTGTGGTTTTTGCACGTACTCTGGAATGTTAGCGATGACATTGTTTATCCATGACCATTTGATCAAGTCGCCGAAAAGCATAATTGGTATTATAGCATTGTGCATATTAACTGAAGACCTTTATGAATAATTGATTTGTCAGAACCTTGTTTATTTAATCTATGCATATAAAGTACTAGAAGTAGTTTATTGTTACATGCTGACTACTCTGTATGTTACTGATCGTGAATAGTCCTCTGTGCGATACCTTTATCTATACACATACAATTTACAAAGCTGCATGGGTATCTTTAGGAATTTTGCCGGAAGCCGTAAACCTACGGTGCCATCATCGACACCTCCCTCTACACCCTTTTCCCCTGTGAACTGCCCTAGTGAATCACATTCTCCGGCTGATGAAGCCGGTTTCTGGGATCAGCCGGCATTATCAAGCCATGAGAAGCATTCTAGCCATAATGATTATGCCGGCAGCAACAGTACCGACGGTGATCTGGATTCTACCGGCGGTGATCACAGGGCGTCTTCCGATGAAGGATTTTCTGGGAATCTGCAAGAAGATGACGCAAATCTTTACGAATATCTTGCCAAAAAGCAAGTTCTCGCATTATGCGATATGCAGATGAAATTGTTACAAGCCATGAGTTCCCATAAGCCGACTCCTCTTATACGCTCATCACCCTCGACAGAGAATATTGCAATTTCACCACAGCATGCTCATGTGCATACACAAGCCCAAACATCACTGGAGGCTGTTGCTCGATCAAGAAACGAAAGGTATTAAATTGTACTATTAAATTCACTACGGCATTGCGGATGGTCTAGTCAAATTAATGTAATTTAAAAGTTGCCATCCAAAACAATATAATTATCAATTTTTATTATACCGAGTATCAGGTCCTGGTAGTATGTAAATAATGTAATAGTAGTAGTAGAGTCAGAGCATGCGTGACAGAGGTGCTGTCATGCTTACTGTAGTCGTCTCGCTAGTACACAGATAGTTATGTACTCGTATACCATCTGTACATTGCGTCTCTTTGTAAAATGTAGCCCTCATGACGTGGACATGCAACGACGTTGTGAAATGCTGGAAGGACATATTAGTAAACTGACACAAAACATCGAATATCTAACAAACGAAATAGAAGCGCAACAGGCATCTCTTCGCCATCTGGAGCTTAACCAACGGCCAAGAGTGCGATTCGCCGATGAAAAGCCGCCGACTCATTCCCTGCAGCCAAGCGTACAGCCGTTGCCGGTTGTGTACAGGTCAACTACGGATCTCAGCCAGAACGGAAATTCGGATTCACTGCCCACACCTGTTGCATTGTCATCCCGGCCAGCAAACATTGGTGCGGTTATCACCGTTCCACAATCCAAGGGCGCATCTGATAATACACACATGCTATCCAATCCTGAACGAGTTAATAAATTAACAAAGTAAGCGCACTGTGTTGTAATGTTATTTAGCCAAGAAATGTTCGCAGCAAACCAAAATAGAATGGGATTATGGAACTAACCAGGCCGGAAATCTGCACTTATTAATCCAAGAACTTTTTTCACTTGAATACAAACTAGTTACCTACTCGCATCTGGACTATTTAAGAGAATTCTTTCGTTCGTAATGATAAAGTAGGCCCGGTCAACTACCAAATCAGTGAGAAAGATCTTAGTGCTTACCACAAGAGACTGTTCAGGAAATTATGAATAATATCTATTCCAAGAAATCTGGGAACATAACGTAACCGCTTCTTATATATTTCATATTTTCCCTGTTAAAACAGTATGGTAATACAGTACAGTGTTTACAGTGATGTCGGAAGAGAACATTTTGCGAATTATCCTTACTGTTATTGCTATCCTTGCAGTAGGATCTATTTCCTTACTTTTATTTTTTAATAAACGGCTTCAGTAAAGTGTACCCGAAATCCTGCTAGTATAGACTGACATGCAGCCCGGTTATTGACTTATTGCTAAACGTTTCCTGGCGCATTGCTTTAATCATTAATGCATCACTGAATTATTTTGTTTTCGAGTTTACTGTTTATTACTACTGTACCTGTAAGTCGGTGATTCGATGTAACTTACCATTAGTTATTTTTATTTCGTTAATCAGATACTCGTACACTGAAAGTCGATATATCGATGTAACCAAACTTGGAACCTCAAAGGCTTCGAACCGCAAACGGATGAACAGAATTTCAGTAAACGTTGGTTGTAAATGCACGTATTGTACCGTAGCACCCTAATGTAATCAGCTATCGTGAGAGGAATGAAAACGGTACTTTAATAATTGTTGACTGCTAACAGAAAAATGTTTATTTAGGTTTTTTGGCTCTGAACCGCCGTTGGTGCGTATATTCCTGAAAAAGCTGGGCTATGAGGTAGGGATATCGGGTCACATGTTTTTATCCTACCTAATTCAGGATTGAACATAGGTCCGACAATAAATTTTTTTTATAGAAATACGCCCGCCTCTTTGAAATTGAGAGAATCGGTCTGAATGAATTGCCTTACATGACTGAAGACAAACTACGACGCCTGGGAGTTCCCATGGGACCGCGTACACGCATTCTCCATGAGGCCCAGTTGATTATGAAATCGGAGCGCAATCCACATACCGGCTTCGTGTAATCGAAGCGGTAAATTGTAGGCAGGAAATGAAGAGGTGGATTTCGTGTGAGCTATTGTCAAGGTGCTAATTTCATGCACTGATGACATCTTCAACTTCTGCCGAAGGAAATCAATGTGAAACAAGGTTTCAACGGTGGCGAATGATTACAGCTGAAGCGCATCCGGCATAATATTACCGCGATACCGTACAGCGCGTTATGCGCGCAGCTGAGGAAGATCATAGCACACATAAATCACAAGTGAACTATCTAATCGTTATGCTTGTGTTGTCATGCATACCACTAGATGTTCGCTATTGTTGCACGCTATTGTTCGTTGAATAGACACGTGTACAATGTATTGTTCGTGGACGTTCACATTATTAATTTATGGCTCTTTCTTGATTGTAACTTGTAAACGAAAGCAATGTTGAAGCTTATAATTACTATATAAACTATTGGCTGTACAATATATGTGTATTAGATATTGAAGATATTAAAGTTTATGGAGTACAACTCGTACCAGCATCCGATGAAGTAAAACTATCAAAAATTATATAATCTGGTTATTCTTACAGAACAGTAAGTACGGTAATTTTGCCAGAATAAACAAAAAAGAAAACTGGAAAATGTTAACGACGTAATAATTTATTAAGTCTCCTTTATTCATATCTAAGGCACCAGAACAATATATTCTGCGATAGAACTGCAACACATCTTCCAGCTCTGAGAGCTCGTACGCTTTCCAATTGAAGTCCAACTACAATAAAAGGAGTTGTACGCAGTTATTACTACAACAATAATTATTGTACATAAGGAGTACAGTACTTACGAATAGTTCAAAACCGTACGCTGAGCGGCACCGTTATTTTCCGCCTCTTCTGATCACATACATAGACAGTGCGCGTATATAATTATAATTTTTTGCTTAAACATTATCTAAATTCTGTAAATTGTTACCTAATATAGTAACATTGCTGATTGTTTTTGATTTTCGTTATATGAATACTGATTACCTGTGCCAGGACTTCGGCCCTGTCCTTTGAGGCAAAGGATCTCGGCTTCTACTTCACCAATTTTGTTGCTTTAAAGTACATCAAAATTCTCTAGGTGTAGCGGTGGATCCAAGATTGTTGACGTTTTGCCCAAATCATTTGTCTAGGTCCAGTGGTCAATCATAAGCTTGTTACCATGGACGCGATAAGAAATGCACACTGTTCTAACACAACTTGACCCAGAACAGTAGCAATATCTGAGCTGCTACTTAACAATAAGTACGAGTACAATACAAAGTAAAAAATTTATGTAAGTAACTTAACACGTCAGTCATCATTGCGTTAGTCATCATTGGAAGTTATGTACTGTATGTACAAGAAGGCAGTCCGTGTTTCGATTAACTTATGTAAAGTGTATCATAATATAGACATACGTACATACATACGTACATACGTACATACATACGTACATACGTACGTACATACATACGTACATACATACGTACATACGTACATACGTACATACGTACATACGTACGACATACGTACATACGTACGTTTATATTACTAAACATACGTACGGGTTCATTAATATTATGACAGTCTGTAAGCGACCGCAAAGCAACACATCCTTAGAATTACTTATTTTTCCGTCAGGCCTGCACACTGTTGCAGGACCTATACACTATAATAAAAACAGAAAGTGAGACTTTCTGTATAAGAGTGTATACGGCTTGTTTCTTGCACGGTCTATGGGGAAATCTGTAACCAAAATGTTACACCCCTGTGATTGGCACAAGTTAGGGGTGTGGTTTACGGTATGCCAGTTAATACGGGCATACTGCATAGTCAGCATAGCTGTCGCTAGAATGTGGTTGGGCTAATAGCCTAATAATTATAGAAGTATTCCATGTGGTTTGTATCCAGTTCCCGTTTATCCCGATTATTTCCCTTTCCCATCCAGGCCTGACGGAGCTATTTCCGTAGGAAATGTCACTTTAGTGTTTTTAATAGTCATCGGCCAATATTCATCCGTGCTGGGCTTGTTTCTTTAATATTTATGTCTCATGTCAGAACGCCTGCTGTAGTATATATACATTTTCATTTAACTAATAAATTATCACTTACCAAAAAATAATGTGTTAAGTACAGCATAGTGCCATAGCATCGATCCACTAATGCTGTGTCGTAAGACGTAAAGTGCGGTACAGTACATCTATGATTCGCCATCGAACAGCTGATTGCATCCCGCATCGAAATCTGTACTGTAATAACTTCAGCTCGTACGCAAATCCAAATTTGTACGCAGAACTGAGTGCTTTGCGGTTTCTTCTCTTGTTGTTCTCTAATTGTCTGCCATTTTCTGTGTGTGAAATGAGTCTCAGATTATTCTCTTCGTCCTTTTCCTTGCTCCGTCATCGCGCTGTCCTCTGTGCCGCTCCAACACGCAACGTGTCTGCGCGTTTCACGTATGCACCAGAAGTTGCCAATCCCGAATATGGAGAAACAACCAAACTCAACCTCTTCCAGTCTATTAACAGCGCTATGGATGTCGCCCTCGCCACAGATAAGACTGCCGTGATATTTGGAGAAGATGTGGCATTTGGCGGAGTATTTCGAGCTACCATTAACTTGCAGGAACGCCACGGCAAAGACCGTGTTTTCAACACTCCGCTGTGCGAACAGGGTATCGTGGGTTTTGGTATCGGTGTGGCCGTGGCAGGAGCCACTTCCATCGCCGAGGTGCAGTTCGCTGACTATATCTTTCCGGCCTTTGATCAGCTGGTCAACGAAGCCGCAAAATTCCGTTATCGCTCGGGGAACCAGTTCAACTGTGGGAAGCTGACGGTGCGTGCTCCATACGGCGCCGTCGGACACGGCGCACTGTACCATTCACAAAGTCCTGAAGCGTATTTTGCCCACACTCCTGGTCTGAAAGTGGTTATCCCTCGTGGTCCTATTCAGGCCAAGGGATTGCTCTTATCCTGCATTCGTGATGATAATCCGTGTGTTTTCTTTGAGCCGAAAATTATGTACAGGTACGGTTTGACGCGCTACGCTGAGGCTAAAAACAATTGTAAGCAACATCGTAGGTGAATAACGAACTTTAACTCTATCACTTGTTAATTTTTCCTTGAAAGCATTATCGGAGATCTTTGTAACATCTGGCATGTGTCGTATGCATTGTTACGGCAGTTTCTGTAGGTTTTTGACATCGTTTCACAGTTGTGAGAGAGAGCATTGAGCAGGCAGATAGGAATTTGGGTAAAATAAAGGCTTTACTTCTCTGTTTTACTTTCCTCATTTCCCTTCTCGTTTTACGGAATTTTATTTTAATAGCAAGATGTTTCTTGCCTTTCGAGATTCTACAGGTTTAAACGACGTATTAAGTATTTAGATCAAAGTGAATTGCTACGTCTGCTCGAATCTGTGTTTCTGTGCAGAGTTGCAGTTCCGGCGGCATTGAATTATTTTTCTTGTTTTGCAGGTCAGCGGTAGAAAATGTTCCAACCGGTGATTATACGATCCCCTTGGGGAAGGCCGAAATATTGGAAGGAGGTAACGATGTTACGTTGGTGGGATACGGTACGCAGATCCATGTGCTCAAAGAGGTGGCGGCTATCGCCAAAGACACTTTGGGAGTCAGCTGTGAAGTTATCGATCTGTAAGTGTACCGGCAGTTACGCTCAACAACCTTGAAATTTCGTCCCCGACGCGTAGTCAGCTGTTCAATGGTTATGTTATGCTTGTGTCATGTCTGATTGTGTACGTATTCTTTTTAGGAGAACAATTCTGCCGTGGGATGCTGAAACTGTCTGCCAGTCAGTGGCGAAAACTGGTCGATTGTTGATATCTCATGAAGCACCGGTCACGAACGGGTTCGCTTCGGAAATTGCTTCCTATGTGCAGAAAGAGTGCTTTCTTAATTTGGAAGCACCCATTGAGCGGGTTTGTGGTTGGGATACTCCGTTCCCGCATACACTGGAACCGTATTACATTCCTGACAAGTGGCGGTGTGTTGAAACGATCAAGAAAATGGTTAAATTCTAAAGTTTAATTGTGAAATATTGTTTTGCCGTAGGCACCGATTTTAAGTTTTTAGCCGCTTCGTGATAGAAAGCAAATTCATAGAGTTTAAAGAAATTATGTTATGGCTGGTCCTTGTTTCGGCCCTTGTTTCGGTTGACAAACTCGGAATTCACGTATTGCTCAGATGAAGGTTAAGCATTTGAATTTCATATAATTACTGCAACTGCTGCAAAGAAGTAGTTAAACAAGAAAATGATGCGAAATTGATGTTGCCGGTATTCATGCATTTTGGAGAAACGTCGTTTATAAGTCCGAGTGTGCGCTTCGCTTCCGACCGGTGAAATTGTCCATGCACCTTTGTAGCCCAAAAATATCGTCTTTGCTCTCCACGATCTTTGTAGGAAGTATTCTATAGATAATACAAAAACGCGCTGGGTAGCAAAGTGGTTCTACTAAGCAACGTTATGCATAAATTTATGGAAAAACATAGTTTTAATGGCAAGTTCATGGCTAATCCATGAGTTAGCTTTTCCTGCGGGGGTGGATGAGATGGCGTGTTCATTTGGTCGCAGATACGAGTAATATGTAATCTTGTAGGAGTGGATCAGTGATTAAAAGATATGTTCACACCTGTAAATTGGAATTAAAAATCTCATGATGGCTGGAAGAGTGACCTTTGCTTCCTTATACAAGATGGCTTGGATGACTTTCTCAGCTACGACGGCTGGTCCCAGAATGGGCGTAATCCAAGGGAATCTAAAAATGCAACAAAGAATATTGTACGCGAAATATTAGCCACGCTAAATGGCTGTAAAACGTGGCGTAGTGCGGTGAAGTCGCCACATGGCCCACATCCACTGTAGTGTGATGTGGCGGCTTCTGTGTTGTTGAAAAAGCCATTACGGCATTTTTTGATTTTTACTCAATAGACTAATTCAAGCGGCGTACCTGCTTGTGGCACCGGCAAACATTCCCGTGTCCACTAGGTAAGGTGCTACAAGGGTCGCATGTATCCCTTTATATCCCGCTACCCGAACTTCCGTAGCGACAGTTTCATGCAGTATGGTAGCTGCTGCTTTTGATGCACAATAGTCACCAAGCTTGCGAATACCGGCGACGGCTGCTACGCTCGAGATGGTCACTATGTGGCCGCGGTTCTGCGACATCATGTCGGGAAGAAACGCCCTGACCATCTGCAAATTTATTAGCGGCAATTTTCAATAATTCTTATTTTTAATGCTGCGGTTCTGCCCTTTTCTTCATTAGTTTAATAAGAATTGGCATGCACAATTAATATTTTGCTGCCAATATGCCCGACCTGCTTGACCAGACAATAGACATTGAAGTCCCGTTAACCGAGTTGTCTGCTCTTGATGAATGAATGAATGTGTCGAATGTGTTGACCACTTACCCAAAAATGTGCCATTACATTCACCGCAAAACTGTTCTCGATTTCCTCATCGCATAAATCGAGAATTGTTTTGCCATTCACCACTCCGGCATTGTTAATTAAAATAGTTACTTCCCCAATAGTGGATCGAATCGACGCTGCCGTCTCGTAAATCTGTTTGCGCGAAGAAAGGTCACAAATAAAAATATGCGCCTGGCCACCTCGACTGCGTATCTCTTGGTGAACCGATGTGACCGCTTGAACATCCCGATCCAACAGCGCCACACGGACGCCCTTGGCTGCCAGCTACAATTAACGTAGTCAGAGGCAACCGTAATTAAATTTATTAGGGAGTAAATTTTGGTTGCTCTGAATTTAAAAAGATATTTGTACATGCGCACTAACTCAAACCCTTTTAATAAAAAACTACTCGTACAAACTGACCAATTCACTTACGCCAAGTGCAACATGCCGACCGATACCGTTTCCCGCACCGGTAACCAAAGCCGTATCCCCTTCAATACATTGCTTCCGTCGTAATGACAATGGAACCATCCACAGAATAGCAGACTCACACATATAATACAGTATTTTAAATGGTAAACTCAGTAAAATTGCAATATCTGAACAGCGCGCCATTTTGATAACCTGACAATGCCGAAATGAAAGTTGCGGTGAGGAACACCGGTTTTACTTTTAAGCAGCTGTAAATCAGTACGCTCAGTATTTGAAAAACACACGTGCAAAAGATTATTAGCATCGAAAATTTTTGGTTTCTTCGTTTCGAGGTTTATTTCATTTGTCACGAATGTGAGATAAAAAGGATTGGAAAATCCCTTGCCGCTCCTTTCCTGCGAGTTTAATATCCAACGTAGTTGTGCAAGGGAATTAATACGCTCGGTTTCTCCTGTGTACAACGTACGTGACCGATTGAAACGGATCAACAGATTGATCATCATCTAATGGTTTTATAGCTTCCGATCCGGAAGGATTCTAATAGGAACAACAACGACCTCTGCGTATTAAATTTCATTCCGGGATGGACATGTCGCCCGGTGTATCTCCATACATTTCGCAACATGCTGAATGTGTTCGTCTTTCGAAGCAAAACGTTAATGTTTAAATCTTAATCGTAACCTTGGAAAAGGTGTTCTGGAATCCATCAAGAGTTTTAATAAAATGTTCATTATACAACGAAAAACCGAAACCGGATTAACACAGCAGATCACAATTTGGTCCATGAGTAAGACATAACACATAATAACCTGTCTGCTAATAAAACATAAACTGAACAAGTTCTTGGCAAGGCAACGTTGTGATCCAGGAACAACCGCAGTCACTGTACAGGCACAAAACGCTACGCCAATGAGAAACATGGCTATAACTGATTCACGATGGCGTTCCAGCAGATGCCCGATCCCGCGACCAGTCTTGAGTAACTTTCCTTCTTTCGCGCCCAACAAAAGATGCCATGAAATCCTGAACTCCCAAAAAGTCTTCGATAGCTATGATCGCTTTACGTGGGAGCAGCCTGCAGAACATAAAAAAATTAGATGCCTATCTGTGTTAGGACTACAATTCTCTACGATAGTTTTAAAGTAAAATATCATAATGTGGAAAACTGGGATCAAGTGAACGGATCAAGTGTTGATCACTTACGCTCGTAAGGGCATGAGGAAATATAAGCTTCGGGGAATGTACACCTGGTGTTGGTTAAGCAGAATAGCTCTAACCACTCGCTCAGCGACATAATCGGGCTCCGTTAACGGTAACAAAAATGGCAGCCTAAAAAAAATGGAGAATAGAAGAGAAAACGAAGAACTTGAAAACAGGAAACCGGTCCATCTTGGTCCGTGGACAGTAAGAATTATCTAATCAGTAATACCATTTTTTACAAGCCGCTATTAAAACAAATTTCCCATTATACAAATACCACGTTCTTTCCACATACCTGGCTTTAGCCCCTTCGAACATTCCAGTATTAATAAAGAACGGACAAATATTGGTCATCTGAATGCCATCCTTGCCCAAAGCGCGCAGTTCCAAAGCCACTGACTGCAAACAAAAAGGAAAAATTTCAATCACGAACGCAATCATGAAACCGAGTGAGGATCAAAACGGAGAGTGCGTAAATTATAATTCCTATCTTTTGTACGGCGTAACGGAGGCTACAACATATGACATTTTAGGCAGTACAACGTAATTACCTCATGTAAACCCAATGCCCCATGTTTACTGGCACAATAATCAACAAGGCGGGCAGTGGGATTTCGACCGGCAATGCTGGAAATTGTTACTACATGTCCATGATTCAATGTCATCATATGAGGCAGGAATGCCTTCAAAGTCTGTAAATCAAATTATAAAGTTCAGGAGTTTATACCGGAAACATCACAAACGTACACAGCACAGCGGTCACTAATCAACATTCATCCTTCCAAAGTACAAATTCCAAAACTGGGCATTTATTAAAGAAAAGTAGCACATTTCTATCATCATTTCAAAAATATGGTAACAATAGCGTAGTTGTTTGAATAATATGAAAATTCGCCAACACGCGCCGATCTTTGTTGGAAATCAAAAGTGAAAGATTACAAAACGAAGCGACTAGAAAATGATCATATCAATGAGAAATCGAGCATAACCACGTGAATCGCTGGCACCACTGCAGAGGCTGTTTCCACTAACTCAACGATAAAATGCTTAAACATAGTCAAAAGCGAAATTTTTCCATTGCCTTGCTGCCAATTTTTCAGAAAAGACTCTTTCCGCGTACAGCTTTTAAATCTTAAAGAAAACTTATTTTAATCAGCAAGACCGGCAAATTTAATAACGACGGGGCAGCAACAGCGAAGAAGCAATATTAATTTCTGCAGTATTTCCAGAGTTTTGGATTACGTGTAACTGCGCATTGTGTAGTTTTTAATTTCATACAACCCGACGCGCTTACCTTGTACAAGCGAATTCTGAACAGAAAAAGCATCTGTATTTAAAAAGCGCTGCTACACACAAACTTCTTAGATCTTATCGAGAGTATCACAACACAAACTCAAAAAATAAATTATGTAAACTCAACTAGAACCGACTTGTACTGTTTTAACAACGCTCGATCAAAGTCCAAAAAGTGAAACAGCTGACGAACTACAAAAAGTGGATCATGCACTAAATATCGCTGATTTTAAAAAAAATCGTCATAGACCCAAACTACAAGCTGTAAAATGCACGTACAAGAGTTAAAAAAATTTCGAACAAGACAGTAGTTATGCAGATAAAACTACAAAGCAGCCTGTAATCACATTATTTCCCAAAGTCTTTGCATATTTGCAGCTTTGCTGCTCTGCAAAGCATTTCTTTGTACTGATGAAAAACAGCAGTTTTTAAAAAAAATGAATGAAATAACTAAGCAAATTTGAGAATTATCATAATTATTTCAAGAATGTGTTTTAAGAATTATTCGCACTCCGTATCAGCTGTACACTTCCCTTGGCAGATAATAATGGAAAATTCCGAAATTATAGTTCTCAAGACTTCAAGTATTAGCTACACATACCCAAAAATGAGCAATCACATTAACTTCCATGACTTTCTCGATTTTCTCATCGGGAATATCCATGAACCATCGTCCGTTAACAATTCCCGCATTGTTGACCAACAAGGAAACATCCCCGACTTCCTGACGAACCCGTTCAGCCGTTTCGTACACCTGAAACGATCTGTGACGTCGCAGAAGTACATTGTCGCTTCTCCGCCGTCCTTTTCGATCATGGCTTTCGTTTGTTCCAGGCCAGCGGTATTAACATCCCACAGGACAATTTTCGCACCCAGTTTCGCTAAGCGAACGGCAATCAGGCGCCCGATGCCGCTTCCCGCTCCCGTAATCAGAGCAATTTCGCCATAGATGCTTTTCGTTGTCCGAAAAGATTTCGGTATGAACAGTGTAATGAAACCTTCTGCGCAGTAATACAACACGCTCATAATACAGTACGCGAACTGAAAAACACTATTCATGGCAGATTTCGAAAGGGAAAAAAATTTCAAGCGCGACTGAAAAAACATAGTCATGGATTTAAATCGTGAATTATGAAAATCATAATCAGAGTATGCGATATGGACGGGCATTTCAGAATAATAATTAGTCATCTCTCAAACTGCCGTACGGCAAATGAATGGTAAAGCGAAAATTTCGCGAAATTGGGAAGCATTCGCTTGTTCATTGCTCGTGCAGCGTTCCATTAGTACTAGTATACATGAGTAATTGAGCACTAACCATAAGTACACTCTGGGACTGAGTGAGTGTTACAGGGAACGAACGGATCACGTTGAGGTTGATATTTAGGTAACCAATACCAGTAAGAAAGCAAAAATAAAAGAATGGCTACTAATAAATTCCGATGAGAAAACAAGTCAGAAATGTAAAAGAAAGTATAAGTAAAAAATAAATATCCATTCAGATTTCTCAAAATAGTCTTGCTTGACTAGCGTGCAACACCACAGGACGCCGCATTGCCGGAAAACTATGTAGAAAGCAAGAGTGTTAAGCCTAGCTACTGTACACTGCCTGCTGCATGTACAATAGTAGCACTGTACAGGCTATGTGCTGTTTTCTTCAGAATTTTATTTCGTTTGAAACTGCGAGCAGTATTAGCATTATAATCTCGTGGGATCATTTTTTTTCAAGATGCTTAATAGCTGTTACCTGCAGCCGCACGGAGCATGCTAAGATTGTTAAATTCTGGTTTTTCAATTCTACAGACAGTTGGTAAACGAGGGCGGACACAGCCGTTTCCAGGCATATTTATTACGGTGACCCGTATTGATCACAACAAGACAGGCCTATGCTGCGTGCGCTCCAGCGGAGCAGCCGCACTTGCATTCCGCGTTCGCGTATTTCTTACAACTTTACTCCTATCGATTTTTTCAGAATCTTTTTATATTCCACTCAACACTTGCATAACTTCAAACTTTAGCCACGAAAGAGCGATCTGCACCTCATTTCAGTCACTTTGTGGGCTTGTGCTGTGTTCGCTAGTCGAAAAAGAGGAAAGCTGCTCCCACCAAAAATCGACGCAACACTATATTAATGCTTATACCTAAAGCGGTACCTAAAGCGACATTTGTTCTGTTTACGCTTGAATATTGCGATTCTTAATTTTTCCTGTATTTCTGTTGCTGGATATCTTCTTATTTATTTGAGAAGATTGCCATTTGATAACTCGCTAGTGTCGTTTTCCGGTACGTCCCATGTGGTTCTGTAATATTGTACATACTGAGACGGCGACTGCAGAGGCTGTACGGTTCGATTAATGTTTTTCGTGTTGTTGACAACATTTGTAGAAATGAATCCTCTTTCTGAGTCAAACAGCTGGGATAGTGGTAATGGAAGTATGGACAGTCCAAGTTGGCCCCCGCATGGCAGAGCGGATAGTCTGAGGTCCGGTGTTCTCACGCCCTTTGGCACCGTGGAAAAGAGTCATGGCAAGTTTGTTTGGGGACAGAAAAAGCAAGATCTCACACATCGGTTTCCACAGCTGGGCAAAAGCGAAGATTTTGCATTTTCCAGAGGAACCTCGAATAAGGTATGGTATACGGCATTTGAGTGTGTAACGGGGGATTTCCTCCTCTGGTATTGGTGCTGTACGAGTATGATCTGGGTTGTACCGCCTTTCGTGTTTCCTGTTCCTGTACGAGTGGTTTAGTATATATAGTTCTGCTGGTGCTGTATTTCTTCGGTCGATTGGGTGAACAATATTTCCGTATGAGCCAGTTTCCGTTGCCCGTTATACTTGGAGTCGCATACCGAGAATCGAAATTTTTCAACTTCTCAAATCGACGCGTTCGGAGTGACCTTTGTCCACCGCTACCCCACCACCGCCCTGCCTGTCCAACAGGTAAGTCACTAATTGACCCATCCAATTTCCTTTCAATTGACAATTACTAAGTCGTAATTTAAAATCTACCGAATTCTTTTTCAACCTGGAAACTCGTAACGCAGCTAAAGTACAGCACGCTAATTCCCAGTTGCGAAAACAGCTTTCTGTTAGACCGCTTATGGTTGATAATCAACAGCAAGTCGATGTCATGGCTTTAACTCCCCAGGATTTGCAAAACATTCTTAATACCGCTACCGCAGCCGCTAATCAGCAGAATGCCGCATTACAGCAGAGCCTTCAGAATAACGCGACAGCTCATCAGAATTTGCTTAATTTTTTGAACAATCAAAACGGCGCTGTGGTTGTGAATAATCAGAATGGTGCTGCAGTTGCTGGTGTAACATCTCTTCAGCTGCGTGATCTGCCGAAGTTTGGCGGGTTGTCGTATGAAGATGCGCATGACTTTTTGACGCAGTTTGAGACAATGGCAGTTGCTAACAATTTCACACCGGCAGACAGAACCAAGCACTTCGCGCTCTGTTTGAGAAATAACGCACTCCGATGGTTTACTACCGAACCTGCAGGAGTTGACTGGACAGATTTACGAACTCATTTTTTAGCCGCTTTTGGGAAAACTCGTTTCGAGCTTGACCTTATGAACGAAGGCTGTCGTACGTTGGCCTTTACCGATCCGCGCACCTATGTCCACCGTATTTTGGATTACGTCGAAACCGTGAATCCGGCCGCTACCGAACGAGAAAAAACGATTCGTCTCTTTGAGTCACTTCCCATTGAATTCAAACCGGCATTCGTGACCAACACCCCCCTGCAACCGTCGCTGATTTCGTTGAACGCCTACGTGATGTCGCTGTCAAACAACAGTATAAGCTGACTATGCAAAACAGTGCACGGTTTGGACAGCCCACTTCCTCTCAGTTTCTCAGTCTCGCAGCTCAATTGAACCCTTTGTCGCTCAATACAGAATTGGCTTCACCTGTTTTCACTCAAGTCACTCAGCAGCTGACCGAAACAACTACGAAGGTTCAGGCAATAGAAGATCAGATTAAGCAACTTAAGGATCAGAACAGATCGCGGAACAATATCAACTTTCGGGCACGGAATGACTATCAGCAGAACAACAATCGAAGTAACTGGCGCTCATCCTTTCGACCCAATTATAATTCCGGTCAGGACACGAATCGCATCTGTTTCACCTGTGGACGTCGAGGGCATATGGCTCGATTCTGTAGGTCAGGAGGTGGCCACTCCCACCCTTCAGCTTCGAGTTACTACCGCATGCCTAGTCAGCATTACAATCGCTCTGAGCCACCGCCCAACACTGCACAGCATTTTCAGCCGGTCGTTCAGGCAGTGCAGCCATTGGCTTTAACCGGTCCTGGCAAAACAACAACGCGGGCACAGTTTTTTCTTCCGATCGAGATGGTCGACCCCCAAGCGGCTGGCAGCGCGCAAACGGCTGTTTTGGGAAATTCGGTAAACTAAAACCTGTCGCGTTTTGTTGGGCAAACGTGGCAGAAGTCGACCCGCCCAGCATGCAATCTTTTGTTTCTGGTGCTCTTGTATGTAATGTGTACGTTAATTCTGTACCTGCTATAGCCATATTAGATACTGGAAGTGCACTGTCGTTGATTTCTCGAGAGTTTGTTGAAAAGAATGATTTGCCAGTTTGTGAGTGGGATCCCCCCCGTTTACGTGTGGTAACGGGTGACACATTTTGTGTTGAGAATGCTGCAGCTGTTGTTATTGGACTGGCTAAGTTGAATATGAAAGCAATATGTGGAATTGTGCCTAACTTTGCATATGACTTGCTAATTGGTATGGATGTCTTGTCGCATGCGCCGCTCGTGATAGATTTTGCTCGCCTGTTGCTCATTAATGTAGCTCAGCCATCACGCATATATCCTGCTGTCAAATTTAATAAGTATTTCTCGAGTACGCCGCCATTACTAATGTCCGCACGGGTGACCTCGCCGCCAGTTATAACCGAAATTTCCGACGAAGATCAAAACAAGTTTGACCTAATTCGGTCTCCAGCGCATGAAAATTTAGTCGTTTCTCATAATTTAAGCGTCCCAGATGTTTCTAATTTCTCTAAACCAGATGTTTTGCATCAGTCTGAAGGTCAATTAAATTTTAACGACGATCTTGATGATGAACATGTCTGGCTGCCGTCTGTTTCAAAACTTGATCAACACAGCTTTCCAGTGGCTGTTGATGATAATTTTCTGGATAAGCTGAATATTAATCCGCAGCTGTCGGAGGATGAAAGGCAACAACTTCGCCAATTGCTAGCAGAATTCCGTAATATTTTTCCATTACCCGGTCAGGAACTCGGGTATTGTCCCCTTCTGACACACAAAATAGACACAGGGAACGCCTCTCCAGTTAAAATGCCAATGCGACGTTTTTCAAAATGGCAGGCGGAGGAAATCCATCGACAAGTTGAAAATTTATTAAAACTGGGAGTTATCTCACCATGTGAAAGTGACTGGGCAACGAATGTCCATTTAATATTAAAGAAATGTGGTGATAGCCGTATGGTCGTTGACAGCAGACCATTAAACGCTGTTACGGTAAAAGACAATTACCCAATGGGCAGTATCGACAACATGCTTGACTCCCTTAATGGAGCTTCCATCTTTTCCTCGCTTGACTGTTTTTCGGGGTATTATAACATACCAATCGCCGTCGAGGATAGGCACAAGACTGCCTTCATTGTACCCCCTGCGCCAGGTTTTCCGGGCGGGCTTTTCCAATTTGACCGCATGGCTTTCGGCCTTTGCAACGCCCCGGCGACGTTCTGCCGTCTCGTTGATAAACTTCTCGGACATCTAAAGTTACAGTTTTTGCTGATATGGGTAGACGATTTTTTTGTGTACTCCAAAGATTTTTTGCAACATTTAAGACACCTTCGCATCGTTTTTGAAATTCTTTTAAACGCTGGCCTTAAGCTTAAGCCTGAAAAATGTTTTTTTGGCCAATTTTCGGTAACCTTTCTCGGCCACCAGGTATCAGCAGCCGGCATATCGGTAGATCCCAGTAAAATTGCTGCCGTCCAAAATTTCCCGATTCCTACTTCAATAAAAAAATTACGCGCCTGGCTAGGCTTTACGAACTATTTTCGACGCTTTATTCCTAATTATTCCGATATCGCCGCTCCACTCACGCTGCTCACAAAGAAAGACACACCGTTCATTTGGACAGTCAAACAACAAACTGCTTTTGAGATCCTTAAAGACCGCCTCTTACACGCTCCGATATTGGTCCACTTCGATCCTGAGCAGCCAGTACAACTGCACACAGATGCTTCGCACGCTGGCGTTGGCGCTGTCCTCATTCAAGAGAAAGAC